GTGTGCATTTATGAATATTTATTCTATATTTGAGACCTTAAAAATTCTTATAACATAGTACAGTAGTTAAAGTATCAGCCCAACTCCAAGTGTCTGCTTGCAGCCCTAAAACTCAAGGCCACACACAGTCTCTTGGTCTAACATACATTTGACAATGGGGGAAGGGGGTGGACTTGAGCTCCTGGGAGGGGATTGGGGGGGATGAATGGCAGAGTCTAACTCAAGGCAGCCAACAATGTCCCTCACTAGTTGGCTCCACTGCACTCCACACACAAAAAATGGTACAAGGTAATCCACATACCGGCTTTTGGAGGCAAAATTACTAACTCCCCAGCAGGGATCAATAGGAACCAAAACATCTATCTGCAAAGAGGAAGTGTTTCATTTAAATCACAGAAAGCCTAGGCAATGAAAACCTGAAATGTCTAAAATAAAATAAACAAATATCAAACATGCCATTTTCTCATCACACAAATCCATAACATAAAGGTTTCTCCAGCTACTCCTGGCTTGTTTGTTTTTAACTGGCCTCTCATGAGCCAGTGGGGAGCCTAAACTGGTCTTATGGCTGTGATGCCTCAGTTGTGGGACTTCTTTGTGACACTGCCTGAAACAGAGAGAGGGCTTTTACAGATTTCTTCCCACAAAGGCTAGTATTTCCCAGCAAGCAGGCAGAAAAGTCCACATTGAAGTACCTTAAATATGCAAAGATTTTCCTATCTCAGAGTTGCTTTGGTTAATTACTTTGGGAGATGTTTAACATATTTGAAGGATTGGCTCTTTGAACTTCAGAGAGACTTCTTCAGGTGGGATAATCTCCTTGTTATAATCCTGATTTTAGATATATCTGGCTGACCTTCTTATGACCTGGTGCCAATGATTAAGAGTGTGGCCTTGCCTTTGTGGCATCATTAGGTATCTCTCCTATTAGACACTGTTCTAGTTTTTCCTCTGTCCTTACTGACTCCTACGTCACATGAGAGGAGAGGTCCATGGCTGCTGCTGCTGCTGCTGCTGCTATGCAGAACCATAGAATCATAGACTTGGAAGGGACCCTGAGGGTCATCTAGTCCAACCCCCTACAATGCACAAATCTCAACATGTCGCCTCTGACTTACCCCTTCTCTAAGCCCCTAAGCCCCAGATGCAGCAACCTTACTCCACAGGGGAGTTGCTCGATCCCCTCGATCACTTTGGTGGCCCTTTTCAGAAGCTTTTCCCATCTCCACAATATCTTTTTTGAGCTGAGGTGACTAGAACGGCACACCGTCTTCCAAATGTGATCACACCATGGATTTGTATAACGGCACCATGTTTCTGCCAGTTCTGTTTCCAGTTCCTTTCCTAAGGATCCCTCTTTTCTCTTTCTCTCCTTTTGTGCTGATGAAAGGAGAATCCAGCTCTGCGGACAAGTCACGCTTTTGAGTGCAAAATGCTTAATTGGCATTAATTTATGATGACTACAGGACACAGGTTGTGAGTTTTTGCCTCCTTTGGTTTGACGGAGTCAGTGTGTGTGTCAGGGGCGAACGACACCTGGGCGGGGACGTCACTATGTAGGACACGTGCAACGTCGCTACATACAACGCATGTGCCGTACATAGCGACGCTACACATGCGCTGTACATAGCGGTTTGCCGGTGCCGGCACTCCAGCGCCATATGGATGGTGCCGGGATCCTCTGCTCACAGCTGCAGCCGCAAACAGAGGATCCTCCATTCACGGCTGTAGTGGCAACGGAGGGATCCCACCGCCGTCTGTACAGTGCTGGAGCGGCGCTGGAAGCAAACCACTATGTACAGCGCATGTGCATCGTCGTTATGTACGCTGCATGTGTACGATGCTGCACATGCGCTGTACATAGCGGTTTACCGCTGCAGCCGCGAACAGAGGATCCTCCACATGCGGCGGCGGCGCAATGGCTGCTCGCGCCCCCGCCAGGTGCCTTCTTGTCACCCCCCCAGACATGGCACCCAGGGCACACTGCCCCCACCCCCCTGTTGCGACGCCACTGGTGTGTGTGTGAGAGAGAGAGAGAGAGAGAGAGAGGGAGGGAGGGAGAGAGAGAGAGAGACCTTGTCTCTGTGTGAGTCATGTGTACACTGATACCCAGGCTCCTTTGTGAAGCCTCCTCTGCAGGGGCGGTGGTGGAAGGAAGGCCCACCGTGCCGCTCCCTTGCACCTTGAGCAGACACCCACCCAGCACTCACACTTCCTATAACCCTTCTTGGAGGCTGCCTCCTTTCCCAAACAGTTGCGGGCAGGAGGGAGCAGCTTTGGCCACTGCCCAGGGCTGTGGGGCTCAGTCCCAGCCCACCAGCTGTGGCGACATCAGTTCTTGGAGGGGGAAAGCTCAGGAGGAAGTAGTGGGGGCAGATCCACAATGAGTGGTCAGAGGGCGAAGGAGGAGCAAACTGGGAAGAGTTGGAGGTTTTGGAAGCTGAAGGGACAACAGGTTTTAGTGAGCAAGAAGAGGCTGTAGCAGAGAACAGTCCAGACTCAAAGGCTGAAGAGGAGGCTGGAGGAGACCGGAACCAGCTCCCTTCTCCCCTGGTCTCCTAGAACACAGAGAGAAATTAAAAGGGCAGAGGAGAGGTTGGTTGTGCACAGGTGCAGTCTATGACTGCTTGGGGGAAAAACCTGGACTTAGGCAGCTGTGGGAAGCAGGGACCTTCATTCCTCACAACTGCCTCATTCACGTAAGACCTACTGGGAAGAGCTGGAATCGCTAGGCCTGTGCTGTTTTGATTTATTTGAATAAAGAGTTAACTTCACTGACACCAGTTTTGTTGTTGTTGTTGTTGTCGCTGCTGACCTACACCTGACTCCCGCTTCTGACATGTGGCCAATTCTTCCCATTTCTGGTCTTTGCTGTCCCTGCTCCACATTACAGGAACAACATTTTAGGGATGTTTTTGGGTCACTTCCAGGTTCAGTGAGATGTGCACATGACTGGTCGCACATATATGAGATGCGCCTAAAATGGTCACTGCCTGTACAGTGGTACCTCGGGTTAAGTACTTAATTCATTCCGGAGGTGCGTTCTTAACCTGAAACTGTTCTCAACCTGAAGCACCAGTTTAGCTAATGGGGCCTCCTGCTGCCACCATGCCGCCGGAGCACGGTTTCTGTTCTCATCCTGAAGCAAAGTTCTTAACCCAAGGTACTATTTCTGGGTTAGCGGAGTCTGTAACCTGAAGCGTCTGTAACCTGAAGCGTATGTAACCCGAGGTACCACTGTACTCGGTAATGTTTACACATCAATAATGTGACACAAATATTTTTGCAAAAAAAAATACCAAAATGGAACTGTTCCCTTTGGAGCACGCTGATTCTTACACCCTGTGGGAATTAAACTTATGAGAGACCATGTTTACTTTACTGCTTTAAGCTACTTGAGTTTAGTTAACCTGGGTAGAATGTTAAGTCCTTTGAGGATTTTAAACTGCTTAAATTGCTCCGAAGATCAGCTTAGTCTTAAACTGTTCAAAAGGTTTACAGTGCAGCAATTAATGCACTCTAAGCTGATTTAAAAGCTTGAATTTTACTTACTGCACTCCCGTCGCCCCACCTCACTTTTTAAATGTAATTTCTTTGTCCAGTCATTTCTTACCTGAAAATGTAAAAGGTAAAAGTAAAGGTAAAGGACCCCTGGATGGTTAAGTCCAGCCAAAGGCAACTATGGGATGTGGCACTCATCTCACTTTTCAGGCAGAAGCCAGAGCACATGGAAGCGCTGTTTACCTTCCCGCCAGAGCAGTACCTATTTATCTACTTGCACTGGTGTGCTTTCAAACTGCTAGGTTGGCAGGAGCTGGGACAGAGCAATGGGAGCTCAGCCCATCACACAGATTCGAACCACCAACCTTCTGACGGCAAGCCCAAGAGGCTCAGTGGTTTAGACCACAGCGCCACCTGCACCCTACACCTGAAAATGTAAGAAATATCCAGTCATATGGTGATTCTACTTAATAGATCCTTGACCTAAAAGTCATTGCCTTCAAGGTGTTATTTAAATATCAGAACAAGAACCAAGGAAGTACAGCAAAAGCGAAAGTTGTCACAATCATAACATATCCTTAAATACAGAAATTGCTTCACATCGACATGTATTACATGTATAACGTTTGACCTGTCTATACTTCTTACTCTACACTTGAGCCCTATTCGAATGATGAATCTGAATTACACCTGTAGACCTCTTCCAGATCTCTGTACATTTAGCCAAACCTTTAAGCAGAGACTATGTGTGGAGGAGTTCTTTGTGATCTGCATCAGTATTCTGAACACTGCACAAAGAGCATGGAGATATGCACATTGTAAGCTCTAGCCAGAGGTAAAGCTGAACATACAGAAAAGGAGGGAAGTGTGGGTATAATCTTAAGAACGTAGGCAAAATCTTAGATTAGATCAAAGTCTAGATTAGATCCAGTTTATTCAGCAACTTTTCCATGGGTTTGGGGCCCAAAAGTGAACTATCAAAGATCAGACTTCAATATACTACCCAAATTACAACTTAAATTTGCACAAATGTTACAAATACCATTAGTGGTATCCTCATTTAGATATTTAAGTGTGCAAGTCTTCAAAAATAAACTATATTGCCATAATTATGGTTGATTGTGGTCCAGAATGAAGCCAGAGAAGACATTGTCTCATTGGAATCTTTCACTTTTCAGTAGAAGAGCTACCATAAAAATGATGCTCTTACCTTGATTCACATACATTTACGTACTTATTCTATACACTACCTTGGGAAATACCATCATCTCTAGAGATGGCATCACAAATAGAATTTTTCACCTTCAAAACCACAAAACCCAGAATAGTAAAAACCATGAGATACAAATCCCCTTTAGAAGGTGGATGTGGATCCCACAACCTTTACTTTATAACAAAGCATCCCAATTTAGATACCTAATTACCCTCATGAATGACACAGGAAAAAAACAATGGGTACGAGTTGAAAGAAAACTTTATTGGCACAGGAAGATACAGATGGCATTCATTTTAATAAAAAGGAAAACATAGCAAATAAAAAAATCCACTATACCATCAATACTGCACTGAAGGTCTGGCATCATAGGAAAGGTAGTTTATTGCCAGAAATCTCCCCTCTGACACCGATCCACAGATCTCCAGACTTCTATCAAAATGATAGGAACATAAACACAGATGCACTGAAGAAGGATTACTACATAAATACACAACCCAGACCGAGAGATGCATGGAAAACTAATCCAAAAAAATAAGAGTTTCGGGTGGTTGTATTGATACCAGTTGAACACTTTAATAATATGGACCAAGGGCATAGAGATTTAACACATTTTGAAAAAATTATGCACGGTAGTTTAGAGAATAGCTCCTCCTCTGCCATTCCTCTCCTTCTATTTTGTCTTTCTCCCTTTCAGGATGCAGCTGGTAACAGAAGTGATGCAGGTCTATCTGCCTGAAAGGCAGAGCAGTGGGAAGCCGACACATCCATCACAGATCTGCTGTTGGAATTATGAGAGCACCACAGGTTCTAACTGTCAGTCACCAGTTCCAGTTTGCTGCTTCCATATGCTTCCAGCCAGCAGAGTCTCCCTCACAATCCCCGCCAATTAATGCCTATTAGGTTCACAGCTTCATTATTGTAAAACAGAACGAGCTGACCCCTCCCTTTCTCCAACAGTCACACACATTCACCGAAGCTTAGATTCATGGTACCTTAAGGAGGTGGTGCAGAATGACCAATATTTGACCAGATTTCAGGTCCAAAGAGGGGTGCCTTTATCACCCCAGCTTTTCATTTCAGCAATCAAACCAGTGGTAAAACAGTGTTAGGCAAATTATCGTATTAAAGGTATTAAAATAAATGGCATGGCCCACAAGCTTAGTAAGTTTGCTGATGACATCACTCTGGTTTTCTCCGACTTGGAGACCTTGATGTCAGACAACATTTGGGTGATTGAGTGCCTGGACTGACAATCACTCAGAATCTGAAACACCGTGCTTGAACTTTCCTCCTGCAACTCAATCTAAATTACACAAAGTTGTCAAATTCAGTTTCCCCCCTAAATATTTTTAAATATAGAAGTCACCAGACACTGGTCAAAAAATTGTAAAATAAGCTTAGTATGGATTGTCTGACAGGGATGGCTAACAGTGCCCTACCCCACCCTTCTTATAAAAGCTTAGCTTGTTTATCTCTCTCTCTTTGGTTCCTTAAAGAGGAAGAGAAGGGAGGGGAATGAGCAAAAGACTCCACCTTCCTACCAAAGCCGCTCCTGTGGGATGGAGATACTGGAGACAGGGGTGGGACCTGCTGGCTGTGATTATTTTTGATTGGCTAAGAAGAGGTGGGCAAAGCATTTAAAAAGCCTTTGAGTCAGTGAAAAATGTATTAATGATTGTGACAGGAGAAAGATTGGGTTATGGCTCTGGAGGTGCTGGGAGGGCTACTTTGACCAACAGAAGAGCTTCCGCTGTGAAATGGCAAGAATTGACAGGAGACATAGATATTCTGACATGCGCTCTCTGAGAGAGCTCACAACCCATGCTTGCTTTCCTTGGTGCAGTGCTTTCAGATAAGCAGTGTACTTTCAGCTCACCGGAACCTCTTAAAAAATTCCCCAAAGGAGCTAATGCAGTTACTTCTACACCTGCCAGTGGTCTGGCTTCAGCACCTTACAGAAGTGGCAGGTGGGAGAAGAGCCGTTGTGCAGTGCCTCTGATACGATTACGCTTTCCCAATGAGTTATTGCTAGGTTAAAGGGCTGTGATAGTGCCAATATCCAAAGCTGGGTTATTGTGTTATTTATGCGCTATTGTCACTGGATATTAGCTCTATGATCAATCCCAGTGACAGAGGCTGCTTAGCCTGTCACACTTTGTTTTATCTTCCATCCTTACTACCTCAAAATTGCTAATCCAATGTCTCTATAACCAATTTAGGGGAGATCAAACCCTGCTGTTACAGAGTGGTATGAAAGCAGGTTCTTGGTCTCCAACATTGCACGGAAGATGAAGTCTTCAGGCTTTGGAGCTAAGCTGCCGCTGCCTGTTGTCTGTCTGTCCATCTATTAGCAAAACACCCATCATTAGGTGTGTGTATGTGTATTTGTGTAGCAAGAGTGGTTCCTGCTTCTAGATCCCTGTGAGGGAGATCCCTGTATACTGACAAAAGGCAGAACAAGAATGGTAAACGTTCACTTGAATAGGGGAACGCAAAGAGATACATTAAGACAAACCATTGGAGTGGAGGCGAAACCTCCTTGCAACTCAGTCACTGAGAATTAAGCTTTTTCTATCCATATAGTTCTATTCTGGATTCTTCATGGCATAGAATCATAGAATTGTAGAGTTGGCAGGGATCCCAAGGGTCATCTAGTCCAACCCCCTGCAATGCAGGAATCTCAGCTAAAGCATGCATGACAGATTGTCACCCAACCTCTGCTTAAAAACCTCCAAGGAAGGAGAGTCCACCACCTACAAACGGCGACCGTTCCACTGTCAAGCAGCTCTTAATGTCAGAAAGTTCTTCCTGATGTTTAGTTGGAATCTCCTTTCTTGTAACTTGAAGCCATGGGTTTTAGTCCTACCCTCCAGAGCAGGAGAAAACAAGCTTGCTCCCTCTTCCATGTGACAACCCTTGAGATACTTGACGGTGGCTATCGTATCTCCTCTCTGCCTCCTCTTTTCCAAGGCTAAACATACCCAGCTCCTCCAACCGTTCCTTATGTGGCTTGCTCTCCAGACCCTTGATCATCTTGGTTGCCCTTATCTGCACAAGTTTAAGCTTGTCAACAGTGTTTTTATGTTGTGGTGCCCAAAAGTGGACACAGGACTCCCAAGCGTGGTCTGACCAAGGCAGAATAGAGTGGTACTATTACTTCCCTTGATCTGGACACTAGACTTCTGTTGATGCAGCCTAGAATAGCATTAGCCTTTTTTTTTCTTTTCTTTTGCTGTTGCATCACACTGTGGACTCATGTTAAGCTTGTGGTCCACCAAGACCCCTAGATCCCTTTCACATGTACCGCTAGTAAGCCAGGTGTCCCCCATCTTCTATTTGTGCATCTGGTTCTTGCTGCCCAATTCTGTCTTCTGCGGCATTAGCTACCCCTCCCAGTTTGGTGTCATCTGCAGATTTGATTAACACCCCCTCCATTCCTTCCTCCAAGTGGTTTGGAGGAGCCCAAATCAATTAATTTCATAAAATTTCTCTGCCGCTGGATTATAAAGCAACCACCACCTTCAAAGTAGTTTACAAAATGGGAGATATTTCCTATGACTTGTTGCTAGGAGCGAGACTGCACCCTTAGACCTCCTCATCCCCGTTTCTTTCTTTTTCTGCCCAGTGTCTTCTGCCAATAAACAGCTTTCCTTAGGTTGCAAGGAAGTGAAATGTTATGAGTCTGTGAGTGCCAGATTCCCCCGTTTCATGAGTTTCTGGGTGCCAGGTATTGAACCCCTGGACACTGAACATCTGGGGAGTTGATCTAAGCCTTGTTTAGATGTACCCCAAGCTCTACATTTGATTATTGGCTATTAAAAACTAGTTGAAACCATTTTATTTCATTCACAAAAGAATTGGAGCGGTACTATTACTTCCATTGATCTGGACATTATACTTCTGTTGATGCAGCCTAGAATAGCATTAGCTTTTTTTGCTGCTGCATCACACCATTGACTCATGTTAAGCTTGTGGTCCACCAAGACCCTTGGATCCTTTTCACTTTTACTGCTAGTAAGCCAGCTGTGCCCCATCCTATATTTGTGAATCTGGTTCTTCCTGCCTAAATGCAAAACCTTACATTTGTCCCTGTTGAAATTCATTTTGTTAGCTTGTGCTCAATTCTCCAATCTGTTAGGGTCATTTTGAATTCTGATTCTATCTTCTGCAGCAATAGATACCCCTCCCAGTTTGGTGTCATCTGAAAATTTGATGATCAACTCCTTCATTCGAGTCATTTATAAAGCCATTGAAGAGCAATGGGCCCAGGACCCCACTTGTGGCTTTTTTCCTGGAGGACAAAAATGTCCAGGAGGACATTACTTTTTTATTATGATTTTCAGTTTTATACATTTCAATAACTTTACAATCATTTTAACATTTCAAAATTCAACTTCCGTTCCCCTCTTTCTGTCACTTAATATTTTATATTTTTTCCCCTGCATAGCCAAATTAACTTAATTTGCTCATTTATTCATCTACTTTAAATATACTCTTATAAAACTGCAGGTTATTACAATGTTCTTATCTGTTTACAGTTTATTTGTAAATATTTCCATTCTTTTGTAAGCAGTTTGTAAGCAGTGGGTTTTGCCATTTCTGCATATTTCATAAGATTTGCTATCCATTCTGGGACTTCTTCTTTCCATTATTGGACAAGTAAGCTAAGGGACCACACTGGAGACTCATGGTGTTTTTTAAATACTGTAAATTCCGGCCTATAAGACGACTTTTTAACCCCGAAAAAGAGGTTAAAAAGTCGGGGGTCGCCTTATACGCCGGATATCCGCCCCCCCCCCCCGGCTGCTGCGGCGGCGGCCTCTGCTCCGCACCGGGAGAGAGTGGCAGCAGCAGCAGGGTCAGCGGGCTCCGCTCCGTGCCGGGCGGCCTTCTCCCGGCACGGAGCTGCCCAGCGTATTAGGCAACTGGGCTTATAAGACTAATATGCCCAGGCGGCTAATACGCCGGAATCTATGGTATATATCTATACCATAGAACTGGGTCTTGGTGGGAGGAGAGCTGTATTGGAGTTGCGGGCCTCACTGCTGTCGCTGCCTGGAAGAGAAAAGACGAGAAACCTAGAAAGATACTGATTTGGACTGATTTGGACATTAACGCAGTAGCAAGAAGATGATCAGAATCCCCCTTCGGATCTTGAAATATGGGTCCCCCCAACAAAATTTAAAATTCGGCTTTGTAATTCAGAATTTATGTGATGTGATTTAATTTGATTTGATTGGCCGGTTAATAAAAATTATTATATATAAAAAAAGAAACCCAGAAAGATGGGTTATCAACATAATAATAAATGAAAATATTAAGAATCATTTTCATTTATTATGTTGATAACCCATCTTTCTGCAACAATCTCAAGGTGGCTTACATTAGCCTACCTGTCTTCCTTCCTCATTCCTCATTCCATTGCTGAACTCTTCTTGAATCAAGGAGCTGCCCCCCCACCCCACCCCGCAGCCAGATTCTCTCTGGCCTCCCGGTTCCTCATGAACAAAGATCAACACTCACTATCCATATTGGCATCAGTCACATTCATTCACTGGTTATACAGTCATACGTATATGGGTCTTATCTTCATTAACTCCTCCTTCTCATTTTTAATTACATCCCATTGATGTGGCGACATTTCTACCTCCTCCTCCTCACAGACCAGGGGATGGATCTTTGGCATGTGACAACGGGAGACCAGCAGCCCATGTAGCCTTTGATACCTAGGGAAGAAGAGGGGAAATAATCAGGAAATGGGTTCTAGATACTTCCTTGATACTCTATATCTCTGTGCTGAATTTGGAGCACCTGGCAACTAAACCTACTTTCAGAAACCTCTGTTGGAGAGTACAGCAAGCAGTTGAACCCATAGAAGGGGGGATCTTGTCAAAGGACCCGCCAAAATTGGGAGATGCTCTTCTTGTGATGATGCCCACAAGGGGGAAGGCAAGCCATCTCCCTCAGAGCATCTAAGATGGCCTTGAGGACAATCTTCAAAAATAAATCTAACCATGACCTGATTCCCTATGTTTCTAAATCTTAAGGGGTAGCAAAAGAAGCAGACTGTGGAAAGAAGAAGAGCTCCGAATCTTACAGGCGAGATGAAGAAATTTTCATTTTTCAGAAGACACAATTCATGTAAACAACCTCATTTCTTTGAACTATCCTCAAATAGTTGCTCTTCCCAAATTCTCAGCCAAGTCACTCAGCAGGGGGACATGTCTCAATGGAGGACATCACCCTGTTACTGTAGCTATCAGACTTAACAATAGGCATTGTTCCCCTTAACATGCATTTTTCAAATATATCTTTCAGTGGGTTAAGCGGTTTTATTCAATTTATTTAGAAAAGATTGCGAGCTGGCATTTCTCCTCTCTGTATTCTGCGCTTTTCCTACTTTCTTGCGCTGTAAATCGCTCCCTGCCAAGTTTGGGTGAAGGGTGGTGCTGTATAAATTCAATAAGCCACATAATCATAATAATTCATCTCTCTCTTCCATAAAGCTCCTGCCCAGCCACTTTAAGGAGCAAGGCGCAGCAGCCGCACTCCAAACTACGGCTGCCATTCGTCCGGGTTTTCCCTGTCGCGTCTGCAAATCGGGCAGGGAAATGGGGCGCTTTTTGCGGAATCGGCAAAACCCGGACATATGACAAGGGGGTTTATTTTCTTTTTTTCTTTTGAAAATAACCCTTTAAAAATCCGAAAAGGCCCCCAAACTTCTTCTTTCTTTCTTTTTGGGTTGGAGGAGCTGTTCCCCCCCCCCAAAAAAAATCTCAACATATCTGTCCGGATTTTCACTTGAGGGAATATGGCAAAGCGCGAGGATAAGCCTCCTTGTCGCGCGCAGGCGCATTCGCGTCCTGAAACCGTTGGTCGAGAGAACGCAACGAACCGCGCGCTCGGCTCCAGTGCGCACGCGCAGGCTCCTTCCGTTATTTTCCCCTCCCTCCCGCTTCGGCCTCTTAGAGGAAAAGGCGGGGCATCCGGAGCTCGCCGGAGACCCCCGGAAGTCAGCCGCTCGTGGCGCGAGCCTGACGCAAGCCGGGCGCTCTGGCGGGGGGCGACGAGGCCCCTCTCTATGGTCGCCGGGACGATGCTGTGGCGGCTGCTGTGGAGCCTCGGCCGGGGAGGTGCGTCCCGTCTCGGGGCGGAGGGAGGGCGCGGCGGGGGCCTCTCGCCCCTCTCCTCATCTCTGTCTCTTTCTCTCCCGTGCGCAGTGAGGCTCCCCGGAGGAGGAGGAGGAGGCGGCGGCACCGTCGCCCTCTGCCGCCACCGGCCTGTGGGCCCGGCCCGGCCCTGTGACGGAGACCCCTCGCCGACCGAGGACAGGTGAGGCGCCGAGACCCCGCCGCACCTGCAGCCGCGCTCTCCGTAGGGGGGGGGGGGCTGTCATTGCCATTATCACTTTTATTTATTGGGGCTTGTGAGCCGCTTTGTCTTGCCCGCAAGCAGAGGCAGGAAAAATAAAGCGCCAAGCAGGGCTGACGGGAAGAATCCCACCTGCTTCTGAAAAGGGCGAAGGGCTGCCCAGGGAAACGATGGCGCCAGGTGAGCCTCCCTGGGTTACCTGCACAGGTGTAAACGACAACCCCCTCCCCCAGGCCTTGAAAAGTTGCTCGATCAGCTTCGTCCCTTACGTTAATTCAACGAGAAGAACTTGTAGTTGGATTTCAATTAAACATGCAATTAATTGGTCGCTCTTTTGAATTTTATTGGGTTATCGTCTTTCTTAGCGGGCCATGCAAACCACAGGGGCTCCCAAAAAGTTTGGGAAACAGCCAATAAACCTTTGGCTGTTACACAGAGAATTCGGATAGAAAGCAGCATCAGAAACACAGCAGGCATGGCTGTGTGGAAAGAAGTAAAGTGCTGTCGTTTCCTTTTAATCAGACTTTGCTCCTGTGTGGGTGGATTTTGAAAAGGCAGTGAAAGCAGAAAAATAACGAGATCTATCCTTGCTTGCAATCTGAAACGTGTGTTGGGTTGGATCGCTTGTGGGAATCTGAAACAATCACTGACAGAAAGAGAACCACTTTCCTGTATAGTCAGGTACTATATCAGTGGGGCAAAAGGAGAAATAAACAACAGCGACAATTTTCTTGTTTATTTCCCCAACAATATATATATAGCAATATTAAAACAAAAACCTTCTGAAATTGGACTACATAACTGGCAATCATTTATTACTGTACAGTAACCATTCGTGGCTGAAATAAAGTTATAAGGCATGAATTTTGTGCTTTATAACTTTAGACTACATTTGGATTGGTAAGAACAATTGTTACTATTCTAAGTGCAAAAGAAATGATGGAAATCCATACAGTGGTATCTTGGTTTGCATATGTCTTGGTTTGCATATGTCTTGGTTTGCATACGTTTTGGATTACAAACACGTCAAACCCAGAAGTGCATGTCCCGGTTCGGAATCTTTTTTTGGATTACAACCCTTTTTTTTATTATTACGAACAAATTTTTTTTGGAGGTCCCATTGTTGAAAGCGCTCCTTGAGTTAAAACCTGTTTTGGTTTACAAACAGACCTCCGGAACGGATTATGGTTGTAAACCAAGGTACCACTGTATTTTTGCAAATTTTCTTTTTAAATGGCATCACAGCTGTGGCCTTAATAAAAACAAATTGGCTAGAAATGATGGCATAGAATTGTGATTTGCTATAGTGAGGATAATAATAAGAAATGTATAATTTTAGTTCATTCGTTCGTTGGTTCATTCGTTGAAGGAGACCTAGCTGACCAAGATTGACCCACAGGCCAGAAGTTTCTCACCCCTGGCCTAAACTGACACCTCACAGCAAGCCCAGAATCTGGGCAAAACCAGGCCATAAGGCAGAAATGGGACTCTCCCCACACCACACCCCCTGGCTAGAATGTGTCCTTGGATTTTGATCATGCTTCTTGGATGGAGGATAGAGAGGGATGTCTGAGTGTATGTAAATACAAGTCTACTATACAACCTTAAAGTTAAAGTTTGTTGCTCTAATTTTGCACTGGTATCCCCCCCGCCCCCGAATGCTAGCTTAAAAAGAATTCATTTCTCAGTCTGAAAACAGGTTCTCCATCCCAGCCCTAACCTTGGCTCTTTTCAGCATTAGTTCTGTCCTGGGATATTCAAGATGGGTGGCAGCTCAAGCATTTGTCCAGAAGAAGAGTTCTTGTTTGCCTGAGGCTACATTCTTTAAAGCAGATTTCCAGTGTGCTTAAAGGGAAATATGTGCAATTTATATTCTCAGCATGTGATTGTAATGATCAAAGCCATTTTTTCTCTGGAACAAGACTTTCAAGCTCATGCTCATTTTTCAGAGCTCATTGGCTTTGGTTGCAAAACTGTACAAATAAAGGGCTTTAGAAACTGCAAAGTTTATTCACCCTGGGGTTGTTTTTGTGGGGTGCGGAGCGGGGAAACCTTAGCTATTTCAGAGGGAGGACTTTTCACATGAGGGCTCTTCAATAGAGTGTTTGCTACCTTCACCTTAGTGTAGTCAAATTTTGGCAACTGTAAAGTGATCAGGAAATATTGCTCACTGCAGACACATAGATTATCAATATAGCTTTGGCAAGGATTGTGTTATTTTAATATCTTTGGGAGTCTTATGGAAATAAAGCTTTGAGCTTCTTGTCGCCTGTGCTTTTATGACTTCTGGTCTGCCCAGCTCCACATTACAGCTGTTTCAAAGATGAATTTTGGGCATAGTTATGGTTAAGGGTGGGTTGGGAGAGCTAATGTGCCTTGGAAGAGGGCCACGTCTCCTCTTTCTCTTACTTCAAGCCTCCACCTTGTTGTGTTGTATCCGTTTTAAGCTCATAGAATTGTGCCTGCAAGCATGATATTCTGCCCCAACAAGACATGGGTCCAATTAGGAAACTCTCAAATAGGAAACATACCTTTTCCTCAATTTTTGTTCAATCCAATTTCACATGCCTTTTGTAATAATATTAAACACATACACACGATGCTCTATTGACATTTGGAAAAAATGGCAGAAAAAATACTGTTCGTATATTCACCACTAATGCCAATGAAGTACTATTCTAAAGCTAATGACCTCTCTATTAAGAATACATTATTTTGACAACCAAAGGGTTATTGTTTGAAATATTTTTACCAAAATCCATGCCCAATCTCAAGAAAGCAATTAACCTTGGCATTAAGGAACCTTACCTGTAAGATGGCTTCACGTTTATCAACTTTTAGATCTATTGCAAGACCCTGTAGTCCACTCTCATGCCATTCATCTGTTCTCCTAATGGAAAGGTATTTGTGGTAGCAATGTTTAAGAGCTTACTGAATTTGTATTATGAGATTTTAAACAAGTTTAAAATCTAATTGGGAGATGAACCTGAGGGTAACCAAAGATGAAGCTACCTGGTCAGGAATGTGGGGGGAAGGCCCCTTTAAATCTAACACTGTTCTTACAAGGGAACAGGCATTAAAAATCGCTCATAAATGGTATTTTACACTGGTCAATTTTTCCGGTATCTCTTTGGAGTCCTACCATTTGTGCTGGAGAGAATACAGTCAACGGCGCACATATGTGGTGGGAATGTCCAAAACAACAAATATAGTTTGAGATATAAGTAGACATTTTAAAAATTATTAAAGACCATATTCAGTTTTCTCCAAAACTTGCTTTACTCTGGCTATTTGAAGGAATAAATGGGGATATTAAATCCAAAGAACTGCATGCCTTCCTGATTTCTTGCAGCCAGACTGTCTAACTCAATGCTGGAAGACACTTTTGATTTCAATATTACAAACTAGTGGAATAAGATTTGGAACTTTGCTCTTCAGGAAAATAATAATAATTTAATAACAATAGTTTTATTATTTATACCTGCCCATCTGGCTGGGTTTTCCCAGCCACTCTAGGTGGCTTCCATCACATATAAGAACAAAAGATGTCAAACATTTCAAAAAAGCTGAGACGACATTTCAGATTCCTAAAGGGAAAGGTAGAACCAGGCTCCTTCATGACAGTCTGGTGGGGAATTTTTAGACTTTGTTAAAACCCATCAAATACATCCACCTGTTCCTTCGGCAGTTACGGACCTCTGGGTCAAGTAACTTGCTCCATACTCATCTTGGCTGGAAGAAACGCAACCATAATCCTTCTCAACATAATCCTTTGACCCTCAACTTCTTAGTTGTCAGCTTAACCGTACTGATCCTTTATATAATAGTATAGCAATATTATGAACAATTGTTATTGCTCTATGCCTCATGTTTGTTTTTCTGTTAATGTATATGCAGAATATTAGTTTTGAAACTTAATAAATAAAAAACAGCTATGCCTGCCAGCTTTCCTTGGAAAACAGTGCCCACTGTCACCGCACAATTCTTTTGTAGCCAGAGGAGCTGGTCATGTCATTCCAGTTCTTTTTCCATTGCTACCTCTACACATAAACTCAGCAAGGAGCTGTGGCCAGTCCTTGCTCTGATGACTGTACCTGTATTATATATCTGTTTTCAAGCAGCTCCCCATTAATGCTTTATATTTTTAGGTGTGCGTTTTCTTTTCTTTTTTAAAGTGATGATTTGTGAAAGTGGTTTGTGCAGGATTTTGCCCTAGAATCTGACCCTATTAGAATATTGCTTTGATGTGGACGCTGGTGCATGTTTTCAGATTAGCACCCCATGCTCCAAGCATAGCCTAAATCCCCCTGAATCCCTGAGGCACTTGGAACAGCCATTACTGATACAGATTTAATAACACTGCAGTTCATTACATGGTCACAGGTTATTAAACAGAGAAGACTGAGGAATTAGATTTCAAGACTTTAATAATGCTCCAAATGATAGATGTAAACCATAAAATAAGCTGCAATACAATACTCCCTCATCTTACATGGGACTCAGATCCAAGGGTTTCACGCAGCACTATTTTTCTAGAAAAAGAGGTGCTGGAACTCACCATGAATGCCTCCCTTGTTCTCCTATAATGGCAGTGCTGCCCACCAGAGAGGTGCCGGAAATGAGTTCTGGTGAGTTCTGGCTGAAAAAAAGCCCTGGTTACATCAAGCCCTTGGATCCGCCCCATGGCTAGCAAGTAACGAGGTGGGGAGAGAGCATCCCCAGCACTCCCAGATCTGGCACGCTGAGTGGGCCTTGCTCAGCAAGCAAAGCATAGAGCTTTAAAACTTTTTTCACACTGGGTTGCCAAAGCAGACCTGGTGCGAAAATAGCTTTTAAGCTCTCCGCCTTGCTTGGGGAGCAAGGACTGCTTGGTGTGCTGCCATGAGATCCCCCCCAAAAGTCAGATTGTCCCATGAGATCTTGTGAGAGTATTCCAAAGTTGGTGCGCCAAGTGGACCCAGTTCAGAGAGATCTTTTAAGCTACCTGCCTTCCTTTGAACTTTACCTGTCTGCCTTCAACATCGTATTGTTGAGATAGCATGAGTCAAATGCATGTAAGGTGAAGGATTACTGTTCTTGGATTTCTCAGTTAAACAGAACTTCCCCCTTATCCCTTTGGGGTTTTGAATGGAACATTGCACATGCAGGGACAGTTTTCCAGGCCTGCACTTGAGTCCATGCCTTCCTGTCTCACCTGCGGGATACTGTCCTAGGTGTGGGGTTACTGTCTGTGGGAGACACTGCTCCCAGCTGTTGGTAGAGCAGAGTGTTAAAGCAATACATTTTGGCCAAGACACAGTATTCACATATAGCACAGTGTTGAAAAGTAAGTGGTGTGTGTGCACGCACAAGTGCATGCCTCTGTGTGTTTGTGTATATATAGGCAACTCCGATTCACAGGTGTTCAAGGCATGTGCAACTGCACACAGGGGCAGCTGCAGAAACAATACCTTGTGGCATGGTTGCTGCCTTTCTTTGTTTACCTCTGTGGGGTACTTTCTTCCAGTTGTGGAGGTGGAGTGGGAGTTGCTGTTGAATTTTTGTGTCTAGAGTTCCAAGGCAAGGTACAAGTCTGGGTTCTAGTTAAAGGAGTGTTAGCTATGTGCTCTGACAGGCTGCTTTGAGCAGAGTGCCCTTTCTCCCTACATACCATCACCCTTGTGTCTTCTAAGTGTGCACACCCTGAGGCAAGACAGTAATAGCTCCAGCATTTGAGTTATCTCCCTCTGTGGGGTTCATAGGCTGTTGGTGGTATGTTGTAACTGGGTGCTGGTTTGCATCATATTTTACTGCATCATGAGGGTGGCTTGAGGTGTAGGGGTAGGCAGAGGTTTTTTTGTTTTGTTTTTCTCTCTACTGAGTTTTTTAAAAAATAAACTATTTATTTAAAGTGTATCTCATCTTCTGCTGCCATGGCAGGGGGGCGGGAAGGGGTTTCTGCCATATCCAGCAGATCATGAGTACAGAATTGCAATCTAAAATCCAAAAGATTTTTCATCATCCTCTAGAAATCTGCATTTTGCTCCAGCTTGAATTATATCCGTGCTGGAGAGGCAGAACACAGCCAGCATCAGGCTTACACAAGTTCACAGATGGAACCATGTCCTCGACTCAAACGTCACTATACATTGGACACTTGCCCAGAGCTTCCAGTGCTATAGTTCTGGATCCACCTAACACTAAATCGAAGCAAACATAGGGTGAATAGTTAGTTCATAGGGGAAAAAGAAAATTGTTCAGTTAACTTTTCTACCTCTGCTTACATACAGGAGAAACCCAGATGAATATTAATATGAAAACTGAGTGGCGGGTAACCCCGTCCACAAGAAAAGGTGGTGTCTGAGTGTAGATTGTGGAGTAAGTCACACATAGCCTTTTCTCCAAAGCTTTGGTGCAGGCTGAATTAAATGCAAGCTTATTTTCTGGTTTCCATATCCGTTTTCTTTTCTTGTCCTTCTTTCTGAAGCCGGCATGGTAGGCACCAGCAGCACAGAAGTTGTGGATGTGGGAACCTCTTGCATCACTGCACATCCTTCACCTTGGTAAGTAGGCCTGGGATGATTGCATGGTAGAAGAGAGTGGTCGCTTTGTGGGGCAGAAGCCAGGGTGTCTTTATAATAGGAACAGAGTTGTATATAGCCTTTAGCAAAGCTGTTCTGATAGTCCCTAATCCTTGCTCTCCTTTGTTAGAGTGCATTGGCTGTTCTTGCTGTGGAGTTGGTGAAGCATGTTCGAAGGTTGAGCTCTGTGCAACCAGGTGGAGGAGATGTTGGGTTTTACCAATTGGAGGGTCATCTTGCTGTTTTGCCCCAAAGTCAACATTCAGGTAAGCTTGCTAGGGAATAGCACAGTTGAGTCTAGAGCATCATGTGCTGGGAAGAATACACTGCGCGCGCGCGCGCGCACACACACACACACACACACACACACTCTTCAGCTATATGTAATGCACTTGAAACTCCAGCAGCAAAATTGTATCAGAATTGTAAAGACTCCTAGATGTTTGAAGATCTCTCTTTGTAAAATAGGGATTGAGACAGCATCCTATGTACTTTTAATATGTTTCCTCTCCTTCAGTCCCTCCCACAGCCCCTTCTGCTTGCTCCAGTGAGAAAGAGGAACAACATTTCTTCGTAGGAGACGACTCCGGCTATGCACCAAAGAATCCATCTAGCAAAACTTCACAGCCAAAACAATATCAACATGTTTCAGAAACAGGTACAGATCTTGATTTTAGAATGCAAAGACACGTCAGAAGGCATGGGGTAGTGGCCAGCTGCAAACGAGGACAGGCAAATCAGCAAGTCTTGCAAGCAGCCTGTTCTAAGGCAGAAGCCTGGAGAGAATTTGGCTTGGGACATGGTTGCCTGAGATGTCTCTGGTTAAACAGGAGATTCACTTGTGGGCTTTCCAATCAGTAGCTGCTTTATGGAACTTTCCAGTCAAGTACCTTGTGTTTCAAAAGCATTTGATTTATTTGGGTTGTTAAATAATGGGGAAGACAGGTTAGAATGAATATATCACCCTTATTTTCATACTTTTAATGAAAGGAGAAAGTGGGACTTAGAAATGTCTATAAAAAGAGGAAGTTTAAAGTCTTGTTGAAACAAACTGATGAGCAACATAGTCATCAATAAATTATTAGTAACCCAAATAGCTGCAATTTAAGAAGAAAAATTGTTTACATTATGGTAATTACCTTCTGGCCATAGATGAAAGGGAATGTTAAAATATATTTGGGGTTCTTGTAATCAACAGGTATTTGGGTCATTACAGAATCTCTACAATTCAGTAGAGAGAGTGGGTATAGCTGTACAGTAGCCTTGTGGCTAATGTGAGAGAAATCCTGTTTCTATGAACCAGTGAAGTTTCCTTACTAATTACTGTTTAGCCCAGTACTGTCTTCTCCAGGTGGCAACTGTTTTCCAAGGTTTCTGCAATAGCATTTCCCAGCCCTCCTCTTAAGATCCAGAGGTTGAACCTGGGACTGCTATATGCAAAGCACATGTTCTTACACTAAGGTAATGTGGAGGCGCAGGAGCGTGCCCATCTAATCACACAACTGCTAATAAGGAACCCCCTTATTAACCACAGGTTTCATCCCAGTCTGGTGAGTTTTTGTGGAGACAGGCAGCAGTATAGGCCTAGGTATAGTGCTGTACCTGACTGGGCTCTCCTGCTTCTGTCCAGATGTGTCACAGATTCTTGGTCCTTATTCCACTTTCGTGATCTGTGCCACAGGTTGCTACCCATGTTGTGCAAAGAATGGTTCTGGCCAAATTATTTGACTGAGCTCTGAAAGATGAGCAGGATGACTGTTGAGTCAGAATAGACCCATTTAAATTCATGGATAAGGTTGAGTTAAACCTGTTAATTTCAGTGGGTTTATTCAGAGTGAAAGTTAGTTGAAGGAACGTAGAAGAGAGCTGTCCGCTGTAAGGCATATCACAAAATATTGCTGATTTAACAGAAGAGTAGGAGAGGAAGCTGCAACTTCCAGATCTGTGCAACCAGAACTATGGCAGGGAAGGCAACTCGGTGTTGAGGCCTAGACGGTCATTGCCTTATCTTTTTTTGTTTTTTTTGCAGGGGACATCCTCTTCCTATCCAGCACTGGTTCTGAACCAGACTCGTGCCTATTACGCTTGCAGGTAATTCCTCTTTACTTTTTGTGGAACTTAGCTTTTAGCATGAATTTAGCTCAGAATTTCTGAAGTATGAGATAATGAGCTAGGGAAGGGTCTTTAATTTTTCGAAAGCATGAACACACTCTCTGCATAACCTTGATACCACTTGCCTTATTAGTATCATGTGGATTTCATGTACATTTTGGTATACTTCAGGGACATCCGTGATAGCTTTGAGACCAACTAAATTCAGGGTAGAAGCAAAGGCACATATTTTAATGTTTGCTTTCGAACTCCTACCTTGACATGATTGTACAATGAGAGTAAGAAATGAATATGGCTACGTAGATTGAGCTATAAGGCAACACAGTCTTGGGCCATGATCACTAGCACCACCCCAGGTGAAGAATCTTGGCTTGTTTACTGAAGCGGTATCGTCCATGTTTCCTTCTGTTACCCAGAATTTGCAGGTGTACGTTGTCTCTTGAAATCTGCCAAACATTGAGGTTCTAGCAAGACAGCTCACTTAATGCATACTGTATACATTGACATAAAAAGTGTTTAAAGATTTTGGCTTGACTCATCTGACAACAGTTGGTTGATGTGCAGTCACACAATGTGCATGTTCCAACTGTTCAGGGGATAAAGCCGCTAGCAACAGAACGTTCTCCAGCTTCTGTGAAAGAAGAAGAAAATACCAATTTTGGCTGGGATTAAAATTCCTATGCCTTCCCCATTCTGGCACTCTCCAGATGGTTTGGACTTCAGTGTCCATCAGCCCCAGCCAGCATGGCCCATGGTCCAAGATTATGCAAGTTTTAGTCTAAAACATGTGAAGGGCACCACATTGGGGAAGGCTGCCCAGGAACAGTGAGGAGAGGTTCAGAATGGAGCAGAGCCTCAGAAGGAGGCAGAGTAGTTAGTGCAGGCTTCCTCAAACTCAGCCCTCCAGATGTTTTGAGACTACAATTCCCATCATCCCTGACCACTGGTCCTGCTAGCTAGGGATCATGGGAGTTGTAGGCCAAACACATCTGGAGGGCTGAGTTTGAGGAAGCCTGAGTTAGTGTGATGAGATACAGGAACCCAAGGGAAGGATAGGTGAAAGTGACTGAAACCTTTAAAAAAGCAGGACAGAGAAGACCAAGTGGTATCTGATAAGAAGGTGGAAAGCTCACATGGCTGTACAGATAGAAGAAGCTATATGGTAATAGCAGGAAGTAGGTTTGTCCAGGTAAGGAGAATAGCTAACAGAGAGTGATGGTGTCTCAGCTAAGTGGTATCAAGTAGATGCGGGCTGAAAAACAGAGACTTGGGGAAATGATAGTGTCACAACCCAGATTGGGGATGGAACTGGATAGTGAACTTTAAACAACAGCCTTGCTGTGTCTGCCATGTTGTTCAGACCTGAGACACATGGTTTGGGAATTTTCCGCCTCATGTCTATATTTACTAGGATTTCCAGTTTTACTAAAATCATGTTTAAAGATACAAGTTGCATTTTAATCATGACTGTAGAAGTTTGGATTGATGAAAGAGGCAAGGAGAGTAAGGCTGGGGCAAGAGCTCACACAGTGCTGTGGCTGTGTACTCTTGAATTCAGGTTGTTGTCATTATTATTATTATTGTTACAATGGTACCTTGGTTTACAACCATAATCGGTTCCGGAGGTCCGTTTGTAAACCAGAACAAGTTGTAACCCAAAGCACGATTTCGCCAATGGGGCCTCCAAAAAATTGTTGTTTGTAAGCCAAAAAAATGGGTTGTGATCCAAAAAAAGGTTGCAAATCAGGACACGCACTTCCGGGTTTGACGTGTTTGTAAGCCAAAACATATGCAAACCAAGACATATGCAAACCAAGGTACCACTGTATTATTATTTCCTGCAGCATGTTGCACTCAAAATACCATACAAAAGGAAAATACGGGCAATTACCGATTAACACGCGTCTGATTGATGCCCAATCATGCACATGTGAACGATGCCAAACCTGGAAGTGACCCCAAAAGTCTCTAAACACTTCACTAAAAGGGTGGAATGGGGGCAGGGCAGGGCAGGGTGGAAGGGGGTGTGCTTACCCGCACTCCACCGGTGCTCACAGGGGCCAGGGACAGGTGGGTAATTTCTGGGTCCAAATCTGGAAGCACACTTTTCATGCCAGAGAGCTGCATTCACATCATTTGTATTATTATCAAGCCAGGCTTTATAGCTTCTGATACAAAAGCATTTTTAATTTCCCATAAGGAAGGACTAACCCATCTTGCTTTCTGGCAACAGTCCTTCCTGCCTCTGAATCCCGACAAGATGAAGAGTATCCTGTAATATATACTTCTGCCATCTGATGGCACCAAATCATTCCAGTACTGAAATTGCTGACTCTGTAGATTTGCTAAAGATTCACTGAAAAAATAAAACATTTACTTGGCTTCAGTAAAATTAGCATGTGCTAACTTTCTGAAATCTTCTTTTAAAGTGTTGACTTTAACGTCAAGAAATAAGGGATATACTGAAGAGTTAAGAGGGCAAAAAATCATTGTGTATACGTCACCTAAAAAGCCCTCTAAACATCTGACAAGGAAGTGAAATGTACCTCAAATGGCTATGTTGTATCTGATGATAAGAGATTCTCCAAATGTTCATTGCTAGTACCAGATTGAGAGAGGCTGGACTCAGTGAACCCTGTGATCAAGCAGAGCTGCTCTTGCTATAGCTGCATGTAAAGTCTTGAGTGCCAGTAAGTTATGAGTGCCACAGCTGTCAGGCTGAAACAGAAGGGAATAGTGTTAAAGGTGGAACTGCCTAGACCATCTCCCCACTAATGTGGTTTTCCAGGGCTTGGGAAGAGGTTTCCCTGCCCCACCACTACCCTGCCACCTGATTTCTGTGACATGTTCCAAGTCTTCTCTTAGTAGATCCAGTGGATGAAGTATAATCAGTGAACGTAGTATAATCAGTGACTTAAGAGTTGGTAGGACACCCCTGGGAAGAGGGATTGATTGATGAACCACCGTGAGGGGAATAGAAGTCTCCTAGCAACTCTCAGCACCCTTAATGAACTATAGTTCCCAAGAATCGTTGAGGGAAATTCCTCCAGGGAATCTTGACTAAACACCCCAGTTGCAAAATTAGTTTGATCAAGACTTACAAGAATGGGACCTTTGTTTAAATGTAGGTCAGTTAACGCACAGACATGCAACCACAATTCAGTTCTGAAGCAAACGCCAAGAGCAATTTTCTTCTACTGCTGCAAATTTAGCATGCATTCTAGAAAAGTAGTACAGTTTATGTGTGTAAGCAATACAGTTCTGTTCTACAATAATTGTGCAACAAACATGTAACATGGTAAAGAAGGAATCTCCAATAGAAAGAAAGGATAATGGCAATTTTGGATATTTTGAACTGATCTCTTACACTATCTTTCTGTTGAGTTTTGAGTTCCCTCTTTCCAGCTGGGGCCTATTCACATGGAGTTGGTATATTATTTTATTTGTAAAGAGTACCAAATTCACAGCCAGGATAGCATATTTCATGTCACCAAGGTCTGCAGTCCAAAGCAGTGTGAAAATGCCAGGACAGCCACTTGTGACATTTGTCAGTTCGCACCTCTGAACTTGCGGGGTCACTGCTATGGCAACATTCTGACCAGCAGTTTCCCAAAGCCCAGTGACAAGTCTACACTTCAGGAAATGACTCCACCTGTCCAGTCTCCTGCTGGAGGATATGATTGTCAGTATATTAATCTTGATATTTTCAGCAGTGGTAGGAAATCAGACTTTGTGTTCAACACAAGTGGGAGAATGAAATAGTTTTTATCTGTCCACTTGCAAATTGCCGCAGTTGCTCCAGAAAACCACCCACTTCTTCCTCTCTTATTTTTGTGATCCTTCGGTTAAGAGCCAGTAGGAAAGGACAGTCTTTTAATTCTCACTCCAGATGTCAGGTGACTGTAGGATTGCCACACAGTATGAGCATTTCTTTGGTACAGAACAGAACAGTAATTGTGGGCACCTTTAGAAATTCTGAAGAAGCAACTGCTTCTGAGCAAGTTTTCCTAGGACAAAGAACCTGGGTTGCGAGAAGCGGCTGAAAGATTCCTACTCTACCTTTGCATCTCCCCACTTATACGGGGGTTATTCTCGGGTACTTCGCATATACGGACAACAACAGATATAGGAGTGTCCAAATGATGTGTGATTGCGCATATGTGCAGACGCTGAACCTGGAAGTAGCCCCCAAACATCATAAAGATGTCACAAAACAGGCAGAGCGTGTGGGTTTGGGACATATCCCCCACACAACATGCAGATTTCCTATACCATCTAAAAAGCCAAACTCTGTCCCAAATCTGCCAAACTCCATCACAATCATTTCTTCCAAACCTCCTTTCTCAAACTGGTGCAAAGGCTCCTGGGATTGCAGTTGCAAAGGCTTATGCGATTGCTAGCCATTTTCTCACTCTTTTAATGCCCCCCCCACAGTTTTCCCACTCTCTTCAGGCTGTTTTTGTGCCTTTTACCATTTAAATTGATTGATTGGTGCCATATGCATACACAAACATATGTAGGTGGGGAAGATGCCTGTAATGTGAAAGCTAGTGCAAAGAGAGGATTGTCCACAGATGGGTAACCTATACACAGTTTTCATTTTTGCCTCTTCTGTTCAGGGCAATCTGGAAGAGGAGTCGTCTGTTGGTGAAGCTGCTTCTCAAGTGCAGCAGGTGTTTCAAGCCAGCATTTCTGTGGCATCAAACATCCTTGGTAACAGCTTATAGAGTCTTTGTCTTACTTATCCAGTCTTCGTCAGGCAGGGGGTTCTGTCTTAGACCTGACAGAGATACTAGAGGTTTAAGCCACTCACATTAAAAAGGGCTCACATGACTCAGGCCCAGAGAAAGGACTTCTCTAGCGCAGCATTCTGTAGGTCCCTTTCAGTTTTATGCAGTTTACTCAGCCCCCTAAGTATTCTGCATAGGATTACAGTGGTGCCTCGCAAGACGAAAATAATCCGTTCTGCGAGTCTCTTCGTCTAGCGGTTTTTTCGTCTTGCGAAGCAACCCTATTAGCGGCTTAGCGGATTAGCGCTATTAGCGGTTTAGCAGCTATTAAAGGCTTAGTGGCTAAAAGGCTCTTAGCGGCTTAGAAAAGGGGGGGGCGAAAAAAATCTCAAGACTCGCAAGACTTTTTCGTTTTGCGAAGCAAGCCCATGGGGAAATTCGTCTTGCGAAGCGCATCGAAAAACGGAAAACCCTTTCGTCTAGCGGGTTTTTCGTCTTGCGAGGCATTCGTCTTGCGGGGCACCACTGTATCTTGTAACATTTTCTGGGAGAGCAGAGCGGTTTGTTCTGGGATGCAGCAAAAACTCCCTCTTTGCCCCCTTTTTATATGGCTAAACCTTTCCTTGGTCTTTGGTTAAATCACCTTGGCTTGCTCCATTCTCTTGGTTGACCCAGTCTAACTTTGTATAAGCCAGTTACCTTGTATATTTGGAAGAACGTCTGCTGTATCATATGCTACCATTGATATGCTTGGACATTTGCGTTATAAGGAGAGAGGAGTAGAGTCTCAGGGATCAACCTTTGGTCTTTGCCACTCAGTGGGGATGGAATAAAGGATTCCTAGGCTCCGATTCGGCCATGACTACTTCTGAGTGCTGAAGGAAGGGGGGGTGCCTCTGTGGTAGAGGTGGCTAACCTGCAGCCTGCAGATCATACACAGCCCTCCCTAAAAGGTTTTCTGTGGCCCCTAAAGACCCCCCACCCCAAAGGTTTTTGTTTTTACTGAAACTGATCTGAACTGTTCCTGAACTGTCTGCTGTGTTCATGCAATTCCCAAAATTATATTTGGTCTCCATATTGCTTCTGCAGTCCTTCCATAGAATAGCTGGCTCCGTATGCTGAGGGTTTCCGCAGTGCACAGTAGTCTTGGTTAGCTTTCAGAAACTCTTTCCTACTGATGGTTGCCCAAGAGAGACTTCCACTACTGTTCTCAGTAATAACTGAACTGCCTGTTCTCCCGGATCATCTCTTTTTGGCAGCCATTGGTGACAGCTGATTGCTGGACTTTAGAGCCAGCAGGTGAAGGGCTCATCCAGACTTGCTTTTGTGCCACACTTTCTAGGCACAAGTATGTGCTTTAAAGGGCTGTGTCCAAGTACCCATCCCCCCGCCCCAGTACTTTCCCCATGAAAACCCACCCTTAAGCTGAATCAGAGCAAACAGCAATCCGCAGAAAGCTCAGAATTGCCATTTGTTCTGCTTCAGCGTTAAAAGAGCAGGTTTCCGCAGGAAAAGCACTGGGGGGGAGGGGAAGTGCTCAGACCTGGCACTTTAAAGCACAGACCTTCGTCTAGGAAGTGCAGCGCAGAAGGAAGTGTGAATGAGCCCTGAGCATCACAGCAGCAGGGAGAAACTCAAAAATCCTTCTGATGAGCCTTAAAATACAGTGGGAGCTTGAAATAATAACAAAGACAGTTAACATGCTGGGCTGGGCTGGGCTGGGCTGGGGAGGGAATGAATTAATTAAAAACCATGATTTATAAACCTTTATAGAGTTTTTTCTTTTGTGGGGGGTTGCGGGGAAGAGGAGATGGAAGAATTAATAATGTGATTTGCACTGTCTTGAGGGGGGAAATGAATTAATTGGATGGAATGAATTAATTGCACTATCTTGAGGGAGAAATTGATTTATAAGAGTGGAAATAATAATTAATAATTTTTCGCACTCTGTCCGTGGGGGGGGAGGGGGATAATTTGTGCACTTTGGATTCAGTCATGGCCATTTTTGTGTGCAGTGCTGGATGGGTGGCCATGGGGGGGGTAGGGAAGACCTGGGAAAAAGGTTCACCATCACGGCTCGGTGGTTTGTGGCAATGATAGAGAGCATGTGTTGAATCCAGAAAGTCCCAGGTTCATTCCTCAGCAACCTACGTTTTCAAAGGGTCTCAAGTTAGAAGGCATTGGGGGGGGGGGTTCTTTCAATGAAAACTGCTGTTGTTGAGAGTAGATGCCAAGCCTAGATGTACCAAAGGTGTGACTTCATACAAAAGAGCTTCATAGGAGCTGTGCTTTAAGGTAGTTTCTTTCCATGTGTGCCTGGGTACATGAATTGACATGTGAAATATTTCCCATTTAAGTAAGAAAAAGCATTCATCCCGTGATGACTAGCTAAGTAGGTGAGAGTGTGGTGCATTTGAACATTTTTTCACCAGAGTACTTTTTTGCAACAGCATCCTATTTCACTATTGTCATGTCCTGCCTAGTTAAATAAGATTAAAGGAAGACTTTGAAGAAGTTACATGACCAGCTGCTTGCTGCGTAACTGCGTCCAATTTTTTGCTGTGTGCCACCTTAAGTACCTGAGTACGTACTGTTCTCTGTGTGTTTTTAGCTGTAAAACAGAGATAGTAGGACTTGCTGGATGTAGTGTAGTGCAGTGGGAACTTGTCTGAAAATTAATTTGAAGGTGCATAACAGGAGGTACTGGAATCAGTACATTTTATATTGAATTGCCACTGCCTGCCTCATCTTCACTGCAGGATAGCCTCTGAATTAGCGAATAGTTTGAAGCATAAGTGTCCTCCTGAGGGTATTCTCTCTTTAATAATAGGTGCAATCACCATCTCAGGTTAGAATTTGCACAACTGTTTTTACATTATTTTCCCAGGGCTTGAGAACATGCATGACAAGCAGTGGAAAACGGCCTTTTCCTGCTTCAAGCTGGCTGCAGATCAGAACTACAGCAAAGCCCAGTTTAATGTGGGATTGTGCTATGAACATGGAAGAGGCACCAAGAAGAACGTGGCCAAGGTCCTCTATTCCCATTTGTTTCTTGGCCTGTGTGTTGCTGCTGTGCACAAGAGGGAAGGAGAGTGTGGGGCAACTTTATGTGTTGGGAGACATAATTTGTTTCTCTTTCTGAGTCAAAAGCTTTAACCCAGAGACCTGCAGTGGGATACTTGCTGCAGTTCATCACAGACATTGGATTTGTATGTGAAAGTTCCCAAAGTCAATCCCCAGCATCTTCAGGTAGGGCTGGAAATATCCGCTAATGCAGTGTCTGGTCATTGTAGGTAATTCTCAGATTTTCCCAGATAGTCTTCCCAGCTGATCCCAAGAGAGCATGGCTATCCCTGTAACACTCATTGTCATAAGAAACTAGCAACAAAACAGCTTTATGTGCAACGGCAGGCTAGAGTGGAGCATTTGCCATAACGATGGAGGTGGGGGTAGGGGGCAGCCACTCCAACTGCAGCAGTGACCCAGTTCATCTCCTGCTCCAGGCTGCCTGAGCTTCCTTTGTTTTTGCGTCCTTGCTCAAAGGGAGGTCAGGCTCTAGGCAGGAAATATCGGTCCTCCAAGTTGCGCCTTTTCCAAGTGTTCCAGGACAAGAGAAACTCATTTATTCAGTTACGAAGAATCTTCCATTATGCCGAAGCTCAAAGAGAACCTCAGTAGAGGTACTTAATGTCCACATTATAGCAGAGCCTCCAGTTGCATTATGCAACTTGTGCCTGCAGCTTAGTCAAAAGCTACCCTGTAAGGAGCCAATGTTTTCACACAAGAGAGCTAAAACATTCAGCAAGAGAGAGAAAGATGTCAGGGCTGTCCGAAGGAGTCTCCAGCTGCTGCCCCCTCCTCCCCCAGGCAGGTATTCCACTTTGTAGTAGTTCTTCCTTGCAGTGGGGTTGGGGCTAACATGCCAGGCCACTTTCCTGCCAATCATGTGTGGGACTGAAGCCAGCAGGGAGGAACACTTGCTTGTCTGGCAGGAGCACAGTTTATAGGATGTGTAGTAGTGTCCCTGTTCTCTGTTCTAGGCAGTCTTCTACTACCAGCGGGCTGCTCGCCAGGGACACCCCATGGCCCAGCACCACTACACTCAGTGCCTCCTCCGCCACTGCCCAAGAGCAGACAAGAAGGGAAATGTGCAGGAAGCCGTGGGTTTGTTGGACGAAGGCACTGCTGCTGGGCTGACAGAGGTGAACATCAGCTTGGAGAGTTATGCGTACTGTTCAGAAGTAAAAGTAGGCTGTTCATGGGTGACATGAAAATCCCTTTCTTTTGCTCTTGGCAGTTTAGCTGTTTGGCATGCTTAGGTGAAGAGGTGCTCAGCTGGCTCAGTCAAGGCATTCTACTGCAGGCTGTGCAACTAATAATAATAATAATAATTTATTATTTATACCCCGCCCATCTGGCTGGATTTCCCCAGCCACTCTGGGCGGCTTCCAACAAAACACTAAAATACAATAACCTATTAAAAATTAAAAGCAGGGCTGCCTTCAGATGTCTTCTAAAAGTTTGGTAGTTATTTTTCTCTTTGACATCTGGTGGGAGGGTGTTCCACAGGGCAGGTGCCACTACCGACAAGGCCCTCTGCCTGGTTCCCTGTAACTTGGCTTCTCGCAGTGAGGGAACCACCAGAAGGCCCTCGGTGCTGGACGTCAGTGTCCGGGCAGAACAATGGAGGTGGAGACACTCCTTCAGGTATACTGGATTGAGGCCATTTAGGGCTTTAAAGGTCAGCACCAACACTTTGAATTGTGCTCGGAAACGTACTGGGAGCCAGTGTAGGTCTTTCAAGACTGGTGTTATATGGTCTCGGCAGCCGCTCCCAGTCACCAGTCTAGCTGCTGCATTCTGGATTAGTTGTAGTTTCCAGGTCACCTTCAAAGGTAGCCCCACATAGAGCGCATTACAGTAGTCCAAGCGAGAGATAACTAGAGCATGCAACCACTCTGGCGAGACAGTCTGTGGGCAGGGAGGGTCTCAGTCTGCGTACCAGATGGAGCTGATAAACAGCTGCCCTGGACACAGAATTGACCTGCGCCTTCATGGACAGCTGTGAGTCCAGAATGACTCCCAAGCTGCGTACCTGGTCCTTCAGGGGCACAGTTACCCCATTCAGGACCAGGGAGTCCTCCACACCCACCCGTCTCCTGTCCCCCAAAAACAGTACTTCTGTCTTGTTTAACTGCTCCTCTTGCTTTCTATCTGGCCACAAACACAAGATCCATGAGCTGCTATGCCTGTTTTTGCTAGGCTTTCTTTGTTCCTTGATAGCTATTCTTCAGTTCACTAAAACAAATGGCAGCCCCAGTATCTGCCACAATCTAGGTATTTTTAAAGTGAACATAAGCCTTGGCAGCTGGGTTTTTCTTTTTAATTATGCATAGTGATAGATCTGGCTTTGGAGAATTTGCAGTTTTTTAAAAGGCAGTGCATGTGGAAAGGCCCAGGGCAGTGTTTACAGCTGAAGCATGGTCTTTTGCCTTGAATTGGATGGTTCTAAAATAATAATATACTGCATTTCAGGTGCATTGGAGTGGATGATTAATGCTCTTTATACACATGTACTTGCATGTAGGATTTCTCAAGCAGCTTTCATTTGTGTGTTTGCTATGAAAAGGGCACTGGAGTCTCCCAGAACTCACCGACAGCAAGACAGCGTTACCAGGAAGCAGCAGCTGCTGACTCCAAGGCTGCACAGGAGAGAATCAAAGTAATGGCACAGGAGGAGATAGCAGGTACTGAGTTGGGGGGGGGCGGAATGGTGTGGAAATGGTGCTTACTGGAGAATGAATGAAATGTTGGCTACTGCAGTTGTGATAATTATGTGATATTCTCTCTCACTTAGCTACACAGATCCGGGACCAGTCACCACTGGCAGCAAAAACCTCTTCATCCAGCCCTTGCCTTCAGCTCCTGGATCAGCTGCCGGCTTCTCACTTTGGACAGCCAGCTTTTGGCCTGCTTCACTCCTGGAGCACAGGAAGCCTTAGGGATGCAGCAAATAGTTCTGCAAACTGCATGCCTACCACAGCTTTCCCAGATAACCTCAAGCTGCAGTCTTTAGCGTGGTCTTCAGGAGTAGCAGTTGGATAACATGGCTAATGAGAAACTTTCCGCTCTAGATGGTGGCTGTGTTACTGGCTGCCACAGTGATCCTTTTAAGAGGCAAATCACATGGGCGTAGCCGGCACCTGTTTCCGTCTCTTCCTAAATGTATAACTTCTTATTTGACAGTTTGCCCACAGCATAATGATACAGTGGAGGCTATCCACCTAGGCTATCCACCTGTGAATGGAGTCAGGATACAGGGTTCCTGCTGAGTGACCCTGAGTTCCTGCTGAGTGACGCTTGCACCATGGAAGCAAATGTTGCATCCGCAAAATGAACACGGGGAGCCTATAGACTGCAGTTTTGAGGGCCAAGTCTTGAAGCACTTGGTGCTGAAGTTAAGCAGATGTGGACTTGCACATCCCATGTAAAAAGGGGATACAATCATAAATGGTTTCTGAAAATCAGGCAAGCGATTTCACACTGTAGTCAGAAATTGGGGAAGGAGTCTGCCCTAGTCTTCTTTCTCTAACAGATTTGAGCTTACTGAATTTGTTAATTGCACAAGGAATTCTGCTGGTTCTCCCCTTCAGTTCAGAAAGGAAAGGAGATTTTTAGCCACGTTTCAGAATCTTAACGGAGCGAAAGGACCTTCTTTCTAATGGGAAGGAAATTTTAATGCAATAGAATAAAAACAGGAAGTGGAGTTTGGGAGGTAGACTGAATAATTCAAAGAACAGAATTTGGTTCCTGAGAGTTTTATTTTTATTATAAATAAATAACGGACTCAAGCAGCAGCTTCTAAATTTCATTGTTGTATTAAAGCCTGGTAATAGGTAAGAAGCACCTGCTGGAGACTCAGTGCCTGACCAAGAAGCAGCATTTCCTTACCTTAGCTCCTGCTCGCACTCAATTCAAAATAATTAAATAGTGGCCGGGAGGGGGTGGGCAGGGAGCCATGCTCCAGTTTGCCTTTCATTGTCCCATAGAGGTATGCTGATTTCCTGCAGCAGGGATGTGGTAAGAACAAAGAGGACTGGCCGCTAGTAGCTGTTCCGGAAGAGGTGAAGGTCTCCTTGCTACTGCAATTGCCAGTTCTGTTGCCCAAAGCACTGTCCGTTTCAGCCCCCACATCATCTCTAGTCAGATCTTGGGGCTCGCTACATTCTGAGAGTTGCTCAAGAGCCCCAATCATCAATCTACCTGGGGACTGACTTTCTGAGCCAAGATCTTCTCAAAAAGTGTATTCATCTCTGAGAGGAAGGTACTGGAGAGCCGGGGCTCTTCTGAGTTTGGCTTGTGCCCAGCTGCTTTGCCAAAGGTTGCAAAAGTGTGAGGTTCATCTCTGCCTGTGGTTTCCTCGCTCAGTGGAGACGGCAGTGCCCCTGGTGAGACAATATTGTCCTTGTAGTCAGTTGAGATGGGAAAGGACAGCCTCGCCATCCATGCTGGGTCTTCCACGTTCAGCTGATCAAGATCCAGCCCTACGGGGTGGGGGAAAGAATAAATTAGGCTTCATTGATAAGGATAGACTCGGGGCTACACGAGTCCTGTAATTCCATGTGAGTACCGATTTCAAAACTCTGCATCATGTTAATCTCATTACTCATTTTAAAATCAAAATCAAATTTCTACCCCTTAATGTTTCCAATGCTTTGTGAGTCGGGGGGACACCACAATAAGATTTTTGTTGTTCATCAGCGGTTGACCTAACTGCTGCCCCTTCCATTTCTAGCGGAAGCAGAATGAATTATGTACTCAGGATTTTATGCAGAGAGCCAGTGTGGTATAGTGGTTAGAGCAGGCATAGGCAAACTCCGGCCCTCCAGATGTTTGGGACTACAATTCCCATCATCCCTGACCACTGGTCCTCTTAGGGATGATAGGAATTGTAGTCCCAAACATCTGGAGGGCCAGGGTTTGCTTATGCCTGGGTTAGAGTGATGGACAGAGACTTGGGAGACCAGAGTTCAAATCCCTAAAGCTCACTGGGTGACCTTGAACGAGTCACTGCCTCTCAGCTGAACCTACCTCATAGGCTTGTTGTGGAGATTAAATGAAGAGGATGAGAACCATGTATGCTACCTTGAGCTTGGAGAAAAAGGGAGTATTTTAAATAAATAGATAAGCCTGTCTACCTCCTTCCTTGGAGGTTGGATGGCCATCTGTCATGGATGCCTTAGATGGGACTCCTGCATTGCAAGGGGTTGGGCTACCCTTCCAACTTTATATAATTCTGTTATTCTACCTTGATCACTAGAAAGAGGATCCCAGCAATGCACTACTCTTCCTGTGTCTTTTCCTAGGTAGCAATGGGTAGCATAGGTAGTCTCTAAGGGTGCCTAGTCAGCTATTACGTGATGGGCCCGTGAAAGGATAAGATCAGCTAGGATACAGCTTCAGAGACTGCACCACTGAGACGGAGGAGACACGAGTGATGGTATCTCACCAGATGGGCAGTCCAGTAGGTTCCCTAGCTCCTTTCCCAGCAGCTCCCAGTCGTGATGTTCACAGCCGCTGCCCTCCTTGGTGATGAGATCCTCAACATTTGAATTGGGGTTCCTGTGGAAAAGGAGAAGCATCTTAGGTGATTGGGCCTTCACCCAACACAGGGTGCCTGCCCCTTCCATTGTCCTCAGTCTGCGCTTTGCAGAGATCCCACAGTAACAAGCCTAAGGGGATATGCCCAACAGCAGCAGTGGATAAGAGAGAACGTGCATTAACTGTTAATAAACAAAACCACAGTACTATGCCTTACACAACCTTCATTATAAGAGAAGCATTAGACATTCAGTTCTTTATACATTCAGCACATTATCAGTCGACTCTTTAAAAAAATGTAGGAACTGGCTACACCTCTGCTGAAGACTTCCTCTCAGCAAAAGTGCCTGGCTCTTTAAAGGTAAAGGTACCCCTGACCGTTAGGTCCAGTCACAGATGACTCTGGGGTTGCGTGCTCATCTTGCTCTATAGGCCAAGGGAGCCGGCATTTGTCTGCAGACAGCTTCCGGGTCATGTGGCCAGCATTACTAAGCCGCTTCTGGTGAACCAGAGCAGCACACTGAAATGGTGTTTACCTTCCCACCAGAGTGGTACCTATTTATCTACTTACCCTTGACATGCTTCCGAACTGCTAGGTGGGCAGGAGCAGGGACTGAGCAATGGGAGCTCACCCCGTCTCAGGGATTCAAACTGCTGACTTCTGATCAGCAAGCCCTAGGCTCTGTGGTTTAGACCACAGTGCCACCCGCATCCCTTATCTTTAAAGGTACAGGACCTATTAAACAGTGGGCAAACCTAACACCAGTGATAGGGAGACAAGTTTCTACAGGACATGAGGGATAGGCCAATCATTTCCAGTGAAGGAGAAAAGCTGCTTTACAAGGTTGGGCATATAAGCTGCACAAAACTCACCTGCAAGAAGCATTCTTGGCAGTGTACTTGTTCCCTCTGTGGTTGGGCTTTGGCTGCACTTGGCCCTGATGCAGCAGAGACAACAACTGCGAGATTTGCTGAAAGACAGGAAGAGCCGGTATCCGCATACAATCCTGACCAGAGCTGTTTCCTAACAGGATATCCCCACTCCCCTATGCTCCGCTTGAGCTATTTATAATGTCTAGTGCTCTTCCCCTCTCTGCAAGAAAACAAGCCATTTGTGTCTATCTGCATTTCTGTTTACTCACAGCAGCTACCACCCATCATGCAAAGCTGACAACCGCTGCAGCGTTACAGTGGTTTGAATGGTGCTGAACTTGCCAAGTTGGACAGTTTCCTCTGAGTAATTTCTAATGCACACTCTAGTTGCAAGCCTACGTAGGTTGGCACTGCTTATAAATCTAGCAACCCTGAATAGAACAGCGGAGGAACTAAATCTCACCCCTTGCCCACCACTGGCAGCTCAAAGATGTAGCCAAGCAGTGCCATAGCTAAGTGTTTTGAAGCCTGGGCTCCCAATTCCTTTCGTCCCTCGTCTCTCTGGGATCTGTCACTATACAGATTAAAAGGATGATAGGTGAAGTGGCAGGAAGTTACAAAACAGAAGCTGCCCCTAGACTGACTTATGTGGAAAGTGATTTGTAAAACCTGAGCGACGTATCTGAGGCTGAAATCCTAGACACGTAATACAGAGCAATCCCCGTTACACACCATGGGACATAACTTCCGAGTAAACCTCCTGCACAGGACTGCCCTGTAAGCAACACTGGAGGGGTAGAAATAAATCCTGCTACTTCTGTGGAAAGTGTTTACTGCTCAGATAAAGAAAACACAGAAACAGGTGCAAAAATACAATTCTGCCAGATCCTACTGACTAGTTTGTCACGGCTTTCTTGAACAGAAGGACCTGTTCTTTCCTCGCTCCATCAGCCATATTTAATAGATGAACCTGTTTTACAAGGTTAGGCAAAAAGAGTAGAAGAAAACCAGCTGTCCTCAGTAAGCCTATCCATTTGCTGGCATCTGGAGCCTTGTCTACCACTTTGAAAACAAAATTATGTGAATCTGAAAAGGAAGCATAATATAATTTATTTTTATTTCAATAGCCAACTACACATCACCACGCATAAGAGATGTATTACTATATATCCCTATTCTGTGGCACCTACCCCTTTCCCACAACCCACCCTATTCCCGTCCTGAAGTCTCTTACCTGGACGGGGGCAGATTCCATGGCTAGTTGTCCTCCAGGGCCTTGCTCAGCAAGAGCTGCCAGAGAAAGCCTCACAAGGCTTCTCAAGATGTGCTGGCGACTAGGAGCCTCCTCTGGACCTGCCTTCGCCTTTTCCGACAAGTGGTCTTTAGGCCAGAAGATGGAGTCGAGCAGTTTTTTATCCGTGGGCTGCACATCCCGGGCGCTGGGGCTTCTGAACCTTTGAGCATAGCAAGGAGCCTGCTCAGCAAGGCTGCTGGAATTTCTCTGGTTCCTGAGGGTCCTGTACAGAGTGGGGGTCATGTGGCATGGCACCCCCAAGGCCTTAAGCCAGGCAGCTTCCGATGGATTCTCTATCTCAGCCGGAGGCTGCTGGGCATCCTCCTGCCGCAGCACAGGCACGACATGGATGTCTGCTTTCTGGATGGGTTTGGGGGGTTTCTTCGGCTGCTGTTGGCTGTAAGCCTGCTCTGCTTCCCGACAGTTATATGCCATGCTGCCGTGCTTCTCCCTTTTGCACAGGGACATAATCAGCCCCAAGCCTACCAAAGAGATGGCAAGCAACCCTAGAAGGCAGATCCCCGTCACCACAGAGGGGCTGAGGGGCTGGGACACGGGGAAAGAATCAGGCATGCGCTCACAATGCCTCTTGAATGTGATCTTCACCAGAAATCTGGTGGAGAGTGGCACCGGGCCTCGGTCACTCACAGATATCACCAGGTCCCATTCCCTGCCCAAAAGGCTGCTAGCATTGCTACCATTCAGATAAAGCTGCCCAGACTGGGGATCAAGGACACAGATTCCGGCTTCGTTGCCACTCAGGATGCTGTAGAGCAATGTCCCATTCAGACCGGAGTCTGCATCGGTTGCCAGTATAGTGAGCAGAAGGGGTGCATTAAGCGAGGCGGCTAGTTCGGAGCTCCCTTCTTCCTTGGGCACCAGCACATGTCCAGTGTCAGGATCCACAAGGGCAGTGACACTTGCACGGCCACCTTCCAGCTCTGGCTTTATTACCACTGGGGAATTGTCATTCACATCAAGCACAGTGACCGTCACGGAAACGTTGGCCGATAGCTGAGGCTGGCCCATATCTTCTGCTATTACAAGGAAGTCAAGGCTGGTAATCTTCTCGGCATCAAAAGCCGCATGGGCCCTGATTTCCCCAGTGCTGGCATCAATAGCGAGCCACTCTAGAATTAGTGGATCTGGGATTCTGTACACAACTTTCCCATTAAGGCCTGAGTCTGCGTCTTGGGCCCTGACCATAACTAAAACAGAAGGCGGCTCACTGTTCTCTGCAATGGAAACATGATAATGGTTTGTTTCAAAGTAGGGCATGTTGTCGTTGACATCACTGACATGGACAGTGAAATGTCTGGTTGTGGCCAGCAATGGGGTCCCTCGGTCCTGGACCAGCAAGGTCAGGTGGTGCTGTGTCCAGCTCTCCCTGTCCAAGGGGGCATTTGTTAGCAACATGTAGCTGCCGGGCGAGAACCTTTTCAAGGCAAAGTGTTCTTCACCTTGCCTGATATAACAATCCACCTGCCCATTACGGCCTGAATCAGGGTCAAATGCTGTCACTAGAGCAACAAAGCTGCCCTGGGGTTGAGCTTCTGATAGTACGGCTGCTTGTTTTGCCCAGGTGACTTGGATATCAGGCGTATTGTCATTGACATCCAGAACACGTATGAAGAGCTTGCAGTGAGCTGGAATGGAGTTGGCACCCTGGTCTCTGGCTTGCACCTCCAACTCATAGGCTGAGTTCTTCTCATAATCCAGTGACTGCTGCAAAAGGACACTGCCTGTGTGACGCTCCACAGCAAACGTTCTTAGCACCTCCTCTGAAACATGTTTGCTGAAGGAGTATTCAATCTCTCCGTTAGGTCCTTGATCAGGATCAGTGGCAGTGAGGTTGATCAGAAAAGTCCCGGGTAAAGCATCTTCCCTGATCACCACCGACACAGAACCCTGGGCAAACGTGGGGCTGTTATCATTGGAGTCCAGCACATGCACAGTCACAACAGTGGTCCCAGATCTAGGGGGCACTCCATGATCAACTGCAGTCAAGACCAACTCAAACGAGGAGTAGAGCTCCCGGTCCACTTCTTTAATGACCACCAGCTCTGCCTGCTGAGTTCCGTCAGAACCGGCTGTGACCTCTAAGGCAAAGTGCTCACTGGGCGACAAGAAGTAGGAACAGAAAGCATTAGAGCCAGCATCTGGGTCCAGGGCTCGGCCCAAAGGGATTCGAGTCTGTAAAGATACACTTTCAGATATCTCCAGCTCCAGTGCCACTTGAGGAAACCGAGGCCCATTGTCGTTGATGTCCAAGACGTGGATCTCCACATGGATCAGGGTGAAGTATTGGGCCGCTAGAACGCTGAATGAGAGGACACACGGGTCTCTGTGGTGGCAGAGCTGCTCCCTGTTCAGCCTCCCTGTGGTGCTCAGCAAACCGTCTCGAGAGTCCATCTGTATGGGAAACACCGCAGAAGACTGAAGCAGCTGAAAGGTTCCCCAACTGCCCTCTGTCCGGCCAATTTCTTCCGACAGCCTTCCCAGAACAGTCCCAGGCTGTACTTCCTCCAGAATCTGATACTGCATGGTGAATGTAGAAACTTCCTGACAATCCATCAGCAGAAAAAAGGAGCACAATATCGGAACACATAACGCCAAGGACATTCTTCTGAATGGTGGCATTGCAAATTTCAACCCCTCTGTACGTGGGGTTGGTCTGAAAGTTGACTAAAGGTCTAAAGACTCCAAAAGAACACAAAGCCTTCCTTAGAGGCAAGATCCATTTCTACCTTTCTGCTGCAGGAAAATCAGACTCTCCAGATAATGCCAGCGATTGTACAGCTGCTTCTCTTGCTAGCGCTCAACCCCCCCTGAGCTGGGGGCTTGGAAAGAGCAGAAAGCGTGTATTCTGCCCCCCTAGAAATGCAGACTTCGCCCTACAGCTTCCTGCCAAGGCCATTTCCTAGGGAAACTCCACCTACAGGAAAGGGGAGGTAGACCAGCTGCACAATGGCCGGCTCTAGGTGGGATTTGCAAGGAAGCTGGGAACAGGAGTGGTCTCGCCTACATCCCAGAGCAGAGGTAATGCACAAATCTAGGGCGTGGTGATGATCAGCCTATACCTAACCTAGATATGCCAAAGCAAACAATACACATGGATCTGCTTGGATCAAATTCTAGAGACTTGCCCCCTCTTCCCCAAGTTGTTCTTGTGTAGTGTGAACAGTAGGGTGACCTGCCAAAATCCACAGGATGAAGTGTTTCGTGGCACGGAGATCACTACTATCACCTGCTAAATGTGACAGCAAGGACAACCCTACTTCCTCTCCCCATATGTAATAATAATAATAATAATAAACTTTACTTATACCCCACCCTCCCCGGCTAGAGCTGGGCTCAGGGCGGCTAACACCAGTAAAATTACAATAAAAACATAATAATAAATTTTATTGTACCCTGATTACAGCTGCCCCTGCTCCTATTCTCTCTTGAACACTGTCTACCACTCTGACTGTCCCATCATGTCTTAACCCTCCTGCACACTGTTTAAACTGAGAACAGATGTTGCAAACTGCAAAATATAAACCCTTTACAAAGACACGAGGTCCATCAATATGAGAAACTACAGCTGTTCGTGATTATGAAAGAGATGAGGAAAGAAGGAATTTCACATGAGGAAGCAGCAGCGTTGTCCATACTTCCCGTTTTTGTTATTTGTTTAAAGAGGACCATCACACTGCGTGTCATTTTACAGAGAAAATATGGAACAAGAAAAGGAAATATGCCTGTTCCTATGCACCGGGAGGTGGGCGGGAATGTCAACAAAAGCGAGAGACATTGTGAATCATGTAAGCAAACACAGTTACCATGTTAACATTATCCACCAAGTATTATTTTGTCTGGATTAAAGAATCCAGTTCTTAATAAAGATTGTGCAGCAGAGGGAGCGCTAACATCACTAAGTTAAATAGCTGACTGTGGCTCTCTGTTAGAAGATCTTGCTGAAAAGATTGCCAGCAAAAGGGTTCTTGAGGTGGGTTGGGGAAACCAAAAAAAGCTTATTTAGCACATCTGAAGATACAAGTTCCCAGATATATTGTCTCAGGATTGCTTTGTCAGGGAATCCAAGAACTGTAACCCATAGCCCCTCACATTTACCTTCCCACTTAAATACACAATCCCCTCCAAAGCTCCTACAGTGGGGTAGGAGAGCTGGCGGGGGGAAATCACATCTGAAACCCAATGTGCCACTTTGGTTTCAGATGGGTAAAGGTAAAGGGACCCCTGACCATTAGGTCCAGTCGTGGCCGACTCAGGGGTTGCGGCGCTCATCTTGCTTTACTGGCCGAGGGAGCCAGCGTACAGCTTCTGGGTCATGTGGCCAGCATGACTAAGCCGCTCCTGGTGAACCAGAGCAGCACATGGAAACGGCATTTACCTTCCCGCCGGAGTGCTACCTATTTATCTACTTGCACTTTGACGTGCTTTCGAACTGCTAGGTTGGCAGGAGCAGGGACCGAGCAACGGGAGCTCACCCCATCACAGGGATTCAAACCGCCGACCTTCTGATCAGCAAGTCCTAGGCTCTGTGGTTTAACCCACAGCGCCACCCGCGTCCCATGGGTCAGATGGGTAGACGAGTCTAAAAAGCCCGGGACACAAATTTTCATGGCCTTCTAGTGGCTCACTTACCAGAAGCAATGTATTTAGTGTTAACTCTTGGGAGTATATACTAGATTCTGACCAAAAAAAGCCTCCTGGAGCAAAATATAGATCAGGATTACTGCAACGTATGTGGGGCTTCCCTCATGCTAGATCTGGAAGCTGCAGTTGGTGCAGAATGCTGTAGCACAATTGCTGACAGGAATGTCAGCATATAGTACCTGCGCTCAGAGATTTGCACTGGTTGCCAGTTTGCCAAAAGGTCAAGTTTAAGGTGTTACTATGAGTATATAAAGTCCTTAAAAACCAGATTATGTTCCCCCACATGTGCCAGCTCAGCCACTTTGATCTGCAGAACTTGCACTGTTACAGGTGCCACACATAAAACCTATTCAAAAAGGTAAAGGTAAAGGACCCCTGACAGTAAAGTCCAGTCGTGAACGACTCTGGGGTTGCGGCACTTATCTCGCTTTACTAGCTGAGGGAGCCAACGTTTGTCCGCAGTTTTTCTGGGTCTTGTGGCAAGCATGACTAAGCCGCTTCTGACCGGAGCGGTACCTATTTATCTACTTGCACTTTGACATGCTTTCAAACTGCTAGGTTGGCAGGAGCTGGGACCGAGCAACGGGAGATCACCCCGTCATGGGGATTCAAACCGCCGACCTTCTGATCGGCAAGTCCTAGGCCCTGTGGTTTAGACCACAGCGCATTTGTAAAAAAAATGTATTAAAGTGGCAGCACCTACACTTTGGAATTCCCTTCCTACTGACATTAGACAGTCACCTTAACTGTACAGTGGTACCTCAAGTCTCAAACGTCTTGAAAGTCAGATATTTCGGTTTTTGAATGCTGAGAACCCGGAAGTAACTGCTTTGGTTTTTGAATGCTTTTCAGAAGTCAAACATGCTACACAGCTTCCATTTTGAGTTTTCCATAAGTAAATTCTTCCAGAAATGCATGCTTCGGTTTTCGAACGTTTTGGAAGTCGAATGGTCTACCGGATCGGATTACGTTCGAAAACTGAGGTACCAATGTACTTTTTTTTTTTTTTGGACAAGCCTACCCAGATATGCAGAATGTTGATGTGTGTTTTGTCTTCAGTTTATCTTTTCCAATGTTTCTCTTTTTTTAACAACATTTTATTGATTGTTTCAAATAGTTTTAAAAGTTTTTACTGATTTTTTCTTCTCTTTGTAAAACATTTTGAGGTTTTTACAATCAAGCGGAATATAAATTTCATGAAATAAATGAATATTTCTCTGTATATGAGGAAAGAGGCACAAGGGATCACCAAGGGAGTACTGCCCTCCGGAAACTACAAAACCCAGTATATTGAGGAAGAAGTCATGGCTGTAAACTGATATAAAAATGTAAGTTGATCATATAAATACGCCAAGGCAAAACAAGTTATGAAACATCCTGTAAACTAAAGTTTGAATACTTAACAGTAATTTGGCCAGGCCTTTGGAGGGTGTGTGAAAGTTTATAACCACATGAATGTGCTGGAAAGGGAAAGAGACCTTCATTTTCCTTGCTGAAGCCGGGGGTGGGGGGTTGGGGAGTCAAAGGTAAAGAGGGTCTCTCTCTCTTTAAACAGAGAAGAAAGGCAAATCTGAGGAGTCAGAATGGCAAAAGGCTGCAGGAAAAGGGGCAGCAGAGCTAAAAGTAAGAGAACATAACACAGAGAAGTGGGCAATGCTCCAAGCAGGACAGGAAATGAAGCTCAAAGTCCGTCAACAGAGAGAAGCTACAAGCAAAGAAAATTGCTGATCTAATTTCCTGCCTTCCAACCAGTAGAATCCACTTGGACATCACTCACACTCAACTTAGAATCCATTGTTTTCGCTGGATTGGATTTTACAATTTAAGACAAGCACCTGGAAAAGATTTGCCAGAACAAAAGATGTAGAACTTACAAGAATATCTCCGTTTCTGCGCTGCCCCAGCTTGTGTTCCTATGCACCTCCCAGTTACTTGGATAAGGCTTCAACAAGAGAACATTTGGGTGGATTGTGCCCACCCATATACCACAAAACAGGGCTGCTTCTTGTTCAGCTGCTCTCTACCACATTATGATCCAAAAGGCACACTGTGGGACTCAATGGCAATTTAAATTATTTATTTTTGGAATCAACAAATCTCCCAAAAGGTCAAAATATAACTTGCATCTCTAAAAAATAGGCAGAACTCTGTGCCTGCATACAGTTCATACAGGAAGCAATTTTGGAGTCTTGGCCCCTTTCTTTCCATGTGTCCAGTCAGTGCCTGAAGAGAGATCAGAGTCTTTGCCACAGCAAAGACACCGTCAAGGATTTTTGCATTCTTCAAAAGCAGCGTCCATAATTAGAAGGTTGGTCAACCTAGGTTGCAATAAGCTCTCTCCACTTACTGCTAAAATTCTAACCACTCTACCATATAAATACAATTTGATGGAGATATCTCACCACCTTCATGGCAGTCGTCAAAAACCTAGGAAGAGAATTAAACATACATACAATTAGTTTATGCCATTTGCTAGATCAATTCAGTTATATGTGCATACAGTACACCCCCATTCAGCCCCAAGGACTGCATGTTAGTTTCTCAATCATATCCTTGGGGCATGGGGGGGGGGATCATATGGATTTAATAAGGTACCACTGTGGCGGGAAGGTAAACGCCGTTTCTGTGCGCTCTGGCGTTCGTCACAGTGTCCCGTTGCGCCAGAATCGGTTTAGTCCTGTTGGTCACATGACCCAGAAAGCGAGATGGGCGCCACAACCCCATGGTCGCCTATGACTGGACTTAACCATCCAGGGGTCCTTTACCCTTTTACCCTTACTACGTTTCTGATTTTTTTGTAAACACAGCTGTTGTTGGTTCCCCCACCCCCAAATAGTTATATCAAAATAGAAGCTAATAACACAAGAGCAAATGCTGGAAGTCACAAGAGGAGAGTGTTGTGCTTGTGCTCACACCCTGCTTGCGATTTCCCCACAGGCCTCTGGTTGGCCACTGTGAGAACCGAATGCTGGACTACATGGGTCACTGGCCTGTTCTATTCCTGCTTAAACATTTTACAGCTTATAGGATTTGTTATGTATGTTCTCTGCAGTCCTGCCTGAATGGTTATCCAAATGAGAAATAAGCTTAAATATGTCAGATTAGCTAAATATCATCATGTTATTCCTGAGAAGTAACTCACCGGACAGAGTCCACAAGGCGTCCGAACTAAGCCTGTAGGCTGGATGATGGGGTTGACGGCTCTGTACAGTTTCATGTGCCCGTCCACGCTGCCCGCAGCTGCCTCTTTTGCAGCAACAATGGTCATTTCTACCTTTCCATCATAGATTAATGTGTTGAGGATGGTTTCAATATCTTCCATTGACAATTCCACCTAAAAAAAGGATTTGTAAAAATGAAACAACAGAAGCAGCTTTTTCAAACAAAAAAGATATGTATCGATACTGCATTTTAAGCTATATTTCAAGCCGTATTTTAATTAACTGGGGGTTTTTTTCCTATTACGTTTTATTGTAATTTATATTTGGTGTTAGCCGCCCTGAGCCTGGCCCTGGCCAGGGAGGGCGGGGTATAAATAAAAATTATTATTATTATTATTATTATTATTATTATTATTATTATTACTTCTAGACTGCAGCTAACACTGCACAAAAATTGAAATTAATGCCGCAGAAAATAGAGGTGCTAGGAATTAACAGTAAGAAAATCAAAGGCTTATCAAGAAGAACTTAAGGCAGCATGGAAAAAACCTCATCTATTATTGTCAAAAACAATTTACTGTATTTTTCGCCCTATAGGACGCACTTTTTCCCCTCCAAAAATGAAGGGGAAATGTGTGTGCATCCTATAGAGCGAATGCAGGCTTTCGCTGAAGCCTGGAGAGCAAGAGGGGTCGGTACGCACTGGCCCCTCTCGCTCTCCAGGCTTCAGGCAGCTATCCGCAAGCCTTCGGAGCACGGCGGGAGTTCTCACCAGGCTCCGAAGGCTTGCGGATAGCAGCCTGTTCTGGGGGCTGGGGTCGGGGCTTCCCCCGCCCCCAGCCCAGCAAGCTCCTCTCCAGGAGTTTCTTTGCTCTTTGGGGCTGGGGGGGGGGAATAAAGGTTTTTTTTCTTTATTTCCCCCCCCTAAAAACTAGGTGCGCCCTATGGTCCGGTGTACCCTATGGAGTGAAAAATACGGTATATACCGCTTAACTACACCTTCTTGGGAGCCAAAGAGGGAATGAGGAGCTGGTAGTGCAACAACAGCATCTTCTGCCAGACCTAGACCACCCACAGGCCTAATTAGGACCAGCACGGGTCTCCATTTGACCTGCAAGGCCCTTTTTACCAAGCCATGGCCACCTGCCCTACACCTGACATTATATGTGACGTATAATGGAACAGGTGGAGCAGGTAAGGATGCGGTTCCACAGGAGCAATGAAAGCTCCTGATTATTCCTTTCAAAAGTGGGGCTCACTGATCAACCCACTGGGAGTGGAGACACAGGGATCATGGCGGTGCTTGCAAGGCCAGCGCCAACAATCAGCTGAATGCCTTTACCTGCAGCACTCTGATTTCACAGACAAAGGAGAAAAAGCAGTAAAAAGAAAGTTTTACTGACTGCTCCGATAGCTCCCCCAACTGTGAAGCCATAAGGTTAATTTTATCACTTTCCAAGCCCACGCCCGAATATTTGTCCTTTTTTTTTTTTTAACTAAGCATTGTTTTTAAAAACTTTAGCAAATAACCATAGGAGATGAAATTTTTAGGGGGGAAATGAAAACCCGATAAAGTAAGATTACGCAAATGCAGACTGTAATAACGATAAAAAGCTTTTACAGTGGTGCCTCGCAAGACGAAATTAATCCGTTCCGCGAGTCTCTTCGTCTTGCGGTTTTTTCATCTTGCGAAGCACGGCTATTAGCGGCTTAGCGGCTATTAGCGGCTTTAAGAAAAAGGAAACAAACTTGCAAGAACTCGCAAGACGTTTCGTCTTGCGAAGCAAGCCCATAGGGAAATTCGTCTTGCGGAACGACTCAAAAAACGGAAAACTCTTCCGTCTTGCGCGTTTTTCGTCTTGCGAGGCATTCGTCTTGCGAGGTACCGCTGTAATGCTCTCCTATACACCAACAAAGAAGTATTTCCCCGGGGAGGATATTTCTAAAATATAGGATCATCAGAGAAATATGTAGCTGAAGTTGAGTTGAAGCTTAAAAAAAATAAATACAATTATCCATAGCTACAATGCAGTATTGATCATTGTGCAGAAAATGCAAGGAAAGAAATAGAAGGACGGCTTCACCTTACTGACACCTAACTCACTGATGTATTTCCACACCTCGTGAGAGGATGCAAACGAGCTGTTTCTCTGGATCATGGGGTTCTGCTTGCTTTCTCGAGCTGCTTCGGCCTACAAAATACAGAGAGAAGCACGGTGTGTTACAGAGCCAGTCTGCATCGGTAAAGGAGGATACGTTCCTAGTTTAACATAATTTTAGAGAGATTATTGGACGTGGGGCTCAGTGGCAAAGCACATGCGGTAAAGCACATGCATCAGGTTCTGGACCCCCTTCCCCAAACGGCTCACTCACATAGGGGTGATTCTCTTCCAGTATTTAATCTCACATTCTGGGATGCAGTGAGGTTAAGTATGTGGGAAATATAGCAATGCATTCCCGTGAACCATATGGCATGTCTTTAGCCAGTCCAATGGTCAAACCACTAGGCAACACTGCCTGCCAGCACTGCACTGTTAGCACCACAGTGCTCCTGCCCCCAGTGGAGGGGAAGTGTAGCATAGTGGTTTGACTGCGGGGCCAGTTGCATTCCCTTCAGAAGGAGAGAAAGCGAACAGGCAATCTGGAGGGCAGTAGCCACCCTCCCCGCTGCATCTGTGCCTGAAAGGCCAAGGGAACCTGCAAGTGGATGGAATGTGTTAGGAAGCACAACTTGCATCACAAATCGGCATCATTGCTGATTGTGGGGCATGCATGCTAAGGCATTGTTTTAGGTTTATTACTCTATTAATTTAGGAAGATTTACATGCAGTTTAATCAAAGAGGTCTCTAAGCACTGTACACTGGTACCTCGGGTTACAGACACTTTGGGTTACAAACTCCACTAACCAGGAAGTGGTTGCTCCAGGTTAAGAACTTTGCCCCAGGATAAGAATGGAAATTGCGCGCCAGCAGCGCAGCGGCAGCAGGAGGCCCCATTAGCAAAAGCACGCTTCAGGTTAAGAACCTTTTCAGGTTAAGAACGGACCTCTGGAACGAATTAAGTTCTTAACCCGAGGTACCACTGTACATAACAAAAATGTAGAAAAACACACACACACAAACCACAAAAATATTAAAAAAACAAATATACGTAAAATAATTATACACATATAATAAAAATAAGTAAAATTCAAAACAAATGTAACTAAATTAATTAACTAAAACCAGCCAGCTTTGTGGTGCTTGAACCAACATGAGACACCCTTAAACCGCCAGGGTTTTTTAAAAAAATCACTGAGTTTACTTTGCTCCTTGCGACCATATGGAAGGCATTTAGTGTCTGAGATATTTGCAGAGCCCCATCCTATATTCTGTTTCTGGGTAACACTAGAGTGTGATGGAACCCTTCAAACTAACAATATCAGGGCTCATCAGCAACAGCACTCCCAAAAACGCGACCAGCACTGGTGACAAATAATATAACAATATATTTCTTCTACAGAATTTGGGATTGCCTTTTTAGGAATAAGGAAAACTGGAGACAGTTAAAGGACTTTATGAGTTTATGCCTGCAGACTGTTCCTTAGCAGCTGCTCCTTCCTGCTTCACAGCTGGCCAGCCAAGATATGCTATCAGTGAAAACCGCAAAGATCTCTTTGGCACATTATTGGGATTGCAGTCTGACATGGCACAAAGAATCATGCACAAAACAAGGACACTCACCTTGGTCTGTAAGAACTTAAAACACTGTTGGTTAAGCACCTCTACAAATTCAGATTCAAAGTCTTGGTCACTATACCAAGCTCCTCCTGTCACAGAGCGATCTGGTTGAAGGTTGTATAACATATAGACTTTCTTCTTGGAAGCCTAGTGAATTAATGGTACAGGTTTTGTTCACATGTTCTCTTTCATTAAGAGAGAAAAATTAAGCCTGGATTGCTGAGTTGGTTAGAGCATGGGACTGAGAATGCCAGTGCTGCAAGTTCAATCCCGGGACAGCTGCATGTTCCTGCGTTGCAGGGGGTTCAGGGGTTGGACTTGGGGTCCTTTCCAACTCTACAATTCTATGATTTCTATGAAAATGTGTGTATTCTGGAAAATGCCATAAGCAGTTGTGTGCATGCATCTCTCTGACACTGTCAAAGTGAATTGCTTAAGCACAATTGTATATTCACCTCTACCTGCCCTACATTGTTTGTGCTCATTTTGTTTTTGTTTTTTTAAATATTTTTCATTGGCTTTTACAAAAACAAATTCAAAATAATGGGGGAGAAAAACTTTTACCATATTCATATATGAGATTCTCTGGATTTTGCGACCTCCCCCCGTCCCCTGCATGGGTCCTTAAAATATTTTTTCTAAAACTACATACTGTACAGTGGACACTCGGGTTGCGAACATGATCCATGCGGGAAGCACGTTCGCAACCCGCAGCGTCCGCAACCCGCAGTGCCACGTCTGCGCACGCGTGGGTTGCGATTTGGCACTTCTGCACATGCGCCGAAACCCAGAAGTAACCCATTCCAGTACTTCCAGGTTCGGCATGGTGCGCAACCCGAAATCGCACAACCCGAAACGTCTGTAACCCGAGGTATGACTGTATAATAATAATAACAATAATTTTATTATTTATACCCCACCCATTTGGCTGGGTTTCCCCATACCTTCTCTAAATTTTCATTTCTAAAGTTTCATTTCTAAAGTCTCTAAAGTTTTCATTTCTCTAAATTATCCTTATTTTTTATTTCTTTACAAGTTATTTTTACAGTCCAGCTAACATTTTTATTTGTTTACAATGGTCTCCTAAGTAAATTATAAATTTTCCCCATTCTTTTTTAAAGTCGGTATCGTCTCGATTCCTGAGTCTCATGAGACACAGGCACAACCATGGTGTGGGCTATGGGTGGCTCTGGCAGTGTGCGTGGCAGAGGTTTGGGCAGCAGCAGCACTGCTCATTTCTTTAAGAGCATAAGAAGCCTGCTGGATCAGACCAGTGGCCCATCTAGGCCACCATCCTGTTCTCACAGGGGCCAACCAGAGGCCTGTGGGAAACCAGCAAGCAGGACCCGTGTGCACAATATCACAGAACTTTTAGATTTGGAAGGGACCCCTAGGGTCATCTAGTCCAACCCCCTGCAATGCAGGAATCTCAACTAAAGCATCCAGGACAGATGGCCCATCCAACCATGGCCACCACCTCCGGGAACCAGGAATGGCTGCAGCTCCTGGTAAAGGGCGCTCATTAGAGACTAACCCATTATTTCTACCATTTAACACAGGGGTCAGTGAACTTTTTCAGCAGAGGGCCAGTCCACTTTCCCTCAGACCTTGTGGGGGGCCGGACTATATTTTGAAGGGGGGAAAATGAACGAATTCCTATGCCCCACAAATAACCCAGGGATGCATTTTAAATAAAAGCACACATTCTACTCATGTAAAAACACCAGGCAGGCCCCATAAATAACCTAGAGATGCATGTTAAATAAAAGGACACATTCTACTCATGTAAAAATACGCTGATTCCCAGACCGTCCGCAGGCCGGATTTAGAAGGCAATTGGGCCGGATCCCAGGGCCTTAGTTTGCCTACCCATGATTTAACAGGTGAAACCACAATTAGACGACGACTCTTAAGAGCTATTTCTTCTGTTACTCACCGCTACAGACTTCACAGCTTTAATGAGTTTCTTGCTTTCCAAGTTCTTCAGGATCTTGTTGATCTCAGTTAACGGAAGATTGCTTTTATACCTAATATCCCTGCTCCAAATACCTGTTTTGGTTGTTTAAAAAAAGGAAAATTAATTCATCTTCAGCATGAACCATATTTTTACATATTACATGTCTCCAGGTTCTCATAATACCATCCCCACATCCTTTTCCTGTATTGAATGCCATTTCCCCAAGTAAAATAAAAACCTTTCTAACTCCACTGCATTCAGGAATTAAAAAGCTACAGTGAAGAAGACCATAAAGTGGAAAACACAAGGCGACAGACAAGCACATTACCTTTGTTTCCTGCATCCTCTATAATCTGATACACCAGCTTCTCCTGATTGTCAGATCCCTTCATTTTACTGCAGAAAGACAAAATAAGAAGTGAATAGTGTTTAGTTTTTGAAAACCTGAGTGGATTTGATCGATGTGAAATTAAATACTAAACAACTTTGAGGTCGTCGTCCCCGACAATCAAGAGGCATATACATTTTACGAAATAAATAAATACTATACATATTTTGAGATGTCAAAAAGAAACTAGAATTTGACCTCGGATGAGAGAGCTTTCTACTGGTTATTTAGAAAGGTTCCTTCACCTAAGGTGATTTTCCAAGCTACAGTATCATGGTAATTACAATTATGTCCATCAGTGACAGAAGCAGAAAAATGTTGATGCTTTGAGAGCACAGCTTACCCAGCATTCTGAGATTCCTTGATCCTGTAGAGGAGGCCAGTGCTGCTCCTCAACAGATCCAGCTGTCCCTAAGAGAATAGACATTATTGTAATATTTTGACAGATTTCTAAAATAATGATTTGACATTAGGATGCAATATGAAAGACACTCAGTACTAAACTTAGACTGTATTAATTTAATACTGCATATTCCCTTATATAATTAATATTCATTCTTAATGGATCAGAAAAAAATATTTTCCCCTTAAGATGTTATACATTTCATTTTCGTGACTCTGAAGGACACCTAAATGGATTACATTTTTAGGCATACTCTACAAATTGTAATGTGTGCACATGTTTATGGATATGCATGGCACAAGTTTATGGGCACGTGTGGCAAACAGATATATTTGTCAGGGAAATCTGGCTGCAGTTCTCTGTTGAGCCTATGTTCTATAGTAAACCTTGATTTGCTGTTGTACAATACAGTGGTACCTCGGGTTAAGAACTTAATTCGTTTTGGAGGTCCGTTCTTAACCTGAAACTGTTCTTAACCTGCAGCAGCACTTTAGCCAACGGGGCCTCGCGCTGCCGCCGCCGCACAATTTCTATTCTCATCCTGAAGCAAAGTTCTTAACCCGAGGTACTATTTCTGGGTTGGCGGAGTCTGTAACCTGAAGCACCTGTAAACTGAAGCGTCTGTAACCCAAGGTACCACTGTATGTGAGATGGTTCTAAGCAGCAAAGCTAGACAAATGGATGAAGATTAGGAGATGAGCTAGATTAGCGGCCTTCAAGAGAAGGCTTAAATCTGCGGTGTTGCTTGCTAGACGGGGTTGGGATATGATCAAGGTCCCCATTTGCCACCAGAGGCCCCTGCTTCACATGCAGAGGGCTCAGTGGGCAGAACACAAATGTCGTGGTGTTTCTGCCAGCAGTAGCAAAAGTAAAGCAGCACGTTACACATATTGCCCAGAGAATGTAGCCAAGATACAAACATTCTCCAATAGGCTTTGAATAAGGTCCATTTCCTGGCTGCATTCTATGCATTCTCTGAGCAATATGCACATTCTCCAATAAGTACGTAAAGTCTCCCAGAAACATGCTCCCCCCTTACACGCAATTCTTCTTGATGAGCAGATTATGTGCACATTCTCCATGAGTTTTCATGAATATGCACAATAGCTGGTTGTTACGCACGTTAACCGCTTAACGTGCATTATCCCGATATATAATCCAGTTTAAATACTGTCAAAGAACTAGGTGCACTCTATTGTCTTTTGAGACAACCAAGAACAGAACGAGGGATGGTCTTACCATTGAGAGCAGCCTGTTAATGGCCACTGCCCGTTGCTGAGCCTCCATGTGAGGCATGTCATTCTGAATCACCTGGTCTGTGATACCCTGGGGAAACTGATGGCACAGCTCAATGATCCTGGCAAAAGTAGAAATAGCAAGTAAAGTACCACTAATTATGGAACAAATCCACAACTAACATAACATAACGTCTCTATATCTACTCTTTTCTTAAGTCCCAAATAACTAATAACAAAAATATAAACCGCAATAAAAAAACAAGAACTATCACTGAGAAAACAGCAGCAGAAAAAAGATGTAAAAACAAACACCTATAACAATAAGAAGGGACGCGGGTGGCGCTGTGGGTTAAACCACAGAGCCTAGGGCTTGCCGATCAGAAGGTCGGCGGTTCGAATCCCCGCAACGGGGTGAGCTCCTGTTGCTCGGTCCCTGCTCCTGTCAACCTAGCAGTTTGAAAGCACATCAAAGTGCAAGTAGATAAATAGGTACCGCTCTAGCGGGAAGGTAAACGGCGTTTCCGTGCACTGCTCTGGTTTGCCAGAAGTGGCTTGGTCATGCTGGCCACATGACCTGGAAGCTGTACGCCGGCTCCCTCGGCCAATAAAGCGAGATGAGCGCTGCAACCCCCAAGTCGGTCACGACTGGACCTAATGGTCAGGGGTCCCTTTACCTTTATAACAATAAGAAAAATAATCAAGAACTAACACGCAAGCCATTTACTCTACACCAGGGAGTAAAAGCCTAAAAGCTTCTGGAGAATCAAACTAAGTCAAATTGCTGGCTAAGTGAATATGGCCTGGTCCATAGCCTGCGTTGCTACAAGAAGAGTGTCTGCCACACTGCCCTAAGGACCGACTGACAAAAGACTAGGAAAGGGGGCTGGTTTGGTACCCAGCAAGACTGTATGGTTTTTTGCCTGCATTATTCTGTTTGTCCAGTGAGATATCTGCCTGCAGGTAAGAGTGGCGACTGCAGTGTGGGATGCTATTTGACTACTGGTTGACTGTATGCTGCTGGAGTGTGGTCCAGAGCTTGCCTTGCTATAAGAACAAGCTCTGTTGTGGGCAGTGGGGATGACTGTTTTGGGTTGCTACAGGGATAGGGTAGTCCTGCACTGTTTGTCAGGATATGGCACTGTAGGTCAGGCACAGTGATTCTCACCTGGTGTGAGACCATGGTAGAAAAGTCTGGTTTGTTTCGGTTTCCCCTGAGGAATAGACAGGAGGGGTATTGAAAAGGACATCATCTGCCATCTGACAATGTGAGACATTTTCTACTACTGTGCCTTAATTTATTATCTGTGGCCTAAATCTCCCAGTTATATATGCTGATACTAGATGGTGCTAAAATGTGCCTGGGGAGATGTTTCTCCAGAGACTCCTCATAGAATCAGAGAGCTGGAAGGGACCCTAGGAGTCATCTAGTCCAACCCACTGCTATGCTGGAATCTCAACTATATATCATCCAACCTCTGCTTAAAAACCTACAAGCAAGGAGAGTCCATCACCTTTCGAGGGAGACCTTTCCACTGTCAGACAGCTCTTACTGTCAGAAAGTTCTTCCTGATGTTTAGTTGGAATCTCCTTTCTTGTAACCTGAAGCCATGAGTTCGAGTCCTACCCTCCAGAGCAGGAGAAAGCAAGCTATCTCTGTCTTCCATGAGACAGCCATTTAGATATTTGTAGGTGGCTCTCATATCTCCTTTCAGTCTCCTCTTTTCCAGGCTAAACATACCCAGCTCCTTCAACCTTTCCTCCTAAGACTTGCTCTCCAGACCCTTGATCATCTTGGTTGCCCTCCTCTGCCCATGTTCCAGCTTGTCAACACACTTCTTAAACTGTGGTGCCTAGAATTGGACACTGGACTCCCAAGTGTGGTCTAACCAAGGCAGGATAGAGTGGCACTATAGCTTCCCTTGATGTGGACACTACAGTTGTACCTCTGGTTGCGAACGGGATCCGTTCCGGAGGCCCGTTTGCAACGTGAAAAGCCCGCAACCTGAAGTGCCATATCTGCGCAGGTGTGCAATTTGGCACTTGTGCGCATGCGTGAAGGGTGATTGAGTGCTACTGCGCATGCGCGAGCGGTGAAAACTGCAAGTAACCCTTTCTGGTACTTCTGGGTCGCCACGGGACGCAACCTGAAAAAACGTAACATGAAGCAAACATAACATGAGGTATGACTGTATATTTCTGTGGACGCAGCCTAGAATATCATCAGCTCTTCTTCTTTCTGCTGCCGCATCACCCTGCGAACTCCTGCTCAGTTTGTGTTCCACCAAGACCCCCTCGGTCCCTTTCACATGTACAGTGGTACCTCGGGTTAAGTACTTAATTCATTCCAGAGGTCCGTTCTTAACCTGAAACTGTTCTTGACCTGAAGCACCACTTTAGCTAATGGGGCCTCCTGCTGCCGCCGCACCACAGGAACACGATTTCTGTTCTCATCCTGAAGCAAAGTTCTTAACCTGAAGCACTATTTCTGGGTTAGCGGAGTCTGTAACCTGAAGCATATATAACCTGAAGCGTATGTAACCCGAGGTACCACTGTACTAGTGCTAGTAAGCCAGGTGTCCCCCTCCCTACCTGTATCTGTGCAGCTGGTTCTTCCTGCCTGAGTGAAGGAGCTTGTCACTCCTGAGATCCTTCCCCTCCCGCTTGCGCCGTAATCCCTTTGAGGGAATCTTGTCTCCTGCCTTCCCTTCCCCACTTCCAAGCCAGCAGAGTGGATGCGCCTCCCCTCCATTCCTTCCTCCACGTCGCTTGCGAAGACGTGGCTGAGGACAGAGCCCTGCGACACCCGGGTCCCCGGGGTGCAGGCGTCGCTTTTGACTCGGGCTCGGCTTTTACCTGCTCTCTATCTCCAGCGGCTCCGGGGCCTTCGCTTCCGCCATTGCGGAAGCCTCCGTCGCAAAGCGAGACCAGGGGAGTCGCGTGTGCGGGCGGTGACGTAAACAGAAGGCGCCCGTCGGGAAGGCGGGGCTGGCGTGAAAGAGCGGCTGCGGTTGCCGTGGCGACGAGGTCGGTGACGTCAACAGAAAGCGCCCGTCAAGGGGCGGGGCTGGCGGGAAAGAGAGGCCGCGGTTGCCGTGGCGACGGACGAGCCTTGGGCCCGGAGCGAGGCCGCCGGTGAGTGTCGCCTGAGGGGCGGCTGGGCTGCCTCGTTCGCCGGCGGGAAGGGCGGTGGCTCCGGGGCTCTTCCGTTGCACCTGGTGGTTCTCCCCGGTGACGAGGACCGGAAAAGATACAGGACGAAGGGTGATGCTTGAGTGTATATCCCCCAGTTTCCTACAGAACATAACAAAACAATGATGAAATTGGTTTGTGGGGTTTTTTTACTGAAAACAGGATAATCACGATCAAATTCTGAGGCTCAGACAGCATAAAATGGTTCCAGCGATATTTTTGAGGACTAAAACTAAAGGGGGCCAAGTGAGCCACTGAATGAGGGACTCCTAGAGCAGGTGTGGAGAACCTCTGGCCCTCCAGATGTTACTGAACTACAACTCCCATCAACCCTGGCCATTGAGCATGCATGCTGGGGGTGATGGGAATTGTAGTTCATTAGCATCTGGAGGGCCAAAAAGTTCCTAGCACCTGTTGTAGAGCCTAGATCCAGGTGACCTATCTCACTGACTCAGCAAGGGCGCCTCAGACAGTGCCACTGAGCTTCCCTGGAAGATACTGGCATGCAAACAGCCTTTCAAGGATCCCAAGAGGAGAAGTTTACAGCAATCCTTCTGCAATTCATAGCATGCACAGTTGAGATCATAACCATTTCTATTTAGATAGAATTACTGTAAATCCCACTGGCTACAGTGGGCTTACTGTCGGGTAAGTATGAATAGGATTGCAGCCTCAGTCTTGGAGTGGATGTACATATATATTACTTACTGCATTGCTGTGTTCAAAATAATAATATTTTGCTTTGTTCCAATAGACCTTGAGGGGAAAAATGACTGCTGGATCCATCTTAGTGCCTCAAATTATACCACTACGATTGTCAACACCAGGCAAAGCTAAACATGAAATAGATACAAATACACTTATAGAGATCAAATCAGGTATTTGCTACAGCTCAGAATGCATGCTATATGTTTCATTTTATATGTGCAACACACACACTGCTGGTCTTTCCATTTCACTTCATAAGTGATTTCATCTTGTAAAAAGGAAGACACTTTAAAACAGAGGTGGCGAACCTCTGGGCCAGAGATGAAACACAGCCCTCCAGGCCTCTCTAAATGGACTTTAGGGTACTACCAACACCACACTTCTCCCTAGATCACTCTTCATTCCAGCTCTGCCCCAAACCCTTCTGGGCGAGAGGGTTGCATGTTCTTGAACTGTGATAATGCCTCTTGTTTGTCCTGGATGGAGAGAGGTGTGCATAGGAGTGTGAATGTGTGAATGAATGAATGAATAAATGAATGTAGCCTGATGTACAAAGGTAAGAATCACACCTGTTGGCTCTTGTCCAACCCACTACAGGCATTTTTATCTGGGCCAGCATAAAAACGGTGGTTAGAGGTACTGTTTTGGGGGGACAGGGCAGGTTGGTGTGGGGGACTCCCAGGTCCTGAATGGGGAAACTGTGGCCCTGAAGGAGCAGGTGCGCAGCCTGGGAGTCATTTTGGACTCACAGCTGTCCATAGAGGTGCAGGTCAATTCTGTGTCTAGGGCAGCTGTCTACAAGCTCCATCTGGTACACAGGCTGAGACCCTATCTGCCTGCAGACTGTCTCACCAGAGTGAGGCATGCTCTGGTTATCTCTTTGGACTACTGCAACGCCCTCTATGTGGGGCTACCTTTGTAGGTTGCAACTTACAGTTACTAATATTTGGGAAAGCTTGCTTCCAGGCTGTACAAATACTGTACAGTGGTACCTCAGGTTTCATACGCTTCAGGTTACATACGCTTCAGGTTACACACTCCGCTAACCCAGAAATAGTGCTTCAGGTTAAGAACTTTGCTTCAGGATAAGAACAGAAATCGTGTTCCTGCGGCGCAGCGGCAGCAGGAGGCCCCATTAGCTAAATTGGTGCTTCAGGTTAAGAACAGTTTCAGGTTAAGAACGAACCTCCGGAACAAATTAAGTACTTAACCCGAGGTACCACTGTATAAATTGCGGCTGAATACTGTGTGCATTTTTATGTACAGAGAAAAATGTATTCATGGTCCTTAAGGGGGGAGATAGACATCTGCTCGCAGGAAGTCTATTCTTGTAATTTAAATTTGTGGGGGGTTTTTTTAAGGAATATTTTTATATAGAAATTATTGTTTGTGTGGAGAAGTGATAACATCCTTTTTTCATCTTTCAGATACCCCTGATGTCACCATATATTATACTATTGATGGAAGTAAACCACAGCTCTTTAGGAAACTTAATTACAGAGATCATAATACTTTTAAGTATAATGGACCAATCACATTACCAGATGGGAAAATAACAATTAAGGCACTGGCAGTTACAAAGTAAGTGTTATCACTATGTAATCCAGCTTTTAAACAAAGGCAGATTTCGATTTGTGTGTGTGTGTGTGTGTGTGTGTGTGTGTGTTGATGGGCAATTTTTTTTTTGGTATCATCTTTGATATATAAGAAATATAGGTGAAATACTACTCTGTGTTATCATCTAAAGCTAAACTAGATATGACTATAATTGCATTAACACCACTGAAGTATACATTTTTTTAAATGTAAATAGCAACCAAGGGGAAGCCTGAGCAGTCTAGGGGTAAAGGAAGTTTAACTTTTCTTTTCCACTGTCTCAACACAAAGCCCCTCTCAAAAGCTGGTATTTACATTTTAAAGCAGTTCTTCGCTGACACTGTAACACTGCCTGCCCTTTTAGAAATTTTGTGGCCCAAAGACTCCCTTGCTTGAAGTCTGGATAGGCAAATACCAAGTATCACTCCTGCGCGATATACAATAGTGTTTTCTCTTTGGTTAAGAAGAGCCCAAGACAAGATTCCTCCAACTCACACCTCTTCCCTATCTAGACAAAGGAATTATTTCCCCAAGCACAAATCTCTGAAGGTTTTCTGCCTCGTGCTGCTCCAGGTCTCCACTCCATTAGCTAGTTCTCCTGCCTTCTATTTTATCCTCACAACAGCCCTCTGGTTAGGCTGAGCGATAGTGACTGGCCCAAAGTCTCCCCAGACCTAGTCCAACACTGTGATGCTGAAGGTTTACTGGTCACGGTAGGTCACTCTAATGTTTATCTCCCATGAGGTTGCTCCAGCAATACACGCCCAAGATTTGGGCAAACAGGGAACCAGGAGAAGTTGGGCTGGCTCTTCCTCCCCATAGTGACTGGAGAAAGTCTGTAAGTTTCCCCATCTCCAGAGTAAGAGACTAAAGTACTAGTGAAAGGTTGGGGTCATAAGTTGCACTTGAGGGTGCCATCCACAAGGTGGAATTATACAGAGGCTTTGTGACCGTGCCAAATGCAAAGAGCAGCTTCAGCAAATAGATTTCTGTTAGGACCATGATACAGATCAAAAGGGACACGGGTGGCGCTGTGGGTAAAACCTCAGTGCCTAGGACTTGCCGATCGTATGGTCGGCAGTTCGAATCCCCGCGGCAGGGTGAGCTCCCGTCATTTGGTCCCAGCTCCTGCCCACCTAGCAGTTCGAAAGCACCCTTAAGTGCAAGTAGATAAATAGGTACCGCTTTATTGCGGGAAGGTAAACGGTGTTTCCGTGTGCTGCGCTGGTGCTGGCTCGCCAGAGCAGCTTCGTCACGCTAGCCACGTGACCCGGAAGTGTCTCCGGACAGCGCTGGCCCCCGGCCTCTTAAGTGAGATGGGTGCACAACCCTAGAGTCGGACACGACTGGCCTGTACGGGCAGGGGTACCTTTACCTTTACCTTACAGATCAAAAGAGGTAAAATTTCATGAGATTGAAGCATAGAATCACAGAACTGTAGAATTGTACAGCTGGAAGGGACCCTGAGAATCGTCTAGTCCAGGCACCCCCAACCCTCAGCCCTCCTGATGTTTTGGCCTACAACTCCCATGATCCCTAGATAACAGGCCCAGTGGTCAGGGATTATGGGAATTGTAGACAAAACATCTGGAGGGCCAAAGGTTGGGGATGCCTGGTCTAGTCCAGCCTCCATCAATGCGAGAATATATATCTCCATGTGGAAATTTCTACTGTTGTTTCTGTTACGTATTGGTTGGATGTTATTTTGTGTTATTGTTTATTTTATGGATTGGTTTTGGTTTAGTTTAACTTTGATTATTGTTACCTGCATTGAGGAGTCTCTTTGAGGACTTAAAGGCAAGATATAATTTTTTTAAAATATTAAGTAATAAAGTTGAAACACATTTAATCCTTATTTACCTATTCTTTTCCTACTATGTTAGAACACAGACAACATGAGACCCGCAAAGCCAAATTCTTATACATTTACCAGAGGCAGCAAAAAGAAGAGAATCCCTTATATGAGACACAAATTATGAGGCCTGATCTAGAGTTTCTTGATTCTTAACTTACAGAGACGGCAGAGAGAGTACCGTTGTAACAAAAGTATTTATAGTAGAATATGTAACTCCCAACGTACATGTACCTGATGAAGATGAGAATGAGAATTTCCTGGAAGATCTCATCAGTCAGGCAAGTTATAAAAATGTTAAATCTACTGAAAAGTGTTATGAATCATTAATGCTGTTAAATATGTAGGTCTTGCAGCATAATAGGTCTTGTTGCTGGAGAGATCTATGAGGAGTGTTTCAGAAAACATTGAGGTACTGGAAACAAAAAGTAGAATTCAACGTCACACTAACACAGTTGTTCCATCAGCATGACCATTTTTGTTTGCCAAATGGAACAACCTCCCCTTTCCTTCTCTCAAGTTCTGTTCTGGGGGTTCTCCTGACCCTCCAGAGTGGATTTGTGGGAGAAGAGAGAGAGAAAGCCCCATTGTACCAGCAGGAGTTCTTCCATTGGCTTCCACTAGTGCACTGGGTTAGTTGGATCTAACTCAAAGTAACTCAGGTTTATACAGGGGAAGCATCTATTTAAGTAAGTCATCAGAACCCTCATGGAGCAAGTTCATGGTCAAATAAGGCTTCTTCCATTCCTGCTGCAACTTAGGGAACAACAGTGGCTTAATAATCCATGTTCTTCCTGTCTGCCTGGGGTGTCACAAAAAGTGGAGAGATATTGAGCATCTGCAGAAGTTATTCCCTCCACCCCCAACCCCTATTCATGCATACCTGGTGGTCTCCATTCATATTGGAGGGGTCACAAGTTGTGCAAGCCTGTTATAATGTACAAAGGGAGATAGGTAAAAGGTGAAGGATCTCTGGAGGGTTAATTCCAGTCAAAAGTGACTGGGGTGTGGCGCGCTCATCTTGCTTCAGGCCGAGGGAGCCAGCGTTGTCCACAGACAGCTTTCTGACGAGTACCAGAGCGCACGGAAACGCCATTTACCTTCCCGCCACAGCGGTACCTATTTATCTACTTGCACTGGTGTGCTTTCAAACTGTTAGGTTTGCAGAAGTTGGGACAGAGAAACGGGAGCTCACCTTGTTGCAGGGATTCGAACCACCGACCTTCCAATTGGCAAACCCAGGAGCCTCAGTGGTTTAGTCCACAGTGCCACCCGTGTCTCCCTACAAAGGACTATAGAAAGCTGCCTTACATTAAATAAGAATCATTGGTTCATTTAACTTAGTACTGTCAGCACCAACGGGCTCATATGGCCCTGGGTATCATAGAATTGTAGAGATGGAAGGGACCCCAAGGATCATGTAGTCCATCCCCCTGCAATGGAGGGATCAACTAATGGTTGAAGATGTGGTGGAAAGGGGGAGAAAGGATTTTAGTAAGACTTAGAAAAATAAATAGGAGATACAAGAAGAGAGAGAATTATTGCCCCTTTTTGGACACCAAAGAAATGGGCAAGGAGCCATGGGAGATAATCAGCCAAGAGCTCATATGCTTCAGGAATAGCAGGGGCCAGGAAATGCATAGAGAAAAGGGGAAACAAGACTCCAAAGAGAATTTCTGGATAAAAGGCTCCAAAGGGAAAAGAAAAGAAAAAAAGAAATATTCTGGCATGCTGAATGTAAACTATACATTTGTCTTGGCCTCTGGTTTATCTCCATCCCTAATCAAATTATGGCTCTGAAATAAAAAATGGGTGGAATCCTGAAATGTCTCTGGATTGTAGAGTGTACCTAGATAATACAAAGATTAAGTGGAACATTTCATTCCATGCATGAGATGTTGTAGCAATTTATGCCAACAGATGCAGGGATTATGTTGTTTCTAGATAGCAGTAGAGGCCAACAATGTGTAGGGTGTCCACAGATGCAGACATATCTTGTCACTTGCTGCCTTGCCCTATTCATAATTCCCTCCTTCATTCCTACCACAAGGCCTATTACAAAAGCATGCTGATAAGAGTCCTTTCAGAATGGCTAGAGCATGTGTAACAGACCAAAATATGTATATGGGATTATAGATCAAAATCTTTGTTCTTAGGAGATGGAAGATGAATTGTCTCATTTGAATCTAAGAAAGAAAGAAGCAAGTGCTGAAAGCAGATTCCATTTGCCTGATGTAGCACTGGAATTAAAAGGTACTGTATGTTAAATCCAGAATTGAGAGGACTCCAAAAAGGTCACTGGTTCAAAGAATTTAAACTGGTAGCACATGAGCTTTATGGATAACTTCCTGAACCCATTCTTTTCTGTACTCAAAGTTACTCCCTTGGATATTGCCACTTTAATTTTGTATCAAAATGACCAGTGAAGTTGGCAGTGCTGTAAATTTGACCTTGTGCAACTTTATCACTCCAGTTGTCAGTAAGCTTTAGGCTACCAGTTTACCATATACAACTGATTAGCATACTTATGCAAAGCATACAACCGCCTCCTCTGTGTTTTGTATTGCGTGCAAACGTGGTCCATATGGAATAACACCTGTGGACCAGTTCTTTATTATACGCTTAGTACAATTTTTGAACCATTGAACAGACTATCAATATAATAATATAAATAGGGATTAAAACAACAATAGTCTAAACTACAGGGCAGCATCTATATGTTATTATTTCCATGTATGTATTTTGGTATATGTGAATTTGTCATTGATTTAACTCTTTTCTAATTTATTTCATTCCAGAACATGCTTTAGATGCGTTTTACACAGTTAGTGAAGGTTAACATTCTTTTGAAGTGTGATATTGAAAAATAATAAAATGAAATGTGTGTGTAATTTTAGGCTTGTCAAAAGAAAAATCATTTGTGCCCTCACAAATCATTGGAACACATCTGTTGAAAAATTACTTGAATACCTCAAGTGATGGAGAAAAGTCTAATTCTGCCACATGGATGCCTCGATCTCAGGTAATGAAAGTGGCTAGTTGGGTAAAAGGCATGTTAAGTGTTTGCACTAGCTTGTATAAAGAAGTAGTGTTAGAAAGGATTTGCAGATCTCGACTTTTTCTTAGTGGACACACAAATTTGCCCCAACCAGGTCTCCAGTGTTTCCATTGCCACCAGTGTCAGTTCTTGTCACCATTGTCACTACTCCACTAGGAATTAATTTCCTAGTATTTTCATAGACATGCTGAAACAGTAAAGTCTTGAGTGTGGTTGGCTGCTGTTGCCTTTTTCGTCCTGTTGCTATGCATGTGAAATTTCTTTTTTTACTTTTAACCTGTGATTCATTCCACGGATTTGACAGTTCTCACCTTTCAAGCTTTGAGGATTATTGTCCTGGTTTGGCAAGAAGATGGGTACAAATGTGTCTGTTATTTTCCTACAGATGGAATTGTGCAACAAATGCCAGACTATGGTGCCCAGGAACTCACCAACATGTATCGTATGTGAAGCTCTGATAACTCCACGGCTGCAAGAACAAGGCAGCGTCCGCCAAAAGGTAGCTCAGAGTGGATGTAAAAATAAAATATTTCTGTATAGAAACAGTTTCTTGGGGGGGGGATTCCTGCTATAGCAGTGAGAACATAATACCTGATATATTCCTACATTGCTTGACACTTACATTTACTGAAATGTGCTTGTTCTGTAATCCAAAGGGCAAAGTAGTCTACTGTTTGTGCGGAGCAGGAAATCCAATTTGCATTACGCAGTGTGTGGTCTGTGGGATCCAATTTCCAGAAGCACAAATGGTAAGGAAATTTCCGCACAAAATAATCACACACAAGCAATCTGAGAGGCCCAGGACCACTTGACAAGTTTCTCAGTCATCTGGTTCAAGTGAGATGCCATTAAATATTTTACAGATTACTTGCTGTATAATTTGCATAATAGAATGAAAGCCTTAGTAGCAAAATCAGGTCTGCTGCATAAATAAGACTGCTAGAACACAGAACTGCATTTCATTTGGGTGCCTACAAATCACTTTCTAGTGCATTGTATCCCTTATCAGTAGCTCAAGGGAAGTCAAGCAGACAATTGCACAATCCTATACACATCTAAGTTCTACTGGGTTCAGTGGGGCTTTCTGCCTGAAATGGCTGCTGTTGACCAGCAAAATCCAAACAAGTAAGAAAGTGAGGAAACTCTGGCTGTTCAGATATCTGAATCAGCCACTTGTATAGCAAGGTTTGGATATTCTTTTTTGGATTCAGGTAACTAAGTTTTCAGAGAATGAGTGTTACGATAGTGGGACCAGCATGTAATAAAGACTGAAGAGGAATTTTCTATGTGCCTTAGGCTGAAAATGAAAATGAGTCTACTTTAAAATAAGCCAGTATATTGCACTTTGTTATAGCCTATAACTAAAATAAATAACAGTGAACAAATATAAGCCATTTATGATGCACATCTATTTAGACTACAATACTGATGAGACAGTATCTGCAGGAGGCACTCCTTCATTTTGAACCCTCCAAATGATGAGTGTAAATGTATGTTCAGACCACTGGATCAGATAGAGAATGTCAGAGTTCCTTCAGAAAACATTTTAATTTATTTAGGGTAAATATATTGATGGGATTTTTTGTGTGTATCTGATAAGCTGTGTCAGCCTTTTTACCTATAATACAACCTATCTTTAACAGAGCAACAGCTTGCAGACCAGGCAGCAATCAGTCATTTCATTGCCACCATCAATACCTAATTTACTAGAGAAAAAAGAGCAAGGAACTCAAACCATTGGCTTGTACTACCCATCCATCAGATTTCTAGAGAAGAAAGAAAGTGAGCTCCTTTCTCAAAAGGAAAAATCGAACGAGACAAATTATCACAAACCTCTGCTCACAGCCATCAGTCCTGGAAGAGGTAAAAAGATGCTATTCAGAATGAATCCTTCATGAAACAGCCCTTGGGGTTCTCCTGTCCCTAGACTCCTTTGCAGATGAAGAACTTGAGTCATTGTGCTTACAGCAACTTTCAGCTATCCTTTTGTACTAGGTTCAGTTTTTTACGCAGGTTCTTAGATTTTGATGGAATTTGCTGCCAAGGAGTGTGGTGGAGTCTCCTTCTTTGGAGGTCTTTAAGCAGAGGCTTGACAACCATATGTCAGGAGTGCTCTGATGGTGTTTCCTGCTTGGCAGGGGGTTGGACTCGATGGCCCTTGTGGTCTCTTCCAACTCTATGATTCTATGATTCTATGATGGTATGTTCTGCTGTATTTTTTATATGTGATTGATTTTGATTGGGGGATTTTAATTATCGTATACTGCCCAATTAACCATACCCTCTGGGGGATTCACAATTTATTGATTTTTAAAGGTGATTTGTTACCCACCTTGGAGAAAATATTTTTAATGAAGGGAAAATAAATGTTTAAACATAAAATAAATAACAAGGTTTTCAATCTGGCTGCTTAGGGGAAGGATGGAGAGATGGGAGATCTGGCCCAATAAGTTCCTGGAAAATGGAGACAGGATTCCCTTCTCTGTTGTTTGTGTTCATCAGGGCCATTATATGCAGTCCCACTTTCAATACTGTTTGCGCCTGCAAAAGTTTCAGGGCAGTCATACGGCTTCATTTCCAATCAGTGCATGCCTTCCTGCTGAAATACAGTGGTGCCTCGCAAGACGAAATTAATTCATTCCGCGAGTTTTTTCGTCTAGCGAATTTTTCGTCTTGCGAAGCACGAAATCCCATAGGAATGCATTGAAATTCAATTAATGCATTCCTATGGTCAAAAAAAGTCCAAACAAAGCCAAATTTGGTACAACAAGAGTTTATTAATTGCTCTTTAAAGTCACACATACTGTAAAGAGCATTTCAAAAATTGAAGGAACAATAAATTCAAAAATTGAAGGAACAATAAAAATCATAAAAATTCAGAAAAAAACCACACAAGCTTCCAGATTCTTGCAAACCCCTCCTCAACTGTTCCCCCAGCCACCCACCACACAGAAATTCAAACCCAGAATTTAAAAAAAAAAAACCAGCAGAGTGGCCCAATGGTCACAAAAAATCATAAAAATGCAGGAAAAAAACACACAAGCTTACAGATTCTTGCAAACCCCTCCCCAACACCAAGTCCTTGAATTCCAAACACCCCAACCCAAAATCCAAAAACCCCCAAAAAAGTTTTAAAAGTTTAACTTACCAAATGGCTGCAAAAGAAGTTTTGGAAAAGCGTCAAAAATCACCAAAGTCTTCAAAAACCTCAAAAAAGGCTACCACACCGCGTGCTATGAGTTGCTCCTCGAAGTCAAGTCGCAACTGCACCTCTTCAAGCAATGCACCCTGTATTACTGTAACGGTTTTAAGAAAAAGGAAACAAACTTGCAAGACGTTTTCGTCTTGCGAAGCAAGCCCATAGGGAAATTCGTCTTGCGAAGCAGCTCAAAAAACGCAAAACCCTTTCGTCTAGCGAGTTTTTCGTCTTGCGAGGCATTCGTCTTGCGGGGCACCACTGTATTGTTGTTTCTTTGTCTCATTTTTGTTGCCCACCCACCCAAGCAATAGTGTAATAACATTGGGGAAGCATCGCAAAACAACTAATAAAATGAAATGATTTGTGGATGGTCCAATATGGATCCACCACTGTTGTGTATATGACATGTTGTAGAAATCACCTGCAAGAGCCACCAGTCTAGAAGGACCCTCTTTCTTGAGCTACTCTGTAACACCAGTGATATGTCCAGTCTATTTTCCTTCATTCAGGTTACTGGAGGAAGCAACTAGATCATGTTTGTGCACACCTCAGAAGCTACACGCAAAACAATCCGGAGTTCAGGACTTTGATTGGAGAGCCTCAAATGGGGAAGGTAAGAGAAAGAAGGGACCTTTTATGGCTCTAATCTTTCTCCTGTGATGCTGATGCATAAAGAGAATTAGGGTAGTAATTTAAGGCGAGAGGTGAGATGACTCTTGGCTTTTTTTAAATAAATAGAGGCTTGTTGAGAAGAAGGGAGACAGTCCTTTTTCCATGCAACTGGTGAGAGAAGTTGGTATCTGGATTTGTTTTATATCACTTTCTCAGTGGGAGTGAGGTCGATGTTAGGATGGATATCCTTTTCTCTGGTAATATTTTCTATAGATTTACAAATTCCGTGAGTCTTCAGTTTTATAAATTAGCTGGCCAGTTTTAAGTCTGTTGCTGACTCAAGCAGTCTGCATTATGTAGTATTCTTTTCATCAGACTGAAGAGAGGCCAAACTGGAGGTGCATAAGATGCTTGAAGAGAGAGACCGTTTACAAATGTTTATACACTAATGCTAGAAGCCTCCAAGCCTAGATGGGACATAATGGAAACCTGATGGAATGGGAAGAAGCAGTGGGACACAGTTTTGTCTCTGGGTATCCACTTCGTGGGAAGGACGTATCGGAGGTGGTGTCTCTCTGTGTGTCAAAGAGAGCATTGAGTCCAGCAAGCTAGAAATCCCCAAAGAGGGAGACTCATCCACAGAATCACTGTGGGTGATAATACTGGGCCCCAAGAATATGTTAGTATGTATTGGGAGCATGCTGTCATCTCCCTGATCAAAATGATCAGGGAGACTGAGATGGAGAAGGTTAATAATCAAGCCAGTTGTAAGAGTTAATGATAAAAGGGTTGATGATAATGGGGTCTCAGTGGTCCACTTGGCTGGGGTCATGCCTGTTTTGGATGGGATCACACTCTCCATTCTCCTGTGAGGGTTGGGTTTGCCATTTGAACGTACTTCTGAGTCTGGCGTTGCTCCTGGTTGCCTTGGTTTTAGGTTTGGCTGATTCAACAACTGCACTGCTACTGAAAGATACACCCAAGATACCTTGGTTTAACCAGAGGATATTACTGCACTGCACTCCACTTGGAGCTGTTTTTTAAAATAGTTCGGGAACTTTGGCAGGTGCAAAATGTTCCTGCTTGCCTCTTGGTGGGCTTGAGTCAGCATAATCATATATTACCTATTTTTGGCAACCAGTTTCTGCACCCAATACAAGGTGCTGGTTTTGACCTTCCAAACCAAAAATGACCAGGTCCTGATAAGTTCTTTGAAGTACCTTTTTCTTCCCTGCCTGTCAGCCATTTGAACCTCCACGTTAAAAAGAACTAGAGCCCTTCATATTCCATCTTGTGTTGAGATCACAGTAGCCTCTGTAAAAAACAGGGCCTTTTCCATTACAGCTCTGAAATTGTGGAATACCTTTCTGCAGGTGGTGTTTTGGTCCCCTCCTTGGTATCTTCTTGCCAGCTGGTCAAGACTCATCTCAAAATGCTTTGTACTGCTGATTTATTTTTCTTACTGCTATTCCGATTTTCTTTTCAACTAAGATTTTAACTGGTTTTCTATATAACCTAGCTGTATTGTACACTGATTTGAAAAATCTTTTTTGAAAGTAGTGTGTGTGTGTGTGTGTGTGTGTGTGTGTAAGGATCATAGCTATTTTTCTTTTTAAAGGAAGAAAATAAAACTTAATCGCATTTTTCCCTTCTATAGCTTATTTCTGCTACAGTCCACAAGGACAGCTATCAAGTCAGTCTCCAGATAAATTATGCACTTGCTATAAATAAGGTCAGTGTGGAAATCAAAGCTGTTAAAGATGGGAAGGTGCTATAATGAGAATCATTGGTAGTCGGGAGTCAGTAAATCGCAACTTGGCTAATCAAGGCTCATTGCAGTTCTTTTAAACCAGTGGTATTCCAAATATCTACCTTTTGGGAAATCTTTCTTCACTGGGGAATATGTGTGCAGCTGCTTTAAAGCATTTTACATTAGGGGTGACCCTCCAGAGGTGGTTTTTATCTATCTATCTATCCATCCTCGCACCTTTTTTGTAACTATACATTAGACAGGCTTATTCCCTTTCCTTAGCTTTACACATGTGCAGAAATGAGGTCACATTCTCAGAGAAAAAGCATGCCTGTATTATCAGAGCTAGATGACTGACTCTGGAGGATCAGTGTCTACTTTCTATCTAATCTGAGGCTGAGTTTTTCCTACACAAACATTCTTGACACATTCTTAATACAGGCTGGGTAAGCAGATTCTCCTAACAAATATGCTTTCTAATATATTGCCCATCTGATCTTCCTTTATATATTCTTCCAAAATAGCACTTTATCCTTCCTGCTTATATTGCCACCAAAGAAGAGTCCGTGACCAGAAGGAGGAGGAGTATCAGGAGGAATGGATGAAATTCAAAGACTATTTAGCTAAATATATTAAGATAATTTAAACAGAAATACTTGCAAACACCAGATTGGCTTAGGATTTAAATATGTGATGTTATAGAATAATATGTTCAAAGTTAGAATGAAAAGAAAGAAATATGTTAATTGACTAAGTAAATTTTATGAGAAATTTGTTTTGGAAAACTGTCACAAGGATATACATTGAAACTCAGCCAGGAGGATTCGAGGAAGTCTCCTAACAATGTTAATAAGAGTGGAATAATTACAGTTAGGATTTATGTTTGTTTGTTTGTCTATAAATTTTGGAAAATCAATAACATCTTTGAATATATATATGTATCTATATATATATATCTCCACCAAAATCATAGTCTGTATCCTGGAGTGGGGTAGGTCTATAATGGTTCGTACTTTTCAGGATTGTTCCCAGATTACTGTATAATCAGTATATGCACTTTCCCCAACATTAGGCACTCTGCATTACTATTACTTCACTGAATTTTTGTGGTCAATCTAAGTGCCATTAATCCATTAAATTCCTGGAAGAATTCTCCACTTATCCCATCTGGACATTGGTCCTTTTTTATTCCTTGGTCTTTTTCACTTAAAATAGAACATCTAATCTATATCACTGTTGTCTTGTGGTCTTAGGGATTCTACTGCTATTCATATAACTTGTTTTACCTACTTTTTATTTTTATAGCTTCCAGTAACAACCCATATATTGATTGTTGTCGTGCTTGAATTGAGAGTTTGATTAAGGATTAGTCCACACAGATTAATACGAACAGGTGTTGTACTTGTGGATGCTCCTCAAAAGTTTGTTCATTCTTCCCTTGCCCTTGCGCTGTGAATAAAACAACCAGAGACTGGTTTGTCGTGTAGTCTGAACCTAGGCTCATGGTTTGTTTCCTCATAGCCATGAGTGGGCTTGTATTCTGTTTTCTTCCTTACACACGATGAGTTGTAACCAAGATTTGCTCTTGGCTTACCACTTTTGGTTTGTTCAAAGGAAACAAACCATGAGCCCTGGTTGGATAACTCAACAAGCCAAGACTGTTGAGGTGTGTTGCAGAACATTGAGTGGGTGCACCAGCATGGTGCTCATTCAAATTAAACCATTGTTTGTCTTTAAACTGTTATTTAAATTTTTATGCAACATGCAAACTGCACCTAAGATTATTCCCAACACCTGCTGTAGCTACACATCATAGGGAAGGATAAGCAGTGGTATTCAGATTGACTTTCAGAGATGCTTAGCTGCCATAACAGATCTTCTCACCAAGAAAGTTTGCAATACAGTTTACAACCACTGTGTTGAATTATAGCTTATGTTGGTATGGCAAAGGTTGTCATATAATATACTGTTTATGCTTCTCCAGGATATTTTGACCAATAAACCACTGGCATTTGGCTATCACGAACTGAGCCCCAGCAAAGCAGGAAGAGCTGGATTATATGAAAGTCAAGCCGGTCTGGGTGAGCATTCTGGTGTGATTTGGTTCAAATGCTATCCTTGTTTTGTACATTTTCAAACAGTGACTTGTACCCAGAAAAGTATGTACCACTTAACACATCTGAAAATTAAACCTTAAAGTAGATCCCAAGTGCATGGTATTCCCAAGGACCCTTCACTGCTTTCAGCACCTTTCCATTCTGCAGAGCCAGGGACCTATGAGGATGGTCCATCTTCAGATGGGTTTCCAGATGGCTCTGGGGGATTTTCCAGCTAATATGTCTGGTGCTGCTGTCAAAGCCCTCCCCAACCTCTGGAACACCCACAAGGCTTGGACCATTGACACAATATCCTCTGAGCGCCCTCTCCTGCTTTGTGGAGCCGATTTGGCTTCCTGGTATACTCCAGAGCTTAGGGTGAGGAAAGAAGCTGGGAGACAGCTCAAACGCAAGTGGAGAAAAACTCCAGTTGAATGCAATCAAACACTTGTGAGGGCTCATCCTGGAGCCTACCTAGTGGCAGAGAAGGCAGCAAAGGTGGCTTACTTGGCTGCCTCCATTGCATCCTTGTTGTGCTCTCCAACAGAGCTTTTCCAGGTAGTGTGAGTCTGGCCCGAAGGAGGTGGTGGAACCAATGGTAGCTCACTGTGACTTGTGACTTGTTTGCAAAGCATTTTGAGGACAAAATCGCTTGCATCCACTGGGACCTTGACTCCGTTATTACAGCAGATGAGTCTCAAGGCATGTCAAGAGGGCGGCAGCAGAACGGGCATTTTTTGCAGTGGCTCCCTGCTTATGGAACAAGGGAGGCTGGCCCAATGCCTTCGTTGCATATCTTTAAGTGCCAGGCAAAAACATTCATCTTCTCCCAGGCCTTTGGCTATCAGTTATAGCAACTCAACACAATGACCCCATGGGGCTTTGCCTTGTAATTCACCTGATGCCTGATGCTTCCATCTCAGATGCTGGTCTCTTTGATAGTGGAAATGTAGCCTGCTGCTATATGTCAGGCTGTGAGCTACAGACCGAGAGCCAAAAGAGGTGGCACACACACCTCTTGCCTAGGTTTCTTGGTGTGGAGGGGAAAGGCGCTTCCATCAAGAGCTTCAGGTATTCACTGACCTGAAAAAGAGAATTTGATCAGCAGCAAAGTCAGAAAGCCATACATCTTTAAAAAGAAGAAAAACGTACCAGGCATCTCAGTGGAAATACCGGAACATATTCTTGGGGGAGAAGACTGCAGGATTAGTTAAGAATATTGCAATAAAGAAAAAACTTTAGTAAATAGCTCATGCTGCTGTTATGTGGGGCTCCTGTGTTATTTTGCTATACTATGGACATCACTTGAATATCATTGTAGCGTTCTCTATTTTAGCCCGAGAAGAGAGTAAAAGAGTGCCAAGCCCCAGCGAGAAAGTCAAAAGGATGATGAAAACAGGGACATGTCTAGAAAAAGAAGACAAGCTCACTGTATGTATCTGCTCTTAGTATGGCGGTTAACACCTCTGTAGGGATGCTGCAACATAAGCAGTGTTAGTACCAAGCTGGTTTTAAAAACGAATCTTTTCTGGAAAGTACTATTTGAGGTAGGAAAAGCACAGCAAATATTATTACTTCCATTGCCTTTTCCCTTCCTCCTACTTCTGCTCTGAGGAGGGCATTTCCTTTTTTGTCTTGGTAGCCAGAGCAGTCCCACAGGGAGAGCATGTATGTGCATGCCTGGTTAAGGCCACGCAGTATATCCCTGGCCTTGGCACCAAAGTGGGTGGGTGGCGGAAATATTGGACAAGAGCTATTGGGTCACACTTCCATCCTGTCACAGCTGGCCTGCCGTGCACTCATTTCCAACCTCACTTTTGTTCATGCAAACGGAACGGTTTATACAAATCCTTGGAATTTGCATACTTGACTTAGAGGGACGCGAGTGGCGCTGTGGATTAAACCACAGAGCCTAGGACTTGCCGATCAGAAGGTTGGCGGTTTGAATCCCCGCCACAGGGTGAGCTCCCATTGCTCGGTCCCTGCTCCTGCCAACCTAGCAGTTTGAAAGCACGTCAAAGTGCAAGTAGATAAATAGGTACCACTCCAGTGGGAAGGTAAACGGCGTTTCCGTGCGCTGCTCTGGTTCGCCAGAAGCGGCTTAGTCATGCTGGCCACATGACCCGGAAGCTGTACGCTGGCTCCCTCGGTCAATAAAGCAAGATGAGCGCTGCAACCCCAAAGTCAATCATGACTGGACCTAATGGTCAGGGGTCCCTTTACCTTTACCTTTTTATGGTCACTGGAGTCTCTGAGCAAGAGTACCATGTGCCTTGGCCCTTTTCCTCACTGTTATTGTGCCTGCAGATGTTCCTTCTGAACAGGGCTTCCCTCAAGGTCATATGCACACTCTTGGCACCATGGCTCTGGGGAAAGATGCCTTCCAAAGCGAAACAAATCTGTTCTGAAACTGGGGCCGATGGCTCTCCAATATGTAGCAAATGGTGATTTTCAGTGGGATGTCTCACCTCTCTGTTAGAAGCAAAGCTGATTTGCTCCAATGAGCTCATCGTTTTCCTCTTGACTGAAAGGAGTTCCCGGGGATGATTGTGTGGTTGACTTATGTCACAATTCTCGCACCACAAACCCATCCTGACGTCTATTATTCAGAACTGACCTTACCAGCAAGCAATGTATAGCTCCATTCTGCATGCCCTGTCACCTGACTTGGGGTTGAGATCACCTTGAAGAGGGTTTATATACTGGTGGGGGGCATGCAGTAACTACACCCTGAGCTCCCTTATTCAGTGGTTGGTCTGGCAGGTGGGGAGCAGTTTTTTTCCATTGATCTCTGTGGGAGGACAATTACTTACATTGGCCTTTGACAAGATGAGACTTTGTGCCCTCAGGGATGGAGTAACTGATGGAGCTTAGGATGTGGCATGCACCAGCCATGCCCACCACCCATCCGTGGCATGTTGCTTTCCGCCATTGTTTGGTCAGTGTGGTATTCTTTGAAATAGAGCATTTCTGCCAGTAGCCCAGGGTGGTGGTGTAGGCAGGCACCTCTTGCACATGGAACACCCTCTCCAGGAGCTGAATGACACACCTGCAGGTTACTACTGCCACTCAGCAGGCAGCTTCCTGGCTGTAGGATTGCATCTCCATTGCCTAGAAATGGCTGTTTTTAACAAACATATATGCAGGCTGCATACCATTGAGTTTGTTTTTATATAGATCATTCTATATTAGCTGTTTTGTTTCTGCATTTTTCTAGACTGAATCTAGGCAGTTGCTGAAGGAAGTGGGTCCAAAAGGCGAAGGGCGACCTTTCGTAGTAGAACAACTGATTGACGAGGCAAGTTTCAGTAGCGTGGCATTCTGAAGCATTCTGTTCAGCTATTAGGAATACATTGGTTTCTTTTCTTTAATAATATTTTCCCAAAAGAAAATCAAACTATCCAATAGATGTATACCATAAAGGTACCTAGATTGTTGATACATAGTTCTTTATGCTACTCACTTAACAGGTATAAGCTTGAATAGGTGATCCACTTAGAGTTCTTCCTCTGTAGGTACAAGTTTCCCTGGCATATGTTAGTCAAGCAGTTCAGACAAATTACAGTATTTGCATGTGGTAAAGGGGATGTGGGATGAGAGCTGGTGAGCTCGGCCTTGTTCCTCTCCCCGCTTCCTGCGTGTGAATCGTCAGCAAGTCCTGCTTTTATAGCCACCACTTATTATGCACAATCCTCTTTTCCTCCAGTTTAGTAAACGTGTGGATATGTGAACCACATTGCCAGGATTCAGCCATCAAAAACAGTGTCTGGGCAGAAATTGCTTAAATGTCCGGAAATCCCTGTTGGAAGCGTAGATTTTGCGAATTTCCTTAAAAGTAGCTCAAAAAGTTCTCTCTCTTTTTTCTTTTTTTTTTTGAGATCTTGCAAAAAAAAAGGTCAACAACTTTTTAAAAATATGGCAACCCTAGTATATATATTCTAACAGTTGTAATTTTACTTAACATTAACCAGATCTTCCTGTAATTCAAATACCATTTGAGCAATGTGTAATGTGCAGTACTTTAAAAGAGGGAAGGAAGGGAGGTATGTTTGATTCTCTCCTTTTCCCACACACTCCAGGGGGCTGACCCCAACTGCACCAACAGCGAGGACCAACCTGCTTTAACGCTGGCTGTGCTGAGCAGGCATCATGAAGTTATTCCCATTCTCGTGCAGAAAGGTGCCAACGTGGACCATCAGTCAAGACCGTACGTCAGCCTTCTGCATTCTGATTAACTGGTCTGATTGTTTATGTTTATTTGGAAATGGAAGCTGTTAACATACAGAATGAACTCGAATACTTTTTAGCGGGAAGAAACTCCAATGACAATCCTTCTTGTTACATATTTTTACATGGCTGTTTATTTGTATATATTTTAAATTTTTATATATGGATGTTTTATGGTGGCCTATATTTGTAATACCTGATAAAGGTTTGGTGAAGTAACTCTGAATACTAGGGGGAAATCTAAATGGCATTTTTACATGCCTATATAGTTCACACGGCTTGCACTGCTGCCTGAAGCAGTCAACAGGTTGTTTGAAATATGCCATGCCAATGTGCAGCTGTTCTCCCAATGCACAGTTGTCCTCCCCCACCCCTTTTTAAACATTTAATCTTACATGGAAATGTGTATTTTGTATGAAAGCTGCACAGTCACACTGAACGCTGCAGATGGGACACAGAACGATCAAAATGTCAGTTCCAAGCCATCTGACCAGGGGGGAAATGAACTTCTCTGGTATGCAGTCATATTGCATATTGGTTTTTGTTCTTATTTTGTGTGTTTATACATTGTTATTATGATGTTGTTGTGAACTCAGATGAAGTGTGGTATACAAATTTAACTAATAAATAATAATAAGTGCCTGTAGTTAATTAAAAGCAGGTTCCCATTTTATATGTTATGATTTAAAGGTGGGTTCTTACGGCTACTTGTCATTTGTGATGGCTGGAAGCAAGCCGGCCTCCCAGTTTCTTACGCCTTGTCCCCTTTCCTCGCTCTCCTTTTACACAGGCTTAACAATACAGCTCTACATGAAGCAGTCTTGCTTGGATTGGAAGGATGGGAATGCATGGATGCATTGCTAGGGTAAGTACGGAGAAACCTTGGCTTAGAAAGGGGTGCTGAGTGCATCCAGCACCTACTTCTTCTCAGGATAAGTAGAGAGTTGACATAGTATCATTGGATTAAGGGACCCTGCGATGTTAGTTCCCCCTGCAATGTTAGTTCTAGTAACTCAGCCCCGTTCTTCTAACAGATACATCATTATAAAATAAATTTTAACTGCTTGTCCACAGCCCACCCACACTGAGGCCATGTTATTGTGATACACTACAGCTGCAGGTTTACATCTTCTCTGACAATGGTAGCAGGAGTAGTGGGATTGAGTGGCACAGCAGTCTGGGACCCCCGAGTTGGCGGTGGATCCCAGTTGTGCCATCTGCCTGCATTGCAAGGAGAAGCTGAGCAGGGAAAAGTTCCAGAGACTATGCCAAGAGCAGCCTTAAAGTACACCTTTAAAGAGCCAGTGTGGTGTAGTGGTTAAGAGCAGTGAATTCATAATCTGGTGAACCGGGTTCAATTCCCTGCTCCTCCATATGCAGCTGCTGGGTGACCCTGGGCTATTCACACTTCTTTGAAGTCTCTCAGCCCCACTCACCTCACAGAGTGTTTGTTGTGGGGGAGGAAGGGAAAGGAGATTGTTAGCCGCTTTGAGACTCCTTAGGGTAGTGATAAAGCGGGATATCAAATCCAAACTCTTCTTCTACACCTGCACATACGGTAGTAGTTCCTCTTGCTTAGGTAAGAGGCAGAGGCAGAGATGTCAGGCATGAAAAAGGTGTCCAAACAGAGGAAAAGAGAAGCCCCGACTCACTCTCTTTTCACCCCAAGAAGTAGGAGCAGTTTGGGCAGGTGACTGGAGAGGAGGAAGTATGGTCCAGGAAATGAAAGTTTCCAGCACCCAGACCAGCCGCCCCCTCAAATCTTGCTGCTCTGTGTCCAGTACCACCCAACACCATTGAATCAGTGCCCACAAACAAAACTACTGGTAGGAAACTAATCCCTTTAATTTTTTTCTCTCTATCCCACCTCCCTATTTAAAGGCACCTAGAATGCAAGTGCTGGGCCAGTTTGTCTGAAATTTGGAAGCATGCATGCTATGGATGCCACTTTAATGTATGTTGTTTTTAGACCAATTGCACTCGAAATACTAGTGAAGATTATTTTTTCCCTTTTGTTACCTACCCCACCCCCCAACTCTAAAAGTTGCCCATGTGGGGAAAGCACTGCAGTTATCCTTCTGAAATTTGGCAGGATTCATCCCTTGGGGTGGGTCTATGACATGGGTGGGCAAACTAAGGCCCAGAGGCCAGATGTGATCCAATCGCCTTCTAAATCTGGCTCATAGATGGTCCGGGAATCGGCGTGTTTTTTACATGAGTAGAATGTGTGCTTTTATTTAAAATGCATATCTAGGTTATTTGTGGGACATAGGAATTCGTTCATTATTATTGTTTTTCAAAATACAGTCCGACCCCCCACAAGGTCTGACAGTGGACCGGCTCCCTGCTGAAAAAGTTTGCTGACCCCTGGTCTATGATACCTGCAGATTTAATGAAATTCTTCCTAAAAATAAAAAGACGCTTTTACTTTGTGCTGGAGAGCTTTTAAAGTTTAATTTAAAAAACAATCACGCCAACCCACACCCACAAAACCCCTTAGGGGAAACTCTGCCTGTTGTGAAAAGAAGTATAACTAGTTTTGACTTCCCAGTGGCAAGAAGTGGGAGGGAACAAACCCTCATTTTTCCTGAAGAGGATGCTGCCATGGACCATGAGTCGAATCAATGGGCCTCGCTTCACACCATGGCATGTTGTTTTCTGAAACAGCAAATGAGGCTCCAAAGTTAATTTTGTTGCCCGGGAGCAACCCTAGTATTAACACATTTTTATGTAGTTTTGTTATAACTGCTGACAGCAGTAAGAGCTATTGACATTGTTTGAAACAAGAATCGTGACTTCATTTTCCTGGCACAACAATCCAAGCCCTCCTTCCGGCAAGCGAGAGAAAGGCAGTTGCATTGGGTAGAGGTATCCCTGATAAAAGGTCTTTTTTTCACAGATGTAATGCAAACATTAAGAAGAAGAATTCCAGAGGGCTGTCAGCCTGTGATTTGGCACTGAAGAGTGGCATTGACAAAATAGTTTCATTGTTTGCTAGAAAGCTAGGAAAGAGGATGTTAGACAAAACTTCCACAACACAGGCAGAGTCCCCCTAATGGCTCAGGGCCGCAATACCTCAAGGACCACCTCTCCCCATATGAACCGAACAGGACCCTGTGATCATCATCTCCAGCCCTTCTTTATGTGCCCCCTCCACAAGAGGTCCAGAGGGCGGCAACATTAGAATGGGCCTTTTCTATGGCAGCTTCGTTTGTGGAATGCTCTCCCCAGGGAGATTCACCTGGTTCCTTCATTGCATATATTTAGGCACCAGGCAAAACCTTCCCTTTATAACCAGGCCTTTGGTCTTGTGTAACTATCTGTGGCCTTTTAGAATCGGGCAGGATGCTTTTAATGTATCCCCCCCCCATTGCTTTTAATGTATCAATGTGCCGGGCGGGGGGGGGATTGGTTGCAAGTCATTTTGCCTTGCCTTTGGAAAAATAAAGTTTCTAACAAAACACCACAATAGACAAAATCCCTAAGTAGCATGGTTAAACCAACAAACCATGACATCAGACTGAGGTCACCTTGAACATGTTTGATGCCAGCATGCCTTGCTCACCTGAACATCATCACACTTATGGATGACTGCAGGAGATGTGAATGGCCAAAGGCAGGCCTAACCTACTTACTTCCAGGAGGAAATGCAAATGAGAATTAACACTGTACTAGACAAATCCCTGATAATGGACTATATCAATATAATAATTGGATACATACCTGCAACATATCTGTTTAGCATCAGTAGCATGTATGCTAATTCTCTTTTTGATACAATAAAATTGCATTTGATTTCTCTTGGTTGTCCTTGTTAACTCTTGGAGTGTTAACGTGTGGAGCACGTTCAGGTCTCATTGCCAAAATATCCTCAAAAGGGGTGACAGGGCCACATGTGCTAACTGCACACCTCATAACACTTTTATTAGTATTGAATAACTACATTAGGGATCCTATAAATTTCATGGCATTATGTGAGTCCCTAAGAATTTGCACACAGCCTTTTTATTATGTATATATCCAATCTGAATTTTGACAGGTTAGATCAGGCTTCCTCAACATTGGCCCTCCAGATTTTTTGAGACTACAATTCCCATCATCCCTGACCACTGGTGCTGCTAGCACCACCAACTCATGGGAGTTGTAGGCCAAAAACATCTGGAGGGACAGGTTGAGGAAGCCTGGGTTAGATTTTTCCACCTAATAAATGTCATGTCTAGAGAGACTGAATCAAACATTTTATTGCTTTCTGCAAAGAATAGTTTGAACATTTGTATCTTCATTCAGTATGAGAACTCGTTGGGAATCATCAACTGGTTTGTCAAAAGGGTTCTTCATGAAGAACAGGACGACCAATTCCATCCTTACAGAAAAAGGAAGGAGTTTCTGTATTTCTGTCTTGGCCAGACAGACTCTATTGTAATATATATATATATATATACTAATCTCAGTAAAGACCACAAACAAATAACCTAATAGCAATAAAGGCAACAAAGCACCTCAGTAAAAGCGCTAAACCGTATTTTATTGTAGTGACCAGATTTCCCTTGCAGTATCATCGCCGCAACCTCAGAAAGAACGCATGTTTGCATTCCTTACTGTCCAAAGGGTAGTATTTGTCATAGAAATCTAAAATGTACTCCTCAGTTTTAAATCCAAACTTCTGGTACAGCAGCATTGCAGAATTACTTGCAGATACATGAAGGGTTGCATCTTTGCCCATACAAGTCTGTGAAAAGAAAAAAGAGTTGTATTACATGTGAGGAGCGAAATGAGGAGATAACTAATTATGGGAGCACTGTGCAGTCAAAGACAACTTTCAAGGAGGAAGAGATACTAAAAGCAGACAGAAGTATCATGCATTAATATACATCATAGATGGATAACAGATGATATAGTAAAGCACAGGTTACATCTAATATCAATTTCTCTTGGGGAAATGAATTCAGAATACAAAATTTTCAGAATTGCTAGCTTCCAAGATTGATTGTCCTTCAATTCTGCTTGATAAGGACCTCAGTCATTCAGTACTTACAACTGGTAAACTACAAGAAGTAGCAACCTTCAGAAGATGCAAAGTTACAGCAGCACTGACATAGCCTTAATTTCACTGAATAAATTAAGAAAGGTACCAGAAAAAAGGGCTGGAAGAGTGGTGAAGAGTGGAAGTATCTCATTACTTGCAAACGGGGTAAAACAATTAGCCCCAGCAGATAATAAATTTGGTCAATGAACTCACAGGTTTTGTGATGAGGAGCTTGTTGAGTCATTCAATCTGGATATGAAAGCTACAGAACTCAAGACAACACATAAAAAAGTAGATAGTTTGCTCCGGGCTTGCCAAAACTGCCTTTGGGAATTTAGGGTTGTGCTGCTATTGGACTGACTAGGCATCTGTACCTGAATCCCAAATGCAAGCCACAAATTTTACAAGGGTGTTCTCCCGTCCTTAATGAATCCGCACCAGTAGCGTAGCGTGGGTTGCCTGAGCCGAGGTGCAAAAGGAATGGCAGCATCACCATGGGGAAGGGGGCTAGCACATCATCCTGGGTCCTCCCCCTTTTTTGTGCAACCTCCGAGATCTGAGCTCTCCTGGGAGGTGCTGGACGTGGACTCCAACCTCACAACTGGAGCCCCTCTGGCACCGCAGCTCACCCTGCACCAGCTGCTCCAGCTGCTCATAGCACACCCACAGAAAGCTCCACCAGTCCAGCCAAGGAGCCAGCATGCTGCCAGCCGAGGCTCGCATGGTTGCCTCTTCGTTCACACCAGGCACTCCAACGGCACCTGCCGTGCCTACGGCTGCCTGCTCCCGTACAAGGGCTGGGCTGGGGGCTCTGCGGTGGCCCCAGGGCAGAAGGGAGATGAGGGGACCACCCAACACAGCAGCGACCCGGCATGCACACCGTCAGCACCAGCCATGGCATAAGAAGCGTGTTGTGCACAACACCTGCAAGCTAAGGATACGAACCCGTGGAACCAAAGGGGGCAGGGAGCAAGAGGGGGTTCTGCCCTGGCACAGGAAGGCCTGGCCAGCTACCCACTCCCCAAGGCCACCCAACCACCCAGGAAAAGTTCGCGCCACACCCATTGCCAGGCTAGAGAAGGGAGACCCTCATAGTTTTGCAGCTCCTTTGGGACCACTGCAGCCCATTGGTATAACATGGGCTGCACCCTTAAGAATTCTGCACCTGGGGGAATTGCCCCTGCAGCTCCTCCACTGATCTGCACAACATAGATGTAACAACTGAACGACGAGTAGGTCATCAAGGGGATATAAATCTTCTTGAGTAAACCTGCCCTGTTTGCACTTTTATTTAAAGCAAAAGGTACAGATCATACTTTTCAAGATAATAAATCATAAAACTACCTGAATAAGATGATAGATCATAAAGGTTGCAATTCCTGATCTTCTCCATTCAGGGTGAACAAACAGAAAAGAGATGTATGCTTCATTGTATTTAACATCTGGTACCATAAAACCAAACGCAACAATGACCTTTTTGTAAAGGACAACAACACTGAAGTCTGGATATTGCAAGCATTCTGAGAGGTCGATTCCTGTGGGAGAGAAAAGCACACCACAAATGATCACAGATTGTTGATGGAAAAGGAACATTATAATAAATATCTATTTAAGGCTTTTTTTAAAAAGAAAAAGAAAAAGCTTTGCTCATGTGGAGCTCTCCTATTTTCATAATTTGACATTAGCATGGAAACTAGTTCATAACATCCTAAAGGACTCAAAATCTAATTACGGGACTGGTAATAAATAATCCTACAACGAAATGTTAAGGACATTTCCACGTTAAAGGAATAATATACTGTTAGGTATTATAATTATGTGAATAAAATGACCCAGTAGTTGAATCCTGTATGCATGCATGCTTACTTGGAGGTATGTCCCACTAAATTCAATGGGTCTTTGACCAGAAGTAAGTATGTGCAGGATTACACCCCAAGATCACAGTAAATGTCTGCAGGTTATTCAACTTTTCCACATATACTTTCAAAAGCTACATTTATTCAGTCATGAGAGAGAATTAAAAACAGTTTTATAAGGTTATAAGATTCCATTGGGAACCAATCAGAAAAATAGATGCTTGTTCTATTAGGAACAGGTCACTTCAGCCAATAGAAAATGCACTGATACATGCACACAGGCTTTTTATTAATATTACCATTACATTTCTTTTTATTCCACAAGAGTGACTGTAAGCAACATACAGTGCAAAAACAAACATTTAAACTAAGTATAAGAACAATAATAAAATAAGAACCCACAATGTTCAGTCATAATATATATAGCCAACTCAACCCACTCCACCAAAAAGACGTCACAAACATACCTAAGTAGCCTCCAAATTAAGGGCCAAAATTCTGTGAGAATAAAAGTATTTTTGCCGAGCCCCTCAACACAGATAAAGGATGGCACCAGGCTAAGTACACATTAGGCACAAATTCATTAATCAACGTCCCAAAACCCTTTCTTTTCCTTTTCAAGAAAAGCAGCTTCATAGCTTTTTACTACCCACTAGGTTTCTTTTCCAACTGTCCCACCCATCCTTCTTCCGTCTTCTCAGGATTCAAAACTAATGTATGCCTTGTGGCGGGCAGCTGAAATTCTCTTAGGGAAGGGAAAAGAGAAGCAGTGGCAGCATTAGAGCTGAAGTATATCTACCAGAATGGAATGAGTAGTCGCCCCATTATTTCCCTTGACCACCTAGTAAATCCTACCTGGCCAAAAGAACTCATGGCACATTGAGTTAATAGTGGGAATGTGATTAGGGCGCACATAGCAATAATCAATGGGTGCCTCTGGCTCAGCAGTCCAGCTGGGATCATTCTTGTGCGAATGGGCACGAATCTCATTCAGCAACCTTAGTTTTGGAGGCTTGGTTTCATAATCACGCCTGGAGGGGACACAACAGCAATATTTGTCATTTTCAGAGTATAACAGCAGTCAGACTCAGTCGGGCCTGAAATTAAGACACGGGTATGGTGCACAGAGAACAGGAGAGATTTGTTGTTGCTGGGGTCTAGTTGTCAAAGCCAGTCACAAGTTGGAGAACAGCCATGTTTAAGTTCAAGGGTGCACCATTCTCCAGATGTCTCTCAAGTCTCATTGTGATACCATGCTGGAAAACATGTGTCTGGACTTGGAGAGAGCACCTTCCCTTTTCTGTCCATGCACTAAATATTTCAATCTGGGACCATGTCCATCCACCAAACTACCAAAAAGGTAACCATATCATCTATTTCACAGCAATTCAGGGACCCCATTGATGAAAATATTTTGCTATCTGTTCAGTCCTTAAGGTGCTCCATATTAATTCATTAAGCTGTAAATTGCCTTTTATTTTACTTTGTTATTAAACCTTCCTTTTTGTGGAGAGTATTCCACTACCTAGACAAAATTCCTAAAGTTGTGCATGCTGTGCTCCTGTACATTTGATAAATGTATTTGTTTCTGTCCCAACTCTAGCATACTCACAGGAAGAATAGACTCTGGGCTGCAGAGAAAAACAATCCTCCTAGCATGAGTGTTTTGCATCTTATGAAATACCACCAAAACAGGAAAGATGAGCAAGTAATACTTCATGTTTCCATGCTTTTGGTATAAAACACAAAGGGGGCAGTTGAGTATCTGCCCTGCAAGGCCACCTACACTGAGAACCCATACATCTTCCCAGGACTATGGACTTAAAGATAAAGGTAAAGGGACCCCCGACCATTAGGTCCAGTCGTGACCGACTCTGGGGTTGCGGCGCTTATCTCACTCTACTGGCCGAGGGAGCCGGCGTTTGTCTGCGGACAGCTTCCGGGTCATGTGGCCAGCATGACTAAGCCGCTTCTGGCGAACCAGAGCAGCGCATGGAAACGCCGTTTACCTACCTATTTATCTACTTGCACTTTGATGTGCTTTTGAACTACTAGGTTGGCAGGAGCTGGGACCGAGCAACGGGAGCTCACCCCGTCGCGGGGATTCGAACCACTGACCTTCTGATCAGCAAGTCCTAGGCTCTGTGGTTTAACCCACAGCGCCACCCGCGTCCCTATGGACTATGGACTTACTTGGTGGCAAAATCACCTCTGCCAATTTCAGTTCTCCATCTGTAATATGGGGATAACAGTGATCTATTTAACAGAGCAGACTTAACAGACTGTCTTTACAAACTTTTAAAACGTATATTTCAGCCTAAAGTCATGGCCCTAAGAGTTGAGTGTTCAACAATTGACCAGAAAGAGAACAAATCTGGAGGGGAAAAGAAGAAAGAGCCATCTGCTCGTAAGTGAAAACAGCTCTGTGATCTGTACCTGATGTAGGGTTTCAAAACACGGGAAGTGTAGGGACTGATAATGCTGTGGTCAGTCAAAGCATCTTCTGAGCCTACGAGTCGGCACAGAAATTTTGTTGGCATTTGTCGAAACCCCTTCACAGCAGACAGCTTAGTCTGTAAAGCAAAGCCAAAAAACAAGGAAATGAGCCTAGAATGAACATAAACAAGAGAGCTATCGCTGATAGAATACAAATAACATCTGCAACTGAGCCTTGCAACTTGGTAAAAAAAATGCCGATGGCAAGTTAACTACAGTGTACCACTGGCTATTTTATAAATGGTAATTTGCACCAACCACAAGGTGGCTGTTACTACTGTCAAGTCCAGTTTTGAAAAAGGAGAATGGACAGTATTCAGCTAGAAAGCTGCACTAGCACAATGGGATTCCCTCCCTTTTCTCCCCACATGCGATCCCCAAATGTGTACCAGAGCGGGGGGGACCCAGAACAGGTTTAGGGGTCACAGAGAGAGGAGAGGAGAAGAATGTTCCATTGGGCAAAGAGAAATCTTTGCACTACACATTGAACACAACCTAAGTTACCCTATCTGCAAGACGTTGAGATTACCTAGTCCCTCTTAGGAATTCAAACAGCATTAGTTTACTGGTCTTAAAAATGAAGTTACTGTGACACTGTAATCTCTTTAATAGATGGAGGTTACCCAGGAGTTGTTTGCTCCCCCCCCTTTTGCTTCAAGGGCAGAGCTACGCAAATGTCTTTGTGACTCGTCTTCTTTCAGTGGAAGAAGCCTCCCTCACTCAGTTTCAGGGCACAAGGAGGGATTCACTTTACAAGCCCATAAGCAGAATCTCTAAGCAAGGACTTCAGCTTGTGCAGCAGGGCTTTCCCTACCTCTTTTCCCCACCTCCTTGAAATTGGCTCTAGGGAGATCAGCAGAACCATCAGTGAAGCATGCAGAGGGAGGAGAGGTGGGATATTTTTGTGGCAAGCTGAAATGCTTGCGCAGGTGGAACTTTTGCTAGCACAATGTTGAATTCCACCCATAATATGCTCAATAAAAACATAACTTGGTTTCCAGTTAACCATTAACTTCTGTAGCAGGAAATTATAAATGAGTGCGTACATTAACACCCAAGCATATACAGATAAAATGTCATTCCCAGGATTGGGACAATCTTAGCTATTGAACCGAGGAGTCACAGAATGCTCCAGATGTCTACAGCAGTAGAGAAACAAGCTGAGGTGTTTCTGGATGATCTCCATCGAGCCAAGAGTGTAACTACAGATCCCTCACTAGAGGGCTCCTTAGAGCTTTATGGATTTATAGAATTCCTAAGGTCCTTTAAAGCTGAAGAAGAAGAATAAACACATATCTAGGCTTTAGAGCTGGGTGATATATTAATACGTTGTCTGAAACCGAGATGGCATTCAGACTGCGATACCAGCTTCAGACATTTTGAGCTGGCAATACATTGTGCCAGCTCAAATTGCCTACAGACGGCAAAGGCGCAGGCAGGCAGGCAGGCAGGCAGGCAGGCAGATGGAGCCTAAAAGTGAACACCTGAAGGTGAACACCTTCTCAAGCTCTGTTTACCTGCCTGTCTGCACCTTTGAGAAAGGCCCCCACCCCGTCCCTCCATCTCACCTGAGCCAGAGCAGTATGGGGGCTTGCACAGCTGAGAAGCAGAAGGCTTCCCATCCTCCAGCTAATCAGTTTAAGGAAGTCCCGATGCCCCTCTGACTCACACAAGCTGGAGCGGTATGGCGGCTTGGGCTGGGCGATATACCAGACATTGTGGTATATCAGCATATTGCGGAATTTAACTGCTGGTATATCACAATGATGAGAGCCAGATACTGCCCCACCCTACTAGGCTTTGTGGTGGCAAGCTCTTTTGTTGCCCTTGAAAACACTTCCTTGGTCCTTCTGGACATAAAAGCATCACCTAAGTAAGCCTAGAAGAAATGGATATAAAGTAAATGAAAATTGCCACATATAACTTCCATAAAAACAGCAAAGCACTCACTCACTCTCTGGAAAGGAGAAGGGATTGAGCAGCCAGTGCCAAGGAATACATTGTCCCATTCCATTAAGAGAAATTTCACAATGGATGTGATCATGGGCAGTGATTGACAGATAATGACCTAAGAAAGGGTGCCTAGACGTGTGGTGTATGGACTAGCAGGTTGTGTTCCCTTAGCCCACTATCCCCATCCAGAGTATGGAAGCCATCGAAAAAACAGTTGAATTGGAAACATTAACCTGGTATCGATCCAAGATTCTGAAATCCTGGCTGGTAGTTCTGTACATTGCGTAATTTGCTGGGGGACAGGGAGCAATTCCTTCCTTGGGTCCATAAATCCGATCAACCAGGAGAAGGGCTGCATTCACAATACTGTCCAAGTCAAAGAGGGGCAGGCCTCTCTCGCGCTTGGCCTGCCGGATTATCAACTTGCGCCGCAGCCTCTGAGCTTCAGGGGTCATGGCTGCAGCATTTGGGCAACTCTCCAAGTTCCTCAAGAGAAGCTTTTCTTCATAGATGCTAACAGGTGCATACTTGGGCATGCCGAACTTAGCGTTCTTATGTTCCAACTGCATCCTCCTTTTGTCTCGACCCTGGTCCTGAAGGGATGTGCGAGTATTATCAGAGTTTTCAGTGTCACGTTCAAGTCTCTCTGCTTTTTCTTCCTCGCTCTCCATCTCTTGCTTAATCTGCTCTGGTGTCTTCACCTTCTTTCGGATCATTCCCACTGGACCACTCGGGGGTGGGATATACTCTATTCCTGGATCTATAACACCATCACCTTCCATCTCTTCATCATCTATAAACAAAACAAAATATTCCATAAATTTTCTGACAGTGTAATGAATGCAACTTATTTGAAGAAGTGTGCATGCACATGAAAGCTTATACCCAGAACATACTTAGTTGGTCTCTAAGGTGCTACTGGACAATTTTTTAATTTATTTCGACTGCATCAGGCCAACACAGCTACCTACCTTAATCTAGAATACAACTGTGTTTTCTTCCTAGGAGACTGTGGCTTTAATATGAAAGGGTACACAGCCATTCCCCATTAATATTCAGTTGAAATTGACCTTTCCAAAGTAGTATTCTCCACATTTGCTAGTTAAAGAGGTTTTGATTTATGAAAATCAGCCCACTTTAGTAGATCCAGTGTGGCTCTGAATAGGGTGCTTAATTCAGGAAGGAAGATGGACCACAAAAATCTGACAGCAGAAAAGACAGGCCTTTCTGTAGCACAAATATATCTAAAAGTATATTGATAGAATAGCCAGGAACAATAACTCAATGGATGTATATAAAGACTGTGGCAAGTTGGTCAGAATGAAATGCTAGACTTACTAAAAGGTAAAGATAAAAGACCGCTGAACAGTTAAGTCCACTCAAAGGCGTCTATGGGGTTGTGGCGCTCATCTCACTTTCAGGCCAAGGAAGCCGGTGTTTGTCCACAGACAGCTTTCCGGGTCATGTGGCCAGCAGGACTAAACTGCTTCTGGTGCAACAGGACACCATGAGGAGTGCCAGAGTGCATGGAAACACTGTTTATCTTCCCGCCACAGTGGTACCTCTTTATCTACTTGCACTGGCGTGCTTTTGAACTGCTAGGTTGGCAGGAGCTGGAACAGAACAACGGGAGCTCACTCTGTTGTGGGGATTAGAACCGCCGACCTTCCAATCGGCAAGCCCAAGAGGCTCAGTGGTTTAGACCACAGCAACACCCACATCCCTATTAGACTTACTATGAGGTTCCATTACAGCAAAATATATATCAGGAGGCTTGGTTTGGTCAAAATCGAGTATACACTCCCAGAATTAATGCTAAATACAGCGTTTCTGGTAAATGAGCCACCATAGCCGCTAGATCTTTGATGGCCAAACTTGGCCCTCCAGCTGTTTTGGGACTACAACTCCCATGATCCCATGCTAACAGGACCAGTGGTCAGGGATGATGGGAACTGTAGTCCCAAAACAGCTGGAAGGCCAAGTTTGGCCATCACTGCGCTAGACTAGAGCAGCGGTTCTCAACCTGTGGGTCCCCAGATGTTGTTGGACTACAACTCCCATCATCCGAGCTCTGGCCTTGCTAGATAGGGGTGATGGGAGTTGTAGTTCAACAACATCTGGGGACCCACAGCTTGAGAAAGGCTGCGCTAGAGGATTGTGAAAATTTGTGTCCTAGGCTTTTTAGACTTGTCTACCCATGTAATATCTGAAACCCAAGGGGTGCATTGGTTGTCAGATGTGAAATATTTTCAGCATAATTTTCAGCTCTCCTGAAATTAGCTGTTTGAAGGAAAGGCAACATAAATTTTAACAAGCAATAATAAAGCATTAGGAAAGTTAAAACACAACTGTTTTGACAGGGAGGGGGTGGAATCTCCAGAACTAGCAACCTAGAAGGTCAACCAAAACCAAAACAGCAGCAAACAAAAAAGGCATTTTTCTATGTTCTAGTGTTATTGCTTATTTTGTTTGTTCGTTTCTGTACAGTTGAGAAAATTATTTTTTTCCCATTAAAGTACTATAATAATGCCCTTTATACAAGACCAAGTACACATAGTATTAAGGAAATAGCACTTGCAGCATTTTCTTCTTTTTCGCCCATATATATGCTTCCAGAAGAGTACATCAGAGAAAGTTTAACATTCCAGCAAGTACCGTATATACTTGAGTATAAGCTGACTTTTTCAGCACATTTTTTATGCTGAAAAAGCCCCCCTCGGCTTATACTCGAGTGAGGCGAGCGACGACGACGGAGGGATGAGTAGCCCAAAGGGAGCCCTTTCTCACCGCTGGTCCTGCCACCACCGCCAGCCTCTTGCAAGGGCAGGCACAGGAGAGGCTGCGCTGTGCCTCTCCCAACCGCGGCTCCTATGCCTGCTCTTGCGAGTGGCAGAGGCAGCAGCGGAGGGACGAGCGGCCCGAAAGGAGCCCTTTTGGGCTGCCTCCGCCACCGCCTTTGCCTCTGTCAGCGGCGGAATGAGCAGCCTGAAAGCTTGTTCTTCCTCCGTCACTGCCGCCACCACCAGGTTTGTAGTGTGGTGAACCGGCTTATACTCGAGTCAATAAGTTTCCCCAGTTTTTTGTGCTAAAATTAGGGGCCTCGGCTTATATTCGGGTTGGCTTACACTCAAGTATATACGGTATCTAGCAACGCAGATGGCATATATGTGATTGTCAGAAGCACTGGTTGGGTACACAATTTGCTATATGAATTAACACTAGACAAGGAATAATATTACTGATAAGTGCTTGAATATTTTTCACATTAGAAAACATTTTCCTCGGTACGTTAGTGAATATAATTATTGAGAGTAAGTATCACAGTTCCTGGTAGATGTTAAATACCACCAACAATGGAACTGTGGTCAAGAAATGGTTGTGGAAATGAGATCCAATAGAGGTTAATAGACAAGGAAATGTTAAAGTAGCTTTTACCATGAAACAGGGCCTGTGGTGGCATTATGTCTGGAATAAGGTCTGCTTCTGAGAGCAGGCTCGGTGTAGCTGAGTGAGAAGCTGGTGTTCCGGGAGCAGAGAAATCTGGAGAAGGAGATGGAGATGGGCTTGTCAAAGGAGTTCGATCAGAGGAGCTCAGGGAAGAAAAGTCAACCACTTCCCCCTTCTCAAGTATAATGTCAGGACGCCGGCTTCGACTGATGAATTTGACTGGCGTGGAGGATGTGCTTCTGTCCAGGAAGGCTGCTGCCTCCTTCTGAGCTCTCCTGATGTCCTTGGCTTCCTGAGTGCGAGATCTCTTCTCCTTCAGCTCCATGGCGGATTCTACTGGATTGCGGCTCACTCTCTTTCTAAGTCCCTCCACTGTAATGATAGGGTCTAATGATGGTTTTGAACCTGCCAGAGAACAAGTAGTGTGTTTGTTCTGACATGCAGAGAGAACACCAATTTTAGAACTTTATGGAAGCTTTTAATATTTGATGAATTATTGTATTTTAATATTTTGCTGGAAGCCACCCAGAGTGGCTGGGAAACCCAGCCAGATGGGCGGGATTAAATTATTATTATTACTCCAAAACAAAGGCAGCATCTATTTCTACAGAAGGTATCCAACATAAACAACTTTTTAAAGACCATAAAAATACACCTTTCCTGATACAGGAAAACGTGACAAGCAGGTACGAACATTCTTTAATTCCAGACTGCATATAACAGAATGTGGGAATGCAATATATTTTTGACACATACATTGAACGTTTTCACCAAATTTTTAAGAGGAAGAAGAGAGGCAAGAAGGAGTGAAAAGGAGAACTGCAAAGTGGTAAAAGAAGCTGGGGAAGAAACTGGTGAATAGAGAGGCTGAATAGGTGGTGAGCTTGGGAGTGGATAGGGAATGAAAACAAGAGTGGCTGAGAGGGAGAAGCAGCAACCAAGAAACATATAACGGGATGTACAAGGGGCAAGAGCTATACCTATACAATACCTACCCTTTGCAGAAAGTTCACGGGTCTTTAAAAACTGAGGATGTCTGCATGATAGCATACCCTTCACAAATTTCTGCATTTGAATTTTTTTTGTGTTTTTATTTTGATTGAAATCCGTAATGTCAATAGTACAGAAGAGTGCAAACCCACTCTCTCTCCTCACGTACCCCCACCCTGCCAAAACCACCAGTTTTAAGACTATTGCACCCTTAAATGTGCAAATGATATGCAGTTTACAAATTATTACCTTTTGTTTTCAGGGCAGATGCAGAAAGCTTCTCTCCTTCCGGCTTCATTGTAGGGGGCCTATTGTGGACAAGTTTCCACCATCCTGGTTCTCCAAACTCTTGAGCCCCTGAACGGAAATATAAAGGACTCCCCACAGAAAGACAACCAGCAACAGTGCTCCACCAAGTAGAAGTCTTCTTCCTAAATCAAAGAAAGAGAAAAATGTCTCTGAAAGAGAGCTCTGTTTACTACATTGGTAGCAGATTGCTAGTTCCTCTTCAGATCTTAAGTGAAATTAATGGGATGAGCACAGTAGCAAGGACTGGAAGCAGGAATCAATTTCTGCAATCAACTATAGCTGAAATGTATACGCATTATTTCAAATTTTATTCTGGATTCTCAAAATCTTAGGACAAATTACAAATGAGGGCTAGGAGATGTTAAGAGACACTCTCAACATGGTGCAATCTTGTACTATTTTGAAAGACCAGAATAAACTTTGAAATAAAATGGCCGTATATTTTGGCCTTTGCTGCTTGCAGAAACCAACTGGAGGGAGACAAGCTAGGGGAAGTCATACTATGCAGAACTATACAGAAGTGAACTAGCTATTGACCTTCACCCACTATGGATACCTTCTCTCTTTTACTCTCAACTAGGAGAAAAAAAATGTTTTCCTACATTTTAATTATATGTGGACGTTTTGTTCTTTACCTTCAGTTTCAAGACAACATAATGGCATTACCGGTTTCCTAGTAGAAAATTCCAGTGTTTTTCAATGAAAGAACAAATGTCTTCCTTCCACCTGAAGTAGCCTTGGCGGCCAGTTCCTTCCAAGGATAGATTGTACATTGCCAGCATAACAACCTGAAACACAAATAGGAACCTCTCATTTACAATAGGTAAGAAATATTTTTTTTCTGAAATAAAATGATTCTCTTCTCCTAACAGGTTATATAAAATAATCAACTCTTAGACAATAAGAGGGTTTGGGGAGGGATTAATCTGCCTGGATTAATATTATCCTAAATGCATCTATTTCAGTTAACGAATGTTCAGATATGTTTTATCCTTAAAGAGGAACATGACAAATGTGTCCTTTATTACCCTAGCTGGGGCAATAAAAATACAAATGGAAATACAAGGAGCTAAGATCAGACAAGAGCAATTTAAAACTAACTGGTACGTGGATGAAGTCATCTGAGAAATGCCTAAATTTGTTTTACAGAATTCAATGCAATCTCCAGATACAAATTGATTTTCACGAGGCCTGAATGGATGGGCTTCAACTTGGATAGAACTACAAAGGGAAAAACAACAGGGTACAGTATCTGATTCCATGGAGGGACTTTCTAATTAAATACTTAGAAATCTGATACTACTATAGTCCTAACTACTATGGGAACTCATGGAAGAGTTTAAGGAAGATTTGTTGCAATGGGCATACTTAAAGATATCCTAAAAAGGGAAAATCTCAGCTTTAAAAAAAATTGTACCATTTGATAGTATTTACAGTGGTGCCTCGCAAGACGAAATTAATCCGTTCCGCGAGTCTCTTCGTCTTGCGGTTTTTTCGTCTTGCGAAGCACGGCTATTAGCGGCTTAGCGGCTATTAGCGGCTTAGCGGCTATTAACGGCTTAGCGGCTTTAAGAAAAAGGAAACAAACTCGCAAGAACTCGCAAGACGTTTCATCTTGCGAAGCAAGCCCATAGGGAAATTCGTCTTGCGGAACGACTCAAAAAACGGAAAACTCTTTCATTTTGCGCGTTTTTCGTCTTGCGAGGCATTCGTCTTACGAGGTACCACTGTATATTTTTAAATATCTCTCCACAAGTACTCACTACAGCAATTACTAATCGGCAAAAACTCAAATTGCATTTCCTATTGAATTGGAAGTAGCAGAGTAAGTTATATATGATGAATAAAAAAAATGATGCATTAAAGAACTTTTGCAATGTTGCTATGTCAATGCAATTTAATCCCTTGCTTTATTTAGATGAGAATATTTTTGAAACAAAGAAACAAATCAATGAAACTTAAAAATACACTCTTGCAATGTAGTTAATCTGATGACAGAGTTGGTTAAAACACATATTTAACCAAGCAGTATGTTTTAAGGAGGAATTGGAGCATAAACCTTGTTAGGCAATTTGCAGCTTGGAGAATGATAACTGAGAAATTTATTTATTAAAGGAATTTAGAAATTTTATAACTGATTAGATTAGCCAGCACCATTCCCTTGACTCCAATATTTACAAATAAAACATAGTTAATAGTTTTTCTTCTGTATTGTGGGGTAGTAGTCCTACTTGCAATTTACTTCAGGTATCTTCAGGAGGCAATTTAGAGAATGGGATTAGCATGCCAGTCAACTGACTACATATAATTTGTCCAAGTAAGCCACTATGTAAATGGAACTTTCTCTATTTCATTATGGTATGTCATCTGTCAGCAAGGAGTGAAGGCAACTTGTCCCTTGGCACTGGAGCAGTCTGGCCAAACTGCAAAGTATCTTCCACAGTTTACCTAGTATAATATCTAATTTAACTGAAGACATCGCCCAAGAGTAGCATAAGTACCGTATTTTTCGTCCCATAGGACGCTCCGTCCCATAGGACGCACCTAGTTTTTTGGGGGGGAAATAAAGGGAAAAATTTTTTCCTTTATTTGCCCCCCCAAACCAGTTCGAGGAACAGCGGGATGGCGGCGCTGCGCCTCCCCGCTGTCCCCCGAGCTTGTGGGGCTGGCCGATGACTTCCCGGCGCGTGGGGCGCTCCGCTTCAGGGCGCCCCGCTCGCCAGGCTGCTATCCGCAGCCTGGGGAGCCCTGCGGGAACTCCCGCGGGCTCCCCAGGCTGTGGATGTCTGCCCGGCGTGCGGGGCGCTCCGCTTCAGGGTGCCCCACGCGCCAGGCTGCTATCCGCAGCCTGGGGAGCCCTGCGGGAACTTCCGCGGGCTCCCCAGGCTTGCGGATAGCTTCCTGAAGCCTGGAGAGCGAGAGGGGGCGGTGCGCACCGACCCCTCTCGCTCTCCAGGCTTCAGCGAAAGCCTGAATTCGCCTCATAGGACGCACACAGATTTCCCCTTCATTTTTGGAGGGGAAAAAGTGCATCCTATAGGGCGAAAAATACGGTAGTCTTCAGGCCACTGTCTAGTTGGGAGAGTGTTGGAATAGGAGCAGGGAGCCCATGAAAAAGTCTTCTTCCCCTTACAGAGGCACTGTTGGACTTGAACTAGTTTCCTGGAGTTTCTCCATACATGCTCTCTCCCCACACATGTGCAATACTGAACTATCTATGCTTCCTTCTCTGTATGTCATTCTCTTGAAAGAATTGTTGTATGTGTGTGCATGTTATATTTAATAGAATTTAAGCTTCTGAATGCGAAGATTTTTAGAATGTACTCTTCTATGTACATCTACTATGCTTTTAGTAAAAAAAAGGGAAAGGACCCCTGACAGTTAAGTCCAGTCGCGAACGACTCTGGGGTGCGGCACTCATCTCACTTTACTGGCCACGGGAGCTGACGTTTGTCCGCAGTTTTTCCGGGTCATGTGGCCAGCATGACTAAGCCGCTTCTGGCGAAACCAGAGAAGCGCATGGAAAAGCAGTATACCTTCCCGCCGGAGTGGTACCTCTTTATCTACTTGCACTTTGATGTGCTTTCGAACTGCTAGGTTGGCAGGAGCTGGGACCAAGAAACGGGAGCTCACTCCGTCACGGGGATTCAAACCGCCGACCTTCCAATCAGCAAGCCCTAGGCTCAGTGGTTTAGACTACAAAAGTAAGTGCACTCAAATTGTTGAAACATATATATATACTTGTTTGTGGGGGTTGCGATTTGTGTGTGGTGAGGTACAGCAGTATCAAAAAGGCATTTCTCCGTCAATATCGCTTATGCGGGTGTATGCTCAGCACACTGTATTTGTGATGTTGCCTTGGACACTGGGGTGAGTCTGGTGCTATTGCTAAATGTTATCTCTTACTTAAAGTGATATCATGGTATACAGAATATCTAGGTTATTGATAAGGGTACCCCTGTACATGGCTTAAGGTTGTTTCAAACATTTGCAAATTGATTCACATGTAGAAATCAAAGCAGCCTTGGAAATGTAACTTAGAGGTGACTGTAGAGGAAGTAATGTCTGTTACAGTATGTCTATTGTTAAAAACACTGCTTCCCAGTAGCCAACGTGGTGACTGAAAATGTACCAGCTTCAGCACCATATAAAATCTTACTATGTTGACACAGCTAGAAAACCAGGCCTCCTATACGTGAAACAATTTACAGAGCTGTGCATCATTCCTTGGCTAGTCATAAGATATTATTATTATTATTATTATTATTATTACCCCAGCCATTCTGGGCAGCTTACAACATATCTGAAAACATAAATCACCAAGTGTTAAAATCTCCCAATACAGGGCTGCCTTCAGATGTTCTCTAAAAGTTGTGTAATTATTTATCTACTTGACATCTGAAGGGAGGGCATTCCACAGGGAGGGTGCCACTACCAAGAAGGCCCTCTGCACATACAACACATTGAGTTTCACACAGTCCACATTACTGTCAATGTGGTTCCCTGTCTATCCACCAGAGTACTAGAGGAGATGTTGGCCCAGCACAAGTTGTATTATCTACCTTGCTAACTTCCTGATTTTTTGGAGGGTCAAGGCTACTCTATGAGCACAGTCCATGTTTCTCAGTTGTGTACTGCAATGCCAAAAAGGCAGCACAGCTGATTAAATTTGGAACAATTATTTTAACAATCCATGGCCAAAAGATAATTTCCTTTCTGTGTTTACGTAACAAATAAAGAACTCTCAAATTTTTAAAAATTAATCTGGCTTTTTGCAATGAGTTTTTTAGACTCCAAAATAGTCATGTACCTTTAAGGGTAAGCAAATAAAAAACCTTAGATTCACACTTAGAAGCTTGCTAACAACCCCTCCCCCTTGCACCTTATTGTAATACACAGAAATGTGAAATCCAGTTTTGGTGCAATTACCAAGGGTCTGCTTGTTACTTACCTGCTGCCAAGTTAGCCTCAGCCGTTCAAACTGTTCCTTCCCATCTTCTGAGCAATCAGAGCAAGTAAATCTGAAAAAATTATCACCTTTGAGATAGGTGATCTGTTCTCTCACCTGATCTGTAAACAAGCAAACAAAACCTTAGGCCTTCTTTCCCAACAAATGGGGCCTACACACCAACACATTACGAGCAAGGTCCAAAACAGCACAAATGGGGTTCATCCCAACAGCATTCATCCACTCTGCGTTTTGCTTTCTTAATCACCTCTTACAGAAATCCATGTAACCTCAATTGGTGGGCACATCTGTCTCTATTTTGGAGATATCACATATATACGTATCATAAGTGCAATTCCTTTTGAAATCTTAAGAATTGTGCATGCAGGTTTTTTCCTCAAACATAAAAAAAATATTATCTATAGCTTTTATGTAGTTCTTGTGAACGCCATCTAGCCATTCCCCAAGAGGCTAGTCTAGCCCCTTCTAAAGGGATCACTGGAGAGGCTAGCCATGGCCTTGAAGTCCACATGCCAGTGAACTCGGCTAGGGCTGAAAACTGAAGAGCATATGCAATTGCATCTCTGTGTAGGCACAGGCATTAACTACTTCTCATAGGCCCTAGTGCTTATGGATGGTGCTATGAGCAACATCCAGCAGAAGGGGCTGAGCTTAGAGGAGGTATACACTCGCCATGAAGGAAGCTGCCATAGAGGCTCTGGTGGCTAAGGCTGAGAGCTTGTAGGTCCTGCACAGCATGATCTCTGCCTTCCTGTCAATGGGGTTCTTCGGGAAATCCTCCCCATGTTTTAAAAAGGGGAATGGGGCATCCACCCATTCTTTCTTCTGAAAGGGGTATAGCTGATTTACCAGCAAGCAGGAGGCCCAGGAAGCTTCTGAGGTCTGCCACTCACTCATGATTGTGGACTACAAGTCATGTGGAAAAAGGAATCCCCTTTTGTTAGGTTTGTGCCTTGGGAGAAGGTGCTTTCAACTGGCTTTCGTCTGATCTGCTTCCTGAAGGCCCAGTTCAGCAAGAGTCACAATCTTGTAGGTCTTCCTGACCAGGGCCTTGAGTTCAGAAGGGCAAAACAAATGACACATTTTTATTATTTAAAATAATCAAGAATTAGGAAGCCTTACTTGCTGGTATCCATTTCTGACATCTTTCACAGTAATAAGACATCTCTTCTGTCCAGGATGTGTCCCCTTCATCACTATTTATAGAGTCTCCACTCTGATCATGACTCAAATCCACGGATGCCTGATCTTCAGACTCTACTATGAGAAGAGTTTCTCCTTCCACTTCTCCTTCTTCCAGCCCTTCTGAAGGCGATGTCCTTGTGGCTTCATCATCGTGACGGCTCATCATCTCGCTCATGTACACATTAGTATCCATTGTGAATTGACAGTCACTTTTATTATGCAAGAAGCCCAGCAAAACAAAGACTGTTCCAACAAGTACGAAGACATTTAAATAACTGAAATGAAAAGGGAGATCCCAACTCTTCCTGGCCCTTACTGTGAGGATTCTTTTCCCATGAGCATTTTGCTTCTTTCCATTTCAAGTTGCTCAGTCAAAGCAATCTGTTGCTCCAAAAGGCGAAGATTTTCTTGCTTACGATGCTGCCTCTCAAAGTCTCTCAGCACTCCTTCACGTAGCCTCTGAAAGAGAAATCTCTTCATATTATGGTATATATCTCTTAATAATCTACTGTTCAAAAACTTGAGAAAGTGTAAAGGTACTGCTATAGGAAATTAAGGCCAACTGTGAATCTTACAAAGCAATCATACTGTTGCAAAAGTAACATCAAAGGTTTTGCTAACTGTAGGAAGTATACATCCTCATTCCAATACAGGACTAAGCCATCTGCAAATCATAAAGGGTCATTACCTGAAGATCGCTATATCACAAACCAATAATCAGAGGCCTTCTGTGGCTATATGAAACACTGGGGCATAAAATGCTGGGGGAAATTTATGTTACAAAGTGCAAAGATAACATGGAAGAAGGAATGGTTGAATTGGGGGAAAGGGCAGCAACAGCAGATGCAATTTCTCCTCCTATGCAAAGTGTCAAATACCTCTGTTCATTTTTGCTTCCTTTTCTCTCCAGCTCCTATACACCTTTTTGAAAAGAAACATATGAAATGGCTTCATAGCAAGTGTATGTGTGTGTGTGTGTAAAAAACATCTGGCTATATAGGAGAATTTCCTACTTCTATCCCTCCAGGCTTTTGGACAGAAATCCAGGGAATATTCTCATGACTACTTGGCAGTCCAGGCAGCCCCCCTCCTCCTCCCATTTGTGTGGATGTTACATTTGGAGCAGGGCTTTTTGTCAAGTGGGTGCCACTGCCATACTAAGAGAAGGAGGGAGGTGTTCATGGTGAGTTCTGGCACCTCTTTTTCTAGGGAAAACAGCATGGTTTCCGAGGCACCACACACATTGCTGAAATTGCATACGATTGAAAACTCACTGGAAAAGACCGCAGACACCCTGTCCCACCCTTTGAGAGATTTTCCAGTGACATCTTTACAATGTTTCGGGGTTCGTTGTGATGTGTGTGTATATACTGAACCTGTGCAGTGCTTTTTTTTCTGGGGAGACGCAGGGGTAAGCATACCCCTAAACATTTTGTCACTCTAACGGGAGAAGAAACTATAAAAATCAAATTTTTAATTTCTTCTCTAGAGCGGTGAATCTGTTGCTACCCCCAATGGCGGCCTCATTTCCTGAGTCTCAAACGGAAGCAAGTGTTTAATGTGTGAAGCAGTGTAGAATGTGGATGTGTGGAGTTTTACTGATGGAAGTTTGGCCTCATTGAGGGGCAGCATTTCAATATGAGTAGGAAAATTACTGTGAGCTGTCAGCTGTGTAATACAGTGGTACCTCGGGTTAAGAACTTAATTCATTTCGGAGGTCCGTTCTTAACCTGAAACTGTTCTTAACCTGAAGCACCACTTTAGCTAATGGGGCCTCTCATTGCCACCATGCGATTTCTGTTCTCATCCTGGGGCAAAATTCTTAAACCGAGGTACTATTTCTGGGTTAGCAGAGTCTGTAACCTGAAGCGTATGTAACCCGAGGCACCACTGTATTCTCCAGTGATAGGTACAAAAGACAAAAAGAAAGAATGATACAGTGGTACCTCGGGTTAAGAACTTAATTCGTTCCGGAGGTCCGTTCTTAACCTGAAACTGTTCTTAACCTGAAGCACCACTTTAGCTAATGGGGCCTCCTGCTGCTGCCGCGCCGCTGGAGCACGATTTCTGTTCTCATCCTGAAGCAAAGTTCTTAACCCGAGGTACTATTTCTGGGTTAGCGGAGTCTGTAACCTGAAGCGTATGCAACCCGAGGTACCACTGTATGAGGTAATGTTGCATGTTCTTTGTACTTTTGTCCATTTACTGTATTGATTTCCCCCGACTTGAACTGTACAATGGTGATTTTCTGGAGTCAAAACGAGAGTACCCCTAAACATATTTTTTTTAGGGGGGGAAAGCACTGAACCCGTGTAAATTTGGGAGAGGGGGCGTGCCCGCTGCCTGTGCCCCGCCCACAGCCATCTTGCCCGTTGGTTTACACGCGCACCGTTCAGTCCCTACTCGGCAAAAGGGTCGCATGCATTCGCCCTAATAATAACGCAGCCCCGGAAAGTCAAGGGCTCTTTCTGCCGCCGAATCCGCCCCTCCCCCGATGCTCCCGCCTGGCAGGGGGGGGAGGGAGAGGCCTACCTCCCTCACGCGGCTCTGCTGGAGGTGGACGCCCGCGACGACGGCGCCCGAGACCGCGACGGAGGCCGCCAGAACCGCCTTGGACACCGTCGACATGCCCGGCGGTCTCGGCCTTCCCCTCAGCGCCCGCTGGGACCCCAAGGCGCATGCGCGGCCTCCTGCGCATGCCCAGCGGCTCGGCGCCTTCCGAGCGCTCTTTCGGCCGCGGCTCAAAGAGGCAAAGGCCCTGGACGCTCTCCTGACCGCCGCGATTTCCGGTTCCATTCGGAGCTCGCTGTTCCGCGCCGCGAGAGGGGCAAAGAGCGGGCAGCGCGTCTCTTATGGCAGTTTTGGTTCGGGTTCAGAATCCCGGGCTTTTTTGCTGCAGCCGCGAGGCTTGAACTCCCCTGGGGTGGTCGGAGGGAGGAACACGGGCTTTTCAGTTCGATGTAAGATTTTTATGGACGTGGTTCATAATTCAGTAATATATAGAAGACTAATCTAAGCAAACAGCAACAACCACAATCTTTACTACGGTCCAGAGACCCAACAAATCGTTACAAAGCAATACACAATTCATACATCCTACCTCGAGGTTAAACAAGCATTTTGTTCAGAATAATAGGGATCATTGGTTCTTGCAACCACCATAAAAACTTAAGCAAAAAACAAACCAAAACAGCTACCCAAAATATGCAAACAGAATAAATAGAATGTGGAATCCTCTGCCTCTATCACCCACAGGAGATAACAAGAAGAAGAAAGACAGAGAAGGAGAAAAAGGGGGACAGTTTTCCTTTTTCCTCTCCGCGACGGGGTGAGCTCCCGTTACTCGGTCCCTGCTCCTGCCAACCTAGCAGTTCGAAAGCACGTCAAAGTGCAAGTAGATAAATAGGTACCGCTCCGGCGGGAAGGTAAACGGCGTTTCCGTGCACTGCTCTGGTTCGCCAGAAGCGGCTTAGACATGCTGGCCACATGACCCGGAAGCTGTACGCCGGCTCCCTCGGCCAATAAAGCGAGATGAGCGCCGCAACCCCAGAGTCGGCCACGACCGGACCTAATGGTCAGGAGTCCCTTTACCTTTATGTTTCGGGGAGTGGTGTCTCTGTTTAAGTGCAAAAACGGGGTCCTGTTCGTGGGCGTAGTGCCAAATGGGGACAGGAAGGGGCAGCTACCCCCCATCAATAAAAATCAATAAAAATACATAGCAAACTGAGGTTCTCCCCCACAACAAAAGGCCTGCCCCCCCCAAACAAAAATCCTGGCTACGCTCATGGTCCTTTTTATATGGAAAATAAAATTTCTGCACCCAAATGAAGGAAACGGTGAAGCTGCCATCCGAAGTCCTTCCTATGATTTGAAAGGAAAAGGTCACCAGTCCCTTTTAAATCCATTAATTGCAATACTTCAGGAGCCAGCCATTTCTTAGGAAATGCAGGGAGTGTTGGTTCCCTTGTGAGAGTCTTGTTATGGCCAAAGGATCTGGCTGAGAGGGGAGGGGTATTTTTCTTTATCTTATTGCTGGAGGGGGGGCAACAGAAAGCAATAGTTAATTCTGGAAACTGGAGAAGCTTGCATTGTGATGTGGGGGGCGCTGGCTGAAGAAGGGAGGAGTGGCATTAATTTTATTATTTAAAATAAGTCCAGAGTACTGTTTAAAAGAAACTAAGTTAGGCTTCAAACAGCCTCTACACACTTATCATGGAGTAAGCTTACTTCTGAGTAGACATGTGTAGCCCTTTGCACTTAATTGCGGGATAAACCCACTCCAGCCCACGGGGGCAGCGGCTGTTATTACTGCAGCCTTAATAAACACAAGCACAATCTTCATGTGAGCGTCTCCAAGTGGATTAAACCTCCCCCCTGTCAGGAATTGTGCTTTGCGCTAGGAATTGGACAGTTAATCCAGTTTCAGCCCTAGATAACAGAAGCTTAGTCAGCCTGTAGGATTCCCTTTAAAACAGGTCACCAGCGGTAGAAGAGAATTTGACAACTAACTGCTTAATCCTAAACATGGTTCTATTCAGAGGTAAAGTCCGTTGAAGTCAATAGGGAAAGGATTACTCCCAAGTAAATGGGTTTAGAATTACAGGATAAACTGCAATCCGAACCCTACTTCCTGGGAGTTGTAAGGTCTGTTGAAGTTCTGTGTGGCACCTTTAAGACTAACCAATTCAGGCTCCAGTCCTAACTGGGAGTAATCCCTATGGCATTTAATGGGGCTTATTTCAGAGCAACGCATGGCTATAGTGACAGTTACTCACATTAGAAATTTTGACAGCAGGGAGTCAGGGACCCCTTCTAAACCAAAGTCAGACGCTTTTTGTTTTAGTTAGGTACTATGTACTTTATGAAGGGATGCGGGTGGTGCTGTGGTGCTGTGGGTTAAACCACAGAGCCTAGGACTTGCCAATCAGAAGGTCGGCGGTTCAAATCCCCGTGACAGGGTGAGCTCCCGTTGCTGGGTCCCTGCTCCTGCCAACCTAGCAGTTCAAAAGCACGTCAAAGTGCAAGTAGATAAATAGGTACCGCTCCGGTGGGAAGGTAAACGGCGTTTCCGTGCGCTGCTCTGGTTCACCAGAAGCGGCTTAGTCATGCTGGCCGCATGACCCGGAAGCTGTACACGGCTCCCTCAGCCAATAAAGCGCGATAAGCGCCGCAACTCCAGAGTCAGTCACGACTGGACCTAATGGTCAGGGGTCCTTTACCCTTTACCTTTATGTACTTTATGTACTTTATGCAACTGCAATGCTTTTGTGTCCACACCTTTGCAAGCGAGGAGGATGAGGGGGAAAAGCAAAACAACTTGGCCCCATCCATGTGACTTTATTGGCCTTCCCTACAAGTAACTTCTGGGGTAGCTCAGTCAAGCATAGAATCAGAGATGGAAGGGACCACAAGGGTCATCTATTCTAACCCCCTGCAATGCAGGAAGCTTTTGCCCAGTGTGGGACTTGAACCCACAGCTCTGAGATTAAGAGTCTCATGCTCTACCACCTGAGCTCTCCATGACATTCTTCATCTCAGGGTTGTGGGTTCGAGCCCCCCTTTGGGCAAAAAAATTCCGCATTGCAGGGGGTTGGACTAGATGACCCTTTGGTCCCTACAATCTCTACAATTCTATGATTCCTCCCTGGCCACTGGTCACCCCAATTGGTCCAGGGGGTAGCAGCCACCAGTGCACTGTGGTCTGAAAGACATCTCATTAGGTCCAATGGAGGTGCTATTGCTGTATTGTCCACACTGAGCAGCCTCCCTGATGGAGCTTAAGAAGGCATCTCTCAGGCATGGTGTTGGACACAGGGCTGGAGCGAGGGGCAGCAGGGACCACAGGGCAGCAGACACTTGTGGGCTGCCACTGCCTCTTCCTCTGCAATATGGACACCTGCCACCATGCACCCACCTGCTGCTACCTGCTGCTAGGTGGGGGCACAGCAGTGGGTGGGTGGCAGTTGGGTGCACAGTAGAGGAGAAGGCAGGGGTAGACTTGGGTAATATTTTGTAATGTGGCTTAGGGCCCTCGTATTTACTGGACCACCTCTCCTGGTATGCCCCGCAGAGGACCTTAAGGTCCATGAATAACCATAGTTTAGAGGTCCCGGGCCCTAAGGAAGTCAGACTATTATCCACCAGGGCCAGGGCCTTTTCAGTGATGGCTCCGACCTGGTGGAACACTCTGTCCCATTAGACTAGGGCCCTTCAGGATTTAACCTCCTTCCATTGGGCCTGTAAGACAGAGCTATGCCGCCTGGATTTCAATTTGAATTCAGCCTGATCTTTTATTTCCCTTCTCTTCCCTCCCCCTCCTCTTTTATGAAGATTACTCGCTCTGAGACCCCACAGCTAATTCTCCCCTGGCCTCCTCGCTGGCCCAAGTAGGACCAATTCAGCCAGCTAGCCCTGGGGATTATTTAATGTTTATTTCCCCCTAAATTTATTTCTGAATTTTAAATTTTATTGTTATTCATGTTTTTATACTGTATTTTATGCTGTTTTTACAATTAAGTGTTTTAATTTTGTTGTTAGCCACCCTGAGCCCGGTTTTTGAACTGGGAAGGTGGGGTATAAATAAAATTTATGATGATGATGATGATGATGATGATGGTGGTGCCCTGTGTGAGGTCAAAATTCAGTGCCCCAAAATGGATCTTCTCAAGTATGGATCTTCTTAATTTTGCCTCTCCTTAGCTCAGAGCCCTGTGCTGGGGAACTGCTCACACTAACTTTAATCCGGCGCCACAGGGGGACAGAATATTCTGTTTTGCCTCCAGTGCCAAAACATCCTGGGTCACCCCAACTGGACGACTTATGGAATCTGATGGGGATTTTCCAATGTCAGCAAACCCTTGAGCTCCTTACCTCACTGTGGACCAGAGAGATAAGGAGGGCTATTGACTCAATCTCTTGGGAGCGTCCACTCGGACACTGCGCCGCTCATTGTGCTCCTTAGTTTTCCTCAAAATTAATGAGGACTGAAGCAGGCCAGGCGATGTCCAGCTGGCTAGCATGGAAGTGGCAGAGTGAAGCTGACTGAATAGCAAAGCTGCCTGACTGACGGGGTGCTAGAACTGTCAAAGACCTGCTGTGACAAGATTGCTAGACATTTTGAGGACAGAAGGGCTCGCCTTCATGCTGATCTTGATGCTGCTGTAAATACAGTCTCTGATGAGGCCTTGAGAGTGTTGCCTTAGTCGATTCTCCAATTGCTGAGGCTTTTCGGTTAGCATAAACTGTATATTGCCCCCTATATAGATAGTTGTCTGGGGTAGGAACTTACCGTAATTATGCTGTTTAGGTTGTATTTCTGTTGTATTGACTAAACTTCATCTTCTGGACGAGAGTGGGATGTGTTATTTCATTTGTGCATGATGTTGTACAGTAAAAAAAAATATTAAAAAGAAAAACAAAAAAATCTAATGTTGTTCTTGCTGCCTTCTAACTCCACCAGAAGACTCTAAACACAAACCTTGGATGAACAGGCTTTGTCAGTAAAACTGTCTGAATGCCACAGCTGGAAATAAGAGCAGGTGTGTTTAGGATTAAGGACAAGGCAAGTCTAGAATCATATTTTACATTTTGGGTTCTTAACTGTGACATGGGTATAACATCGTCCCATGTGTCTCCTACAAAATACAAAGAAAAATGTAGGCCTCAGGACAACAGAGCTTTTAAATGTCTTTCTGTTGGCCAGGGGTCAGTCACCTAGGGATGGTAGGCCCATCGTGGCCATGAGATCAAGATGGGCCCCTCAGCACCACAACGGGGTCTGATCCCATGCTGTATTGGTCATTGGATGAGGGGCAGGCCACCCTAGGGGCATGGAAGTCACTAAAGGCATGGGGGCATTTTAAACATGAGCCTGTACATTGTGGGGACTTGGAAGCAGCAACCTTGGAAGAACCAGATGCACGGGAAAGAATATATACACAGCATATGATTTAATATTGAATTCATATCCTTTCCTATAAAAAAGGTGGGACTTCTGGTGAAAAGGGATATAGAGTTCCTGCCACTTTTTTCAGTGATTGACACACGTCTTATATTCATCTTTTGTTTATGGATCTATACATCTCAGTTATTGTATTATAGGTTTTAGATATTTGGCACTCACTTTTTTGGATTTTTGTTTTATTGCCTTTCTGTGCCTTTTTTAATAATAAGATTCAACTCTTTTTATGTATTTTTTTTCCTTTACGGCCATCACAGCCATTAGATTTTGTGTATATAGATAGATTATAAAGTTCATTTAAGTTTCTTACCCTTGACTTATTTATCTTATGTTGTTGCCTTATTAATCGGGGGTCATTTTTCCTTCTTTTGGTTCTAGTGAGAAGTGGCCTATACTCTACAATATTTGCTTTGGAGCTCTACATAAAACACACAGCAGAGCCCTTGATGTACATAGCAGGCAGCTCCATCCATTATTATTTTTTACTGCACATTAAAACGTAGGCTCTCGTGTTTCATCTAGACATTCTCACGCTTACATGCTGGAGAAGCACCCTTGCCCTACCCCTTGCAGTGCTGGGAGGCATCTTCATCACCAACCTCAGAGGAGAGAGAGGCCTCTGAAGATGACTGCATGCAAAGCAGACAGCAAAAAAATAACTTAATATAAGTGCCTGGAGCTGCTTGGCTTTGAATGTCAGCCTGTAACTTCCCATGGATGCACTGCCTGTCCACACACACACACACACACACACACACACAAAACCTAGCTAGAGGGAAATTCTTGCATGTCCCGCAGAAGCATTCATTATATTAATATGAAATTAGCTGGTGTGTTTGTACATGGCAACCAGATACACATTTAGAGCCCCAAGGGGAGAGCAGCTCAGCGCCCAAATCAGCTTCCAGGACCTTGGAGACAGCAGCATGCAACCGCAAGGCTCCATCTGGGTTGGTGGGGGGTCTCCGCTAGTGTCAGGAAAAGGGGTGCTTGCTCTTGCTGATGACAGAAATGACCTGGGGAGGTAAGTCTACGGTCCTAGGAATCCCCCCTCCTCATTTTCAGACGTTACATTCTTTGCAAACATTCATGCCTAAGGAAGGGCTGGAACAAAGCAGCTGCTCCAACCGGTCGGACAGGTAGAGAGGCTTGTTGACACCGTTATGTTTGCAGCACGCATGCTCCCTCCAAGTTTCCTGGTGGTGCCTTTACTCAGATACACCTTTGGAAAGGGGCTGGGGGTGAAGGGGGGCACCTCCGGCTCCGGCGTGGGGTCTCTTGCTCTCCTTGAGGAGGGGGATCGGGCCGGGGGGCGCCAGCAGAAGCCGCGACCCATTGCCAGCGCGCCTCACCTGGAACCCCAGGGAAGGGCGGAGTTCCCAGAAAACGGAACGGCCAGGAGGAAAGGTGAAATCGCGGATCTCATCATGCCCAGAGTATTTCTGGTGAAGAGGAGGAACCCGCTGCCGGCCAGTCGCAGCTGGGACGAGCTGCCCGACGAAGAGAGGGCCGACACTTATGTCCCAGGTAAGGCGGAGGAAGCAGCACACCTGGCCGCCCCCCCCACCCTACCTCGGCCTCAGCCGGGCTCCTCCCGCCGCCCCCAAACCGGTTGGGCTCTCCTCCAGGAGGCAGCAGTTGCCCCAAACAGCTTGGAAGCCGGATTGAGACCGGCTCTGAATCCTGGCCGCAGGGGACCCAAGCAACGGGCAGAGAAGAGAAGGGAACTCTGCGTATGCTTCGATGCACCTTTGCTACCACTTCGCAGACGTTACCGCCGGCATTGAAAAGTTTCTGCGGCTAAGCCCTGGCGGATCTGAAATCGGTTTCTGCAGGAGAAGTTAGAACGTTTTCGGCTGCAGCCCCAACCTCCTTTCCCCGGGAGCGAGCCGTACTGAAGTCAATAGGAGTTACTTCTGAGTAGACACGCTTAGGAGCAGGCGGGACGGGACGGGAGTCCCGGGCCGGCCAGTCTCCGCAGGGCTGCTCATAAATGCTGCCCCGCTGCCGATTTCCACGAGGCTTCGTCTAGCCAAGTTAACGCGAATCGGATCGCAGCCCCATCCTACCCGTGTATACTCAGAAGTGAACTCACTCCGAGCAAACATTGTTTGGCTCCGGCTTTGAGCCGCCCTTTCGGCGGATTGCGGTCTCAGGGGTCCTGAGGTCAGGGGCGGGGCTTCGGCGGCGGCTCTCGGCCGGGAAGGGGCCGCGTGTCACCGTTTCACACGACCAGGGAGAGACCGAGCGGCCCTCTCTGGCTTTTAACAAGAGCCGCGGAGAAGAGCCCCGCGGGAGGGCTGCTAGTCTCTCGCGCGCGACTCGAGGGCTGCCTTCCCCGAAAGGGCAAACGGAACACGTGTCGCGACGACGCGGGAGCTGCTGCGGCGGCGCCTCGCCCGGGGCGCCCTTGCGCTTGGCGGAGCCTCGTCCGGAGCGGGGGGCGCTCGAGGCGGAGCGCGGTGACCTTTGCGCTCGGCGGCGGGCCGAGCAGCTCCCGGTTGAGGCGGGCGAGGCGCCGGGCGGCCGCGGGACCCGCCCTGAGATCAAACAGGCCTCGGGAGGGTGCGCCTTTGTTTGCCGCGCCGCCCCCGGGGAGCTCCTGGCCCCCCAAGGCAGCAGCAGCCCCGCGCTCCAGGTGGGACTGCCCGGTGGGGATCACGAGACGAGGAAAGTGAATGGCCCCCAGTTAATCAGCCCTCATTCGGAAGATCATTATTATTTCACTTTCAGTAACTTTCAACTCAAGTTACTCCACCCCCATTCCAGAGCATTGCCATTAACTGTAGATTAGGAGAATTCTCCATTTCACTTGCAAGCATGAAGGCATGTGCTGCTACAGGTGCACTAGGGGGTTTCTCTTCCTAACCAGGCCTACCAACTCTAGGGGGCCAAAGGCTCCTTGGCCCTCTCAATATTCGTTTTAAGCAGGTTGGGCCTCCTCAAGTCTTCAGGCATCCCTGTGCACGTTGAGCTATGCCAGTCCAGTGTCCGAACACTGGCCTCCTGTGTCATGTGCATGATTCACATGTACACAATGCGCGCTGATCTTGGGAGCGACCTGGCACCTCTGCTCTCAACGGTCATTCTACCTGTGGTCACTGCTGGGGATACAGGCCTGCCTGTCTGAAGGCACTGCGATTGCCTGCAAGGGATTCCCACACGGTGGGGTTGATGTTGCCAGCCTTGCCAATGGGCCTGGTGCCTGAAGCCAGCACATCCTTGGGTATCCTGCCACCTTCCATTCTACGTTCTTGACCAAGCCAGCATAGACATCACTGAGACAGAAGTGCAAACATGCTAGGAATGTAGTCTTGGAAGAGCACCACTTCGTTTGAAACTTCCCTGCCATGCCCCGAATCTTCCCGATACAGCGCATGTGGAAGGCGTTGAAGAGTCACTCCTGACGGTTGTTCGTTACCCGCAATTCACTTCCATAAAGCAGCCTGCTCAACACACACGCCTGGGAGACTTTCATCTTGGTGCTGGACATTAGCATCCCATTCTTCCATACCCTTACGGCCATTGCCATAACTGCCTTGCCAGTACGCTTGTCCAGTTTAGCATCAATGGAGAGGTTTCTGGTTATGGTGGAAACCAGGTAGACAAAATCATCTACCGCCTCAAGTGTGTGGTCACCAGTGCGGATGTGTTTAGTGCTGGTGACATCCTGACCCATGATGTTTCATCAGGCTGACAGTAAGGCCGACTGAACGCCCTGCAAGCTTGGGGCAAAATGGTAGGTCTTCCTCTGAATGTGCTGTCAAGGCTGCATCATCTGCAAACAACATCTCTTGGGTAAGGACCATCCACATTTGACATCAGTCGAGAAGGAGGTTTCTGCACTTGCTGTTGGGGAAATGAGGGGCAGATGGGGCTCATTAACCTAGGAAGGTAGCCCACCAAAGAGAAAGAAAACTATGATCTTAAACCCTTACTGCCTTGTGGCTATACTCATCCATGAGAAAGGCTTCAGAGTAAGTTCTGAGGAATAATTAGTATCCACTGCCTTGCAGGACATCTTTGAAAGAAGGCCAAGGAGTAAACCCTACACAAATCTGCAGTGGAGTCCCTAAGGCAGTTGGATGGCGCCTTATATGTCTCCTTCTGGCAATTCCTGCAGCCAAGCTGGTGCCAAATGTTTTGCTTTCCTTTGGACCACATCAGTGAGGGCTTGTCATCTGGGCAGCCCAGGACCTCCACATATATTGCCCAGGTTTGCGCCCTGGAGAGGTCACTTTAGTGTTGCGAATGCAGCACAAACAACATGGGAGGCAGTTATAAGATATAAGCTCAACCTGACTGGTGTAAGGTAAAAGATCTTTGGGTTGCCTTCATTGGTGGGAAAGATAATTGCATCGAACTGGTCAGCTACTGCTCACCTGAGGCCAGGCAGCCCTCAGTCAATAAAGTGCCAATCTGGCACTGTCCACCTTCAGTGAATGTTTGGAACCCAAAGTATCACCCGGCAAGTGGACTGAACCACAGCATCAAGCAACAAAGAAAATAAACAAACCCTCCTGCACTTAGTAAGCTGGAACATCAGGACCATGCGTCCTGGCTTATCCAGTGACCTGCTGCAGGTTGGTGACTCATGGAAGACAACCATCATTGACCATGAGCTGAAAACATTCAACATCAACGTTTTACAGGAGACCATACTCGCTTGGAATGGCAGCCTCCGAGAGAAGGACACGTTTTTCTGCCAAGGAGGGCATCTGGAAGAACCACGTATTCCCTACATAAGCCTCACAGTGAGGAACTCCCTTCTGTTTGTGATAGAACCACCCAGCGAGGGATCAGAACACTTGCTTTCCCTCCGTCTCTCAACCACCTCCGGGTTGGTCAACACCTTGAGCATCCGTGCTGCCACTGTGTGCATTGGCATACAGACCAAGGACCAGTTCTAGGAGAAAGTAGGCCAGGCTATCAGGAAAGTTCCAGCCTCCAAACACCTATTCCTGCTGAGAGATTTCAGTGCCAGAGCTGGGGATGATCATCACACATGGAACAACTGCATAGGCCTCTTTGATATTATTGGCAGCATGAGCGAAAATGGGCTAAATCTGCTTGAACTGTGCTCACATCACAGCCTTTGCATCAGGGGTCTTTGCTCTTCTCTTCCAAGGCCAGGGAGGTGAGCAATGCCTCCCTATGACATGGGGCTGGTCTCTGCCTGTTTGAAGGAAGCAGTGGTAAAGCCACTCCTTAAGAAACCCTCACTGGACTCAGAACATCTAAGGAACTACAACTGCTATTCTCCCCTTCTTGGGCAAGGTTATTAATTGGGTGGTTGCAGACCAGATCCAGGCACTCTTGGAGAAAACTGATTTTCAATATCCATTTCAATCGGGGTTTAGGCCTAGTTTTGGCACAGAAACTGCGTTGGTCACCCTATATGATAGGGTATCATATGTGGGTAGCTTATGATAGGGTAGCATATGCGGTGCCGGGGTGCAAAGATCCACCCGGCCTCTCCCGCAGGTTGCCCAGTTCCAGGCTCGCAGGAGGGCGGAGCTGGCCGGCCGCCTCAGCGCCTCGCTGGCTGGGTCGCCCCCGAACTTGTGGTGCAAAGCCGCCCGCAGCAGAAGAGCCTGCCATGGTGCTCTGACTGACGGGCAGGCTCTTCCCCAGACTCGACTTTTGACCTGGCGCCCCTGAGAGCCCACCACCCGGGTGCCCTGCACCCCTAGTGCCTATGGGTAAGACGGCCCTGGTGATGACCTCTGTCAGGAGAGAGACATGGGAAATCATAGTTGTAGAGTTGGAAAGGACTCTTCCTCTACTCCAAGCCCTTGCAATGCAGGGATCTCAGCTAAAGCATCCATGGCAGATGGCCATCCAACCTCTGCTTAAAAACCTCCAAGGAAGGAGAGTCCACCACCTACAGAGGGAGACCATTCCACTGTTGAACAGCTCTTGCCCTCAGAAAGTTCTTCTTGATGTAGTCGGAATCTCCTTTTTTGTAACCTGATTCCATATGATTCTACAGAAGCTTATGACAACCTTATGGTGTTGTTATCCAGTCTCCTGGCGGTGTTTTTAAATAAAGGAGCCCAGACAAGCTGCTCAGGTGTAGGAGGTATTTTGCAGACAACTGTGTTAAATATGCAGATATGAGAGGATGAGGCTGGTGTGGGAAAACAATGTCAGGAGGAGGACAGTAGTTCCTGCTTCAAACTCTGGGAATGCAACACACAGGCAACCCATTTACTGAAACTGACTTTTTAAAGTCAGGTGTGATGCATAATGATTAGCTGATTGTTCTGTATCCCAAGTCTGTGAAACAGATCAGGCCCTATCAAATAAGTGAGTAATTCCAGGAGCACGATGCAAAAATCATTATGCATATGAATGCTCCCTGTTTCTGTCATTTAACCGTGTGCTCAATCTCCAGGAGAGGTGAAGCATGCCCTTCTCAACTATCGCAGTGAAGATAGCTGCAGCTTAGAGAGCAGCAGCAGCAGCAGCAGCAGCAGCAGCAGCAGGGACACAGAGGCTGCCAACACCTCGGCTCCTGAATCCACACCAGAGGAGGCACTCCTGGACTCGGCAGTGAACCGCCCCACAGTCAGATCCAAAATCAAGGTACAGACTGTCATTGTGAATGAAGGTCACAGGTGGTCAGGGAACAGGAGGCGGGTAGGTGTGGAGGACTCCCTGGTCCTGAATGGGGCAACTGTGCCCCTGAAGGACCAGGTGCGCAGCCTGGGAGTCATTTTGGACTCACATCTGTCCATGGAGGCACAGGTCAAATCTGTGTCCAGGGCAGCTGTTTACCAGCTCCATCTGGTACACAGGCTGAGACCCTACCTGCCCGTGGACTGTCTTGCCAGAGTGGTGCATGCTCTAGTTATCTCTCACTTTGACTACTGCAGTGCGCTCTGTGTGGGCTACCTTTGAAGGTGACCCGGAAACTACAACTAATCCAGAATGCGGCAGCTAGGGAGCGGCTGCTGGGACTACATAACACCAGTCTTGAAAGGCCTACATTGGCTCCCAGTACGTTTCCGAGCACAATTCAAAGTGCTGATACTGACCTTTAAAGCCCTAAATAGCCTCGGCCCAGTATACCTGAAGCAGTGTCTCCACCCCCATTGTTCTACCCGGACACTGAGGTCCAGCGCCGAGGGCCTTCTGGCGGTTCCCTCACTGCAAGAAGCCAAGTTACAGTGAACCAGGCAGAGGGCATTCTCAGTAGTGGAATGCCCTCCCACCAGATGTCAAAGAGAACTACTAGAATTTTAGAAGACATCTGAAGGCAGCCCTGTTTAGGGAAGCTTTTAATGTTTGATGGACTACTGTATTTTAATATTTTGTTGGAAGCCGCCCAGAGTGGCTGGGGAAACCCAGCCAGATGGGCGGGGTATAAATAATAAATTAATTTAAATTAATTTAATTTAAATATGTTCCTTGTGTATGACATGGGACTGACTTGTGCGGTTAATCTGACAAAATATTAGATGATTTTAACATTTCTAGACACCTATAAAGAAGCAACATTTAGACAAGCAGCACATGTTGAGGGACACACAGCAGGCTGGTCTAGCTAATTCGCCTGTCAGTATTGCTCATGCAAGCTTTGAATTTTGAAAATAAATAAATAACTGTAAATGAAAATGCCTACTCTTGTCACTGCTAGTGGAAAGTCACTTTCTTATACAATGACTATTGTTTGACTAGAAGCCGATTCCATTTTTGGAGCACTAGTCATTGCCTACCATTAATGCGTAGAGCAGCTACTCACCCTGTCCTTCCATCAGGTTTCATAAAGTTGGAATTGTGATTTGTAGAGCATTGATACAAACCTCAAACATTTGCCAAAACTGAGATCAATGCGGTTGAGGGCCTCTGACCAAGTCAAGGCTACTGTTGGGCAAGACCTCATCTTGGAGCCTTTGGTACCGTTCCCCATGGTATCCTTTCGGATTGTCTTCCTGGGATTAAGAATTGGGAGCACTGTATGGCTGCTGAGTCTAGGGAGTAGTACTGAGATATTGCTTTTTTCATGCCCCTGGCAGTAAGGATCTTGCCTCCATACCCCTACCTCCATGTTATCATCCACACCAAACTTGTGAGAAACCACCAAAATTGTGAGAAATAAGAAATCATGTGAGTTAACATTCCAGTAGAGGAGGAGAAGGGGATCACAAAAGTTGTCTGATAAGAAATTATATTTAAATTTTATATTTTTAAATATCTATATGTCATTATCCCAAGGAAATAAGGCAATTGGCAGGCACATAGTATGTCAGTTGCAGATTGGCAGATCTAAAGTTCTGCAGACTTGCTCCAGGACATACTTTAGTTCAGGCTAGGTAAGATCTGAGGGGCCTCACCAGCTCCTCAGTCAGGACCTGTGACTCGTTAAGATCCTGTTTTATTTTCCTCTCTTAGTTCACGACTGGCACTTGTGGCGAGGCCTTGTTGTACAACTGTGAGCTATGCGGCAAAGGATTTCGCCTGCAGCGCATGCTGAACCGCCACACCAAGTGTCACAGTCAAGTGAAGAGGCACTTGTGCACCTTCTGTGGGAAAGGATTCAATGATACTTTTGATCTGAAAAGACACGTAAGGACACACACAGGTAAGAAATGAGGTGCACTTTCCATTCCTTTGGAATGTCCATAGGAAAGTTTGCACTATTGACCTGTTTGTGTATTCATTTAAAGCATTTTTCTTCTACTCTTCTGGAAAAAAAGAAAAGTTCCCAGAGCAGCTTAGAAATCTCAGTGATAAAACAGATAAGCCCATTTGCTTTTTGCATATGAAAACACCAAGTAGCTCCTGGTTCAAAACAGGAGTGGGGGACTTCAGGGCCAGGACGCAAATGTCCCAGACCTCAGTGTCGAACTGTGGAAATCTGCCCAGGCCACCCGCTCTTGCTGGCCCTGCTCTGCACCCTTCTCTAGTGATTTTACCCCACTGGACTGTGGCAATACCGCTGGCCATGGCCTCTTCCCCCACCCCTGCTCATCTAAGGTTGCTAACAGGCAGCTTGCAGCTTGAACACATTTAAGCTTTATGTGCCTGGTGGCCAGGTGGCTGAAAACACACCAATTAGACACACACAAGGCAGGGTGCTAAAAAGCGCTTCTCGGTTCTGGGAAGGTTTCACACGAGTTCTAAAAGCCTCCAGAGCCCAGTAAGCAAGGTGGAGAGCAAGGCCTGCTGCCTTCAGGGAAGCAGGGGCAGTTGCACTGGGGCACTATCCAGGGTCGTTCTGATAATACACGATTTTGGCTTTACAAGCAATCCCCCAGAACATAACCCTAGCACAAGTTGCAAGCCTACTGTATTCCTCTGAAAAGGAGCAGCAAATACTAACACTGCTGTTGTGTATTCTGTTTTGTGTTCATTTCAAATTAAAAGCAGCGTTCAGCTAATGCAAATACTGCACTGTTAATCTTGAGCACACTTTTTTCCCCAAACGTTCATATTTTGTTTCCAATTTTATATAATTAATCATGCATTTTTAAACTAATTTCTAGATTTCCCCTCTAGTTTTGACAGCTTTGGGGAGGGAAAAGAAGCTATGCAAGACACTTAAGCCTGGTATAAATATTACCCAGTTTCTCCCTTATAAGTATTTTCAAACATATATTTTCAGCTATAAAGGACAGAAGCAAATTTCTGAGTTCTGCAGAAATATTAATTTTGTGACCTGTACCACATTCAGCCCTTTCCCCCAAAGAATTAAAACATACACATAGCAATGAGAAACATCATCAGCTACAGTTTGCAATGATCAAATCTGTAAATGTATGCAGTGGAGTTAAATGCTGGGGATTATTTTTAGAACGTTCCTTAAAGTTCCTAAAAATTACATTTCAGGAATCCGCCCATACAAATGCGAGATCTGCAACAAAGCCTTTACCCAGCGCTGTTCCCTGGAATCACACCTTAAAAAGATCCACGGAGTGCAGCAACAATATGCTTACAAACAACGAAGAGATAAACTGTATGTCTGTGAGGATTGTGGCTACACAGGCCCAACCCAAGAGGACTTGTACATGCACATCAGTAATATTCATCCTGGAAGTGCTCTTCTGAAGAAAACATCCAAAAAACTTGCAGCTGTTTTGCAAAACAAACCGATCTCTCCAATGGAGATGAGCCCAGAAGAGACTGGGGAGCAACAGTAATATTGCACTGCATTGTAGTGGCCAAATGAGTTGGAAGTTTACAATTGTCTGAAGTCGGGTTGCCAAGTGTCATGGTCTGATAAAACATTTCAGGGTTTTAGTGGCCCTGTTGAAATCCCTAGAGGAAGGGAAGACTGAAATCTCTTGGGCAGGCAAGCTAGCATCTGTTTGGCTTAAGAGTTTTTAACTATTCTCGCTGTTAGTACACACAGGCCCATTAGATCAGAATCTTCCCTTGACCTGTCAGGTGCTGCCTTCAGCCTACATCTGATGTCACTAAACTCTGCTCATAACCTTGCAGGATTTACCTACCGAGCTGCAAAGCGCCATCCTTTAAGCTCCCTATTCTCTGAACTCTAGGGGACACGGCAACCCTGACCAGAACTGAATTCAAAAGGAAGACAGCACTCAGCCTGGTCTGATCAAACTGTCCAGGTACTTAATTTTTGAACGTGAATAAAATCTCCCCAGTATGGGGCGAACATAGTACAGTACATAGCACAATCTGAATTGTGCTTTGTTCTCTCTCAGCCTTTGTACAGACATCTAATACGCGCCTTTGATAAAGAAACAGTTACCTATGGCTATAACGTATTTGACCAAAATAAATGTATTTAATTTGAATACAGGCCTAGAATTCAAATAAAATATATTTGTCAATAACACAATAACCATCATTGTATTCCCCCTCCCCACCAAGAAACCAAAGTCTGTTATGAAATATTCCAATAAAGTTATTTATGACTCTATTTGAAAGCCTGTTTTGTGTCCAAGCCTGTGGGGGCGCTCCCTCTGTGGTGCCCACCCAGATCCCATTGTGCTTAGTGGGAAGAGAACTGAGCTATGCTAGCTCAAGGGCTGGTTTCAGAGGTGCTTCTGGCAGCATGTCGGGGAACAAAAGGGCTTAGGTGCCTGTGGATCCTCAGTCATGGCAGTGTACGTCCAATGCCCAGCTCCCACACCAGCAGGGCATCTATGGCTGTGGAGCTTTCCACAGGCTTACTGGGGTGGGATGGGGTGGCGTAAATCCCCTCCCTGCATCAGACTTCTCTCTCTTCTGGTAGAGCAGGACCTCAACTGTATCCGCAGATGGCTCTTGGCTAGCTTTGGAATGGTACCCAAATTAGCAATAGATTTAAGTGTGGATTTCCACACAGCTATATAACCATATAACACAGGTCTAGAAAGACCTACACTGGCTCCCAGTACGTTTCCGAGCACAATTCAAAGTGTTGGTGCTGACCTTTAAAGTCCTAAATGGCCTCGGTCCAGTATACCTGAAGGAGCGTCTCCACCTCCATCGTTCTGCCCGGACACTGAGGTCCAGCGCCAAGGGCCTTCTGGCGGTTCTCTCGCTACGACAAGCCAAGTTACAGGGAACCAGGCAGAGGGCCTTCTCGGTAGTGGCACCCGCCCTGTGGAACGCCCTCCCACCAGATGTCAAAGAGAAAAACAACTACCAAACTCTTAGATGACATCTGAAGGCAGCCCTGTTTAGGGAAGCTTTTAATGTTTAATAGGTTATTGTATTTTCGTGTTCTGTTGGAAGCCGCCCAGAGTGGATGGGGAAACCCAGCCAGATGGGCGGGGTATAAATAACAAATAATAATAATAATAAATTAGCTATTGAATCAGAGCTATGTCCTGGGAACACAATGTAATCCATCTATGCAACCATTTTTCATTCAGGCAATGTCTTCCTAGAATATATTGTTTGTAGTCAGGTCACCTCAAAATAGCACCTCAACAGTTTGGAGCAAGGCAATCAGCGTTTGTGCAATTTCCCATTAAATCTGCTGCTTGGAATATGATTCACATTATAAACTTTTCACGCAATGGAAATTACAGTGGAATCCCTCTACAGCAGGAGCAGTCCTGACCCCAGGGACGACTGATTTTGGTGTCAAGAAGAATTCCACCCTCCCCCTTTTTTTTTACAGTAAACCCAGCATAAGATCTCTTCACCATGATGGGAGTTGTTAATCACCTGTCATGGATGCAAAAGAGTGGTGGGAGGCGCCAGGTGGGGAACCCCCAAGGGAACCACCAGGAGACTGGGGGTGGGATGACTATGACTGGTCAGAGGGAGAAGGCACAGCTGTGCATCAGAGGCCCAGGCAGTCAATTGTATCTCAGCTAAGCAGAATTAACCAGAAGGGAAATTCTGTATGCAACCACGGCTGCCAGAATGAGCAACTCTTAGCTTAATATCACCCACTATGTTTTCCTCGTAGCATTTAGTTCCTCCATTTGCTTCAAAGTAAAAAAAAAAAGCAGTCTGCCTTAAAGGGGCTTAAATTTAAAAAGGGTCACGCAATTCCAAAGTCTTTCTCTTTATATTCCTCCAGGCGAAGCAGCCACTTGTTCCAGTACTGACAGCATAGCTCAGAGTCTATGTAATGTGCGTGTGCAGGAGAACCATCTTTGTAGGCGACCACAAGGAGGCCACAGTCAACCTGAGGAACAAAGCAAGTTCAGCAGAAGTTATGCAAGCGAAATGCTCAGCAAAGTGACTTTTTTGTTCTAGACTTAGTCTTCGACTCTTTCTACAGTATGAATTTGCTAGACATGCACATAGAGCTAACACTACAGTGTGGATTGGGCAAGTGAGTGGTGGAGCACTCTGTGGGTGGAGGAAGCTTTTTCTATTAGCTCAGTCCTTACTCAGGCAACTTACCTGGTTTCCTTCTGGAGGAGGGCAGGAAGAGGCCTCTCTTACCCCATGGCCATCACAGAAACTAAGCAAACAAGCTACTTGCCCCAGCTCACCCAAGGTATAGGAACAACATCTTTTCCCCTGCCCCACCCTTCACTGTCCTTATTTTTCTGGAATGTCATAGGATAAAACAGTTTCACCTCCAGAATGAGCATGTGGAAATAAGAGGCAGCAAGTGCAAAAACTTATTTGAATTGTCATGCTACTCAGCTGCTGCCCAGATTACTGACCTGAAAGTTGTAATTGCCATCATGGTTAATGGCTCCTATGTACGCTGCAACCTGGAGTGGATTGTCAAACGTATTCCGAAGAAATGGTTTCGCTTTCCCTGATGTCTTCCATTCAATTGCACATAATTTCCCTCTGTGTGCCCAAGCGTAAAAAGAAAACACAGTTGTGAATCGGTCAGCCAAAATGCTTGTGCTTGTTACAGACCCTCCTCGCTGAGGGAGGGGGGTGAGGGCTTGTCCAACACCACACTGAGCAAGAGGCTCCCTGTTGGACAACCCCTCTTCTCCAGCTCCAGTAAGATGAGGCTGCTTCCAGTTGTATAAATTCATCAGCGAAGTTACTCACTGCTGACACAAGTGCTTCTAAAATCAGCACAACATGAGAGAGAGCCCATCCCAGGGCCCATGTGAAGAGTGGGGACTTGTGCTGATGTCAGGCTGCAGAGCTTGTGGAAGCCACTCAGCTGCCTAAGGCAGAGGCAGCTCCTTCTGTTTTGTTACTTCAACAGAGGTGGCAATTTAGATGTGCCAAAGCTCTCTGGAGCCTCTTCTCCTGATAGTTCCTTCATCTGTTGAAGGGACTAAGGAATGGTGGGTCCTTCAAGAGTGAAGAACTGTGGACAAGGTACCCCTGAGGAGTGCTTGTACACAATCTTAAGAGAAATCAGATTTAATGTATTTGTTTTCTGTGCATTTTAATCATTTTTTTTTTTTAAGGTGCTTGTACTGCAGCTTTGCTGCCATGGCAGCAAATACAAGGTAGCTTTACAGCAGTAAAATTTAAAAATGTAAAATCTATCAATCTACTACAGTGGTACCTCGAGTTACAAACGCCTCAGGTTACAACCTGCGCTAACCTGGAAGAGTTACCTCGAGTTGAGAACTTTGCCCCAGGATGAGAACGGAAATCATGTGCCGGCAGCGCAGCAGCAGCAAGAGGCCCCGTTAGTGAAAACATGCCTCTAGTTAAGAACAGTTTCAGGTTTAGAACGGACCTCCAGAACGAATTAAGTTGGTAACTAGAGGTACTACTTTACTTGGCTATTATACCATTTTTAAAAAGCACAAACCATTTAATGCATGAAATAAATATATGCAAAGGTGGTACAAAAGCAAGGTGGCAATAACTATGCAGAATCCCCCTACACTTTTCCTCTGAGTGGCCTGTTTTGCTGGTCTAGTAAGTACAAAGCCACCCAATTTATTATTAGGGAAAAGGATGACCTAATTGAGTCACTTTGGGCAAGCTACCTTGGCTTCACTCTTGACTCAACTCCCAGAGTTTGGGAGAGGATGAATGGGATGCGGACTCCTGTGTCTCAGTTTGCAGCATGGGGCAGGTATAAATCTAGATAGTTTTAAACATTCAGGGCACAAGGCACCTGAGGTTAGACACTTTTGTCCCATTCGTTTCACTGGGAAAGCAAAGCATATGCCTAAGTCAACATGACTTTAAAGCATTTAACATGGTTTGGAGCGTTCACGTACAGTATTATGCAAAGTTGGCCACTCACCGATATTCTGCCACACAATCCACTAGGCCTTGGTAATGAAGGGTCTCATGCTGTACCGCACTTTCAAGGACTCTCACTCCAGTAACATGTTGCAGCACATGCTGCACACTTTTTATGTAGCCAGATACATTGGTGTCTTCTTCCTGCTCCACAGAGATTTCTTCAGCTAAAAGTAAAGTTTCCATGGCTGCATGGAATAATTTACCTTGTTGAAAGATATCTGCAAAACAAGAAAAAATAATTATACTGAGTACTTAATCAAACTTTGGCTTTGCAAGGTTAATGCTGCGGACCATTTCACACATAAATTGAACATTACTTTATTTCATAACCTGATTACTCAGAATTTTATGACTTGCAGATCACTGTATGAACTGCTTTGACTGAACAGTATCTTGTTCATAGTCATCTACTGTATATTTTGATGGCTTTTGAGTTTGTCCACTATACAAAGTACGAAAGTAATAAAAACAAAAACTGGGGAAGACAATTTGGGGTGTCAAGAGAAGGGCAGTATATGCACATTCAAGGACTCTCACTTAACATCTTGTTAAATTAGAACTCGTAGGGAAAGTGCTTCATAACCCAAGACCCATGGCACCTGACCCTCAATAATCTGTAAACAGCCTAAGCAACCACAGCATTCCAGTGCCAATAATGACCTGATTCATAGTAATAATAATAATAATAATAATAATAATAATAATAATAATAATTTATTATTTATACCCTGCCCATCTGGCTGGGTTTCCCCAGCCACTCTGGGCAGCTTCCAACTGAATATTAAAAACAGTACAGCATCAGACATTAAAAACTTCCCTAAAGAGGGCTGCCTTCAGTTCTCTTTTAAAAGTAAAATAGTTGTTTATTGCTTTGACATCTGCTGGGAGGGCGTTCCACAGGGCAGGCGCCACTACCGAGAAGGCCCTCTGCCTGGTTCCCGGTAACCTTACTTCTTGCAATGAGGGAACCGCCAGAAGGCCCTCGGCGCTGGATCTCAGTGTCCGGGCTGAACGATGGGGGTGGAGACGCTCCTTCACCAATGTGGTGAAGGATGCTCCTTCACCAATAATGGTTCCAACCTGCACCAATTTCTACTGAGCCAGTCAGCTGCTTAAAACTAATAAAGTCTATAATGGGTGCCTTTTTACCTGGGTTGCACAGTATGTCCCTTACCTATGGTTTGCTAATGATGGCTTGTTCATGAAAATAAGCCATGGTTTGTTGCTGGCTTACTGACATTAACTATGACTTAGTGTTACAAGTGAAAACAGACACCTGTAGTCTGCTGTGTCAACCCACCCAAATCACTTGTCAAACAACAAAGGTGCTAGACAAGGGTGGCTTGAAAATAAAGCCACTCTCCGTTCCCAGCTCCTCTCACTGGTGCTTTTCCTGAAGCTGACATTGCTGGAAACTCTGCCTACTAACTGGACTCCTTTTGCTACTGAACTCCACTCCACCTAAGCTGAGTCACAGCTGCAGCTTAAGCTGGAGTTGCAAACTTCTTTGAACAATCACTTTGCGACAGCTGCATGCTTGGCTGATTTTAGATGGTGAATGAACCAAATTTGTGAGCATGCTGTGACCCTTAAATTTCATCCCTTGTTTAGCTTGTAGCTGATGCAGTATCTGCGGCTGAAAAGGTTTTTAAGCTGCATCTGTCCTATGTGACCTTAATGTAAAGTTCTTGCAACAACAGCAGAAACCCTTCTGGGTGTGTTATATTTATGCTGTTAGGATGGGGGTCAAACAGATGGGCTTGCACATGGAAAAGGGGAGGGAAGGGGATGTGTGTGAAGTGCTGTCTTGAAACAACTACACTTTATCCAGGTAGGAAGAGCTCACAGCTTTGATAGCAAAGCACAGAAAGAAAATAGAGTTGGTGTTGAGCAAAATTTCTGACACTGATTTGACTAACAGACTAAACTTACTGATGTGTGCATTAGTAAAAGCAGTCAAGGCCTCCAGCAGCAGAGGGGTAGGGAAAAGGCAGTGGTGATTTTTACTAAATTGCATTGCTGATTCTTACTAAACTCAGAACATGGAATCATTGATTAATTCACCCCTTTTCCCCCTGGTGATTTCAATCAACCCACCCTAGGATGTTCCTAAATATATATATGCATTTAGTCATTGCTTACTTTTAGTGTATTCGGCAAAACCCTCTATCCCAAGTTCTAGAATCATCCGCTGTTTCCACTTCTCCAGATAAAAAGCTTGCTCCACAGGCATGGTCTGTTGTAGAACAGCTGTCACACTAGCCAAGTTTTTCCTTTGCAAACTGATTTGCAAAGGCGGTCCCGGAGCAGTTTCTTGAGGCAAAGAGCTCTTGTTGGGATTCATTAGAGGACTCCAGTTCCTACAAACTTTTGGTTCATCCTCCTGGTCTGAGTTCTTATATTTCCTTTCTGGTCCATTTAGCATGTTACCTTCTTCAAATACCAATTCAGGTCTTTGAGAACTGTCTTTGTAGGATGTGAGGTAATTGATCAAATCTCTGTATTTTTCTTGGTCAATGTTTTCATACCGGATGGTTGTTTTCTTTTTCCCATAGAGAGAGCATGAAGCAGCAAGTGATCTAAACCTGAATCCTTCCTGGTTCAACATTCCTCTCAACAACATTGGGACTCTCCAACATTTTCTGTTAATGCAGAGAAATGACATCATACTGCAAGGCAGTATTTACAGAAGGCTGACTCCAGAAGATGTTTCATTGAGAAATGCTTCTACTTTCCCGTAATTCTCCTATTAGATAAATATAAAAAGCTTTGGTTATTTGCTGTGTGCTGTCATCAGGTCTGCCACTACTACTGTCAGGGTGATACATCAAATATGCTTCAGACAGCAGATTTTGAGGTAACAGTGAAGTGCAGCAAAGTATGACATATTCAAGAAATAATTGCATTTTACCACCAAGAGGGGCACAATTTAATCCTAAAATGTATTGGGCTCTCCAACTACTATCATGTCTTCTTAGCTGCACTGACAATTCTCTCTGAGGCACATTTCCTCAGAAGGAAGTGCCATTAGTATCAGAGATAACCCGTTTCCCCCCAAAACCTGGGTCTCCAGCTGTTTTCGGACTACAAGTCCCATCATCCCTGACCATGAGTCCTGCTAGCTAGGGATGATGGGAGTTGTAGTCACCACGGTCGCTTTCGCAGCTGAATAAGGCCGGAGCCTTGAAGAAGAGCAGTCGAAACGGGAAGCGGCTGAGGGAAGAAGATGCGTCTAAGCGGCTGGAGCGAAAGTCAACTCCTTAAGAGCCACCTGAATAAGAGGCGGGAGTCACACGGCTCGACCGCCACGTCCCGCGGGAGCGACGCCGGCCTCAGACGAACATCCCGACTGCCTCCTTCAGCCGCTGGCCTCACGACGTCACTTCCGCCCGCCTTGTCCGCCGGAAGCGAAGACAGGCGGGCGGAAAAGGAGAAGGCGAGAGCTAGAACGTGGTGAATGCTACGCGCGGGAGGATATTCCGGGTTTCAATACACTTCCCCTTCCCTCTCCCCACCCACCCGACGGGAGGAATCCAAAAGCAAAGCACAGTTCCTGACCTTACTCCGAGGGCATATTTTTATTTGTGTGCTTCAAGCCATTTTGCATGGTGCGATTTAGTAAAAGCTTTCTGTGTTGGGAGTCCTTGCTATACCGGGAGGGATCCGCCCAAGTCTTTGACCACAAAGGGACAGGGTTCCAGGTTTTGGGGGGGGTCTCGGCAAAGCGCCCCCAAACGGCCTCTCCACTGGCATGCCTGGACAGCTCTTCCAATGCCCCGCCGCGTAGCCGTTGCAAGATGTGGGTGGCCCTCCCTACCCCAGCTTCCCCTGGAGATGCAAAGTGCCCCCCTTCGCAAGCCGTCAGGTCAGTCACCTGAGAATCAGAGCTCATCCCCCGCTCTCCGCTCGCCTGCAGGGAGTCTGCCCTGGGTGTGCGAATTTTGAGGCCACACCCACCGCTGCCAGGTGACTCCTGCTAGGTTGTTGTGTTAGTGCAGTCCTATGGATTGTGTCCGACCTCTGCGCAACCTCAAGGACCAGGAGCACGTCAGGCACTCTGGATTACATTGCCTCCTGATCAGTTTGGTTAAACTCATGTTAGATTAACTGACAACACTGTCCAACCATCTCATCCTCTGGCGTCAGCCTTCTCCTTCTGCCCTCCATCTGTCCCAACATCAGGATCTGTTTCCAGGAATCTTCATCTAATCGTGAAGATGGCTAAGAGTGTTAATGTTTCAGCTTCACCATCTGTTCTTCCATTGAGCACTGTAGATTTGAAAACCATTCAGAATGGATCTGTATTGAACTTCTTGCAGTCCATGGGACGCTCAAGAGTCTCCTCCAGCACCATGATTAACAAGTGTAATTTTCAATTTATGTTTGTTTGTCTTATGTGTTTGACTCTCACTTCCATACATCACTACTGGGAAAATCATAGCTTTAACTATACGGACCTTAACCAATATACGGACCTTAACTTGGGCCATAGAGGGGTGTGTTGTGTTGCGTGTTGTCCAGGCTTACATCGCGACCTGCTGCCCCGTGGGTCCTGCCGCCGAAAGGCGGTCGCCTCAGCTCTCCCTCCTGGGCGGGCCGGCGCTGCCCACCTTTCCTCCCCATCCCCGGACACGGGACTCAAGGCGGCTTAGGGAGGAGAAGATGCGCGGGCAGCTGCAAACGGGGCTCGTCTACCCTTTTCTTATCTCTAGGGCGGGGGCGGGGCCGCCTCCTCCTCCCGAGCGGCAGAAAAGGCGGCGCGCGGGGGAGCCTCCGCGGCTGCGCAGTGAGGGCCGCCGAGGCAAGGCGCTGTCATGTCTGTGGCCGCGAAGGAGCAGCTGCCGCGGGAGGAGGAGGAGAAGGGGAGCCGGGAGAAGGTGAGTCTCGCGCGGTGCCGGGGGGGGGGAAGGGGGGGCGAGGGGAGCCCTTCTCTCCGGGCTTGGCCTGGGGGGAAGGGAGGGAAGGGAAGCCTCTCCACAGCCCCGCCCGAGAAGAAGCGCTTCCCGTCCCCTCCCCCCCCCCGCCTCTTTTCCCCTCAGAGAAGCGCTGCTCTGTCAGGCACCCGCATATTTTTTTTTTTTAAAGAATATTTATTCGAGTTTTAAAGTTACAAAAAATATAGAAAAAACAAACCACACACATCTTACAAAAAACAGACAGTAAAAAAAAACAAAAAAAAATCACAGTAAAAAATAACAAAAATCAAATTTAGACCTTTACAACCTTTTTCCCTTTTACTTATTTCCATGACTTCCTCTCACCTCCCTGCTTTGTATTCTAGTTTAAATCGTATCTCCAGCAAATCCTTCTAACCTTCTTTTCTTTTACTTATTTTAACATTCGAAAGTATTTAATTCTCCTCTATCCTCATTTTACACTTCATATTTACTTATTCCATTATACCATGTCTGCCAATACGGTCTAGTATTCTTCTCCAACCTTTTTCTAACATTCTTTTATATTACAGTGTTTCTGAAGATATATTTTAAATTTTTTCCAGTCTTCTTCCATCGACCCTTCTTCCTGATCTCGTAGGCGCCCGCATATTTTGAGGGGGGGGAGGGAATGCGCGCGACTTTTACCCAACTGAACCCCCCCCCCTCTCTGAGGCCCAGGCGCGGAGCAGAAAAAGGCCTCCGGAGTCCGGGCTGACGGCTCCCAGGGAGCGAGTCGGTTCCGCTTCGCTTGTGGACGGGCGTCGCTTCCTTTTTTTTTTTTAATGATATTTATTCCAAGTTTAAGATTACAAAAAGAGAACAAAACAGTACAAAGTACAAAGAAAAGCTTAACCACAACAGAGCAAAAAGAAAAAAGAGAACAATAAAATAAAATATATATAAAAAAGCAAGACAAAAGATATAAAAATGCATTAAATTAAAATAAAACAAAAACCAATTAAACCTTTACATAGCTTTTTCCCTTTACTTATTTCCTTGACCTCCTCTCACCTCCCAATTTTGTATTCTAGTTCGGATCATTTTTTCAGCAAATCCTTCCAACCTTATTTTCATTTACGTATTTTAATTTAAAATATTATAATTAAACATCCTCTGTTTCATCAATTTCATCAACTCATTGGACGGGCGTCGCTTCCTGGGAGGGGAGGGGGCCGCTTACCTGCGCCTGCCTGCCCGTGTGGACGCGGCCGGCCCGCTTCCTGCGGTGCCTGCTTCACCCCCCCCCGAAGAGGGGGCGAGGTTTGCCTTGGGAAGCCCCGTGAGGCGCTTCTCGGGCTGCGCCCCGGGTGGGGAGGAGGTGGGTCGGGCTGCAGTCCGGACACGGGGCGATGCGCTCGTAGGAAGCTGCCTTCTTCCACCATGCCAGGCCTGTGGTCTGCTAGCTCAGTACTGCTGGCAGGGGCTGGCCGAGGGATTCAGCCCCGACACTGAGGTCCAGTGCCGAGGGCTTCATTGCGAGAAGTGAGGTTACAGGGAACCAGGCAGAGGGTCTTCTCGGTGGTGGCGCCCGCCCTATGGAAAGCCCTCCCAGCAGATGTCAAGGCAATAAGCAACTATCCTTCTTATAAAAGACATCTGAAGGCAGCCCTGTTTAGGGAAGTTTTTTAATGTTTAATGCTGTATTGTGTTTTTAATATTTGATTGAGAGCCGCCCAGAGTGGCTGGGGAAACTCAGCCAGATAAGTAATAAATTACAGTGGTACCTCTGGATACAAACGGGATCCGTTCCAGAGCCCCGTTCGCATCCTGAAGTAAACGTAAGACGCGACTGCGTGTTTGTGCATGCGCGGGTCGCGTTTTGCCGCTTCCGCGCATGCGCGTGACGTCATTTTGCGCATCTGCGCATGCGCGAGCGGCGAAACCCAGAAGTAACATGCTCCGTTACTTCCGGGTTGCCGCAGAGCACAACCCAAAAATATTCATCACGAAGCTACTTCAACCCGAGGTATGACTGTATTATTATTATTATTTATTATTTGGCCGAGGTTCCCTCCGAGCCCCACCAGGAGACCCTAAGGACTGAACTTCATGTATGCAAAGGAGATGGGCGCCTGTTGCTGGAGGTGTCCGGTTTGGCCACAGTGACACGCCGCCCTAGTGATGTCCTCTCTGTGTGGGGCTGCGCTTGAAAAGTGCTCAGGGACTCCAGCTGCCTCAAAGAGCTGCAGCCAGATTGTTATAGGGGAGCAGATGACTTGCTAGAAGAAGCTCCCAACTGGCTACCAGTCTGTTTCCAGGCACAACTGAAAGTGCTGGTTATGACCTGGAAGACTGTATTCCCTCATATACCTGCCCAGGTTTGGAGATATTGGGGGAGGCCTTTCTTTCTGTCCTTCCACCCTCACAGGCAGGCTTGGTGGGGATGTTCTCAGTGGCTGCTCCCAAACTTTGGGGCTCCCTCCCTAGGGAATCTAGATTAGCTCCATCCTTCTTTCCTTCCACCAGCAGGTGAATACTTTTCTGTTACAGCAGGCTTTGGGGAACTGACTGTTTTTAATGAAAGTGCTGGTGCCTTGCTTTTTTTTGTAATTATTGGTATGATTTTAATATATTTTATATCTGTATATAGTTTTAATTCTATCAGTAGTTTTTCAGTGATTTTTTTTCTTTGTGCTTTTCGAGGTTCTTGTTTTTATCTGTAAGTCAGATTGAGTCATGTCAGAGAAAAAGGAGGGGAATAAATAAACAATGCCAGTGAACTGCAGCCCATCTCCAGTCAGTTTACTTTTAAAATTTGTTGTGCTTAAATGCAAAGAACTACTACCATCCTGTTCAGTTCAGCCCTAGATCAGTGGGACTTCTTGTGCAATTCTCTGCAACTTTACTTGGAAGCAACTTCCACTGTTTTCAGTAAGCTTATTCTTAGGAAAGTGTGCACAGAATTGCAGCCTAAAATTTATTTTGTAGAACGTATATACCATTGATTGATAAATAACACACACACAACCCCCCACTCAAAGCTGTTGAATGCTAAGATTATGCTGTGCACACATTTTTAATATGCCTTCATCTTAACATCAAGTCGACCTCAATTTGTGACCCACATTTTTATATTTTTAATAGAATAATGCTTAATAAATCCTTACAATATGTATTGTGGTTCCCCAGATGGTGTTGGACTGCACTGCAACTCCCATCATAGTTTCTGACTGCTGCCAGTTGAGTGTGTTGGCTGAGGCTAATGGAACTCTAAGTCCAACAGCACTGGAGGGCTACAGCTTTCCTTCCTTGTTTGACTGGGATCATTAATTATTAGCCTGCAGGCAAAGTCAACTCTGAGTAGGAGTAGCATTGCGTACCACAAGTGGACATGCTGGAAACCAATCTGCACGTAATGTGAAGTGATCCTAAATTGCACTATGAACTTCATGCATAATCTGTTGCTTATTCTGGAATAGAGTGTTATCTGAGCGGAAGCTGTTTCTTTTGTCCAGTATCCTCCCCCCCCCCCATGTACTCTGCAATATATATTGTTTTGACAACAGAATGTGCCTGGGCAGTTAAGATAAGTAACTTCAGAATAGCTGTATAAACCTTTTGGCAATTGAATGTGCTGACATGGCACACAGTCTACGGGCAACTCCTGTTTAGTGTACGTTCAAAGAGTGCCTGACCGTAAATGCTGGAGTTGTTTTTGGACCCGGAAGTGGGCAGGGTGGGCTTATGTGCACTCCACTGACGCGTGCAATGACCCAGAATGTAACCGCCACACAAAATGGGGGTTGCCTGTATATACATGTAACTTCAGAAGTGCAGGAAGCCCTGATCCTGCTAGGTGACAGAAGTTAGGGTCTATTTTTTTCTTAGAGTTTCAGAGCATGGAACAATGTAGTACATCAAACAAGCAAGAATATAACACAAAGCAAAAAGAAAATCTAGCCAGTTAAACACTCCAAAAGAAGTGTTTAACTTCTTTTGGAGCAATAGAAGAAAATTAAATAATGAGTAGGGTGGAAGAGGAAAGGGTAGAAGATTGAGATGATGTAACAGCTTCCCCCAAAATGTGTTTTGGGTTCAGAGGGAGGCTAATATGACCACCTGCTACATTAATAAGGAAAGGGAACCAAATTGGTTGAAAACTCTGTCCGTTTGAGCCTGTTGAGCACCCAAGCTTCATAGGTCTGTTCCTCACACAGGGCAACATGCAATATACGGTTATACCAGGCTGTAAGTGTAAAGTCAGATGATCTTGGAGGGGGAAAGGGGAAAATATGCAAAATATTAATTAATTAACAATTTGTCTGTTTTCTGAATGGCAGCAGGCAGGCTTTTCTTTACCCTAGACCTGCTACAATACTGAGAAATTAATTAACAATTTGTCTGTTTTCTGAATGGCAGCAGGCAGGCTTTTCTTTACCCTAGACCTGCTACAATACTGAGAAGTCTAGTGCAGACATGACTAAGAATTTTTTGCCACGCTCCCTGTTGGTCCAAGTTCGTAGAGGCACATAGCAGCAGCAAATGTGACGACGTGGACATGACCATACTTGTGCACACTTTTTGTACACACGGGTCACAGACATGCATACATATAGACAGGCGGTACTTGTATGCACTTTTATGTGCCTGCTGCGTCAGCATTTGAAACTAACCGGGAGCCAGTCGCCTTTTGGAACTAAGGAGCGCCCCCTTGTGACCAAGTGGAGATAGAAATCTTGCCACTTGTTTGTGACAGAAATCACCACCACAGGAGCGCAAGAGTAGTGTTCCTTGCTGACTAAAACAGCTGAAAAGCTGTCACCAGCTATTGAGCTTTTGGCTTTCCTTTTCATCGCTGCTCCCCTGAAGCCTTTTCAGGGCTTTTTCTCAGCTTGAACTCACTGAAACTCAGTTTCAGCACCTCTCAGGTGGGCATCATTGCCATTCTGAGAGAACGAGTGAGGTGTTCATGGTGAGTTTTGGCACCTCTTTTTCTAGGGAAAGTAGCACTGTGCCTTTTGATGTGCTGAAGAGACTCCCTTGTGGTACTCTTGGCATAAGCAAACAAAACTCTTTCACATGCTTAAATGGATTCCTTCTCACTTGGGAGTGGGGAGTGGGATGAACAGCTAACTTTGCAGGTAGCAACTGAAGACCAAAGCAAACTGTCCTTCTGTGGTCTGGCCATTCCCACCCTCTACCCAGGATTCCAAAGGCTGTAGCAACTCATTTTTCAGCCCGCCTACCCTAACCTCTACCTCAGCCCCTCTCTGCCTTTGCTCCGCTGTTTCGTTACTGTTTCCTTTCCACTCGGCTCAGCTTTCAGTTCCTTGCTCCTAGATGGACGACATCTGATTTTTCACATTGTGATATATCACTATTAAAAAATTCTTTCCAGTAGCACCTTAGAGACCAACTAAGTTTGTTACTGGTATCAACTTTCGTGTGCATGCACACTTCTTCAGATACCAAGAACTAGTGATATATCACTAGTTAACCATCGCAGTACATTACACCAGTATATTACAATGTCTGAAATAAGGAGGGGCAGCTGGGCTGTGGAGGGAGGGAAGGTGCAGGCAGGCAGAGGAGCACCTTCTTGGCTTTCCTCTGCCAAGGCCACCACAACGTGAATCGCTCTCTGTGGTCCTTCCCAGCAATCACCACCCAACAGATCTTCACGCTTGCAAGCTCAAAAATTCTGAAACTCTTATTGCGATCTGAACTTCAGACCGGTTTCAGACGATGTATTGATACATCACACAGCCCTAGTTATGACTCTGATTTCCATCACACACACACACACACACACACACACACACACACACATATATGATGGAACTCAGGGAGAGACCTCAGTTGAAGATCTTAATGCACTAAGAGTGGTGTGGGAGGAACTCACCATACATGGGGGCAACCAGTTTTGATAAACGATGTTGAAATTAATTCTAGCCCTTCTTTTGAAATAAATTTTGAAATAAAATTCAAATTAACTTTCCGCCAGTCCTGCATAGGCTTCTCTGAGATTGCAGTATAATTCTAAAGTACCTAAATGCCATGCTGCTCCTAAGGAAAGAAAAAAAAAGTAGTTTTATCTTCCCCACCCCAAGTCCTGTTTTTGTTCAATTGATGTTATAATAATCCTCTCATATATTTTTCATGTATTGTTACTGCTAATGGTTACAAATTGAGATTAAACTCTGGTAAGGACTCCTCAGCAGCAGTACCACAGTAAATAGGTGACCCGAAGTTTGCTTCCAAAGAATTGCTATTCCTATCCCATCCTCCTAGCTGAGGTTTGACGGGTATGGAGTTGGTGTAGGAAGCTATTGCTGAGATCTCCAGCCTTCCAAATTCCTTCTGCTTTCATTTCAGATGAGGTCTGTGTCTGTGGATCTAAATATTGACCCTTCACTGCAGATTGATATCCCTGATGCTCTCAGTGAAAAAGACAAAGTGAAATTCACAGTCCATACTAAGGTAAGATGGCAGGGAAGAAGGATAATTAAAGTTGGGACAAAGCTACAACTTTGCCATGTTTAGTGACCAAGGTAACTTCTATGAAGTTACAGGTTAGTGAACATGGCTTGGAAAATAGCCTTACCTCACATAAATTGAAATGAAAGCATTTTTATGCCAGTTTTTTTTTTTTAAGATGATGTGCTCTGTCTCTCCAAAATTATCTCTTGGGAAATCTTCCCTCTACAGTGGACCCTCGGGTTATGTACCTCTCTGGATATATAATCTTTGGGTTGCCAAAATGGCAAACCCGGAATTATTTTTCAGGGTTTTGCCACTCGCACATGCACAGAAGTGCTCTATCGCACCGTGCATGTGTGCAGAAGCGGTGCCTCTGGTTACAGATTTTATTGCGGTACGTATGGACCCCCAAAACGAATTAAATCCGTATCCAGAGGGTCCACTGTACTTTTTATTATGATATTTTCTTTTTTCACTTGCTTCCATATACATCTAAATACCTCTTGTACTAATCAAGATTGAGCAGTGTATTGAAAACCACCTGAAAAGCCATATATCATGTTTCAAACCAATATATATGTCCATTTATATAAAATTCAAAATGAACCATGGCCAAAATAAGCTGAGATTTTGTTTAAATTGAATAAAAGCAATATTTCAGGGAAGATGTTGCTCATGGGTCATTTTAAGATATTGGTTTGGGGTTCAGAAATTTAAGATACTGATTTTTGGTTCATTTGTTTAATCTCACTTTATATTCACACATTACCGTATTTTTCGCTCTATAAGACGCACCAGACCACAAGACGCACCTAGTTTTTGGAGGAGGAAAACAAGAAAAAAAAATTCTGAATCTCAGAAGCCAGAACAGCAAGAGGGATTGCTGCGCAGTGAAAGCAGCGATCCCTCTTGCTGTTCTGGCTTCTGGGATAGCTGCGCAGCCTGCATTCGCTCCATAAGATGCACACACATTTCCCCTTACATTTTAGGAGGGAAAAAGTGAGTCTTATAGAGCGAAAAATACGGTATATTACTGCTTTTAATAACATGTAGTAATTCAGATTTGATTTCAGTAAGTGGGGGGCGGGGAGATTTGGGTCTGTAAACTTAAAATCAGTTCAGTCCTTTTCTGTTTGTTTGTATCTTGACTTCTAAACAGTTTTGATGGTAGTTGTGCTGCCTTCATGGATCTGAATATGGAATATGGTTGCAACAGCAAGTGAGGAAAGCTAGGAGTGGAGTTTTGTGTAGAAGGGCTGTAAACTCCATTTCTGGCATTCAGAACAAATTTCTCATCTCTTGTCTCAGAATCCTTTAATTTTACACGTGTTTCTTTACACCCGGCTCCAGTTGGTGGTTCTCAGGGTTCTAGTTTTAAAAAAAAAGTAGATCCTACAAACCTGAAGTCTTCCCACCCATGTTCCAGCTTAACAGTCTCAAAAGCCTACACTATTTATTATTTTTATTTTTTGTATTAATGAGGTCCAAAGGAGTAACTGATTTCTGTTTTCAGACTACACTGCCAGTTTTTCAGAGCACAGAATTCTCAGTTACAAGACAGCATGAAGATTTTGAGTGGCTGCATGACACATTTATTGAGACAGAAGAGTATGCAGGACTAATTGTAAGTACTTACAAAATCTGATTTAAAATGCAGACATCTTTGCTAAACAGTGAAATTGCAAATTGCAAACAAGTAATTCTGTGGTTTTTGATTTTTTGTTTTAGAATTTCATAGTACTGATTCTTAATCTCCAGTGTATATTGATATATATATGTAGCCTTGAAACTCATTTCAATGCATGAGTGGGGTTGCTATGGATATTTCAGTTATGCACCCACTTAACCTGGGATTAAACCCCATTGGGTTCAGTGAGGCTTACTTCTGAGTAGACATGGGTAGGATTGCACTATTAAGTAACCACATTTCAACTATTTACAGTACAGTGGTACCTCGGGTTACATACGCTTCAGGTTACATACGCTTCAGGTTACAGACTCCGCTAACCCAGAAATAGTACCTCAGGTTAAGAACTTTGCTTCAGGATGAGAACAGAAATCTTGCTCCGGCGGCACAGCAGCAGCAGGAGGCCCCATTAGCTAAAGTGGTGCTTCAGGTTAAGAACAGTTTCAGGTTAAGTACGGACCTCCGGAACGAATTAAGTTCTTAGCCTGAGGTACCACTGTAACTAATTTTGAGTTTATCAAATAATGAAACCTTATTGAGGGCAGCAAGATGATAATTTAATGAAGTAGTGATACTTCATTGGTGGGTTCTTTTGTGAAATTGCCTCCAGAAGGAGATCTGAGAAGAGCCAGAGATGTGGATCTTGCGGAAGTGCAGTTAAATTCTGCTTTATTTTGCTAATCTTATAATTGTTTGGTTTTCTGAGTATTCTCCAGTTAAAATAAATTTTATTGTACTATTGTTGGTTTGGATTTTTTTTAGATTGTTGGTTTTATTGAAGACTGAAGTAGTTGAGAAATGACATATATGTTTAGCAGCAAGAGTGTGTGTATTCTTGTGTGTGCTAGAGTGCTGTTCTCAGTTTCAGCTCCAAGAGCATTTGACACCCCTCAAGAATTGCCCCTATTTTTTTGTGCTAGGGTCTCATACAAAGGCAATGAGATTATTGTCAGGACTTTGCACACTTCAAATTTCATCATTTTATTTAAATTAGACATACAATACAATACTACTTTTTTGAGATGCAGTTTTGCATTTACTTGTAATGTGCTACGTCTCCACCCTTCTATCCTGAATCTCCGTCCCACCAGATCTGTAGCTACAGATTTGCCCTTAGAACACTCTGAATACATTGGTCATATTTTAGTTCATTTCACATCTTTTCAGCATTTACACTGCTGTTCTATAGCGAAATACTGTTATACTATACTGTACCTAAGTTATCTATTATTTACTTTTAACAAATTATATACTACTTAATTACAGTAGGAGACACAATACAATTAAACTAAATATGACTAAAAGCTATTATTCTATTAAAAAATGAATAAAAAAGTCTTCAGAAAGCACTGAAAGCTCAACAGAGAGGTGGCTTTTCTGACCTCAGCTGGAAGGGATTTCCATAAAAATTAGATGTTTGACTTGCAGTGTTCTTGTGGAAATTGCTAGGCAGTAGAAATTACTGAAGTTCTCTTTTTGGACAAGGAGGTTCCTAACAACAGATCTTTTTGTCTAAGATTCCTCCAGCACCTGCAAAGCCTGACTTTGATGGCCCCAGAGAGAAGATGCATAAGCTTGGGGAAGGAGAAATGTCTATGACAAAAGAGGAATTTGCCAAAATGAAGCAAGAGCTGGAAGCGTGAGTGTGATCATACTTAACGAAAAGACCCTCTATATCCCATGTAAATGTTTTCTTGCTGACAAATCTATGCGAGTGTAAAGAAGGCTTCTGAACTGTCAAGACTCTACAGGTTAAAACAGCCTAGTAAGTTTTCTGAATTTGCATTGTCTTCCCACTCCTCTGCATGGTCTGTTAGTTTAGTTTAGTTTGTTGCATTCATATCCTCCCTTTATTCTAAGGACAATATATGGCCCTGGATAGCTCAGTTAGTTAGAGCATGGTGCTGATAATGTCAAGGTTGCACGTTTGATCCCCTTATGGGACAGCTGCATATTCTTGCATTGCAGGGGTTAGACTAGATGATCCTTAGGGTCCCTTCCAACGCTACAATTCTATGGTTTTATCCTCTCAACAAACCTTGTGTGCAGGTTTGGCTCTGAGGTAGTGACTGGCTCAAGTTCACCCAGTTAAATTCCAAGTGCCAATGGGGATTTGAAGCCAGTTTCCCCAGTCCTAGTTAAAAGCTCATGTTATTTAAATCTGTTTATACACCACTATTCAGACAATTTGTCATTTACAAGCTTAAGAAAACCTATAACATAAGTAAACATTTCAATAAAGGTACAATACATGATAGCAGTCTGGCATCCAGTGTTTGTGAAAGGTTGGGGTAGGCAAATTCACCATTCTCCAAAAAGAGAATAGACCTGTCTTGGTAGACTATTCCAGAGCATCAGAGCTGCTACGAAGAAGGCTCCTCTCCTGCTTGAGGGTAACCTAGGCTTCCCATAAGACATGTTTCAAAATAGGGTCTCCTCAGAAGATCTCAAGTCCTGGGAGAATTTGCACATTCTCAGAGGTTACTAGAACCAAGTTGTTGAGGGCTTTAAAGTTAAGAACCTGTGCTTTCGATTAGGCCTGGAAATCAACTTGGGAGCCAGTTTGAAGGCAGAGTTGCTGTTAGTGTGAATGTCATCTGTCCAACTAGCTGGTAATCAGTCTGTTCTGGAAGGAGTTAACACGCACACACGAAAAAGAAGAGATAGGGAGCCTGTGGCTGTCCAGATCTTGACTGACTATTCTGACTGGATCAAATTAGGAATTGGAGTCAGCAATGGAGGGCTACAGGTCCCCCATCCCTGCCTAGAATGATCTGGCTTGTAGACTCTTTGATCCAGCATTGTCATCGGAGACAGATATGTATGGTGGCTTGTAGCACCTTTATCAGCTTAGTGTCACAGTTGATCTATCAGCCTGTCATGACAGAAAGCCTTGCAGTATTTGTTTTAGTGGGATTAAAGGGTAGGTCTTAAGTCTGAGAGGCTGAATACTGATTTAAAATATCAAGATATGGGTGTGTGTGAAGAAGCTAAAGTTCATATCTGGATACAAGAACCAGTGCTTTTTTTCTAGGGGGATGCAGGGGTACCCTAAACATTTTGTGAATCTAAGTTTGGCCTCATTGAGGGGCAGTATCTCAATATGGGTAGGAAAATGAGAGCACCCCTAAACATTTTTTAGGAAAAAAGCTCTGACAAGAATTGTACGTGATGGAAGTTATCCCAGTTCAGCAAGGGAGATGAGTTTGCTGTGAAGCAGGTGCCCAAAGTCCTGTTTCTGGGGATGGTCTATAATTCCAGTCTGTGGCTGTGCTTGTGGTTCCTACTGCCAGATCGGGAGCCGTACACATAATTCGTCATTGCAGCTGCTGATTGTATTAGTGGGTGAGAGAGTGGCATCAAATCTGTCATCTAAAATGTAAATAAGAAGTTATGGCATTCATCATTGAAAGCAATTACAGTCATACCTTGGTTTTTGAACAGCTTAGTTCTCAAACCTTTTGGCTCCCGAACGCTGCAAACCCGGAAGTGACTGTTCCGGTTTGCGAACTATTTTTGGAAGCTGAACATCCGCAGCTTCCAATTGGCTTTGGTTTCCGAACATTTTGGAAGTCGAATGGACTTCTGGAACAGATTCTGTTTGACTTCCAAGGTTTGACTGCAATTGGCTGTGATTCCTGAGGGGCAGATGACGCTTTGGGTGCCTTCCAGCTTCTCGATTCTATGCAAGAAGATACCTGCAATGCTTGTATGCTCAGCCCACTACGATGCAGGTGCACCTTAGGCCGAAGTGTGCACAATGTGGGGCACATTTTTTTCCATTCCAATATTTTTTTTCTTCCAGGGAGTACCTTGCGGTGTTCAAGAAAACCGTATCGTCACATGAAGTCTTCCTTCAGCGAATTTCTGCCCACCCTCTTCTCAGCCAAGATCACAACTTTCATGTCTTCCTTGAGTATGATCAGGATGTAAGGCACATCTGCTTTTCATTTATTTACATTATTTCTTAACCAGCCTTCATCAAAAATATTCCAGGATAATTTACAGATCATTAAATTAAAACATCAAAATTCATAATTAATATAAGCATTAAAATATAAAATCAAAATTCTTCCATTTAAAACAATCCAGAAAATTACAAGAACCACTGAAAGAATCAAGCCCCAAAAAATCCTGTCAAAGGAAGGCAAGACTGCATTTAAGCTATATACAACTTTACATTGCTTCCGTAAATAACACCTATTTAACTTGAAGACAGCTGAACTATGGAACTCCTTGCCGCAAGGAAAGTGCTGTGGCAAAGAATTCAGCAATTTTTGAAACGGGATTAGAAATAATAAAATTATGTCTGTAGTTGCTGATTGAATATGCCAAACTCCACCTGCCACAATTTTGTAACTGGCTCTGCTCCTGTAGTGCCAGTTTGTCACACGTAGTCCTCATTAATAGCTACCACTCTAAAGTGGGCTCCGTGGGTAGAATGCTGGAAATGCGTGGGTTAGGGTATGGTGCCAATAGCACCAAAATCACAGGTCTGAATTCCAGCATAATGATAATGGATAGTTTATCACTGCCTAATGTGTCTCTTTCCCTATCTCTCTTAGCTAAGTGTTCGGAGGAAAAACACAAAAGAAATGTTTGGTGGCTTCTTCAAAATTGTGGTGAAGAGCGCTGACGAAGTTCTGTTCTCTGGGGTTAAAGTAAGAGTTCTTAAAGCTAGATTGTCTCCTGCGTTATTTTCCATAAATCTGTATGCCTGCTTACGTATACTGTATTACTAGCATTTAAAAACCTTTATTCCAGTTGCTCTCTTGGGTTTTAATTGATTTCATATAAATGCTGTTGTTGTTTTGAACTGCTTTTATATTTATTTTTTAAAAATCTTTTTATATATGCAATTGTTTTAACTCCTTTTTTGTATGTTAACTGTTTTATTGTAAATCACTTCAAGACTTTCTGGCATGAAATTGTGCAAATTGCGTTGCTAAGAACAAGCACGTAGGCTCATTCTTTAGCAATGGAGTGGGTTGGAGGGGGGCAAATTGGGGGCTCCAGGGCACCATGAATTCAGTACTACTGTGAGCACTCCTCTGCCCTATTTTTGGAGGTATAGACATAACAATAGCCCTCCTGGATGAGAGCAAAGTGCTATCTTCCCCAGCACTTTTCTTTCCACTGTAAAGTAATACTAACTTATCAGGATTTTTTTATGGGGTAGGGAACAGAGCTGAGGGAATGGAGATTGCTTGTGCAGTGAACCTATCACAGCAGGACTTTTAAAGTGTTTTTCTTTTTTTAAGGCTGATTATTTTGAAAAGATTTAAGCAACTTTCAGGTAAAAGGGTGTTGGGGCTGTCATAATTCTGCACACATACACAGACCTTCACATGATGTTCACTTGTTTTAGGGAAGGCTTAAAGTACCTAAATATTTTGTAAATGATTTCAAAAGCCAAGCTCGTATTGCATTCCTACTACAGAGGGTTAATGTGAAAGTAACTCTAGCCGAATTTTCGTGTTTTCTTGGTCAAAACACTAATCATCCGAAAATCTCTTTCCAGGAAGTAGATGATTTCTTTGGACAAGAGAAGACATTTCTTATAAACTACTACAACAGAATCAAGGATGCATGTGCAAAGGCAGATAAGATGACAAGAGCTCATAAAAGTAACTTTTTCACCCATAGAGACACTTGAGTATTTTCTAAATACTGCTCAGTTCAGAGACAAGACTGAAAGTGTTTTGTGTTCTTTCTCAACAGATGTTGCAGATGACTATATTCATACTTCGGCTTGCTTAAATAGTCTGGCTCTAGAAGAACCAACTACCATTAAAAAGTAAGTCCATTCCATTCCTCTTCAAAAATAGCTCTGGCAAAGATTCTCAAACTTTCATTGTACACAGGTTGTGCATTGACAATAAAGGTATTATTATTATTATTATTATTATTATTATTTATTATTTATTTTGTCACAGTGACAAAGGCCACTAAGGTTCAAAGTAAATGTAACGTGTCAGATTCATCATCTGCTATCCTGATAACTTTTTTATTTTATTTAAATGGCAGCAGGACATGTTAGGGGTGACACAGTTGAGACCTGTATAATTAAGCCAAACCTGAAAACAATATTAAAGGGAAATTAGAATTCAGAATATTAACTTTTGGTGCCTTCTGTAAATGTGATTAGTTTTCATGCTATTTCCTTTTATTTTTCTGCCTTTGATATTCACTTTCTGTATTTCTTTCCTATTGATTCTTTTTTGCAAGTAGGTGATATCCAGCTTAGGGAGTTATCAAACTGTACTGTTACACTAGGACAAGAACTTTCAGCTGTTCAAGAGAACCACCCCCACTTCTCCCTGTGCTGCCACCCCCTTCCAGCTTGACCTTTGAATCTATTGCAGGGGATCCTTCCCCTCTCTGGAGCAGATTTACAGGGTGTGCAGGGTGAGGAGAGGGTGAAGAATTTCCATTGCACAACTAAGAATCCTTACACTAGTGGAACTGTTCAGTTGGATACTGTCCCATGTCATATTCAGCATAGACCTATTGATTTCAGTGGGTTTTCTCTGAGCATGATGAATGTTGATATCACCTATTGTCTGTAAATTTCTTTGTTTTTGTCTTAATACTATTGATTTCTCAACTGGCAGCTAGCTGCTTCTGCTCCCTGCATTCTGCTGTTCTTACCCTCTCGTGTAACAGCAATTGACTCCTGTGGATTCATTGGGCTGTATTCAACTAAATTGTTGCCCTAGCAGAAACCAGTGTAATGATTCCCACTAGGGTAAGAGGACTGCCCTTGCTTCTCCTTGCCACCCACACCCTGATCTGCTCTGGAAGGTCTTGAGAGCCCCCAGAACAGCATACAGAGCGAGGAGAGGGGAGAACATTCCATTGGGCAAGCAGAAATGCCTGTACAGTGGTGCCTCGCAAGACGAAATTAATCCGTTCCGCGAGAGTCTTCGTCTAGCGGTTTTTTCGTCTTGCGAAGCAACCCTATTAGCGGCTTAACGGATTAGCGCTGTTAGCGGTTTAGCGGCTATTAAAGGCTTAAAGGCTTAGCGGATTAGCTTCTAAAAGGCTATTAAAGGCTATTAAAGGCTTAGCAGATTAGATAAAGGGGGGGGAAAGCGAAAAAAAAATCTCTAGACTCGCAAGACATTTTCGTCTTGCGAAGCAAGCCCATAGGGAAATTCGTCCTGCGAAGCAACTCAAAAACGGAAAACCCTTTCGTCTAGCGGGTTTTCTGTCTTGCGAGGCATTCGTCTTGCGGGGCACCACTGTACTTATGGAACAATCTCCTTAGGACCCTCATACCTATGGGACCACCTCTCCTGGTATGTCCCACAGAGGGCCTTACAGTCTTCAAACAAATACATCTTGGAGGTCCCGGACCACAGGGAGGTTAGGCTGGCCTCAGCCAGAGCCAGGGCTTTTTCGGCTGTGGCCCCGATCTGGTGAAACGCTCTGTCACAAGAGACTAGGGACTTGACATCTTTCCGCAGAACCTGCAAGACCGAGCTGTTCCACAGGCCTTTGGCCAAGGCACAGTCTGACAGAACTCTAGCTCAATGGTTGCCATTAATTTGATTTTGAATTGATTTTAAAATGAATTGATTTTAGAATGCTGTTTTACTTTTATTGTTGTTAGCCGCTCTGAGCCCGGCTTCGGCTGGGGAGGATGGGATATAAATAAAATTTTATTATTATTTTTTATTATTAGCGCTACTTTGAATGCAACCCCTTATGGTATTTTTTGCTGCCAGTAAAAGGTAGATGTAAAGGACCCGTGGACGATTAAGTCCAGTCAAAGATGACTATGGGGCACGGCGTTCATCTCGCTTTCAGGCCGAGGTAGCTGGCATTTGTCCACAGACAGCTTTCCGGGTCATGTGGCCAGCATGACTAAACCGCTTCTGGTGCAATGGGACACCATGACAAGTGCCAGAGCGCACAGAAGCACCATTTACCTTTCCACCACAGTGGTACCTCTTTATCTAGTTGCACTGGCATGCTTTCGAACTGCTAGGTTCGCAGGAGCTGGTACAGAGCAATGGGAGCTCACCCTATCATGGGCATTCTAAACGCTGACCTTCTGATCAGCAAACCCAAGAGGCTTGGTGGTTTAGACCACAGCACCACCTTTTGCCAGTGCAGTGCTCTTCACTTGAGTGTGCTGTCACCTACTGATACAAAAGTGTTCTGAAACTCAGGTTTAAAATTTTGCAAATGTACAATTGCTGAACATTCTATTCCATATCCATGTATGTTTCTAGTTCTTTGCACCAGAACAACACCAGCCCTCATTCTTTTTCTATGGGGTCTCCTTTTTGGGCCAGTGGGCACATCTGGAATTTTGAGAGAGTGCTGTGGGCTCCAGTCACAAAATGGCTGCAGTGGGGGTTGTTGCCTAAACCAAAATGGCTGCCTTAGCTAACAGCAGAACAAGAGGCAGGACTACAAAATGGCACAGGTATGCCCCATTGCCCCACTCCAATCAGTTAGGGGGAGGCACTACATCAGGCACCTCCACATTTTCCCTCTGTTCAGAACAGAAGTGAAGGTGGTTGTCCAGTCCGGGCATCCAATGAAAAGGGAAAAGGGAAAGTGCTCATTGTAGGAGAGGGGAAATCAGGGCTAATAGGGACTGAGCACGAAGACCAAATAGTCCCTCATGCGTTGTGCACTTTTGAGGCTTTTTGGGGGGCACACTGATGCCTGTGGGCGCCATGTTGGCAACCTCTGATCTAAGTTGTCTTCTAGTACTATATTATCTTCCTCAAGCATAATTCCTGACTCCTCTCTGTTGGACTTGTTTACAGTGATGAAAATTGAGTTCCCTCTGGAAGACTCTGCTTAAAATTTCATTACTGCCTAGCAGGATGCAGTAGCATGAATACATTCACCAGATTATCCAGTTAATGAGGTGTGGTAGCTTCTGTTGGTCAGGGATGTCTGCACCTCTTGTATTTCGTACGGCTTCATACCTCTACTGTTAGTACCTCCTTCCTTGCCCTGTGTTCTTCTGTGTCGTCATAACTCTGGAGTCTTACGGAACAGGCCAATCTGTTCAGGCAGGTAGAATCAGAATCTAGCCTTATATAAATAAGCCCACAAAAGTTACCTGCAGTGCCATTTCTTTTACATGCCTGCTAAGGGGCTAGTAGCCTATGTCACTGTGCTGGCCATAGAAAAGAGGGAACACTCGCCTTCCCAGCCAGCCTGGAAACGCAGACTAAAAATATTGCTTTCCTCTAGGTAGACTGGTGGAGGTGATCCAACCTGGAGGTTTCTATCCTGGTTGTGGAGGAAAGACTTTCCTCTACAGTTAGCACAGAAGCCAAATAGTTTGGCAGAGGAGGCGTGGAGCCAGGTCACTGCACCTATGAATTTAACCACTAACTTGGCAGCCATAGCTGATGTGGCCCAACTCCTTGCCCCAGTGCAGGAGGTTTGCTGCTAATATAAAGCTATTGGTGTGAGTTCAGGGTTTGGGAGATACAGTTAACATTCTCTTCTCACCCTATTCCTCCCCAGGTACTTGGTGAAAATTTCTGAGCTCTTTGAGAAACTCCGGGTAACTTTTATTTTATTTTATTTTTTATTTAAAATATTTATATCCCACCTTTCACCAAAAAATAATCCAAGACAGTAACATTCCTCTTAAAAGCAATCAAAACATTTAAGATTGTATTATAAAACATAAGTAGCATAAAGCAGCAAGATAAAAATGTAACCTACAGAAAAGCAGCAGGAGACAAAACAAAAAACTACAATTGGCACATGTCATCAGTATAAAACCATATCGGCCAGATGTCTTTCTAAAATGGAAGGTATTTGCCATCTGACAAACTATTGTAAGGGAGGGGTCAGCATTCACTTCATCAGGAGGGACTTCCTATGAGAAAAATCTCTCCTTAGATACAGCCTGACGGTCTGCGCTGGTCACTTGGGACACACAAGAGGGCATCTGACCATGATCTTAGTGGGCAGACCAGTTAATAGTGCAGAAAACAGTCCCTTTAGTATCATTAGCCTAAAAACCACAGGCCAGTTTAACTAAGAAGGTGCTTTAGCAGGAACCAGCACAGCAAACTGAATCGGGGTATGTGTGTGTTTCAGGGTCTGGAGAACCCCCAGAACAGTGCGTGGCGGGAGGAAAGGGGAGAATGTTCTATCAGCAAGCTGAAGTGCTTACGCTGACAGAACCATTGGAAAAGTGCAACGTTCAATTCCTCCCCATAATGGATGTTAAAGAGTATTGCACTCTGGACCAAACTGAGTTTCCAGACACCTTTTCAAAGGAAGCCCCACTTAGAGTGCATCCAGTAAGAGTAGTCCAGACAAGGTGTAACTAAGACATGTGTTTTCATGGCCAGATCTGTAGTTGGTGTACCAGCTTGTGCTGGGCAAAGGAATACCCACCGCAGCTGTCACCTGAACATAATTTGTCAGAGTTGGGTCCAAGGGTCCAAAATAATAACCTGTGTTTAGTGCCACACAGCTTGAACCCCTGTTTCTAGAGCAGCAGTTCTACTGAACTGAACCCTACTGATGTGCACACCATCTTGTGTTTCTGCATGCTCTGTTCTGGATAACTTTGTTGATTTGTTGGATTATTGGGGAAATGTGTGGTGTGTGGTGTGATATGGTTTAGCAGCTACAGTGCCATAAAGTTCAGTATACCTGCTGATGCAGAGCACCATAGCTATTCCTGGATTAAGCTTCATTTTTTAGCCTACAGGCAGTCCATGGAGGCCCCAGGCACTGATCCAGAATCTCAGCAAGGTTGATCTTTGAGGCACCCTATAAGCAAACGACCAAGGTGTAAAATAGAAGTTCCCCAGCACTACTGTCTAGAACAGGCTTCCTCAACCTTGGCCCTCCAGATGTTTTTGGCCTACAGCTCCCATGATCCCTAGCTAGCAGGACCCAGTGGTCAGGGATTATGGGAATTGTAGTCTCAAGACATCTGGAGGGCTGAGGTTGAGGAAGCCCGGTCTAGAATCATATCCTCAAGTCACACTCCTGTGTCCTTGTGTGGGTCATTCAGTAGGGCAGCCAAGGTTGTTTCCATTCCTAAACAGCCCAAGGCCAAATTGAAATGGAACTATTTATTCTGCAGAATTTAACTTTTTTTTTCTTAAAGATGCTACAGCCAATATGCACTAAATTTTAAATTGTTTGTCTATACAGTAATTGTGTTTTCTTCTCCATAGAAAGTAGAGAATCGTGTTTCTTCTGATGAAGATTTGAAACTATCAGAATTACTAAAATACTATATGCTCAATATAGAAGCAGCAAAAGTGAGTCCTCTCTGAATGTTTTCTCCAGTACTTACACTAGGAGAACAATTTGGCTGAACTTTGTACCACAGTTTTGATAACAATGCATTAACATGCTCCACATGATCGCAATCTGAAGGTTGAAATGGTACCAAGATAATGGGGAGACTATGTTCATTGTTGATTGGGTACATTTTTTTGTCATTGAGGTTCAGAACTTCTTTGGCTACTCCTAGACCGATTGCCACACCTGGAGTTCACGACCTTATTCATCTGCTTCTGATGAGAAACTTGCAGCCCTTTCTGATTCAACTATATCACTAATCATGAAAAAATCAGGAGGTTGCAGTGCTCAAGGTCAGCTTATTGCATCCCAGCTTCCAGCATCTCTGAACCTTGGCCCTGCTCGCCTGGACTGATGGGAGATGGGAGTCCAGCATCATTTGGAGGGTACCACGTTGGGCACCATGGACCTAGATTGGCAGACTTGTGCTAAGGAGATAAGCTTCATATCTCTGCTTGGCTATGACTCCCAAAATGACTCCCGAAATGGTTCAAAAAGCAAGGCGCGCCTTCTGATTGGCTGCAGGAGCTTCCTGCACTCAATCGGAAGCCGTGTCGGACGTTCAGCTTCCATAAAATGTTTGCAAACTGGAACACTCACTTCCAGGTCAATTTGTTTGGCAGCCAAGCCGTTCAAGTACCAAGGTAGCAAGGCTTATCTTAAACTTCTTCAAAAGTTCTTTGTGCATTTCGGAATGCTTCTTGAGCTATAGATCAGGCTGCATATCTGTATAACATGGGGTGTAGCTTTGAGTTAAATGCCCTGATCAAGAACTGTTTTTTCCCCCCACTCAACCTATTCAGGATCTCTTGTACAGACGTACACGGGCCCTTGTGGAGTATGAAAATTCAAATAAAGCTTTGGATAAAGCTAGGTTGAAAAGCAAAGATGTCCAGTTGGCAGAAGCACATCAGCAAGAATGCTGTCAAAGATTTGAGAAACTTTCTGAATCTGCAAAACAAGGTAAAACCACTTCAGGACACCACATTAAGGCAAAGCTTTGCAGTGGATGTGCCTGAGATGTTCTTCCAGAGTTTTTCAGTCTAGAGTTTACTTGCCTTGTAGAAAGATGTAACTTCTGCTTGTGATATGCAGTCTAGGGTGCTGATGACTTTATTCCCTAGCAATCAGCATAGGGATAAACATTGAAATTGCTCTGAAGTGATGGGTGGGATCTCATTTTTCTGCATCAAGTTGAACAAGCAACATCTGAATTGTGGGGATGGCAGATGGAGTCTGGTCCCCTCAGTAACTGTGTCGAGCATTACAAGGGCATGATTTGTCTTAAAGGCGAGGAGGCAGGAAGCTTATGAATTCTTTACTGGCCTCCCTACCACTTTCCTTGTAATTTGAGCACTGACCAAGAGTACTGGATTACCCGATGGGCAGACTTACATTTTGCAAAGCAAAAAATGAGTTTTTTGAAGCAAAATGACACTTGATATTCCCCCCCCCCACCCAAAAAAGAGAAAAAACCCAAACCAGCTGCCATGGGAAAAATCAGAACTTTGTGAAGACATCCTTAAATGCCACTAGAGTTTTATTTTATGGTTTAGTATTATTTTTGTTTTGAATTACACATAAGGGTAACTATAATAATTTCTGTTCTTCGGGTCTCTAAAGGTTTGCCCTACTGAGCATGAACTGAAAATAAAACCCCACCTGCTTCACCTAGTATATTCCACATGTACATGCTCTGCCAGCATTGAGCTATTTCTGTGAATGAATTTTGTTGGTTTGATTGCTATTTTCCCTTTCTTTACCTCTACAAAATCCTTCTAAATTTATTACTAGGGCTAACACTAAGGGTTTGGGACAAGTATTCATTACCTTCATCCCAGACTTTTGATTCAGCCGACAACCATTTTGCATGGGGGTTCCTTTCACGGCCCCCGCATGCATTGGAGGAACACGTATGAGCCCGCCCTGCCCCCATTACGCCCTTTTAGCGACGTGTTAAGTGACGTTTTCAGGTCACTTCCAGGTTTGGCACCATGGATACGTCCATGATCATGCATCTTTCAGGCACACACATTCATCGGTCGCTGCCTGCATTTCCCTTTCCATAGTGCTATGGAAATCTTTCAGAAAAACTGGGTATTATTTGGAATAGATATATATCAGCATGTTTGGCACTTATTTATAGTTTGACAAAATGGGTAATTCAGTTACCAAGTTTCTCAAAAGACATAAAACATTTTGCTGCCTGTAAAAGTTACTCATTCCTGTTGGCAAGTACTCAACATTGTTATGCTAATGATTTGTTCATGTGTTTATCATTTAACTCAATTAAAATGAAAGTGTCTTAAGCTATTGGAGCACTATCTAGACTCTATCTCCAAGTGATTTAACGTCTCTGTTCTCCCCACGGCAGAACTGGTCAACTTCAAACAGAAGCGAATAGCAGCATTTCGTAAAAATCTAATTGAAATGTCTGAGCTCGAGATCAAGCATGCAAAGGTATGTGTTCTAAAGTAAGACACTGGATGGAGGCTGTCCAGGCTGTCTTAACTGTAGAAAATATTCCACAGTATGCATTTGGGGGCAGTTCAGCTTATTTGTCCTTTCAGGGCTAGCAAAAAAGCCTTTTGCAATATGAAGACTGTTCAGGTGGGGGGGGGGAATTGCTAATTAAGTAGTTTGATTTAGATTAGTGTGTTTTATGCTGTCAACCAAAACTTTCAATATCACTAAATAAGCCCTGAAGTCTTTTTTTGACATGGTAAAACTTTCCAAATATGGACAGAAAACTTGTTTCAAAGAACTTCTGTGCCACTTCTTTTCTCTGGGTGCAGGGAGGACTTATATATGTCTGAATTGAGTACTCTGACCTTTAAGGACATTCTCTTAGAGCCTTTTATATGAATAAGAGTCAGCTATGAAATGGCATGGTTTGTTTAGGAGGAGGGACTACTGGAGCATATAATTAAGAGCAAGGTGCCCAAAATGTTGAGAATTCACACTGCGTAGCCATATCCAGGGGGAGGGATGTTTTGTTCTTCTTCTTATACAGAAGACCTACTTCATGTGTCTACTTAATTTTAAAACCTCCACACAAGTGCATGAAGCTCTTTCATGTCAAGCCTCAACTCAGGAAGGTGATGGTCTGAAGAAAGGAACCTGCTATACTCAAGGCTTCCCATGCAATTTTGAGACCTCGTACAAGAAAATCCCAGTGTCCGACCATACACCTCCACACAGTGGCAAAGAAAGCTTAGTATGCTCACTCATGGTCTATTAGTGCTTGGAAAGTTCATTTTTAAAAGAATCTAGTTCTGGTTCATCCTGCCCATACAGGAACTAGTTCCAGTTTATCCAAATGAACCTTTAGTCCAGAAAATTTTTCTTTTCTGCAAAAGAAAAATAAATCAGCATTCAGATCTTATAAGCTGCTGTGATGAAGTATATGGTCCGACAGTGAAACAGAGGCCACAAACAAGTTGTCTGACAAACAACACACCAACAGGTGAAGCTTTCCCCCCCAATTGATTTCCCATACCAGAAAAGACTGTTTAATATGTTTCAGCCACACAGCTGTTAAAGGCATAAGGCATCATTCACTTTGTCCCTGTCTCTGTATTACTTGTTGCAAGTTGCTCCTGTTGGAAGAGAGCAAACGGCTTCAGCAGGGAAGATAAAGAAAACCCCTCCATCTGATTGTTTAGAAACAGTGACTTAAGACATTAGCCACAGCAGCATCTCTATCTGGCTAATAAAGTCATACCATGTTGCCTCCACACTTTGTTTCCTAACTTTCTTTACTGATGCTCAGTAGTGTTTTTTTAAAAAAGTAACAGCTAAGAGTTTGGCAGGGGGAGGTATTGAATGTGAAGATGAACTAGAAATCATTCAAAGTTTTGCACCAAAATGAATTTAACCCACCTTTATAATATTTATTATTTATACCCTGCCATCTGGCTGGGCTTCCCCAGCCACTCTGGGCGGCTTCCAACCAAGTATTAAAATACAGTAATACATCAAACATTAAAAGCTTCGCTAAACAGGGCTGCCTTCAGATGTCTTCTAAAAGTTTGGTAGTTGTTGTTCGCTTTGACATCTGGTGGGAGGGCGTTCCACAGGGCGGATGCCACTACCGAGAAGGCCTTCTGCCTGGTTCCCTGTAACTTGGCTTTTCGCAGTGAGGGAACCGCCAGAAGGCCCTCGGCGCTGGACCTCAGTGTCCGGGCAGAACGATGGGGGTGGAGATGCTCCTTCAGATATACTTTAGTTCACCTGGCAGTTATAGTAACTGCATCCGCATAGGGCTACAGTGTTGAGTTTATGTATGTAAACTACCAAACTGACTTCAGTATTTCAGATAACAAGAAAAGCACATTGAACGAGACTATTTGAAAATACATTGGATTATCTTATTCTGTGGTTAGGTTTGATGGCTCCCTGTCTCCTCCACCTAACGGACTACTTCTTTTGCCTTCCAGAATAATGTTTCTCTCATACAAAGCTGCATTGAAGTGTTAAAGAAGAACTGAAGGCAACTTACCTGTGGGGGGTGGAGTGAGGAAGGCACTTGGAAATTGCACTCAAACGGCCGCATGGGACTGTTTCTAGCTTGGTTTCTCTGTACCACCTTTTTCTGGCTAAAAACCTAACCAAGTTGACACTAATGCATTGATCTCAATGATAAAAAAAATTGCATTACATATAGATTTGCTTGAATTTCCACTGACGTGTTAAACCTCAGGGTAAGCAAACAATATGTGTATGAGTTTGATAACTGGTAAATTACTATTGTGGAAGAAGCTGGTTTCTGGGAAAATGCCTTAGCACTGGAAATGAGTTTGTGCAGTGGAAGATTTGAAATTACAATCTGTCATGGTGCCTGTTGCATATATACCATAACCCAAATATCTCTATTTCCATGTGCAAATGACTACAGCTAATGCTTTGCAGTTTTGTAAGGAAATGCATTAACATTAAATTTCATAAACCTCTACTGCACTATTTTTTGATTGTGTATGTACTCTTGAATACAAAATAAATGTCTACTCTTGATTTATGTAGCATTTAATTGATGTGGAGTCTCCTTTGCTCTTGCAACAGTAATAGGCATCTATGTCCCACGTCTATTTTACATATTGAAATGTGCAGTGTGACTCTCGTTACACTGGCTGAAGTGACTTAGTATTGCAACAGAAAAAGACAAGTTTATTTGATTTGATTTAATAATTGTATTCCACTTTTCCAACAACAAAGGTGGCTCACAATAACCACAATAACATTAAAAAACAAACAAACATTGAAATCACAATAATAAATTGAAACAATGATTAGGTAAAGGTAAAGGGGACCCCTGACCATTAGGTCCCCTTGTGGCCGACTCTGGGGTTGCGGTGCTCATCTCGCTTTATCGGCCAAGGGAGCCGGTGTACAGCTTCTGGGTCATGTGGCCAGCATGACTAAGCCGCTTCTGGTGAACCAGAGCAGCGCACGGAATCACCGTTTACCTTCCCGATGGAGCGGTACCTTTTTATCTACTTGCACTTTGATGTTCTTTTGAACTGCTAGGTTGGCAGGAGCAGGGACTGAGCAACGGGAGCTCACCCTGTCACGGGGATTCGAACCGCCGACCTTCTGATTGGCAAGTCCTAGGCTCTGTGGTTTAACCCACAGCGCCACCCGAATGATTACTGTTCAATAAAGTCATAGTAATTCATAGATTTGCCAGGATACTTCCTAATCACAAGAAGCCTTACTCCACAACAGCAGCAAAACGAATTAATTGATGGCTTGGAAACTACATTGGTATGTCACCAGGGGAGTCCACAACTTCCCAAGGAAGGCTGTTCTAATGTTGAACAGCTCTTAATGTCAGAAAGTTTTTCCTGATGTTTAGTTGGAAATCTCCTTTCATGTAAATTGAAGCCACTGAGTTGAGTCTACCCTCCTGGTGATACTATACCAGTTACCTGTCATCTGCACTAAATGAAAGTCTGTTTCTGGGGCCAATGTCTGATATTTAATCAAACTCCATTGAAGCAGAATTTTTTTTTCTGTAAATGGTTGCTGTTTGTATTATTTTGGAACAATAAACTTTATAATTTTCATCATTTCTCTATATGATAACTCATGCCTCTCTATATATGATAACTTAATGGGTATGTTTTTGTATTTTTCTGTAATGTAAATAAAATGTAATGCCCTCCCCCGAAAGATGGGGAAGTTAAGATCTGAGGCATCCTATCTCCTGGCCAGACACCATTGTCTGTTCATCAGCACCTAGATACAAGCACCATGGCTACTGCTACATACCTAATCACACATTTCCATCCATTTGTGAACAGGGCTGCATGAACTACAGAGATGGTCAACTTCAGCGCCTACCAAGTTAACATAACCCAAAGCAGCAGGTGAGCAAAAACTTACTGTGGAGTGTCTTGACTGTCTCTAGAGCATAGCGGGTAGAGTATGACATCTGGTTTCAAATCAGAGAAAGGACTGTGGCTCAGTGTAGAACACATGCATAGCAAACACCCCAGATTCAGTCCTTGGAATCTCCGGGTACAGCTGGGATAGACTGGAATCCTGAGAGCTTCTGGCTCTCACATGAACCTGACCTTTGGTGAGTTTGTAAGTAAACCATTTTTAACTTACCAAATGTGTGGTATTTTTCTATGCTAGGGGAAGGAACTTACAAGGGCATATGTTAGAGGTCAAACTGCTTACATTTCCATGCTTTGCTGCTTATTTTAAGTCTCTCCTGGGGTTCTCTCACCAAAGGGAACTTGCTCCAAAGGGAACTTGGATCTTGGCATTCAGGAATTGTCGTTTCACACCTATTTTTTCTTGCCATCAGCAAACTGGATACTAGACTTCTATTAATGCAGCCTAGAATTGCAATAGCTTTTTTTGCTGCTGCATCACACTGTTGACTCATGTTAAGCTTGTGGTCCACTATAGATCCTTTTCATATATACTGCTGTCAAGCTAGGTGTCCCATTTGTTCTGCTAGTTATTCCTGCCTACATCTGCCCCTATTGAAATTGATTTTCTTACTTTTGGCCCAGTTTTCCAATCTGCTAAGGTCATCTCAAATCTCCATTCTGTCTTCTGAGGTACCCATCCCAATTTGGTGCCACCTTCAAATTTGATGAGCATCCCATCTAGTCCTTCGTGCAAGATGTTTATCAAAGATGTTGGACAACAACTGGGTGCATCCCATTTGTCCCTTTCCCTCCCAGGAATGCAAGGAACTATTGTTTGCAACATGTACTTGCTTGTGACATTGCAATCCAGACTAGCAGTAATGGTGACAGCACAACTGCACAACACAAGGAACCCTTTTGTCAATTGTCAGTGAAAGATCTAAAAAGATTAGGACAAAAGACTACAAATCATAACATAAATGTAAAATCTTACACATTTTACAAGAAGTCATATGCCATTGTGAGCCAGTCTCTCTCTTCCCCTCCCCTCCTTTAGCTACAATGAAGGGTCTGTTGTGAGCATGAAAAGGAGATCTTTATATACACACACCAGGTGCAGAATTTAGCACAAATATAATAGTACACTATAGATAATAACCTCAAGTGACTGTTGGGGATGCAGTGTAAAATATATAAGATACCCACTTACACAAATATACAAACACACCTTATAGGTGACATAATGAGCATGCCTCCTGATTATATATATGTATGTCTACTCACATGTAAGCATTACCAAGTGCAATATGTTTGCTGTCAAGTGTGCCAGAAGTTGTAGCCTTTGTATGGAAACACAAAACCTAAAAAAAAGGGGGGAGGTTTGGAGGCTGCGAAGGGGGAATGGCAGAGAAAAATATTCCTGAATTAGGGTTAGCTGGTACAAAAATTGGTATTGTGCATAGGGCTCCGTGGTCTGTCTAAGCAGACATCTCTCAATCTCCTCCATAACAACTCTGGTTGTTGGGAAATGGGCAGCCGGCTGCAGCAGAATAAACACACTGTCTCCATAAATACAAATACAGTCCAGTGCTCACACAGGCAGGAAATTGGCAGGTGTCATGAGGGGTGTGGGAATATGCGTGTGCACACAAGTAAAGATTGCATCTAGAAAAAAATATGGCTAGAATCAGATCAGGCATACTATTTCTGGCTGAGCTGGTGCCTGAATGGTGGTGAAGCCTGGGAAGGCGTGGCCTCTGAGAAACTTGCATCCCACCCCTCGGGTCTACTCTTCTGTTTCTTAATGGGCATCCTGGCTGTCCATCTAGGGATACTTCTTCTTTGGCGATCACTCGTAGCCAAGTAAGATTGTCTTCCATGAACACAGTTTTAACAGAGAGTTCGTAAGTGACTTGTTGTTTGTTGTTGTTGTTTAGTCGTTTAGTCGTGTCCGACTCTTCGTGACCCCATGGACCAGAGCACGCCAGGCACTTATGTCTTCCACTGCCTCCCGCAGTTTAGTCAAACTCATGCTGGTAGCTTCGAGAACAGTATCCAACCATCTCGTCCTCTCTCATCCCCTTCTCCTTGTTCCCTACATCTTTCCCAACATCAGGGTCTTTCCCAGGGAGTCTTCTCTTCTCATGAGGTAGCCAAAGTATTGGAGTCTCAGCTTCAGGATCTGTCCTTCCAGTGAGCACTCAGGGCTGATTTCCTTAAGAATGGATAGGTTTGATCTTCTTGCAGTCCATGGGACTCTCAAGAGTCTCCTCCAGCACCATAATTCAAAAGCATCAATTCTTCGGCGATCAGCCTTCTTTATGGTCCAGCTCTCACTTCCATACATCACTACTGGGAAGTGACTATGGAGGCCAATTCTGGATCCACACGTCCCTCCACAGTGGGAACATTGGTTTCCGGGCGGGAGTTGATCACAGTGTGGGTTTGCCAAATGTGCCTCCCTCTTAGCACGTTTCTCCCTTGCGTCCTGAGTTTGAGTGTCTTCAAAGCCCATGACACCTTTGCTAAAGGCTGTTCTCCAACTGGAGTGTTCGCAGGCCAGTGTTTCCCAGTTGTTGGTGTTGATACTTCATTTTTTAAGACTGGCCTTGAGAGAGTCTTTAAACCTCTTTTGTTGACCACCGGTATTTCGCTTTCCATTCTAAAGTTGGGAATAGAGTAGCTGCTTTGGAAGATGATAACCAGGCATCCAAACATGACCAGTTCAACAAAATTGATGTAAGAATCATTGCTTCGACACTGGTGATCTTTGCGTCTTCCAGTACACTGGCATCAATTCACCTGTTTTCACAAGTGATGTGTTAAATTTTTTGGAGACACCATTGATGGAATCTATCGAGGAGTTGGAGATGGCGTTTATAAGTGGTCCATGTTTCACAAGCATACAGTAAGGTAGCATACACCTGGCACCCCACACGCTGAAATCCTGAATTATTCCTCAGTCTCACCCTGTCCCCTCAGGAACATAAATCACAATTTTGTTTGGTATGCAATAAGATCCAAGTTCCAAAGATACTGAACTCTCGCCATTGCTGCTATCTTTTTGCGTTTGAGTTGACATGTTGCTCCCCAGTCACAGCTACACTAAGCCTGGGTGGATTTGATGTAAATCAAAGCGATTTAAATCACTAGTCAGTAAGGCTTGATTTAAATCATTATTTTACAGAAAGACTCATTTTTGCTGGTATAAGGTTTCAAATTTGGAATAAAAAAAATTCAGAGTAGTTTCTACAGTTATATCAAAAATTACTGATTTGGTTATGCTGTTAGAAATGCATAGAGAGATAGTTATGAAATTATTGCGAGGTTTAGTAAATTAACTGTTTATATTTGGACACCTTTTCTGCTGTACTTTTTCTAGAGGGGAGGAGAGTTACAGTTGGTAGGCCTAGGCCGGAACGGGCTTGCAGAAAAAGCAGGCCGAGTAGAAACAGGCTGGTAGAAAGCTGGAAAAGGGGAACCAAGGACTAGAGCAAAGATCTTCAGGGATTCCTGCTGCAGAACTGAAGTTCGAGGCAGTGGCGTAGCGTGGGTTGTCAGCACCCGGGGCAAGGCAAGTAATTTGCGCCCCCTAACCCGTGGATCTAGGTAGGGGCAGTGAGCTGCGAGCACGAGCGCCCCCCCCCCAGATGTTGCGCCCGGTGCGGCCGGCCCCCCCTGCACCCCCCACGCTACGCCACTGGTTCGAGGTAGAGACTTTATTGTTTGGACAATGTCAGGCGAGCCCTGGGGAGAAGGGCCTGGAACCAGTGAACTGTTATTAGTTGACTGGCAAGCTCTTCAAAGTCTTGCCAAGGACTTACAGATCCCATTTACTTTTTCCACCCCTTTGGATTTGCTTCTACATTCAGGTGCTGATTCTGTACAGGTAAGTGTTAATGCAGTTGTTGGAACCCAGTGGAATTGGGAAAAGGTTGCCAGCCCTGAAGTGCCTTCAGCATTTGCCCCAAGTCTGAATTGCACAGACATGCAACTGACTTGTACAATTATTACACAAAGATCCCAAGACTCATGGAGTATTCTGCTCACAAGGTTGCACTTTCATTTTTACTGCTTTACACTTAGCTACTTGTGCAGATAGGGACGCAGGTGGCGCTGTGGGTTAAACCACAGAGCCTAGGGCTTGCTGATCAGAAGGTCAACGGTTCAAATCCATGTGACAGGGTGAGCTCCCGTTGCTAAGTCCCTGCTCCTGCCAACCTAGCAGTTCAAAAGCATGTCAAAGTGCAAGTAGATAAATAGGTACCGCTCTGGCAGGAAGGTAAACGCCGTTTCCGTGCTGCTCTGGTTCGCCAGAAGCGGCTTAGTCATGCTGGCCACATGACCCAGAAGCTGTACGCCGGCTCCCTTGGCCAATAAAGCGAGATGAGCGCCACAACCCCAGAGTCGGTCACGACTGGACCTAATGGTCAGGGGTCCCTTTACCTTTTACTTGTGCAGATCTATTCCATTCCAAACAATCTATTCACTGAACCTCTTGGAACTTAGCATTTACGAGGTAAGGGGTTGATTCTGTGTATATAAATTTGCAAAGGAACAATGGAATTAAGGTTTTTCCCTCAACTGTATGTTTATTTTATAACATTTTTCCTGTGAAGAAAAGGCATTTATCTCTGCAGACACAAACTCACACTTTTGAGAACTGCAAAAACAAGCATCTGTGATAATATCTTCTCGTTAGAAGAACTGCCCCAAATCATCTTACAGAAACCTCTGGAAGCGCATGACATTGTGAACGGATTAATGGAATTCATTTACCAAAAAATTTAAACATTGCATATAAAGCCTCATGCTACATAATTAAAGGCAAATCCTTATTTGCTGATGAATTGCCTTTGGACTATAATGTAACTTAAATAGAAAACTATCTTTAGAAAGATTTTTCCTCCAAAAGCATTTTGTTTTAAAAAATCCAATTTAATTTTTTTAGAATTGATTTTTTTTATTTTTCTAAAAAATATATTATTTTTATCCACCGTGGTAGGCACCAAGCTTATTAAGGCACGTGTGTGTTGCACAGATTCGATTTTTCCATGTGCACTTTTATTCACATATGAGCCCTTTCAGTTTAAATCTATTTCCCACCCACACTTGGGGTGATGCTTGATGGAATCTATTTGTGGGGTGTCCCCCCACAAAAACAATACCTTTGTCAGTAGCCATGGTTTAAAAAGGCATTGGAATACCGTCAGTGTAGAGGAACTGCAGCCTTCTCAAGGGAGAAGGAATTGCAGTGCTGAGACACTGCCATGGACAAGGCCTTGGTGGTGGAAGTCTAAGGAGGTTTCCCCAGCAGATATCCATCTCTGGGCAGGTATATCTCTCCTGGTATGCCCCACAGAGAAACTTACGGTCTTCAAATAAAAGTATCTTGAAGGTCCCAGGCCACAGAGAAGTTAGGCTGGCCTCAACCAGAGCCAGGGCTTTTTCGGCCGTGGCTCCGATCTGGTGGAACACTCTGTCACAAGAGACTAGGGCCCTGCGGGACTTGACATCTTTCCGCAGGGCCTGCAAGACAGAGCTGTTCCACCAGGCCTTTGGCCAGGGCACAGCCTGACTCCCTCCCTCGGCAATCTTCGCGGAGCTCTGGCCCAATGGTTGCCAGTGGCTTGAATGAATTAATTTTATAATGAATGATTTTAGAGTGTTGTTTGTGCTGTACTTTTGTACTGTTTTATTGTTAGCCGCCCAGAGCCCGGCTTTGGCTGGGGAGGGCGGGATATAAATAAAATTTATTATTATTATTATTATTATTATTATTATTATTATTATTATACTCAATACTTCTGGGGCTCCTTATTCTTTGTATTTTCATTTATATTCTATTATAACTCCTCTGTCTTGCCTCCTCCTCTTGTACTACTGTTCTAGATAATGGCTATCAGAAGCAGGAAATTCCAGGACTTTGTATCTGAGCCTATGGGTGACAAACCTATTATAGTAGTTGATGGCATAAATGAGGAGCTTGGAGCAAAACTAGCGGCAAAGGGCTTTGACAAGGTAATTGTTTTAATGCTTTATGCCACAGCACTTTTTATTTATTAACCCACATAATTCATGATTTACCTAAATCATATTCACATAAAGAAATGTCTTTGAAACCTGGTATTTCTGACATTTGTGTTGCAATAGTTCGCAAAGCCTGACCACCATTGGGCAAATTTTGTATTATACAAGATACCATTGCTTTTATAGACCAGGTCTGTCAATGTGTCCATTTTTGCTAATTCAACACACTTCAAAAACAAATCCTTCACAGATGGAACATAACGAGGTGGTTTTATTTCCATCTTCTAGCCCGTTCCACTCTGGCTGTGACTATTAGGACTTTTGTTAAGGACTTCTGTTGTGCAGACACATCAACCTCAATCCAGTGAAATGCTGCCCCAAAAGACCTCCGTTGAAGCCCTGCCCTGCCCCCAGTGCTAGATCATTCCTGACCAGTTTCAAAGCGGACATTATGACAGATAGAGTCTAGAAGGCAGGGAGTCTTGTGTCTTATTCTTGCCAGTGGTCACACAAGATGGGAGATGGAACTGCATGGCCACTTTCCATACATTGCCAACTTGACTTCCTTGCCAGATGGAAAACTTTATATTTGTAACCTCTGGCCAAGCAGTTAAGAGATCCCAGGTTTTCTGCATCCATGGAGCATGGCGGCGTTTATCTCCCCAGATGCCAGATGCCAAAACCAGCTGGAGCCCAGGCGTTCCAAACGGGGCTTAGGGAAGCACACAGGAAGACAGAGTATGCACAAGTGTGCTAGCCCTGTCTCTCATCCCAGTCACCTTCTGCATGTTCCAGGGTGATTGTCTCCAAGGGAAAGGACTCCAGAGCTTGTAGAGGTTTCCATGTTTTGAAGCCCTGGTTTTCCAGGATTTCAAAATGCCCAGAGGCCTCTGTGAGTACAGGAGTTTTCCCGCTACACACAGCCACCTTTGAACCCATGGAGGGCGATGAGGATCGAGGACAGTGCTAGTTCCTCTGTCTCTCTTCCTTGCGTGTTTACTTAAGCCCTGTTCAGAACATCTGAATTGGACTTGGCTCTCAGTTTGATGACAGTGTTTAAACTGCAATCATGCACTGCCTCCTCTGTGAACCCAGCCTAGCTTTTGGGCTAAAACTAGTTTGGCCCTTAACATTTCCCTCAAAATTATCCACTGTGGGTGCTGATATTGAATATCTGACAAATGTTTCATCCACATTTGGCTGAACTGAACATACTAGGAAGCCCATCGTTAAACTTTGTAATGATTTCATTATTCAGCTAACCATTCTGAAAAGCTGAATAGGTAATAAACTGACCCCGCCCACCCCCGTCAGAAGGGGGGTGGGTTCAACAAAAAAATCAAGTGTTGAAAATTGAATGTTTTGGGCTCAAATTTCAATCTCAAATTCCAAATGACAAAATTCACAGATTTGCCACATTTCCCCTCTGTTTATTTCAACATTCATTTCAGGCCTGCTTTTCTTGCTACTGGGGGAAAATGCTAATTGTGCTTCCTGATTTTCCTTCCAGGCGTACATCCTCCTGGGCCAGTTCCTCCTCTTGAAGAAGGAATGTGCTACTTTTCAAAAGTGGCTGAAGTTGTCCTATGGAGCCAGCAGCTACCAGGCTGAGCGCTGTGCCCTTTGTCTCTTGGAGTGGTGCCTCACGTTCCTGTAGGATCACAGGGATCCTCCACACCCCAAACACACACACACACACCTCAAAACAACAACCTCTTCCCCCTCACAGACCTGAAACCAATGATTTCTTGCAGTCGTGATGTTATTAAACCAATGAAGCATTTATCTATCCAGCTGGGACTTTATTTATTTTAAACCATTTACATACAACTTTTTATTTAAAAAAAAAAATATTACAATGGTTAACAAATCTAAAACTCAATAAAATGCTTAAAAATGGGACATTCCCCCCAAGAGATGCAAGAACACAGCAAAGGAGCCACAAGAATTGAGCACAGTAGTAGTTTTTGGAGACTTTAAAAAGGAATCCTGCATGCAGTTTTGGCTAATATACACATTTTTTTCAGGCTGCTTCCCTAATACTATGCATTTTGGTATGTTTTCACAAATAAAAGCACACTTTATTCCAACATATGCATTACTTGACTGGGGAAATGCATCACATAATTTGGAGAAGTGCAAAATTTTGCAGGATGGCTATGTTTTGGTTTACCTGTTGTTTCAGAAAATGCAAATTTGTTAAGTTCACCTTTAAATGTGAATTGAATTGAATTTCTCCCCCTCCCTACTCGGCACAAACTGGTATGAATAGGTTTCACCTTTCTGTGTAAAATTAGCAGGGAGAAGTTGGGAATTCTCCCTTTTAAGAGAATTCATTTACAAATGAACTTTTATGTTTATATATTTAAAAGTTTAACAAACCATGAACATTAAACTTACATTAAACCACAAAACACTGAAAAGTTCCTTCCTCCTTTGCTTCTGCAAGAGGAATGGCCCCATGCATGGATTCAGATAAGTGCCAATGAACTGAAGCTCAATCCGCACAACAACTGTCAAGGCTGCACTCTCTGAAATAGCAGGTACGTAGCGTGAGGATCCTTCTGGATCCACTGGTGTTGCTTGAGGCTCAGGTAGCCTCAGTAGCAGGGGGTATCCTTCCATCGTCTCCGGCTGGTGGCCTAGCTGTGCCCCTATCTCAGGGGCCTGCAACCTTTAAGACAAAAAGAGCCACTTGGACCCGTTTCCGAAGAAAAAAAAACTGGGAGCCGCAAAACTCGTCATTATAAAAATAAATTTTTTCTCACTTTTATTATTATTTCTTTGTTTGACCCCTCAGAATTACTCCTCAGAATTACTCCTAAATTACTCCTAAACGTTAAATTAACAAGTTACCTTTTTGTGTGTGTGTGTTCTTCACTCCCCTTCAAAACAGTGACCAGCGTACATGCCCCTTACAATGTAGCAGGCGGGCGGGTGGGAAGTTGACATCGGGACGGTGCGTGACTAACGCACGCACTGCCCCCATGTGACGTCACAGCCAGTACAGCACCCGCCACAGTGGGGAGTGTCGGGGCGCACAATGCGCCTCCTCCCCTCGCTAGTATCCGCCCCGGAGCCGCGGCAAAGGTGTAAAAGAGCCACATGCGGCTCCAGAGCCGTGGGTTGCAGACCCCTGCCCTATCTGATCAGGGACAGCATACAGTGGTGCCCCGCAAGACGAAAAACTCACAAGACGAAAAACTCGCTAGACGAAAGGGTTTTGCGTTTTTTGAGTCGTTCCGCAAGACGAATTTCCCTATGGGCTTGCTTCGCAAGACGAAACGTCTTGCGAGTTCTTGCGAGTTTGTTTCCTTTTTTCTTAAAGCCGCTAAGCCGTTAATAGCCGCTAAGCCGCTAATAGCCATGCTTCGCAAGACGAAAAAACCGCAAGACGAAGAGACTCGCGGAACGGATTAATTTCGTCTTGCGAGGCACCAGTGTAACTTCTTTTGACTACGCTCTGGTAGCCTCTTGGTGAGACTGCTGCCTTTGAGATGGTTCAGAAACAGCGGAGGTGCCAGGGTTTCCCAAACTTGGGACTCCAGCTGTTGGGGGACTACAATTCCCATCATCCCCGACCACTGGTCCTGCTACCTAGGGATGATGGGAGCTTAAGTCCGGAAACTGCTGGAGATCCAAGCTTGGGAAACCCAGGTGTAGACTGTAGCAGCCAGTTCTGGCTGGGTAAGACAGTTTGAGTCTATCATGCCAACCTTGGCCTGACTGCACTGGTTACCCGTTAGCTTCCTGTCACAGCGCCACAACTAGACCTGAAAAGCTTTCACCTCCTGGGAAGCTTTTTCCAGCCTCATGGCAGGTTTATCGCTCTACTAAGGCGCTGGGGATGGGAGGGTTTGCTGGCTTACTCCACTTAGGCATTAGGTACCAATACTGTATGTTGGGGGCCCCTTGCCGACAAAGGTCTGTATAGTTAAAGCCATGGTTTTCCCAGTAGTGATGTATGGAAGTGAGAGCTGGACCACAAAGAAGGCTGATCGCCGAAGAATTGATGCTTTTGAATTCTGGTGCTGGAGGAGACTCTTGAGAGTCCCATGGGCTGCAAGAAGATCAAACCTATCCATTCTGAAGGAAATCAGCCCTGAGTGCTCACTGGAAGGACAGATCGTGAAGCTGAGGCTCCAATACTTTGGCCGCTCATGAGAAGAGAAGACTCCCTGGAAAAGACCCTGATGTTGGGAAAGATTGAGGGCACAAGAAGAAGGGGACGACAGAGGACAAGATGGTTGGATATTGTTCTTGAAGCTACCAGCATGAGTTTGACCAAACTGCGGGAGGCAGTGGAAGACTGTCATAGCTGTCAACGTTTCCCTTTTTTTGCGAGGAATCCTATTCGGAATAAGGGAATTTCCCTTAAAAAAAGGGAAATGTTGACAGCTATGACAGGAGTGCCTGGCATGCTCTGGTCCATGGGGTCAGGAAGAGTCGGACACGACTAAACAACTAAACAACAACAACAACAACAAATGTTGGGGGCCCTGGGCATTTCCCCCCCAGCACGTACTAAAGAATCCTGAGAACAATCGAAAGCCTGTGCCTCCCCCGCAAATCTGTTTTCAATCCCCACGTGCAACTGGGGAAACGTGCCTCGCTGTGTGAACGCGCAAGAGCAACACGCGTGCTGGGACCAAGGGGTCTGTGAAGACCACCGTGGGCGCCGGCTTCTCGGGACCGGGAGAAGAGAGCGTCGGGGCCGCCGGCTCCCTCGGCTGCCTGCCTGCCTGCGCCCAGGCCCCTTCGGAGGTCGGCGGAGGCGGCGAAGGGCCCGGGTCCGTCCCGCCCCTTTCCTTCTCGGTCCCGGGCAGCCGCCTCCTTCGCGCTGGGCCTCGTCCGCCTGGCAGCGGCTGCCCTCCCCTCGGGCGGACTTCCGAGCCGCGGGTCTCCCCACTGGGCCGGAGCGCCTTTGACTGGCGGGCCGGACACCAACCGCAGCCCGGGAACCTCCTTCGGCGCCGGCGACGGGGCGGGGATCCTCGCGGCGGCGGCCGCGCTGGGGAGGTTCTCCGAGGAAAGTGCCACGACTTCAGCGCGCCCGCGGCAGGAGGGCCACGCGAAGGGAGCGCGGGAGAGCCAGCCGAGCGAGGTGAGCGCGGGGAGCGCGCTCCGTCCGCGGGCGACGCGGAGAGACAGCCGCCGTCTCGGCGGGCGGAGCGCCGGCTCGGGCAGCGCGGAGCGGCGCCTGGACTCCCGCTTCGGGCGCCCGTCGGATGGTGCGAGCAGGCGGCCGGCGATCCGAGTTGCGGCTGAGGAAGGGGCCCCTCCTCCGGGACTCTCCGGCCAGCGGGAAAGCGGCCGGCTGCGGCAGCTCGGGCGGTGGAAGGCCCGGCTGAGAGCCCCCCGACGGCTGCGGAGAGGCAGCTGCAGGCGCTGCGGAGAGGGCAGCAGCGGGAGGAGCCCCGCTCGGCCCCTCCAGGGATGCAGCGCAAGAACGGGAAACCTCGCGGGGCGGGTGGCTCCGCGGGGATGCTTCCGACGGCGCCGAGAGCGGAGCGCGAGAGGGGGAAGGCGGCTGGAGCGCCCGAGTGGGGCGTCGAGCAGGAGGCTCGGCGTGGACGGGGAAGAGCGTGGTCGGCTGCAAGGAAGGAGCGGGCGAAGCGGCGCCCTCGCTGCAACCGAGTCTCTCCGGACTCGGCTGCGAGGGCCGCCCCGACAGGCGCGGGGCTCTCTTTCGCCCTCGGCCCGGCGGCCGGACCCTGGACCCCGGGCCGCCCCCCGACGGGCCCGAGTGGCGACGTGTCTTGCTCTCCGGCGGGGAGGAGGAGCCTGGCGCCGAGTCCTGCGGGCTCCTCCCGCTGCTGCCCTCTCCGCAGCGCCTGCAGCTGCCTCTCCGCAGCCGTCGGGGGGCTCCCAGCCGGGCCTTCCACCGCCCGAGCTGCCGCAGCCGGCCGCTTTCCCGCTGGCCGGAGAGTCCCGGACTGGTGATCGCCCCTTCAGCCCCAACTTCGAGGGCTCTGGCGCTTCTCCTCCGCAGCGCAGGAGGGAGATCGCCGCCCGCTTGGTCGTCGGGGATAACTGCGTCTGTGGGGAAGGAGACCCCTTGCAGTCCTGGAACAGGCTCCTCTACTTCACCAAAGCTGCTCTTGTGACCCACTGGTTGTTGGTTTTTGCGCACGCCATGCTGGCTCGTGTCCCTAGGTCAGAGGGCAGCGGCCTCGACGCCACGGCTGCAGATTTTTCTGTAGCCGCTCCCCTCCTGCTCCTCGCTGTCACCTCTCCACCACCTGGCCTGGACTCTCTGCTTGCTTGCACTGTTGCAAGTCTTTGGCTGAAACGAACTGCCTCCCCCCCCCCCACTTTTGCAGGGGAGCGCAGTGGCTGTTTCAGTGTGGCAGCAATGTTGCAGTGTTGCTGGCTGCTACTCTCGTGGGGTTGCACAGAATCCTATTTGTGGAAATGACTCCCTTTGGAGGTGGTGGACTCTTCTTCCTTGGATGTTTTTAAGCAGAAGTTGGGTGACCATCTGTCAGGGATGCTTTAGCTGGGATTCCTGCATTGCAGGGGGTTGGACTAGATGACCCCAGGGGTCCCTCCTAACTTTCAGATTCTACTATACTTCTATTAAAGCTGTTAAATGCTTTGTTGGCCTCTTCAGGGACAAACTAACTTCCATATTGTGTTGTTAATGAAATGACTCTTGCTGAATGTTTATTTAAATTCCAGAGAAAGAGAGAGTTCCTTTAACCCCTGCTGGAGAAGCTATTTATCTTGCCTGTGCTTCTGCAAAATTTGATCCATGCTATAACTGTTGCCCGATATGTGTCCCGCTCCTGCCACCAGTTGCTCTGCACTAACTGTGGTTTCCAGACAAAGCGCAAGGGAAGCTCCCACGTTGAAAGCATTTCAGTTATGCCTGAACTATTGTGGTCAAGCTATCCTGGCCCAGTAATGGCCAGCGCTGTTCTATCAGCTGAAACTGATTTTAAAATGCTCCTAACGACCAAAGCCACCCGGGTCTCCAGTAACAAAATTGAATCTATAAGCAGCCCTATACTTTGTACCTGCACCTTCAGAGGGAACACAATCCTGTCCAGATCATGCAATTCGGCATTTATCGAATGTGATTGCTGGTTTAATTCTAATTATTCTTTCAGTAGGAGCGCCTTGTTGCCATTGTTCAAAACTTCTAGTTATACAGTTGTACCTTGGTTTTCGAACAGCTTAGTTCTTGAACATTTTGGCTCCTGAATAGTTCCAGTTTGCGAACTATTTTTGGAAGCCAAACGTCCGATGGGGCTTCCATGGCTTCTGATTGGCTACAGAAGCTTCTTGCAGCTAATCAGAAGCCTCGCTTTGATTTCCAAATGTTTTGGAAGTCGAACAGACTTTCGGAACGGATTCTGTTTGACTTCCAAGGTACGACTGTATAGTGTGGAACGCCACAAGCTAGTCTTGAGTAGAATTCTACTCTGAGTACACTCTGCCTAGGTCGCTTCTGAGAATGCCTCTAGGTCAGCTGTGCAAACTGGCCATTCTGCTATGTAAACATGCATCTGCAAACATCCTTCTAGCTCAGCATTAACTTTCTGTTTTGCAGGTTTAAGACTACAGAGCAAGAATGGATTTTTATGACCCTCAGACCCTGGGCGTCATGGTCTTTGGAGGATTCATGCTGGTCTCAGCAGTTGGGATATTCCTGGTGTCCACCTTTTCCATGAAGGAGACGTCTTTCGAAGAAGCTTTGGCAAAGCAGCGCAAGGAGCTAGAGAAAGCCAGCCACCACAAGGTGGAGAAGAAGAAGAAAGAGAAGCCTGCTGAGAAGAAAGGGAGGGCGAAGAAAAAGGAGGAGAAACCCAATGGACTGCTGGAGCCAGACGCAGGTCTGGACGCTTCTGATGGAAGCCCTGAACCAGTCTTTGAGGCACCCATTGTGTCTCTTCCAGCTCCTGAGGAAAAGCCAACCCTGTCTCCTAAAGACAAGAAGAAGAAGGAGAAGAAAGTGGGGAAGGTAGAGTCGGTTCCCAGCCTGACAGCGTCTTCTCCACCAATAACTGCTTCAAAAGATCTAGTTTCTGATGTGGTTTCCAAGGAAGTGTCAGTAGCTGCTGCTCCACTAGCTGTGGCTCAACAGAATGCTCCCTTAACTAATTCCGTGAGTGTCAAAAAAACCCAAGCTCTTGGAAACAGAGAGGAACAAAGGCACGACGGCGCTTCCAACAAGAAATCCATTGCCCCAAAGAAAAAGGAATCAAGTAAGTCAATTGCTGTAAACCACACATGTGTACTTACAGTATATATGTGTATTAATTATTTGATTAATAACTCACCCATTCCCAAAGGTTTAAGGTGGGTAAGCGACTCACAAAATCTGAGGCAATTAAACCCTTATCTTTCCTTCTCCCTACGTTTTCTGGCCACCCAAAGCCACTTTTCATAGTTCCAGATGCTCACACTTTATCTTTGGTCCCTTACCTTTCCCGCCCCGACCTGGCCCCAGTGATCCATGCGACGGTCATCTCCAGGCTTGACTACTGTAATTTGCTCTACGCGGGGCTGCCCTTGAAGCTGTCCCAGAAACTCCAGCGGGTGCAGAATGCTGCAGCGAGGCTCCTCACGGGGTTTCTGCCATGGGAGCACATTCACCCAGTGCTTTTCAAGCTGCGCTGGCTCCCGGTGGAGTGCAGGGTCAGATTTAAGGTGCTGCTTTTGACCTTTAAAGCCCTTCACGGCCTAGGACCCTCGTACCCACGGGACCGCCTCTCCCGGTATGCCCCACGGAGGACTTCAAGGTCCATAAATTTCAACACCCTAGAGGTCCCGGGCCCTAAGGAAGTCAGATTAGTCTCAACCAGAGCCAGGGCCTTTTCAACACTGGCCCCAGCCTGGTGGAATGCTCTGTCTCATGAGACCAGGGCCCTGCAGGATCTGATTTCTTTCCACAGGGCCTGTAAGACAGAGTTGTTCTGCCTGGCCTTTGGCTTGGAGCCAATTTGATTCCCTCCCCCCCCTCTCTTTTCCTTTCTCCTCCTGTGATGAGGCTGCATTTTAATATTTTAATGTTTCAATATTTTAATTGTTGTATTTTAATCTTGTTTTTAAGTTGTATTCATTCAACTTGTTTTTATTATTGCTTGTTAGCCGCCCTGAGCCCAGCTTTGGCTGGAGAGGGCGGGGTATAAATAAAAAATATTATTATTATTATTATTATTATTAAGTCTTTTGATGGACAGAATAGTGCTAGGTATAAAATTATAGATGGTGATTATCTTCAAGGAAAATAAATTCCATAACTGAAGGGAGGCAATTATTGCAGTGGAACAGAAAAATGTATCTCAGCTCTGAGTGTTGTATACCCAGAAATCATTCTGTAATGTGCTAGTTTATCTTACGCAAAAATATTGGTACTACATGCTTTGAATGAGTAAAAGTTGCCTTGGAAAGCTTTTCACTTACTCAAGGAAAGAAAATATTTCATATGACTTCGCCTTTAATACCCCCCAACTTATATTGGAAAAATTGAAAAATGGGGTGGTGGTGGTATTTTTTATGGATTTTTCTGTCCACTCCTTCATAGACTTTATATGTTTGGCCAAGACATTTCCTCCCGCCCCCCCTTAGGAAATGGGTTCTCTCATTTCTGTGTTGATCCATTGAAAGGCATGGGTTGCTCCTCCATCTCTAAGTACAGGTTACTCTCACCTGGTTACTTTTGGCAGGAAACCAGCAGTTACAAAAGGTTTTTCATTTTCTTCCAAACCACACAATGATGCCTGTGCGATAGGCAGCTTATTACATTTTGACTGGGTTTGTGACTTCAGCAAGTGGACTTGTTGCAAGGCTGGGGAAATGTAACTGTAAGCAGAAAAAAGTAGTGGTAAATTTCTCACATTTTGGGGGTAAAGGTAAAGGGACCCCTGACCATTAGGTGCAGTCGTGGCCGACTCTGGGGTTGTGGTGCTCATCTCGCTTTATTGGCCGAGGGAGCCGGCGTACAGCTTCCGGGTCATGTGGCCAGCATGTCTAAGCCACTTCTGGCGAACCAGAGCAGCGCACGGAAACACCGTTTACCTTCCCGTTGGAGCGGTACCTATTTATCTACTTGCACTTTGACGTGCTTTCGAACTGCTAGGTTGGCAGGAGCTGAGACCGAGCAACGGGAGCTCACTCTGTCACAGGGATTTGAACCATTGACCTTCTGATCAGCAAGCCCTAGGCTCTGTGGTTTAACCCACAGTGCCACCCGCGTCCCTCATTTTTCGGTAGACTGTCATTTTTGTTGTTGCTGTTGTTGATAGTTTTTTTTTTTTTAAATTCCCAGCTTACTTCTCTCCTCACACTTCTGTTTATAGGTTCCACAGATGCTGAAAATATGCTTTACGTTCCCTACAAGACCTTATGTTCCATAATTAGCAGCATGGTTTTTGGGGAAGGCGAGGCCCAGCAACTGATTGAAATCTTGACTGAGAAAGCAGGAGGCGCTCAACACCCATGGCTGATGGTATGGACATCTCTTGATCATCAAGGGTCTGCTGTGGATAAACTTCACGATGCTCCTGAATCCCAGTTGCTGGAAACATCAGGAGGGGAGCGGGCCCTTGTGTTCAGTTCCTGCTTGCAGGCTTTCCACAGGCATCTAGGCTGGACTAGATGGGCCATTGGTCTGGACCAGCAGCCTGCTCTTATGCTCTTATTTTCTTACGTTCATCTTGAGGACATTGACTCTACTCCACAGACTAAGGAAGAGCCAGACCATTTGGTTATTTTTTTCTACAGCTGAGAAAGCAGCAGGTCTCAATTAGGGTGTCCTTCCTCATTGAAATGGCCATGACAGTAGGCTCCTATCAAGGGGGATGTAACTCAGAGCCTCTGACTTGGTTCAGTTTATTTTATAAACCAATGGATCTCTGGTTCATGAAACCACCCATATACACACACACACACACACACCTATAGACTCTCTCTCTCTCTCTCACACACACACACACATATATACACATACACACACACACACACACACACACACACACACATATATATATATATATATATATATGGTTCATCAGCCCCAAATAAAATTAAAGTTGCATAATATAAAATATATGCTACTTAGAATGGAGTTTTTTAGATAAATATATGTTACTTAAAATGGAGTTATAGATTGTCTATGTGAAATTTCTACATTTAGATATTTTGCAACTTTTTCTGTGATTTAAAAAAATTAGAGCTTGAGGCAAAGGTCTCTGGTAGGTTAATGAAGGGCTGATCTTGCTAACAAATGTGTTATAGCATAAGCTTTTGTGGAGTGTCCACTGTAATGGAAGCAGGAGGCTAGGAGAGCCTGCTTATAACCTTCCTTCCACAACAACCTTGCAAGTAGGCCAGTCACATCTTAGAACTATTCAGTAATCACTGTGACCACCATCTGTCAACACTTATTGCGTGTTGCAGAGTGCAGAGAGGAGGGGATTCTGGGGCGCTCATGGAAGTACTAAAAACTGGGACCCCAAGATAGCATTCGGTTTCCTTGATCTTTCCTGGGGTTCAAGAAAGATGCTTTTCTTCTAAGATTCCCCTCAGTTCACGAGGGACAACAGAGCAAGCGTCTGACTGCTTTCTGCACCATGGGGTCCAGTGAAGCTTGCTTTTTCACCCCAGTAGCATCTAGACAGAATCCTAGAGTTTGACATAAACTCATTTCAGACCTCAGCAGCCAAATTATATGAAATTTTATGAAGAATACAAAAGAGGAGAAAAGAGCAAAAGCAGGCTATTGAAAATAAAGAGAGCTTTTTAGCTGAGATCTACCTTTCCCTGACCTGGTTACAAAGAGGCTTGTGGTCTCCTCATGTGCAGAGTTTTATGATGGGTGGTGCAGGCACCTGGAATGGAAGGTGAGGGAGATGGACCCTGCTGGGGCTGCCCATTCTTATTGGCTCTCCCACCCACGTTGGACTCAGTGATAGTTGGCATTTTTTAGCCAATCAGAGCACAGGTCATGTAACTAGTTTGAAACTTGCCAGGAGTTGGGAAGATGGTAGTTGCTCCCAGGGCACAGGAAAGGATGATTATCGCTGGTGGAAATTGCCGCTGGATTTCTCCATCTTTCTGCCAGACAGAATCTGTTCTGGTTTTGTGGATTCAGGAGTTGGCTGGAGCACGTGCTTGCCTTGATCAAGCAAAATGGAGGGAGAGAGAGCATGGATTTTCTACGCATCTACTTTTTCTGATGAAAAACAAGGAAAAGAAAATTTGGATAACACTCTGTCCTTCCACTGATTGCCATTATGATACCAAGCCATGGCACTAAGCACTCATTTTTTGGTCTGATAGCTGGCTGGCATACAAGAGAATACTGTGGTAGTTCTGAAGCACTTAATTCAGCATTGAATTGATTCTTGTTGCAGGCAACTCAGAAAGGCGATCCCGTTGCTGTTCTGAAACGACAGCTAGAGGACAGAGAGAAGCAACTTGCAACGGAACAAGAAAATGTAACTGTCGCAAAAGCTAAACTGAGAGAACTCTCCAAGGTAGGTTCTTACACTGGCTTCAGAAGTGGCGCTTCAGATATTCAGAACCTACATTTTGGGCCCCGTTGTCCGGATACAAGCTCCTTATCTGTGTCCAGAGTGTGATTCATATTTTCCTTCCTGCTTATGGCACCTGCTGGCAATGGGAACATTCTCTCATTCTGCTCTCAATCATTTATTTATTTATTATCGTGGCGCTTCACTGTTTGCTGTGAATTACATAGTCTCAACAACAACATTCTGAAGTTGCCCACTTTAGGATGGATTTGCAAATATACATATCAAATCTTGGCAACAGGTTTTCTGCACCAATGGGCTTCCTGCTTCAGTCCATACAACAGGTGCTTACTGGGTGACCTGGTACAACATACAAAGAAATGTATTGCAGAATGTAATCAGTCATTTTCTCCTGAAGAGCTGTGGTCTGATATTCTTTTGAGCATATTTAGAACAGTCCCAGGGCTCAAGTGAATATTATGAATACTATACGAAAATGCTCAAAATTAGACTGAAAAGTTTGTCATTCGGTGGTGTCAATGCCTTTTCTGACAGAATGTTATCAAATATTACATTGCTTATATTGAAGAAGACACTTTCCACCTCAGGGGCTTTACCTGACACCATCAACCCTTTCTAAGTGACCCTCCAATAACACCTTTTTGCAGACCAGGCCTTTAGAAACTAAAGTGATTAGTAGGAGTCATCTTGTGTTGCTTCAATCTAATCTGTGAAGCTACCCACACTTTGAAGTGGATGCGTAACTTCATTCCAGGTCAACCCTATAACTAGGAGACCTCAACACTTTTTAGTGGTTATAGCATCAGGTAGCTACAAAGTGCAAATGAACCCACTTAAAGTTCAAGGTGTGAGCTGTGTTCTCTGCTACGAGGGGTGGGAAATCTCAGGCTGAGGACCGAAGTCGGCTTTGAAGGCCTCTCTGTCCGGCCCTTGGGTCTCTTCCACAAACCCGGCTCTCTCTGCAGGGCACATGAGGTGGTGGGTCTCACAGCAGAGGCTCCAGACAGCTGGAAGGCTTGGCGCTGCCACCACATGCCCGCTGCTGCGCCCGCCTGTCATAAAGAAACAGTGACTATGATGTGCGAGTTTGTATAGTTTGTGTGTCATAACCTAGGAAATCATGGGAGCATAGTTCAGAATGGCATGCTGCTGGCATCCAAAAGCAAATGGGTTATTAAGGCAGGTTTAAATCTGTGTTTTGGTTAAACTGAGGCCTACTGTAATACTGAGTAATCCCAAGAATCAACACATTCTTGAGTTTGTCCTACACTGTATGTTCAAGACCTTGACTCCACATTTTATGCATGTTGTTTAGTCGTTTAGTCGTGTCCGACTCTTCGTGACCCCATGAACCAGAGCACGCCAGGCACTCCTGTCTTCCACTGCCTCCTGCAGTTTGGTCAAACTCATGTTGGTAGCTTCGAGAACACTGTCCAACCATCTCGTCCTCTGTCGTCCCCTTCTTCTTGTGCCCTCCATCTTTCCCAACACCAGGGTCTTTTCCAGGGAGTCTTCTCTTCTCATGAGGTGGCCAAAGTATTGGAGCCTCACCTTCAGGATCTGTCCTTCCAGTGAGCACTCAGGGCTGATTTCCTTAAGAATGGAGAGGTTTGATCTTCTTGCAGTCCATGGGACTCTTAAGAGTCTCCTCCAGCACCATAATTCAAAAGCATCAATTCTTTGGCGATCAGCCTTCTTTATGGTCCAGCTCTCACTTCCATACATCACTACTGGGAAAACCATAGCTTTAACTATACGGACCTTTGTTGGCAAGGTGATGTCTCTACTTTTTAAGATGCTGTCTAGGTTTGTCATTGCTTTCCTCCCAAGAAGCAGGCGTCTTTTAATTTCGTGGCTGCTGTCACCATCTGCAGTGATCACGGAGCCCAAGAAATTAAAATCTCTCACTGCCTCCATTTCTTCCCCTGAAGCTCAACATCAAAAAAACGAAGATCATGGCCACTGGTCCCATCAACTCCTGGCAAATAGAAGGGGAAGAAATTTTATGCATACCTCATTATAAATGTCTTCTCTTGAAGGAACTCACAGCTGAGAAGGCAAAAGCCTTAAGTGTTGAGAATAAGTTGAAGGAGCAACTGCAGACACGTGAGCAGGAGGTGACTGCTCTACAAGCCCGGATGCAGGCCAGTTACCAGGATCGTGAGACTGAGACCCAACAGTTGCAAGGAAAGGTGGGATAAGTGACTTAACAGCTTTATTTGTTGTCAAGGATTCCTTTGGAATTCTTTTTCTAGTGGAAGAATGTGAAGAGCAATATTAGAGCTTTGTCCTGTTTGGATCTTCTTCATCCAAAGCACAAATAAACAACTGGCTGTGTGACGAAGCATTCATAGCTACTTTGTCATACACTAGATTTGGCCCCTTTCTTTTTAGCTCAAATATATTCAGTCTACACCAAGGGTAGGGAAGCTTTTCAGATGGGAGGCCGCATTACCATGGTGGAAAACTGTCTATGATTGCATTCCATGATTCACCCAAAAGCTGTTTCCCATGGAAACTGAGGCATATAGTTAATTCTTAAAAGTTTCACCTTCCGGTTTCTCCGTAGACTTTTAAAAGCAAAATTGGTTTAAAAACCTCTCCTTTAATCTATTCCGATAGTTCAAAGGGTGAAAAGAACTCTGTAATGCTATCAGAGGATTGCAAATAATCAGTACCCATCAGAATTGCAAATCCTGCCTTAAAGGTAAAGGTAAAGGGACCCCTAACTGTTAGGTCCAGTCTTGAACAATTCTGGGGTTGCGGCGCTCATCTCACTTTACTGGCCAAGGGAACCGGTGTACAGCTTCTGGGACATGTGGCCAGCATGACTAAGCCGCTTCTGGCGAACCAGAGCAGCGCACGGAAATGGCATTTACCTTCCCGCCGGAGCGGTACCTATTTATCTACTTGCACTTTGACGTGCTTTCGAGCTGCTAGGTGGGCAGGAGCAGGGACTGAGCAATGGGAGCTCACTCCGTTGTGGGGATTCGAACCGCTGACCTTCTGATCGACAAGCCCTAGGCTCTGTGGTTTAGACCACAGCGCCACCCGCGTTCCTAAACCCTGCCTTAGAGCTATTCAAAGCCTCACGCTTCAGAATGCAATGGCATATAAAAATTGCATGTATTTGCAACAGAAACCAAGTATGCTTCTCTGTGGAGACATGTTGCCTTTGTGTGGCAGAGGAAGGAGCTACAATTGCACACTTGGAGCAGCATCAAACCCTTTTCCGTCTCAGCTGCTCCCTGCTGGCTGGGAAGGGACTCAGAGGGCTGCATTAGGCTGTGGTGACATCTGGCCCATGAGCTGGGGTTCTAGTCTACATACTGGTTGACATGCCTGTTGACTCTCAGTTAAAAAACAAAAGAAAAAAACCGTGTAGAGTAAAAAGAGAGGCCTAGAATCTTCATGGTAAAGCTATACACTTTCCATGGTGAACCCTGAGCTGCTGCATCTAGATGTGAATGATAGCAGGGAGCTGTTCTGATGTTGTTCTTCTTCATTGATTTCCAGATTCGAACTCTACAAGAACAATTGGAGAACGGCCCTAACACCCAACTTGCTCGCTTGCAGCAAGAAAATTCCATTCTCAGAGATGCTTTAAACCAGGCCACAAGCCAGACCGAAAGCAAGTAAGATGAACAGCATTTTAGTTAATGTGAAAATGTAATGTAAGAGGAAAGAATTTTATAGCAGTGGACTGTGCAGACAATAGGTGTGGCTTCAGTGTGAAGTATTTGAGTTAGTTACCGTATTTTTCACCCTGTAGGACGCACTTTTCCCCCTCCAAAATTGAAGGGGAAATGTGTGCGTCCTATGGGGCGAATGCAGGCTTTCGCTGAAGCCTGGAGAGCAAGAGGGGTCCCGCCGGGCTCCCTAGGCTTGCGGATAGCCGCCTGTTCTGGGGGCTGGGGTCGGGGGAAGCTCGGCTTTCCCCGTCCCAGCCCCGCACCTGGGGGGGGGAAATAATTTTTTTTCTTTATTCCCCCCCCCAAAAAAACTAGGTGCGCCCTATGGGCCGGTGCGCCCTATAGGGCGAAAAATACGGTAGGTGCTAACACTGAATAATTTCTTTATTGTGTGAATTCTGTTCTGAGAATATTCACTTAGTAGGCAACATCCAGAACAGTTGATCATTGTCATGATAGACAATTTTTCCCCCAACCCACTATAAAAAGGTAGGGGTTGTTCTCTTTTTCCAGTCTCTTGCTATCACTGATTTTGCAGCAGCGATCAATTTAGTTGTCACCTCTGGATCATTTTTTAAGATGACCGTTTTAAAATAACCAAATATAATAATCTTGGGCATGAAAGGTATATAGCATTTCCCAAATAACCACAGATATTGAATTCCAGAATTGCATTTGAGGACATTCCTTCCAAATATGCATAAAATCTGTTTTAAATAACTGCTTCTCCAACAGTTATCATGCCCTAATATCTATACAGTATTAAATTTAACTTACGTGGAGTATCATTCTCAAAGAATATTATAATAGTTCTCCTTCAAATCAGCAGATAACAATTTAGGTGGAACATTTGCCTGTAACCTTTTCCATTATTTCATGTTCCTGTCCCTTATATATGCTTGTGGCAAGAGAAAAAAATAGTGACCTATATTGCTAGGAAAATATGGATGGTGAGGAAACAAGTTGCTGACACATTTTCATTTTTCAAATGTTGCATATAGGCAGATTTTACAGTTCTTTAAAATCGGAATTGTTTTGAAGCAAGCTTGACCCACACCTTACTGTTTCAACTTTTGCAATTCAGACAAAACGCTGAACTGGCCAAACTGCGTCAGGAATGTAGCAGACTAGGCAAAGAGTTGACTGAAAAGTTGGGCACATTACAGCAGGTGGAAGAACAGAAAAAGGTCTTGGAGACGAAGGTTGCTGCCTCTGAAGAGCAAATCCGTCAGCTCCAGGTCAGTAACAGACAGGTACCAATAATTCTATGCTTACAGTGAAAAGATTGCTAGAAGTTGAAAGATTTGGATTCTGTTCCTAGTCATGGCAGATTTGCGTCCCACTGTAAAGGCCCTTCAGATATCCATGGGGCAGGAAATCAGTAGGGTGGCCTCTGCCCCCTGCTGTGTATGTCACCATTCAAGTCACATGGTTGCAGGGCTATTATTCATCTATGCACCCTGATGTTGTATGGACTTGTCATATGCAGCTGTTTGACCGATGCACAGTCTGTAATTAAGGAAAATGTGTTACTCAACAGATCATTTGGGTTCAAATGGTCTGTTTCATAGACAAAGCCTTTTCCCCACATTGGAAGAATGAAAGAATGAGTGAGTGAGTTGGTTAGTTAGTATACTATCCTTCATCCGTAGATCTCAAGGTGTTTCACAACAGAAAAATCACAAAATGCATAGGAATTACATTCTGTAGGAAATAGTTTTCCATTTATACACAATACTGCATATTCATCTTAAGACTGATATGAAACTGTCTCTTATCTAATTCAGATGCATCTGGGGCCATTATAAAGGGTCTCATAAGATCTGGCCCTTTTGGCACAACATCTAAGGCAGGCATAGGCCAACTCCAGCCCTCCAGATGTTTGGGACTACAATTCCCATCATCCCTGACCACTGGTCTTGTTAGCTAGGGATGATGGGAATTGTAGTCCCAAACATCTGGAGGGCCGGAGTTGGCCTATGCCTGATCTAGGGCACCTTTCCATTCAGGAAATCAGTGGATGGGGTCTTTCATTCAGCAGATCTGTTTAGGGTTCTGGAAGCATGGCACATTGGAGGATAAGAAGACTGTTGTATCCCTCCAGTCCCGGAATTTGTCATACTTTGTGTCAGCTCTGTGGCCAGTGGGCAACAAACAGAAAGCATGATGGGCTTTAGAGACAAGTGGACAGGGAGGATCTGGCCAGGAACTGCTGTTCCCTGTTCTGCCATTACAACAACCCCATGCCTGCACGTCTCAGGGTGATAAAATGGAATAAGCTCATGAACAACTCTAAGGAAACTGCGTTGGACGCAGATTCATTTATTTATACCTGCTTTCCTGAATGTACCTGCACTGGAAAGCTGCAGCAATTGTTGCTTTCTGGTACTCGTGACAAATAAATATGTGTGCTTCACGTGTGACAAAGTTCCTGAATAGCAGTGATATCCATGGAGTCATCTGTGAAGCTGTCTTCATGACTGTGTGCATGCTTGAATGAATGAATCTTTAGTTCCGTCATCCATCGACCATAGCAATAAGACGACAATACGATATACAAAGCATAGAAATAAAAAGTCAATTATAGAAAATACATTTTAGGGTTTTGAATCAATAGTCAAACAGTGGATGTTATTCTAATTGCCCCAGCTAAAAACCTGGCAACCTTTGCTGTCACCTGCTCATCTTGATCTGTATGCATACTTTGGGAAGTACAGGACAGGAATTGTCACGGCAATAATCAGGGCTATCCCAGGATGTTTTGCCACCGAAGGCAAAACGGAAAACACCCTTGCCTCCTCCTCTGGCAGCGGGTGGTGGGCTTTGGTTGTGCAGTGGATGAGGAGGCAGCCAACAGGTGCAGGAGGCAGTGAGGAGGGTACTCCATGGAGGCTGGATCTGCTGCCCTGAGGCAACTGCCTCACTGTACATCATAGGCACAGTGCCTGGTACGACATGCTAGAAGCCATGTGGCTTTCAAAAAGTCACCCTGTGCTTTTGTCTCCCATCTTAATTTTGATCCCACCTCCTTCATGCAGATATCCCAAAAAGAAAAGGAGGCGCCACTGCAGAAAAGCTTGGAAGAGATGGGCGAAGAACTCTCCAAATCCCAAGCCAGCTATCAGAGCTTGCAGAAAGAGCTGGGAAAGGCAAAAGAGCAGCAGTCCAGTCTTGCTGGTGAGATCGCATTGTAGGGAGGATGTCACAAAATCCTCCGTCTGGCACACACCCCTCTAAAATAAGTCCCCCCCCCCACTATAATGACCCCCCAACTATTAGCTAGTACAGTCATACCTCGGGTTTCAGACGCTTCAGGTTGCACGTTTTCGGGATAAAGACACGCCAAAACCCGGAAGTACCGGAATGGGTTACTTCTGGGTTTCGACGCTCGCGCATGCGCAGAATCGCAACCCGTACGTGTGCAGACGCGGCGCGGTGGGTTGCAGACGCTGCGCCTCCAGCATGGATCATGTTCGCAACCCCAGCATCCACTATAGTAAATTTGTTTGGGGTCATGGTGCTTCTGTGAATGGTGGTTGCCCAGTTCCAGGCTCTGATACGTAATCCTGATTTTTAACATCCATTTCAGTTGACTTCTAGCTTGAATTGGGACAAAAACAGCTTGGCACCATCCTCTGGTGGCTCCAGCTCTATCTGGCAAGCAGATTCCAGATGTTGGTGCTAAGGACTGTTCCTTGGCTTTGTGACATTTATGCTATACAGTTCTTACAAACAACAGCAACAACTTTTCCTCCATCATGTTCAACATCTACAGGTAGGTAGGTAGGTAACCTGTGGCCCTCCAGATGTTGTTGGGTTGCGACTCTCCTCCTCCCCGATTCTTGGCCACTCTGCCTGGGGGTGATGGGAGTCGCAATCCACCAGTATCTGCACCTCGAAAAGAAGATGAGATGCCTGCACATGGTTCAGAAAAGGGGAACCGAAATGATCCAGAGACTGAAACAACTCCCCAGTAAGCAAAGGTTGGGAGCTTTCAGTTTTGAAAAGAAAAGTCACATAAGGGAGAGACATGATTGTTGTTGTTTAGTCGTGTCCGACTCTTCGTGACCCCATGGACCAGAGCATACCAGGCACTTCTGTCTTCCACTGCCTCCCGCAATTTGGTCAAACTCATGTTGGTAGCTTCGAGAACACTATCCAACCATCTCGTCCTCTCTCATCCCCTTCTCCTTGTGCCCTCCATCTTTCCCAACATCAGGGTCTTTTCCAGGGAGTCTTCTCTTCTCATGAGCTGGCCAAAGTCTTGGAGCCTCAGCTTCAGGATCTGTCCTTCCAGTGAGCACTCAGGGCTGATATCCTTAAGAATGGAGAGAGTTGATCTTCTTGCAGTCCATGGGACTCTCCAGAGTCTCCTCCAGCACCAAGAGAGACATGATACCTGCGTATAATATTATTAGAGAGAGTGGATCAAGAACAGTTCTCTCTCTTTCTGTCATATCACCTGGGACCACCAAATGAGGTTGAATAGTGGGAGATTCAGGACAAGAAAAAAGAAATGACTTCTTCACACAGCGCATAGCTAAAACTGTGGAATTTGCATCAACACAGCACAATGATGCCCCCCCCCCAAACCTGGACAGCTTTAAAAGGGGATTATTCATGGAGGATGAGGCTATCAAGGACTACTAGTCTTGATGGCTGCATACCACCTCTGGTGTCAGAGGCAGTAACCCTCTGATCATCAGCTGAGAGGGATGCTGTTGTGCTTATGGGCTTCCTATAGGCATTTAGTTAGCCACTGAAGAAAAGGATAATTATTAGATTGGCCTTGACTGTCATCCAGCAGGCTTCTTTTAATGTTTGGTCACAGTTAAATAAATGTGGCTGCCGGTGCCACCATCTCATCTAATTTGGCCCGAATTCTGAAAGAAAATGGACTAGGGCAGGAACCCCCAAACTCAGCCCTCCAGATGCTTTGGGACTACACTTCCCATCATCCCTGACCACTGGCCCTTTTAGCTAGGGATGATGGGAGTTGTAGTCCCAAAACATCTGGAGGGGTGGGTTTGGGGTTGCCTGGACTTCCAGAGGCAAAGCCAAGAATGTACATGGAATACTGGAATTGCACCCACCTTTATTCCCAGTGCTGTTTATACGAGCAGGGCTTATTTTTATCTTTTATTTATTCCACCAAGCTGGATGCGCAGCACAATGTTACTACATTTCAGAAAAGCTTTGTTTCCAAACTGTTAATGATTTTTGTATGGTGTAATGAGATGTCTGGATCAACCTAGTTCTATCCCATGCTGGTTTCTCTCTTGTCCCGTTTGTGGGTGGAATTTTTAAGGGGAATCTTCTAAGAAAACTGTCAAGCTTTTTACTCTGTCTCTCTCTCACACACACTTATTACACACCCTTTACGTGGTCGTCCCAAGGCTGCCACTTTCTGTAACATTTTACAGCTGCTCGAAGCAGCTAATACCTCCTCCACACAGTAAGTAAATACCGTATTTTTTGCTCTATAAGACTCATTTTTTCCCTCATAAAAAGTAAGGGGAAATGTGTGTGCGTCTTATGGAGCGAATGCAGGCTGCGCAGCTATCCCAGAAGCCAGAACAGCAAGAGGCATTGCTGCTTTCACTGCGCAGCGATCCCTCTTGCTGTTCTGGCTTCTGAGATTCAGAATATTTTTTTTCTTGTTTTCCTCCTCCAAAAACTAGGTGCGTCTTGTGGTCTGGTGCGTCTTATAGAGCGAAAAATACGGTAAATAATCTGCACATCCAGTTTGGTGGAATACATGGAGGGTAGTAATCTTGTCCCATTCAATGTCCTTGTAAGACCACTAGGGATGTTGAGCTGGGTGCAGGGAAGCTATTGGCATAAATTCATGGGGGCAGCTATCTGTTTCTTCGTACAATTTCCATTTTATGACACATTCAAGGAGGTTTTTTTGTTTTTGTTTTACCGTGTGCCCATTATTTATTAACTTATATAATGCTCATTTACCAAGATGGCTTCTAAAAGGTTTACAAGTACAGTGGTACCTCGGGTTAAGAACTTAATTCGTTCTGGAGGTCCATTCTTAACCTGAAACTGTTCTTAACCTAAGGTACCACTTTAGCTAATGGGGCCGCCTGCTGCCACTGTGCCGCCAGAGCACGATTTCCGTTCTCATCCTGAAGCAAAGTTCTTAACCCAAGGTACTATTTCTGGGTTAGCGGAGTCTGTAACCTGAAGCGTCTGTAACCTGAAGCATCTGTAACCCGTGGTACCACTGTATATTAGCTGCTCTGAGTAGTGGCTGCCCTGGGACTACCTCGTAAGCCACAGACCCATTGCTTAATTCACACATCTGTGTTCTGATCTGTTCTTGGGCCCTGAGGAGAATGGCCAGGGTAGATTGACTCCAAAAGATGCATCCCTGTGATGTAAGCAAGAGGAATGATGGGTGTAGCCTGAATTGCATGACCACGAGTGTTTTATCCACCTTTAACAGAACTTCAGTCTAAACTGCTGCACTCTGAAATGATGGTGAAGAGTAAGGCAGAAGAACTAAACAGTTTACAGATTAAGTTGTCGGAAGCCACTTCCAAGAATGCAGAGCTTGCAGAGAGGATTCAATCGACCGAAGCCCTCCTAGAGGCAGGACAAATGAGAGAAGCAGAGAAAAACAAAGATGTTCAGGTCAGAGTCTTGCAATGTCCTTCCCTGCTAGCTTCTGCTTCCGATAACTTTTCTTCTTTTTCAGGGGTTGCCACTCCTTATGGCACACTACTAAAGCATCATGGCATTATTACTTACCGTGCCGCTTCCTATGTTTTTAGATACAATGACTGCTTTGAAGACAGTAATGTAATTTCATTTCCTTCTCCCCCTGTATATTCAGGAAGCAAACCAAACAGAAGCCAGCCAAGTGCAGTTAAGGTAAGGCTGGTAGAATACTGTGTTTTTGACACTGATCATTAAATAGTTGGTGTGTGATCATTTAGAAAAGAACACTGTGATTAAAAATAGCATGCCAAGACTATTATATCTTTTATTTATAGACAGTGCTTTTTTTTCTAAAAAAATGTTTAGGGGTTCTCTCATTTTCCTACTCATATTGAAATACTGCCCCTCAATGAGGCCAAACTTAGATTCACAAAATGTTTAGGGGTATGCGTACCCCTGCGTCCCCCCAGAAAAAAGCACTGTTTATAGAGCTACTAGTGCGGCAGATAAGGAGGATTTTGTCCCTGAAATATATCTTTATTTCAGCAAGGATTTCAACAAGGTCCCTCACAAAGTTCTTGTTGACAGGCTGGGAAAATGTGGGCTAATAAGTGATGTTACTTCTGAGTGGATTTGTAACTGGTTGATGTACTATATCCAAATAATGCTAATTAATGTCTCCTCATCAACCTGCACAGGCCTGATAAGTAGAGTAGCAGCAGTGATCTGTCCTGAGTGCAGTGTTGCTCAACATCTTAAAACACACACACACACACAATTGCAGGAAGGGAATGATCATCAGATGACACCAATCTAGGAGGAGGAGATAATACCTTAGACAGAAACAGGATTAGAAATGTACTTGACAGGATGAAGAACGGAGATGAGAGCAGAATGTTACATTTAGGTATGAAAAATCAGATTCAAAAATGGGATGTGTGGGATGCCGGCTTGACAGCAGTGTTAGGTCAAGGGAACTATAAAAAACTATAAAAGTATAAAAAGGAGAATTCTCTAGATGCCAAGATCCAGGTTTGGGGCATGTACTCTTTGGTGAGAGAACCCCAGCAGAGATTTAAAATCACAAAATATGCAGCAAAGTAAAGCATGGAAATATAGGCTATTGGTCCTCCAAAATATGTCCTTGTGAGTTCCAAAACTTCCCTCTTCCCCCAGCATAGGAAAAGACCACTTATCTTGCAAGTTAAAAACAGTGGTGCCCCGCAAGACGAATGCCTCGCAAGACGGAAAACCCGCTAGACGAAAGGGTTTTCCGTTTTTGAGTTGCTTCGCAGGACGAATTTCCCTATGGGCTTGCTTCGCAAGGCGAAAATGTCTTGCGAGTCTAGAGATTTTGTTTTCGCTTTCCCCCCCCTTTATCTAATCTGCTAAGCCTTTAACAGCCTTTAATAGCCTTTTAGCAGCTAATCCGCTAAGCCTTTAAGCCTTTAATAGCCGCTAAACCGCTAATAGCGCTAATCCGTTAAGCCGCTAATAGGGTTGCTTCGCAAGACGAAAAAACCGCTAGACGAAGACTCTCGCGGAACGGATTAATTTCGTCTTGCGAGGCACCACTGAATTTGTTTACTTACAAATTCTTCAACGGTTCATGAGCTTTTCCATACAGCACCCAGAAAAAAGTTGCTCAGGCAGCAAAACTTGGCTTAGTTTTAGTGGTGAAAGTCCCTAAATTATTGGTATAGGAATTCAAGAGTAGCTTATAAGAGCCATGCGGTCTGAGCTGCAGCTTTGCGGTCTTAGCTGCAATTACAAGCTCAGACCTCCTCACAGGCTTGATTGCCCAGCGCCTCCCAAGGTGAGCTAAGCCCAGCAGGATAGTTTACTCTGTTGTTGTTGCTCGTTTCATTTCTATAATCCTTTGTATTTTAAAGAAAAGAACTCAAAGCAGTTTACAACCAACATCATAAAAAAGAATCTAGAATAAAACAGAAGTACAGAAGAAAGTCAACTATAAAGTATATTCAAAGCAACATAATTAGCAGGAAGCTAAAACAGGGGTCGGCAGCCTAAGGCCCATGGGCCGGTAGCAGCCCACGAGGCTTGTCTAACTGGCCCATGGCGACCCCTGCCACCACCCCCCGCCGCTGCCCACCCGCTCTTACTGGTGCGGTGCGGCGCGGGGACTGACTTCCGGGTTGATGGTGCCTGTGTGGATGCGCATGGGCGCTCCTCCGACCCAAATGTGTGCCGGAAATAGAATGTGCGGGATGGAGACGCGCCCGTGCGCATGTGCATACGCTATTTCCAGCGCACTTCCGGGATGGAGGAGCGCCAGAAATAGCGTGTGCTCATGGACACGCTCCAGCCCATCCTCCGACGGACGGAGCATCGACCGGCCCATCCTCGGATAAGGTTGCCGACCTCTGAGCTAAAATATTACCGTATTTTTCGCTCTATAGGATGCACTTTTTCCCCTCCAAAAATTGAGGGTAAATGTGTGGGCGTCCTATGGAGCGAATGCAGGCTCCTTGGCTTCAGCGATAGCAACGCTAAGCCTCTGAAGCGCAGAGGGAGAGCTCCCTCTGCACTCCGGAGGCTACGCGTTGCTTTCGCTGAAGCCTGGAGAGCGAGAGGCGTCGGTGCACCCTATGGAGCGAAAAATACGGTATCTTCAAGATTTCAAAATAAAACATTACTAAAGGAAGTCAAATATAAAATGAGCATTTAAAACAGCATAGATAGCAAGGAAATAAAATATTGTTGCAAGTGTAGAACTTAGCTGCTGCTGCTGTTGCTGCCAATCCTGCCAATGGTGGTTCATGGCAGATGGCAGCTGTGGAAGCTTAGGCTCAGTGACCTGGGTCTGCTCTAAGAGACAGCCAAGATGGTCTCTGGCCTCTTCAGCAGCCTCAACTTTTGCAGTTGGAGCAGATCTTCCTGAACTCACAGCCAAGGTGGCTTCTGGCCTGTCAGCAGCATCAGCTGTTGGTCTTAACACCTTCATACGTTGATTAGACTAACAATGGCTAAACCAACCTGTGTGTTGCAATAAAGAAATCACACCCTATCCTACCATGCCTTTCATTCCAAAAATTGCTAAATGGCTACCATTGATGCTCAAATTGGCTCATTCTTTGCTTTCCTTGTTTTATCTGTGGTGTTCAGCTATGGGTGATGTTCAGCTAAGTTTTACTCAGAGTGAGTAGATCCATTGAAATTAATTTCAGTGAGTCTACTGTGAATAAAACTTAGTTGAACACCACCCTTTGTTATTTAATGTAGGGTTGCCAGTTTCCATAATCTAATTAATCATTCTTTTGAGGAAGGAATCCCACCATATTAACATATATTTAAAGGTTATCCTCTGAGGGAGTGCTGTACAGTGGACCCTCGGCTTACGTTACCCTTGGGTAACATAAACTTTGGGTTGCGAAAGTGGCAAACCCGGAAGTATTTTTCTAGGTTTTGCCACTCTCACATGCGCAGAAGTACTCTACGCACCGCGTGCATGCACAGAAGCGGTCCTCTGGTTGCGAATTCCTCGGGATTCAGCCGGACCTCCGAAACAGATCCCATTCGCAACCAGAGGTACCACTGTATCTTCAAAATAATAAATAATTGTGTGTGTGTGAAACTGTATATTGTGGAATATTACAGATAATTAATTTGTAAATCTTCTTTCTGCTTTAGATTCCAAGGCGTATCCACACAGGTCACCACATTAGAGAATGAAGTTTCTGAACTGAAAAATACAGCTGAACAGCTGAAAATAAAAAACAATGTGAGTTAAGCCGACTGTATTATTTCCCTAATATAACGAGGACTTTGGGCTGGTTTTATGAGAGCTGTCCTCCATTTTGGGCACCTGCAGATTTGTATCTATGAAGATTGCTTATATAATGAAAGCCAGGAGTTAATTAGAAAGAATTAAGAAGGGAGCATAGTGAAGGTATCTTAGCCTTCAAAGCAAGTATGAGATAGGAAACTGAAAGAATACACTTAACCTGAAAGGCACTGCAGGGTTCCAATTGGTGTATGTTGGTATGTTTTTTTTAAAGAGCCAACTGTATCAAATACATGAAATGGATTGACAAGGAGCTGGAGGCAGGGGTGTGGGTGGGTGTCCGTCTTTCTGTCCGTCCATGTGCAGATGTATTTTTCCATGCGTCTGCAGGCACAAATACGGAACCGGCGTAAATTTGTAATTAGAATATTTTAACAAGGCAATATCTTAAAAATAAAGAAACACAGAAGAAACCATTTGGGAGATAAGCAAGTAAAGGAGAATATATGTAAAAGACGATAAAGAAGAAAAGTAGTTCTCAAGAGAAAGAGATACGGTGGACGCTCGGGTTGCGAACGTGATCCGTGCGGGATGCACATTCGCAACCCTCTGCACATGCGCGGGTTGTGCTTCAGCGCTTCTGCGCATGCGCGACTGCTGAAACCCGGAAGTAACCCGTTCCGGTACTTCCGGGTTTCGGCGGTCCGTAACCTGAAAAAACGCAACCTGAAGCGGCTGTAACCCGAGGTATGACTGTATTTGATTTAAGTTGCAGCAACATAAATCACATTAAAGATTCCAGCAGTTTTGAAAACGAACTTGAGTTTCCTCATGGGGATGGTTGAATTGCTGTCCTTAAAGTTTTGTGGCAGCCTTCCTACAAATAAACAGTTTGTTTCTGGTGTTTGTTTCCAACAGGAGCTGCAGGAGAAGAATTTAGAAGCCATGGAGGCCCTGGCTTCTGTGGAAAAGGCATGTGAAGAAAAGCTGCTGTCTTCAACTAAGGCAAAGGTTAGCTTTCCTGTAAACCAGGGGTCAGCAAACTTACCGCGCCTTGGGCCGGAGTCTCCAGCGCTGAACGCGTGATGAGCTGGAGGGCGGGGGAGCGTGTGCCCATACGCATGCCCATACACGTGCGCACACGCTATTTCCAGTGCACTTCCGGGTCAGAGGAGCACCAGAAATAGCTTGTGCGCATGTGCACGGGCCTCCTCCGACCCGGATGTGCACTGGAAATAACGCTTGCGCATGCGCAAATAATGCTTGCACATGTGCACAAGCTATTTCTGATGCTCCTCCGACCCAGAAGTGGGCGGGGGGGTTGCCGCGGGCCGGATAAACGAGTCCCTCGCGCCTTATCCGGCCCGCGGGCCTTAGTTTGGGGATCCTTGCTGTAAACTCTGCAGTATTTTGTACCATACAGTGACATCATATATGAGCCACACAGCTTCATCAGGACTGGACTAGATTTGGCAGGCTCTGTTGCAGGAGGAGGAAGAGGAAGGAACCAGGAAAAGAGTGGGAACCTGAGTTGCAGGAGAGGAGGTCTCCCCTTCCCACCTTTATGTCTGTTCTTTGGGAAAGGGCCCATGGTTGCTGGCTCTCCCCTAAGACTTTCCTGTGAAACGCCTCATTAAAGACTAGGGAAGGCTTTGATCAGCCAGTGGTGGAATTTGAGCAGATGACCACAACTGAACAAGAGCCCAAACAGGAGGGTGCAGTCTTGCCCCCTAAAACTAGACACCTGTTTGTGAATGGAAGCAGACTCCCCAGTCTTCGAGGAGCACACATTTTCAATCTTGACATTACCACAAGTCTTGTGAGCGTAAACCACCTCGTCTTTAAAAGAGGGTTGGGGAAACTTGTTGGGACAACTTCATTGCTTCTGCCCAGTTCTAAACCCCTTACGCTGCCCCAGAACTTCTGTATTGTGACTCCTGAGCACCAGGTCTGCTTTCCAGCTTGTACTTGAATACGGTTGCAGAAGTAAAGACTTCTTTCTTACTTCCAAGTAAGAGTATCTGTCTATATGCAGGGGTAGGCAACCTAAGGCCCACTCGCCTTCTAAATCTGGCCCATGGACGGTCCGGGAATCAGCGTGTTTTTACATGAGTAGAATGTGTGCTTTTATTTAAAATGCATCTCTGGATTATTTGTGGGGCATAGGAATTCGTTCATTCCTCCCCCCCCCCAAAAAAATATATAATCCAGCCCACCACATGGTCTGCGGGACGCGGACCGGCCCATGGCTGAAAAAGGTTGCTGACCCCTGGTCTATATGTGTTGTATGGGAGCCTCATCACTCTCCACACCCCTGTTTCTGGTGCAGGAAAGAGTGGGAAGGCAAGAGATGAGCTGGAACCCATTCTTGCCCCTTATCTATCCCCCAGAGGAGGGGGAAAGTTGGCCACCCAACCAATTGAAGTGGAAGAACCACAGTGCAGAGCAACATGAAGCCTCTTAAAGGGTACCTGCACATTTTGCTTCATAGCTTTTTTTTCCTGGAAGAGCTGGAGACTTAAAAAAAAATTCAAGCTCACTCTCTGACTTCTGATTGGGGCTGCTAATGAAGGCCTTCATGGACCCCATGGGGCAGAAGAAAATATCCCCATGTACTGTTCAAAATTGGTTCATAGACAGGAAAGAAAAGATCATGACCTGGATATATGAAGAACTCTCCTTTTCTAACTAGACAAAACACACTCCATGTGTGTTGCTCTTAATACCCTTCCAGGCTAAACAAGAAAATGATGATGATGATGATGATGATAATAATAATAATAATAATAATTTATTATTTATATCCTGCCCATCTGGCTGGACTTCCCCAGCCACTCTGGGCGGCTCCCAACCAAATATTAAAAACACAATATAGCATTAAACATTAAAAACATCCCTAAAACAAGGTGGTTTTCAGACCAACCATCTTGAGTTGGCTGAGGGTCTGCATTCTTCTGTTTTAGGAGTAGCTGGGTAACTCAAGGGCATAAGTAATCCCTCGGTGCCCCCTTTTTCATATCAGTAGGTGGTGGCCACTGGTCCTACAAACACATATGTCTTGGGTAGCCTGTTATTTTTTGTTGACTTAAGAAAGAATATGGAGAAACAAAACTTGGAATGTGGGGGACAAATTGGAGGCAAACCTATGCTCTCTGGCAACAGAGTGGGCATTCAACAGAGAAGTACAGTCAGTCCTGTCTCCGTGGAGAATGAACCTGTTTGGCATACATGCCTGCCACATTCACTCTTTAGGTGTACATTTAAGGTTGTTTGACTGTGGACAGTGTTAGAGTTGCTGCGACAGAATCCCTGATCCCTATAGAGTAGAAAAGAATTTGCTCTCCATCACAAGAATGAGTTTCAAAGCTTTACTGAAAACAATCTTTAAAAAGTTACAAAGAAATATTACAAAAATACAAAGGAACATATTGCTGTTTAACAAGTTAGCAATGTGGTCCTGTCTTCCTTTTAGTCCTTAATACTGTTTAATAAACTGCTGGCTCCATTGCTGACAAAGAAACTGACCTTCTCAGTTTTCACCTTCCTGCTTTGAGAGATCTGCAGCTTGGGGTACTGGGATGAGTCATCATTTAACCCAAAGACTGAAACAGAAAACTCTTAACCTTTTCTGCCGCATTTGCCAGAGTGAAACATCTTGCTTAGTGCAGACTTCCCTACTTTGCAAATGCAAACTTTTACCTAAGATTTTTCAAACTTCAATGCATATAAATATTACATTTTATACATATTAAACTTATATCTTTAACAGACAGGCTCGTAGACTGACACACATCCGCTCAAGAGATACTCAAAGATGTCTTAAGATTCCTGTTAATCAAGAGAAAGGTGTAAAGTCATTTTCAGTTTTTGAAAGTCTTTCTTTGTTCTTCCAGGAAGCATTGGAGCAACAGCTTGGATTAATTCAGGGACAAACAATGAAGGTTCTCTTGTCCCTCTTCCCACAGATCCAGTTAGGTGATCAGCAGGTAAGCAGCAATTGTTGCTTAATGCTCTCCAGACCTAAAATGCATTGTGATTAAGGCAGTTTCAAATGGAAATAACATTAAAAAAATAAATAAAGGGAAAGATGCACAGCAAAATAATGCTATGCACGCATGTTTCTGGGTTCAGTCCTCTGTACTTCCAGTAACAAATGCCTCTGGCAGTGGGGCATCAAGGGTTGCTGCCAGTCCAGGGGCGCCATGGTTCAATGGGCAGCTTCATCACTTAATTTGTTGTTGTTTAGTCATCTTAGCCGTGTTCAATTCTCCGTGACCCCATGAACCAGAGCATGCCTTGGAAACTCACTTTCTTCTCAAAGCTTCTCCTTTTTTATGTCCATGGAGTTTTCTTGGCAAAATACTGGAGTAGTTTGCCAGTTCCTTCTCCAGGTGGATCACATTTAGTCTAAACTCTCAGCTATGACCTGTGCGTCTTGGATGGCCTTGCACGGCATAGCTCATAGCTTCTCTGAGTTAGTCAAGCCCCTTCGCCATGACAAGGCAGTGATCCATGAAGAGGCATCACTTACATAGGAAAGCGAAATTAAGACAGTGAGCTACCTAATGGCTGTGAGTAAATGGAGTCGTACTGGCACATCTTTTAATGCAAACTATACTAGCAACACGGGACGCGGGTGGCGCTGTGGGTTAAACCACAGCTGATCAGAAGGTCGGCAGTTCGAATCCCCACGACGGGGTGAGCTCCCATTGCTCGGTACCTGCTCCTGCCAACCTAGCAGTTCGAAAGCACGTCAAAGTGTAAGTAGATAAATAGGTACCGCTCTGGCGGGAAGGTAAACGGCGTTTCTGTGTGCTGCTCTGGTTTGCTGGCCACATGACCCGGAAGCTGTACGTCGGCTCTCTCGGCCAATAAAGCGAGATGAGCGCCGCAATCCCAGAGTCTTCTGAGACTGGACCTAATGGTCAGGGGTCCTTTACCTTCATACTAGCAACACAGTTTATGCTAAGGACCCAAGTCTAGTGGGAAGCCCTTTCTGCGAAGCTCCTTTAAGTCTTATTAGCAAATGTGTTCCTGAAAGGAAAGTTTTGTTGGTTAAAATCATTCCCCGCAAGAAAGTGGTGAGGAACCACTGTACATTAGAGATATTTTTTAAAATATTAAGGGTTTTATAAATGGTGTAAATAAATAAATTAAAAAATGGTATCCCAAACCCAGGACAGTTGGTTTCTGTGCTTTTGGCTGCTGGGTCACTGGTTTTTATTGGACTGGGATGTTAAAGTCTTAAGCTGGTTGAGGAGAGAAGGAGTGTTTGAAGGCAGCAGACAATGTTAAAAAGGGATCCATAAGGGGAGATTAAGAGAAGGTAAGGAAGAAGAAATTGAGACAGAGTGATTTAGACAAGTGCAAGCTCTTAAATATGGACAGACTGTTGAAAGTATGAGCTGGAAGGGAATATAATACTCAGCAATGTTTATGCACTTCATAAGCCCAGAGTGGCTGGGGAGGCCCAGCCAGATGGGTGGGGTATAAGTAATAAATTATTTTTAATTATTATTATTATTATTATTATTATTATTATTTGTTTCCTTCTCAGGCGTATGGTGAATGGTTGCAACAGTTTAAAGAAAAGGCTTTGGAAACGCTTCAGTCGCAGGGTGCAAAAACAGAACCTGTAGGTATAATCTGCAAATACCCTCACATGAAAAGTGTTATACAACACAGTAACAAATATCGTGGGTGGACCATACTAATAAGGCCTCATTTGGAGAACTTGACATTGAGCCACACAATAGCGGCGGAGGTTTTCTTTCTTGAATAGCAGCTGAACGGGCAGCAATAGCAACGTCCCTCCTATGGAAGGGAGGCAATTTTTATTGGGAATCCAGTGCAGTAGGAAACCCATGAACCCCAACTGGGCCTGTCTGTGGCTAGTACAATTGTACCTTAGATCCTGAACGCCCTGGAACTTGGACATTTTGGCTCCTGGACGCCGCAAACCCGGAAGTGATTTCTCTGGCTTGCTTGCAAACGTTCTTTTGGAACCCAAACGTCCGACGGGGCTTCCGCAGCTTCTGATTAACTACAGGACCTTCCTGCAGCCAATCAGAAGCTGCAATTTGGTTTTCGAACGTTTTGGAGGTCGAACGGTCTTTCAGAAACAAACAGAAAATCACACAAACCAGACCCATTGGATACAATCACACACATTGTAACATATTGTGTAGTTTGATTATTTGTCTCGTGGCAGATACCCATGTTTGAGGAAGGCTAATAACTTGGTGTTAAAGAAAACATTTGTTTATATATATAATTTTTATTGGTTTTTACACGTTTTCCAAACGTAACTTCCCATTTTAAACAACATAACGAACCTTTGGCTATCACAGCCTAGGACTTCCATCAAACTCAACTGATGGTTTTCTAACTTCCTTTCTAATTTTGCATTTTATTATTATAATTATTGCTATAAAGTCCAAATCCTAAATAAACTCCTTCTTAGTCCTCTTTCGCAATAATTCATATCGTTCTCCTTACAAAACTTCTTGTAACCCTACAAGTGATGCCAATTGATTACAATTGTCTTTCAAATATATCATGAATTTCTTCTAGTCCTTCAGGAAAGTCTGGTCTTGCTGGTTCCGAATTTTCCCAGTTAATTTCGCCAACTTGGCATAATCCATCAATTTCATATGCCACTCTTCTTTTGTTGGTAATTCTTCCAGCTTCCATCGCTGGGCTAACAGTATCCTTGCTGCAGTTGTCGCATATAAAAACAATTTTTATCACACTTATGAATCTCTGTACGTACAATACCAAGTAAAAGGGCTTTTAGGCTGTTTTTTTAACAAATGTATATTTCAACATTTTAAAAATCTCATTATAAAACATTTCCCAGAAGTTCTTCACTTTCTTAAATTCCCACCACATATGGTAAAAAGTACCTTCTTTTTCCTTACATTTCCAACATTTATTATTTGTTTCATACAATTTAGCTAATTTCACTGTTTAATTTGTTTCATACATTTTAGCTAATTTCACTGGTGTTATATACCATCTGTTCATCTTTTTCATTATATTTTCCTTTAAAGCACTGCAGGCAGTAAAATTTATTCCCTCCATAATTTTCCCCAATCTTCTAATTGTATATTATGACCAGTATCTTTAGCCCAATGTTAAATAAAATATTTGGGCTCACCCCTCCTGCCACTCTTAGTCAAAATATCTTCCAAAGCCCTGGAAGATTCCTTCTCCCATATGCTGCTCCTCCCCACCCCAGTGTGCACACAACAGTTTGAAAGCCTTGAATCTCCTTAATGTAACAGGTCTAAGTAAGCAAAACGTGTTGCATGGGCACATATTTTGCTTAAAAGAGGATGGCAAATCCTAAATCACAGTCTAGAGGAGAAAACAAACAGTATCCAAATCTACATTTTATTTTCCCCAGATGTAAAGTGGGTCAAGCCGATTTAAAATGGCACCAGGGGAGGATTTTGAGTCCTGGGCGTGGGAGGGTTTCTCACTCACTTTTTATAATAAAAAAGCACCCTCCCTCAAGCTGGAGAAGACCACCAGCGATCACGATGAGTTGTAGCCAGTATAGCTCTAAGTGAAGATTTTGTCAGCACACGGATTTCTGCTTGTACAACATTCCCCTCTGTCCTGCCCACATGCACCCCCTCAATCGGTTCTTCGGGTTTCCCTCAACCCTATGGAGCAGATCTGAGGAGATTTGCAGCATGTACAGGCAGATTAAAGGGGAGGAAGGTCCCATTGCAGAAGGGGAAATCCTTGCATGGATGGGATGAATTAGTTCCATATTGGCCAAGTCTAGCAAGTAGTTTTGCCTTTCAGTATTTACTTGTGTATTCTCTGAAATTATTATATAAATGCATTTGTGTAGTATATCATACCCACTCTGATTTTGGCATGCTGAATTTTGTGGCATTTTTAGGGTTGGGGTTGATGGACTTTTTGGCTGCTTTCAACTCTGGTATTGAATCTACTCAGTGCAGTTTCCTCTAAAAGCTTGTCTCTGAAATGTGTTTTTAGGAGATGACACTTCCTTTAAGAGAAGCAAATGAGGCAATGAGTGCCCTGCAAGCAGAATGTGATCAGTATAGGACCATTCTTGCAGAGACAGTAAGTGAAATTGTTTATATTACATTGAGTCCAGTTGACTGGGTACTGCTCAGAAAAGTTGTTTTCCCGTAAGGGCCATTGTTTCAGTACTTTGCTTGTCCTGGGTATTATGTACTGAAGTTCTCACCCTGGGCCAGCAGGAGGATACTGTAGATAGTTCAGGTCCACATATGCAAATAAGGGATCGAAAGTGACATTCAGTGGTTGGATAGTTACAGAAAGTGGTTACTGTTGCGTTGTAGTGGAGCTCTATATAAGCAGGCTGGCTGAACCCTTCACTTCAGTTCTGTTCTGGCCTGTGAATAAACAAGAGCTGTATGAAGAATCGCTGTGTTGTCTGATATGTTCACCCACAACTTAACACTGGGATAGATGCCACTTTTGGACATTCTACTCTATAAGAGACCTGTTCTGCTCCAGAGGAAGAACTGAGGAGAAAGAGATTTTCTGCAAGCAATAGCTTTTCCACCTGTCTTGCCCCACCCTCCAGCCCCGGGAGCCTTTCCCAGACTATGACTCTGAAAACAGCAGAAACAACCTGGAAGAAAGGAGTTCAGGGATAGTTTTCTCGGAACAACGGATGTGATTAATTATTCTGTGTTTAACAGTTTTTAAGTTGTTAGTTTTTCCAAGTTCTGGAACTGAGCAGTCTCTTGCTCAAGATTTGCAGAGCTAGTGGCAAGAGGACCAACTCATCTAATGAGGAGAATGAACTTCAAATGTAAAGTCCTTTCTATTCTCAGTTGTGTTTTCATGCTTTGTTTCTCAAAACTAGGAAAGGATGCTCAAAGACTTGCAGAAGAGCGTGGAGGAGGAGGAGCAGGTGTGGAAAGCGAAGCTGGTTGCATCTGAAGAAGCACTTCAGAAGGTACTTGCCGAAGGAGAGTGTGTGTATTCGCGTGCATGCTTTAGAGTTGTTACCGAAACCACTTTCTCCTTGTGACCAGTATGAGCACTTCACTGTGCAAGGAAGGTGTTTGATCAGGTCAACCATCACTTTCCACTGTGCAGCGCAGAGGTGATGGTGAAATATCTCATTGGTTCACCCCTCTGCCAACGATATTATTCCATGTCCAAAAATTAGGCACTTCCCCTCAGGCGGTTTAGATAATGGAGGTGAACGTGTGTAGCTTTTTCAGTTATGTGTTAAGGAAGAACTGCCTGAGATCTATGGGTGAAGGGCAGTATATAAATTTAATTAATTAGTAATGATGATGATGATAATAATACACAGCTGGAAATTCTCTACTTGCAACTTCACTTTCAGCCGATAGCCCTTAGGTGTTTTGCCTTGTTGAGCCCAAGGCATGTAAGCAGAACTCTAGATGGCATATCTGTGCCAAGATATCTCTCAAGTGAAAATATTAACGGTAAATGCTATACACTAATGCTCTAATTTCTGGTCCCTTGGGTGTGGGAAATGCTTCATTTAGTCCCAGGACCAAATGAAATCTCTTGAAGATGATGTGGAGAAGTTAAAGATGGAACTTCAGAATACAGACAAGGTATGGAAGCATTCCAAGACTCCAGAAGGAAAGTACATGAAAAATTTGAAAATGGGGCATTTTACCTCTTTCCTTTAGACTGTGGGACATGAAATTGGCTAACGCAGAGCAAGCCCAAAGCATGACTGGGATGGGGAATCCCAACCCAGCCTTTCCTTAAGAGGAGGGAGGGTTTCTTGTGGTGTCCAGGAATGTATAAGTATGATCCCAATGCAAATTTTCTGGTATAAGGGGGAAATGTGATCTTAACAGCTTCCTGTTGTTCTCCCTGCCCCCCACTTTTTTAACAGCTGAAAGAATACACCTCTCTTTTGGAAGCACAGCTGGAAAATCACTTGGCAACAGCCAACTCCGAACGTCAGAATTACATGAAAGAAGTTGAGCATGTAAGTGTTTGTGAGACATTTGAGTTCTTAGGGAAAGATCATGATTTGGAGAATTGGTGGCTGAAAAGGTTAAGGAAATAATCATGTGGTGTCCGCGAAGAAAAGTAGATGCACCTTTTCAAGCTCGTGGTAAAGGAATAGGCATTCTTTTGAGTTACAGAGGACTATTCTGTGATTCAGCAGAAAGTGTTCACAGGTTCAGTGTGGGGGAAAATAGTAAAAGGGATTTGCCATTTCATAATCTAGACCCCTGATTGTTAAAACACTTCTTTGAATGCAGTCCTACTGGGTGAATAGAATCTTTATTGACTTTTGCTTTGATTTTAAGTTGCATTGATGGCTTAACAATCAAATGAGAAGTCAAGTTATAGATCTCAAATATTAACACAAAAAGTTGTGTTTGTCCTCTTTCATAACACTTGAATTTCCACGGAAGCTGAATGTTGGGAGAGTCATGACAGATGAAAAAAGTGATTCTTCACACAGTTAAACTATGAAACTTGGTCCCACACTAAGCAGTGTTGGCCACCAACCCTGATGGCTCTAAAAGAGAATTGGACAAATTGATGGGCATAAGGTTATTGAAGGCTACTGGCTACGGTGGCTGTTCTCTGCCTCTACAGTTCCAAATTCCAGTTGCTGGAAACCACAAGAGGGTTCTTTTGCTTCAATCCAGCTACTGGTTTCCCACAGGTTTTGGCCACTGTGAGAACATGATGCAGGTTCTCATTAGATTCTTAGGTTGTCTGTTCTTGGAAAACCAAGATCATGGAAGAGGGAGGGTGTGGCGATCACACAGGGCCCCCGGAGGTTTGACAGTCTATTGACCCTGTGCCACCACTGTGATTGCCTTCTTCGCTGCCACCACCCCGCTTCTCACAGGGACACACGGAGTCCAGACAGTTGTTAACATTAACAAATAATCAAATTTATTTTTAAATGCAGGGACAAGCTTATGGTTTCAATTAATTTTTCTTGTCAGTTTCTTAAATCTTAGTTCCTAACAACTTCAAACTGATTAGTCCCAACTATCTATCTTACTCCACCTGACAATTCCTCTCACTCTCTCCCAATACAACTCTACCAACCCACACCTAATCCTCCCTCTTCCTTCTCCAATTCCCAAACCTCAACTCCCAAACCTCCACTCTAACTTTTACTCCCCCCTTGCATTCTCACTGGCCAATCACATCACACCCATTTTAACCCTTTCCTTATTACCCATCCTAGGAGGCAAACGCCACAGAGGGTTTGAAGCACAGTGTGCAGAACTAAGTGCTTAAATAGAAAGCATGTTCTGTTGTCAGGAAATCCTCAGAAATACAAGAAAATATTTAATTAAAAATTGTTGTTGTTGTTGTTTAAAAGAAATAAATCATTAAGTTTAACCCTGATGGATACCATAAAGTATCACACTGGATGGAGGAGAAATCTGTTGTAAATGGATTTATGCATGGAATTTTATGCGACTGAGCTTTGTTTGCATCAGACTGCCTCCTGTATTGAGCTCCTGCTTCTGTTAACCACTGATACAATTTGTTTTTTAAAAGCCTAAGTACTATATTAATACTAAACATAGAAAAGAGTCAAGCTCTATGCCTTGCCATATTTCTGCAACATAACTGAGGGCAGCTGATTTGCATTAGAGTCAACATCAGTCACATTTTTGAGCCGCAGCTCAACATTTTCTGCATTTTTCAGCTCAGTGGCAGAGCTGAGTTCACTGTTGAGACGCTTGCTCTGTGCTGAGCCCGACTAGGCAGATAGAAACTTTATTTGCATTAGCCACTAGCCATAGCAATAAGATAAGATATACTGGGGATAGAGCTAAATAGCTAGCTATACAAAATACATTCTAGAGGTTTAAAGGTAAAGGGACCCCTGACCATTAGGTTCAGTCATGACCGACTCTGGGGTTGCGGTGCTCATCTCGCTTTTTTGGCCGAGGGAGCCGGCATACAGCTTCCAGGTCATGTGGCCAGCAGGACTAAGCCGCTTCTGGCGAACCAGAGCAGCGCACGGAAACGCCATTTACCTTCCCACCGGAGCGGTACCTATTTATCTACTTGCACTTTGATGCGCTTTCGAACTGCTAGGTTGGCAGGAGCAGGGACTGAGCAACGGGAGCTCACCTCGTCGCGGAGATTTGAACCACGACCTTCTGATCGGCAAGTCCTAGGCTCTGTGGTTTAACCCACAGCACCACCCGTGTCCCTTTTAGAGGTTTACATCAATACAAAACAGACTTAAGGTTCAGCACAAACTGAACCTGCATGGTGAAAACCATGAGCACTGAAAGAACACAGACAAGCAGTGACCCCATCCTTAGTTATATGGTCGCAGAAGGTTATGGCTCTTCATCTTCAAATAAACGCTGTTTATATACTAAGGCAGGCATAGGCAAACTTGGCCCTCCAGATGATTTGGAACTACAACTCCCATCATCCCTAGCTAACAGGACCAGTGGTCAGGGATGATGGGAATTGTAGTCTCAAAACATCTGGAGGGCCGAGTTTGCCTATGCCTGTACTAAGGCACTGCAATTGTGTCTCTGTGTGTTTTAGCTGAGACAACTGTTATCTGAATCCCAAGAACACCTGGACTCAAGAAAAACAGAAGCACTCAAAAAAGCCCAGGAGCTGGCTCAGGTAAATGATTACATCAAGACAGAGTTTCCTCGTTGTTGTCAATAGGATAGTAAAACTTATAGGCCACGGGTAAACCTCAAGCCCACATAACAATATTTGAAGTCACTTCGCCACTGATGTCAAGATTGGGGGCTCTTAATTTGGAGGTCTTGCAACTGCCACAAGTTATTGTGTTAACAATAGCAAGTTTGTTTTCACTGGTGTGTGTTGACAGTCCTATAAAGAAACACAAGCCTCAGCCAAGTCGGTTTGGGTTCCATACAAAAAATAAAATAAAATAAACCCTGTCCACAGGAAACTAGTATGTGAATTTATTCTCAAGCTCTTCACATAGACATTTTGGGCTAAACCACACATTATGCTTTATGCTTTATGCATAGCATATAGCAGTGTCTCTTGATTTTTTCCTTTCATTGCTGGCATAGAGTCAATTTCTTCTTGAGATTACTGAGAGGAAGATTCATCCCTTCACATACCAGCCAAGATTAGGCCGAAAACCTCTCCTCACTTTGTCTGCACCAAGAGCTTTCTCTGGTGTGTTTCTAACACACACACACACACACACACACACACACACTGCGGCTGTGCGATTTAGGGGACAATCAGTAGCAGGAGGGGAGCTAATAGATAAGTAACACATTTATGAGATATTGTGCCCCATACTTGGAAAAACTAAATTTCCGTTATATTACAAAGAGGTCCTTGTCCCAATGTACTTTTCATTAACATTTCCTGCTTCCAAATCAGCACAGCTATTTGCATGGGGTCTAATCAATACCCACAATTACTGCTTGTACCATACTGGAGTGGCTTTGTTTTGTGTGCCCCTCTGGATGGTTTTCAGTTCAGTATTAGAAGTTTAGCTTTGTATGTGGTTTTGGACAATGGTTTCAATACTGGATCTTTAAACGGGCCTGACATTTTCAGTGTTTAATGCACCAGGTTTGACCACATTTTATTAGCATCATTAGTGTAATAAAAATATTCTAGATGAAGTTTTATGTGTTTATGATCCGCCTTCCAATGCCTGTCCTGAGAAGTTTCCAGCTTGATAAGTCTCTTTTTTATTAAAGTGTTTGTTAATTCGGCTCTTCAAGAGTGCAGCTGATTTAAACTTCAACTTTTTTTGAAATTCAAGGCTCAGGACTTGGTGCGCAGCTTGCAGGCTGAACTGGAGAAGCTAAAACTTGGTGGAAATGAGGCTGCCAAGGAAGATGTTTTGCGGCTCCAGGTAAGGCTTCTACCACTGGGTTGCTTTAGGCAGAGGGAGGAACAAGGCAGAGATGTGGGAACTCAACACTGAATTCCACCTCCTTGGAAATACCACAATTATTCAAATAATTGTTTGTTTGTTTGTTTGTTTGTTTTGCCAACTGAAGGAAACACTAGAGAAGGAGAAGAAGTTAACAAAGGACTTGGGATGTGCAGCTACCAAACTAAAAGAGCTTTTGCAAGTCACCCAAGAGCAGCTGGCCAAGGAAAAAGACACAGTGGTAAAACTGCAAGAACAGCTCAAGGAAACGGTACTTGAATTCCTTCTCTTTCCTTGACTCATCTGCCCACATTAACCTGGCATTGTCTCCTATTGGAAGAAGAAACAATTTTTGGTACTGAAGAACGTGGAGGGCAGCACTAAACATTGTTAAAAATATAGGGCTTCAGTTGACTGTGGTAGCCCAGCAACTGCTCTCCCCCCCCCCATTGCTTTCTGCAACATGAGATATAATTTGTACAATGTAGTAAGATCAGAGCATGCAGATAAGCGCATGATGTATTATGCAAGAGGAGGGGGGATTGTACAACTCAGAAACCCCGAAATTCCTACATTAATTTTGTCTCTGTAAGACCTCAGTATAAACCGCATTTGAATTCCTCACATCTGTAATCTTAATTTACAAGGTTTCTTAAAAAAAAATTCTGTTCTGACAAGCTGCTTCTTGAAAACTGTTTAGAACACAAAGTGCAATAACTTACTTTTCATTCTGCTTCAGGGAGAAAATGAAGACGTTGCCAAGGAAGGCACATCCGTTTGACCAAACCGAAATCCAGGACATGTTTTTCACCATATGAAATGCCTTAACACTTTCCTAAACTATGCACTTGTTTAATGTAGGGAGAAGCAAAAGAAATAAAGAAAGGAAAAAGACACTATTGACCAGAAATTGCTTTAGTGTTGTTGTTTTTTTAAAGAATAAAAGTAAACTGTGCAAGAACCCATTAATAAACACACTCTTTGACTATGTTGTAAAAACTGCAATAATTCCAGGAAAAACTGTGGGCCATGAGGAGGAACCCGGTAGCTTTGGAATCATGCCTGATCAATGGGGTGATTGCCACCATCAAAATGGCCTTGAAAATTGTGTGAAATGCTATTAAGACAAACATGGCTTGGGTAATCTCATAGATTCATCGTGAAACCCCATCCATTGCCTGGGAAGCATTTGATGAAGTTACGTGTGGCTATAAGCAGCCTGCCTACACAATCACGGCAGTTTGTCTCTATGTGAACACCTTGCAACATCTGGGAGAGGACATCACGTGTCGCTATTGCTTGCAAGGGACAGTCAAACACCATTCCAAAGGCAGGCTGCGGCCACATTCTGAATACTGGAATCTCTTCCAGAAGCAGGCAACCCTTCTGTTTCCCACCTGTGTTCCAGGAAGGCTGGGACTCCGTCTTCTTAAAGGCTCCTTACTATCCTAGTTGCTGAAGCACAAACAAGTTACAGGTGCTACTGTCATGCCCTGTTTGTGGGCTTCTCCCAAACAGCTGGTTGATCGCAATTAAAAACGGGATTCTGCGCCTAGCTTGAGTAGAGGTATTAAATTTTTAAGAAGATTAGTAATGGCAGCTTCCCTAATATTCTCTGGCAGCGCACAGCACACATGAAAACATGGAGCGTGTTCATAGTTTGACTTAACATTAGAGCCCAACAGGACTGCTTTGTGCTGAACGTCAGCTGTGTGTGCAGTCCAGAATACAGCGGTACCTCAGGTTAAGTACTTAATTCGTTCCGGAGGTCCGTTCTTAACCTGAAACTGTTCTTAACCTGAAGCAGCACTTTAGCTAATGGGGCCTCCAGCTGCTGCTACGCCGCCGGAGCACAATTTCTGTTCTCATCCTGAAGCAAAGTTCTTAACCTGAAGCACTATTTCTGGGTTAGCGGAGTCTGTAACCTGAAGCATATGTAACCTGAAGCGTATGTAACCTGAGGTACCACTATATACCCTATGGCAGTGGTTTTCAACTCTTTTGAGTCCACAGCTCCCTTGACCAAACACGTTCTTTCTGTGGCACCCCGGTGAGAGCCACTTACACTGGGGTTCCCCCATTCTGCCGCTGCCCCGTTCCACCCCGCCCCCTTTCAGCGCCGGTTTTGGCGCGCGTGTAAGTGGGAGCGCATGCGAAGATGGGAACCCAAGCAACACCACTGCTTTGCAGGACTGAGCTGAAGCAATCCACATGGTAGCGCCTTTCCTGAAATTAGTGTACACAATGGAGGTGGAGAGAGCAAAACAAGATAAAGCGTGCTGCCAACACAGAATGGGCTGTTATAACGCCTCTTCGTCCAATTACCGTATTTTTCACTCTATAAGATGCACTTTTTCCCTCCTTACACAAAAGGGAAAATGTGTGTGCATCTTATGGAGCGAATGCAGGCTGCGCGGCTAAGCCAGAACAGGGAGAGGGAGCGCTGCGCAGCGCTCCGTCTTGCTGTTCTGGCTTCTGGGACAGCCTGTGAAGCCTCTGGAGAGCAGCGGGGTGCCTTTATCCCACTGCCCTCCGGAGGCTTTGCGGGCTGTCCCAGAAGCCTCCTCAGGACACGGGGATGAAGGCTCCCCATGCCCTGCGGAGGCTTCGCGCAAAGCTAGACCAGCTCTAGCTATTCTGGCTTTTGGATAGCCCCTGCGAAGCCTCTGTAGGGCAGCAGGACGAAGGCTCCCTGCTGCCCTGCGGAGGCTTCGCGCGGCTCTTGTGGGAAGTGGGGGGAAGGGACAGAGCGTGCGACTCATGTCTCTTCCCCCACCTCCCAGAAAAGCCCCCAAGAACCGCACTCCCTTTAAAAAGCACACGGTTCTTGCGGGAGATGGGGGAAGGTACAGAGGGCAGCTTACCCGCGCGCAGCCTCTTCCGGCCAGGGGGAGCCTTCATCTCGCTACCCGGGAGAGGCTTCAGTGGCTATCCCAGAAGCCAGATCCCTCTTGCTGTTCTGGCTTCTGGGATTCAGAATTTTTTCCCCTTGTTTCTTCCCCCCCAAACTATGTGCGTCTTATCGTCTGGTGCGTCCTATGGAGCAAAACATACGGTACTTTGTCCCTTTGTATTTCGTAGTGTGCCTGCCCAGTTTGATAATGGAGTGAGAAATGTTCTGGGTGAAATGTGTGCTGTCCAATTAAAAACAGAATTTATACATCCAACTACAATTATTTGTGCATCCAGCTCGTATTGGAGCTTTGGATCTGTAATGCTTTTTTAAAAAACACAAAAACACAAGCAAACCTAAGAGCTGCCAAAGACAGAAATACATTGCTGCTTTGCATTGCAAAGCACATTCAAGAATATTGTGGCATTGCATTGGAAGAAATTACGCAAATTCCCTGAATAAACAGCTGCCTCCTTAAGTAATCACAGTTCCAGAGAAATCAAGTGTAGAGGAATTTGCTGTGTATTTTTGTAATTCTGAATGATAACTTGTAACCACAGAAGAGCTCCCAAGGTCTCTCAGTCCATGGTGATGCAACTTCTGCCAGCCAACAAGCCCAGATAAATGCATTATGTGCTATTTCATCAGTACATGGGAAAATATGAGTTTGTACTATCCAGATGTAATGGGGCTGCTATAAACAGCTTATTGAGGAGGGAAATGCCTCTTTATTTGAGGATATGATTAGCACATTGGTTAGCCTTCAGCTATGAATTGCCAGAAATGTGCCGGAAGCAGCTCTTCCTGGGAAGCTGAAGCCTGCAGAGCACATCCTTTCAGAAAAGTCCTCTGCCTTGATATCTGAAGTTATTTTTATATTATAGTCAACATTTCGGAACTACAGACAGACTTCTCCCTGCTCAGATAGTTTGGATCTATTTTGCTCTGGCCAAACTGCAGTGATGTAGTGTAAGCCTCTGAATAATAAAATAAATAAACAACAAAAGGGGAAAAAACCCCACAAGTTTCCTAAAAAACCCCTGCTGGCTGCTGAACCATTGCAGTGAAAGAATTTAAAGTTGATTGGCTGCATTTTCCTTCAAAATTACAAACGCGAAGTGCTTTGTATGTCAGCGTCGCATTTTCTTCGCTTTTTGTTTTCAGTATAAACTCTTGTTTTCGCAGCTGATCGTGTGTCTTCTCGTGGTGGAAACGCGCGTGTTGACCTCTAGATCCAAACACACACACATACAGAGAGAGCACACACGTGTCATAAGCAAGCGGTCCTTGCCTTTTAAATTGTTCCATCCTTAACAAAAGCCCCTGTTTCCAGAATGTTAGAGTGATGTTGGATCGAAAATAAGTGGTTTCCAGCTGTACAGGTTAAAGTTATTGATAGACTAAGATTAAAGATTAGGATTAAAGATGTTTAAGGAAATGGAAATTTGGTACTTAAGAGGTAAAATTTTAATGCTATATTACATTAAGATTAAAGATTAGGATTAAAGAAGTTTAAGTGTTATATATTATATTAAGATTAAAGATTGGGATTAAAAAAGTGGAAAAGAAATTGCTGGACAAACAATTTGGACTGGAATACAAAAGAGGGAGGTATGAGGAAGTCCAGAAAATAAGTAAATTCAAAAATGGAAATGGAAAAGTGATATTGTTTTTAATTGTTCTGTTTTTTTTGTTTCTTTTGTATTTTGTTGTTTGTGTTTTTCTTTTCTTTCTGGATTATGTATTGTGTATTTTTGTACTTCTATTTCTATGTTTTTCTGTTTAACTTTTTATTGAAACCTTAATAAAAATCATTTAAAAAATAAACAAAATAACAAAAGCCCCTGTTTCCTAAATAAATAAATCAGCTTTCTTTTCTTTTTTCAAGTGAATTTCCCCGGATTTCATCTTTTTTTTTTGCGAGCCGCCTCCTTGAGGTTCATCTGAAAGCAGGAAAGCGGCGTCTGAACCGTACGGAATAAACCCGCGAATAAAACCCGCGGTCGGAATCCCTCCGCGCTCGACCGGCGGAGAGGGGCGGGGCTTATCCAGGCCCCTCCCCCTCGGCCCCCCTCGGCCAATCGCGAGAGGCGGCCGGGGCTCGTCGTCGTCTCCGTCGTCGCGCTGCTCCTGCTCGGCGGGCGCCACAGGTGCCCCTTCGGAGGCCTCGCTCGGCAGGCGGGCCGCGGGGCTTCGGCCTGGCTATGGCGGCGGCGGCCTGGTCGGCCTCCCCGTGAGGCGGCGGCGGCGGCGGCGGCGAGGTGAGCGCTCTGAGGGGAGAAGGGCCTCGCCGCGAGGGAAGCCGGCGCCGGGGCCTCGTCTCCCTCCGCGCCGCCGGGCAGGAGCAGCGCCCGTAGCCGGAGAACCGGCGCGGGGGAGCGGACTCTGGAGCCGCCCTGGAAGCGGCGCGGCGAGGCGAAGGTGCCTCTCCCCCCCCCGGGGGGGCGGCACTGGCGGGGTGGGGGGTGCGGAGCCTCTCGGGGTCCCTGTTTTTGATTAGACCCTGAAACGTCCCGCTTTCCCTTCAGACAACGTCCCTCTTTCCATCAGAGAAATGTTGAAGGGACGCCAGGATGCGACCCTCTAGCCACCTGAAGGCAGCCCCGTATAGGGAACTTTTCAAATGTTTTATTACGTTTTTAAAGATGTGGGAAGCTGCCCAGAGTGTGTGGGGCAACCCAGTATTTTATTATTATATTTATTATTATTATTATTATTATTATTATTATTAGAGTAGGAGGTCCCTATTTCCATCAGGCAGCCCCGTATAGGGAACTTATCAAATGTTTTATTAAGTTAAATAGTATTTTATTATTATTATTATTATTATTAGAGTAGGAGGTCCCTATTTCCATCAGAGAAATGTTGAAGGGACGCCAGGATGCGACCCTCTAGCCACCTGAAGGCAGCCCCGTATAAGGAACTTTTCAAATGTTTTATTAAGTTAAATAGTATTTTATTATTATTATTATTATTATTATTTGAGTAGGAGGTCCCTATTTCCATCAGAGAACTTTTCAAATGTTTTATTAAGTTAAATAGTATTTTATTATTATTATTATTATTAGAGTAGGAGGTCCCTATTTCCATCAGAGAAATGTCGAAGGGACGCCAGGATGCGACCCTCTAGCCACCTGAAGGCAGCCCCGTATAAGGAACTTTTCAAATGTTTTATTACGTTTTTGTAGATGTGGGAAGCTGCCCAGAGTGTGTGGGGCAACCCAGTCAGATGGGGGTGGGTATAAATAGTAGTATTTTTATTATTATTATTATTATTATCAGAGTAGGAGGTCCCTATTTCCATCAGGGAAATGATGAAGGGACATGGGGATGTGATCCTCTAGCCACCTGAAGGCAGCCCCATATAAGGAACTTTTCAAATGTTTTATTAAGTTAAATAGTATTTTATTATTATTATTATTATTATTCGAGTAGGAGGTCCCTATTTCCATCAGAGAAATGTCGAAGGGACGCCAGGATGCGACCCTCTAGCCACCTGAAGGCAGCCCCGTATAAGGAACTTTTCAAATGTTTTATTACGTTTTTAAAGATGTGGGAAGCTGCCCAGAGTGTGTGGGGCAACCCAGTCAGATAGGGTGGGTATAAATAGTAGTATTTTATTATTATTATTATTAGAGTAGGAGGTCCCTATTTCCATCAGAGAAATGTTGAAGGATGCAGGGATGCGACCCTCTAGCCACCTGAAGGCAGCCCCATATAAGGAACTTTTCAAATGTTTTATTAAGTTAAATAGTATTATTTTATTATTATTATTATTATTATTATTATTTGAGTAGGAGGTCCCTATTTCCATCAGAGAAATGTCGAAGGGACGCCAGGATGCGACCCTCTAGCCACCTGAAGGCAGCCCCGTATAAGGAACTTTTCAAATGTTTTATTACGTTTTTAAAGATGTGGGAAGCTGCCCAGAGTGTGTGGGGCAACCCAGTCAGATAGGGTGGGTATAAATAGTAGTATTTTTATTATTATTATTATTATTATCAGAGTAGGAGGTCCCTACTAAGGAACTTTTCAAATGTTTTATTAAGTTAAATAGTATTTTATTATTATTATTATTATTATTATTATTATTAGAGTAGGAGGTCCCTATTTCCATCAGAGAAATGTTGAAGGACACAGGGATGCGACCCTCTAGCCACCTGAAGGCAGCCCCATATAAGGAACTTTTCAAATGTTTTATTAAGTTAAATAGTATTTATTATTATTATTATTATTATTATTATTATTATTATTATTATTATTGTAGGAGGTCCCTATTTCCATCAGAGAAATGTTGAAGGACGCAGGGATGCGACCCTCTAGCCACCTGAAGGCGGCCCCGTATAAGGAACTTCTCAAATGTTTTATTAAGTTAAATAGTATTTTATTATTATTATTATTATTATTAGCGTAGGAGGTCCCTATTTCCATCAGAGAAATGTTGAAGGGATGCCAGGATGCGACCCTCTAGCCACCTGAAGGCAGCCCCGTATAAGGAACTTTTCAAATGTTTTATTAAGTTAAATAGTAATTATTATTATTATTATTATTATTATTAGAGTAGGAGGTCCCTATTTCCATCAAAGAAATGATGAAGGGACGTGGGGATGCGACCCTCTAGCCACCTGAAGGTAGCCCCGTATAGGGAACTTTTCAAATGTTTTTGTGGGGCAACCCAGTCAGATGGGGGTGGATATAAATAGTAAAATTATTATTGTTGTTGTTGAATTTCCATCAGAGAAATGTTGGAAGGTTTGCAGGGACGCGACCCCCAAGCATCTGAAGGAAGGCCCGTATAGGGAACTTTTCAAATGTTTTATTACGTTTTTATGGATGTGGGATGCTGCCCAGAGTGTGTGGGGCAACTCAGTCAGATGGGGGTGGGTATAAATAGTAGTATTTATTATTATTATTTGAGTAGGAGGTCCCAATTTCCATCAGAGAAATGTTGGAAAGTGTGCAGGGATGCAACCCCCGAGCATCTGAACTTTTCAAATTTTTTATTTTGTTTTTTATAGATGTGGGAAGCTGCCCAGAGTTTATGGGGTAAACCCAGTCAGGTGGGGAGGGTAAAAATATTATTATTGTTGTCTTATTGTTGTTGTTATTGCTATTATTTGAATAGGACATCCCGATTTTCATCAGAAAAATGTTGGAGGGTATGTGGTTGGGAAGGGGATAGTGGGGGGCCATGGCTGGGGACCCCTGCCCCTGTGTGAAGATCTGGCCCCATACAAATCCGTGGGGCAACAAGCATGTGGAATGCTGTGCTCATGTTTCTCTCCAAAAGGGGGGTGGGACTGGGGCCAGCCTTGGGAAAAGTGCCCAGATGATCAGGGCCCAGAGCATCTCCCCTGTGGTGGAAAGGGAGTAGCAATCTGGACCTTTTTAGTTTATACAAAAGGTGACTGAGGCAGAGCATGGTAGAGGTTGGGGGCATTATGGTGTGGAGAAACTTGGGTAGAAGACTGACAGCAGACAAGAAAGTACTGTGAACAAATATATGAAATGTACAGCACAACAGAAACTTAACACGTAAAGCCAAAATCACATATAGCTAAAATGCAATGGGTGCAATCGCAGCTGGAATTGCCAGTTTGGTTTTTTGGGATGTCCACCCAGTTTTTGCCTCCCTTCATTTTTCTTGCAAAAAAAATTAAAGCTGAAAGTTCACGAGTTAAATGCACATGATTTGCAGGTCTGCTGTATTGTCACAGGAAGTGGTGGGGACCACTAGCTTACATTTTTAAACGATAATAATAATTTATTATTTATACCCTGCCCATCTGGCTGGGTTTCCCCAGCCATCTAGGCAGGTTACAGCATATATAAAAACATAATAAAAAGATCAAACATTAAAAACCTCCCGATACAGGCTGCCTTCAGATGTCTTCTAAAAGTTGTGTACAGTTGTACCTTGGCTCCCGAACGCCTTGGGAGTCGAACATTCTGGCTCCTGAATGATTACAACTGGAAGTGAGTGTTCCGGTTTTTGAACGTTCTTTTGGAAGCCAAACGTCTGATGGGGCTTCTGTAGCTTCCGATTGGCTGCAGGAGCTTCCTACAACCAATCAGAAGACATACTTTGGTTTCTGAACGTTTCAGAAGTCAAACAGACTTCCGGAATGGAGTCCATTCGACTTCCGAGATACGACTAGTTCTTTATCTCCTTGACATCTGATGAGAGGGCGTTCTACAGGAAGGGTGCCACTGCTGAAAAGGCCCTCCGCCTGATTCCCTAGAACTTCACTAATTGCAGTGAGGGAACCAGCAGAAGACCCTTGGAGGAGGACCTCAGTGAATGATAGGGGTGGAGACGCTCCTTCAGATATACTGAACCGAGGCCAGAAACACACTGGGAGCCAATGAAGATCCTTTAGGACTGGTGTTATATGGTTCTAGTGGCCACTTCCAATCATCAGTCTAGCTGCCGCTTTCTGGATTAGTTGTAGTTTCCAAGTCACCTTCAAAGGTAGCCCCACATAGAGTGCATTGCAGTAGTCCAAGCGGGAGATAACCAGAGCATGCACCACTCTGGCGAGACAGTCCTCGGGCAGGTAGGGTCTCAGCCTGTGTACCAGATGGAGCTGGTATACAGCTGCCCTGGACAGAGAAACAGTATTAAGAAAAGTAGAAATACTCATGGAGGATACTTGGATCACTGAGTGCTTGCCGTACATAATAGTTGTATGGAATCTTGGAGGCAATGTACCAGTTGCTTTGAGAGGGGATATTGTTTTCATGCCCTGTTTTTAGACACAATCTGATTTTCCACTGTAAGAAATGATATGATGTTGATCTAAATGGAACTTTTGTCTGATCCAGCAGATCACACAAACTACGTTCCAGGGATGGCACCTAAAGAGAAAATTGCATATAGTCAAAACACAATTGGGTTCAAATTAGTCACATAATAGTGTGGCTGGTGTGTGGTGTTTAGCCATTATCAGAATATTGGGAGATACAAAATTAACACAGGTGAACATGAAAACCTACTGCATAGTGAATAAAAAGTGGATCATTGTATGATTTTCAGAGGGGATCCTCTCAAAACCATTGAAAGAAAGCTTACATTGATATTCCTGCACTGCAGAGGGTTGGACTAGATGACTCTCAGGGTCCCTTTCTACGATTCTGTGATTCTATGCTTGATCCATAGGCTGTAGAGTAAAAATTACAGATCTGGCCCTTGCCAGCACTGCTATGATTCAAACATTGACCCAAAGCACCAATTCCAATGGATCTGGTCTTCCATGATTTTTGCATCAAATCACAGAGCACATATCTGTTTGCAAAAGTAGGTTCAAAGTATGGTGCAAGTATTCATTTACATCCCCTAAAATTTGGTTGGAGTTTAAAGTCCCACTGGAATCCACTCCCAAGAGTTCACTAATGCTTTTGCACATATTAATAGTCATGCTTATATAGTATACTTTTGGAAAGGGAACAGTGTAGGGCAGCTCCCTATCTTATAGCACAAAGAATCCCTAGCATCATGCTGCTTGGACTTCCAGGCTGATTTATGGTGTCTCAGAGGAGTCTAGTGTGCTCTGGAACCTTTAACACACGGAGTTAACCTTTAACACATCTGAGCTGAAGACCTTCCTAATTCAGCATTGCAACTGAGCATGTTGCACATAGTGAGAGTCAGTACTTGGACTTGAGGTTCTCAAGTGATCATAAAGTTTACTCCTTTACTTGTGATTTATTTTCTCAACTTCTCTTTCTGCCTAGGCTCACGGCAAGGACTATTTTTGCCCATTTGGAATTTGATTTTCCCATTTGGGAGACTGTGCAGAAGTAAGATTCAAAGGTGTGGTTGCCCTGGCTTGCCATCATGTCAGGTAAGAATTGGTTTGGGTTTGGGTTTCTTGAGGCACTTTGACCTCAGAGATACCCAGTGGCTGCCCTGCTCCCCTTGTCTCACTTCCACCAGCTATGAGGTTGTGGTAGATGCTGAAACACAGCAGGTTAATTCTCTCAACTATTCACTGAAATTGGAGTTTTTCTTTGCAATATAGTGTCAGGTTCCTGGTCCAAATAAATGGTCTAAGTACAGTAGTTGGTTATTCTGTTGAAAAAGGATTGCAGAATATGAATTGGAGGCACAAACATGTTAAAAGTGTGGCATATTCATTTTCAAGATGTTTTTAAGTCTCATGAGGGGAAATACCCCCTACTTAGAACTGATAATAATGGGGACCAAATTAATTTTAGCAGCTGACTTAATGTCTTTTGCTACTATGATACAGGCATTAAAATTTTCCACTTTCCATGTAAAAGGCCAGTTGAAGCTGGCAGGTAACATAGAAATAGCACTCAAGTCTTTTTTTTGTTTTGTTTTGATGTGTTTATACAAAATATTGAAACTGAATCCTGACAATACGGAAGTGCTGTGGCTTAGTTCCTAGATCCAGCAAATAGGAAGGCAGCTTGTTTTGGTGTGTAGTCTTTGGGGTACTGATGGATTCTACGGTGATTTGTGACCTAAGGGGGTCTGGGTGATGTGGAGTGCCTTTTTCCAATTCAAGTGGGTTTGTTAGCTCCAGCCATTTTGGGCCAGGAATTGCCTGGTCACAGTCAACTATGCTCCTGTTTCTGCTGTCTTTATGAGGGGCTACCTTTGAAAATGGTTTGGAGGCTGCAGCTAGTGGAATATGTAGCATCTGATATTCTGATATTCTTTACCTTTCATGACCATGTCCTTAAATATCTGTACTCCATGCCTATTCATCATGGAGCCCAATTCAGTATATTCATTTTGATATGCAAAGCCTGAGAGGCTTAGAACCCATTTTCTATTCTGCCTGGGATTGGGGAGCCCCTCTGGGGGATACTTTTATGCAATGAGGACAGAGGATCCATGACCTACCAGATGTCCTTCTCAGTGATGGCATCCCAGTTAAGGAACACTCTCCCCTCTCCTCTCCTGCAAGATAAACCCTTTTTGCAGTTCAGCCTCCTTTTTCCCACACTCACTTGCTCCCCAGGTACCTTGAGTAGCATGGGGCAGTGAGGGGAGGGAATCACAGGGAGGGGACAGGTTTAACTTTCCTCCTTGCTCCCATTATCCTGTGTTATGTACCAGGAAAAAGAGGGCTGTGAGAGAAAAGAGAGTGAAGTCCCTCTGACCACAACCACCAGCATTTATCGTCCACTCGCTGCTGACAGATTACTTCCAAGAGAATCCAGGTCCCAATGGAAAATAAAACTTGCCTACTCCTGCTTTCATTGCCGTAGCCTTTCCAGGACTAGTTGTTGGCAGGTCATAAACTTAGGCAATATGCATATAACTCTTCCTCAGCTGGTCAACTCTTCCTTTACCTGTGATCCTGGTGATGATTAACCCCGTGCCACAATTAATTCTTTGACCAGTTAAAGAGTGGGGTGGGCAGGCTTTTTGCTGGTTTGTGGGTCTCAGGTCTGCATTTGAATGTGTGCTCTGATGTGCAGTGCGTTCTGGTGTGGATGTGTATATATGTGGTCTTTTTGGGCCACATTCACCGCTGACATGTGGCCCCAAGAAGGGCTGAGAAGGAGCAGTGCAGTCCTTGTTCTCAAAAGGGCTAGAGGTGGTGTGCCTCCACTGTGCAGCCTGGTTTAATGGCATAGGCAAGAGATGGCAGTGTTAAATTATGGAGAAGTTCTGACAGTTATTTTATTTTATTTATTAAATTTGTATACCACCATTCATCCAAAGATCACAGGGTAGCTCACGACATAAAAATACAAAATGAGGATACAAAATACAGAATTAAAAAATAAAACCAATAACACCCTCCCACAAAAGCATTTAAAAGGCCATAGAATATTAATCAACCAAAGGCCAGGTTATAGAGAAACATTTTCACTTGGTGCCTAAAGGTGCTTAATGAAGGTGCCGGACGAGCCTCTCTGAGGAGAGCATTCCATAAATGGGAATTATTAGGCTGAGATAAGGAAAGTAAGGTGTCAAAAGAAATAACTAGTTCCATAAATGTAGCCAATTAGGAAACGTAATATTTTACACCAAATATGTGTATACAGTACAGAACTGCATTATTTTATACCAATTGATTGGTCATGGCTACCCTCATGTTTTTTAATTTTTATTTTTTTCAAACTAGTTTGCTGAGGGTGGTGAAAATTTATTGTTATAGAGACCTGTTATCTCTGCAATGGTATGCTGGTTTTATTCTGCGTTATATTTTATTTTCATGTACTTTTACTTGTAAAACACCCATGAAACTTTTGTTACTGGGTGGCATATAAATACAATATTGAAAATAATTTTCTCATCAGTTTTCTGCTAATTCACCCCATGATATTTATTTTTTAGGTGTATGGCTTAGCAAAGGCAGATAGTGCACTTAATATCCAGAACATCATCTACAAGAGAGGGCCAATTCTATATTGGTGGTGTGATGAATATGCCATTGCATCAAATCTCTGTGATTCCAGCCCGGGATGTAACTTTTTCCAGAGTCTCTAAGAACAAGGTGAAAGAGAAAGAACAGGTATTGTGTAATACTTCTTTATTTTTCTTTTGTTTAGGAGATTTGAGGTCTCTACGCTTACCATTCTTACTGAATTTTGTATATGCTTATGTCAATAATCATTCTGTGTGAAAAATGACAACAGTATTTTTAAAAAGGGAGGTGGGTGAGAGTAAGATTTGTTTCTCATTACTTCTTTTTGAGAAACCCATGCTGGCTCTTAGTATTCATGAGTTTTGAATCTTTATCTGTGCCTCTGGGGATGTTAGAGTTTCATTACTATTTGTCACAGATGAGTTTAGCCACATCTTTGTGGATAGGTTTTTAATTCTTATTCATAATTAAGTAATTTAATATATTTTGTGGTCATGTGGTGTCATACTATGGCTGTATATTATTAGGTAGTATGTGGACTATATCGGTTGTTCACACCCTCAACAACGCCCATCAAGTTTTTTGGGGGGCTCCCTCACATATTTTATTGGGGGGCTCCTATTCTTCTGCATAAGCATGCATGGGCCTGGTTCTGTGAGAGCAATATCAGTAGTGAACTGATCAGCAGAAGTGTCTTGATCCTGCCACATCATGAACATTGGTAGCTGGAGAGGGAAAGTGGAATGATGACAGTTGTGTTACCTTAGGCTGCCAATACTCTGGGTTCTCGTTTACTCCGATGGGGAGAACAAATTGGAATTGGTGTCCACAATGCACTGAGCACTTGGGTTGTTGAAGGAAGGTATTTGTGCTGCCAAAGGAGGAAGTACCTCTGAAGTGAACAGCACAGACTTTGCAGTAGGCATGCCCAAGGACTGGGGCTGAGTTTGGGTCTTGCCATGTGTACATGAATTCCAACATTATGACAGATGCTGCTGTTTCTATCAGGGGGGCATTCTCAAACAGACTGGGATTATCTGTGTGTTTTGGGACACATCTTGGAAGAGCAAAGTGCTCTCTCCACCCCCCTTCTCTCATGGAGCATGCTGTGTGCCCTCTCTGAGTTCTGGGCTCCTAGATAGCCATTTTCCCTGGGGGTTGATATTCCTTCCTTGGGTCGTTTGTTGGGTGGGCTGTGTGGTGGCTGGCTCTGGAGGTTTGAAGTACAGTGGTACCTCAGGCTAAGTACTTAATTCGTTCCGGAGGTTCGTTCTTGACCTGAAACTGTTCTTAACCTGAAGTATCACTTTAGCTAATGGGGCCTCCTGCTGCTGCCGCGCCGCCAGAACACGATTTCTGTTCTCATCCTGAAGCAAAGTTCTTTACCCCAAGGTACTATTTCTGGGTCAGTGGAGTCTGTAACCTGAAGTGTATGTAACCTGAAGCGTATATAACCCGAGGTACCACTGTATCCCGAGAGCTGTCATTTATTTTGGGCACATGTCAGAGACTTGTTGCAGAGGTGGATTTAGGGGAGTGTGACTGGTTCAGTCGCTCTGGATGCGGAGAGCGAGAGGTTGGGTGCGTGCCGAATTTTGGCGTTGCACAGGGCGCTGCTGAAAGGGATGTTTTGCAGTTCAGGTTGTATTTGGTTATGTCTGCCTACATGATGATGATGATGATTTTATTTATTTATTTATTTATTTATTTATACATACATACATAGATACATAGATACATACATACATACCCCACCTATCTAGCTGGGTTTCCCCAGCCACTCTGGGCGGCTCCCAACCAAATATTAAAAAACATGATACAGCATTAAACATTAAAGACTTCCTCAAACATGGCTGCCTTCAGATGTCTTTTAAAAGTAAGATAGTTTAGATAATTTAGACTTTGGGGATTGTGGGTGGGAATGTCCTTGAGCTAATGATGCAAAAGATCAAAAGATACTCTGTACTGGAACAGCACCCCACTCTTGTGCACAGCACATTCCATTTTCACCTGCCCTGAGTGTGCAGTTTGGAAGGCAGTATGAATTTGAGACTGGGAGGGCTATAAGGTTGGAGAGGTTTTGACCTTGGAGTTTTTAGTCCAAGTTTTGGGAGAGCCATCTCCAAAATCACGGTACTGCTTCTGATATACCTTTCCACCAGTCAGTGGCCATTATTGAGCCATAAGGTTTTTCAGCTCACCTCCCAAATTAGATTCTTGCAGAGGGAGCATGCAATCATGTATTTTAGAGAAGTTTATAATAATAATTAAAAAAATCTGAAAAGAGCAAGGAAACCATTAAAAGTGCTAAATTGTACTCAGATGGAGAAGGTGCTGCATTTCACTAAACTAAAAACATTTGAGAAATGAAGAAGGTAGAGAAGGCAGACAAACTGCTTGTTATTTTACTGAAAAAGAAGCAAAATGATCTCGTTCCACCACCTCAAAAAAATGTAGCCAATAACTTAGGAAATAGCAGGGGGATTTCTTAATTTTAACAGCAGATTCTATGCTCTTTTATTGGCAGACAAGATTAGAAATTTTGTAGCAAAGGTAAGACGTTGCTCAATACTCAGAAGAAGAGGTTACAAGAACCTGTAGCAGCAGAAATATTAAAGTAGACTATTAAAAAAATTAAATATTAAGAACATAGGAAGAGCATGCTGAATCAGAGCAGTGGCCCATCTAGTCCAGCATCCTGTTCTCAGAGTGCCATTCAGATGCCTTGGGAAACCTACAAGCAGGACCCATTGTTCTGCCCGGACGCTGAGGTCCAGCGCCGAGGGCCTTCTGGCGGTTCCTTCATTGCGAGAAGCAAAGCTACAGGGAACCAGGCAGAGGGCCTTCTTGGTAGTGGCGCCCGCCCTGTGGAACGCCCTCCCATCAGATGTCAAAGAGATAAACAACAACTACCTGACTTTCAGAAGACATATGAAGGCAGCCCTGTTCAGGGAAGTTTTTAATGTGTGACATCTTAGTGTATTTTTGGTCTTTGTTGGGAGCTGCCCAGAGTGGCTGGGGAAACCCAGCCAGATGGGTGAGGTACAAATAATAAATTATTATTATTATTATTATTATTATTATTATTATTATTGTTATTATTATTATTATTATTATTATTAACACAAGAGCACCCCCACCCCACCCCCAATACAGTTTCCAGCAACTGGGAATCAGAAGCATGACCATGGAGGCAGAGCGTATCCATTGATAGCCCTCTTCTCCATGAATTTGTGCTGTCCTCTTTTAGAGCCATCCAAGTTGATGGCCATCACTGCTCCTGGGGGGAGGCAGTTCCATAGTTTAAGTGTGCACTGTATGAAGAAGGATTTTCTTACCTATTCTGAATATTCAAACATTCAGCTTCATGGGCTGTCCCTGAGTGCTAGTCTTGGGGGGGGGGGGACTTTCCCTTATCTACTTTCTCTATGCATCATTTTACAGTGGTACCTCGGATTACAGACTCCGCTTCAGGTTACAGACTCCGCTAACCCAGAAATATTACCTCTGGTTAAGAACTTTGCTTCAGGTTGAGAACAGAAATCATGCTCCGGCGGTGCGGCGGCAGCAGGAGGCCCCATTAGCTAAAGTGGAGCTTCAGGTTAAGAACAGTTTCAGGTTGAATGGACCTCCGGAACGAATTAAGTACTTAACCCAAGGTACCACTGTATACAGTTCTGTCATGTTGCTTCTTACTCTCCTTTTCTCTAAACTTAAGAAGCTCCAGATGTTGTAACCTTTCCTGATTGCTCCATCTCCTTGATAATTGTGGTTGCTCTTTTCCGCTCTACAATATCCTTTTGGAGGTGAGGCAAACAGAACCGTACAAACTATTCCAAATGTGGCTGCACCATAGCTTTGCATAAAATAATAATAATAATAATACTTTTATATTTATACCCCGCCCTTCCCGGTTCAAAAACCGGGCTCAGGGCAGCTAACAACAAATTTAAAACACTTTAAAACACTTAATTATAAAAGCAGCATAAAATACAGTATAAAAACATGAATAACAATAAAATTCAAAAATCAATTAGATAATCCCCAGAGCTAGCTGGCTGAATTGGTCCTACTTGGGCCAGCGAGGAGGCCAGGGGAGAATTAGCTGTGGGGTCTCAGAGTGGGCGATCTTCATAAAAGGGGAGGGAAGAGAAGGGAAATAAAAGACCAGGCTGAATTCAAATTAAAGGCCAGGTGAAATAGCTCTGTCTTACAAGCCCGACAGAAGGAGGTTAAATCCTGAAGGGCCCTAGTCTCATGGGACAGAGCATTCCACCAGGTCGGAGCCATCACTGAAAAGGCCCTGGGCCGGGTGGAGGATACTCTGACTTCCTGAGGACCCGGGACCTCTAAACTATGGTTATTCATGGACCTTAAGGTCCTCTGCGGGAGGATTGTGATATTGGCAGTTTTATTTTCAGTTTCATTCCTAGTGATCCCTAGCATGGAATTCACCTTTCTCAAAGCTTCTGTGCACTGGGTCAACATCTTCATTATGACCTCAAGATCTTGTCCCCGGTCAGTCACTGGCAAGAGAATTGGGGGGGGGTATTGCCCCAATGTACATCATTTTACACTTGTTGATGCTGAATTTTTTTTATACAGTGGTGCCTCGATTTACAAACCTAATCCGTTTCGGAAGTCTGTTCTTAAACCGAAACCATTTTTAAACTGAGACACGCTTTCCCTAATGAGGCCTCCCGCCACTGGTGCCCTTCCACCATTTGGCTTATGTTCGTAGACGAGGTAAAGTTCGCAAACCAGAACACTACTTCTGGTTTTGTGGAGTTTGTAAACCGAATCATTCGTAAACAGGACTGTTCTTAAACCGAGGTACCACTGTACTGCATTTCACTCAGTTTGGAGAGTTCCCTTTGGAGCTCTTCACAATCTTGTTTGTTTGTTTTAGCCACCCTAAAAAGATTAGTATTAGCAAACCTGGCCACCTCACTGCTCATCCCTAACTCTAGATATGGGCAAGTTAGAAAGCATGGGGCCTGGTACTAATTCTTGAGGGACTCCATGTTTCACATCCCTCCATTGGAAAACTGTCCATTTATTCAGCTCTCTGCTTTCTGTTGCTTAACCAATCCCTGATCCACAAGAGGTCCTCTTACTCCATGGCTGCAAAGCTTACTCAAGAGATTTTCACAAGGTACTTCGCTGAAAATCCAAGTCCATTATGTCAACTAGGTCACTACTAACTATATGCTTGTTTCCACTCTCAGAGACCTTTAATAGATTAGTGAGACAGCACTTGCCCTTGCAGAAGCCATGCTGGTTCTGCTTCAACAGGGTTTATTCTTCTATGGGCCAGACATTAAACCAACCGGCCTGTGATTTCCAGGATCCTCAGGATTCCTTAAAAAAAAAAAAATGTTACATTAGCTGCTTTTCTATCCTCGGTTATGAGGTTTGAACTTAGGGACAAGTTACAATTTTTTGTTAGAAGTTCAGCATTTTAGTATGTGAAATTGCAAAGGGAGAGGGCAGAATGGAAACATTGTAGGGTTGTTATTGTTGTTGTTGTTGTTGTTTTAAATCCTTTATTGGGATATTTGTTAAATGCTATAAGATTTCCCAGAGACTTGAAGTATATCAAACCTTATAGCTGTAGGTAAACAAGGGGAAACATCTTACACTTTCAGACCAATAGCTCTGCTCAGCCAATATCTTCAAATCTGGCTATTTGGCTAAGAGATTGAACTATGTAATTAGTAAATGGATCGCAGATTTTTAAATGGGTCTACTGACAAGACTTCTTTAATTTTGTTTTAACAATTTGTATACCACTTAATCACAGTCAACATTAAGCAGAGCTTTCATACAACAGTGCAGTAGTAAATATAATTCATGTTGTTAAAAAGCTAAAAAGGCAAGAGGACTGTTTTTGGATGCTGAACAAAATTGGTCATCAAAATAGAACATTTGCACTGGGTTTTAGAGAAGGTTGCCATAGGAAGCAAATGCATACAAGAAATTATAGGCTATTCTGGCTCCTTTAATTGTCTTATTTTGTTATGTCAAATCACTCATTCCATTCTCATTGTCAAAACTAGGAAGGGAAAGAGAAGAGGCTCCACCAGTAATCGGATGGCTGTTTATAAAGATGTAAACTCACCGCTACCTTTTTCCTCTCTCTACACCCATGTGTACTGCTCTGGATAATGTTCTCTCTGAGTGTAACAATTATCATGTATTGTAGTTAGAAAGAGAATCCTGTTGTGTGAAACACACTTACATGAAAACATACGTGTTATTTTTCTTGCAGGCTGGTGGGTTAACCTCTGTTTCTGCTCCTCGCATCTTCTGTCAAACATCTGTTACACCAACCAGTCAGGATATATGCAGGTAAAGTACTGGTTGTGTTGTTGCAGTAAAACATTACTTTCAGTTTTGCACATGATGGCTATTCACAAACATTCTCATGTTGTCAGAGATGAGATGCATGGATTACAGTGCAAAGCAAGAATCTCAGACACCTGACTCCTCCAATATGCAGCCATTTTTCTAGTGTTCTCAAAATGAAAATACAGAAAAGCAACAACAGAAGTGCCTTTCTAAGCAAAACACACACAGGAAGGTTAGCAGTCTTGGAGTATACTATTAAGGGCTGAAGTTGTTGTTAAGGCGGCACAATTAGTGTGTTACATTGCATGTCATGCCAATTTCCTATAAATCAGAAAAAAGACTGCCCACTTGTGGAATATAAAAGCATAATGAATGGAGTGTTCAGGCCAGAATTCAAGGTAAAAGCACGGAACAGCTTCTTCCCTTTTTCTCTTTAAATAGATTCCCTATTTATATTACATATATTTTTATTTACAATATTTGCCACACATCAGGCCTCCACGATGGCTAACATAATATACATAAATAAAGCAGTAACAAGATTTCTTTAAAAGCTTGTGGTGACTTAGGGCAAAACTCTAGGGCAAGAGATGCCAATGTGGTGCCCTTCTGATGTTGTTGGGCTACAGCTCCATCAGTACCAGTCAGCATGGACATGGGGAGGGATGATGGGAGTGGTAGTCCAATAGCTTCTGGTGGACATCAAGTTGGCTCTCCCTGCTCTGGGGACAGTGATGGAAAACGCCCGCTCCAAGCTTTAGGTGTTTCTGTTGCTGCTGTTGCAGCTGCTGGTCTTTGAAGGTTACTTGGTGACCCTACGGGACAATCCTTCTCTGAAGTGTGCTACCTTACAGCTCAGGGCAAGGTAGGATCAGATGTTTTTCGTCCCCGGGACTAGTGCATATGCTTTGCACTACTGTTACCTGCTGCTGTTGGTTTATGCTGTTGCTAGTTTTATTCTGATTTAGACTTCATGTTTGTATTTTACTTCTTTCTTACAGTTTAATTTTTTACTGTAAACTTCCCCAAGAACCTTGATAAATAAATTAAATAAAACCATTATCCTCAGCTGCTTTCCCTCCAGTGGGGGTTGTTTCTGATCTTGGAGCTTCACCAGGAGAACAGTTGTTAAGAGTACTTTTGGAGGGTTCGGCAGTCCCTTCCCACACATGCTGTGCTTTGAATGGCATGTTCACATCGCTTAAAGGAAATTGGCATGGCACACATGGCATCATATTGATTTGTCTGTTTAATGCTACTGTTTGCCACTTCTGTTCTGCTTGCTATTTGTCATTCCCACACTAGCTGAAATTGTCATTTCTTCACGTAATTGTATGCATTCTTTTTATAATTGTTTTTACTTTCTGTGCTTTTATTCCACTGTTCTGCATGCAGTTCCAGTGCAGTGTGTTCTGAATGTTGTCATCACAGTCCAGTGCAATCTGCTGTTGTCTTGAAAAATCCTGTCTCCCAGAATTCTCTGACTCAAGGGGCCACTGTGACAGTAATCTGTCAGGATATGGTGCAGGCTTCCAAGAAAAAGCTCCATGGGCATGATTGTGGCCATGTTCTCAAGTCTAAGAATGGAAAAGCTATCCAGTCTCTGAAATTCTCCAAGTCTCTCAGTGATATGGACCAGAAGGCTCAGAGTGCATTCAAGAGCTTTCACTACGCAGAACGAACCTGTTCAGAAGGCAAACTCTCACAAGCCCAGGAGCAGTGTTTAAAGCTTAACACATTTTATCACAAGGAGAAGAAAACATTCAACCTCAGGCCCTTTAATTTCAGTAGCTCCAAACTCTCTTATTTCCAGACTCTTTCCACCAATTACTCTAGCGCTTCTGGGGCTAGTGCAGTACACATTCCTCTCCTGGAGGAGAAGTGTGAAGGTGAAACATCCCGGAGCAAAAAGTTGCTGCACTACCTTTTCTCTTCTCGTAGCTCCAGCGCCAGCAGTCATGAATTGGATAACAACTCAAGCTGCCTGCAACCAAAGAAATCATCCAGTGTGGTGGTAGAGAGCACAGGTTTCTGTTCAGATGACATGGGAGATGACGATGTCTTTGAGGACAGTTCCTCTGTGAGGCTGAAAATTACAGAGCTACGAGCACCACTCTGTTCGGTTGAAAAGGATAGTGACCTAGATTGCCCTTCCCCCTTGTCAGAAATGTCCCCCCCGCTTTCCCCTGTGTCTGTATCTGGGGATGCCTGCAGGTCGGTTTACAAAGCACCGTCTTTTTCTTCTACCCCCTCCCAACTCTGTTGTAGTCTACTCTGTCCCTCGTGTTTCCACTCTTGCTTGCTTCAGCACATGCAATTTTAAGACCCTGCTGCTCTCCCAGCTTACTGATCTGTCCTTTTAGCATAACTTCCTCTTGAGTTAGTAAACTCTTTGAAAAACCAAATCAATTTGAGTGGCCAAGGTAAAACCCATAAATACCCAGGTGAAGCCATAAATAGCAAAAGAAAATGGGCTACTTGTGTGAAAGACGAAGGTGAACTTACAGACTGAAAGAACTTAGAAACGAGGTAGCTGCAGTCGTGCACCCACTTACCTAGGAGTGAGTTCCATTGAACTTAACTGGATTGAGTTAGGTATATACAAAATTGCTCCATAAATGGATCTTGGGATCCTAGCCACATCGTCAAAGACTTACTAAGGCTTATCTGAAATCTCCCCTCAAAATTCACTTGTTCCCATGTGGCATGGTAATCTAATCAGGTTGGTTGGGGTGAACAAGTTTAACTTGGAATGGGGGAAGAGACATTTAGGCATGTTTAGTGTGGCACCAGAAGTTCTTTTTAAAAACACCACTTGTGATGGCAACCAGAGCAGAGCTTCAGCCACCTTTCCAACCCCCAGGATGGGCTTCTGGAATAGCGCTCGCGTTGTTTGCTGAAACAAGGTGAACTGGAGGAGTTATTCCAGTCCTACAGTCAGCACAACGTTTGGTGTATTCCTTAGAGAAAGGTTGGGCTGCATGACCAGCTGTCTGAAGCCTATTTAAGAAAATAAGTTGGAGACAGGTAATTGCACTTCTGTTTCCTTTCTCCAAATAGCCTCAGGGTATTGAAGGAGAGAGAAAAAGGCTGGCACAAAAAGCGAATTCCTTCTTGACTGCATGTGTCACCATCAATCTGTCTCTGGAGGCGATAAAGAAATATTGGAGATCTGGGGAGAAGGGGAAGTGGATATGGTCACTTTGTACAAAGTTTCAACAAATCCAACCCTTCCTCCCTCCCTTCTTTATTCCTTCAAAGGCAACCAACAAATATCACTGAATCCTCCAGTATGTAACAATTTATATTTTAGGACAATCCGTTTTGTTTTCTTTATTCCAGTACTTCTGTACAGAGAGCCAGTCTACCTAATAGAAATGTTGTGGAGGGAGATCTTCTTGGATCCCCACTGGTAGAGAGATCATTCTGTTTTTTATACTTCCTATGACACTATGACACCAAACATAAATAGTAACTTTACTGTTCATGAATCTCTCCTGGCCTATGACCTGTCATTTGGCATGGTATCATGGCTACATTGAGGACTCATCCACACGTCTGTCTGTGCCATGATTTTTACTCATGGGTCCAATAAGCGCCTTTTTTTTTTTTGGTCCCGCCCTTCTCCCTGGCAAAACCTGCTGTTTCACTCCTGGTAAGCAAAAGTGACCCACATGCCAAGAAACTGGCATGGTGGCCTTGCCCCACCCAGCAAACCACTTTGGCTGTGCCATTGTAGAATTCAGTAGCACTTTCAATTAACCGATTCCCCAAAACTAGAGGACTTCATTTGCTCTGTCTGAATAAGCATGTTGTAGCTGGGCATACTGTCAATCTATTTCCTGAAACAATTTAAGTAAGAGTCTTGTAAGTGGGTGGAGTTGGGGGACGACAACATTGCATTTGTTGAGTGTAGTGCTCACATAAACATAGCACAACATACGTTACACACACTCACGCTTGCTCTGTAGCACGAGTGCTCTAACTGCTAGGTGGCCTGTTTAGGAGTCTGAAAGGAGGAGGAAGGAGTGGAGCTGTGGTGTCAGCGGCATCATGCTGCTCAAGGTGGATGAGGAGTTCTTGCCACTCATTTTGTCCCAAAAGGTTCTGTCTTCTGCCCAGGCTTTTTCACTCTTCCCTAAGGGATCAGTTGCTCACGCCCCCTTCTTTGACACACTTGATCACAGGTTGCCAGCACATGGTCAGAGAGGCCTTAGTCCCATAACATCAGTGATCAGATACAGGGGCGAATCTACTAGGAAATTAATGAAGCTTAATCTTCAATGCCCTTAATCCCAGAAGCACTGGGATTAAAAATCTTGCTTTAAAAAGTGCATCCTGCATGTATATAACATTTCCCTAATTTCCCCTAATTTTCATCCCCCCCCATCATAGAATAGTTGGAAGGGACCACAAGGATCATCTAGGCCAACCTCCTGCAATGCAGGAATATTTCATCACCTGTGGGACTCAAAGCCATGATACTGAGATTAAGAGCCTCATGCTCTACCAGCTGAGCTGATACTCAAAAACGATAAAGCATAGGAAAATTTTGTTCACACCAGTGACTTTGACATGTGAGTACAGCAATTGTAATCAAAATGTGAGATGTAACTAAAACAAAACTGGTGATCTGTCATGGAACAAAGCCACCGAAGAAGTTAGCAGTGGTTACCCAGACTTTGTTGCTGATTGCAAAGGGACCCCCCATATCAGTTCAAGCTTCAGGGCCCCCAAAATGTAGGTGCACCACTAATCTTGGTGTGTTATTTTGGACTGAGGTCACACATACAGGAGCCTGACTGAGTGCTGTTTCTTACAGTTGATAGATGAGGCCTTTCAGACTTGGGCATCTTCAGCCAGTTTTGTTGTGTTGGAATACCAAACATGATGAACTAACATTGCCTGTTGCTTCTTTCCTAGTAGTAGAGCGAATTTTTCTAAGCCAAGCAGCATTCATTCCTCGCTCATTTACAATTGATCCATATTACATTGAGGATATTAAAGAATAATATACTTTGAGAAGACTAAAGGTACAATGTTGTAGGAATATAATAGCAGTTTATAAAGAAAAGATGGTGTTTATACTTTAAAAGTTTGAGTGGAAAGCATTGGAGGCTTTGTGCAAGGGAAAGAACATACATGAAAACATACCCCATAAACACATACCTAACTTATTTAAAGGTGTATTATGTCCTGGTAAGTAGTGCAGTAAGTAAGATATTAATGTCCCTGTAGAAAGATGAAGTATTATAATTATTTTGCCCACCCTCTCTTTGTTACCAGTTCTTTTCTTGGCTTTATTTATCCCACCTCTTGAGCTTTAGAAAAGCTAGAAAGACAAAACTGTGTCTTGTGCTTACGTAGTGTTATGTGTATATAGCATATTTGTATTACTGTATCTGAACAGAAATTGTCCTTGCAGTCCTTTGGAGATCTGTACTGGCTAGCCATGCATGATCTTCAATGTATATAACCCCTTCCATATTGCTTCACATGTAATGTTAAGTCAAGACATGGTGTGGCATGATTGAGCAAATGTGCAAATTCCTGAAGCGAAGATTGTGACTTCATCTCTTGTCACTGCACCTCAGTTCCTCATACTTCCCTCCTGCAAAAGTTCATTCAGGCACCAGGGATTCTGCCCTGTATCTTACATTTTGAAGACTGATGCAAATAATTCATTCGGCTTCTGTGCAGTTCCCTTATGCTCCTTTAGCACACCTATGGATTCCTTATCATCCAAGGGTCTGATCACCTCCCTAGACATTCTCCTGCTAATGTATTTAAAGAACTTAATGTTGTTGGTGCTACGTTTTGTTTTTTGTTTAGCAGTGTTCTCAAATTCTTCTTTTTTTAGCATCCCCTGTCATTGCTGCCAACATGCACCATAAACACTGACTCCTCTCCAGGCTATCTGGGTGGTGAGCAACATCAGCTACCTTTGCGCCCAGCAGACAATTTACCCTGTGTCTATCACACACCCTCCTATCTATAAGTTCTTACTCCCACGATTCCTCCACCCCCTGGAGAAGTATCTTCAGAATAGAGGATAGCCGCTCCCACCCCCCGGAATGGTCCTTTCTAAGTGAATGCTTCCCTCTTCCTCGGAGCAGTGCTCTCCTCCCTGACAGTAGGGGAGCTATCATCCTCAGAGTGGGACACAGCTATAACATCCCTGAAGGCCTCATCCACCAGTCTCTTTGCCTCTTAGCTTTTCCAGTCTGGCAACAAGTGTTCCCAGAGAGCCTGGGGCTCATTGCACAGTCATAGATGTAACAGACAGTGGAAGACAATCTGGGCCAAGTTGAATGTTAAACTAGGCAAATCAAGGGCTTAGCCCCACGTAGTGCAACAGCAGCAGCGGACCTGGGAAGGAATGCAGTGCGTGCAATCTTTCCTGCAGGAGCCCACCTCTTTGCTCACTTGTGCTAAGCCATGTCTTGACAAAGTATTACGTGTGAATTGGGCCTGTGTTTTCTTGGTTTGGTTCACAGATCTTCCCCCTAACAACTTGCTTTGCTCCTGACATAGGATATGCCATTGTGAAGGAGATGATGAGAGCCCTCTAATCACTCCCTGTCACTGCACAGGGAGCCTTAATTTCGTGCATCAGGCTTGCCTGCAGCAGTGGATCAAGAGCTCAGACACCCGCTGCTGTGAACTCTGCAAATATGAATTTATCATGGAGACCAAATTGAAACCTTTAAGAAAAGTAGGTGCAATGAATGGCTTTGAATCGTGTAAATTGTAGATTTCCTCATTACCTCAAAGGGCCACTTCACACGCATTTAAGCAGCACACATTACAGGTATCTGAAGTAGTTTTCTTTGTTCAAATGAAAATAGCAGAGAGCTGTGAGGTATCTATGCCGGGGTCGGGAGGGGTCACAGCCAGAGAGTGTCCATGCGGCTTTGAAAGATGAGCTGCTCCCTGTGCAAAGAAATATGTTTGAGGTGCTGCTGCGACTGAATGTACACCCAAACACTGCATGCGATTGCATGTTGGTGAGAGGTGCCATTGTGTGCGAGGGGAGGGGGGAGAGGTGCTGTCAGAAGGAAGGAGGTAAACCTGAAGGGGTCTGAGAGTAGTTTCAGGGAAGGGTGCATGAGAAAGGTGCTCCTGTTGTGGGGATGGAGTGAGAGAGGGGCTGTCACTGCTTGTGCAAAAGGAACTGCTATTGCACGTGCAGCAGCACTGGTGGGCATGCCAGAGGTATGTGCTTGTGTATAAGCATGAGAGAGACTCTTTGACCTGTTGCACAGGCTGCATCCCTGTTGTCTGGGAGAGAGGGGTGTGTCTGTTGCTGTCTTGGCTTGAGGTCTCCCCTCAGGGCAATATAGAAAAAAACAGCCATGGGTTATAAACAGTGAACCATTGCACAGACTATTGAAGTAATTAAAAACAAGAATGATGCAACCCTTGTGGGATTGATGTAAATATGATATCGGCAATATCCTCTCAATACCTTAAAACTCTATTTAATATGGTTGGTATAATAGGTTAGAGTCACAGGAAATAGATCTTTTGTTGGGTTTTATTATTTTATCATTTTTTATTAAATTTATATACCACCTTTCATCCAAGGATCGCAGGGCAGTTTACAGTATGAAAACAAAAATATGTAACGTAATATCAAACAAAACAATAACCCCCACTGTAGTATAAAAGGCCATAGATGGTTTAATTAGCCAGAGGGCTGGGGGAAGAGGATAGTTTTTGCCTGGCGCGTAAAGATACGTAACGAAGGCGCCAGGCGAGCCCCCCTGGGGAGAGCATCCCACAAGTGGGGAGCCACCCTAGAAAAGGCCCATTCTCATGTTGCCACCCTCCGGATCTCTCGCAGAAGGTGCACACAAGGAAGGGCCTTAGATGATGACCTCAGTGTCTTTGTCAGTTCATATGGGGAGAGATGGTCCTTGAGATATTGCGCTCCTGAGCCATTTCATGCCACCAAATTCTGCACCAGCTGAAGTTTCTAAAGCATCTTCAGAGGCAGCCCTGCGTAACATGGTTAAGCACTAGCTGAGGTCCATTGCCCAGCAGAGGTGCCTTTGTAATCTCCTATTTCTTTTCCTTCTCTCCCTCTCTCAAACTGTGGCGGGAGGGAGAAGTGTGGGGAGGAGATGTCGGGAGTTGAGAGGGTGACAGGAAATAAAGGTGTCTGAAGGAATGGGGAAGAGAGGAGAGAAGGCCTTTCCTACCTATACCATGCCCCTTCCTAGACAGAAACTAATATGTGTCCATTCTTTAATGCAAGACACCAGAGAGAGGGCAGCTGCTGTTGGCCATATAGGGAAAACTCTGTGGTCACTCCAGTGCAAGAAAATGTGGCCATAAAATGTATCCGGTGGGAACAGCTTTTTGAACATTTAACTTGACCTAGTGGAGCAACTTCATAATATTTTCAACATAGCTGAGGTCGTTAAATTTATATAAGTGATGGAGAGAAAAATCTGGACTAATATGTTTATGGTATCAAATAATTCTGAGTTGGCCTGTCAAGGATGTGGATAGTAAGTAACGTGCCATGGCTAGAGGGTGTCCATAAGCTGCTCAGATCACCTGCTAAGCAGGGAACAGCACTTTTAAAGTGAAAAAAAAATAGTTTCTGTCTCCAGTAAATACAACTTGCCTCTTCTGCCGTGTTCTGGCATTCCTTTTATGATCTCACCACTTGTTCTGCTTTCTGGATTTCTTCCTAGTGGGAGAAGCTGCAGATGACAGCCAGTGAGCGAAGGAAGATCATGTGCTCTGTGACTTTCCATGTAATTGCTATCACTTGTGTGGTGTGGTCTCTCTATGTCCTCATCGACCGAACTGCTGAAGAGATTAAACAGGGGGAGTCCACTGGTATGTTACTTTGCTTTTTTCAACAGAAAACGGGCAGACAAAAAATACTTGCCTGTTTTGCTCAAAGGGAATGTTATAGCAACATAAAAGGCAACGGAACCTTTTTGTTTTTACGCTCTTTGCTAATCTGATTATACCTCTGTTTTATGTGCCATCATACAGAACATATCTGGAGGTAAAAAGTATTGCAGGGGAAATAAAAAGCTTATGCTTATGCTTTTTGCAAAAAAACAAAACATTTTGGACTAAGACCTGTGGTCAGTAGGTACAGCCAACCACCATTTCGTGTGGGAGTTCTGTTCCCGCCCCCCGTGCGCATCGGTGGAGCATGTATTAGTGTGCCCTGTTACGCCCTTTTAGTGACGTGTTGAGTGATGTTGCCAGGTCACTTCTGGGTTTGGCACGATGCCTGTGTGCAATCACGTCTTTTGGATGCGTGTTAATTAGTCGTTCCCTGTGTGGGGCAAGGAAGCCATGACAGCTTTGGAGAAGGAAGATAAGCAGTGCTCTTCTCCATTTCTGATCATGGCAATGTGCAAGCTGTGATAATGAGACAGAAATTGGGGAACTGGAGCCTTTCTCTTAGCACATTATTGCCATATTTTACTTGCTTAATCTTCCATTATGTCAGCTCTGTCTGTATTTCTGTGAGGAACACGGATGCTTGCCTGCTCTTCTTCATTGTGCTACTTCTTTGTCCATTTTCTTTGTCTTTCTTACATATAAAATCCAAAATCCCATTCTTGCGTCACATTCTTATTGTACGCCTCCATGTACTCCCTTCCTTCCTTGACTCTCACAGATTTTTGTCGGCCACTCGGCCTCCTTTTTGTTTATCTGCTGGTTCCTATACCTAAAATGGGGATAAGCCTCAAAATCATTTCTTCTGCAAAGACTTTTTCTAGGCCAGCATCAGTTCACCTTTTGAATCCCCTTACTTTGCACTTGCAAGCATTCACATTGGTTATTTTTCAGGGCTGTACGTATTCTACAAATGCTGCAAAAAGTATAGGACTTCAGATGAAAAATAGAAAGTCTCAAGTAGTGGGAGCCAGCATGGTGAGGTGATGAATCCCAGTTTGGAATTCCCACTCAGTGTGAAGGCCATTCTCATGGACACAGCACCCCCTCGGCCAACAGGGCTTTGTGGAGGAGTGGAGTCACTGCTCTATCCGCAGCCTGGCCACACATGGAGACCAGGGAGGAAAGTGGGCAAGGCAGGCAGGTGCCTGTGCCTCTAATGGAGCAATCAGGCAAGGCAGTAGCAGGGCCAACAGACCCTTGGAGAGCTTTCTGCTTCATGGAGCTTTCACCTGCCTGCATATTTGGTGGGTGGAAGGAGGAGCCCCATGCCAGGTGGGACGCTGCCATCATTTTACAGATGCCAGCTGACCGCAGACCCTTGGAGCTGGGCAGAGGAATGCCATCTCCCAATCCACACACCTCTAAGCCATCTAAGCCTGGTGCAAAGTTGTTAGGAGAAAAGATAGTACACAGGTCCTCTCAGCTGCTTAGACATAGTCTGGTAAAAATGTCATATGAAGAAGAGTTTGGATTTGATATCCCGCTTTATCACTACCCGAAGGAGTCTCAAAGCGGCTAACATTCTCCTTTCCCTTCCTCCCCCACAACAAACACTCTGTGAGGTGAGTGGGGCTGAGAGACTTCAGAGAAGTGTGACTAGCCCAAGGTCACCCAGCAGCTGCATGTGGAGGAGCGGGGAATCAAACCTGGTTCACGAATCTACCGCTGGTTCACGAATCTACCGCTCTTAACTACTACACCACACTGGCTCCAATATTAGAGATGCCTGCCTTCTGTACATTTTCCCATAGGAGAGCTGGAAATGCGAGTGGGGATTGAACTGGAGTTTGAATGCAGAGTATTCTGAAAATGTGTAAGAATTCCTATTTCAGATGTAATACCTGACCTTAACGGCAGTTTGTTGAGCTTCTAGTTTGTTGCTGGCTTATTTTGCTGAGCACTGATTTCTTCTCTGGAAAAGTAAGAAAGGTATTTTGAAATCTCCAGGCTTGCCCCTTACTCCCAGAGGAGCCAAAGGCAGCTTTCACCCCAGACCCCTCTGGAGGGATGTACTTCTATACTCCCAGAAAGGTCTTTGTTGGGCTCCTAAAAACCCACTACATAGTGCTTACAAGACTTTCTGTTGCTGGTTTTCTTTTTTCTCTTTCCTCTGTCCTCTTCCTCACCTCTACCTGTCACTTCTGAAAGGGCCTGCTGACTCCCCCTCTTGCCCCGTTACTGGCCTTTGAACTTTGTGGCTGGTCCGGGCCACCAAAGGAGGGAAAGGGCCATGGCATTCCTGCTATTTGGCTCTGTGAGCAGCTGCTTTGCCCCACTCCCATCCTGCCAACCCACACACCTCTTGGAATGGAGCTGTGGAGCCACTATTCAGTGTAAGTGCACACTGTTAATGGATCTGCTTGTGGTTGTTCACACCTAGATGTGAACCTGTATCTTACATGTGTGCTCACCAACGTACAACTTGGGGTATCTTTAATTGGGAGGTGATTTTGTAGTTACAGTATTGTATCATGTTACTACCCATTTTAAAATGCCAGTATTGTTCTGCTTACTGGCCAGAATTAGAAAAGAACCAACAAAAGTCAATATAAATGAATATAGAATATAGAATCTACACTAATGGCAGACAGTGAGTATAATGGCTTTAGGGCTTGAAGACCTAATAGATAAAAAAGATGTTTGATTGTACAAATAGACAAGCTACCCAAACTCTTATTGCCCAGACCATTAGTTTAAACAGTTCCTGTAACAGAGATGGCAATAGATGGAGGCAGATTTTGTCTTTTATGAGTTACTGTGGAAGCCAGAATGCACCATGGCAGGATTGGGGGAAATGCTTGGCACATGACTCTGCTTGGGATAGCACAAGGGTTGAAAGGACAAGAGATGATGAGATTAGGAAGGGAGGAATAAGAGAGAAGCAAGATGTTAATAATTACCTATCACGGGAAGGACAAAGAGAAATGGTTTCCTGAACTTCACCATCTCCCGTCCGTTGCAACATAGCATAAGCAGCTCACCACAGCTGCATGAATCATCAGGGCTTTGTGGCCATTTGACAAAGTTCAGGCTCAAAGAAAAACGTCTGATGCTACAAGCAGTTTCTCCTCTACTGCAGGCATCGTCAGTGTAGTGCCCTCCAGATGTTGCTGGACTCCATCTTCCCTGACCACCGGCCATGCTGGACGGAACTGATGGGAGTTTGAGTCCAGCAACAGCTGGAGAGCACAACGTTGGCTATAAAAGCCACTAAGACACAGTTCCATAGGACCGGGGGCACTTAGGAGTTTGTTCAGTCCCCCCCCCCCCAAATTCTGAATCTGAAGTGTTTCATACAAATTCCTAAAGAAGCAACACATCAGGGTGGATATTTTAAGATTAATTGATGTCATCCATAGAATCTCAGATTTGGTGCCAGTTCAGAACCTGGAGCACCCGAGAATTCAACTGGACATTTCATCTTACTTCATGCATTTGTCAGAAGAGAGAATGGGGAAATTATAGCTTCAATCAGTGTGGTGTTGACATTTTGTCTACACGTGGTCCTTGCAGAGCATCCTATTGCCTTACTGACTGCAGATCATAAACACAGCCAACATTTCAGCATTTCAGTACTAGTGTCCAGCACACTAAAGGAATCAGTGATGTGATGACTGGATCAGAGGCTCTCTGAAGGGTTCAGCCTTGCAAGACACTGACAGATTGTAATTACTCCAGATGTGGAGGCCCGTATGTTAGGCCAAGCGGCAAAGGGTGTATGGAACAGTCAGGAAGTGAGCAAAAGTATAAACTGACTGAGCAATCAAGCTGGTGCTGAGATCCTGTCTAAGCCATAACAAGGGTCATCATGTGCACACATACATGTATACCATACTTCAGTGAAGGTATTTGTCGATGATGTCCAGTCGTATTCCCTCCACCAAAAAGCCAGCAAAACCTTCAACTGGACAGAAAGGCATTTGGCCCTGTGACAGCAGGTACATCTCATGGTAGATTGGCTGAGCGTCTGGACTAGTCCTTCACCCACAGATTATGCAGTGCTTCAGAAAACCAGTGAGGCATCTGTTTTCAGTGAAAGCAAACTGACAGATACGGAGATTCATGTCAAGGGACCAGCATCCCAAAGAAGAGGACGTAAACATCCTGGAAGAACAATGGCCAATGGGACTTGTGTATGCTTTTTCAGGGTGTTGAAGTAACTCAAACGAGCAGCAGAGATCATTCTGATTATGCATTCGTAGTCAAGGAGCCTATGGTTCCTAGATCTGGTAGAAATTGTTGGAGGAAAACAAATCCATTTCCTTCTCTTAAATTTGTAGTCAGTGCATGTTTTACTTTAAACCAGCAGAGGCCACTGTATTCTACAGCAATCTAGTCAGCACTTGCATGTCCTCTTTGTTTTGTTTAAGTTTACTCCACCCCTAACAGCTGAGCCAGTTTGTTCTTCTCTCCAGCGAAGATGCTTGCAGCTTTCTCGCATTTCCACTCATCCTGCATGAATAAAGCCTTTGAACTTTAATTCACACAAGCTGCAAGAGAAATAACAGTCAAGACACATTGGAATCTACTGGAAAGGGTGGATTTGCTTTCTCAAGGACCAGTCCTCTTTCTTCAACTCTAAATATGCCTTGACTGCGTAGAGGCTGAAAATATCTGACTGCAGTAACTTGGATAATCGCACAGTTTTTGAAGCCCTCTTTGCTTTGAGGAAAAAAAATCGATGGGAACACCTGGAAGGCCTTTGTATAGTGGTACACTTTGAAAAACAAAGCTTAAGGCCTTGAGAAGTCTTAAGAGATTTTATTTTTTTAAATTTTTTTTTTAGTGATATTTATTGAAAAAAGAATTTTTTTAAAAAAATTACACAAAAGAAAAAACAAGACAGAAGAAGAAGAAAAAAAAAACAAAAACCACCATTCTCCAATTCTCCACTTTCAATACCTTCTTTCCTTGACTTCCTCCTCCTCCCTTTTCCTGTATCCTGTTTTATAATAATCACAGCAAATCCTTTCCATACCCCCTAAATGGCACATGCCTCCCTGATATTCCAGGGGATTTCACTCACCTGAGTGTTAAATCAAACAGCGTCCTCGATTACCTGCTGGTCTCCAGTGATCTACTTAAGTGTATTTCCTCCTTTAAGATCGAGAATGTACAATCTAGTGATCATCTTCCCCTTGTAGCCAAGCTTTCCCTGAATTGGCAGTTGGAGACCTATAGACATGCGACCCAGATGGTAACCAACGTATCTCTTCAAGTAAGAGGAATCAAATGGTCGGAGACCCAGGCTCAAAGGTATCAGGAATTCTTTCAAAAAGAAATCCTCGGGCCCCATCCCTACATAGGCTCTGCCTCAGATGAGCATAGCATAGTGTTGAAACGCTTCCACCATCATACGACGGACCTTACGTCCTTCTTCAGGTTACCACCCAAAATATTAAATCGAAGCGAGTATACTTACGGTGCCCCCTGGTATAACTCTCAGTGCAAACAAGCAAGACAGCGCCTTCGTGCTATATATAATGTATATAAGACCTCCGATGCATCTACTCTGCCAGCTAGTTATGCACAAGCCAAGCAAGTTTATAAACGCACGCAGAAAATTGCCAAACGTGAGTGGCAACATAATCGCTGGCAGGCCTTGATTACTGCTTCAAAATCACATAGATCCAGGGAATTCTGGTCTCTGATTAACAGAAGGGTGAGGAAATACCCAAGGGCAGTCATCCCTGCACCGACATGGGAATTGTTCCTGAAGAAATGTTTCTCACAGGCAGATGCTCCCTCCGACCATCTGATGCATCTGTTCTCCCACCTACCTATTTGGCCTCCCACCGATCCTGACGAAATAGCCAAGCTAATAGCCCAGCTGAAATTGGGCAAAGCCCCAGGGCCCGACCTGATCCCTGCTGAAGCCATCAAACTACACCCAAAATGGTGGGCTGGCATCTTGGCCAAAACCTTCGACGCAATCAACGCTTCTGGTATCATCCCCAAAATATGGAAGGAGGCCATTATAGTACCAATTCATAAAAAGGTTCTCCAATGGAGCCGGAAAATTACCGTAACATCAGCCTCCTTTCGATCATAGGGAAAATTTATGCCAGCTTTTTGCTGACGAAACTATCGCGATGGGTAGATGAGACTAACCAGATTGGCCACGAACAAGCAGGGTTCAGAATTAAACGCTCTACAACTGATCATGCGATAGTTCTTTACCATCTGGCACGGAAGTACTCCTCCCCTCCCGGGGCTATCTGTGTGCTGCCTTCTTAGATCTTAAGGCAGCCTTCGACAGCGTTCCTAGAAATATTCTTTGGGAGAAACTTGCGAAACAGGGCATCGATAGAAGGCTCTTATGGCTTATAAGTCAGCTCCACGAAGGTACCCTTGCCAGAGTGAGACTTACTCCTGCGGGCGACCTCACAAATTCGATACCAATAAACAAGGGAGTGCGCCAAGGATGTATATTGGCCCCCTGCCTATTCAATCTATTCATCAGCGACATGCGAGCACCCCTAGTCAACTCATCTCCAAGTACACATGCGCCTAGACTAGCGGATTACCGCTGTCCACTCCTTTTATATGCGGACGACGCGGTAATTCTATCTTATACACGTGTTGGACTAACCAGAGCTCTGAAGATCTTTGCCACGTATTGTCAACTCAACCAATTAACCATCAATCATGCTAAATCTAAGATTCTGATTTTCGCCAGAAGTCGGAGATTATACGAATGGAAGCTTGGTGGAGCAAAAATAGAGCAAGTCCTAAAATTTCAATACCTAGGAGTTATTTTTCAATACAATTTGGGGTGGAAAGCACATATTCAACACCTACTTAATAAGGCCAAAACTCTGTCATATGCGCTCCTCCGATTTTTCTTTTCGGATGGAGCTTTGCATGTTCCCTCGGCCCTAAAGGTGTTCAAGGCAAAAGTGGTTCCCGTGCTTGCTTATGCTGCCCCGCTCTGGGTCGTGATGACAGACCTTGCTCCTCTTGAGACTTTGCAAAACCAATTCCTACGTCGGCTCCTAATGCTCCCCTGTGCGTAAGCAACGCAGCCATGCGTTTAGAATTGAGGATCGCATCCTTAGAAACCTGCCTGTGGAAGCAAGTCTTCAATTATTGGTTATCATTGTGGCATAGATTACCAGACCATTACCTTGCCCAATGCTTATGGCGAGATGAATTCCCCAGCCTTTGGACCAGTAGAATTCATGCCAAACTCCTGAGCTATGGAATCTCTCCCTTAGATTCCCTAAAACTAGATCAAATCACTGCTCAAAGACTGATCCGCCAAAGACTGGATGACATCGATTTACAGCAAAATTATATGCTGGGGGGAGGTGTTTGTTCGCCCCAGAACATTGGTATCACTTTAACTTATTGCGTTCCATCATACCTCTCCTCCCTTTCGACTGTTGCCCATAGGCTGGCCTTCACCAAAGCGAGGTTTAATGTTTTCCCTCCAATGTCCTGAGACATAGATTCTCAAAGGGCCAAACCTCCGCCATGTGCGAATGTGATAAGGAGATGCCGGAGTCGCTTCAGCACATTATGTTCACTTGCCCCTTATTTAAGGTGCCACGGGCAAACTTGTTGGGATCAATCATACAGAAATTAGAGGGTACTCCACCAAAATTCCACCTTGCCCAAATCTTGCAGGATAAGGATGCCCATACGACCCTGAAAGTGGCTAGGTTCCTGGTCGCTGTCCTTACCCAAAAGCGTCGCCAAGGAGCACCACAAGCTAATTAAGGCGTAGTATGCCATTCCATCTTATAGTAGCTTATTGTTATAGTATTGTTTTAGCGGCTGTTTTTTTCCCATGTGCACAGGCTGTTATTTATGTCTTGTTTTTATCTGTATGGGCCTACGGCCGTAATAAATTATTATTATTATTATTATCCTTTCCATAATTCATAGTATTCTGTCATCACATTACCTTGATCTATTTTCATCTTATCTTATAGAAAACCTTAAAGTTTAAAACTTAAATCTTAATTTTTACCAACTTCTCCTAAACCATAACATTCTTACCTAGTTCTTTAGACATTTTTATAAGAGCCAAATAGTTTCATTTCAACATTTTCCTAACATTCATCAATTTTATAAGACAGTCCTAATGATAAAAATAAAAGAAAAAAGCAATCCAGTCTTCATCCAACGTCCCTTCCTCCTGGTCCTGGGTTTTGTCAGTCCTTTTTATCGTATTAATCTAGCACATTAACCTGGCAATCTTATATCCGAGGCCCTCAAGTCTCTTCCATGTCCCTTCCGTAACTCTTCTTTATATTTCCCTTTTATTCGTGGGAACTCCAGCTTGGTAGTGTTTATGACCTTTTTCAGCAAGACGATCCCTTTTCCATAGTCCAGGATAGGCTCGATGTAGTATTTACAAGCATGCTCCAGATTCCCTTCAAAATTGAGAGCCCCCACAGCTCCAAACATCTGACGGCCCCTTTCCAGACTTGAAGAGTCCAAATCTCCCTGTAAAGGGGGGTCTATCCAAGTTAATCTTAAGAGATTTTAGAGGATTAGTCTGGTCTAGCTGGATGGTAGCATCTCCAATCAGAGGAGTCAAAAGTGGAAGATGATCCTGCCTCTTGTTGGCATGAGAGGCATATGAAAAGCATTAGGAACACCTTCCTTACTCTCCCAATAGCAGGATATTTATGGTAATGAAAATTCCTGCTGCCACTGCCTCTTTTGTTTGTACTCACCTGATACCCCACAAGCCTTTGTAGCAGTCCAAGTCTGGTGCAACCTTACCACATCACCAGTTCAATTACCATTGGCTGGCAGCAGAAACACAACAGAAGATGCAACCACTGCTGCCAAACACACTTCCAAAACTTCCCTCAGTTCTAGTGCACTCCACTCCACAGAGGCCTGCTGCCATTTCCCAGAATACTTTCCTCCCAGTTCTCTGGAACAAAATAATATTTTGCTACAAGATACCTGTCCGCGTCTCCATAAAGTTTTAAGAAAATGGTCTAGAAGCCCCAAAAGGTGCCTGGCCTGTGGTGAACGGATTTGTGAAACTTCTCTGCTGGAAACCCAGATACCTAGCATATGAGGGAAATCTCTGTACAGTGACTGTACCAGTCACTAGTTCCCAGCCTGCAAGCACAACTTCTTCATCTTCTTTTGCTCCCTGCCCAGAGAGGTTGAGATGATTCTGCAGAAGAATGTCCTCCTTCATCTCACAGATGATGTGGAAGATGCAACAGGCCATGGTCACGTCAGCAGCTAAATCTTCCTTGATGTCCGCTAAATACACTCTTCACAAGCAGGCTGGCCCAACTTGTAGTTCTTTTTTACGGCTATCCTTGGAGTCGAGTCTGGCAAAAGGATGAGTTGCTTCTGGTTTGCAATAATGAGTTGTTACCAAGAGGCTCAGTTCAGCTGGCCCTCTGACCACCAGCTTGGATGGCTTTATAAAAGGATTAGACAAATGCATGGAGGAAAAGGCTATCAATGATTGTTAGTCATGGTGACAGTGTAATGCCTTGAATCTGAACTGCAGCTAATCTTAACTATGGTCATTTGCAACAAACTGATTACAAACTATAACTTATGAGATTAGCGTGATTCAAGTAATCATGATTAACATAAAGTTTGAAATACATGTTAAATGCTAAACTACCATATCTGATTCCTTCAACTTTGCTCAGCAGCAGATAGTGCAACAAATGTGGTCTCATTGCATGTGCAAAGAGGACGTGGATCTTGGCACAATCTGTCTTCATTAAGAGACTACTTCTTGTTACCTGTATTTTTCATGGGTCTTTTTATTTATTTTTAAAATTCTATTAGTATTTAATTACTTTTTAATTATTATCTTTTCTATTTTTTGTATTTGTGTACTTGTGTACTTTATTTTGCATTTTTGCATTTTACAATGTATTAACAACAAATAATAAATCTAAACAAATTCATCCTACATTTTCTTCAACTTCCCTCCCCCCTCTCTGCAGTTTCTTATTTTATATCATTTTCTTACTGCATAACCAATTCAAACCTATTTACAAATTTATTCTTTATGTTCCCTTTTAAATATTTCTTGCTGCACTTGTTTATGTCAATCCTGCTAACATTTTTAATTGTTTAAAGTTTGTCTTCATATATTCAGCATACTTTCCCCATTCTGTTAAAAAAAATGTCTCTCATCCTGATCTATAATTCTTCCGGTAAATTTTGCCATCTCTGCGTATCCCATCAGTTTTAGTTGCCAATTGTCTTTCATTGGAACTGCTTCTTTCCATCTTTGGGTATATACCATTCGGGCAACTGTAGTAGCATACATAAATATATATATTTTTTCTATTCTTTGGGTGCCTCTCTACCAATGACACCTAAAAGGAAAGCTTCTGGTTTTTTAACAAAAGTTGTTTTCAACATTTCTTTCCAACTCTTTATAAATCATTTCCCAGAAGACTTTTGCTATGTTACATGACCACCACATTTGAAAAAAGTGCCTTCCTTCTCTTGACACTTCCAGCAGGTATTTGATTCCGTCTTATACAATTTAACTGGCTTACTAGGGCTGCCCTGGGCCCCTTTGGGAGAAGGGTGGGATATATGTTTTGTTGCTCTTTAGAAATAGCAGAAGCTGAGTGAATTTATGCCAAATGTACAATTTTGCTTCATCAGTTTTAATGCAATTTCTCTTACGTGTTTGCACAATGTTTTTAGATCTTACAATACATCTGTTCCCATAGTCTAGAGAATCTTGAATTTAAACATTTTGGTGGGTTATATCTTTTGTTAACAGAGACTCACTATGCCAGCACTTTAAACTTCATCTTTTTTTCTTTCCTTTAGGTATTCTAGAGTGGCCATTTTGGACTAAACTAGTAGTGGTAGCTATTGGTTTCACTGGAGGAATTTTGTTCATGTATGTTCAGTGCAAAGTCTACATACAGCTTTGGAAAAGACTTAAGGCTTACAACCGTGTTATATATGTTCAGAACTGTCCAGAAACAAGCAAAAAGAACATATTTGAAAAACCCGTGCTTATTGAACCAAATCTTGAAAATACAGATATGCTTGCGAGTCATCATGCAGAAATGAGCAGTTTACATTATACAGAGCCTGAAGACTCCAGGGCAAACATTCTTCATATCTAGCATATTTCCCTCCATGAAGATCTGCACCAGCATTGTTTACCCTGCTCAGCAGCTCAAAATCAGCAAAGGTTGAGCTGGTGCAGCTTTTTTTCTTTTGCACTTAATAAACACATTACCAGGGTTGCAAATCTCAAGCTGACCTGAAAGAAATACAGGATTGATTGCAAGATTTGTAAATGAGGTGAAATGTCCTTGTCTTCTGTAAAGAATTGTCAGTTTTTGGAGCCTACTTCCCCCGTCCCCCCAAAAAACCCATCCTCCGCTATTCCAGGGCCATGTAAGAACTGATGAACCAACCATTACTGCGCGAAACAACCAAAAGCGACCTCTAGGAGCTAAAGCATGCCATCTTTATCCATAAATGTTATGTCTAAATGCTTCCCAGCTACGTAAAAAGAAAAACTTCCTTGCAAGGGATGGACAGACCCATTACAGACTACTCGGGGATGCAGCTAAGTCCACCCCATCCTTTAAAAAATCTGTTCGAAAAATAAAAGTACTTAAAAAGCTGTCTGAGGGCTCCAGCCTCAAATCTGTTCCCCCAAAAAGCCCTTTTGCGAAACTCCAGAAGTCTTCCAGCCACTCGCAGCGTAGAGCACCTAGTGTGGGGGCTTCATACTGTAGTGTGTTTTGAGTAGAATAGATAGCAGCAGGACTTGGTGGCTTTCTGTTGCTCTGAGAGGAAGGGGGGAAAGTTTGGCTGTCCCATGCGGCAGACCCCCTCCCCCTGCCCAGTACAGTCCCCTCATGGTGCTGGAGCGTCAACAGGTTCCATCTCTTAGAAGGAGACTTGCTCTGTTGGGTGCACACAATGTCAAAAACCCATCACAGGAGCTGTTCTAAGCTGTGAGCATCTGGAAGACTTCTGGAGCTCTTATTTTGGAGAAGCAAACTTCTAAAAGGAAAAACTGCTAGAGGCAGCACTGGAGTCCGCAGACCACCCTATTACTATGAGACCTGGGGGGCTGCACATTCCAAAATGAAAAAAAAAATCTGGGTCATGGGCCTCCCTGATCGAATCCACTTAGGAACCAGTTCTGGTCCACTTAGGTACCAGTTCTAAAGGTTTCTCCTCTATCCCTACTTCCTGCAAACACAAAACAAGCATATCAGGAAGGCGGCTCACCACCACCACTTGTAAGCCTGCAAGTCCTAATGTAGTTCTAATGTTACCTCAAGCAATCTGCTTAAGTTCCAGCTGTGAGATGTTGCTGAATATTATAACAGGAAAAAAGAGGTTGCAAAGCATAGAGCACTTTAAGGGAGCAATCCTACCTATCGAGGGGGAGAGATCTGTGGCAACCAGAGCAGGAAGTGGTGTGGTTCACCCCTCCCTTTGTTTTTCATTTTGTTCCCTCCCATTGCAGCCAGTGGGACAGAATTAACTGCACCAGCACTTAAGGACCTTTTTGGAGAAGTGCCAGGGGAACAAGTAGCCATATTATCCTGCAGACCCACAAACTCCCTGGTCACACATCCAGCAACTGCTGTTCCTTGCTCAGTCATAATCAGAGCAGTGACAACAACATAGATTTTCACCATCACACTTGCAAAACTTACAGCAGACTGTCTCTGGTAGCAGAGGTCCACAGCATCTTACGACCCCTTTGCCACCCTTTCAGGGAGCATAGGATTGCTCCCTTAATTGTTTTTATTTTATTTTTGAAAAATTAAATAATTTCTTTTCGGTTTGTTCCTTTGACTTAATCAAGACTCAGTTGCAACATAGAGCTAACCACTTGCCTTAAAACAACGAAAAGGAGACATGGTTTATATTAAGAATCTACAAACATTCTTAAGCCTAACACTACAAGTTCTCTGGGCATTTTTGCAGGAGTACATTTTTTTCTGGGAATATTGCACATTTGAGTTTTGTAACAAGGAAAAATTGATATAACCATAGATTAAATGTAGACTCATTTCAGTGTTTTGAATTGCTTGTCTGAAGAGTGAAGACTCAGTCGATAGGCTAATTTCTTATACAGAGAATTGCAAAGAGAATTTTGTTGCTGCATTTTGAAGGCCTTGGGATGCTGCTTGTATGTATGTTTTCTGTTATTTCCACCTGGGAATTTCAAGTAGAACATTTAACAAGAATTCATAAAGTGAACTGTGTGATGTTGGTTGTTTTGATCAGCTGATCACACTTCCTAAAGGGGATTAGGATCCTTTAAAATAACTTGAAAAATACATTGGTCCATGTGGCCACATACAACTCTGTTTTCCATTTTGACTGTTTCAACATTTTCTATAAACTTCTGATTTATTTCCAAAGAACTTTTGCAAATCAAAGTTCTCTAACAAAGGTGTTTAGACCAACATCATTAGTTAATGTAATAAACAAAACCAGTGACTGTGAACTTATTTGTATCAAACTTAAATGTACTTTACTGTTTACTATGAAGACCATGACATGTGTATGATTTAGTATTTAACATCATATTGCTTTGTAAATTTATGAAATCTTAATTGTAGTGCAGTCCAAAGATGGGGAGGGAGGGGAATATAAAAGTGGTTATATTACTCAAGAGCGTGGCTGGATATCTCTAGTTTGGGTGTGTGTCAGGGGGGCAGTGGGCCTTCAAATGCTCTCCATTTTGGTTGGCCCTGCTGATGTTGGATCTCCGACGATGGCTTGGCCCAGGGCATTGGAGGAGCCAGAAGTTGGGAGGTTGCTTCTGACATCAGATCTCTTGTCTCCAGCATAGGAGGAGTTGATCTGATTTGTCCTAGGGGCCCTTAGGATTGCATGCTAAGTGCCTTAATTTTTACTCGAACAATAATTCCAAACATATCACATGTTTTAAGAGTTTCAGCCTACTGAATTTTAAGGTATATCTTTTTTCTAGTTGAGAAAATAGGAAAAGAACATTGTAGCGAACAAATTTTACCTGCTCTTAAAAACAGGGCAAATGTTTAGTTTTACAGGGGGGCTTCTGTGGGGCAGAAAAGCAAGTTGTCTGACCGCCAGCAGCTAAAAGGCCTTTCCTTTCCTAGCACCACAGCTTCAATAATCTTTGCAGTGCCCATCATGTTTCTGCTGCAAGATCTCCCATGATGGAGGTGTACCTGTCTGAATTTCAGTGTGAGTTCTGACAAAATGTGTTTAAAGAAAAAAGACTTGAGAGACTGTGTTCATGAAAAGCGGTGCACTTTAAAATAGCAAGCATTATTTTCAAAGATTATTAAAGAGCCCTTTCTATAAAGAGCCTTTTCCAAAATGACATTTCTGAGCTGTCGCAGTGGAGAAGAAAAGAAGCCGTGCTAGAACAGTAAGACACTTTTCATGATGCAAAGGCCAGGGAGTTCTGGTGGAAGGAACCTAATTTACTGTACAGATTGCTCTAAACATAATACTTTAAGATTGCAGTTTGATGTCCCTTCCTTTGACAACGCTCCCTCCCCCTCCCAAGTATTTGGCCTAGCTAAATCATGAACTTCTTGAAATGTTAGTAAGCCTCCAAAATATTCAATCTCATATTCATTTATGTCATAAGTTTAAGATATTAGCATCACTCCCTTTGTTATTTATTCAGCTGGGTTTCCTTCAAATTCCTTATCTGCACTGTATCTTATATTTTCCTGCATTGAAGAATGTACTATAAGTGCATTTGGACAAAAGGTTTTGGCACTGACAAAGACTGCCTAGCTAAAAACAAAGTGGAAGAATTTTAAAGAAAAATCATGAGCCTGAATAAATTCTATTGCATCTTTTCATACTTTTAACATACTGTGAGAGGCAGGCAAGCAATAATGATACAGATTACCAAACAAGCTTATTACACAACAAGAGTCTTACACGGTTTGGGAATACAAAAGATGACACAATGTGAGTTATAAAGATATGCAATTTTACAGTTTTCTATCATTTAAAAAATTGAATTAACTACTAATGGATTGTTTTACAAGTCTTGTTTTAATTTTCCCCCAGAATACAGAGGGGATGTTCAAAAGGTGCAGAACGGAATGAGTAATTCTATCTGCATAGGAGAGTCATTTGCTCTGCCCAAATGCCAAGCTCAGGGCTGGCAAGGGGTTTGGTGCAGAAGCTTCCCAGGGCCTCACAGCACTGGGGCCTGGCAGGTTTGATTTGGCTATGGGGCAGAGATTTGCATGCCTGCTCTGAGACCTGTTGCAAACTGATAGGACTGGTGGTATACTGACTGTTCCTTGAATACGAAGGACATGTATTTCTCAACATCAAGTATTTTAGTTCAGATCTTTTAAGAAAGGCAGGTGGGTGACTCACCAAACTGTCACCCAGTAATTTGTCTTGTTCCTACAAAAAATATATATGCATGACATATTTTAGGTAAGTTAGAACAACAGATTGAAGAGAAGGAGGTCCTCAGTCCTGTAGCCAATGCAGGCTGGCTTTCTCAATAGTGCAATTGATCAATGATGACGACTACGACGTTTTACAAAAGTATATTAGCAGTCCACCAAAAAAAATTTGTGTGTTGCATTTGTTGAACTCTCATCTGACTTTTGGGGGAATTTATAGCCAATTCATTGGATAAATGACAAATGGCTGTTGTTCCTTAGAATGATGCAAAAATTTGAACTGCACTTGCAGGCTGTCTTTTATATTCAATATTTACATAAAGGGAGTACAACAGTGTTGTATTTTGTCCCCATTACTGTTTTTATGTAATAACCCTCATACAATAACTCTCTTCTCTCCCTGACTCCCCTCAATTGATAATCGAAACATTCTAATAGAGATTCCTTCTCCAATCTGAAATTTATTGTAAGCAGGAAGATTTATACTGTAATAAGAACAAAGTGGTTGTGTTTGTTGCTTCATTTTTGTGAAAACACCCTGTGGCACACACCCATTTGGAAGCAATTAAAATGTCACCTGCCCATTCATTGGATGCTATAAAGACACTTTATTGTGACCCTTAGGTCATCATTTGTTAGAAATGACAATAAAAATTTTTGTTGCTAAAACTGCCTCTTGCTTTTTATATGGTGCAGCAACTGGAGTAGCTCTGGATAAACTGGATACACAGTCATACCTTGGAATTCAAATGGCTTGGTTGCCTAATGTTTCGGCTCCCGAGCGATCAAAAACCAGAAGTGATTGTTCTGGTTTTCGAACGTTCTTTCGGAAGCCAAACACCCAGCAGGCCGCCTGCGGCTTCTGATTGGCTGTAGGAAGCTCCTGCAGCCAATCGGAAGCCGTGCCTCAGTTCCTGAACGTTTTGGAAGTCGAACAGACTTGAGGAACGGATTCTGTTCGACTTCCAAGGTACTTCTGTATTGTAAAATAAGTTCCTACATAATACTATTTAGAATCCCGCATAGTTGCCCTGATATCTGGTGCATTACTTCTGAAGATCTCTAAAAGCACTTATTCATAAATCTGTTATTTTATCCTGGAATGATTTGGGGAACTTTGCAATTTTAAGGGCTGACAGCTTAAATTTTTGCTCTGGAGTTGCATTGTAATGGCCATTGGCTAAAAACCCTGGAAACCAGACTTCTCAGGCATTTCTGGAAATTGAAGCCAAGACAGAATTGGACACAAACTGATTCAAAATTGCTATCGTCAGAAGAATTATGTAAGAATATTATGGTTATGAGAAGTTGGCAAAAATAAGATTTAAGTTTTAAGCTTTAAGGTTTTTTATAGTAAAATAAGATTAAAATAGATTAAGGTAATGTAATGACAGAATATTATGAAATATGGAAAGGATTTGCTGCGACAATTAACAACTAGGATACAAAAAAGGGAGGAGGAGGAGGTCAAAGAAAGAAGGTAATGACAGTTGAGGATTTGAGAATGATGGATTTGTTTTTGAGTGTTTGTGGTGTATTTTTGTTTTTTGAATTTGTATTGTTTGATGTGGTTTCTTTTTTCTTTTTTCCGGCTTTGTTCTTTTTTGTAATTCTAAAAATTTTCAATAAATATCTTTAAAAACAAAAACAAAAAACAAAACTGCTATCGTCAATAAATTGCTAGAGAAATGACTAGAGTAGGAGCAGGGACCAGGGGCCTGCTGGAATTTTGTGAAATTTTTTTGTGGGTACTGCTCCCAAATTGACTCCTGGGGGGTTGTAACCAGCCGCAAGATAATCTCTAGGTAGACCACGCACAAACCCCCTTTGCCACAAAAAACAAAAGGCTTTCTACTCACCATGCAGAGCAGCAAGAATCCTTCTGCCAAAGAAGTCAAGGGATGCAGAGGGAATGGAGTGTGATGGGTCTCGGGATATTATTACTGGGAGGAAAAGGGCTAGGAGAATGGGAAGGACTGGGAGAGGTCAAGGACGAGGCATGCATGGGAAAAGGATGGGTGGGAAAGCCACTCAGATTCTTCTGGTTTGCTGCACAGGTGATCAGGGTAAAGGAAAGGAATTTGATACCCTTTGAGTATTGTTTTAAGCCTTTAAAAAATCCATTTCAGTTGGAATGGATATCGACCAAACTGGAAAATGGCGTGAGGCAGTCCCAAACAGTTTTATACAAGCTACGAAAAGAGTGAAAAGTCACACCGGCACAGGAATAAAATGATGTTTGTTTATTTAATATCATTTATAAACCACTTTACTATTTTTAAAAACACCTTAAAGCCGTAACAATATCAAGCATAAAATACAGTGGTGCCCCGCAAGACGAATGCCTCGCAAGACGAAAAGGTTTTGCGTTTTTTGAGTCGTTCCGCAAGACGAATTTCCCTATGGGCTTGCTTCGCAAGATGAAACGTCTTGCGAGTTCTTGCAAGTTTGTTTCCTTTTTCTTAAAGCCGCTAAGCCGCTAATAGCCGCTAATAGCCGTGCTTCGCAAGATGAAAAAACCGCAAGACGAAGAGACTCGCGGAACCGATTAATTTCGTCTTGCGAGGCACCACTGTATATTGGGGGGGGATGTGGTCTTGGAAACATGCTGAGCTCATCGCTATTTTCAGACAACTAGTCTCCTTTTAAAATACAAAACAGAGGAAGAGAGAATCTTTCTTCTGAAGGACTTTAACCAACCAGCTCCCACCACAATTGCCTTTGTTCTGTTGAAGATGGTGTCACCTCCAAGAGCTGCTTAGAGCTCTGCTCAGCTGCTCAGCTTCTGGGGAACTTGTGGGCTGGGGTTGCCTTCCTTTCCTGCACTTGAAGGGATGTGGTTTTAGGCTGAAAGTGCTTAAATGTTGGTTTACTACATTACATTTTGCCTGTTTGCCTGCGTTCCCATACCAAAATAGGAGATCCATTGCTGGTCAATTCACAGCGATGGCAGTGAGCACTACCTATTGGAAATGTTCCAAAGAAAATCCTAATGCCTTCCTTACCATGGTTCGTTTGTGAAGGACTGTGTTCTAATGATAGCAAAGGAAGCATGAAGCACCTGGTGAAATATTGAAATCTCAGTGTTATTTAATATATTATAGAAGTTGATTAACCAGGTTTTGGGGGGGACCCCAAATTACTCAAATTTTGAAAAAGAGGATAATTGTGATAAAAATGAATTTGAGCAACAAGATTGCAATGGAATTGGGACCTGCTAAGAAGGCTTGAAATAGATTAGTGATCTTATTTTAGCAATTGTGGAACTGAAACTATGATATCTTGGAAGAGGAAGTCGTTGGATAAGCAAAAGTTCTTATGATTTTTGCAGTCAGCACTATGTAGTCACTGTGGTGGACAGAAAACTGATGAGCTTTTAGTTATCTGAAAAATAGGAAGTGGTGCTCATCTCTCACACTATCAAAACCCTGCATAATTTTCATGTAAAACAATTTAGACTGCAATCCCATGTGAATTTAAGTTGGAATAAAACCACTTGAGCTTAATAATAATAATAAATTGTTATTTATATCCCGCCCTCCCCAGCCGAAGCCGGGCTCAGGGCGGTTAACAACAATAAAATAAGACAACATTTTAAAATCATTTCATTAAAAAATTACTTCAAATCAAATTGATGGCAACCATTGGGTAGATTGCCAAAGGAGGGAGTCACAGGCTGTGATGCGTTTTACTTCCAAGCAGACATGCAGGCAATGCGCAATGCACTAACTAAATCTATGCACTTCGCAAAGATTCGAATTTCGTATCACCGTTGCATTATACAACAGTATGTCAACTAGAATTAGCGGGTTTCCAGCAGAATAATTTAATTCAGATTCAAACTCCTAATCCGCCCTGTCTCCCTCCACCAGCCTCTGCCCACGGATAGACATTCGCATTACTCCACTGGCATAAAGCTCTCTCTTCAACCAGCTCAAAAGTGTGGGCAGGAGGCAGTAACCACCAGTATAGGCTTTCTGCCAGTGACAGCAGCGCACAGGCAGCCCCAAAATGGTATTTCTGGGGGGGCGGGGGCTGATCCAGCTCAGGATCCACCCCTGGATAGCATTGGGTCCCATTGCTAGGCCAGCTCCAATGTTTTGCCTGCCCTTTCTGCCCTAGCTGGCATGACTGGCAGGGGCTGTGTGTGCAGTACTCTGTGCCGGGCTGTCACTATTAGGCCAGGGCTTGGGCTGCTCTGATATTTTATCCATCTTTTCCCAATTTAGTAAATAAGTGCATTTCAGGACCAGCTACCTCGTCTTTTTAAAAACACAAAGCTTTTGCATGCCAAATAAGAATGACATCGTTTTTACATTATTTTAAATACTTCAGAACCAAACAAACAGAAAAGTGGGGACATAATAATCCACTTTATCCATTGAACATGTAAGGAAGGATTTTTGTTTACATGTTAAGGAATCACAGAAGCAGTTCAACAAAGTGCTTAAGGAAGCTGTAAAATCTTTCACACAGCCTTTCAATGAAAGCTGGTATTTATATATTATATTGTGGTCGGTCCACCCACAACTTAATAGGTGTGTTATGTACTAAGCTTGGATCCTAGAACAATAGGCAAGTAGGACCCTAGAATGCAACAACTGATTGGCTTGCAGGAGAAGACCAATCAGGCTCCAGGAGGAAGTTAATCAGCCTATTAGGCTGGTAGGATCATAGAATGCAACATCTGACTGGCCTGCAGGAGATGACCAATCAGGCTCCAGGACAGAAGCAGAATCAGCCAATCAGACAGGACTCATTGTGTAAATAATGTATATAAAAGGAAGGTGTAAAATCTTTCACACAACCTTCCAACGAAAGCTGGTATTTATATATTATATTGTGGTTGGTCAAGGACCAATAGTACCACTCTTCTGACTTGGGGAGATAATGAGACCTTGTTTCCTGCTAGGTAACTGGTAGACCCCCCCCCCCAAACTGGGCATGTATGAAACTTGTAAGTATTCTTATCATTATAAAAACGACAACCAGGAATGTCACAAGCATTTGAAGGGGGTCGTTAAAAACGTGACTGACCCCATTCGAAAGCCTGTGTGCATATCCAAAGCAAGCAGAGCTCAGCTCAAAATCTGCTGAAAACTCCCAAGTCCAGCCTGATCACCTTGCAAAGGTCAACCTCCAACTGGACTCTTGCAGCTCCCGCTCCCTTAAAGGAAGCACAACACTGCTGGGTGTGTGTGGGTGTGTGTGATGATCTGGGGTTCTTCTTTCTGATGGCAAATGAAGGGAGCAACTTATGTTGCTACTCGTCCTTCTGCCTCAGATAATATTGTGGGTCCTTGGGTGGCATGGAAATCTGAGGTAGGGTCAAGCTTCTGCTCACACACTCCTTTGGCTTCAATCTTCCCCAGTTCCATGTCCCCCAGACCATCCTTAATGTCTTCATCTGTTGTTCTGAACCCCAACAAAAGCAATTTTTAAATTGCTGGTGAGCTCCTGTAAAAACAACCAGACCAGCCAACAAACATTCCTAATGGAAATCATACATTCACTCAGTTCCTAAAAACAAAAACTTACTGAAAACGGGGTAACAGCTTCCAAAACAGAGGTGTTCTGACCACAAATAAGAAACAAATGTGTGGAATAGAGTTTCTCCATTGGTAAAGGTTCTGTTTTTAAGGTAAAAAATGTTCCTTAAGGTTTTGTATTTCCTGACAATTATAAAAATTATTATCAAACAGTAACACGGTATCAACTAATTATATATGAGGGATAGATATTCAAAGAAAACTTAAAACTACAATAGTATCTAGTACAAATTAAGACCCAATTTGGTTTGAAGCCAGCTGATTTGCTTGCAGATAATTTGCCATGATTGTCACTCCGGTTCACTGCCTTTTCATGCCTTTGAAAAGGCTAATTCAAACAGCCACACTGTTAGGTATTTGATCCGGGGAAAGATAATAGTAGGGGAGTTTTTTGTTCCTGTTCCGCTCAGCAATGCAACTGGTAATTTCATCAAGATTCTTGCGGAATTTCCTCATGGCCTCTTTCACTGGCTTCTCTATGAAATGTTCATCTGGATACATCCCCAGAAACACCTAGTTGGAGAAGAAGTCACAAAACGTATCTGTTGGGAAATGTCTAAAAGAAATAATGCAGCTAATTTTGAGACACTGCAAAAATAGACCCTTCCTCGTCTAGTGAGCAAATATGATATTTAAATATTAATTATATATTTAATATAATATATTTAATATATTTAGTATTAAATATTAGTCGCACCAACAGGGTAAAGAACAGCTTCTATCCATTGGCTGTTAGGCTGCTGAATGAAAAGATAACAACAGGGCAACTGACTTTCGGGTTTGGCGGGTGTGCGTCAGTAAACGAGGGGAATTAAGACTAAGAGAGCTGAGTGGGGGGTGCTTGTGTAATCTCACTGTATACAAGTTGTACGAGTGACAATAAAGTATTTCCAGTCATGACCGACTCTGGGGTTGCGGCGCACATCTCGCTTTATTGGCTGAGGGAGCCGGCGTACAGCTTCCGGGTCATGTGGCCAACATGACTAAGCCACTCCTGGCAAACCAGAGCAGCGCACGGAAACGCCGTTTACCTTCCCGCCGGAGCAGTACCTATTTATCTACTTGCACTTTGATGTGCTTTCGAACTGCTAGGTTGGCAGGAGCAGGGACCGAGCAACGGGAGCTCACCCTGTTGCAGGGATTCGAACCGCCGACCTTTTGATCGGCAAGCCCTAGGCTCTGTGGTTTAACCCACAGCACCACCCCCATAGGGATTGGCAAAAACTAAAGCATCTTTCAGTTCCTGCAGTTAGAGCTGTCCAGAAGTGTGTTTACGGGAAATGTTAACAGGCCCCAAATTTTTGACAACTCATCAAAATGCTCTGAAAGCACTATGGAAAAACATGGATTTCCAAGCTAAGCACTGACTTGCAGCTTTGGCCTCATGCATTATGACCGAGATATACGAGGGGAATATCTTAGAAGTTTCACTTACTTCATTCTCTTGAAACTGACTCAAGGCCCAAACAGCACCAAGATGCCAACAGGAGCGCCCTCTGTCCGGTAAACTCTCAACAATATACTCAATGGTGACGCTCCCCTTTTCTGTAGGGGGTGGGCGACGCATCGTTGGAGGGGCGTTAGGAATCCAGGAACACCAGTCGTACTGGGAAATAACAGGACAGAGCCAGTAAGATATAGGAATCTCTATGAATCATAAAGGGTGCTTGTGTGGCTGGAAGACACTCCTGTTTATACAAAAAGGGTTTTTCATTGGAGCTTCAGTCCCATGTAGCATAATCCCACATTGGAACATGTTTTTGAGGGCTGCAGCTAGAAGGAGGAGACAGGATTCTCATTTCCACTTCCTCTTTGTTAATGCAGGATGAGCTAATATAAGAAGTCATAACTGAAAAGTCATGAAATTTACTCCAGAGTCTGGAACGGGGCACTGGTTTTTGCCCATTTCCGCCCCCCCCCCCCGCCCCTGTGACTTACTCTTTAAGGTCAGGCTGGTGTTAAAGGCAGTGGAGGGAGCAGGGAGTAGAAAACCCTAATGTCTAATACACTTTCTTTGGCGCAAGTCCTATGTATTCAGTAGGGCTGACTAAACCTGCTTTGGATTGGACTTTGTGTGGTAAAATAACTGTTTACGATGGTTTTTCTATTGGAAGGATGTACTGACACAATCTGTAACGAGCAGGCATACTGCTGAAATGTGACTTAGCTGTGACTACAACACAACCCTATGCATTTACTCAGAAGTAACTCCCACTGCGTCCAGTGGAACTTTATTTTATAGAAGTGTGCTCAGTACTGCAGCCAACTACCTATCATTAGCTATCCTGTGTCCCACTAATGTAAAGAGCCGGCAGCAGCCACTAGCCTAAATAGCTCAAAATAATGCCCCAGATTAGCAGATTATCTTTAGGGGAAATAATGCCTAAAGAGAAAATGGGTAACCTCCAAGAGAATAACAAGTTTAGCATCAATTGAGAATTGCGATTCGGCAACCTGCCCTTTCACAGCAGTTTCAGTTCACATGGTGAGCTGATTTTATGCATCAAAAGAAAAGCATAAAGCGCAGATACCTAAAACAGAACTCTACGTGAACTGCACTATATAACATGATGTACGAATCAATATGTGAGGTATTTTCCAAAATATAAACAGGTGTGTTACATACTAAGCTTGGATCCTAGAACAATAGGCAGGTAGGATCCTAGAATGCAACAACTGATTGGCTTGCAGGAAAACACCAATCAGGCTCCAGGAGGAAGTTAACCAGCCTATTAGGCTGGTAGAATCGTAGAATGCAACAACTGATTGGCCTGCAGGAGAAGACCAATCAGGCTCCAGGAGGGAAGGAGAATCAGCCAATTTACACAACTCATTGTGTAAATAATGTATATAAAAGCCTGAGGTTTGGGGGGAAATTCAATCACTGTTTTACAAGCTGCAATAAAGAGCATGAAATCACTACAGGACTCTGAGTATATTTCAAGGTGATGGGTTCAGAAACATGCATGTTGATGGTGGCAGCCACCCTCATTTCTCATCTTCTCAAAACTGTTATGTTAACTGTTACAAATACCGTGGTTTCCTGTACTTCACAGATGTGCAAACTTTGGCCCTCCTCTGCCCTCACCACATCTCAGTTCTGAGCATTTCCAAAGTCTTCCCTTTATTCTCTGGTGAAACTGCAATCGGATTATCTCTAATCTACTGCAATCCCTCCTTCCTCCCTTTTGTCATTTTTTTCTCCTCCTCAGTCTGGTATGCCTCTGACCTGGTTCACATATCATGTTAAGCTGTGGTTTAAATAAGAGTGAATTAACAGCCTGTGGCTTATTGTTCCATTTGAACACAGCACAATGCTTTAACTATGGCTTACTGATCTTAACATTCAGCTATGATTTAAGCGTTTCATTGGCCAAGCCCATGCCAGGCCAAATTGTCCACCAAGCAGCAAAGTTGCTAGGCTGGGAAATAAAGCTGGCTTTCAGCACTCAGACGCCCTTGCTGGTGCTTTTCTTGAAGCTGACACCAGGGCTAACTGCTAGCAGGATCCCTCCCCGCCCAACCTCCTTCAATTCAAGTTGAAGTTCAGGCTGGGCTTGAAAAGGGAACGTCTTTCAACTTCACTGCTAGATACTTGAATGGTGGTGTTGGTGAATAGCTTTTAGGCATTACGAAAGAAGACTTCTTTTTTTAAAAAAAGACACTGTTGATGTGTTTTTAGGATAGGATGGTCACAAAAGTGCTGTTTTGTTTCCTTTACTCCATTCCTAGCTTTCTCAAGACTGGTGCCCGCCAAATGTTTGGGGACAGAACTGCTATTAAAGGTAAAGGTACCCCTGACCGTTAGGTCCAGTCATGGCCGACTCTGGGGTTGCGGTGCTCATCTCGCTCTATAGGCTGAGGGAGCTAGCGTTTGTCTGCAGACAGCTTCCGGGTCGTGTGGCCAGCATGACTAAGCCGCTTCTGGCGAACCAGAGCAGCGCACGGAAATGCCGTTTACCTTCCCACCGGAGTGGTACCTATTTATCTACTTGCACTTTGATGTGCTTTTGAACTGCTAGGTGGGCAGGAGCTAGGGCTGAGCAACGGGAGCTCACCCCGTCACGGGGATTCGAACTGTCAACCTTCCGATTGGCAAGCCCTAGGCTCAGTGGTTTAGACTGCAGAGCTACCCGCGTCCAAATCACCTGGAAGACAAAAATTTGGTTAGGCTGCTCTATGCCTTTTAACAGGCACTCAGGTGACCCCACCATTATCGTTGATATTTCTTTATCAGACTGTCTGGACTGGTGTGTAAACCCACTTCAAGGACAGAATTGCTTCCAGATAAACTGTACCTGACCAAAATTTACTGCTGCATGTTGTGCAGATGCTGTAAAGATCACTATGGTAAGATATTCTGACAGCTTCTGGCGTGTCTTTATTGTCTTAGGAAATCCTGAAAGAAGAAAGAGTTAAATTAATAAGAGTAGTAGTAATATTAATAATTAATAAACTAAAGGAAGGCTGTGGAACTTTTCTGAATTCTCCTCCACCTGGAAACACAACATTTATTTTTCACTGTCCCATGAGATGAGACCAGATGAAAGGGGAGCTTGTCTGCTCTTGATAATAAATAAATAATAAATTTTTATTTATACCCTGCCCTTCCCGATTTAAAAACTGGGCTCAGGGAGGCTAACAGCAAATATAAAACATTGATTAAAATGCAACTTAAAAACAGTATAAAACAACATAAAATACAACATAAAATGCAGCATCAATATCAATAAAATTCAAAAATTCAGGGGTCATTTTGGGGGAAAACAAAAAACCCAGTCAGTAGACATCAAATGATCACCAGGGCTATCTGGCCAAGTTGGTCCTACTAGGGCCAGCAAGGAGACCAGGGAAGAATTTAAATGTGGGGTCCCATAAAGGGTTTCTTCATAGAAGAGGAAAGGGAAATGGGAAGAGAGGATCCGGCTAATTCAAATTGAAGGCCAGGCGGAATAGCTCTGTCTTACAAGCCCTGCGGAAGGAGGGCCCTAGTCTCGTGGGACAGAGCGTTAAAACCAGGTTGGAGCCATCACTGAAAAAGCCCTGGCCCTGGTGGAGGATAGTCTGGCTTCCTTAGGGCCCGGGACCTTCAAGCTATTATTATTCATGGACCTTAGGGTCCTCTGCGGGGCATACCAGGAGAGACGGTCCAGTAAGTACAAGGGTCCTAGGTTACGCTCCCTCTGAAGGAGCAGCTACAAAGGTTGGGGCTACTTAAGGATCCTTTTCTGTTGCTTGAGCCTCAGGTGGCCTGCGTGGTGCAGATTGCTTTCCATCAGCTTTGGCTGGTAGCCCAGCTGCCCCCCTATCTGAACAGGGACAGCCTAACTTCTGTTGTCTATGCTCCGGTAACCTCTAGGCTGGATTACTGAAATGCGCTATACATAGGGTTGCCTGGAACACAGTTCAGAAGCTTCAGCTAGTGCAGAACTCAGTGGCCAGGTTGCTCATTGGGGCAAGACGGTATGAGAAAATCCTGGTCCAACTGCACTGGCTGCCAATTAGCTTCCAGGCCCAATTCAAATGCTTGTTTTGACCTATAAGCCTTAAACGGCTCAGGACTGCAATGCCTCAAGGACCGCCTTTCTCCATATGAACTTACCTGGACCCTGAGAACAACTATGATTAAGCTAATTTATTACAAAATAATACATATAAACCAGCCTACCAGATTATGGAAATTTTCGTATTTTTTAAATGTTTTGCACTAAATTCATTGATAGTGTCCAAACCTATGCTGCTTTCAACCTGATTAATAAATAAAATTTGAATGCAGAAAGAAAGATCTGGATTGATATCAACAATATATCAATTTGACTTGGATCTTAAAATGTTTTTATTCACTTTTTTTAAAAAGCCCAAATTATTTATGTTAACTTTTATCACACATTATTATAGTGGCTAGAATAGGGATCGATAAAAATGTCCCTAATGCAAGTAAATGGTAGAACACAATTAATGAATTTTTGATATTTTTTTCAAGAGATTAGCAGATACTTTATCAATTATGGCAATGCTCATATTTCTTTTACAAGTGAAGTTCAGAGCACATATATGATATATTGAGAAACGCTTGTGCTAACAGTAATTTTGATGCTTGTCCTGCCTATTCTTTTGTTATTAATATCTTATTTTCTGTAACTTTTGAATGGGGTGATAAGAAAGCATTGCATACATTTCAGATTGTCTTCCAGATTTCCATTTATTCCAGGAGAAGAATGGATTCATTTGCTGGAATTTTTACATCTCTAACTCAGCTTCAGATCAAAGGAGGAATGCATTTCTGTTCATTAGCCAGCAATGCCACAGGACAGAGAATCTGGCTAGCAGGTCTCACCTGAAGCCTTGGTTCCTCTCAACCCATAAACATAGACGTCCTTCACAAAGGCCTGGAGTTCCACGTCTTCAGAAACCATCTCTTCGCTATCGTAATAGAGGTCCACAACATCTGTCACAAAGCTGCAGAAAACAGAAAGGAAATGATTATGCAGAATTGGACAAACTAACAGGGAAGATTCGGTATCAACGAGACCAAAAGTTCATCGAGGACTGGGGATTCACACTTCCAAGGTCTCAGTTAGATTTCCTGGTTCTCAGTATGACAAAATAAACTTTATTTCAGACCATCTCCTACCTCTTTATGGCCTCCCACACTTTGAGACCATCATCCCGATAAAAGTAGTATGGAATGTCCTCCGTGCTTTCCATGCCTCTTGCCTTGATTTCTTCAGGGAAGCACAGGGAACTGTAGGTGAGGTGCTTCATTGCTCGCTGGAGTATCTGCGCAAGCCCTCCTCCTCCGGTGGCATTGGCCTTTGGCACCCAAAACAAGTGGCAGAGAGCATTAAGGAATGGAGGCTCCATAGAAGAGGGGCCAACTTGAATAAAACATGTGGGGACAGGTAATTGATCACATGATATTGCACACACACCATTTGAATGGCAATACCCATCAACTTGGGGAGGGGGCAGCCCCCTCAAATCTTTTATTGGGGGGGGCAAAAGGACCTTGGCCCCTAAGAGTTGGCTCCTGTGTCCCATAGCCTTAAATATGAGTGTTCTTAACAATGGGGAGGATCTTACTGTACAAGGGGATTTGGAGATGAGGGCCTAGGCCACACTGGAGTGAAGTTTTGATACCTGCATCACGCAGCCGTGACATAGTGCACATGGATCCACATGGAGTGGGATTAGTGCCATTGTAAACCTCCTTGTAAACGGGACGCGGGTGGCACTGGGGTTAAACCACAGAGCCTAGGACTTGCTGATCAGAAGGTCGGCGGTTCGAATCCCTGTGACGGGGTGAGCTCCCGTTGCTTGGTCCCTGCTCCTGCCAACCTAGCAGTTCGAAAGCACGTCAAAGTGCAAGTAGATAAATAGGGACCGCTCTGGCGGGAAGGTAAACGGCATTTCCATGTGTTGCTCTGGTTCACCAGAAGCGGCTTGGTCATGCTGGCCACATGACCCGGAAGCTGTTTGCGGACAAACGCCGGCTCCCTCGGCCTATAGAGCGAGATGAGCGTGCAACCCCAGAGTGGGTCACGACTGGACCTAATGGTCAGGGGTCCCTTTACCTTTAAACCTCCTTGACCAACACACATGCCCAACGCATGGCCGTTGACCACTTCCAAGTCCGCCAAAGAATGCATACAACCTTGTCAGGCCAAGCAAGAAATAAGGACGTGTGCTTTCCTTTACATAGTCATTGTGTAAAAATTGTTTTTATTGTTCCCTTTACAGAATAAGAAACCTGCCAGCTAAGTGGATGGTAAACATAATATGAAAGACACTGGAATAGGTTATATCCAATGCTAGACCTACTCAGAGTAGACCCACTTAAATTAATGAACCTAAGTCAGTCATGCTAGTCCTAAATAGAACCAGCATAAAATCTCACTCTACAGATTAACTGCTTAACTACAAATCAGTATTCGTAATGGTATATGTTCGCTTGTTTTAAAGAAGCCAAGCGTTACAGTAACTGGAGACTGGAAATTATGCAATTAGCTTGAGTCCAAATAAAATTACTTTGGGGAGATTTTCCTTCATGTAAAAGGCATGGCCGTTTGAGGCACAAGCTGTCAACTTTCAGATTTGAAAATAAGGGATCAGCAGCCTCGAAAATAAGGGATCAGCAGCCTCACCTGTCCCGGGGACAGTCTACGGGATATCTAACAATCTGGGATAGCAGCAGGAAGCAGCGGGAAATGGCACTGGAATAAGGGAATTTCCCGCAAAGAAAGGGAAGGTTGACAGCTATGGTTAGAGGGCTTGTGAGGGGGGTTTTCTTTAGGTCCGACCTTGTGGGTTTTTCTCTTTGGTGCCTTGGCTTGGGTTTACTTGATTATTTTACAGTCTGCTCTAGTTTTGTAATAATTCCAAGCCTCTATTTTGAGTTCTGTGTTTTCTCTTCTGCCAGCATTGTGTCAGCTGCATGTTGTCTGGCCTTGCTATTCAGCTGCTCATATCTGCTTCAACATGGGCATCTCTTTACTGATAAGAAGCCCCTTTACAACTTGTACTGTATTTCAGAGTAAAAACCACGGAATATAGTGGAGCTTACTGTTGAATAAAATATTGATCTTACAGGAAAAAGGAAGGGGTGAGATGGCTAAAAATAGCTTTATCTTATCTCATTATACATGATAAAGCCACCTCATCTCTTGCTTTTTCCTGTAAGACCAATTGCAGTTGTTAACAGTCAACAGGTTTACCACACCTATCAGTCAATCACCCATTCCCACCCCCTCCTTAGTGATACCCCTCCCCACTCTCTCACTATATATAAGGGTCTGGTGACTTCTGTTTCAGTGTATCTGAAGAGGTGTACATGCACACGAAAGCTCATACCAATAACAAACTTAGTTGGTCTCTAAGGTGCTACTGGAAGGAATTTTTTGATTTTTTAAATTTAATTTTATTTATTTTATGGAAAGAACTATGTGAAAGCCACTTCCTTGAGGTCCAAAATTATGAAATCAAGGCTCTCTCACCTTGTCAAAAAGGCCATATTCACAGATAAGCTGTTCTCGGGCTTTAGTGTTGATGGCTATTGTAAACCGCACATGGGATACCAGGAGCTGTAAACCAGAAGAGAAAATAGATAAGAATGAATTATTCCTTCAGTGTTAACAATGGAATGTGATGGGCTCCCAAAACAACTTGCTTTCAAATAAGGAACTACAGCTTTAATATAAATTATGTGTATGAACTGAAGGCAGTTTCAAAGCATAGTCCTTTACAATTTGATAGATGCTGCTAGATATCAGATCTGCAGTATGAGAAACATGCACCTTATACAGTGGTACCTCGGGTTACATACGCTTCAGGTTACATACGCTTCAGGTTGCAGACTCCGCTAACCCAGAAATAGTACCTCGGGTTAAGAACTTTGCTTCAGGATGAGAACAGAAATTGTGCTCTGGCCGCACGGCAGCAGCAGGAGGCCCCATTAGCTAAAGTGGTGCTTCAGGTTAAGAACAGTTTCAAGTTAAGTACAGATCTCCGGAACGAATTAAGTACTTAACCCGAGGTACCACTGTACTGCCAAAAGGCGTTCAAACATGTAGGTAATATTCAAACATGTTGGACTGCACTGCACCAGAATTGAAGGTTAAATAGGGTTCTCCAGCAAAATGATACAAAGATATTGATTTGTCAATTTGGGCAGTTTAGAGAAGGCTTACAGATGCACATAATTCAGACCAATTATACATAGTGTTGTTGTCCAAGGGCACCCCAGGGCACACTCTTTAACAAGGTATGAACCATTAATCCATCTTCATCCTGCACGTTACTTCCAGCTTCAGACACAAATCATTGCAGACAATTTGCCACTTGAAGACACTATTTATTTATTTGTGTGCTTTTTTTATCTAATACTGGTCAAATTAAAACGGCTCAAAGAAAATTAAAATGGCCAGGTTTTTTTTAAGAAACACTGCACTTAAGAAGACTGTTTAACTGTGTTATCTTAGCTTTTTCTTAGTGGAATATTTTTAAAATGAGCCATTTTACAATTCAGAAGAGGTAATTTTTTTTGCCACATTTCATAGAGCTGGGACAAATTATCTTGAATATATATATATATATATATATATTCCAGTCTTATAATGATAGAATGCTGTTTGCCTTATCTGCCTTAAATATACAGGGGCTCTCTTGTCTGTACAATACCAAATATTACTTTTATTAACAATACATTTAACAGAAAATTGCAGGTCTTGCAGAAACAAAACAATCATGTCTGATATGCACATCTTCCTAGCACCCAATTAACCCACCTTAAAGAGAGGATGGACGGAAGGCAGTTGCCGGAACATGGCTACTCCAAACACTTCAGAAATTAAGTGAGTCCGAAGGAGGTGAGTAACAGTCTGATGGACGTGGAAATCAGAAGAACGTACCCAAATTTTGGCCAATAACCAGTCATACTTTGCATCTGATGGCAGGAAAATAGGATTCTCTGGCTCAGGAGCTTGTTTTATCTGGAAAGTGTAACAAAATAGTTTACAATTCTTTCAATAATGAAAGATTATTATTTTAGTGGGTAAAACATAGATTACCTGGATTGCAATAGGGACAATCTTCTTCTCTAAATTCTTATATAATAAGCAGACTGGAGCAGACAGATATTGCACAGTGCAGGGGTCAGTCTTATTGCCTTCAACACCATCCAGAAGTTCATAATCCACTATGAAAATATTCCCTTGCTGTAGCAAAAATGAAAGAAAACACGCACACTTGTTTACTTTGATTAATGGGTTATTCCATGAAAATGCCAACCTACAGACTCGGCTTTCATTTTTGGACATCGATAACATGTTCAATATAATTCTAAATATAATTTTCAAGAGTTTCATATGGCAACGTTATTTTGAAATTGGAGTAAACAACCAGAAGTGTGACATACAAGATGACTCAGAATTTCTCTATTCCCATTCCACCCCCCAAGCGCAGTTAAAATTCTCTATTCTCCAAGAAGCTAGAGAATAGGTTATTGATAGCTTTACTTTCTCATTTGGTGAAATGACAAGAAATTTTATGTTAGGAACAAAATCAGATGAGCTTAAAGGCAGTACGATGTATGCTCTTGAGCATGTTACATTAGTCACAAAAATACATACTCTCCCCACAATAAATGAAAAGAAAAATCTATGTTTTAGCTACATCCTCGTCTTGTGAGGTTCTTAGCATTAAGAAAATGTGGTGAGATATTAACTGAAGTATGTTTTACATGCAACATTACTTGTGACCAACATAACATCACAATATTGTAACTTACGTAGCATAAATGTGTTGTCCTTTAAGCCTCTTTTTAGGAGCTTCAGATTTTCGTCCCTGAGAATGCACTAAATTCTTAGGGCAGCAATCCTATGCCCAAGAAACTGGCTTAAAGCAAACAGGTTAAGCCAGAGAAAAGTTACACCGGATCCAAAAACTGTTCAGCAGCGGGACAGCTGCTGTCGTTCTCCCGAAGCAAGGCAGAAGCAAAACAAGCCTTTAAAAGAGCGTTCTACACTGGGTTGCTAAGTCATACGGCTGAGCTGGACAGGGTTGAGATCCAGCCTAAGTCTCCCTGCAGGACATCCCTTTTGGAAGATTAACACTGGTCTTGTTGACGTCCCAGAAGCCAAGACCGGCTGAGCCTCAGTGGAACCAGGATGAGCAAATTATCTTTGGCTGAGCCAGCGCCAGGGACTTAATGCCGATGGAGACGTGGGTGGCACTGTGGGTTCAACCACAGAGCCTAGGACTTGCCGATCAGAAGGTCGGCGGTTCAAATCCCCACGACAGGGTGAGCTCCCGTTGCTCGGTCACTGCTCCTGCCAACCTAGCAGTTCGAAAGCACGTCAAAGTGCAAGTAGATAAATAGGTACCACTCTGGCGGGAAGGTAAACGGTGTTTCCGTGTGCTGCTCTGGTTCGCCAGAAGCGGCTTAGTCATGCTGGCCACATGACCCGGAAGCTGTACACCGGCTCCCTCGGCCAACAAAGCGAGATGAGCGCCGCAACCCCAGAGTCAGCCACGACTGGACCTGATGGTCAGGGGTCCCTTTACCTTTACCTTACACTGGGTTGCTAGGTCATACAGCTGAGCTGGACAGGGTTGAGATCCAGCCTAAGTCTCCCTGCAGGACATCCCTTTTGGGGGATTAACATTGGCCTTGTTGACATCCCAGAAGCCAAGACCGGCTGAGCCTCAGTGGAACCAGGATGAGCAAATTATCTTTGGAGAGCCACTGTATCCTAAGTTTTTGATTCCAGCAGAACTTGCCTCCAAAGCCTGTTAGATGTCTCATACATCTCATGTATTTCACAGAGTTTTACAAAAAGAAACAGGTGTCTGCCCTCAAGAAGCTTCCTGTCTTAAAGACAAGTCAGACAATGGGGGTGGGCAGATGTTATTGCTTTAAAAGAAATATAATATAACAATGTGTTAATAGGGTTAGTAATCTTTTTATTTATGTGATCATCGGAGGAAGGATAACTTGCTCCCTCCCGGTGGCTCACAGGACCATCATTCCTCATGGAGCCAAGGAAGAAGTATTATAATTTCATCAAAATGTTCAGCATTAAAAAGTGTATCCCATAATACTGTATAGTAGGCATTCCCTATCCTGACCTGAATGTTGCCTTCAAATTACGTACTTTACATACAAACTGATTCACTGAATTTCAACTCAGTGTTCAAACTGCAAATCTTCTGTTTGGATGACAAAGCACTCCTCTCCCAAAGAATGCAATCTGCTTCTATACATTTCCTGAAAAGCTTTTAAACTGATGAGTACTATAACACTGAAATAAATCCGTTCCATGTTTATACCTTGATTTCCTCTTCCAGAGTCAGATTTCTCTCCAAACTGCATTCTACCATTTCCGTAGTCACGGGAAATTTCTTTGGTAACTCTGTGCACTTTTGGATCAATACAGGATTGCACCCATTCAGGAACTGGTATCCAAACATAAAATCTTCTTGCCAATGCTGCATCACGTACTCTAACAGGAGAAAAAAGAGAACGAAACCCAAAGACTATTTTTAGCAGAACTCCTTCCAAAAAATAATAACTATTCTATATTAAACTATATCAAGTAAAACAAAAAAATAATAAACCAAACAGAGAAAAGGAAGGCAGAGCCTGAAAATGAGGCTCAGGGTAAATTTCTTTAACAACATGATATGCCCAGCACACTTACAGTCTTCATTAAAGGCGCTGGGAGAGACTGGATATTAAAATATTGTTACATAAAAAGCATACATACACATAATGGGCTCCTTTGCTAAATTGTTCTACATATATAGCCCTGTCTAGTTGCTGATGGAACCAAGTAGAACAAGAAGTCAAACTACTGAGCTTGCCAAATTCCGGTGAGCAGGAATGGCATGGCAGATGGACTGAGGTCCATTTAGTGCTGTGAGAATGGGGATGTTTGTCAAGGGGGGCCAGACTATTGGGGGGGGGGGATGAACGAATTCCTATGCCCCACAAATAACCCAGAGATGCATTTTAAATAAAAGGGCACATTCTACTCATGTAAAAACACACTGATTCCCGGACCATCCGTGGGCCGGATTTAGAAGGCGATTGGGCCGGATCCAGGCCCCAGGCCTTAGTTTGCCTACCTATGGTTAAGGGCAGGCATAGGCAAACTCAGCCCTCCAGATGTTTTGGGACTACAGCTCCCATCATCCCTAGCTAACAGGACCAGTGGTCAGGGATGATGGGAATTGTAGTCCCAAAACATCTGGAGGGCCGAGTTTGCCTATGCCTGGTCAAGGGAGTGGATACTGGGTGGTGATTAAGTCGGGATGATGCAGAGGCTATGGGGCAGTTGAAGCCCTCTAGGACTCCCTTTAAAAGCTTTTTGAAACTGACTACCATATTTTTCGCTCCATAAGACACACCTGACCATAAGACGCACCTAGTTTTTAGAGGGGGAAAGCAAGAAAAAAATATTCTGTGCAAAGCATGTAAGCGGCTCTCACTTTTGGCAGAAATGACTGGCAGAATCCGAGACCAGGGAGAAGAGTCGGTGAAAGAAGACTGGAAGAAATTTAAAGACTATTTACAGAAGTATTGTAAAATTAATGAATCTTAGAAGGATGTTGGATAGAAACTAAGTGGTTTCCAGCTGTAATGCTTTAAGAGATATGAAAAAAAGGTTTATAAATGGGTAAAAGCTTAATGGTAAGGATTTGCTGAACTAACAAATTGAACTGGAATACAAAAAAGGGAGGTATGAGGAGGTCCGGGGAAATAAGTGTAAGGAAGATATGCTATGGAAAATTAATGTGTTTTTAACTGTTTTTATTTTGTTTGTTTCTTTTTATTTTTCATTGCTTTGTTATATCTTAATAAGGGTTTTTTTATTCTTCTTGCTGTATTTTGTATTTTTTTGTATTTTTATTTTTTGTTTTTGTGTAATTCTTGTATTTTTTTGAAATTTTAATAAATATCATTTAAAAAAAAAAATGTAAGTGGCTCTCACTTTTCTTGCTTTAAACCCTTCCGTCCCTCCTCCCACTTTGCTGAGAAGCCAGCAGAGCAAGCTGCGCAGCTCTCGCTGAAGCCAGCAGAGCAAGAGCGATAGCTGCGCAGCGGCTCTTGTTCTGCTGGCTTCCCAGCAAAGCGGGATGAGGGACAAAAGGGAGCCCTTACAAGGGAGCGCTGAGCAGAGCCTGGCAGCGGCTCTTCCTGGCTTTTCCAGGAGGTGTGGGAAGGGACAGAGGGCAGTCAGTCCCTTCCCCCACCTCCTGGAAAAGCCAGCAAGAGCCACGCGCTCTTTAAAGGGAGCACTGAGCAGAACCTGTATGCATCCCAGATGCGAATGCAGGCAGGAGGCTCCATACGATGCACACACATTTCCCCTTATTTTTTAGGAGGGAAAAAGTGCGTCTTATGGAGCGAAAAATACGGTAGTTGAGAAGTGGTCTTATGCAGTGCTGAAAGTAAGGATGGGGGAGAAATTTGATTCGGGACAGCTGACCCTACCTAATTTGCATTTTGCAAAACAATATGCAAGCCAACATGTAGCCTTCCTTCAGAAAACCCACACGTCTCGGAATATTGCAGTCCAGATCTCCAACCAAGTAATGTGTACAAGAATGTGCATTCAAGTTTTCAGAACTGAGTTCAAGGTTGCAAAGAGGAAAAAGTGAGAGAAACTGACGTTGGCCATTTCACCCCTGGCTAAGACTTGGATGGAGGACTATCCTTTCACTTTCAAGGTGCTCTTGACAACCTTAAGTCAGGCCTACTCTGTTCTTAAATCAAGATAAGGGCAAGTTACCCCACAGTTTTAAGCTGCAATTTGCACTCTGGTTTTGAAAACTGCACGAAAAACTGAAGCTTTCAGCAAATACTTCCTTTTTTTGCTCGGTTTGCTGCTCTTTCCTCCCCTAAAAACTAAAAGTTACACTGACTTTGAGGTGAAAGCTAAGTAGACTTTGCTGATTCTAACTTGACTTTCCCCACTAGCTAGGTCTCTACTGTGCAAAACTATTAGGGACGGGTGGCCTGTTTTATACCTCTTTTCCAAAAGCTTATTGGTTTACTGTGGCCTCTCAAGGCTTCCCTGCTATGGTAAAAATGAAAACTCGGTTTCTACAGGCTTATCACTCCATGATTTGGCTACTGAGATACACGTTTACAGGTTTTACCTCCTAACACACATTGCCTTTAGTGTACCATTATTACAGTACAGTATAAGCTGTAATTAAATTAATAAATTTACATTACTTACCTTTAGTTTCTTGAATGCCCTTCGACTTGTGCAACCGCTGGGTACATAAATTCCAAGAATTATTGGCCTAACACATATCCCAAAGGTTTTTAGCTGAAAAACTACTAAATGGCGTCCAAACTGAAATTTTGGTCAGTAACATAAAAATTAATTCATCTTGTGATGCTAGTGTCAACAACTGCAATCGATCTTACCAGAAATGGTATTGCTTATTCTGACAAAGATCTTCTCAAAATCTGCAAAGTCACTCCAGGAAGATTGGAACATGTGCATGAAACGATTAACATAGAGATTTTCCATCCTAAAAAAACCAAAAATACTGTGAGGTCATTGGCTGCAATCTTTTTTGTTTCATTTCTCTCCTTGCACATTTCACTTTTCCCATAACTTCTTTACTTCTGTATGAAGTCTTCAGAAATGAAGGACGTAGATTAAATGAAGGGGAATAAATTGAGGAACTAAATCTCACAAGCGAAATGGTACCAGTGTTTTAAAACATATTGGACACTGGCACCACTTCTAAATCATCTTATGTTACCTTCCAAAGAACTGCAACAAAATTTCTCAGGAGACATTTTACTGAGTATGTATCTAAGATTTTTCTTTTTCTAATCCTCCTGGAAAAACAAGGTTGAGTTGCAATTTTTTTGCTGAACATTATCCACCATTTTTAATGGTAGCTGCTATTTCTCCATCACAATTCTCTGGAACGCCAAGTCCAAGGCATCATGGAGGATTTAAAAAAGGCAAACACCGTCTATGACCATATTAAACTAATTGGACTGGATGCAAACACAGGTGGCATTGCAGCAGCAGCAAAAACAAACCTTAGGAAAAACTGTATTAATAGCACTGCCAGTGCTGTGAGCCCCACCACTGAGAAACTGTTGGAGGACTACTCCTCCCCTTGGAGAAATTTGGTGAAACGGCCACCAATTTCTCTACCCATTAACAAAGTGGAGAACTTTAAGGAGTCATTTCCACACAACTCTACTTCCAGTTCACCCTTGCATGTAGTCCTGTGCATGCAACTTACTGCTAAATGAAAAGATTTGTGGATTGGGATCCAAACTCAACAATGCCATTATAAAGAAGTGAACAAGACATCTTTGAAAAACATTATGTGGTTTTTTAATGCTTTTAAATAAATAAATACAGCAATAATTGAGACAGTGGTTGGACAGACAGGCAAAGCCTCCATACAAAAGATTTGTTTTAAAGCAACTTAGACTATATTAGAAGTGGCTAATTTTACAAATTTAGCTAGATTGTGAGAAGACAGGGGCTGGGTAGATAAAATTAGAATATGTTGTTAGAGTTGGCATCATTTTATTGATTATTTGGGTTGTACTGTAAAGGTAACATTTATGAAGTATAGTCATAAGTATTGTGTTTGTTACTATTGTCCTGATTACTGAAATTTTACATTCAAAATGGAATAAAGTGCTGTTTTGCATCATCATTTAAAGTGTTACATGATTAAAATATTTGTTTAAATTGTACTTTAATCAGTTTTGTCCTTTCCCCCATTATCCCAGACCAATCCAGAATATCGCTACCAAATAATGAGAGCCACCATAATACTCACGCTTTAGTATAATTCAAAACAAAGTCGACTCCTTTCTCGCTGTCAAACTGGATGTTTCGAGGCAATTCCTTGTGAGATTTGGCATCTATGTTCAGGGGGAAGCCTGGGTGCCATTCTGCCCACCTGGTTAAAAATGAAAATAACTCAGAAGGCAGCTTCTCCATTTGAGGGCAAGCTGGGACAGGAAACACAACCTGGCCACGGTCCCTTCTTCCGTCCAATCCATTCGGCAGCAAGGACAGTGGCGACTCCCCTCCCATCTGCTACTGCCCACCAGATAGCCAGAAATGATCACACAACTTTTAGTTGTTTCCTGCATATACCTTAGTCAACAACTGGGGTGGCGGTGGTGCTTATGAACTGGACAAGCTATCTTTGGGTGTGGAATAGTGCCTCTGGGTACCTGAGCATGCCTAGATGTATCTTTTGCTACCAAACCCAGCCATAATTTGTAGTCCCTGCATACCGTATTTTTTGCTCTATAAGACTCACTTTTTCCCTCCTAAAAAAGTAAGGGGAAATGTGTGTGCGTCTTATGGAGCGAATGCAGGCTGCGCAGCTATCCCAGAAGCCAGAACAGCAAGAGGGATCGCTGCTTTCGCTGTGCAGCGATCCCTCTTGCTATTCTGGCTTCTGAGATTCAGAATATTTTTTTTCTTGTTTTCCTCCTCCAAAAACTAGGTGCGTCTTACAGTCTGCTGCGTCTTATAGAGCGAAAAATACGGTATATGTAATACGCAAAAGGCTTTTCATTGCACTCTATTCTCTGGTTTAAAAAGAAGAAGATGTATGAATGCCCCCCTTTCCGGCTTTGCAACTAATCAACGTTTCTTGGGTCATGAGTATACTACGTTTTCTCTATCTCACTAGTGCAGAAGACGAAGCTTTACTTTGACCTAGATCAGAAAACTGATGTAATTGAAACTCATATGAATTTGATTCATTTTTAATCAGAGAACTTTCCCCCCGTTACCGCAAGAGTCCAGCGTTTGCGGAAAAAATTCAGACAATCTATGTGTTGATAAATTGCTGTATTATTGCTGAGACTGGACTTCACAGCCAACTAGTAAAAACTAATGCTTGCCTAATAAACTCAGCATATATGCAACATGCAGAATGCCCTTGTACTTTATGTAGCAGTTCCATTTGTTTTAAAATGGGAGCCAGAAGTGATGGCTGTGTGTGACTCTAAGTCTCTATGAAATATACAAGCATTGTCCAAGCATTGTCTGAGAGACGTTTGAGAGCCACAGCTTGTAGGCATTGGTGTTTCATTATATAGTAAAATTAAAGCTAGGTCTCCTTGATCACAACTTCAGGGTACTATAGAAAAATTATAGCGCTAAATAGGAAGTTTTAGGAAACTGACCGATACATCTTCTGACGATCCTCCAGCTCTTTGCGTCTGTGATGCTTAAGGACTTGAGTCTTGTCATCCGCAGAAAGCTTGGCTGTGGAAGGTGATGAAAAGATACGCAGACTGAAAAATGCACCAACAGCTTTGTACAAAGGGCAAGCACAGTTCTCTCCTTCATACTAATAAGCTAAAGGCCAAGAATGCAGCTGATTATTTGCCAGTCATTACGAACTTCAAGCTGTCTCATCTTAGCAATTCGCCATGTGTACCTTCCTCTCTGCCTATTCTTCCTCTACATGTTCCTTCATGTCTCAAACTCTTAATCTTCTGGGCTGGGGTGGGCAAGCTTTTTCAGCCAATGACCACATTTCTTTGGGCTTAATTTGTCAAGGGCCATCACCAGTGATGAGTGGAGACAGCTGAAGGAGGAAACAGATCACCCTTCTGGAAGTCCAGTTGGTTTGTCCAATTATTTCTCCATACGTGTTGGCAAGGTTTTTTGCTTTGCTTTATTGTCTTGATTTACTGTTTGTGTTTCAGATATAAGTGTCACCAGGATGTGGCAGGTAATGTAACACACACACACACCCCACACCATCCCAGTAATGACTTCTGGAACAAGACAGAAGATTTAGATATCAGGCCTGGAGGCACTCAGCCACTAAGGGTCTGAAGTATATAAATTTGTGCTTTGATGTAAGCCCTGACTGGTTGGGTGTTGTGTGCTAGCCAGTTGGCTCTGTCGTTGGTTCCTGGAGCTCTAGGCGACCAAATGGAGATAAGTTTCCTATCTTGCTTATGTTATGTTATTCTGCTTAAAGTCCATATCACTGTAGTGGTACATTCTCAACTACTGCTTTGTTTTTTTAATTAGCAATCATTAAAGAATAAATAATATTATTGTAGTTGTGCCCGATAGAAATGTAATACAGCAGATTTAACTATTTTCCATACATGCAATCTGGTGGACTATCATAGCAAAGGAGCTACTTAGCAACTTTTCTGGACTGAACAGAACAATCTGATTTACATATTGGGGGTGATGAGTCGTATCTCTTGTCTGGATACCTTGGAGTAATACAACAAATATGTAAAGTTAGGAACTAAGTAAAGAGGTTCTCTGGCTTTGCCTAGTGCTCTTAGTCAAGGACACTGCAAAGCACTCACCTCGTCCGTCTCGGAGTACCACCTCTTTGTCATCTGTAATCCATCTGTAACAAGGAAACTCTAAGTAGTCACCCATGGGTGTTTTCACGGTGACATACTTCAAGTACCAGTCATCAGGAAACCAGTACTTCCGTTTCTCAATTTTTATCAGCTGGATCTCCCCGAGGTCTTCAGTTACTGTCACATCATAAGTATCAATCTAGAAGAATGAAATTCAGAGGCTCGGATCTGTTGGAAAACACTGAGTGTCTATGAGTCTAAGGGCAGCCACATCTGAAAGATGTTATTTGATCATCACTAAACAGCATAACTACGACAGTTAGGGCTGCTCCATGCTATGACGGCTCTTGACACGTCTTTGGTGAGCCCCTGTACCAAGGAGCTCAGTTCACCTGGAACTCTGCAGAAGCTGAAGGCTATGTGCCTATTTTGCTACTGCTCTGAGCCACATAGCTCATGTGGGGCCCTCCTGTTGCTGGACTGCCAACTCCAGCCAGCAAAGACAATGGAAAGGGATGCTGTGAGCTCTAGGCTGACAACATCTGGAGAGCACTACATTGGCTGCCTAGGCCAGGCTTCCTCAACCATCGACCCTCCAGATGTTTTAAGACTACAATTCCCATCATCCCTGACCACTGGTCCTGCTAGCTAGGGATCATGGGAGTTGTAGGCCAAAAACATCTGGAGGGCTGAGGTTGAGGAAGCCTGGCCTAGGCTTTTAGCAACGAGCGCTGTATCACTGCAAAATTACAGAGAAAGCTACAGTGGATTAAGCCAAATCCCCACCCATTGCAGCTGTCACATATGTGATTCAACTTACACATGGGCCACAAAATTAGTGCAAGCTTAATGAGTCCCTGGAACCTCTCCTACATCCAATACAAACATTGAGGAGCCCAACTGCTGTCAAGGCTGCTGTCTTAAGGAAAAACTAAGTGACTGGTGCTGCTTTCCCTTGTGCTCAACATTTTCACCTGATCTGCTCTTGGGTTTGAGCTTGCTTTCAAGGAGGGCAAGACAGCCAGAACCACCGCTGATATCAGCAAGGGAGGAGGATAAAAGGTAAAAGGCAAAGGACCCCTGGAATGTTAAGTCCAGTCAAAGGCAACTATGGAGTGCAGCACTCATCTCGCTTTCAGGCTGAGGGAGCCGGTGTTTGTCCACACACAGCTTTCTGGGTCATGTGGCCAGCATGACTCAACCGCTTCTGGTGCAACAGGACACCGTGACAAGTGCCAGAATGTACAGAAATGCCATTTACCTTCCCACCATAACGGTACCTATTTATCTACTTTCACAGGCATGCTTTCGAACTGCTAGGTTGGCAGGAGCTGAGACAGAGCAATGGGAGCTCACCCTGTCGAACCACCGACCTTCCAACTGGCAAGTCCAAGAGGCTCAGTGGTTTAGACTACAGCACCACCTGCGTCCCATCAAGGGAGGAGGACAGCTCCATCAGGCCCCCTCCTGCAGTAAATAAATAAATTATATGTCTCTAGGGTGTGTGGGGGGGTTAAGGGGTAGTACCTTTGGTGGGGGACACATCATGTTCCTTCTGGGTAGTTTGTCTACCTTTGGTCACCAGTACTTGAGTTATTTAGAATTTAATATCTGTTCTGTCCAGCATTGCCATTAAAGTAATCGACCTCCGTTGTCAGAGCTAATGCCAATCAGGAAGCTTATTTCTTATAACTGATCACATCATAGACCCTCATACTATTTCCCTTTTTGGATACTCAGGAGGCTATTCAATTTTTCTCTTCTTCAAGCCTGTTCCATTCCCATGGATGTCTGCTGAAGACTTATTCAACTTAGCTAGATCCTTTTCTTTTCCTCTAATCCCCAGCTCCCAGCTTTTTAATCATTTTACTCAGTTTATTTTATTTCTTTTAATTTATTCTATTTGTATACCACCCTTCATCTGAAGATCACAAGCTGATTCACAAAAAAGTATTGTGTCAATAATAATAATAATAGTTGTTGTTATATTTGTACCCTATCCATCTTCCTGGGTTGCCCCAGCAACTCTGTAAGGCTTCCCACATATATAAAAACATATTAAAACAGTAAACATTAAAAATCTCCCTATACAGAGCTGCCTTCAGATGTATTCTAAAGGTTGTATTGTTCCAGAATATTCACACATAAAAACAGAGTCACATGAATGTCTCAAAGGCACTTTTAGTGATAATTGAGAAAACACTTTTGGGTACTGCAGCCACATGGCAAATGCATTCCTAGACGAAAGCGCCTGCAGATTGGAGAGTTTTCTTTATTTATCCCTGAAGATGAACTACTGACTGCTGCTTAAAGCTTTAAACCATCAGCTTTAACTGATAGTTATTTTCTTAACCAAGGCCAGGCCTGCTTCCTTTTGTCTGGTGATTAGCAGATGATAAAGATAATTCTGTGAGGCAAAACTTTCATGGAAACAAGTAAGGGTGGCCCTCTTACTGTGAAAAATAATGAACATAGCTATGCAAATACTATGGATCCAAGATGAATCCAGATGGTCAAAAAATATTACCTGAAGCTAAGTTTTCCTGCTGAGAACATAAAACACAAAGTGTATATTACTTCTGATATGATGAGGGATAGCTTACAGTTTCATTCCCTGTAAAGCTAAGACAATCGACCTGTGATCCCAGTACTTTGTTTATATGCAAACGGGCATGGATTAATCATTGAACTAAGAATCCCAACAATGGTGCAATTGTTACCCAGTAGCTTCCCAGCATGGTGCGTGTGGGGGAGTCACGTAATGCCAAACTATACCAAATTATCTTCACTGTAATGTTATGTTTCCACCTCCCTTAGGAGACTATCATACTCCTGGTATTTCGAAAACACTTACCAGTTAATTAGGCACTGTGTGTTCTGAAAGGAGCTACTCCAACAAAACGTTTTCAATCAAAAAGACTTCAGAAAATATATTTCTTGAAATGAAGGTGGACTATAGATATAGTGCAAATCTTCATCATCAAACAATATTTACACATTAGCAAGATAAGGTATGGAAATGTGGATGAAGCCACAATTTACTGATTGTCACAAGCAAATAATATTTCAAATGTTTTCTTAAACTTTTACCCATAATGATATGTCTGACATGTCCCACAGACACACAGCAATAATGAGTTTCCTAACCTAAAAGCCCAGAAGGCTCTGATGGACTGAATCTGATGTCTGTATAAACATCTCTATATTTATAGATTTTTGACAGGGTGATAAAACAGAATTAACAAAGAAAACATTATATAGCAATGCATTTTATTGTAAATCTCAGGCCTGCTCTCTGAATAATATTTTATTCAGCATCTTTCCTGCCCCCCTGCAAAATAAGTTTTCTTTTAAGTTTTTAGTTTTTCAAAATAAGTTTCAAAATAAGATAAGTGACCTTTAGGTCATGGTTGAGCTCCTTCCTTTGACATCTGCCATTATTTTTGAGTTAGTGGAACAATGAATTACCTGACATTGTATTGATACCCCAAAATATTCCCTCTCATGCATTTATGTCAAACACTGAAAACCTTTGGTCCTTGAGCCATATTAGGACCACCAGGGATCCTAATATGACCTGTGAGGCCATTTTACCCAAGCCACACACACCGGCCCCACAAGATCATATGTGACATCAGGTGTGCTGCAGGTAAAGAAGACAGCTGCACAAATATAGGATGGGGACATCTGGCTTACTAGCAGTACATGTGAAAAGGATCTAAGGGTCTTGGTGGACCATAAGCTGAGTCCACAGTGTGATGCAGCAGCAAAAAAGCTAGGGATATTCTAGGCTGCATCAACAGAAGTCTAGTGTCCAGATCAAGGGAAGTAATAAAGGTAAAGGTAAAGGGACCCCTGACCATTAGGTCCAGTCGTAACCAACTCTGGGGTTGTGGCGCTCATCTCGCTTTATTGGCCGAGGGAGCCGGCGTACAGCTTCCGGGTCATGTGGCCAGCATGACTAAGCCGCTTCTGGCGAACTAGAGCAGTGCACGGAAACGGCGTTTACCTTCCCGCCAGAGGCAGTACCTATTTATCTACTTGCACTTTGGTGTGCTTTCGAACTGCTAGGTTGGCAGGAGCTGGGACAGAGCAACGGGAGCTCACCCCATCGCGGGGATTTGAACCGCCGACCTTCTGATTGGCAAGCCCTAGGCTCTGTGGTTTAACCCACAGCGCCACCCGCGTCCCAAGGGAAGTACTGGTAATAGTCCCACTCTATTCTGCCTTGGTCAGAATCCTGTGACCAGTTCTGAGCACCACAGTTGAAGAAGGAGATTGACAAGCTGGAACCTGTGCAGACGAGGGCAGCCAAGATGATCAAGGGTCTGGAAACCAAGTCTTTTGAGGAATGGTTGAGCATCATATTATGTGCATCATATACTTCCCTCCCCTCCCTGTTGCCTTTGGACTGGGGGAAAGTTCTGACACTGGCAGAAATTTGCTTAAGCTAAAAACAAGTGAAATGGGCAGAGCATAGATTGAAAAAAGAATGACATTGAATCGAGCTAATTATATTCCATCTTTTAAACATACTATTTTGAGGCACAGGTAACAATAACATAGACAGGTTGTCGTACAAGAATTTTACAAGCATCAGGAAAGCATAAGGTAAAGGGACCCCTGACCATTAGGTCCAGTCGTGGCCGACTCTGGGGTTGCGGCACTCATCTCGCTTTATTGGCCGAGGGAGCCGGCGTACAGCTTCCGGTCATGTGGCCAGCATGACTAAGCCGCTTCTGGCAAACCAGAGCAGCGCATGGAAACGCCGTTTACCTTCCCGCCAGAGGAAGATACTATTTATCTACTTGCACTTTGATGTGCTTTCGAACTGCTAGGTTGGCAGGAGCAGGGAGCGAGCAACAGAAGCTCACCCCGTCGCAGGGATTCGAACTGCTGACCCTCTGATCGGCAAGTCCTAGGCTCTGTGGTTTAACCCACAGCGCCACCTGCATCCCTCAGGAAAGCATACGAAGCCACAATAAGAATGAGCAAAAACTTCCAGGACTACAATTAATTTATTTTCCTGTAGGCCTGAGAAGCAGAAGTAAATGGGATGATTGGTATGAATAAGGAAAGACCTGAGAACAATAATAGGATTATCACTTTTGCCGACTTCACTTCTGAAACTCTTATTTTCACATTAAGACCTTCTGTCTTGCAATAGACTTCCTATGTAGGATGTGATACTATACAGTTTCTAATTTTAATAATATTCACTTTGGTGCTTAATTCTGGAATGGATCTGGTTGTAATGTTGACAGAGCACTTGCCATTCAAAAACATTCAGTAATACTATCTGGGTTTGTGATTTTTTTGGGGGGTGGGGCAAAGAACGGAAGCCGTGAACAGGCCCCATTGGTCCATGGACTCACCTGCACACCCAAGTGAGTATGTTATTCCTCCAGAAACAATTCTTGCCCTGTGAATATAACACTGTAACTTGGCAGAGATATTAGATATTAATGGTCACAGAGTGAGAAAGAGATCTCTGGATCTCTTTTTGCTGCAATAAGCAAAAAGTCCTGCAACAACTATTTTTTAAGTTTCAAAACAACTCCCTGGGAAGGATAGTAAACTAAATGAGATGCGGAACTAAGACATTATGCAACATTATTTGTGAAAGAATCTATACAGGAAAAAGAACAAAAGCAGACATTAAGAAGCAGAACTAAGTCTGAAGACACGTGCCCACTGGGTGTACTTCCAGCACGCCTGTTCCAGAAGGCGAGCCATGCTGATCTATCTTTCTTTCTTTCTTTCTTTCTTTTTCTTTCTTTCCAATTGTCTTTTAATGATTTAGTCCCGCATGACCCCACTATTCTGACTTTTCCAAACAAACCACATATCCAGCGGAGTCTAGTACACTCTAGATAATCTTCTAGTTATGATCAGAATTAGGTTTACAAGTAAATTTCCCTTTCAGACTTTCCATATCTGCTGCTTTTATTGAGTATTTGGCACGCAGCAGCTCATAAGGCTTGTTCTGTTATCGAAAGGACCCACCACAAATTTGAATGACTTCAGAGGAAGCGAGAGCTGTGGTGATGGAACCAAAAGAGTCTATGCAAAAGAGGAAACCAAGGATGACACTGTGGGAAGCAAGAGGCCACCTTGCCGTATGCGTGCACCAAACTGGGTCTTTGACCCGAGTGGAATGAAGTCTCCTTTTGCCCCTGGGGAAAGAAGCTCTTAGGATGGAAGCATGCCTCCTTTGTGATCAGCAGAAAAGTGGGGAAAGGAAGTCAATCCCCCCTCTCTTTCTTTCCCTACCCCCCACCAGAGCTTTCTTGAGGCAACACACAGATGTTGTGTGTTAGCCATGCGCAGGGTGCCTCAGAGGCTCTGTCAGCCAGCCACAGAGAGCCTGAGGGGAGCAACTCCTAGGCAGCTCTTCCCCCTCAAGGGGATACTGCTCATTGTATCCCACCAGGACAAGAGCTTAAAGAGCCCTCCAGAGGAGGATGCTCACCCAACCACAGACTCTCTTTGGAAAGCCCCGCCCCTTTAAAACAAACAGCAAGCCCCTTCCTGTCCCCACCCTTCTTGCAACCCTCAGCTGACAGGCGGGTCTGTTTCATGAAGTCTCTTTAATGAGAGAGGTGGCAAGAGAGAGAGGGGAGATGCTGGGGGGGGGGAGAGAAAAGGAGAGAACAGGTATCCCTTCCCCTCCTCAAGTCTTTCAGTAATTTTTTATAGTGACAGCAGCCTCCTCTGAGGGAGATCCTAAGAAGATCTCCCAGACAGAAATCCTAGCCAGGCAGACTCAGTTTCACTCGTGTAATCAAGGAGGATATCTTTTGGACGGGAGGATTTTATTCTATTTTTACTCCCCCACCCTCTTTCTTGGGGAAGGGGGAGAAATACCCCATCAGCCCCTCATTTTGTTTCAGTGTGTTCAGAGATGCTTTCTCTGGAAATGTTTATTTAAGGAGTGTTTTACACAAATCAGCAGCTCTTTATTTTTTTATTGTTTAGCAAAACAGCATCATAGCAATAATGAAATGAGTTGAAGTTCAGTATGTTAATGAGTGGGCTTGTTTTGTTTATTTAGAAAAGTGAAACTGGTTTGTCAAATGGATCGAAGGATGTGATTGATATGTAGTATATAGTTATATATTCTTCCACCTACCACAAGCCCCAAATGAGCAGAAGAGAGGTGAAAAAAATTCTACAACTGATGAGGGGGGTTTCATGTCATTTCCCACTTTTACGCAGTCCTCATCAAACAGCTTTCCCTCTCTCACAACCGTTTTCTATGCTTCACAATACTTTTTTTTTTTAATAGGGAGAAATAAATAGCGTGACAGGAATTATTAGCCTTACAATGTTGAGACTTTGTTAGCAGATTTCTAGTACAGGTTTGTAAAGAGGTCCAAAGTTAAAAATAGCTTTCTCTCATGACAACCTAGAAAGCAAATATTCAAGATGCACTTTGGCTCCTCACGAGACTTTCCTGCATATCACATCAGGACCAGGGCTATTGTAAATATACATTTTGTAGAGGGGAAGAAAAACAGTATGTAAACAGCAACAAGAGGAATACCGGGACCGTTTTTTCTAGAAAAAAAGCGCTGATGACCATGAAAAATTTGGTATCATCATCGAACTTGGCTATGTCATTGTGCACCCACCCCTAATGTAGATGGTTTATGAACAAGTTACAAAGCACAAGTTCCAACGCGGATCCTCAGGGGCTCCACGCTTTATATCCCTTCGTTGGATGAATTGTCCATTCATTCCTACTCTCTGCCTCCGGTCTCATAACCAGTTACTGATCCGCAAAAGGACCAGCAAAGTGAGAGAAGGATGCTCCTTGCAGAACCAGCCACTGCCCTTTCAGAATAACACATCTCCCTACATTTCTTTTAGTAGTATGGCAGAATCAATCAGACAAGAGATGGCTGTAAGGCAGAGGTGGGTCCATGGATCCTTCTCAGGATGGGCCAAATCTGACAGGTGAGGGGTGTTCACCTGTCAATCATTGATGTCATGATGATATTGCATGATTGACAGGTAGGTTTTTTCCTCTACTATTTTTTCCTCTTTGCCTTCCCTCCCTCTGCTTCCTTTTGATCCCACCCCCAGCCCCTCAGTCCTCCCAGCACTGATGTGGGAAGAGAGAAAAAGAAGCCTGTATTTTCCAAGCTTTCCTTGGCTTCATGCGCCAGTTCCCTGGGCAGAACCAGCGGCATCAGCCGATGGAGGTGGTCAGGGGAGGATGGCCTCATGGGCCCAATTGGACTTCCTGTTTTCAGGCACGCCTGCCACTGCTTCTGATTGCTTACGTTCCCCTCTCTCCTTGCTCATTCACACGCTCTCTTTGGGCGGGATGGTAGATAGGATTGGGCCCTGCGACCTCACCCTGAGCGAGCAGGTGGAAGCTGTGGCTTTTCTTCAAGAGTCTGTGCTTACACTCCCTGCCCTTCTCTCTGGGTGGCGCCAGAGGCTGTGCCACCCACAAAGAGAAGGCAAATGGAGGGAAAGTTCCCTTTAGGAGCCATCTGATTCTGCTCACTTGCACACCTTTTGGACCTTGAGGTTTTGGGGGTCAGCACCCAGCTGCAGTGTCTGAAAAAAGATGGCTGCTGTTACCTGTGTGCTGTTAAGAGAAAGAGGGTGCAGCAGGCAGAGGGAGCAGGTTGTCCTGCAAAGCAACCCCAAAGTCTCCTTCTCCCCACCACGCCCTTGGATAGCAGGCAGAGGGACAGCCCGACAGTCAGAGGCAGCTGCGGCTGTCCTTGCAAATAACGTAAAGTTGCCCTCCTTCGTGGGCAAGGAAGCTGAAGCTGCCTGGTAGCAGTCATTGCTGTGGGCAGAGGAGGTTGCGTGGTTGTGTGTGGTGGCAGGGAGCAAGGGGCGCAGTCAGAGCAGCCACCCCATGAGCCCAAACCTAGACTCGGACTGAACCCACCCAGGCTGAGCCCCTCCAGAGCTTCTGCCAGCCGCCCACTAGACTGAGCCAGAGCGACCACAGCAGTCCTCGACTATGGTTTCTTAAGCTCCCTGCCAGGGCCGTCTTAAGCATATCCGGTGCTGTGGTGCAAAGATCCCTCAGATGACCCCCGTTTCCCAGAGTTATTGACCTTTTCCCAAGCCTCTGCAGGGATCGCTCTCCTCCCGTGGAGGCTTGGGAGGCAAGCTGCATGCCCGCCAGCCATATGGTTGATGGGGCCATAGCTGTCAACCTTCCCTTTTTTTGTGGGAAATTGTGCGGGTGGCGCTGTGGGTTAAATCACTGAGCCTAGGACTTGCTGATCAGAAGGTTGGTGGTTCGAATCCCCGCAATGGGGTGAGCTCCCTGCCAACCTAGCAGTTCAAAAGCACGTCAAAGTGCAAGTAGATAAATAGGTACCGCTCCGGCGAGAAGGTAAACAGTGTTTCTGTGCGCTGCTCTGGTTTTGCCAGAAGCGGCTTAGTCATGCTGGTCACATGACCCAGGAAAGCTGTGTGCGGACAAACGCCGGCTCCCTCGGCCAATAAAGCGAGATGAGCACCACAACCCCAGAGTCGGCCACGACTGGACCTAATGGTCAGGGGTCCCTTTACCTTTACCCTTATTTCAGCGCCATTTCCCGCTGCTTCCCGCTGCTATCCCGGATTGTTAGGTATCCCGTAGACTGTCCCCGGGACAGGTGAGGTTGCTGATCCCTTATTTTAGAGGCTGCTGATCCCTTATTTTCAAATCTGAAAGCTGACAGCTATGGATGGGGCGCAGCTGGGGGCGTGCAGGGAAAAGGGAGGCCACTGGCAAAGCCGTGCAGCTCCCCCACTCGCTGGGGCGCCCCTGAGATGCCAGCGCCCTGGTGCAATGCACCAGTAAGCCCAATAGGAAAAGACGGCTCTGCTCCCTGCAGCTGGTCTGTGCCAGTGCCGCCCGCCACGTCCAAGATGCTGCGCCGGGGCCAAACGGTGCGCCGGAGAGGTGGATGGATGCGAGGCATGCAGGACGCGCGTAAAAGGGAAGCGGGCAGAAGTTTCCATTGTCAGTAGGAAGCCACAAAATGGGGAACCCGCTTGCTAGACGGGGAGAAACAGCGCGGGGGGAGAAGCCCCCCGTCTCAATGCCTCTCTGTGGAAGGAAGGCTCTCAGGCAGCTCTGCAGCGGGAGAGGCGAGAGGGTTTCTGAGCCTGAGCAGAGCGCGGGCTGCCCAAGCGCGCCATCCGCCCCCGTCCCGTCCAGTCCCTCACTCACCGCGCCGCGCTCGAAGTCGTCGTAGAAGGGCTTGTCGAGCAGGTGCCTCTCGCTCGTGCCCCCCGAGCCCACCAGGCTCAGGTAGACGTAGTCGTCGGTGCCCGCGAACCACTGGCTGCCCGTCGCCACCGTCACCGAGTAGGACGGCATGGCTGCGCCCAGGAGCCGAGCAGAAGTCGCGGGGCTGCGCGCAGGCACAAGGAGGCGCCGCCCCGCCGAGGAGGGCGAGGTCCCGCTCCAAGGGGAGGCGCTGGCGCGGCCGCCGCAGAGAAGGCGCCGTCGGGGGCCGCTTCAGGCGCTGCCGCTCCTCGGGCTGAAGATCCAGGGGCTCCTCCGGCAGGAGCTTTGGCGCTCTAGCAGAGCATCTGTCCTTCTTCCAACTTAGCCCCCCAAGACCAAGCAATCCTTCTGGGGGAGCGGGGTTTGGGATTCCACTGCAGAAGTTTCTAACTCTAGACGAGAACTCAGAGAGGAAGGAAGCCACAGCAAACAGACACGGAGGTTGGGAGGCATCAGCAGGTGTGAATGCTGCAGTGGAATTGCTTAGATGCGGTTTATATCTCTATATAAGATCTAGATCTTAGATGTGGTTTATATCTCCAGTTCCGTCTAAGTCTTGTTTTGCATCCTCGGGTGCAAATATATTCAAATGATATACATCTGCCTCTATGACTCACTGCCTTGTGTGTGTGTGTGTGTGTTGTGTTTCGTTTGTAAAGGGAGATTTAAAGTATATTTCAAATTGGTTCTATGATTCCCCACAGCACACAATATACAAAATACAGTGGTACCTCGGGTTAAGTACTTAATTCGTTCCGGAGGTCCGTTCTTAACCTGAAACTGTTCTTAACCTGAAGCACCACTTTAGCTAATGGGGCCGCGCCGCTGCTGTACATTTTCTGTTCTCACCCTGAAGCAAAGTTCTTAACCCGAGGTACTATTTCTGGGTTAGCGGAGTCTGTAACCTGAAGCGTATGTAACCTGAAGTGTATGTAACCTGAGGTACCACTGTAATGCAAAGACCACACCCTTTGTACTTGGATGGTTGCTGGACCTCCTCAATATACCCCCTTGGTTTTCCTTGTGTGTGTGAAGACAGAACAAATATAATGGGAGATCTACTGTGGCTCCAGTGATCAGAGGAGCCTCTCTCCTCCCCCGCCCCTTGAGAGGACAATTAGGACAATGGGAGAGGTGAAATGCCTCAGAAAAAAATGGGGGGGGGGGGAGAAATTGGTAGGGGTGGGATTGAATGAGATAGGTAACGGGTTAGATAAGTATCATAAGACATGAGACCAGAAATTAAGAACTACATTCAACTCATGAATAATGAAATAAATATTTTAACCCAGTACGCTTCCAAGCACAATTCAAAGTGTTGGTGCTGACCTTTACAGCCCTAAACGGCCTCGGCCCAGTATACCTGAAGGAGCATCTCCATCGTTCTGCCCGGGCACTGAGATCCAGCGCTGAGGGCCTTCTGGCGGTTCCCTCACTGCAAGAAGTGAGGTTACAGGGAACCAGGCAGAGGGCCTTCTCGGTGGTGGCACCCGCCCTGTGGAACGCCTTCCCATCAGATGTCAAGGCAATAAGCAACTATCCTTCTTTTAAAAGACATCTGAAGGCAGCCCTGTTTAGGGAAGTTTTTAATGTTTAATGCTGTATTGTGTTTTTAATATTCGATTGAGAGACGCCCAGAGTGGCTGGGGAAACCCAGCCAGATGGGTGGGGTATAAATAAATTATTATTATTATTATTATTATTATTATTATTAATGTTAAAGGGCTGGGGTCGATTATGAAAAGGAGGATAGAAACACAAATAGCAGATAAATAGCAGATAAATAGTAAAATCTGGGGGGAAATGTGGAAGAAACACACTTTGAAAATGTTGTCTATTAGGATAAAAGAAAATTATAAATTAGTTTGGAGGTGGTATTTCATACCAGTCAGATTAAATCAAATAAACAAGGAATATTCAGTGTTATGTTGGAGGGGATGCCAGGAAACGGAATTATGTTCACATGTGGTGGGGGTGTAAATATGTACAATTGGGGGGGGGGGCAAAGGGTGTTTAAGCAGATAACAGAAATCACTGGGTTAAAGCTGACCGAAAGTCCAGAGGTAGCATATCAATTTACAATGGTGTGGAGGGTTCGCAGGCTATGAAGGACTTGCTCACAAATTTATTGACAGCTGCGTGAGTTATTATAGAAAAATGGTATAAAGAGGCGTGGGATATAGCTATTAATTAACATGTGCTATTAAGGCAAGATGGGGAACATGCAGGAGAAATGATTTTGAGTAGATATGGAAGGTGTTTGTAGAATTTGTACTGTTAAAACAGAAAGGGGTCAAACCATAGCCAAGAGGTGTTGAAATATTGGGAGGTTGGATAGTTACAATGGAATGGTCTCAGGAATACTGTGCACATTTTTATTCTTATTTATTTATTATTATTACTTTGTCAAAATAAAAAATAAAACAATTTTTAAACAAAACTAATGTGGACAAAAGGAAAACGGAGCAAGATACCTGGTGCTAGCTTGGTAGCCAGAGCTATTGGAAGGAGGCATACAATGTACCATCCAACCATCTTGGGGCAGGGGTTGGCAAACTAAGGTCCGTGGGCCAGATAAGGCCCAAGGACCCTGCCACCTGCCCAGTCAGTCCCCGTGCTGAACTGGCATGGCGACATCTCGCTGCGCAGGGACTGAATTCTGCGATGGGTGCATGGGCTGCTTTGGATTGGCTCCAGGAAGATCCTGCAGCCAATCTGAAGCCGCGGATGCCTCTAGGCAGGTGGTGACACTGGCCAATCCGAAGCCTCACCGCCTGCGTGCTGAGGAAACCCGGCGCGGCTTCGGATTGGCTCCAGGAAGCTCCCACAGCCAATTCGAAGCTGCGGAAGCTTCTGGGCGGGCAGCTACACCGGCCAATCTGAAGGCACACGGAATTTCCTCTGCAGCCATGGCATCGCAGCCATGGACAGAGGGGCTAGTGGGCGTGCCGCAAGGCTTCAGCCGGAGCTTGGCGTGCCTGCTGGCCCCGCGCCCGGGAAGGCTCTCCTAGAAACAAGAGGTGCTGCCACCGCCATCAGCTCCCAACTGCTGCCAGGAAGTAGGAAAGCAGGAGGAGGGGGAGAGAGAAGCCCCCCTCTGCCAGTGTGTGTGTGTGCACATGTGCCAGAAGATTTGAGGGACAGTATGCTGGCTTGCTGGTAGAAAAGTTTGCTGACCCTTGGTCTTAGGGTCTCCAGATTTGTGAAGGGCTTGTTCCTTAGCCTTTTCTTCTTCCAAAGATGTCCCACCAGGCAGCTGGTACGGATTTTTACACTCAAATCCTCTCACACAAATGTGTATAGCCACAAGGCAGAAGAGGTTTAGTACGTTTGCCTTCTCCTAGATGGGCGAGCTTCCCAGGTATGGGGGTGTTAGGGGAGGGTTAGTACCTTTGGTGGGAGACACGTTGTGCTTTCTCTGGGGTAGTTTGGCCACCTTTGGTCCACACCCTGCACTCACCTCTCACCTGTGGCTCCTAGAGGCTGGCCATCTAAACTAGGTGAGGGTAGCTGATGGGTCTCAAACCCTCAGTGACTTAGGGACTTCCCCTGCATGCAGACAGGCTCCAGAAGAATGAGTGGACCAGACCAACAGTGGGTCCAACTGTCAAGAAGGTGGTTACTGCACTGTGCTGTAGAGTGAAATGAGAGGCAGATGGGGCTTCTCAGTGAAAATGTAGTATAGGGAAATAATCCCCTCTATTCATCCAAGTCATTTATAAAGATGTTGAACAGCACAGGGCCAAAGGCAGAGTCCTATGACACCCTACTTGAGATTCTTCTTCCACTGATGCAGTCGTGAATGAGGGATGTTTGGGAATTCATTTTAGAAAGCTGAAGATCCATCTAACCGTGGTATTATTCAAATTACATTTTACTAGCTTGTCAGCAAGGATATCCCAGGAGACTTTGGCTTGTTCCCAACAAAGTCATTGCATGAATGGAATTCATTCTACTCATACAATGGAATTCCCCCTCTCTATTCTCCCGCTGCATGCATGTATGCAGTCAGTCAATCAATCAATCAATCAATCAATCAATCAATCCACATACATACATACACACAGACACACATGGCCTGGAGCAGGTTTGAGGATGGAGCAGGGAGGGCGAATTCAATTCCTTCAGTCACGTAATTACTTTTGCTGGATACAACCCAATGTCCACTACAACATTCCCATGAGCTACCAAACTACTAACTATCAAAAAAAGGGTGGTTATATATATCTGCTTGAGCTTCAAAACTTCAAATTAAAAATTGTTCGATAAAATGCTGTGAATTCACCTTTTATTTTTAAGAGAGGGCTGTAATAATGCGCTTGCCAATTGAAATAAATAAAACCAATTTTCTTTTCATTATCTCTGATAGAAACATAGTATGTGGTGTTCTGCTCTTCAACTCCCTTTTCTCACCCCCTTGCAAATACTCAGACAGGCTGCCTGAGAACACATGGGAGATTAGTTCTACTATCTCCTTATTTGAGATTCGCTCTTAAGACACATCTGAAAATACTTTTCACACTGCATGATAGCATCCCTCTGAGAGTCAGCAGTCCTCAGACACAGATACCAGAGTTCAGGACACTAACAGTTTCTGCTCCACAGGTTTGCTATACAGAAGTGGGAAACAGACAAAGATACAGTGAAGAAGAGAATGACAAAGGAGCTTAATTTTTCAAAGCACAGACTGTCAAGAATTCAGGAAGAGACCTGCTCTTCTTCAGCCCTTTCGTGTGCCACGAGATCCAAATAGTAGGTTGTCTTACAGACTGCACAAAGCAAAAGAAATAGTGACATTTGCGGGAGAGAGGAAAAACCCAACAAGCAGGAGACGCCAAGCCCCTCCCTGTAAAATATGCAGAGAATGTGGAACTTGCTGTTGGTTTTAAAAACATAGATTTATCTGAAATGAAGATGAATTACGTGCTTGTAATTTAATTCTGTGACAACTATTTCAACATTATACTGAGCACTTAATGAAGTCTGCTGAAGCAGAATTTCTTATCTACTTTCTAAATCAATGGTGTAATGATTCAATATATCTAACAATAATGAAGTCTACTGAACCAGAATTTCCTACCTGTTTAAGAAATTAATGGTGAAATGTCAGCATGTTGGAAGTACAGTAAAGACTCAGCCTTTAAACAGGAATTTCTGCACAAGTAGCAAGATCCAGACCCTTAAGAAAATATTACTAGCACCAGGAATGTTCATTAGAGTCCCTTTCCTATGAGGGCTGGGATCATTTACAGGGAGAGAGGGGTGTCTACTGCAGCATCAACGCGAAAGCTGTGAATCAGCCTCATAAGCCAACTCAGGACTTCCCTCTCACATTAGGGATGGAAATCGTGCTGCTAGTGGGATGGACAAATTTCATGTCTTCTAAGTGCAAAAGAAAATCCAGGAAGCTTTGACATTTGGGAATTAAGATTCACCGGAAAGTAGCAGCAATTCTCACTATACAGTCATCCCATTTGGGGCTTCTAATGTACATTCCGGTGATCTTGGCATCTTGCAACTATGCATCTGCTGTGTTACTAGCTGTCCCTCTTTGGTGCCTGGAAACCTCTCAAAGCCACCAGAACCTCACATAGACAATCAACATGATAAAGAACACGGCGACAGCCGCGAGCTTGGCATAGGTGGAACGCATGTTCAAATATTTTGCATCCTGGCGATATTTCTTCGACAAACTGGACAGATTGTTTGCCTTGGAATCCAAAGCTGTTTCAAAAGAACAAATAATTAATAAGACACATTAGTATTTGTAGGTGTGCAGTTACGAATTTATATTGCATTGCCATAGATTCATGTTATGTTTCAAATTAAAGGCCCGAATCTGCTGACTTCAGTCTGACCTAAGAGCAGACGTTTTCCTTTTCCTTGTTGGAAAAATTACAGGAGGAAGACAGTTTCTGTCAAGCACCCAGTGTCTATTATCTGCTGTTAATCAAAAAGTTTGCTTTTCGTTAGAAAAAGTGGCTTACATTTATTCCAGCAGCCACCCATCATCTGAAAAGTCTTTCTGGAGGGATGTGGGACTCTTCTGAAGAATTTAGGAGGGGACATGGGGAGGGGCTGCCATAGTCAGGTTTAGATTCTAAGATAAGTAAAGGAAGTTCACAAAAGGGGTGTGTCTTCTCCCATCCTTCCTCTATTGATTTGAAGGATGCTCCCACCCCACTTTCTGCAAAGGTTTTCAGAGGGGTCACAAGCAGCTGCAAGTGGGGAATGGGAGGGAAACTGCCCTTCCATTTATTCCCGTAGGTTAATGTATCTTAGGACCCAAGCAAGAGTTTATTAAAAACTTCTCCTTGGTTTCTAGAACTCTGACGTTGCGGCGATAAGGTGGTGGAAGTACTAGCTGAGAAACTGAGGCACTGCCTGGGAAGTCATGGAATCCAGAAGCTGCTATGGGCAGGATGAATGAGGACTGAGCGAAACCATCTTCCCCTACAACTTTTGAATTGTGTTACAGCAAAGATTTGGTCAATATGTGATGTGTAAGTTTCTGATTCAAAAGTGTCCTAATCAATAGCTAATACTGTTAGTCACTGTTCTGAGTTTATTATTCCCCATGAGCTCTGGTGTATCATTTTTAACGTGTAAGCTGAATGCGAACTGTGCATCCTAAACTCATGTCAGAAGCATGCAAAACTGCATTCTTTCTCTGCAATGCAACCCTCTGAATAAACCAGTCAATTTTTTTTCTGAATCAATGGATGTCTGCCTTTGTAACAGCCTGTGCACCTGCCATTTATGAGGACCTCAGGCTGCTCCCCTACCCTTTCTGAAACTACTTGCAAGTAACCCCCCCTCACAGACTTTCAGTTCTTGTATTCTGTGGGATACATGCCCCAAATATTTATATACCAAGATCCAACTACTGCTAATAACTCATCACCTGCTCACCGCCTCCCCTGCTGCTGCCACCACCCACCCCCTTCTTTTCCTGTGCCCTTGGAAGTAAGCCCCACTTCTCCATTAAAAGAGAAGCTGGACACACATATTATGGGCACAGCAAGTGGAAGAACAGTTTGTCAGACTTTCAACAACTGCCCTGAATTCTACAATAATGTACCTCCCACATTTTGGGTCTGGGGTGGGACAGGTAATGGCAAACTGTATAAGTTCACATCTGAACTGCTCAATTGCTGCTCAAACAAAAGAGGAAGCAAGAAATTTTGAAAAGTATGAAGCAAAAGCTACAGAGGCGGAGAAGCAGAAGCTACAGAGCTGGAGCTCCACCACAGAGAAGAAAGGTGCTATACCATTTGCCCAAGTGATGGGTGACTACTGCAACCACTGCCAAGTTAGACATGGTTCCAGGCCAGGTCCCATTGCTGAAGCAATGAGCTATGAAGATACCTACCATAAACAAGCCAGCTTGTTCAACATACAATTGAGATGGACATTCTGCCTGCTTTGGCTTTAGGGCAAAATCAGAAAAGGCAGATCTCTGTTCTGAGGAACTTATAATTTAAGCATGATGAACAAAAGAAAAAAAAGATGAAGAATGGGATATGCAATGGTAACATGGGAAGAAAGCAAGCAAAAGAAGATACATATACTTAGGCCTGATTTAACTGGAAATAAGGGATGATCAATATGACGAAGGATTTGGAAACCAAGCCTTAGGAAGAATGGTTGAGGGAGCTGGGTAGGTTTAGCCTGCAAAAGAGGAGACTGAGGAGATAGGGTAGCCATTTTCAAATAACTAAAGAACTGCCACATGGAAGATGGAGCAAGCTTGTTTTCTCCTGCTCCAAAGGGTAGGCCCTGAACAAGAAAGGAGATTCTGACAAATCAGGAAGAGCTTTCTGATGGTAAGAGCTGTTTGCCAGTGGAACCCACCTCGGAGGGTGGTGGACTCTCCTTCACTGGATGTTTTTAAGCAGATGTTGGATGGCCATCTGTCATGGATGTTTTAGCTGATATTCCTGAACTGCAGGGGGTTGGACTAGATGACCCTTAGGGTCCCTTCCAACTCTATGATTTAAAGAAAAAGAAGTAAGTAGTAACACCCAGGTGTTATGGGGGAGAGTTCAAGGTACAAGGGATTGCGAGAGAACAGAAAAGAGTAGGAGACTTTAAGATGCTATAAGAATGCAGTCAAGTTTGGGGAAGATCATAGGGCACAACATGTCATTGACTAAGGGCTTAACACTAGTACAGGGCAAAGCTGTAGGGTGCTTTAATTCTAAGGAGAAGAATAAAGATTTGTTGAATGGGGAAGGAGATGAGAAACCAGAGCAGAGATGACTGCTGGAGCACCACTAACAGAGTTTTGGGGAACAGGGGTCAACAGGTTTTTGCCTGGCCAAGGCTGGAAATTGTCATGCTTGCTATGGTGCATGACATGATAGTAATTATTCATGGTATTCTACTACACCCTTCAGGCAAGTTTCCAGGGGACTTAATAAAGCAAAGCAAATCAGAATAAAAGCAGTTAACATATACAGATAATGCTGTAGAAGCAGGAAAAAAACATGTAAGAGCAGAATAAAATCATGAGTAAATATAAAACATGTATAAACAAACATTTATGAAGCCTGGATATATTAATAAGTGTTCTCATTTATTTATTTTATTTATGTCCCACCCTTTACCAAAAAATCACAAGGCAAGCCACAAAATGGGGGGTGGGGAGCCTACATAAAAAGTCATTTGAATATTTATGACATGACATCAAAGCAACATCAGAGCTGGAACACATTCAATCTTGGAGCACCACAAGGGAGAAAGTAGCCACTTACTGCAATTCCAATGGTGTGGGCCCCCGTAATAAAGCATCTGTTGAATATTTTAATGTAGGGAAAGTGCATGTGCAGACAGGGTGTGTTGTTATATTGCACAAAGCAGCTTGCCACAGCTTCCCCTGTTCCTACTGCATAGGCTACAATCGCACCTGATCATCCCATAAAAAGGCAGAGCAACTTGTGCATGCAACAGTCACCGTACCTGAAAGTGCCTCGCCTCGTTGTAGAACTTCTTCAATGTTAGCTACCATGATTCTCTGTACATCCTGCAACTCTGTGTTGATGGAGCCAAGGTTTCTTCTTGCACGACTGTCAATATATAGTTTCTTGGTTTTCTGGATATAAGTATCTGAAACAAGAGGTAGCTGCTCATGAATTAGTCTCTCTTCCCTTCAGTGTCCAACAGCTAATTTATGTCTTTTATTTATCAGTTCCACACATGTGGTCAGTCTTGGTTGTCCACCAATTATCCTTTTTGGTGGCAATTTTCATTGTAGCATCCAGTGGAGAGGAGGTTTAACCTTGTCTCCACAATCATGGTCCTAATGAAAATTGGCTCCCCAAGACTGTTAGCTCCATTGGCATGCTTTAGAGCATTTTCTTCTAAAGCTAATAATAGGGTGGGATGGGAATTGTCACTGTGGTAACAGTTGGGAAGGGTTAAATCTACTCTCCCTGTGCATTGAGATACTTATGAAAATTGGAACTCACATTCACCTATTGCTAAATAGCTGTTTTTGTGTAACATAGGTGTGCAACTTAATGATGGTTGCAGCATCACATGTAATATAGTCCATAATTTTCCTATCAAGGTTGAGCAACCATGGTGACAAGCATTCAGAAACTCTCACTGGTCCTAAGTACAAGAGTGTTTATAAGAGATAATAAATAATAATAATAATAATAATAATAATAATAATTTTATTTACACCCCGCCCTCCCCAGCCAAGGCCGGGCTCAGAGCAACTCAGATGACACAGATCACCCAAGAACAAAGAATGTCAGAGTCCACTGTATTTGTGTGAGGGAAAGGGATATTTGCATAATCTGACCTGATATTCTGTAAAGCTTCTGGGAGGATCCAGTCTTCGGGGTCTTTTTAGAGGACAGCAATTACTATTTTTTAAAGGACTGTGCTAATGCAAGAAACTTTCCAGGAGGGAGAAGTAGGGATGGCACAAGGAGGAGAAGCCGCCATCAGGACTACTAAAGGAACCTTGCAGGCAGGCCTTTGCCTGATGAGGAAGGGGAAGAACCTCACCAAACTCAATGAAAGAATAGGGTCTGGACACCGTTGGGACCTTCTTTCCATGCTGCTCATCAAATTCTGAGTGCAAATCTTCCAGGTATGCAAAGGCCAGCTTTTTGGGGAAGGCAGCTTCACACAACACCAGGTAACACACCCCTCTCTCAATGATGTAACTGCAAAAGAAGATACAACAGGTCTGATGTTAGCTTGACAGCAAACCAACTTCCATCTTTCCCAAATTTTCCCTAAAGACACAGAGCAATCATCTTCTCTAGCAACCCCTAATCCAGCATACCGTCTACAACTCCCTACTGAGCCTCTGCACCGGAGTTTTTGTTGTACTTACTGAAAAGTCATGGCTCCTGCTTCCAAGGTGCATCTGGTCGGAGACTGTTCATTGAGCTTCCGGAACAGCTGTTTGGCTTGGCTCTGGTACTGCTGCAGGTCTCTACCAGACTACAAAACAACACAAATCTTTAATGCAAAGCTCCAACAGGCTGACAAAGCACTGGCCTTTGCTCAGAGCAAAGTGTCAGTCACTGAACCAATAGGAACTGGGTCAAGAATAACCAAACCGAAATGCTTCCCCTTCTGCTGCTGCTACTAGACTGTTTCCTTTATACAACAACAGAAAAGGCACCCAGCTGGACCCCCGAAATTTCAGCTCAGGATTCCCAGCCCCCACAATGTGTTCTTCTAAGAAAGCAAAATATTCTGAGCAAAAGATGGAAGGAAGGCTGTCCCTCCTGCCTCATCTCTTAGATGGGGTGGGGGCTCTCTCTTGCGGTGGGGGGTGGGAAGAGAAGCAGATTCATCCGGCCCTCGACTTCAGGAGCCAGGAGGGCCATTCTCGGCCGGGCCCGCTCAGCAACCGCGGACCTCCCAGGCAGGCCTGGCGGGGAGCCCCGAGGCCGACATCTCCAGCGGACCGACGGAGGCGGCGCCTCTGGAGCCAGGATCGCGCAGGGCTCCTGCTTCCGAGTAGCCGCGCCCGGAGTCCCGGGAGCAGGAGGTGGAGGCCTAGCTTGGCCCGGCCGCCGCTCACCTGCTCGTCTTCCTGCATGGAGGCGGCCAGAGGAAGCCCGTCGGCCACCCGCGCGATGACGGTGAGGAGCACCATGGCCGCCTGCCTCGCACCCGCGGCTGCCGCTGCGCCACGGCCCACACAGCGGAGCTGGCCGGAAGGCGAAAGGGAACTTCCGGGTTCGTGGGTGGAAATGCTCCGGCCCACTTCCGTTCCGGTGGTTTAAAGGCCCGGGCGGAACGCGGCGCCCCCGGAGCTCGGGTTCCGGTGCTGCCCTCCCGCTTCCCTCTGGCCGTCGGCTTCTCTGTGGCGCCGGGGAAAGGACGGCGCGCACGGCCCACAGCGCCCAATCCTCCCGCTCTGCGTGGGGAGCCTTGGAACTCCCTGCTGCAGCAGCGCGGGGCTGGGCTGGGAAACGGCCGGAGGGAGCAGCCGGAAGCAGGCGGGTCGCGGGGCGGGAGCAGAGCTGTCAACTTACAGATTTGAAAATAAGGGACCAGCAGCCTCGAAAATAAGGGATCAGCAGCCAAAATAAGGGATTTTGGCTTGGCTTATACAGAAATCCGCCACTGATGAAGCCATGCTGCTTTTGCTGCGACTGACTGTGTTTTGCAAGGGGTTGGACTAGATGATCCTAAGGGTCTACAACTCCGCCCAGAGAAGAGTGGCAGACAAAACTGATGAACGACGTCGAGATGGCAAAGCTTAGAGGCAGAATTAGAAACCAGGAAGAGGGCCTCTTTAATAAAGAATGGGGAAAGTTTGTAATTTATTAGAAAAACTATTGGAAAGAGTTACCGTGCATACATTGGTAGGATTGACAGAAAACTTGTAGTAAAAATTAGAAGGATGGATGGACAAATGACTTATAAAAATAGAGTAATGAAAGGGATGCAGAGGGGGAAATCACTACATTAAAATGCTGCACTGGTTGGAGGGTATGCTAAGCAGCACATCGGGCTGCTGTCATCCTGGTGCGAGGAGTTCCATCGGCCCTTCCCCGCCCAAGAGAGGGGGGGAGAGACTGGAGCCCGCGAGTCCGCTGAAGTGCCACCCTTCTACATCCCTCCCCATCCCCTCCTCTTCCTCCTCCCTCAGGCCGCCTCCTCAGCTGCCGCCGCCGCTGCCGCCTCCGGCTTCCCCTGGCAGCACGGTGCAAGTCTCACAAGAGAGGGGCTGCCTGCCCGCCTGCAGCCACCCGTCTCCACACGACGCGCCCCTGAGGGGGAAAAGGGAGAGATGGAGATGCGGCAGCTCGTGCGCACGCTCTCTCTCGAGGCGGGGCACCCCAAGCCGCTGCTTCCCTCCCAAGCCGGGCGAGCATGAAACCCGGGAAATTTAAGGGACATCATCAATAAGGGACAGCAGCGGGACACAACGCTTGGATAAGGGAGTTTCCCGCCGAATAAGGGACGGTTGACAGCTATGGGAGGGAGGCGGCTCAGCAAGCAGGGGGGACGAGGCTCCAGTAAGCCGCCTGAGGTGTCTGCCAGGGGGAAAGGCGGCATACAAATAAAGATGGCGATGTTACGACGGAGCGATCGGAAAAGGGGCAAGGGAGGTCGGGTTGGTGTGCTTCGAGCAGACATAAGCCGAGGGGCCGTTTGCTCCGGCCAAAGGGCCACTCACACCAGCCTCCTGCCCGCTGAGCAGATGCCCCAAGTGGGAACCCTCAAGCATAGCTGTCAACGTTTCCCTTTTTTAAAAGGGAAATTCCCTTATTCCAAATAGGATTCCTCGCAAGAAAAGGGGAAAGCTGACAGCTATGCCCTCGAGCAGGATCCGGGCGGGAAAGCGACCCTCGCCTCCTTGGACTCCGGCAAGCCGTCTTCGGAAGCACCTCCAATAAAGGCAGGGCGCAGCCTCCGTCGGGGCTGGCAGCCGTCCCCAGTCCTCTCTCGCTGTCGGAACCCCTTCGAAAGCCACCCGGGGAAACTTGAAGGAAGAATCGGCGCTCCCTGCAGGGGTCAGGGGTCCGCGCTGGCCTCTTTTAAAGGGCGCAAAAGACACGTCGTGGGTGTTTAGCACTTCGCAGATGCGCGCAGTGATGAGGATGAGCCGGAAACGCGCTTCCTCCTTGGACAGGAGGCAAAGAGTTGGCATTTTTGCTGCAAAAATCGGATGCATGCAAAGATTTCCGTTTCAGCAAGATCCGGCGCTCGGTGGTCCAGAGTTGCGCTCGCTTTTCCCAGATGCAAGAGGCAGCCCTTGGCTGAACCTTCGCGCGGCACTTAAAACTCGCGGGTGTCTTTGGAAAACCGTTAAAAGGATATGCAATGAAATTCAACCAAGGGGAAGCGAGGAAGTCACTTCACAATGTTAACAAGTGTAATTTTCAATATGCCTATGATTATGTTTGTTTGTCTTATGTGTTTGCTTGTTTATAATGTTGTAAAAACCAATAAAAAAAATTTGGGGGGGAAAAACAAAACTCGCGGATGTCTTTTTCAGTTTAGAGTGCTTTTATTTTATTTTTTTATTATTATTTTTTTGCACGACCTACAATACGGTGAAGCCAAGGAAGCCGGGCACCTGAGCTCCCCGAGTGCAAAACCAAAGGCGGCATCGGGGCGGCGTTTGCGACTCCCTCCCTGCATCCCGCAAGGGCATCTCGCAGGGAAGCGAGACCCGCGGAGCGAGATGCAGCAGCAGCAGCGGCAGTCCCTCTGCTCCTCTGGCACTGCGGCGGAACCAGCGCCGCCGCCCGCCTCTCTCCCTCCTCCCCTCCCATCTCGGAAGGGGGGGGGCTCTCTTGTGACGTCACCCTCCCGGCGCCCCTCCCCCCGCGGCCGGTCACGCGCGTCCCGGGCGAAGGTCCGCGGCTGCTGCGCCGGCGCGGAAGGGCCGTGGCGGCCGGAGAGGCGAGCCGCTCGCTGCATCCCCTCGGCCAGGACCCCGCCATGGCGGCCGAAGCGCGCGGGCGTCCGGGCAGCCCCCCGGGCGGGGTGGTGGCGGCGGCGCCGGGCGGCCCGCTGCCCATGAACCTGTTCGCGGCCTGGGAGGTGGACGGCTCCGGCCCCAGCTGCGTCCCCAGGTGAGTCCCGCCTCGGGGCCGGCGCGGGGGTCGTGTGAACGCGGCGCCTTACGGGGATACCCTGCGGGAAAAGCCTGGGATTGGCAGCCTGGGGGTTGGAAGCAGTGGCGTAGCGTGGGGGGTGCAGGGGGCCCCGGCCGCACCATCTGGGGGGGGGACGCGCTCGCACTCGCAGCTCTCTGCCCTTGCTAAAGTGAGTCTTATAGAGCAAAAAATACGGTATATAGCAAAAAAAGGGAGCGTGTCATCCACGGGTTAGGGGGCGCAAATTACTTGTCTTGCCCCGGGTGCTGGCAACCCACGCTACGCCACTGGTTGGAAGCCTTCCCCTCTCCCTGCCCACCCCAGCCGGATGCCCAGCTTGCTTCCTCGCTCTTTGCATTGCAAGGCAAACTGCTGCTGACATCGGCAGAGGCCTCCTTCGGAAAGCAAAGAGCCCTTTTTGTCCGGCTGCAGAAGGGAGAACGAGGGATGCTCCGGCTTCCCCCGCTGCTGCCATTTACCGTATTTTCCGCTCGATAAGATGCACCAGACCACAAGACGCACCTAGTTTTTGGAGGAGGGAAACAAGAAACAAAATCTTCTGAATCTCAGAAGCCAGAACAGCAAGAGGGATCGCTGCGCAGTGAAAGCAGCAATCCCTCTTGCTGTTCTGGCTTCTGGGATAGCTGCGCAGCCTGCATTCGCTCCATAAGGCGCACACACATTTCCACTTACTTTTTAGGTGCGGAAAAGTGAGTCTTATAGAGCAAAAAATACGGTATTTAGCAAAAAAAGGGAGCATGTCAGCAGCTGCGTTCACGGCAGTTCAGGTGACATGTAGTCTGGCCCGCAGACCAAGAGAGAGGGCGGTGATCAGACGCTCTCTCATGCTTCTTCCTTTCTGGCTGCTCTCTGGTCTGTGCATGGGGAAGATCTCCCCGGTGCTGCAGTAGGAAACTACCCTTGATTGCTCATAAACTGGTATGAAATTCAACTGTCCCCCTGGAGGTCCCTGAAGCAGCTCATTTCAAACTTATCTGCTCCTCCTCGGGAAAATGCACCTGCCCCCCCCCATTTTTTAAATTGGTTTTCACAACATTATAAACAAACAAACACGTAAGACAAACAAACATAAATCATAACCTTATTGAAAATTACACTTATTAACCTTGTTAAGTGACTTCCTCGCTTCCCCTTGGTTGAATTTCGTTGCATATCCTTTTAGCGGTTTTCCAAATCACAGTTCTTGTAAAATTTAACTTAAACATTAAGAGCCTTAGATCTTCACATTATGAAATTAAACATATTAATTTGACACTTAACATAAATAATGGGAAAATGCACCTTTTGAGGAGATGCACCATCAGGGACAACCCGCTCTATGGCTACCTCCAGTTGTGGGCATCGCCGTGGGTGACCATGGCGAGTGCTGCTTCTCTGCCTCTCGCTTCTGGAAGGACTGGCCTCCTGTCATGGTCCTTATTGCTCCTCTCCTTTCTCCAGATGGTGAGTGAGGTGAGGTTCGTGTGACTAAGCCATCATTGTCAGCTAGCCAAAAATAGTGGCCATTCATAATGGAGGTGACCCAAGTGACACAGTGCACTTGGACATTAAAAAAAACCACAACCTTCTGAAAAAAATACCTTGCTGAGTCAATAAGCTTAGCAGGCATGGAACAAGAAGGGATCAGTACCTCTTGTGGATCAGGACCTGGTTAAGGAAGCAGGGATAAATGGATAATATAAAGTGGAGTCCCACAGGGATCAATAGAGCAACCTGTGCTTTTTAGCTCTTTTCATAAACAATCTAGAGTTAGGGGTGGTCAGTGCAGTAACCCTGTTTGCTGATGATATTAAATCATGAAATTGATTTTTAGTTTTGGCCCAGTTCCCCAATCCCTAAGTTATTTCCCCCCAATATCACAGGTTTTGTTTCGTTTTTAATTTGCAGGTTGTGCAGCTTGACTTTGAAGAAACTGATTGTATTGAAAGAATTGGATAAAGATCTCATTTCTGTGGTAATTGCAGTCAAAATGCAGGTAATGCAAACCTCGCTAGGTATAATAAGCTAATGAGCTGCTGATATACTATTTATTGGGAGTTGTGTGATTTATTAGTGAGAAAAAACGGTTTCATTAATATACCATGCTACAAATTGGGTACTGAGAAATCTATTGATACAGAATTGATGCTAATTTATATCATTGCCTTTTGGGAATTGTACATCTTAATTCTTGAAAAAAGTTGTTCACATAATTTTAACTAGGTGTTCATGAAAGGAACACTCAGGGACGTATTTACCCGGGAGTTCAAGAGGTACAGGGCACCTGCTGCCTAAGCTCTTAACTGTCTACCTGTTATGAAATAATAAATAATTTTGATCAAGCTAGAAAAACAAAATACATATATACCTAGGTATTACCGAAATGTATACCTACTGTTTCACTAAAGGACTTTTGACTTTGTGTGCTCACTTACCAAAGATGCGCTGCGCCAGCGGTAGTGTTTGTCATTCACAACGGTAGCGCTTCTCAGACTCAACGACGGCGCTTTTCATTCTCAACGGCGCCGTGCACGCAAAATTAACTAAATTTGGGGGCGCTGGGCGGATCTTTGCACCCCGCCAGCGCATATGCTAAAGACGGCCCTGGTGGCGCTGTGGTCTAAACCACTGAGCCTCTTGGGCAGGCATAGGCAAACTCGGCCCTCCAGATGTTTTGGGACTACAACTCCCATGATCCCTAGTTAACAGGACCAGTGGTCAGGGATGATGGGAATTGCAGTCCCAAAAGCATCTAGAGGGCTGAGTTTGCCTATGCCTGCTCTTGGGATTGCGGATCGGAAGGTCAGCGGTTCGAATTCGCGTGACGGGGTCAGCTCCCGTTGCTCTGTCCCAGCTCCTGCCAACCTAGCAGTTCGAAAGCATGCCAGTGCAAGTAGCCAAGTTACAGGGAACCAGGTAGAGGGCCTTCTCGGTAGTGGAACACCCTCCCACCAGATGTCAAAGAGAACAACAACTATCAGACTTTTAGAAGACATCTGAAGGCAACTCTCTTTAGGGAAGCTTTTAATGTTTGATGCATTACTGTATTTTAATATTTTGTTGGAAGCCGCCCAGAGTGGCTGGGGAAGCCCAGCCAGATGGGTGGGGTATTAATAATAATAATAATAATAATAATAATAATAATAATAGATAAATAGGTACCACTGTTGTGGGAAGGTAAATGGTGTTTCCGTGTGCTCTGGCCCTCGATAGCCCAGTAATTGCATTAACTTGGACATTAGTCTGTGGGAAGAGCGGGGGGCGGGGGGGTCAGTGCCTCTGCAGCTGTTGTGGGTCTCCTTCAGAAGCCCAAGCCAGTATGGCGAATAGTCACGGACAGTGGAAGAGGTCATCAAACAACAGCTGGAAGCCGCCGCTGCCCTTCTCTGGTCTGTAGTGACACTTTCCACAAATCTGTAATTATTGACTAACAATAGCTGATCTGTTTTCCTTTTTCTGTGCAGGGTTCAAAACGAATATTGCGGTCTCATGAAATTATGCTGCATTCTAGTGGGCACGTAGAAACAGAACTTGCTCTGAGCTTTTCCCTGCAGGTAATGTAGGAATCCTTAATATTTCCCTCCTGCCCCTTACTGTAAGCAACTTAATTTAGGACATATTTTTAAAAACCGAAATGAAAAAATGACTCGTTGCTTCATCTGATTTCCCACAGCATTGTAGAGGTGGAAGAGTCTAGAAGCTTGCCTTGGGATACGTAGAGTGTTGTGGAACAAACAAATGAAACACTGGCTAAAATCCAGACAAATATTCGAATAGGCAACCCTTCCAAACAGCCTACCAGTTTAATAATAATAATAATAATAATAATGGCCTTGTTGGGGCACCAAATCTGAGAGCAGTTCTGACTGCATCATGTTAGGGGTCCCATGCTTAGAGGATGCACTAGTTAAGAAGCTAGATAAGGAAGGGTGGGATATAAATGTAATTAATAAATTAGTGAACTAATTTATCATCCAGTCTGACAAGGATACAAAGTACTCTGTCTACTCTTTAGGAAAGTGGGATCCACTTTTTTTATAGGTGAGAACCAGCTTTCATTTATGGCTGCTAATTCATCTCCCAACCTCTTCCACCAAATTTCTGTGCAGTATTATTTACCAACACTTTTAACTATATCCCAGTAGCTGTGGTTCGATATGGTACAAAACTAGCCACTAAAAGTAACAATATGTTGATTTTTCAAGAGATTCTGTATTTTAGGCTTGTTCCTTGCCCAATTCTTCTTTCTGTGAAGGGTCTAATAATATTAAAGTCTAGTGTCATTCATCTCAGGGTTCTTAGAGGCCACTTGACAGCCTTTCCAGGTGCTTCCTTGAGAAGGTGAAGTTAATATCCTCCTGTTTATGCAGCCTAGGACCCTCGTACTTATGGGACCGCCTCTCCTGGTATGTCCCACAGAGGACCCTAGGGTCCATGAATAATAATAGCTTGAAGGTCCCCTGAATTTTAGAATTTTATTGATATTGATGCTGCATTTTATGTTGTATTTTATGCTGTTTTATGTTGTTTTTAAGTCACATTTTAATCAATGTTTTATGTTGTTTTTAAGTCACATTTTAATCAGTGTTTTATATTTGCCGTTAGCCGCCCTGAGCCTGGATTTTAAACCGGGAAGGGCGGGATATAAATACATTTATTATTATTATTATTATTATTATTATTATTATTATTATTATTAAACCTTTACATGTTTTATTTGCAGTATCCTCATTTCTTGAAAAGAGAAGGCAACAAACTTCAGATCATGCTGCAGAGGAGGAAACGGTATAAAAACAGAACAATTCTGGGCTACAAAACTTTGGCAATGGGATCTGTGAACATGGTGGAGGTATGTGCCCCTCTGTATAGCTCACTAACATAAAGGGTGTTAACATACTTTTTCTCTGGTCTTCTGTAAGGCTACATTGCAAAAGCATTGCTAAGGTTCATTCAGATGTTGTGTTTATCTCTGACCGATAGCGGACTTGTAGGGACTTGGGGACTTGGGCTGTAAAAGCCAACCCCAGTTTTCTGACAACAAACATAAAGTGGGTAAGAAATAGGGTGTCAACTTGTAAGCACGCTCTCTCTCAGACATTGTGTTTTGTAGGTCTTGCAGCACCCAAAAGAAGGAGGCCAAGTTTTGAATCTTTTCAGCAGCATCAAGGAAACTGCAGTCAAAGTAGCAGAGATCTGGATCTTCTCACTGTCCAGCCAACCAATAGACCAAGAAGACAGTGCTATACACATGAGCCAGAAAATCAAGTCTGCAGGTATCTCCAGAACTGTAAAAAGTGTACTTTCTGCACCTTGTGCCAATTGATGATGAAATGTTGTGGAGACAACTTTTGGGGTGCAATGGGTATTTGGGAATCTGCTCTTGAATATCATCCTTTTTCCATTTAAAGAAACGCTTACATTATAAAGTATTGCAGCAGTGTACAGGAAGCCAAAAATGTGTACAAAATATATGCCAGAGAAAATGCAGTTAATATAAAATTGCAACACTAGAAGATTATCGGCTGGAAGAGAATAGAGAAAGTCACTTGCTCGTCCCTTATGCTCAGATTTTACCTGTGGGATTCAGGTACCGTTCTGTCCCTGCTGCCCTTTCTTCTTCTTCTCCCACCCAAGAAAAATTCAGTTGTGAAGTCAGCATTTCACCAGATGCTCAGGATGCTGTTGCTGAATGATGCACACAGAGTCACAGAAACAGACTCTCTCTCTCTTACACACATGTAATTCCATTTGTTAGATATGTTTCCACCTTGTGCCATCATCAGCAACATATAGCTGACAAATGATGGCTTACCTTCTCCAGAGTAGAAACAGATTCAAGTTTGCGTAAATGAGGCACCGTGTTCTTAAAACTATTATATTTCCATTACTCTAAAAACAAATTTTGCTAGATGTGCCCTCTGTAAATTCCTTACCTTACCATTTATTTGTTTATTTAAAGAGTTATGAAAAAGCTTACATTCCCCAGACTCTCTACGTTTCAACGAAAAGGTTTATCTAATTGTAATTCCGAGTGACAAGGTAAAAGTCTTTGAACAGAATTTCAATTAAATAAACTTATGTAGTTGCACTCATCCCTGAAAGTGCCCATTGAAATTTTGTTGTTGTTTAGTTGTGTCCGACTCTTCATGACCCCATGGATCAGAGCATGCCAGGCTCTCCTGTCTTCCACTGCCTCCCGCAGTTTGGTCAGACTCATTTTAGTAGCTTCGAGAACACTGTCCAATCTGTGTTGTCTCCTTCTCCTTGTGCCCTCCATCTTTCCCAACATCAGGGTCTTTTCCAGGGAGTCTTCTCTTCTCATGAAGTGGCCAAAGTATTGGAGCCTCAGCTTCAGGATCTGTCCTTCCAGTGAGCACTCAGGGCTGATTTCCTTCAGAATGGATACGTTTGATCTTCTTGCAGTCCATGGGACTCTCAAGAGTCTCCTCCAGCACCATAATTCAAAAGCATCAATTCTTCGGGGATCAGCCTTCTTTATGGTCCAGCTCTCACTTCCATACATCACTACTGGGAAAATCATAGCTTTTACTATACGGCAAGGTGATGTCTCTGCTTTTTAAGATGCTGTCTAGCTTTGTCATTGCTTTTCTCCCAAGAAGCAGGTGTTTTTTAATTTCGTGACTGCTGTCACCATCTGCAGTGATCATGGAGCCCAAGAAAGTAAAATCTCTCACTGCCTCCATTTCTTCCCCTTCTATTTGCCTGGAGGTGGTGGGACCAGTGGCCATGATCTTAGTTTTTTTGATGTTGAGCTTCAGACCATATTTTGCGCTCTCCTCTTTCACCCTCATTAAAAGGTTCTTTCATTCCTCCTCACTTTCTGCCATCAAGGTTGTGTCACCTGCATATCTGAGGTGGTTGATATTTCTTCCGGCAATCTTCATTCTGGCTTGGGATTCATCCAGCCCAGCCTTTCGCATGATGAATTCTGCATATAAGTTAAATAAGCAGGGAGACAATATACAGCCTTGCCGTACTCCTTTCCCAATTTTGAACCAGTCAGTTGTTCCATATCCAGTTCTAACTGTAGCTTCTTGTCCCACACAGAGATTTCTTAGGAGACAGATGAGGTGATCAGGCACTCCCATTTCTTTAATAACTGCAAAAGAAATAAAATGCTTGGCCATTATTTAGGAGCTCAGACACCTTTAATGCTGCTCCCCTGTTTCTTTAACATTTGCTCACCTTCATTGGGCTACCCCAAATGCCCTCAGTTATTTTTCAGGATTGTCCTGTCAGCTCCTGCCTAACAGCTCCAAAAAATGTCTCCTCTTTCTCCTTTACTGATGCTTTCAGGTGTGCTTAAAATAGCGGTAGTTGGAAATGATACCTTCAGCAGCCAAAGAAAAAAGGTATCACAGCAAGAGATTGCCTGCTATTTTCCCTGTTCCTCAGTTACCATAAGTCGGTCAGGAAGTGAGCCAGAATGTCGTGTACACATTATGTCTTCAAAGCACACAGGAAGCACGCTTCACCCGAAGCACATTTGAAGCGCATGTTTTTCAGTAAGGAATTCTGGGCACTGCTGTTTGTTACGGGTTGCTTGGAAGGGTGACTCTGTGCAAGGTAAACGACAGTGCCCAGAATTCTTTACTGGGAAACATGCGCTTCAAATGCGCTTCAAATGCGTCTAGTGTGTATGGATTGTTAGGATAACTGCTGAAGTCACCAAAACACTAGAGCGGCAGCTAAAACTCACCCAGAAGTCCCCACCCAGCTCCTATTGCTCTGAATTGGTGAGTAAGACTTACGATTTGGGGGAATCAAAATGAAGAAGTAACAGTAAGGAAAAGGGTGGATTTTAAATAAAATAATATAAAGTAAAAAAACCCACCCCAACTTGAATTATATTGGTAATGGGCTGACAAATGAAGGAAGGAGGAATAGGGATTTATTTGTAGAGGGGTTATTTGAAGAATGAATAAAATGGCGAGGATGAGCAATGAAGGCAGGGTATTAGTAGCCAGGGTTTTGTTTGGTTTTTATTTTTTTTTAAAGCAATAAGAAGTGAAATATGTGCAGTTAGCAAAATGAATGCAAATAGGATTGTATTCTGTGAATTGTGCGATGCAGCACACTGGGTTCTTTGTCAACTATATGTATGCCAAGGACAAAAAAGTTTAAAAAATATAGAAAAGATACAAAAAGAAAATGTCTGATCTTCCATCTGCTGGTTACATAAAAAAAGAAAAATATATTTAGAGCATACAGTCCATGCTAATATCCATCTTCTCCACTTTCTGTTAAACAATGTTTCTTTTAAGTCAAGATGTCTCAGAATCTTTCATTTCCTTTCCCCACAAAAAGTCCAAGATAGCTTCCACAATTGCTATTGTTATTGCTTAATGTCAACCATATTTTTTCTTTGGACTTCCTCTTTTGTATTTGCAATTGTATGCCAATCTCCTTCTCTAGGACCTTCCATTTTCAAGAGAGGGTACCATAACTTTAGTAGCATCATTCTCTGGATTCAGTCCAAATTGTACGCAGACTGCTTTCACTTCTAGAACTGAGCAAAGGCCAGGATCAAAGTTTCCCCCAAAGCTTTCCCCCCTCTCAACTCTTGCGGTTCCTGACTTTGCCGTCTTCAGATCAGCAACTGTGAAATTGCCATAACGGCCCTTGCAGTTTTCTTCCTGGTTTGCCTTTAAACCAATGTGCAGTTGTTGTTTTCAGTAAGAGCATAATCCAATTGCTTCTGTATTCTTCTTCTTTCAGACAACTATTCCGAAGAGGAATATGAAAGCTTCTCTTCAGAACAAGAAGCCAGTGATGATGCAGTTCAGGGACAGGTATTGTCTAAGCAAATAAGCCCTTTGTAATTATCTTAAAAGTCATAAATGCAAGGGAGTGGACTGATTATTTCATTCATTTATTTTATTCAAAACATTTAGCCACTTGATAGCCTATTAGAGCAACTTCAAAGAGAAACTGAAGGACTTAATAGTTTCCCACCCCACAAGATGTTGGATCCAAATGGTTTTCTTATGACTTGGGGAAACTTTTCTTGTCCCTCGTTGCTGGCAATCCTGTGAAATCCCTAGTCCACTCCTTCAGTTGGTCGTTCATGCTCCTCGATGGTTGATTCTGAGGAAGTTGATCCTCTGAACCACCCTCAAAGAAGCAACCTGGAACAGGGTCTCCAATGAAGATCTGAAGGTCTTGCTAGGTTCCTCCGGTCAATATCCAGAAGATAGCGAGGTGCTGAGCTTTAAAGGGGTTTATGTCAAAACCAGCACTTTGAATTGGGCTCATAGCTGCCGCTGGTGTGGTAACAGAATTAGTGTTGTAGGATCTGTTTGCCTTAAATCTGTTAACAGTTGGGACAGCTTAGTGTATGTTTGCATACATTTTAATTAATTAAAAAAACGCTTGCAAGGCATTCCATCTGCCTTGCTGTTGTAACACCCCATTCCCCTCATTTGACCTTTGTTGATGATGATAACAAACGTTTCTTTTTATTCAGGATTTGGATGATGATGAGTATGAGTTGGGGAAGCCAAAGAAGCAGTGGAGATCGATAGTAAGAACAGCATCCATAACCAGGGTTGGTGGAAATTAATTTTACTAACATTGATGTGGATTGGGACCAAGTGTCTGCCCAGAATGAAAGAGTGGACTAGATATGGCATGAGGTTTGGACGAATACAAAGCCACAGTAGTTGTATTCATATTTTTGTTTTGTCGTGCTTTGTTGTGAACCGCTTTGAGTGTAATGCATACAGAACAGAATTATAACAAGTAATAAGCAGCTAAAAGTGACTCGGGTGGTTACATGCATGGCAGGGGAGTAATGTAAGCAGAGGAAACCTTTGTTTTGGTGGACTGAAGTTGCCTTTTTGTTCTGACCTTCTTCCAAGGAGCCCAAGAGGGCATATAAAAATTGCCCCTCTCATTTCATCTGCCATTGCCTTGAAGGGGGGCTAGGTCGGAGCGATTGACCCAAGGTCATTTGGGGTGCTTCATAGCCAAGTCTGATAATTTGAGGCACATGTCGTGTCCTGCTTTAATAATAATAATAGTAATAATAATAATAATAAATTTATTGTTTATACCCTGCCCATCTGGCTAGGTTCCCCCAGCCACTCTGGGCGGCTTCCAACAAAATATTAAAATACAATAGTCTATAAAACATTAAAAGCTTCCCTAAACAGGGCTGTCTTCAGATGTCTTCTAAAAGTCTGGTAGTTGTTGTTCTCTTTGACATCTGGTGGGAGGGCGTTCCACAGGGCGGGCGCCACTACCGAGAAAGCCCTCTGCCTGGTTCCCTGTAACTTGGGTTCTCGCAGTGAGGGAACTGCCAGAAGGCCCTTGGCACTGGGGTAGCATAGCTACCCCTCTGGAAATTTTTATTAAACACGAGTCTGATTCAGTCATATCTTCCTCCTTCTAAAGAGTATGGAGATAGCAAGGTGCCCTTTGCACCTTTTCTGTCTATAGGACACATTCAGGGGAGCATTCAGTGTTCCAAACAAACGTTTTTGAGCTTAGGCCAGTGGGCTTGATGAGACTTTGCTCACACTCTGACACATCTGGATACAGTGGTACCTCAGATTACATACGCTTCAGGTTACATACGCTTCAGGTTACAGACTCCGCTAACCCAGAAATAGTGCTTCAGGTTAAGAACTTTGCATCAGAATGAGAACAGAAATTGTGTTCTGGCGGCGTGGCGGCAGCAGGAGGCCCCATTAGCTAAAGTGGTGCTTCAGGTTAAGAACAGTTTCAGGTTAAGAACAGACCTCTGGAACGAATTAAGTACTTATCCCGAGGTACCACTGTACATGCACCAGGGAGACAACAGGCTTGTGGCCTGTATTTGAAGCACAGACCTCCAGCCTGGAAAAACAAAACAAAAATATGACTGTTCTCACAGGCTAGAGTTTCTTCTGCAACCACTCTACTTCTGGCACCTTAAGACTGGGTCTTGGACCTGGGGGAAAGAGAAATCCCCCATGATGTATTTGATTAATATCTGTTCCTACAGCCAGTTGCTTAGGGCAGGGCCAGATTTAGGTTTGATGAGGCCCTCAGCTACTGAAGGTAATGGGGCCCTTTATATGTCCAGCTGTCCTTTGTCAACAACAAATTGTCACTGTTTTTTTGTGTTGAATATATGCTAATTTATGGACCTAATAGGTATCTAAAGCCATTCACACATACCAAAAGGAGCCTAAGCCAACACAAAATACTGTTGCTGTATGTAGGTTTTATTTTATTTGTTTTTTATCTTATATTTTGAAAATGTACATCCAGTTTTTTTCCTTTAATTTTTTTTGGGGTCCCCAAGAGAATGGGACCCTAAGCTATAGCTTGTTTAGCTTATACGTAAAACTGGCACTGGCTTAGGGAGCTGTTGTGTTGCATTTGCTGTATGGGTTCAAGTTAGGATCGCCTTCTTTTATGCCTTTGACACAAATGGTATTTTCACAAGCATATAAAAGCCATTCCCCTGTTTCACTTGGCGGGGTTTGAAGTCCTGCCTCTTGCTTCCCAACTACATTCTATCTATACCAAGAGCCACAAGTGTTTCTGTACTCTGTATATGCCTGTGGCTGCCCTTCTTGCATGGCCCTTCCCCCAGGAGGCTTGACAAGAGTATTTCTCACCCAGGTACGTCTTAAATCTTTGTCCCTGGTGGGATTTGTGTTCTTTATACAAGGCCCCTGGCAAGGGAGCTGTGTGGCTGATCCATTGTGTTGAATCCTCTTTCTCCTCCCATACACATTGCTAGCAGGCTAGCATTTATATTTTTGTGCACTCCAATTGTTTTGGAATTTATTTATTAATTATTTGGGGTAAACACTCAGACATGTAGAGGAATAACTTAGTGCCATGTCCCCATGCAAAAATACAACCTATATTCTTCAGACATCATCTATGTGCCATGGATTGCAGATTTTGTTGCAGAGTCAGTTTGTGGAAAACTGTGTTCTGATTAAAAAAGTCTCCGTTTTCTGTAATTACTTGTTTTTAATCTTGTGTTAAGAGTAAAAGAAAAAATATGTTAAAGATTTGTGTTAATGGAGCGGGCTTTGGATGAAATGCAGAGCTAACTGTTCCTAACAAACTAATACAACATTAGACCTCTGTTAGACATTTCTAGTGGCAAAGAGTTCTAGGGTTGAATATACGTGATTGGAGATCAGGAGTGAGAAGAGCTCATTGGCTTCTCGGCAAAAAAGTGAAAAAAAAAGTTACTTATCAGGAATTATTTAATCCTACTCCACTAAAACTGCAAAGTGAATGGTGGGATCCAAGCACAAACAAATAGCAAAACAAGGGAGATTGTGCTAGACCTCTGTGGGCTTGTCCTCAGGCCTCCAGGGCAATGAGTGGCCAGCTATGTCATTGCACTAGAGGAATATGAGACATCTCTGCCAACACAGAGACATCAGTTTGCACGCTCTTTCCAGTATGGATCTGGAACTGGCTGTCCTAGCTGAACCGGAAATTCTGGCCCAATTCCTAGTTGGGATGGAATTTAAACAGTCCCTCAGATGAATGAGCAACAGCCGTGGCCTGCCTTTTGTAAGCTATTTGCACTTATTGACTGAGAATAAATGGTGCATGGTTTGTCGTGGCGCTGTGCTTCGACACACAGAGATGGTGTGCTTTAGTGTTGTATTGATTGCAGTCATTTACCTTTACAGCAGCAAAACTTCAAGCAAAAAGTAGTGGCCCTGTTGAGACGATTTAAAGTATCTGACGAGGTAAGCTGTCTGTGGTTGCTGTCTCCAGCAACTTCCTTAAATTCTGCATGGGTTTTGCATTATCCATCAGGCTAAGGGCACTTTCGTCAGAAACGCAGAACCTCTTTCCACAGCAGGGGCTGGAAACTTTTATCATCTCAAGGGCTGAATTTCTTCTTGGGCGACCTCCTGGGGACCGTGATGGGCAGGGATGGAGGCAAAAGCAAATGCCGCAACAGATGTGACTCTTGTTTTTGCACAATAGGCTGCATTCAGCTGGGCATTTCTGCGCACACCCCCATGCATTCATCCTTCATTCCAGCCAAGGAATGGAACTTGAGGAAGCTGTGCCGTGTGACCTGGGCAAAGTTCCAAGTGCCAGATAAAGAGGCTTTAGTCTCTGGGGCTGAGGTTCTGCACTCCCGAGGTTTTACACCAAGGCTTAAAATGGCGGCAATGTACCCCCTAGTTTACCTGTCTGATTTTAATGATCTGACAAATATTGTCTTTTGCGTGTGAAGCTTTGTTAGCCTTCTACATGAGCGTTAATGTCATTGCCGAAACTGAATGGTCTGAGTAACCTTCTGTACTTGGGTCTCTTCTAAACTGAAATAGGATAACAGGGGAAACTTAAGAGCACAAAAACATTATTTTTGTATAATGTGAGTGATCAGTGTTTTTGAAACATTCAGCCACTTACAAATTATTTTTAATAAATAAAATATAATGGCCGAGGTGCCATTTACCAACTTACTGTTTCATGTGAAAGCACCTTAATTATTTTATGAACTTTAGCGGTCTCCCTGTCCTGCTTTCTTTGTAGGGGTGAACTTGACTTCCATTGAAATCAATGAAACATCATGATAGATCTGTCCCATTGATTTCAGTGGGACCTGAGTCCAGGTAACGTCGCCTGGCTCTCGCCCTCTGTTTCTGTAAAATGTCCTAAGTTATTTTGCCTGTATCTCGCACAACAAAATATGGGCCCTGGTAACTTCTGAAAGTAACTTCTGCCCAGGCTTCTGCCTCTCATAAAAAACAACCCTGTTATTTGTAACACTTGCTTAAGGCAGAACTTGTTTTCTTGCCCAACAGATATGCCCGATGTACTTACCAAGACAACAAAGTAATTTGTGCAATTACCTGAGGGCGGGGATCATATAAAACAAAGAATAAACCTTTGGAGCAAAAATTCTTTTGAAAACAATTATGCCATTTCCTGCAAAATAAGTTTGGGCATTGTACAGATATTAAAAAGGACAACAATCAATATATTATCATTGTAAACTTGGAAAATGAATTATAAAACCCGTTCCTGCATATAGTTACACAGTTTGTTCTTGGAAAACATTATCTCCCTGGTACTTCGCAAGCTGTATCAAGATTTCACAAGCTACCTCCTGATCACATCTTGGTGGCAACACTGGTTTGTTTCATTTAGCTTCTTAGACTCACAAAAAAATGTCTCTATACCCACTTACCACTCAAACAGAATTTATTTTCACAGTGCAAAGGCTGCAGCCATCACCCCAAATGTGAACTTTGAAATAGGCTGTCTGGAATTGCCAATACATCAGAGGGTATCCAGTTTTATTAGGAAAGGTGCCATTTGTAATCATCTGAAAGGTTTTTCCACGGTCACCACCAAATGGACACCAAGTGGGGATCTCATTATGTTCCCACTTCAATTAAGGCACAAAAAATGTCACCACTTCTGGAGGCTTCTGTGTTGCCTCTTAAGTGACATTTTGCCTCCTGCTGAAAGGTAAAACAATCATGCAACGTGACACAAAGAACAAACAAAAGGCAAGACACAGATACCAAAACTCACAGTAAAACATAGCCAGCATGGTGTTGGGGGGCTTGGTGTCTTAGTGTCTCCTCTCGCATGAATACCGATGGAATCTTCTCCAGTGGACAATGGGAGACCATCAAGGCCTGGGCAAGAGCTGGCTCACTGACAGGAAAGAATGATTTGCTGGACAACATGCCTTCACTGTTGTGAAAACTCCCCATATGAGGGGTCTAAATCTCACAGGGAGCCTATACCACTTTTAAATCGTTATACACAGTGCTTTGTTCCTAGAAAAAAGGTGCCGATATTCTGGGCAGTTGCCCTGGCTGAAAAACTTCCTCCAGGCCAGGAAAAACAATTACATGTAAGACAATTACATGTTTTATTGGAACTTCATTAAGATCTTGGCATACAGTTATTCCATGATGCATGAATATTAAATGACTTGCTGCAATGCCATACCTTTTTCTGTGCTCTCAGTACCTTACTGCCTGGCTTTGGGAAGAAAGCATTGGGCTCCAGGATCCTGTCAGAGCCTCGTGCCTACTTCCCCAAGCCTGGGAAGTGTTTGACCGGCTTAGGGAAGGAGGTGCGAAGCTCTACCGGGGTCTGGGAGCCCTCCCGCCTCCATCTCCTCCCCCCCCAAAAGGGGCTTGCCAATCAGAAGGTTGGCGGTTCGAATCCCCACGACAGGGTGAGCTCCCGTTGCTCGGTCCCTGCTCCTGCCAGCCTAGCAGTTTGAAAGCACGTCAAAGTGCAAGTAGATAAATAGGTACCGCTCCAGCGGGAAGGTAAACGGCGTTTCCGTGCGCTGCTCTGGTTCACCAGAAGCGGCTTAGTCATGCTGGCCACATGACCTGGAAGCTGTACGCCGGCTCCCTCGGCCAATAAAGCGAGATGAGTGCCGCAACTCCAGAGTCGTCCGCGACTGGACCCAACGGTCAGGGGTCCCTTTACCTTTACTATGTATGCTTTTAAATAAATAAATGAGTGGAGAAGGCTCCCTGCTGCAGAAGATCAGCACCAACATGAGAAAAGCAGTTGAGCTGAGCAACGAGAATGCAACAGAGAGGCAGAACTTGGTCTCTCCATACAGTTCTAATTTTGAGTATATGGACTTGTGCAGAGGGCCTAGATATAAATACTTGAGTGCAGTTAATGACCGAGATGCTCTTTGCATTTCAAGGGAAGCCTCCATTTATGCTGCTGATAACACACTTTTATGCTGCTTGTGCTTTTCTGTCTAGGTTTTGGATTCTGAGCAGGATCCAGCTGACCATGTCCCAGAAGTAGAAGAAGACCTAGACCTTCTCTATGATACACTCGATATAGAAAACCCTAGTGACAGCGGCCCTGACATGGAAGATGATGACAGTGTCCTCAGTACTCCTAAGCCAAAGCTAAAGTAAGAAGAGATTTTGATGGCAGCTTTGCAGATTCTCGAACCGACGGTCTGTTAGGATGAGAGATGCTGGGGCAGCTCTGGGGAAATAATAATAATAATAATAATAATAATAATAATAATAATTTATTTATACCCCACCCATCTGGCTGAGTTTCCCTAGCCACTCTGGGCGGCTCCCAATCAAGTATTAAAAACAATACAGCGTTAAATATTAAAAACTTCCCTGAACAGGGCTGCCTTCAGATGTCTTTTAAAGCTAGGATAGCTGCTTATTTCCTTCACATCTGCTGGGAGGGCGTTCCACAAGGCGGGCGCCACTACCGAGAAGGCCCTCTGCCTGGTTCCCTGTAACCTTACTTCTTGCAATGAGGGAACCGCCAGAAGGCGCTTGGTGCTGGATCTCAGTGTCTGGGCTGAACGATGGGGGTGGATACGCTCCTTCAGGTATACAGGACCGAGGCCGTTTAGGGCTTTAAAGGTCAGCACCAACACTTTGAATTGTGCTCGGAAACGTACTGGGAGCCAATGCAGATCTCTCAGGACCGGTGTTATGTGGTCCCGGCAGCCACTCCCAGTCACCAGTCTAGCTGCCGCATTCTGGATTAATTGCAGTTTCCGGGTCACCTTCAAAGGTAGCCCCACGTAGAGCGCATTGCAGTAGTCCAAGCGAAAGGGGGGTGGACTGTGTTTCGGTACCCGCCTGCTTGGTCAAACGGCTACTTGGGCAGCAGTTTTGCACATGAGGGAGGGAGAGATCTTGGGAAGGATTGACAGCAGCCTCTCACATTTTGGCACACGGTTTCTAGAGGTTTCTATAGCATTGGCCATGTTTTGGCGCTCCTAGCAAAAAACAACAACATTACGATGTCCTTTGTTTTCTTACTATAGACCTTACTTTGAAGGAATGTCACATTCAAGCTCTCAAGCAGAAATTGGAAGCCTCCACAGCGTCAGAAACCAGAGAGAGCCACCCAGTCCTGTAAGTGCATAAAATAAGTGCTTAAAAATAATTGAATGCAACTGATAATCACAAATGCATTGCCATTTCTTAGTAAAGGGGTTGTGAGTCAAGTATGGTAGTTTTATACAGTGGATGCTCAGGTTGCGAATGTGATCCGTGGGGGAGGCACATTCGCAACCCGCAGAGCCGTGTCTGTGCACGCGTGTGTCGCAATTCTGTGCATTCACAAAGCGCAATATAGTGGTTTTGCGCATGCGCGAGTGCCGAAACCTGGAACTTCTGGGTTCGGCGCGGTGCGCAACCTGAAAACACGCAACCTGAAGCATCTGTAACCCGAGGTATGACTGTAAATCTATGGATTTGCCTTAACCAGAGGTACTTGCTTTTTGAAGGGGGTTTCACCCAAGGGGAATTGTGAATGGTAGTTCTATCTGGAGAAGATAATTCTCTGCTGCTTCTCACTCATCTTTGACAGACCATGCTATAGAACTGCATTGTTCAACAGAAAATGCAGCATTTTATGGGGAAAATGTGGATTATTCCATTTCAGTCATATTCTCCAGCAAGAACTTGCTCCTGGATAGTGTTTGTTTGCAGTGTTGCTGTAATGCTACCTCAGGATTAGCCAGTCTCAGGACCAGTGTGGTGTGTGCTCCTTGTTTTACTGACTCTTGTACAAAACAGGTTGACGTGCCTGAAGAGGACAAGAATATTGGAAGCAGACAACCAGCAGACAGCGTCTCTGACGCCGTGTCTTATGTAAGTGCAATTGCCTTTTTATGATTCAGGCAGGGATCGCTAGAGTGAAATACAGAAATATTTAACAGCCATATAGAACTTTAGGGTCATTTGGCAAAACGGATAACAACTTCTGTTCTAATCTTTCTGTTTTTAGGGGATTCATTTTGAATTGGTGCCTTTTTTAAAAAAAAATATATCTCTGCCCAAGTATACTGCATTTTCTCCTTTCTTGGAATCTCTGTTTTTGGAAACCTTACATCCTTTATAGGCCACAATTTGAATATTTAAAAAAGAACAACCACTATCAGCCTACAGCCCAGGTACACATTCCATTCAGGTGTTTGGGAGATAGTCAGCTGGGAACTGGGGTGGGGTCTCTATTTTACGTAGGAAAGGTTTGTTGGAGATAGAAGCGTTTTGATGGAGATGTTTTTGATGGACCTTTGAGAGGCGATTGCACTGTTGAGCTATGGGTAGAAGGTTGTTTTTACTGTTTTTAACTTGAGTGTTTTAAATTCAGGGTTGGTATTGTTTTACTTGAAAAATGCACCTGGGATGAGAGTTGCTGAGGAGGGGGGGCAATTGATGTAGTTCAGGGCAGGGGGGAGGCAAGGTTTAGAAATTGGGGGAAGCCAGGTTATATGTAGGGCTGCCTCTGAAGATGGTTCAGAAACATCGGCTGGTGCAGAATTCAGCGGCAAGACAGTTTGAGAATATTACACTAATCCTGACCCAAACTGCACTGGCTGCTGATTGGTTTCTGTGCCCAATTCAAAGTGCTGGTTTTGACCTATAAAGTCTTGAGTGGCTCAGGGCCGCAATACCTCAAGGACCTCCTCTCTCCTTATAAACCAACCCAGACTCTGATCATCATCTGAGGCCTTTCTTCATGTGCCTCCTCCATGAGAGGTCCAGAAGGTGGCAACACAAGGACAGGCCTTTTCTGTGGTGGCTCCCCCTCTGCCCTCTCTGGGGAGGCTTGCCTGCCACCTTCATTGTACATCTTTAGGCGCCAGATGTAAACGTTCCTCATCTACCAGGCCTTTGGCTGATTAACATCCTACGGCCTTTTAAATGTGTTTGTGGGAGTGGGGGGTTATTATTTTGTTTTTTGACTATTTATTTTTGCTTTTCTCCTGTATTTTTATCTTGTGAATTGCCCTGGGATCTTTGGATTAAGGGCGGTACATAAATTTTACTTCTACTATGACTACTGCTACTACTACTACTAGTAGATGGGAATGGAGTGGGGTTGGTTTATGGGGTTAGAAAGAGGAAATAAAATGTGCCGTTGAGAATGCTTTGACCCACTGAGAGTGGAGGTATGTATGAGTTTGTGGGTGGGTTGATTTGGGTTGAGGCAGGAAGAGGTGGAAAGTAGTGAGAATGTGAAGTAGAGATCTGGCTGAGTAATGTTTGGTACCTTTGGGTTCTGCTGGGTATAGCATCAGCTGCAGAGAGTTTGTTATCCAGTGCCCAGCTTGTCAAATACCGTGTGCCTTTGCAACATTGGAGACCTGGGATAGAATGAGGTCTCTGTTGGCATATGGACTACAGCAGAAACACGGGCCAAAGTAGCTGTTTTACAGTTCACGTTGAAGCCAGGCCAACTTGGGGCTTCATAGAATCTATGATACTATTTGGGATAGATCCATAGCTAATGGATTGCTTGATGTTTTGCACTGGTCTGTCTATGGTCATGGACTGACCATTATTTATTGGCACTTTTTTATTATTATACATGCTGGCAGAGCACAAAGTCTTTCACAGAACATCCACTCCAGTGTAATTTGTTGTTTGCAGGAAAATAAACAACAAGAAGACGTAGAAACTGAACTGTCTCCCCTGGATAGCTTCATGGAAAAGGCTCCACTAAGTGGCAGGATGACAAAGACAGAATCTCTCATAATTCCTTCCAGCAGGTAACCTGTCTGTAAACTGCAACATCAGCTCCGAAACTTACCTTGTTTGTAAATATGCAACTTGAGACAGATGAGCTTTTAGCTTGTGGCATCTGAATATCAGCATGGCTTTCAGTCCCCGTGTTTTGTTCCAGATGTCATGCACCTTGGTGACCATTCTGCTTTCTTACCCAATTTTTTAAAAATATGACTCAAAGTAAGCTTGCAAAATAATATTTAATAGCATCACCAGTACAGTGATTCACTAAAGAGACAAAAGTATACCTAAACAATGAAATGGGCATGGCAGAAATATACTGACAGCTGAGCATCCGCAAACTGAGATGTGGCACTTTCCTTTTTTCCCCGGTATTGAGATTTGTGGAGCTATCAGTGATTTATACCTCAGCTGAAACTCTTTTATTTGTTCCAGTTCCTTCCGCAAGTAATACAGGGTGTTCCAAACCAGCGGAGCAAATTGTGGGGTTGCCAACAGTGAGGAGGAGGAGGAGGGGAAGGAGGAGAGGAAGAAAAAGTCCTGTTGTGCAAGCAGGAGGACACCATAGGATGTCACCGCTTATTTTTTTCTAAAATTTGACCCCACCAAACTGCTGCATTCCTAATTCTGATGCACCTTGACTGATAGATTGACTCATCCAGGTAGACATAGATTTCCTAATGAGGTAGCCACTCCTGAGAAGACCCTCTACTTTGAGGGCACCTCTCACAAGGCACTCTGTTCAAGGTCTTTTCATATGCTCTGAAGGCATGTTAGCCACTGCCTTTTTCCATTAGAGGTTCATTTTGTTATAAAGAGAGATGATGAAGAAGAAGCGTTTGGATTTGATGTCCCGCTTTATCACTACCCAAAGGAGACTCAAAGCGGCTAACAATCTCCTTTCCCTTCCTTCCCCACAACAAACACTCTGTGAGGTGAGGGAGGCTGAGAGACTTCAAAGAAGTGTGACTAGCCCAAGATCACCCAGCAGGTGCATGTGGAGGAGTGGAGACACGAACCCGGTTCACCAGATTATGAGTCTACCGCTCTTAACCACTACACCACACTGGCTGTGGTGTTTCCTTTTGCTAGTGGTGCCCCAGTTATGGAGTGCCCCCCTCCCAAGGTGTCAGGCAAAGACTTTTTTATTCACTTTGAATTCCCTAATTCGAAACAGTTTTACTTCCTAAAACATTTTTACTTAAGTATTTGAACTGTAACTTTAAAAGAGACTTTGGCTGATTAATGTTTTTAGTTTTGTCCTTATCTTATGATAATAGAATTACGGAATTGTAGAGTTGGAAGGGACCCCAGGGGAACATCTAGTCCAACCCCCTGCAATGTAGGAATCTCAACTAAAGTATCCATGACAGATGGCCATCCAACCTCTGCTTAGAAACCTCCAAGGAAGGAGAGTCCACAACCTCGCAAGGGAGTCCGTTCCATGGTCAAACAGCTCTTACTGTCAGAAAGTTCTTCCTGATGTTTAGTCAGAATCTCCTTTCTTATAACTTGAAGCCATGGGTTCAAGTCCAACCTTCCGGAGCAGGAGAACACGTGCTTGCTCCATTTTCCATGTGACAGCCCTTTAGATATTTGAAAATGGCTATCATACCTCCTCTCTGTCTCCTCTTTACCAGGCTAAATATGCCCAGTTCCCTAAATTGTAACTCATTTAGATTTATATCAATATTTGTGTGATTGTGTTTAATTTGGAATTTTTTTTTTTATATGCGGTTGTTGATTTGTTAGCCGCTTTGTGCTTCATTCAATTACAGTGGTACCTCGGGTTAAGAACTTAATTCGTTCCAGAGGTCCGTTCTTAACCTAAAATGGTTCTTAACCTGAAGCATGCTTTCACTAATGGGGCCTCCCGCTGCCGCTGTGCCGCTGGCGCGCAATTTCCGTTCTTATCCTGGGGCAAAGTTCTTAACCTGGAGCAACCACTTCCTGGTTAGCAGAGATTGTAACCCGAAACGTCTGTAACCTGAAGCGTCTGTAACCCGAGGTACCACTGTATTAGGCAGGATAGAGTTTTAAAAGATAAATTTTAAAAAAATTGCACTTCAGTCTGCTGTGGTAGGTTAAAAAACCAACAACCAACATTGATATTTCCTGCTGGCCCAGGAAAGTTGTAATACAGTGAGCTGCATCTATGCCGTTTTGCTTTTCTTGATAAAGGTCCCCATGTTTCTCCTTTAGCAGATCGGAAGCGAAGCACATGGGACGCAGAGGCAGAAGCACATCTCTGAAGGAAAGGCAGCCGGCGAAGCAGCAGAATGAGAGAGCCAACAGCCTGGACAACGAACGCTCTCCAGGCACCAGGCATCGCTTGCAGGTGAAATGGGCTGTTCAGTGCCAAGGGGGCATCCTCCTCCACATGTATGGTACTTCTGGGGGCATGCTGCAAAACCATCTCAAAGCTTTGTCATAGTTTTGGAAGAGATCTCAAGTTTTGGGGTTTGGAGTTAGTAACAGCTCTCAGCATGTGCACCAGAATGTGCAATAAAATTCTCTATTTTTTAGGAATGTTTTTATCATCTATATATATGCTCAACACACAACAAAAGAGACAAAATAAACCAGAGTGAAAGTACCACCAGTCTCACCTTACAGAAAGAAATAATAAATATTATAGAATCATTAAACTGTTTTTAGCTGGGGCAATCAGAATAAGATCCACTATTTGACTACCGATTCAAAACCCTAAAATGTATTTTATATAATTAACTTTTTGTTTTTGTTCTTTTGTATATCGTACTGTTGTTTTATTGATATGGACGATGGCTGATGCAAATAAAGATTCATCCATTCCTTCCTTCCTTCATTCAAAAGAGGCTATATGAGATCTAAATGGAACCCTAGCCAGTAACTCAGCTGCTGCATTTTGGACCAGCTGAAGTTTCCAAGTCATCTTCAATAATCCCTTGATCCTCAGCAAGCCAGGAATTGGCAACTCTATGGACAAGTGGCAAAACAGTGTGCCTAGATGTTCAAATCAAGCCAGTTATTTTGGGTGTGCTTCATATTTGACATCACTTCATAGATGTCCTAGCTTAATGGGCTGAAGAAAAACACATAAGATTGTGGGAGTGATTTAGACTGAACATTTATTTAAATAGCTGGGTAATAGAGCTTCTTCCAATAAATGAGGACTCTTAAGGGCTGCTTTCATTTATTTACAGATCCCTAGGAAAACTGTGTACGACCAGTTGAATCACATCTTGATCTCAGATGATCAGCTGCCAGAAAATATCATTCTGATTAATACCTCCGACTGGCAAGGACAGGTAAGGAGATTTGGAGTGATAAGTACACAGTCATTTTAGCTTAAACCACAAAGGGCCAACTGCAGACAGACCCCTAAATCAGGCATAGGCAAACTCCGGCCTTCCAGATGTTTTGGAACTACAATTCCCATCATCCCTAGCTAGCAGGACCCAGTGGTCAGGGATGATGGGAATTGTAGTCTCAAAACATCTGGATGGCCGGAGTTTGCCTATGCCTGCCCTAAATGTTCCAGTCCCCAGATCATTTGGTTGCATCCTAGAGGGCTTTGCAATACTGGCAATTTTACTTTCAGTCCCTTGCGAAATAGAATTTCCCCGTTTCATGCTGCCAAATTTGTCCCTTCTGGTTAGTCACCGAAGTTCTTGTTGCAATTTTTTTTTTTAAATGATATTTATTGAAAATTTTCTAAAAATTACAAGAAAAAGACAAAACAGAAAAATAAAAATAAAAAAAACCATCATTCTCCAAATCTCCACTTTCATTACCTTCTTTCTTTGACCTCCTCCTCCTCCCTTTTCTTGTATCCTAATTAATAATTTTCGCAGCAAATCCTTTCCATAATTCATAGTATTCTGTCATTACATTACCTTAATCTATTTTCATCTTATCGTATAGAGAACCTTAAAGTTTAAAACTTAAATCTTATTTTTACCAACTTCTCATAACCATAACATTCTTACCTAATTCTTTAAACATTTTAACAAGAGCCAAGTAATTTTATTTCAACATTTTTCTAACATTCATCAATTTTATAAAACAATCCTAATGGTAAAGAAAGAAATAGGAACAATCCAATCTTCATCCAGCGTCCCTTCCTCCTGGTCCCGGGTTTTGTCAGTCCTTGTTATCCCATTGATCTAGCACATTAACCTGGTGATCTTATATCCGAGGCCCTCAAGTCTCTCCCATGTCCCTTCCGCAGCTCTTCTTCATATTTTCCTTTCACTCGTGGGAACTCCAGCTTGGTAATGTTTTTGACCCTTTTCAACAGATCAGCCCCTTTTCCATAGTCCAGACTAAACTCCATGTGGTATTTGAAGACATGTTTCAGAATCCCTCCAAAATTGAGAGCCCCCACAGCTCCACACATCTTGCGGCCCATTGCCAGACTCGGAAAGTCCAAACGGAAAGTCCAAACATCCCTGCATAGGGGGGTCTATCCAACCCCCCATTTCCAAATCAGTCCAAACTTTATCTTTCCTAATCTGGCTTTTTCCAAGTTCATTTGTCAAATCCAAAGGCTCGTATTCCTGCAGGGCCGAAAATTCCTCCCTTTCTGGCGCCCAAGATTCAGCAACACTTGTTGCAATTTTTTGGTTCCGTGTGCATCAGTACATTTACAGGGCAATCCTAACCATTCCTACTCAGAAGCAAGCCCTTCCGAATTCAGTAGATATTACTCTCAGGTAAGTGGGGTTAGGATTGCAGCTGCACATTCGTTGAACTTAATTTACCGCCCATGTGTTGCCCATTCATGGCGCTTCTATTGCCGTACTTCTAAGGCAGGCTCCTTGGATGTTCGCTATCCTGAGTAGTCCGGTGGCTTTGCCAACTTGGCTGCTTTACTGCTCGCTAGATAATTAATGCACAAATTAAATAGTACCAGTCACAAATTTGGTCCGCCCAAGCTGGGTTTGGTTCATTACGTAAAAAGTACTTTACATTTTTTTTTGTCACAAAATTTGCATCCTCTTTTGGACAGCATTCAACCCACGGAGGGTCCCGAACCTGGAATCGCAGGGAAATCTGATTGCAGTAGGTGTGAAACTTATCTAGCTCTCACCAAATGAAGAAACTTCAGGAACATACCACAAAGGAAGACTCTCAACCAGGGGTCAGCAACTGTTTTCAGCCGTGGGCCGGTCCACCGTCCCTCAGACCATGTGGGGGGCCGGACTATATTTTTTTTTGGGGGGGAAACGAACAAATTCCTATGCCCCACAAATAACCCAGAGATGCATTTTAAATAAAAGGACACATTCTACTTGTTATGTACTGAAGTTCTCACCCTGGGCCAGCAGGGGGATACTGTAGATAGTTTTCACTCAGGTCCACATATGCAAATAAGGGATTGAAAGTGACGTTCAGTGATTGGATAGTTACAGAAAATGGTTACTGTTGCATTCTAGTGGAGCTCTATATAAGCAGGCTGGCTGAACCCTTCAGTTCATTCTGTTCTGGCCTGTGAATAAGCAAGAGCTGTTTGAAGAATCGCTGTGTCGTCTGATATGTTCACCCACAACTTAACACTACTCATGTAAAAACCACGCTGATTCCCAGACCATCCGCGGGCCAGATTGAGAAGGCGATTGCACCCGGCCCACGGGCCTTAGGTTGCCTACCCCTGCTCTCAACAATAACAGCGCAGAGATAGTCACTGATATTCTTTAATCGTTAATAAGTATAAAAACATTAAGGTCAGATTTGCTCGCTCACCCGAGCTATAATGCACTTAGCTTCTTGGTTCTCTGTGCTATGTTGCCTCCCCCACAGCTGGATGCAATTTTGAAATACAGAGATGTGCTTTGAAATATAGTTAGGGAACGTTCTTGTCCTCACAACGTATTTTGCTGCGCTTAACAGATACCCCCACTCAATGGCATCCAGTGTTTCTTCTTTCGAAGAGTTCCTTAGAGCTAGGACCCAAAGCAGTGGATTCAAATTACAAGAAACATTGGGGGGGAGGAATTCCTGACAGTAAGAGCTGTTTGACAGTGGAACTCTCCTTCCTTGGAGGCTTTTAGGCAGAGGTTGGATGGCCACCTATTAGGGATTATTTAGTTGTGGTGTAGTGGTTAAGAGCGGTGGACTCGTAATCTGGTGAACCGGGTTCGCGTCTCCGCTCCTCCACATGCAGCTGCTGGGTGACCTTGGGCTAGTCACACTTCTCTGAAGTCTCTCAGCTTCACTCACTTCACAGAGTGTTTGTTGTGGGGGAGGAAGGGAAAGGAGAATGTTAGCCGCTTTGAGATTCCTTCGGGTAGTGATAAAGCGGGGTATCAAATCCAAACTCTTCCTCTTCTAAATGACCCCCAGGGTCCTTTCCAACTCTACAGTTCTTGGATTCCAGGAGACCTTAACGAACCCCAACAATTTTCTCAAGCTAGTTTGCTTGAAGGATTGTTGGCCACTGCGGCCGTGTTTGAATCAATTTATGTTAATACAATAGCGTGTAAATTTATAAAAGGACAGTACAGAAATAACTAAAATAAATCAACAATGCATTAAAAATATATATAGAAGGTCCTTTTTTTTTACAGACTTGTATATCATTCTCAGTTTCTTTCAGATATCTTGCAAAAGCATGGCCTTCCAATCGTCTGCACGTGCTCTTCTGCAGATATTCAGGCAGCTTTCAGCACCATTGTCTCTAGAATACAGAGATAGTAAGTTCTTTTTCTTTTAAATGATATTTATATACATGCTCCCTCCCTCCAGATATACACACACCCTAAGTTTTGCCAGTAAAAAATAAGGCCACAACTCTCGTCCCTAAGGAGAATTTGAGTTGACTTTCCCTGATGACGTCTAGCAAGAGAGATGTTTTTCTAAAACCACTTCATTATTTTACCAATATGTATAAATTACCAAGCGAAAGAATTTTACAATGCGTCTGTCTGAACCATAAGAAACTGACTTTTCTATAAAGGCAGATGGGTGAAGCCAACCGCAGATGTTCAGGGAGGGAAGGCAAGGCTCAGAAGAGATTCTGCAGTTGACACTATCACCAAGGCAGCTCTCTGTAAACGTCCATAAAAATGGCAAAAGTAGTTTCTTTCCCAGATAGGTTTCGTCTTAAACAACTGCAGACACAACAAATAAAGAGCTCACTTGTAATATACCAGTGGTTCACTGCTCATTTCTTCTCTTTCCAAAATGGATTTTATCTTGAACAATTGCAAACGTAATACAGAGTCCACTTGTGATATTGCAGTCGTCATTGTATCACCACCCTGTTCAGCGGAGACGCTGGCAGATACCCATGTCATAGAGGAATGCTCACTGAGGAAGCTGGGCACTCAACATAATGAATGACCCAGCCTCCCTACAAACTGAAAGACAGATGAAACACATTTCCATAAATTTGCTAGCTATAAGCACCAGGCTGTGTGGTACCCCACTGCTTTTACTGCTTGAATCCAAAATTACTTCTGTCAGTATCCATTTTCTTTGTTGCCCTCTGCAGGAATGCATCCCCCTCCCTTTAATTGTTTGTATTTCCATATAAAGAGTCTGAAACGTGGTTTAAAACATGCAGTTGTAAGCTAATGTCCTCCCCAGTAGCTTCCTTATCTCCTGGTGAGATACCATTATGTATTGAGTAGAAGCCTGCTTGTAGCATCTGTATAAAGACAACTCTTGATAGATGGCTGTTTTCTGGGACGAGCGTAAGTGGCGAGCTCAGCTTCTGCAGCACATAACCCCCAACAGCCCCAATACATCCTTTGCTGTCGCAGCAAACTGTGGCCGTGGCAAGGCACTTTCGTGGCCATCCCACCCAGAATGACTTGCTCTGAGGAAGGCCCCTTTAGCTTCGTCCTAACCACAGAGCCTAGGACTTGCCGATCAGAAGGTCGGCGGTTCAAATCCCCGCAACGGGGTGAGCTTCCGTTGCTCGGTCCTTGCTCCTGCCAACCTAGCAGTTCGAAAGCATGTCCAAGTGCAAGTAGATAAATAGGTACCGCTCCGGCGGGAAAGTAAACGGTGTTTCCGTGCGCTGCTCTGGTTTGCCAGAAGCGGCTTAGTCATGCTGGCCACATGACTCGGAAGCTGTACGCCGGCTCCCTCAGCCAATAACGCGAGATGAGCGCCGCAACCCCAGAGTCGGCCACGACTGGACCTTATGGTCAGGGGCCCCTTTACCTTTACCTAGAGCAAAGGAGGGAGGAGATGGGGGCACAGGGTTCATTGGCAGGGTTGCATTGCCGCCCTTCCAGCAACAAAGAAGCAGAAAACTCAAAGTTTCCATTTCTACACTGCCACCACTGCCATGAAGAGGAAAGGTGGCAGAGGCAGGAGGAGATTAAGGGTGGGTGTGGCTTAGTGTCATGGCTTTGGGAAAGTGGTGCATTCCAAAAGCAAGGAAGGATTGGACTCTGATTAACAAAATACACACGAGGCTTGACCAGCAAGACTCTGGGAGGCAGTGCGAATAATAATCCTCTGTCCACCCCTTGGCCCAGGTCGTTTTATTCACAAAAGAACTTTTTACACAGTGTTCATAAGAACCAATCAGATGTCCTCTGAGCATTTAAAAAAACCCCACGTGGGAGAAAGTCAGATCAGAAGAAATCCTCTTAACTACAAAGAAACTATTTCCTACTTGAGCATGCATACATAGTTCAGAGTAAATAAAATAGGAATCAAGGAGGAATGTTTTTAGCAAACTCCAGAGGTCATAAACAGCAGTAAACAGGAGAGGAAGGACAGGTAGTATTTACCGTCTCCTTGTGAACTCTCTTCCTGGCCCTTAGATTAACAAAACTAAAGAAAGGTACATCAGAGAAGCTAACTACTACCTTTATGGCCCAGGATGCCTGGTGAAGCAACCGGCAACTGGTCTGTGTTTAGAATGCTTATACGTGCCTGTCAGGCATAGAGAAAGCAAATGGCAGAGGTGCAGAGGCTTGTGGGATTTGATCAGAAATTATTGTCAATGAATCAAACCCAGTCACTGCAATGCTTTCATTGCTGACACAATGGCTTGCTCCATATTTAATAATTCCTCATAGTAATCCCACCTGACCCCGCCCCCCCAGGAAAGCTGTTTCTCCCCCGGTTGCAGCAAGAGCAGAGAAAAGAAGGTAGAGTCCTTTTTAATGAGTTTATTCATTCAGAATAGTGAGCGACAAAAGAACGCGGTAAGCCTGGACAAGCTCCAACTGGGCTCCTCCTCCCTCCTCCCTAGCAACAGCATCTCCCCTTACGGAGGCCATTCGTGGCCAAATGTCTCTGATTCTTTCGTTCCTGCACTCTTAACAAACGCCGGGTTCTGGGAGAAGGGGGGGGTCAGAAATACTCTCCAGTGACAACGTGTCAGCTGGCTGCCCTGCCCTGCCTCTGTCTCCCTGCCCCCTTCTTCTAACACCTCCCAACTCTTCGGTTCATCTATCTCTGAGCTGCGACTTTCCTCAAACCCCTCAACCCCCTGCTGTAAAACAAAGCTGCATTCCTCTTCTCCTGCAGTGTCGGGACAAGGAGGGTGTGTGTATGTGTTTGTGTGTGCCCCATTCCTCCTCCGTCTCGCCCTCTTGAGTCCATTCCCTGACACTCAGGCAGTGTGACCGCTTGTTAGATTTCTGTTATGACACTGTGCAGTTTTTGGAGTCACAAGACTCTGTTTACATTCCAGACTGTTGGAAGTCTCACAGGAGACAGGAGACGGATGTTGATGTTACTGGTTTCCTGTTTCTTTGTTCCAGTTGTTCACTGACTCTCACAGAGAGCAGATGCACATTCTTTTCTGTCCTGCGTAGTTAGAAATAAACGTAGCGATGTAGCATATATTTCTCACCCTTCTGCTGTTTGGATACTCTGCGTAATGGGGAAGCATGCCTGAAGCCTCATTAAAGGCTTAGGTCGTTAATCACTGTCGGAGGAGAGCCTCGATGGATTCCGAAGTACGTCATGGAGGAGAGCCATTTGAGCTCGGTCGCAACGGAAGCTCCGACACCGCTTAGGCCACCCTTGGCTGTAACTCGGTTGATGCTCTGTATGCAAAAGGTCTCCGGTTCAATTTGAAACTCCAGAGAGCCACCGCTGAGCTGGAAGGATCGGTTTTGTAACCTGGTTTAAGGGAGCTTCCTAATACTGGCAAGTACATAGGAAGCCACCTTAGGAGAAGTCAGCCCATTGGTCCATCCTGGCAGTAGCTCTCCAGGGTTTCAATCCAATAATATTTCCGGCCCTACCTGGAGGTGCCAGGGGTAGAATGTGGAACCTTCTGCATGAAAAGCAAATGTTCTGCCCTGTAGCTAGTGTACTGATGGTGCCAAAGGTGACTTGCATACAAAATTGAGATTGTTGTGGACTGTTTGTCTGATTAATTGTAACTTTCTTACAGTTGGAACAAAAACATAGCAAAAAGAAGGAAGCAAACCAAAAAAACAGCAGACATGCCACCGTCCCTATTTTTTTAAACAAACCTCCTGTCCTTTGACTAAAGAAAATGGGAGTCACGTGAATGATTCTCTTCTGGTTCATAAGCTGCATTCCCCGGCTGATGTAACTCACTGTCTAAGAGACCAAAGCACAAATTTGGAAGCCCCTTGTTTAAATCTGCGCTATGGTAGGAAGTCGCCGAGTGCCTACTTGTTTTCAGTCTTGACCTTCTGTCATGAGTATGTACTTACAGTTAGGTTAATAATGTACGTGGTACAAAATACCCATCAATCTCTGGATTTTATTTAAAAGCAGTAATGTTCCCTCTCTCTTCAGCTGCAACTGCAATTCTCAGCCTCCCAATCCAATTAAAATTGCAATTGCGGGAGCCCAGAATTACCTCAGTGCTGTGCTGAGGCTCTTTGTAGAACAACTGTCTCACAAAACCCCAGACTGGCTCAGCTACATGAGATTTCTTATCATACCAGTAGGTAAGCAAGCTTTTCTGTCCTTTCTTCTTCCTTTGAATTAACCTCTTTCTCACTACATCACAACACAGGAACTGTTTGTCTGTTCAAGTTGTGTTGTCTGCTCTGGTTATAATGCTCTTGTACAAGGTTGCTGGATATTAAATATAGCAATGGCAGCCTCTAGAATACCAGCACTTTCCTATCACTCCCTTTCCAAACTTTGTGGCAGAATGAGAAGGATAGCTAGCAGTCAGAGCTTCAGCTGGAGTGGAAGTTATTTATAGTTCCTTCCAGTGTGCATTGCAAATTGGAACTGAATCTAACCAAGACAGAAGTGCTATAAGTGGACTGTTCCAGTGTGCAGGAGTTGGCAGAATGACCTGTTCTTAATGGGGCCACACACCCCTTGAAGGGGCAGGTCCATAGTCGGGGATGCTCCTGGAACCATGGTTGTTCCTTGAGGGCCAGCTGGCCTCAGTGGTTAGGAGTGCCTGTGCTGATGTGCCAACCGCTGCCATTTTTGCATAGGGATAGCCTGGGCACGGTTACTTGGGCTGTGGTAACATCTAAGCTGGACTACTGTAATTCACTTTACATGGGTCTGCCCTTGAAGACATCTGGAAATTGCAGCTAGTGCAGAATGTTACAGGAGGAATCTCAATAGGGGCAACAGGCCGCAAGCATAAAATGCTGTAGTAATCTGACGTCTCCCAACACCACGGAAGATTTTTATTATGTAACAAAGTTGTATATAATAAGGAGAGTTCTGCTTTATTTCCTACCTTTGTTTCTACCGCCTTGTTTGTGACTACTTTCCATTTTAAAAACACTAAGAACGTCTCACAACCCAGAAGAGGAAGAAGAAACTGAATTTCAGCGGCTTTTCACAATTTTGAGCACATCTTCACCCTGAAGGCAATAAGTTGGGATTTCCTTTCTTCTGACCACTAAAGGGGTATAGACGTAATATACTCTGGACTGCTAATGTGCACCTGCCATACAGAACAGATTTATTTATTTATTGTGTTATTTACAGGTTGTCATCCGGTGGCAAAGTATTTGGGTTCCGTTGATTGTCAGTATAACTACTTCTTCCAAGATTTGTCCTGGAAGGATTTATTTAACAGACTCGAAGCACAAAATGCTGGTAAGGCTGTCTTAATACTTATTTGCATCAGGTTGCCTGAGCTGATAACTTTGAAAAAGAATAATTGTTTCCCTGAGGCTGCTGGAGGGCATTGCCGCTAATATCTGCTGTGTCCCATTAGTGGAAATGCCCTCCGGTGCATCTGGAAAAGAGGGAAATTTCCTTGCCACAAATTTCTATCTCCAGAGGGTGCCAGAGGGCATTTCTTCCCTTCGTGTTCTGGGGGTGCTGCTGTTCTGTCTCTGCCAGTTGATGGTGGGTGGTCCTCCATGGTTCTGCAGTTTTTTTGTTTCAGTTGCAGCATTTGTAGGGGAGCTGCCTTCTGCTGCCAAGAGGGTCTGGGCAGTGAAGAAGCACCATTGCCTACTGAGCCTGCTGGCTTCACTAGGAGGCAACATCTCATTAGTGGCCATGCCCTAAGGCATCCTCTGAAAACAGAATTTCACAGTAAGGCAATTTCTGTGTTTGCTTTCTGAATCTTCTACCTTCTCAGTTTCCAGTGTCCGTTCGTAACAGCACTGGAGGCATCAAATATATGCTGATTCCTTCCCATAATTCCACAGCTTTCCACGAATTTGGTTTGATTCTCCTTGAGATGCAGAATATTGTATTCAGCTGTTGAATTTTCCTTTTCGAGTCTAATAGTATCTCAAGTCCTCCCACCTGGAGCTGGGAGAAGGTAGCCGTGGTTGGTATCTTCCATTCTACCCTGTTGAATTCGGGTAACAGATGCCATGTCACGGCACTCTTAAGCTGGTACGGAGAAAATAAGGCCGTTGGAGGTGACATGGCCATATTATTTTAAAAAGTAAATGTGAAAAAGAGCTTTATTTGAGAAAAAATGCTCTATGGATGTGTTGTATACAAAGATCAGAACAGTCATCACCATGATGCCCTCCTTATGACTCTGTCTGGTTGTTGGAAACAGAAAAGTTGGGAGTAGGTAGATTCAGCAAGCAGTTCTTGCTACTCTGGGCCCCTTCAGGAGGAAGGGTGGGTTATAAATTGGGTGGATGGATGGACTTGCAGTTCCTTCCAAATGCGTGGCCAATGGTCCTTGTCCTTCTTTTTCTCTCTCTCTGTTTCAGTCCAGGAATCACCTGATATTGTCTCCAGAATAACTCAGTACCTAGTGGGAGCAAACTGTGCCCACCAGTTGCCCATTGCAGAAGCCATGTTGACATACAAGCAGAAAAGGTACATTGTTATGAAAAACAACAGGGAAGTTTTTAATATGTGACATTTTAGTGTATTTTTCATCTTTGTTGGAAGCCGCCCAGAGTGGCTGGGGAAACCCAGCCAGATGGGCGGAGTACAAATAATAAATTATTATTATTATTATTATTATTATTATTATTATTATTATTATTAAAAGCAACTTCTCCTTGGTAGCCAGGAAATCTGGGCAGCTGGACGACATTTTCCAAGTTAGATAAGCCAGTCAATAGCACTTTCGATAATAATCAATTCAAAGCAAAGTACTGTTTGCGGAAATATTTGTACTTTGAATGCAGCCCAAGTGATGTTACAGAAAGGTAGCTAGGTCCTTGTACAGTGGTACCTCGGGTTACAGACGCTTCAGGTTACAGACTCCGCTAACCCAGAAACAGTACCTCGGGTTAAGAACTTTGCTTCAGGAAGAGAACAGAAATCATGCGGCAGAAGCGGGAGGCCCCATTAGCTAAAGTGGTACCTCAGGTTAAGAACAGTTTCAGGTTAAGAATGGACCTCTGGAACGAATTAAGTTCTTAACCTGAGGTACCAATGTACTGGCTTGGTAGTGTGGGAATCTCAGCAACGCCATTTTGTCCTGTGCCATCTGTATAACATGAAGAGCTTTTCAGCTGCGCAACGCATGTGATTCCAGGCCTCTCATGTTACTTTAACAACATCAGAAGGTGCAGCGCTGCTGGATGTAACTATATTACACAGCCTCACAAATTAGAGAAGCTTCACTTCCTTGGAAATTGATAGCATGCCTCCCCCACCCCAAACAAAGAGTAAAGCTTAAGAAAGAGTAAAGCATAAGAAAAGAAAAGAAAAAAAGAATCGCAAAAGCCTGGTGTAGAAAATCAAAGGCAACAAGCATTTTATTGAAGGGTTAGACTGGATGACCCTAGGGGTCCCTTAAAATCTACACAATTCTACAATTCCATAAGCACATCAGACAATGCAAATCCATTCAGGCTTGTCTAACGTTTGAAAAGGTGAATTGAGTTATCATTGCTACCTATAACTTCTGGCGGTTCCCTCACTACGAGAAGTGAGGTTACAGGGCCTTCTCGGTAGTGGCGCCCGCCCTGTGGAATGCCCTCCCATCAGATGTCAAGGAAATAAGCAGCTATCCAATTTTTAAAAGACGTCTGAAGGCAGCCCTGTTTAGGGAAGTTTTTAGTGTTTAATGCTGTATTGTGTTTTTAATATTCGATTGGGAGCAGAGTGGCTGGGGAAACTCAGCCAGATGGGCGGGGTATAAATAATAAATTATTATTATTATTATTTATGATCTAAAAACGGTTTAGTAGTTAACGCAATTGGGAAAGGTGCTTGCCTACCAAAGGTCTGACCGCAGTCTCTCTCTTTCCAAAAGCTGGCCATTCCTGCTAGTCCTTATTAAGGTGGGAGATGCATATCACTCAGCAGAACAGGACTTGCAGCAGTGCTGAGCTTTCCCACACTACCATGATAATGTGAGATGGGACCACATGAGAGGAGCCGACACTGCAGCTCCTCTCCACGCACTGCCCCCCCCCCCCGAGAGAACTGGGTTCATGTCAGAATGGGGAGGACCAGCAACATGGCAGCTTCTTCTCCAGCGTGGCCCAAGGTGGCTGTCAGAGGCTTAATGCTGTCCAGCTGGCATAGATAAGACTCTGGGCTCCCAGCCAGTTCCAAACTATTTGATTTATTTGACAAAGTTCAAACGTACATCTCCAGCGTTTCAATTAGCGTCCTTCCCCTTGTTGCGCAGTTGCCGCCTCTAAACTTTCTTCCTTTTCCGCACCCAGCATGCAAGTCTGCGAAAACTCCTCCCCTGACTTCCTCTGTGTACAGAATGACTTATTCCAGGCTCATCCTCCTCCCCCTCTACATCAGACCCACTGTCAGACGACAAGCTGCTGATAATCTCTTTAGGCTCTCTATAACTGCTGGTTTCTGTCCTTTCATCTTTTCCCGTTTGCCTCTCCCTGACAGCGGCTGCCATAGCAGTGGAAAGTTAAGGAGGATTGGCTCTGTTGTGGCTTCCAACCCTCTGGGATCCAGTGTTAACATTTTATTTGTCTCCATAAGTATAATAATTTATTTATTTTTCTTTTGATTGCTTCTGAAAAGGAAAAAGAACTTTCATTTTGAATTTAATATAAGGTACTTGTCTGTCTGGATCACTCTCTTGTTATCCTATACATATTTTTTCCTTTCCTGGTCTTTCACCACCTTCATGGTATTTATAAGGCTGGAATGTTCAATTTGTATAATATATATATACGCGCAGTTTGCTGCTTTTGACATTATTTGAAGAGGCAGAATACATTGTCCAAAAGAATCAAGAGTAAAAGGCATTTACTCAAGAATGACTTCCACAAATACAGAACAGATGGGGTAAAGTTTGTATAGGTCATTCCGTAAGTTAGTGCTCACGCACTTCAATGCTGGCTGGTTGGTTATTTAGCTCAGCAAGTTCTGAAATAGCCCATACAACTTTTTTCCAATTCACATACCCCCTCCCTCTCTGCATATGCTATAGCGATTGTGGTAAGGAGGCTGGTTTGGCTAGGACCATTATGCATGCTGCTTAGCTTGCCCTCTTTGTTCTACATGAGGTGTTTGGAAGACACTCTAAGTTGCAGTTCTCTGGAAAGCCGCGGCCATGGGAACTCCAAAATCATCAGCCCCTTGTCTCATTGGTGGACATTAGCCTAAATGCTAGGGATGAAGAGGTTGACACCTGCTTATTTTTTGCTTTAGGAGTTGCTATGCTATTATCCTGTAGTAATAATGGTTTTGTTTCATCTTCACTTTAGCAATATTAAATTGATTTGGAAGAGAGATAGAATTTCCCCAAATATCCTTCACAATGGACTTTATCCATCCCTTTTTGGTATACATTCAGAACTCCAGAAACAAGAATGGAGCCTGGGAAATCTTTCTATTGGAAAATTCCAGCTTGTATTGGCTTGAATGGGTTTTTTGGAAATCCATATTATTAGGCAACGAAAGCAAATGTGGAAATGAAAAAAAGCAAGGTCTTGAAAAAGGTGGGGACACAGACACTGTAGACAAATCTGGAGCTATCATGGGCCACTTATTCATATTAAACGGTCCATAAATGGACCATTATTCTGTTCCAGTTCAGTTAAATGATCCGAGTGACTCCATGATAGTATGTGTGCTCACATTGCTGCATCATAGTATTTACATATAGAGGGAAAAGACCACCCTCCATTTTATTGTATTTATTAATGTCCTAGCAGATACGCTAGGCTTTTTCTTGCCCCAATAAAGTCTATCAATGGTTTTGGACATGCCATAATCACTTAGGTCCATTTTGAGTAGAATATTTTTTTAAAAGGAATAATATTTTTGGAAGTGTCGTGATCGTATCTGTTGCCATCTTTCCCATCCATGCTTTCCGTAGAAATGTAGCTTCCACGAGTGTGGATACGACTGTGTTTGTGTCTCACACTCAGAGCATAACAGTCCCAAAGAAGCCACTCTGTTAATAATAGTACGTGAAGGAAAGTCAGTGCAATTTTATTGGTTCAGGATTATGTAAGCACTTGGTACAAAAATGATAGCCATTTCAAAGAATGTTAGGGTGTATTAGGAATGATTTTACAGGGCCTTGCTTTCTGCCCCAAGCAACTGCTGTATCTGAGCTGAGCTCTCTCATGAGCACTTTAATTTCTCTTTAGACCTTCCCTTTTCCTTTGGGGCTTTCCAAGTTTCTTATGTGGCCAAAGGCAAGCATCTTCAAATCTACATGGGCCTTGAACAGATCTAGTGCAAGAGCCGAAAATTCTACAAGACGGCAGTTAGCTGGGAGTAGGCCAGCGAGACTCAGTAGAACTTCCTTCCAGAACTTCCTTCTGAGTAATTCTGCATAGGATTACTCCGCCAGTGTATTTGGGATCTTCAAATTCTTTTATTGCGTTCTTTCAGTCAGCCCTAATGATCTGAGGAATTGAAAAAGAGAAACATTTTTAGAGTTCTTTAGTACATCAGTATTTGTAAACTCTTTCCCAAGGAGTTTCCCAACAATCTCTGTGATGCTGACTGACCCTAGCTGTCAACTTTTCCTTTTTTTAAAGGGAAATTCCCTTATTCCGAATAGGATTCCTCGCAAGAAAAGGGAAAAGTTGACAGCTATGTGACTGACTCAAGTCCCTGCCTCCTTTCCTTCCTTCTCCATTCTTGGTCATGGCGAAAACGAACCAAAACACTGTTGCATGAATGCGCATGTGTTGTGCAGAAGCTTCCTTCTGTCTGTTTGGGAGTACTGTATATGGTGATGAGTTCAGGTGCTTGGAAGAGGAAGAGTCCCTGGAAAATCTAATGTGGCATTTTAATCCTTTTGAGGTAATTCCGCTTGAAAGCCAACCAACCTACTTCCTTGGGTTCGGTCCATTTCAGCACCTGATAAATTGGACTCTTAAGGCCCTAAGATGAATTTTTTAGTTTTCCAGACTGTCATCCCTATGTAGGGACTTACATTCTCTGAACTATGCTTGGGTTTGAAAGCAAAGGCACTAGTGGGGGTATAGGAGACTCTAAGTAAAAATGAAGAAAGAGTGCAATTCAACCATTTGAGCAGGATTTGAGTACAAGCGTCCAGCAACTGGCGTTCAAAAGCACACTGTCTCCAAATGTTCAAAACTTACATTTCACACGTCACTTCCTTCCTTTCTGTCATAATATGTAGTTGATCCCAAGGCTTTCTCACTGGCTTGGTTTGACAATATACCCCCTGCTTCTCAAAAACACTTCATTTGGAGCAAACGAACCACCTTTGGTTGCAGTGAAAGAAGCCATTTTGAGCATGTTGTTGGTTTGCCCCTGACTGGAGCAAACTCTGGCAGTTCTTTCACAACCTGGCAGTAAAAGCTATCCATTATATAAAAAGAGGGATGAATGGGAGTATAAGCTTTAGATAAATATGCCGTGCGCTTGCTGCGATTTTAAAAAGTTGCCTTAAGTGGAGATACATGATCTGGACACATGGACTGGATGGGAATTTTGTGTTATTAGGTTACCTGAAGGATTGCCTCTCCTCATATAAACCTTCCCAGACTCTTGTGTTCATTCTCTGAGGCCCTTCTTTGTGTGCCTCCTCCACATGATGTCTGGAGGGTGGTGTTGTAAACAAAAATTGCCCTTTTCCCTTATGGGGTATCCAAGAGCCCATATAGAGTCCTTACATAGGTTCCCTATTGGTAGGAGAGAATAACAGAGGCCAACCAGAGAATATTGAGAAGCAAAGCAGCTAGTAAGCTTGATCTTTATTGATCTGTTGCAACAGGGTGCTCCCCTCGCCCGCAGGTGAAGAGGAACCCAGAAAAATGGCGCGCAAGGCCTTATAAAGACTTTTGAAATTGCCACCCTGTAGATCAAGACAACCCCCAGAAACATCATACATACCGTATTTTTCGCTCTATAGGACGCACTTTTTTCCCTTCAAAAATGAAGGGAAAATGTGTGTGCGTCCTATGGAGCGAAGACGCCATAGCCCCGCGACCTCTCCCGGCTGGAGAGGTGACGGGCGGCTATTGAGGCTCTTGCCATAGCCGCCCGTCACCTCTCCAGCCGGGAGAGCGCGCGCGGGGCGAAAGCAGCCCCCCGTGACCCTCTCCCGGCTGGAGAGGTGACGCGCCATAGCCGCCCGTCACCTCTCCAGCCGGGAGAGCGCGCGGCGAAGCAGCCCCCGTGACCCTCTCCCGGCTGGAGAGGTGACGGGCGGCTATTGAGGCTCTTGCCATAGCCGCCCGTCACCTCTCCAGCCGGGAGAGCGCGCGCGGCGAAAGCAGCCCCGTGACCCTCTCCCGGCTGGAGAGGTGACGCGCTATAGCCGCCCGTCACCTCTCCAGCCGGGAGAGCGCGCGGGGCTAAGCAGCCCCCGTGACCCTCTCCCGGCTGGAGAGGTGACGCGCCATAGCCGCCCGTCACCTCTCCAGCCGGGAGAGCGCGCGGGTGAAAGCAGCCCCCGTGACCTCTCCCGGCTGGAGAGGTGACGGGCGGCTGTGAGGCTCTTGCCATAGCCGCCCGTCACCTCTCCAGCCGGGAGAGCGCGCGCGGGCGAAAGCAGCCCCCGTGACCCTCTCCCGGCTGGAGGGTGACGGGCGGCTGCTGAGGCTCTTGCCATAGCCGCCCGTCACCTCTCCAGCCGGGAGAGCGCGCGCGGGCGAAAGCAGCCCCGTGACCCTCTCCCGGCTGGAGAGGTGACGCGCCATAGCCGCCCGTCACCTCTCCAGCCGGGAGAGCGCGCGCGGCGAAGCAGCCCCCGTGACCCTCTCCCGGCTGGAGAGGTGACGCGCCATAGCCGCCCGTCACCTCTCCAGCCGGGAGCGCGCGCGGGCGAAAGCAGCCCTCGTGACCCTCTCCCGGCTGGAGAGGTGACGGGCGGCTGTGAGGCTCTTGCCATAGCCGCGCGTCACCTCTCCAGCCGGGAGAGCGCGCGCGGGGCTAAAGCAGCCCCCCATGACCCTCTCCCGGCTGGAGAGGTGACGCGCCATAGCCGCCCGTCACCTCTCCAGCCGGGAGAGCGCGCGCGGGGCTAAAGCAGCCCCCCGCGACCCTCTCCCGGCTGGAGAGGTGACGGGCGGCTGCTGAGGCCCTTGCCATAGCCGCCCGTCACCTCTCCAGCCGGGAGAGCGCGCCAGCGACCTCTCCCGGCTGGAGAGGTGACGGGGCTATGGCAGGAGCCTCTATAGCCGCGTGTCACCTCTTCAGCCGGGAGAGGCGCGCAGGGCTAAAGAAACCATAGCCCCGCGACCCTCTCCCGGCTGGTGAGGTGACGCACGGCTATGGCAGGAGCCTCTCCGCTGCGCCTTTCCGCTGCTCCCTGAACTGCTCTTTGGGGCTGGTGGTGGGCTTCCCCGCCAGCCCCAAAGAGCAGGTCGAAGGAACCTGAAGCCTGGAGAGTGAGAGGGGTCAGTGCACACCGACCCTCTCGCTCTCCAGGCTTCAAGGTAGCCGCCTGAACGCACCTTAAACGGCACCTTGTTTTAGAGCGGGAAAACAAGAGGGGAAAGTTCTCCCCTCTCTGCACAGCGCCTCCTGCCACTTCGCTGAAGGGCGCTGGGCAGAGAGGGGAGATTTTTTTCTTGTTCTCCCCCCTCTAAAACAAAGTGCGTCCTATTGTCCGGTGCGTCCTATGGTGCGAAAAATACGGTACATCACAGAAGGGGTGTAACCTAAGACCACCCCTCAGATACATCATACCTACATCACAGAAATTTAAATGTTGTTTTTCTCTTGTCCTTGTTTATCTCCTGGCTGGCAGGTTACTTGATTGGATTTCTTGGGTAGCCTGGCCATTCTTTTGTAGTGATAAATACTTAGTTCCTGGGCCAGGTCACAGGCTCACACCCTATTCATATCTTAAATGTGCCCTTAAGACAGGATTTGTGAGGAAAGAGACAATGGGGAGGTTTCCCACTTTGACCTTGCAGAGAAAACATTTGCTCAGTTTAGGAATCAAAATGGTTCCAGGTTGGTCTTCCTGTGCTGTTCTATGTACGTGCGGTTATGAACATTACCATATATCTAAGATCTCAAAATTACTATCACAGTGGCAACACGAGAAAGGGCCTTTTCTGCAGTGGCTCTCCGCTTGTGGAATGAATGCTTTCCCCAGGGAGGCTCACTGGGCGCCTTCATTATTTATATTTTAGGTGCCTGGGGAAAATGTTCCTCTTCAGCCAGGCCTTGGGCTGATTAATATTCTACAGCCTTTAAAATGTGTCTGTGGGAAGGGGTGGGGTGGGGTTCTTTCTTCTGTTGTTTTTCTTTCAAAACTTGTGTTTTTATATTGTATTTTACTCTGTAAACTGCCCTGAGATCTTGTGATAAAGGGCAGTATATGAATATAATAAATAAAATACAATAAAATAAGTAAATGGTACCTAGTTTTACATCGCGAAATGCATAATATTTGCTTGTAATGGGCAATTCAACATAATATACATATACTGTTAGTCACCTCTTTTATATATTATTTGAATAAATTTTCTCTATGTTAAATCATGTTGCTCTAACTACGCAAGTGTCAAAGTAAGGACAAGTGTGCTGCTTTTATGAGTGTAGGGTGTGTCTGCGCATGCTTGTGTGCACATGTCCGTGTGCCGGCTAAATTTCATTCTGCATGGGTTTGCAGCAGAAGAATTATTCTGGGCATATAGAGAAGTCTATGCTTGCATGTTTTTTGCAACCACTGCATGCTTGATAATAACAATAAGAAAATTTGCAGCTTCTGGCTTTTGAAATGATCATGATTCTCTGATCTTTTTAGCCCAGATGAAGAATCTGCTCAGAAGTTCATCCCTTTTGTTGGAGTGAGTAGCGTTTTTTTCCATTAAGAACTCTGACAAATTTTCATCCCCAAATATTTTCATGGTGAAAAGTGTGCTTTCAGAGATTACAACAAACACCCCCAAATCCCCGTCTTTCATTTTTCCACATTTTTTTATGCCTGTTTACAGCTGGTGGCGCGGGTGGCGCTGTGGGTTAAACCACAGAGCCTAGGACTTGCCGATCAGAAGGTCGGCGGTTTGAATCCCCATGACGGGGTGAGCTCCCGTTGCTCGGTCCCTGCTCCTGCCAACCCAGCAGTTCAAAAGCACATCAAAGTGCAAGTAGATAAATAGGTACAGCTCTGGCGGGAAGGTAAACGGCCTTTCCGTGCGCTGCTCTGGTTTGCCAGAAGTGGCTTAGTCATGCTGGCCACATGACCCAGAAGCTGTACGCCGGCTCCCTCGGCCAATAAAGCGAGATGAGCTCCGCAACCCCAGCGTCGGCCACGACTGGACCTAATGGTCAGGGCACCCTTTACCTTTTACAGCTGTTACGTCCACAATCTGTGGCAGCAGCACAATTTTTAACAAATCTGAAGATGACCTTTTCCTTCTCAATCATAGATCATGTTAGTTGATATCCTGATGTTGTGGAGCTACATAGTCAGTCATATTTGGCTATGTTATGCAACCAAAGCTATATTGCCCTCACTGTGAAACTCTGACCCAGTTCTACATGCACATGCACACATTGAATCTTGCGTCCCATTAAGAGCAATTGCAATATTTCCTTGGATACTTCATGACTGATGCTTCCCATTTACTGAACTGCGCTTTGGCCTCAGCGCAGGTAGCCAAATTTATTTATTTTACTTTTTTATTTATTGAATTCATATACTGTCCTTCACCTGAAGATCGCTGTGTAGTTTGCAGCATTGAAATTCAAAATGAAAACACAAAATATAGAATAAAACAAAAACAAACCGGTAATACCCCACCTCCCACAAAACGGTTAACGTTAGCCTGATTAGCAAGTCAGTGGGGACACATTTCCCACCCCCAAAGCACTTCTCTTTTGAGCTCCCCTCAACAACAAAGTCAGCTGCTTTTCAATGGGGACAGGAAACTGATTAAACTGTCATTGCAGAGCTAATAATTCTATGTAAAATGTTTTTCTTCCTCCAGGTGGTAAAAGTTGGAATAGTTGAACAGTCCTCTGCAACTTCAGGTAATAAAAACTTTCAACGATGTTGTAATTTCTCACTAAAGCATGGCATGGATGTTGGAAGCCGGTAGTCTGACTATAGTCCAAGCGATCTGAAATATACTCGGAGTCGAGAGTGGATTTCATGCTCTTTATTCAGCTCATAGTGGTGAGGAGGAATGGAAGTTCCCCCACAATATCTGCTTTATATACATTATTTACACAATGGGCTGCACGTGATTGGCTAATTCCGGGATTCTCCTGTAGGCCAATCAAGTTGTGGATTCACTTCCACCTGGAGCTGGATTGGGTGGCTCCTGCGGACCAATCATACTGCTGCATTGTTCTAGGACCAATCAGACTGCTGCATTTTGGATCCTAATCAACTCAGTACATAACACGATCCCAGATGTCTGTTTTTCAACTGTATTTTATAATAGTGCCCCAACAGAAGTATATTGTCCAGATCAAGGGAAGCAATAGTCTCTGCTCTGTTCTGCAACCAGTTCTGAGCACCACAGTTGAAGAAGGATCTTGACAAGCTGGAAGGTGTGCAGATGCTGGAGCCCTTGGCAAGAGGGCTCTTGGTCCCAATCGAAGCATCATATCTCCCTCCATAAGCCGGACAAAAGCTTCCTGGGCTTTGGGAAGGAGGCAGCAGGCTTTAATGCTTTAATACTCTAATTTACCTTGAACATTTAGGGGACTAGTGTAGTCTCCCTAGTCCACTGACCTCACTCCATTGCATGCTCACAAGGTCTTTCAGCTTCCGAGCACAATTCAAAGTGTTGGTGTTGACCTTTAAAGCCCTAAACAGCCTCGGTCCTGTATACCTGAAGGAGCGTCTCCACCCCCATCGTTCTACCCGGACACTGAGGTCCTGCACCGAGGGCCTTCTGGCGGTTCCCTCGTTGCGAGAAGTGAGGTTACAGGGAGCCAGGCAGAGGGCCTTCTCGGTGGTGGCGCCCTCCCTGTGGAACGCCCTCCCACCAGATGTCAAAGAGAAGAACAACTACCAGACTTTTAGAAGACATCTGAAGGCAGCCCTGTTTAGGGAAGCTTTTAATGTTTGATGTATTGCGGTATTTTAATATTTTGTTGGAAGCCACCCAGAGTGGCTGGGGAAGCCGAGCCAGATGGGCAGGGTATAAATAATAAATTATTATTATTATTATTATTATTATTATTATTATTCCTACCCAGAGCCTCATAAAGGGTAAAGGTAAAGGGGACCCCTGACCATTAGGTCCAGTCGTGACCGACTCTGGGGTAGTCCTTTGCTATAGGTTGAATGCTGTGTCTGGTAGTATCCTTGTTTATCCACATGGCTCTCCGTAGACCCCTGACTAACTTCCTCTCAGCAGTAGCCGTCCCCCTCAGACCGTGTGCTGAAGCAGAGCACACAGCAAAACACACACAAAAGCAAAGCCTCCAAGCAGCTCAGGCAAGCGAGCAGCTCTTTTCCAAAAGACACAAGCTCACTTTGTTCTGTCTCTTCCACTAATCCCTCACAAACATCCTCAAGCAAATCAGAATGAATGCAGGCTGGATGCTCACTGCCATAGAGCCACCCTGAAAACCAATCAGAAGGAATGCTCAATAAAGACAATATAATTTAACCTCCATGTAAGCTTTGTGTGAGCAAATTGGGATCAAAGCTCTGGAGGAGCCCCTACATCAGCAAAGCTAAATCAGGGATTTGTTATCATTTACCTCATTCCTTTGGAAAAATGCACTAACCTGACTTGTGAGTAATTTGGGAGGGTATAACTTCATTTTCATTATGCGCTTTCTTATTCACATTAGTTTTCTTTCCCCCTCTCTCTGTGTGTTGTAATATGTGTACTTCAACTTCAATCGAATATTGAAAAGATATTTATAAAAGGATTGTGGAAAATTACAAAATTTACACTTTAAAATAAATTGCTACTCCACTTTTCTACTTCTCCTAGTCTGATCTAGATCCTCTAAATTCTTCTGCCATTGTCAATATTACAGTATTACTTCTACGACTATCATCACTGATAATAATAAAGCATAATATTATATGTTAATTACTTAATAAGTGCCTAACATTTTCTCAGTGCTTAGCTAATTTTAAGATAGCTCATTCTCACAGGCTTATTTTATAATAGGCATGATAGCAATATCTGTTACTCAGCTGGTAGCACCTCAGAATCTCAATCTCAGGGTTGTGGGTCCAAGCCTCACATTGGGCAAAAAGATTCCTGTTTTGCAGGGACTAAATTATCCTTCCAATATTACAATTCCGTTCCTCTACGAAGACAAAGGAAATTAGTATCTCAATAACTTTTATCTATATTTTCCCCTCCATTTTGCTTTAGAACTTTCCTCGTTGTTATTCCACTTGTATTTTATTTACCATTTCAAAAACTCATGTTCCTCCTTGTGATTGATCTGCAATGACTGTAACCATAACTGATGCAGTCCTCAGTTTTGCCTCTAGGAAAGTAAGCCAGGCTACTAATTACACCTACTTACCACGGCCGGATCCTTCCCTTAGGTTTGCCAGGCACAGAGATTTTCCATGCTACTTTTGTTTTAACTTTTGTCTTTGGAGGGGCCGTAGCTTTGCTTTCTCTGCATCTCTTGTTCTGCTGACATGTCTGTCGCATCTCGCCTGCCTTCTTTCTATCTATCCTGTAAAGGTCATTGTTTGCCATGTGATGCTTAAAGTGGTCTTTGTTGTCTGCAGACCAACCATTTGAATCCTGTTTTTAAAGGTGACTCGGATGATGCTGCTCCTTGCAGTTCAAGTGTCCTTTCCTCAACCCCACCTTCTGTGTCTCCTGCTCTGAAGGAATCTTCTCCCACCCCACCCTCCTCCCCATCGGTCACAGGCACCTTTGCTTCCTCCAGGTAAAGCACGTTCTCCCTTTTCTCTCTCTTCTATTATGAAATACAGAAGAAGAAGTAACACCCCTTTATATAAGGACCTTGAGTTGCCAGTTTATCCTCATGATTTGCTCATATTCTCTTTCATCTCAGCCGATTCAACACCTTTCTGAAAATTAAATCCCCCCCCAAAGCAATATTTAGTTGTTTACTTCAGCAGGTCTTCCTGATAGAGTCTCCCTTGCACCTGTTTTTGACACTAGGTTACGCTAGCAGCCTTCAGACATTAACTCAAGTTTTCCCTGAGGTGAAAAACGATATAATCACTTTACTATGAAACACAATAACATAAATAAAGCAAATGACAAAAAAACATCAAAACGATTAATACAATTCAATATCAAATTAATAATTCAAAATAGTAATTGGAATATTTTAAATAGTAATTCGAAATATCAGAAAAAAATTAGTTTTATGAGGTTGGGAGAAAAACTTTTCTATGTGCGTTGCATAATGAAAGTGGATAATTTTATAAATTTCTACCATGTCATAAAATCATAGAATTGTAGAGTTGGAAGGAATCTCGGGGGTTCACACCTTGCAATGTAGGAATCTCAGTGTCGGAATGCTGACTCACCTTTTCTCTAAACTAAAAAGTCCCAAATGTGGCAACTTTTCTTCATAAAGGAGTTGCTCCATCCCTTGGATAATTTTGAGAGCATTCCACAAACAGAGCCACTGCAGAAAAGGCCTGCTCTTGTTGCCACACTTCCGGACACACGAAAAAGGCCTCAGATGATGACTGCAGGGTGCAGGTTGGTTCATATGGAGAGAGGCGGTCCTTGAGGAATTGCAGTCCTGAGCCTTTTAAGGCTTTGCAGTATAGGAATGTTCAGGGAGGCAGGAGAGGATATATTGTTTATTAATATCCTCCCTAACTTGCGCTAGCAAGTTCCTTCACTTAGCAGAGTTTCACATTCCCCCTTTAAACACACAGTGGGTAGCTAGTTGCAGGCTTGTGTAAGCCTCTCACTTTTATACAATTCAGTCTGTCTTAGACTGAATTGTACATTCGTGGTAAGTTCCCTTAAATCCCTCTTAAAAGAAAAAAGACACCACAATCTTATACAAAGTGAATAAAAGAAGTTTACTTACATCAGGCAGAGCACAGTGTGATCCCTGAAGGCAGACTTAGTTACGAAGTATATACATGTGGATGTATCCCATATGGGGATAATCCCTGTGTGTTGGCTGGAAGTGAAAAACTGCTCCAACGATGGAGGAAGTCAAAAAGAGAGAGAGTGCTGCATGCCTTGTCCCTTTTGTTACCTGGACAGGTAAGGTCACGCCCACCTGTAGTCACATGCAAAGGAAGTATGTCCCAGCCAGGAGCAAACAGGAAGTTTTTGACTGGCTGGACCAAACACTTCCCTGCATGTCCACTCTAGGAAAACAAGGAATGTTGTACTTCACTGCTACTTACATATCACATCCCACATGCAGGTCAAAACCAGCCTGCGTTTTGGGACTTTCCTTAGGGGTGTGGTTCATTAGGGCTGCTGCGATGATCTCCTGCACTACAAAATTTTCCACTACGCTATGTAATACTCTACAAAGAAATGGGTTCAGAGCTTCTCTCTTCCTTTGCCTATGCAGCGCTTTTAATATCCCCATCATTTCTGGGCTTTATGAAGAATTAAGCAGAACATGACCACATCTAATTTTGCTCTTAAGTCAGCAATGTTATATAGCATTTAGTTGGAATCTGTTTTTAAACAAAGTTGAAATTACATAAATAGATCTGACCTGTTAAGTTCTAATTAAGATGGTCTACATATTAGATAGGAAGTTGTCCAACTGAACAATATGCTGTATGTTGCTTCTTACACTGTTTTTGAAGACAGGTGTGTACCTGCAAGTCACACTCGGTTCTGAAGAGGCCTCAAACTCTGGTTCCTAGGTGCCTCAGTGCAAAGACACACCTGGCACAAGATTCTTGAGGAGGCTCTAATATTGAGTTGTCATTTGGGTCTCAAGTTACATTCTCTATTTTCAAATATATGTGCCTGAGTTCTTTATAGTTATGTGAGAAGTCTTTTGACTGCAGCCGTGCAGCGAAGACACTTGAAAGGTAGATCACAGTGTCAAATACTAAGCACCGTTCCAATAATGCTTTTCAATTTGGTATCATCCGTGTTTCTCACCTGGGCTCTCTGGGACTGTCACAGCTTACAAATGATAGTATTTTCCTAACGTATTTCAGCTGTGGCCTTGGTATGGAACTGATGGGCCTTCAGGTGGATTACTGGATTGCAACTCATCCTACGGAGAAGAAGAGAGACTCAGAAAAAAAGGACCCCTCTGCTGCCAAAAACACTCTGAAATGCACTTTTCGGTCTCTCCAGGTCAGCCGGCTGCCTACGAGTGGGGATGCCATTTCTACTCCAACAATGTCAATGACAGTTGTCACAAAGGAAAAGAACAAAAAAGGTGCAGAAAAGGGACGCTTCTTGGCTATTGTAACCTATGTTCTATTGCTTAACACTAGCATTTTTCAGTAGTAAAATATTCCTGGAGGTCGAAATCACTGACTTTGTTAGTGTGTGAGATGCATTTAATTCCACTAGTTTCCAATTAATTTTAGCATACCTTTCTGTCTTGCTGGCTGCTCTAAATCTAGCTCAAGCTAGGACCAGTTTACTTCACATGTGGAAACTGATCATAGTGTAAACTTTATTTTCTCATGTTGGAGTGGCTTGTTAGCATTTGTGTCTACCGTCCAATGAGCATAGAAATTCACCTCGAGCTTTCCCCCTGTGGTTAGAGTGGAAATAGAACTACACTGAATTTGTACTGTCATTCCCTCCTTTAAAAATAGTATAAACAAGACATTACAGGTGCTTGGGCACCGTATTTTTCGCTCTATAGGATGCACTTTTTCCCTTCCAAAAATTAAGGGGAAATGTGTGTTCATCCTATGGAGCGAATACAGGCTCCTTGGCTTCAGCAATAGCAACGCGAAGCCTCCGAAGGGCAGAGGGAGCGCTCCCTCCGCACTCTGGAGGCTTCGCATTGCTTTCGCTGAAGCCTGGAGAGCGAAAGGGATCGGTGCAGACTCTCCTGGCTTCAGCGAAAGGAACCCGAAGCCTTCAGAGCGCAGCGCAAGTTACTGCTGCGCTCTGAAGGCTTCAGGCGGCTTCGGAGCGCAGCGGGAACTTGCGCTGCGCTCCGAAGGCTTCAGGTTCCTTTCGCTGAAGCCAGGAGAGCAAGACTTTCCTGGCTTCAGCAGAGAGGGATTGCTGCGCAGTGCCCCTTCAGCGAAGCGGGAGGAGAAATGGAAGGGACTTGTTCTCCCCCTCTAAAAACAAGGTGCGTCCTATGGTCAGGTGCGTCCTATAGAGTGAAAAATACGGTAATTGTGGCCAACTGGCACACCAGCCTTACCTGGAGGAAGGAGCTTTGTGCCACACTTCAGTGTTGTAGACATCATGCTTTAGGAGCTTGATCCTTTAGGACGGGAGTGGAAAACCCTTTCAAATCCAGGGACCAAATTTTTTTTCTGGCCACACCCTGTGGTCCGAATTTGACAGGTGGGGGGGGGGAATAGAAGTTGAATGTGAAAGGAGAACAGGAGAAGATATAGGAGATGGGTAAACATACTTTGAGAGGCACAGGGGTAGGTGGGAAGGAAAAATATAAAAGAAAAACCCTCTGCTTAGAGCAGGCATAGGCAAACTCAGCCCTCCAGATGTTTTGGGACTACAATTCCCATCCTCCCTGACTCCTGGTCCTGTTAGCTAGGGATCATGGGAGTTGTAGTCCCAAAATATCTGGAGGGCCGAGTTTGCCTATGCCTGGCTTACTTCTGGATCAGTGGATTTTGTCTCAAATGTGGGCTGGGGAGGTCACAATATCTCCAAAGCCAGAGTAGATATCAATAGAAATTGTCAATAATTATGCCAAACTCTGCCACCATTTTGTGACTGGCTTTGCCCCTGTAGCACTGTTATGTGACTGGTGGACTTCAGCAATTTCCAGCCATCTCAAATGGGCTCTGCAGGTAGAACATTTGAGATCCCCTAGCAGAAAACAGATATGTACAGGCACCTCTCCACTTGGCGTGCAACGAGCATGCACACGACTGCTGATGCGTGTGTCATTTTTGATGCCAAAAGGGGGCAGGGCGGACTGGACTTGGGCGTGTCCTGCTGGTGCACACGGCGGCCAGGAATGGAGTCCCTGTATAAGCGGGGATTCCTTTGTACTGTAAAATTCCCAGCCTTCTAGATCTTAAGATGTTCACTCAGGAGAGAGTACATCGAAAGATGGTGCTGCTGTGTTTACATATCTGCTTCATTTCCTCTAGTGATGTTTCTGCCTAAGAAAGTGAAAGACAAAGACTTTGATTCTAAGAGTCAGTGCATAGAGGGGATCAGCCGGCTGATTTGCACAGCGAAGCATCAGCAGACTATGTTGCAGGGTAAGTGCTCCTTATCCAGTGCTACGACTGCCAGTCTGCTTTTGGACATCCGCCTTAGTTCATTCTTTATCTCTTGTGTTTACGGGTTTAGTTCCTTTGCAGAGCAAGCTAGAATGAAGTTCAGCATTAGGCCCAGGTTCTCCGACCAAATCCAGAACACCCGCATTTGAAGAGAAGGGATCATCACTTGCTTCTTTCCTCCTTGTGCCTGTGATTGTTTTCACACAGTCTGTATTAGTGTTTCCAAACCTTTCTACGGCCGTGGCGCCGGGTGGTGCTGTGGTCTAAACCACTGAGCCTCTTGGGCTTGCCAATCAGAAAGTTGGCGGTTCGAATCCCTGCAACGGAGTAAGCTCCAGTTGCTCTCTCCCAGCTCCTGCCAACCTAGCAGTTCGAAAGCATGCCAGTGCAAGTAGATAAAGAGGTACCGCTGTGGCGGAAAGGTAAACGGCGTTTCTGTGCATTCTGGCACTCCTCATGGTGTCCCGTTGTGCCAGAAGCCGTTTAGTCATGCTGGCCACATGACCTGGAAAGCTGTCTGTGGACAAACACTGGCTCCCTTGGCCTGAAACGAGGTGAACGCCGCAACCCCATAGTCACCTTTAACCACTTGTAGCTGTCCAGGGGTCCTTTACCTTTACCATTTACGACCGTTGTCCCCTTCCGACCTTGTTTCCTTCTGGTGCCCCCCATGGGTGCAGCCAAAGGAGGGCAGGGGGGCAGCTGCCCCCTAGATAAGAAAAATCAATACAGATCAATGCAAATCTGATGTTCTGCCCCCCTAACAAAAGCCTGCCCCCCCAAAAAATCCTGGCTACGCCCATGCCCCCCACCCATCCTACTGGTAGAAAGGTAGCGATTTAAATGTTTTGTTTGTAAATAGAACATGTTTTATTTATAATTTTTATATATAAAATACAAATATATAAAATGATAGGAACATAATGAAATATTGTTGAAGCAGAAAAAGGTAGAATCATGGAGTTGGAAGAGAATTCTGGGGAACAGCCTGATATTGAGCCAGCCCTGACTCCACCCCAGAGACAGTCTTGTCAGCACTGGCACAGACAAAACCCACAGAGCCAGCCTCTGTGGAGTGCCAGCAGCTTGCTCGCCCAGTCCCGAGGCGTAAACTGCATGAATAGAGGTGCCCACCCTGCTCTTCAAACGGAGAATATGGGTGGAGGTCAGAGGCACTATGTTGGGGAGGATCCCCCCCCAAAAAAGAGGGTTAGACAAATTCATGGAGAAGAAGGTTATCAGTGGCTACTAGCCATGATGCTAGATTCAGGTAGGTAACCGTGTTGGTCTGACGCAGTCGAAATAAATTAAAAAATTGTCCAGTAGCACCTTAGAGACCAACTAAGTTTGTTCTGGGTATAAGCTTTCGTGTGCATGCACACTTCTTCAGATACACTGAAACAGAAGTCACCAGACCCTTATATATAGTGGGAGGGTGGGGTGGGGTTTTTCTTAGAAGGGTAGTAGGAGGTGGTAGTAGATGGTACTAGCCATGAGGCAGTAGATGGTACTAGCCATGATGGTAGTAGATGGTACTAGCCATGATGGTTATGTTTGGCCTCTGTATTTGGAAGCTGCAATGCTTCTGAATACCTATTGTTGGAAACCACAAGCGGGAAGGGTGTTCTTGTGCTTAAATACTGCTTGTGGGTTCCCCAAGGCATCTCTTTGGCCACGGTGAGAACAGGATGCTGATGGGCCACTGCCTTGATCCAGCAGTCTCTTGTTTTGTTCTTACGTGGTGCTGTGGTGTAAACCACTGAGCCTTGGGCTTGCCGATCAGAAGGTTGGCGGTTCAAATCCCCACAATGGGGTGAGCTCCTGTTGTTCGGTCCCTGCTCCTGCCCACGTAGCAGTTCGAAAGCACGTCAAAGCACAAGTAGATAAATAGGTACCGCTCTGGCGGGAAGGTAAACGGCGTTTCCGTGCGCTGCTCTGGTTCGCCAGAAGCGGCTTAGTCATGCTGGCCACATAACCCGGAAACACAGTCTGCGGACAAACGTCGGCTCCCTCGGCCAGTAAAGCGAGATGAGCGCCGCAACCCCAGAGTCGTTCACAACTGGACTTAACTGTCAGGGGTCCTTTACCTTTTTAGGGAAGGGTTTTGCAATGTATCTGGATGAATTTTGATGCATTTATTTTTATGGCAAGGGGAAATTGCTGGGGTGTAAGTTGAAACCAGGTCCCCAAGCACTTCTGTCCTAATCATCTTTCTTTGTTTATCTCCTGCTGCAGTGCTTATTGACGGAGTGGAGTGGAACGACGTGAAGTTCTTCCAGCTAGCAGCACAGTGGTCTTCCCATGTCAAGCATTTTCCCATCTGCATATTTGGGCATTCCAAATCCTAACAGAGCAGGAATTATGGGACAGTTCTGCAAGCCACAACACATGAGTACCAGCTGTTTGTGCTCTGTTACTTACGTGCTTGGATAACAGCTCAGATACGCTTCTGTTTGTTCTTCTGTTGTCTGCAAGGGAAGGATACTACTTAAAACCTCAGCAATTCAATATTAAGTCTAGCCAGCCATCTAAGATACTTGCAAGAGCCCTTAATAATTTTTTTAAAAACCCAAGAGTAACTTGCTTATTAACGTAGAACACAATTAGATGGAGAGTGGGAGCATGCTTGTGAAATTTTCCAAATTCAGCTGGAGAGTAACTTCCAGGGTGCCCTTCCTTAGCACTCATCCAGCCTCCCCCACCCAAATTACTCCCTGCTTTCAAGACAATTTCTCCATCTAGGACATCTGATCTACGCCTCCTCATTGCCACTGCTTGTCACCATGATCATTATGAGTACCAGGATTAAAATCCCTGATAGACCTAAGCAATGCCATTTTTCCCATGGGAAAAGAGAGAGGTGTGAGGGTGTGTGTGTGTCAGATTTTCCTCACTTCCTGCAACACCCACCCCCAGTAGCATCAGAAGGTCCAGTTTCATTGGAAGCAGGAGAAAGTTCAGAGGAATGCTGGACTGAATGGGTGGAAAGGAAGAATTGGGGCAGCTTGGAAGCTAAATAATGAGTATCAGATTGGCTGATAAAATCATCCAAGTTACTTTTTATTTCTGGGGAAATCACTTGTATCGCTTCTGAACCAATCCAATATGAGGGTGCCCATTTTGACAACTTTTTTGTGTTAAAATAAATGCTAACCCCTAAATTTTACATAGAAGCAAAATTGTTGAAATCATTCTCTCCTTGTCCCAGAATGGACAGCCTGCCACAATTGATTGCAAATTGCTGCTCATGCAAGTGACAGACCTTCTAACTGTGATTAGGTAATCTGATTCCCCCCACCCCCAAACTCGTGGCTATCTGACTTGTGGTAGAGCACTTTTCAAAACATAAATTATGAACGTTATTTAGAAATGTAGTACTGCCTATATCAGCAATATTTAAAAGCAGCCCAATTTCCGTCTGGGAACTTCCGATGCAATTACCAGCATGTAGAATACCAGTTTGGGGCTCGGTGTGTGGACTTCTGTCTAGCAATTTGCACTTACTAATGTTGACCTGTTAATGTGAGATAATATTTGCAAACATTACGTTGTCACAAAAGAGAAGAAGAGAGAGTGCCCGGGAGAGAGAGCTGGTGCTCAGCATGGTGAATACGACTTATTTCAGCACTATAACAATGTCTGCACCTACAGAATAGCACAGTCCTGCAGATACTCCACACTAGTTCCTTATCCTCTTGCAGAATTTTGGCCATATTCCCCCTTCCCTCTAGGACCGCCTACAAGACTTTCTTTGTACACGCCATTAAACTAGAGTGCATAGATCACTTTGGAGAATATGCCCCAAATGTCCTTCCACTGTTCCCTGATTCTGGTGGCAAATGAGTTTTGAGCTCCCAATGAGATACTTCTGTCTATGGTGTTGGGCAGGCGGCAGGGAAAGACATTATTGCAGGGCCTAAATCTTTGCAAAAAGGGACGCGGGTAGCGCTATGGGTTAAACCACAGAGCCTAGAGCTTGCCGATCAGAAGGTCGGCGGTTCGAATCCCCACGACGGGGTGAGCTCCTGTTGCTCGGTCCCTGCTCCTGCCAACCTAGCAGTTCGAAAGCACGTCAATGTGCAAGTAGATAAATAGGTACCACTCCGGCGGGAAGGTAAATGGCGTTTCCATGCGCTGCTCTGGTTCGCCAGAAGCAGCTTAGTTATGCTGGCCACATGACTGGAAGCTGTACGCCAGCTCCCTTGGCCGATAAAGCGAGATGAGCGCGGCAACCCCAGAGTCGTCCGCGACTGGACCTAATGGTCAGGGGTCCCTTTACCTTTAAGTCTTGGCAGGAAAGGTCTGCCCCCAAACACTGGTGTGTTTCTGTGTGTTGGGGAGAGGAGTGATAAAATTATTGTACTACAGACAAGTACCCAGATCTTAGGAAGATTTCTGTGAGCTTTTCCTTGGCCACAAAGTCTCCACAGTTTCATTTTATCATTTGACCAATTTCCTTACTGTTCAAAGTTGGGTCTGCAAGTTGTTCCGTATCGGCCCAACTCTGTATAGCCCTGAATCACCCTGAAAAGGAGCCAATGGACAAAATTGTTGGTAGAGCCCAGCAATAATGAGTAGTTAGGCAGATGAGCCATCTGAAAACTTCCAGAAGGTTTGGGTGCCTTGTCAGTTCTCTCTTCCCTTGCCCCCAAGCCGCAGGTTTGGGCTCATTTGGCATATCTTTCTTAAGATAAAAACAAACACTAATTCTGTTGAAGATCCCTGCAATGCCACTCTTGTATGGTGTGCTGATGTGTGTGTGTCCTGAGATGTCTGCTACAGGCATATGTTCAATGTTTTAAATTTTTATTTCTCTTATTGTTTGTTCTTATTGTTGGGAGGTGAGGAACCTACGGCCTGGGGACTGCGTATGGCCCTCCAGTCCGGTCTAGTTTTTGGGCCTTTCCCTGGGCCAACCCCTTTCCCCAGACAGCACCCCTCACTCATCTCTCCTGGAATATTTTTGCCCCATTGGAATGTGTCCTTGAACTCTGCCAGAATGGGAGAGGTGGGGGGGGGCATCTGTAGAAATTGGCCGGCTGTACAGTTGCATCTGTTGCTTCCTCCATCTCTGGCCCCATCCACTGTGGTATGTGGCCCTCAGAAGGCTGCCCCTAAGGAAAGGTAGCCCTCAAGATGGAAGAATGTTCCCCACTCGTTCTTTACACTTCAGTTTGTGCTGGACTTTGGGAATGTGGCACTGCCTTTCCATAAAGTTTTGTGAGAGAGCAACCCTTGACTTTTCTTAGACGGCAAGTCCAATCCAAGGTGATTTAAGCTTGCTGCTTGCTCTAAGATAGCTTCCAGCATTGCCTTGGGGAAAAGGAACACAAGCACACACATATTTCTGATTGGAGAAAGCAGCCCTTTAAAGGAAGTTGCTTGGTTTCCTCCTTCCGTCCTCCTTCATGCTTGTCCAACCACAATGACTAAAGCACATTTCATATTCCGTGTCTACTTCACCAAGCTCTGGACTGGCCAGCAGTGGTTGAAATATTCTTTGCTATAAATGGGTGCAGTTAAATTTTCTATCCATTATACATAGAGACTAATTCCAGGACCGGGGTCAGCAAACCTTTTCAGCAGGGGGCCGGTCCACTGTCCCTCAGACCTTGTGGGGGGCCGGACTGTATTTTGAAAAAAAAAATATGAACGAATTCCTATGCCCCACAAGTAACCCAGAGGTGCATTTTAAATAAAAGCACACATTCTACTCATGTAAAAACACCAGGCAGGCCCCACAAATAACCCAGAGATGCATTTTAAATAAAAGGGCACATTCTACTCATGGAAAAACATGCTGATTCGCGGGCTGGATTGAGAAGGCGATTGGGCCGGATCTGGCCCCCGGGCCTTAGTTTGCCTACCCCTGGTCTAGGACTTCCACACACCTCGTGGCAACTATTTTGTGCTCCTATTGGGTGGATTTTGACTTGCTCACACACTTCAGAAGCCACCAATAGCAATGTGTTTTATCACATTTACAATAAAGTACTAGCCTGAATTAGTTATGCTATATCCATGCTATGAGACAATGTGACTTTGCCCTGAGTTAACTGCTCAAACAGTTGCAAACTGAGGTGTTGGCAGCAATAGCCTTGTATCATAGATGCCTCTCTTGCCATGTTTGGTTTGAGGCACTCGGGAAAGTTTGTAACCAGAAAACGTCAAAACTGGTAATGGTTGCTTTTGTTAAGGAAAAGAACTTTGTTCTTAAAAACAGGTGCTGTTGGAGGTCTTTGGGGCTACTCTCTTGCACCTTCTGTTCTTCCATCTGAAGCAATGTGTGCTCACACTGACTCCGCTACCAGTGTGCTCCCACTGCTGGTTTGTGAATCCATGAACACACATTAGCCACAACTGGCATCTATGCTATAGTTTATTGAGAAATACTGTGTTTTGATGTGTTTCCCACCAAACCAGCTTCCATCAGATTTGAAAATGTAAGTCATACGAAGATATCCACACATCCTCTCTGCCCACTGGGAATCTGGGAGCGCACCAATCTGTACTGATGTGTTCAATACTTTGCAAAAGCAATTTGAAACACAGTCGGGGGGTGGGGAGACCCCCATTACATCTACAAATGATGATGGCTATATTACTAAAGAAACTATTGCTTGTTGCCTAAAATTAATGTCACTGAATATTTTTGATGATACCAATGTAAATATAGTCAAAATAATTGGTCTTATATATGAACTTGGAAGCACAAATGGTAATAGTAACTGGATGGAAAACAGCCCAGTATCTTACATGGGATGCTTTGTACCATTCGCTCTGGAATATAGCTATAATGGAGAAAATCATGCATAATTTGACAAGGACTACAAACTCTAGACACTTTTTATATGATTTACCAGTACTTTATGACATATAAAGTGAAACCATCATTTTCAAAACAACCTTGGCAAAACTGGACTAGACTTGATGATCTGATAAAGTTGATAGTCATTACTTGGACTTCGTTATTTTAATTCATGTTCCACTACGCATTCTATGTGCCTGCTTTATTTTCAATCTTTTAATTTTTGTCTGTTATAATTGTTTCTGTTTTATACATATATTGTAAAATGAAATAATAAAAAAAACTTTATCCCCCCCCCCAAATGATGGTAGATTTGACTGTAATAAAGGCTGTGTAGATATTACCAGCTTAAAACGCAGAGGCATCACTCTCCCACCGGTAAATTTCAAATCACATTTGCATGTTGTTTACATATCAGCATAGTTTGATGTGCTTCCATGTTGCCCATTGTATTTTTACGCTACATCCAGCTGGTTTCTCCACCCCTGCAACCCACCAACCATTTTCATTCATGAAGCTGTCATCTGTGCATGCACATAGGTTGACGTCAGCCATGTAAGACCACCCACCTGTAAGAAAGGCAGTGTGTAGTAAGAAAGGCAGTACACACCTCAGTTTGCTTTCAATTCAGATTAAAACTGGTTTGGCAGGAAATGCATCAAACTGCTGTATTTCTTGATATATCGCTTGCATTTCATAGCCGTTTGGACCCACTGATTACTGGATAAAATTATGAATATGTACCCATTTAGTTCCTATTTTCAAGTCACCCCTTTGTCTCAGTCCTTTGAGCAAGAATAGGAAGTGGAGTCTAATGATGGAGGGACCTTAGATCTGGCAACTTAGCTCAGTGCTTCTTTCAGTAAGCAAGCAGTTTGTGGATATGTTTGTGCAGAGTGACCTTTCAGACAAGGAAAAATGAAGGAATGTTGTCCATTTATATGTATTTTTAACAGTCCATCTCTTTCATTGTACTGTTAGTTTGTTTTTAAATCAAGACTGTAAGTGTACATAGCCTTTTTGGAATAAATTGCAATGTACACTACTTTGTGAAATATTTTATGGTACTAATGCCATACTAATAAAATTGGATTGGAAAGCACATACCTATCCTGTCTCTTGCTTTGAAATGACACCCCCCCTATTTTCTGCCTCAATGACATTTGGATCTTGTATGTAGATATTTGGGTGAAAATTAAAATATTTTAGTTAGTACTAAAGGCATGTGTGTGCGCGTGCACACACAACTAATAGAAGGAACGTATGGAGGTAGCTTCCATTTCTGCATCACTATCTGCTTCCTTCTGTTTAGGTGCTGCATGATCCAAAACTGCCAACATTTCATCAATTTGGTCTGAAGCTTCTAGGTATTCCCCATTTCCATTTTCCAACATATTCCTCTGTCTCATTTTCTTCATCTTCATCAAACATTGATCTGATCACTTTTAATTGTTCAGCCATCAACTGTTTAACTATACCAACCATCACTGGTTGATCCAAAAGTACATTTGTCATATGGGATGCTTTTAATATTCTGGATATTATTAGCCACTCAATCCACCTTGATGTTTCCCCCTTAAAATCACAGGTGCGGTTGCGCTCTCTCAGAACAGACAAATTCCTTTCTCATGGTTAAGGATGGTTGCTTAACTTTTGATTTCACCTGTTCTTTACTGGCAGGAAACAAAAACAAAAGGATTAAAGATGAGAGTTTATATCTGTTTTAATCTCTCTTGTCCACTATAAATCAAGCCTTCTGCTTTGCTTTAGACACTTTAACAATTAGTTTCCTTTCTATTTTCTCAATAAGACGCACACGGGCCAGTATTTCCGTATCACCATTTCTGCATGGACATGTATGATTATGAAATGGGGTTCCCTGACTGCTGAAGGAAGCACCTTCAGTTGTGTACTCAAGAAAGCTCTTCTATCTTTAGAATCGTTAGATCCTGTAGATAAGATGTCATAGTATGAGGGGGACTACTTTGAAAAGGGTCATACGAGGGATGTAGTTTTTTCATTGCAGGAAAGCATAATGTTGCCCACCACCCCAATCTCTGAGCCGTGAGATTCCAGGGGTTCCAGGTGCCCACCCACCCAATGTTCAATTTCCTAGGAATGAAGGGCAGTGGAGACTGTAGTGCCTTTAGGATATGTGGCTTACTTACACACATATACACATCCTGAGCCTACACTGGAAGGGCTCACAGCCTTAACTCCCCATATGGTCTTGCTTCTTCCATACAGTCATACCTCTTGTTACGTTCAGTTCAGGTTACGTCTTTTCAGGTTGCGACCCGGAAGTAACGGAACGGGTTACTTCCGGGTTTCGCCACTCGTGCATGCGCAGACGCTCAGAATGACGTTACGCGCATGCGCAGAAGTGGCAAATCGCGACCTGCACACACGCAGACGCGGGTTGCATTCTGCTCATGATGTGAACGGGGCTCCGGAACGGATCCTGTTCGAAACCAGAGGTACCACTGTATATGCACAGCTTCGGATTGCAGCGGAAATCAAGCATGGCTCTTTGTCTCTGGCTTCTGCCTGCCTCCTGCTTTTAGCCCAGCTCATCCACACCTCAGCTCTGGCCTTTGTCCACCTAACTACCAGGCAGGTGAGGGAGGGGGCTCAACCACCCACCTATTTGCGCCCCCCCCAGCACAAAGCAACCTCCTTTCTTAGACTAAGGGTCCCGTAAAGTCACCCTGAAACGTGGCTCCTTTGCCAATGGAATCCTTCCCCCCACCCCAGCCCAAACTCACCACCTTACATTTATGTATTGCACCCCACTGCTTTCCTGTGAATCAAGCACACCTGAAGAAACAAGGCTCGATGCCTAAATGCAGACCAAATGGAACACTTTTAATACATAACGGTGTAATTTTTTAAATATTTAAGTTGTCTGTTTTTTAAGCTTTTTGTGCACCACTTAGAGATGTTTTAAACATATTAAGCAGTATAGAAATTAAATAATCAAATGGCTAAATGTTGCGATCCAGGCTGTTTTTGGAAAACAGAGGTAAGGCTGATGCTTTTTTTTCCTGGAGGGACGCAGGGGTACGCACACCCCTAAACATTTTGTTAATCTATTAAGCTTGGCCTCATTGCGGGGCAATATTTCGATATGAGTAGGAAAATGAGAATAACCCTAAACATCTTTTTAAAGAAAAAAAGCCCTGGGCGAGGCCATCTTGGAAAGACCCAGCAATCTTCCCAAACACATCCTGGTTCCAAGGACATTTGCCTAGGCCCTCGGGAGGGTGCATGGGGTTTCCATGGGCCTCAGCCCACCTCAGGACCCCATAAGTAACTGAGAGAGGGGGAGGCTTGGCTTTCAAAAGTGGCCTTTTGCCGGGGAAGACCCTCGACCGAAGGCGGTCAGCACCTGGCAAGGGGCCGGCCGGGAACACGGGAAGAAGCCCTTCCCACGGCATGAGGACCCGGAAGGGCGGCTGGGGGGAACCGAAGGCGCCCATTCCTGGTCTCTTGGCAGCGAAGCGCCTTCCCGAGCCGGCCTGGCGGGGAGGGCCTGGCGGCGTCGGCGGGCTCCTCCCAGGCCCCTTCCCCCTCCTCCCGACTGGTCTCCTCCCTCTTCCCCGGTCTCCATTTTCCAGAGGATCCGGCGCCGACGGCAGCGCAAGCAACCGAGGCAGCGGCAGCAGCGGAGGCTTCAGCATCACCGTCGGCGCCTGCCGGGCCTTCCTCGCTCCGCCGCTATGGCTGCCAACATGTACCGCGTCGGAGGTGAGGCCGGCGCCTTGCTCCCCCGACCCTCGCGCCGGGGCCTGGCGGGCGCGCCCTCGAGGGGTGGCGGGCAGCGAAGCCCTTCCTTCGCCCGGGAGGCTTCCCGAGGCGAGGCCCGAGATGCTGCCGCGAAGGGGACCGAGGGAGAGGGCGAGGCAGCCAGAGGGGGCGCCGGCTCCTCGCTTGCATCCCCCTGGCGGGTGCGAGGGATTGGGACCTCCGCCACCCCGGGGAGAGCGGGGAAGGAAACGCTGCCTGCCCGCGCTGGTTGTCCTTTCTGGGTAGGGCCCGTGTCAAGCCTAGAGAGGGAAGGTGAAGAAATGCGGGGAGTAGGTCCAGCAAGACCAGGCTCCGTCTTCCCTGGGCATCGCCTGGGAAGAGGGGCCAGCAGGCGATCTGCAAGCTGCAAGGCATCCCCACTGGCTCCTTCTTGGCTCCCGCGCCTGCCAACCTGCCCTTGCAGAGCTCCAGACCCCCAGTCCATAATACAGTCATAGGTAAAAGGTAAAGGGACCCCTGACCATTAGGTCCAGTCGTGGCCGACTCTGGGGTTGCGGCGCTCATCTCGCTTTATTGGCCGAGGGAGCTGGCGTACAGCTTCCGGGTCATGTGGCCAGCATGACTAAGCCACTTCTGGCAAATCCAGAGCAGCACACGGAAACGCCATTTACCTTCCCACCGGAGCGGTACCTATTAATCTACTTGCACTTTGATGTGCTTTCGAACTGCTTGGTTGGCTGGGACCAAGCAACAGGAGCTCACCCCGTCGCAGGGATTCGAACCGCCGACCTGCTGATCGGCAAGCCCTAGGCTCTGTGGTTTAAATACGTTTCAGGATAAGTATTTTCGGGTTGCGCTCCGCGGCGACCCAGAAGTAACGGAGTGCGTTACCTCCGGGTTTTGCCACTCGCGCATGTGCAGACGGTCAAAATGACCTCATGCGCAGAAGCGGCGAAATGCGACCCGCGCAGACGCGACGTCGCCTCTTACGTTCCATTTGGGATGTGCACGGATCCCGTTCGCATCCCGAGGTACCACTGTATTGTGCTCAGGGTGAGATGGCTTGGGCGGCAGAGGCAGCTGCTCTTCACAACCCACCAACTTGCCTGCTTTCCTAGGCGTGCTTCTTCTTTGGCGATCACTCGTAGTCGTCCATAAACACGGTTTTAACAATGAGTCCGTAAGTGACTGTGGAGGCCAGTTCTGGATCCGCACGTCCTTCCACAGTGGGGACATTGCTTTCTAGGCAGGAGTTGATCACGGTGTGGGTTTGGCAAGCGTGCTTTCCTCTTAGCACGTTTCTCCCTTGCGTCCTGAGTTTGAGTGTCTTCAAAACTCGTGACACCTTTGGTAAAGGTCCAACCAAGTTGATGTTGAAGGGCAGGCAGCCTTTGCTGCATCTCTGGCCCTTGGAGGAGGTTGGGTGAGGGGCATAGTTGGTAGCGTTGTGCATGACCCCCAGAGCAGGGGGCCCAAAGCAAAGGGCTCACACAAGTGCAGCCTTGTGGGGAAGGGGTACTACACATTAGCAACAAGTTTCCTGCACCCACACAAATATACCAGACATCGTTGGAGCCCTGTTTTATTTTTCCACCTATGCGTGGGTGTTGTAGACAAGGGTATCTGACTAACAGTGGGAGCCTAACCAAGGCTCCTCAAAAGCTAGTCCTGTTGAATTCAATGGGGTTTTCTCCCAGGTAAGTGGGGTTCGGATTGCAGCAGCAGTCACACGCTGTGTAGATCCACTGTAGATAAACAGGGTTAAATTACACACATCAAAAGTCCATTGATTTTATAGGTCTACTCTGTGTGTGAGTTAGTCAGATAACATCCAGGGCCTTTTTTGTAGTGGGACCAAGGCAGGGATTGCCCTGCCAGAAGCTGGCCATATTGCTGCTCACCTATTTAGGTAGTGCTTTAGAAATTAGAATTTTGACTGCTGCTGGCTTCTACATCAAGGTATTCAACTAAGTTTTACTGAAAGCAGACCCACTGAAATTATTGGCCATGACTAATTTGGATCCATTAATTTCAATTTATCTACTCAGAGAAAAAGTTAGTTTACCTTTTGTTTTGATTTGTTATTAGCTGTTTGTTAAATTTTATACTTTTTTCTCTTTAAAAAACTGTGTTTTAAAAGATTTTTAAAAGAAATGTCATTTCCCTAGTTAGAGAATATCAATTTGAAGCAGTGTGAGAGATCAACCTGTTGTTAGCATAAGAGTTTTCCTGTAATACATACTGGAGGCAGACCCTGACTTGAAATTATTTTGGGATGCAGCCAGAACATTGACTTCTGAGATCTGCCTTATGACCCAGTGTCTGTTGAGACTCTTGCTTTTTTGCAGTCAGGTAGAGAAAGCAAAGTAGGTGTGGCTGGAACTCTTATCCTGCTTTTTTATTCTTTCATTCCTTTCATATTATTTGCTTTCATTCTGTTCTGACACTGTGTTGCATTTATTTATTTGTTTGTTTCTTTAGTATTTATATGCCACTTAATCATTAGCATCTCTAAGCGGTGTACATAAAATTACAAAAAAGTGTGTTGATTTTATGGTAATTGTTGAGGGTGTATGAGTGGGAATGCTGCCGAATTGTGATTCTTTAATTTTATTCATTTATATCCTGCCTCACTACCAGCATGGCTCACAGTTAGGTTTGTCATATTCTAGTTCTCCAGATCCTGGCAGCTTGATTTATATATTATGTAAATCAAGTGAGGATTTGGGAAATTACGCTGCTTTTCTACTCCAGAGTACTCCTTCCAAACTTGTTTTATGACAAGGAAACAGATCATTTGGCTTATTTCTGTATATATCTTGCAGGTGAGAACGAGGGCTGGGCAATAGCTGGTTTTCAACATTGCGATATATCACCAGCCAAACATTGTTTTTTAGTGATATATCACAATGTCTGAAACATGGAACTATGTAGGGTGTGTGTGAAGTTTGGGCGAAGGAGCAGTCATTGGAGAACATGTGGGTGGGGTGGTGGAGATCCTGCGAGGAAGCAGTCAAGGAGATTAACAGGTATGTGCTATGTGCACTGTGGATTCCTCCCCTTGCTTGCATTTGGAGGGCAAACTCCTTCCACTCCTCCTTAGACAGAAGAAATCCAACTTCATTGCCTTCATTGCATCTCCTAGGAGCCACCCACTGGAGCTGTTCTGTATGGTTCAGAGGTTGATTACTCCTGACTAGGGGGGTGAACCTCTGGAGCACACAGTAACTAGCTGTAACTGATTGGCTAAACACTTTGATGATAAAGTTGCTCAGTTCTGCAGTGATTTAGATGCTGCTATTGTAACAGTACCAGGTGAGATGTCCAATGCAACGTCGAGTCTGGTGTTGTGGGATCATTTCCAGTTGATGTGGGCTGAAGATGTGGACAGAATACTTCAAGTGATGTGCTTGATCACCTGCTCATCAGATCCTTGTCCATTCTGGTTTATTAAAGCTACCCAGGGTCAGGTGGCTGAATCGGTGACTGCTGCTCAACTATCCCACCCAACTATCCTAGACCCAACAGAGTAACAACTATAGACCAGTCGCCAACACCCCTTTCTTGGCAAAGCTGGTGGAGAGGGTAGTTGCAGAGCAACATCAGGTATTCCTGGAAGAGACTGATTATCTCCACCCCCATCGTTCTACTGAGGTCCAGCGCCAAGGGCCTTCTGGCGGTTCCCTCACTGCGAGAAGCCAAGTTACAGGGAACCAGGCAGAGGGCCTTCTCGGTGGTGGCACCCACCCTGTGGAACGCCCTCCCACCAGATGTCAAAGAGGAGAACAACAACTACCAGACTTTTAGAAGACATCTGAAAGCAGCCCTGTCTAGGGAAGCTTTTAATGTTTGATGGATTACTCTATTTTAGTATTTTGTTGGAAGCCGCCCAGAGTGGCTGGGGAAGCCCAGACAGATGGGCGGGGTATAAATTATTATTATTATTATCGGCAATCTGGGTTCAAACCTGGTTTTGGAACTGAAACAGCCTTGGATTACCTTTATCGTGAGAGGGACAAGGGGAGTGCGACCCTATTATTTCTGCTTGATCTGTCGGTGACTTTTGATACCATCGACCATGGTATCCTCCAGCATTGACTTAGTGAGATGAATATCTGAGGCACTGTTTTACAGTGGTTCTGTCCCTGTCTTCAAGGCAGTTTCCAGAGAGATGCACTTGGTGAGTGTTCCTTGGCCCCCTGGCATTTGTGCTGTGGGGTTCCGCAGGGTACTATTTTCTTTCCAGAGCTATTTAATATCTCTATGAAACTGTTGGGTGTAGTCCTTAGGAGTTTTGGAGGGATGTGTCACCAGTATGCTGATGACATGCAACTCTACTTCTCCGTAACACCCAAATCAGGAGACACTGTGGAAGCTGTGGGCCAGTGTCTGGATGCAGTGATGGACTGGATGAGGGCCAATGAACTGTGCTTGAATCTTGGGAAGACAGGCTCTTTGGGTGGGTGGTTCCCATGTTTGGGCAATTGGCAAGTTATCTGTTCTGGATGAAGTTTCACGCCTTCTGAAGGAGCAAGTGCATAGCTTGGGGATACTCCTGTAGACACCTTTGTCCCTAAAGGCCCAAGTGTCCTCTGTGGTTAGGAGACCTTTTACCAGTTTCCTGTGGTTCACCCAACTATTGCCATTCCTGGGCAGGGATAGTCTGACCACTGTAGCTCATACATTGGTAGCCTCCAGGCTAGATTACTGTAATGATGTCTATGTGGGGCTACCCTTGGGTCTGGTTTGGAATGCTGCAGCCAGAATGCTGTTGGGAACTTTTGGTCAAGAACGTGTGACACCATTGTTAAAACAGCTTCATGGGCTGCCCATCTGTTGCCAAGCCAGGTTCAGGGTTCTTGTTTTGATTTTCAAAGCCTTGGACAACTTGGGTCCAGAATATGTTAGGGATCTCCTGAACCTTTATATTCCAGGTTGACCACTGAGATCACCTGCAGGAGCATCTTGAGTGAAGTGGTGAGGCTCATTTGACAATAATGAGAAATCAAGTCTTTGGTCCATTTCTGTGGAATGCCCTGCCAATATAGATTCAGTGGGCACCTTCTGTGCCAGTTTATGTCTGCTGAAAACTTTTCTATACCTCCAGTCCTATGCTGGCAGTTAAGAGCACCCCCCCGGTGGTCTATTTAATTTCTTTTACTTTTAAACTTCTCTTTTTAACTTCTTATGATGCTCTTGTTTGGTTTCATGTTTTTATACTGTTGTAAACTGCTGTGATATATTTTTTATGATACAGCAGTATATAAACATTTAAATAAATAAATAAATAAAAATAAATAAAACTTTTAAGTGCAGGGCAAAAACATTCCTCTTCTCCCAGGCCTTTAGCTAATTAAACAATCTGTGGCCTTTTAAACTGTGTGATTTTGTGTATGTGTATGAGGGTTATTTCTTTGTTTGCTATTATGTTACACATTTTTGTGTTTCTATACTGTAAACCGCCCTGTGATTCCCAATTGAAACTTGATATATAAATTTAATAAATAATAATAAAATGATATACTGGTGAAATCACCCCATGTAAATTGTTGCCATTAAGAGGACTGCTGCATGTTAAGATTGCTGTCAAAACCACTTGTGTCTTCATAGAAGATGAATAAAGTTCAGGATTCCCTGACAAATGTGTTTACTGCAGAGTAATTGTAGCGTGTTTTATTTATACAGGTGCTTCTGCCCTGGTCTTCAAAGCTAAAAGCCTTCACAAGGTGACTTAGAATATTAAGCTAGTATAAATGCAATGCAAAGCAATAAAAATCCAGGATAGAAAACAATTGCAGTAAAAACAGCTGTTTAAAATAGAAAAAGAAGACAGTCAAAAGGTCTTTTGAAGACCATACTTAAAAACCACGAGGGAGGGGGCTTTGACAGATCTGCTGTAGAGTGAGTACCACAATAGCAGTGCTACCACCAAGAAGGTCCTGCCTTCAGTGTATCTCTCCACTCCCTGTTTTTGTCCTTCAAACTTTCAGAGATTTTTCTTGATGACATTTTTCTTTGTGCTGCAATGACAGCTTGTGGAGGAGACCAGATGCAAGAGCAAGCACTTAAAAGTCTCTTCTCTCATGTTCAGTCACTTCAGCTGAGATGTGCATTTTTTGATGTTTGTTCCGCAACAACAAGGCAATCACCTCACCTTCCTCCAAGCATTTGGCAGAGCGATACTCCTATATAATTGGAAGACGTAGAACCCTTTCACTAGAGTGGCTGGGAAACCCAGTCAGATGGGCGGGGTATAAATTGAAGAAGAAGAAGAAGAAGAAGAAGAAGAAGAAGAAGAATTGGCTGATTTCAAAGCTGCACCCCTATCTGGACAGCGATAACCTAACTTCCGTTGTCTATGCTCTGGATTACTGCAACACATTAGAAGTGGGACTGTCTCTGAAGATGGCTCAGAAACTTCACTTGGTGCAGAATTCAATGACCAAGTTGCTCCCAGGGCAAGACAGTTTGAGCATATAACACCAAACCTGGCCTGACTGTGATTCCAAGCCCAGTTCAAAGTGCTGGCTTTGATCTATAAAGCCTTAAATGGCTCAGCACTGGAATACCTCAAGGACTGCTATAAACCAAACTGGACTCTGCAATCATCATCTGAGACCTTTCTGCATGTGCCTCCTTCACAAGAGGTCCAGAAGGTGGACTTGAGAACGGGCCTTTTGTGTGGTGGCTTTCTGTTTATGGAATGCTCTCCTCTCCCAGACCTTTGGATGATAGTGAGGAAGTAGAAGAATAGGTGAATTCTGGTATATAGAACTCTATAACTAGTATTTGAGTTTACTTTTTTCTTACTCCCACCCCATCCTTTTTTCCATTTATGTAGTGTCTTTTGGATTGTAAAACCGAGGGCAGGGACTCCTTTATTAATCTGTAAGATGCTCTGGGAAACTCCTCAGATGTGGAGTGGGATAAAAATGCTTTAAATAGATAAGTAAAATAAAGTTCCTTTGTCTAAGATCTCTAAGGTTACTGTAATACTTTGAACAGAGAAGGGAGTGGATTTAGAATTACCGGTAGTAGTTAGAATTTATACACTCTTTTGGGTGTTCCAGGTTCTACTTAAGGCATGTAATTTTCAACACTCAATACTCTGATAAAGTTTTATGTCAATTTGTAATAAATTTTGTTTTTATTGGTATCTGTGATGAATATTTTAGATTATTCTTTGTATACTGCTTAGAGGCTTTCTCTCAAGTAAGTGGTATATAAATTTGGTTAAATAACTTTATATCCATGGCCAGTAATACAGTTCTGACAGTATTATTATCCCCGTATTGCAGGTGTGGGGCTGACCGGTTGACAGACAGCTAGACATTTTCCGCAGAAAGTCACCTTACCCATCAAAGGCAAGATTTCATGTGGATGTCTGTGGATCTTTTATCTTGCTCCCAGAGACAGCCAGGCAGCCCCTGTTTCAAAAGAACACTTCACTCATTACATATAAGTTGAAAACTGTATATACTCTCACCATAAACACCACATCTATGAATAATGATTCCTGATTTCTTTCTAACTTTCCAGCACTAGACAGATTTAAATTTTTGGTCTCTCTCCAGTCCTTTCTGTGAGGACAATCGCTTTACAGCACGCTAATGGTCTGGTCAGGAACAAATTGACAGAATTTCAGCTACCCACTGTCTTCTGATTTCCTTTGTGCTCAGATTCCTGCATTTACCTGAGATAATTCCATAGGAGTTACTTCTGAGTAGGTGCAGTTAGGATTGCAGCTTTGGTCCATTTGTTGCCCTGTCTACTCTAGCAGAACATGGGTTATGTTGAGAGAGTTTTGTATGATGAGGTTGCAGGGGCAAGAGAGCATTTCAATGGTTGAATCTGGAAGTTTAAGCCTTGATAGTGTGTCAGGCCTGAAGGTTTATCTGCAACTGGTGTAACCTCTCTGTATCTTGTACGTGTACAGTGGTACCTTGTTTTGAGTCCGGGATCCGTTCCGGAGCCCTGGACACTCAACGAAGCGCTGCTCTGCGCGCACACGCAGAACAGTTTGTGCTTCTGCGCATGCGTGAAGTGCGATTTAGTGCTTCTTCGCATGCGTGAGCGGCAAACCTGGAAGTAACCTGTTCCGGTACTTCTGGATTTGCTGCGGACGTTCGCCGAAATGGACGGTCAACGGAGTGAAGGTTTGCAGAGGTATTACTGTATCTAAAACACACAGAGTTAAATAAGTTCATACTGTAGTAACAAGTTTTTTTTATGGATCAGCACTGCCGGAGGAAATTAATTTAGAAAAAATTATTTAAACTTCTCCATTTCTCTTATGGCTAATTCTGTATAAAACCACAAGCTATATCATCAATATCATTTTATTTGTATGTCGCCTTTCCATAGTTAAAACAATGCTCAAGGTGGCTTACAACATGACAAGATTTACATAATTACCAACATAACAAAAATCATAAACAATAAACAAAACACATCAAAAGGTACGCAACCAAATGGAAAACAATTTCCACATAAATCACAAAATCTAAAACTAAAAATACATCTAAAAATAAATATATATAATATATATAAGCATGGCATGCACATCAAACAAACACAGCAACTTCTTTATTCAGGGATCTCCTCATACACTACAGAGTAGAGGATTTCTTCAAAAGCTGCACTTAGACTCACCTATTTGTTGCTTGCTTGCAGGGCTGTCCCAAAACATTTTGCTGCCTGAGGCAAAGGACAAGATGGCAACTCTTCCATTCTAGTCACAAAAGCTGACCTGACTGGTAGCTGAACATGACTTCAACACTGACAACACTACTGCATGATTTTTTCCTGTTTTTTCCCCCAAACAGCTTTGGGGAAAAACTGAAAAAAACTGGTTTCCCCCCCATTTCCCCCCAGTTTTTTCCCCAGGCCTTCCCATCTCTAACTGCACCTAAGGGCAGTTTCAGATGTGGCAGCAGAGGCCACCTAGCACACAAAGATTGGGGGGGGGGGCTTCCTGTTGGTATATGCTACCTGAGGTGGTTGCCTCATTTTGCCTAATGATAGGGCTGTGACACTGATCGCCTGGTTTTGGAAGCTTTTGGGACTTTCTGATGCACAAGTGACCAAAATGAGCTAAATGATTTAGAATGGAATACAGTGGTGCCTCTCAAGACGAAAAGAATCCGTTCCGCGAGTCTCTTTGTCTTGCGGTTTTTTCATCTTGCGAAGCAAGCCCATTAGCGGTTTAGCGGATTAGCGCTATTAGCGGCTTAGCGGATCAGCTGATAAGCGGCTTAGTGGCTTAACGGATCAGCTGTTAAGCGGCTTAGCGGATCAGCTGATAAGCGGCTTAGTGGCTTAACGGATCAGCTGTTAAGCGGCTTAGCGGATCAGCTGATAAGCGGCTTAGTGGCTTAACGGATCAGCTGATAAGCGGCTTAGCTATCAGCTGTTAAGCGGCTTAGCGGATCAGCTGATAAGCGGCTTAGCGGCTTGGGAAAAAGGGGGGGGAAAGGAAAAAAACCCCGCAGGAACTCGCAAGACATTTTCGTCTAGCGAAGCAAGCCCATAGGAAATTCGTTTTGCGAAGCACCTCCAAAACGGAAAACCCTTTCATCTAGCGGGTTTTCCGTCTTGCGAGGCATTCGTCTTGCGGGGCACCACTGTAATGAAAACATTATAGTCAAACAGCAGGTTGGATGTCTGAAGGGGTGTGCAGCTTTTTGAAACCTTTTGGGCACCTAGCACATTATTTTCTTAATCTACCATTGTGTTCTGCAGCATTCCTATCTCCTGCTTCAATTGTTCTGTTGTCCTTTATTATTTACTGCTTGAAAGAATGCTTAAGGCACTTGCATGTAAACCTCTCCACCCTGGCAACTTTTCCTTTCCACTGCATGCTAGTTCTCTTAATGTAATCTTTGTGGCAATTTGTAAACTTTTGATAATACCCCTTAGTATTGTATCACTTTACTGTTGTTAGCCACTCCGAGCCCAGCTTCGGCTGGGGAGGGCGGGATATAAATAAATTATTATTATTATTATTATTATTATTAATATTATTTATTATTATTATTATTATTATGTGCCAGTGTTAAATATTTGCGCACTGCAGGCATGTTCTGTGCAGTTTGTCCTGCAATTGAATACATGCCAGTGGTTTTGATGTCTGTTATAGCCAGTTTCCATGGAATTATAGCATTGACCCTTCGTCTCTTGGGCATTACGGTCACAGGTGAATGTTTTCTTGTAACTTGGATGCATGAGCTGCCATTAGGCATGTGGCATGTCTTCACATCAAATATGTAAAGAAACTTTTTAAAATGATGACATTCCTTTTAAAAAAAGACCCTTTTATTGAAAATTGATAAATTTATTGGTTTATATCTGGCTTACTGCTCATGGTTTGTTTAAACCAGGGTTGAGGAACCAATGAGGAGGACAGAAATAAAGTTGTCTTTTGAAAACATTGCAAGTAGCTGTTGTTTGCAAAATACACCTTCACCCTCCACCCCTATAAAATGGGGCGATGGGACAATTTTTGCCAAAGGGAGAAGTCTGGTGTGCAGGCAATGCTTTCAAAGGGCAGTCTTCTTCTGAAGTCTGATCTTGCTGTCATCTCAAAGAGGAATAGATTCACAAAGACTTTGGGGAGTCTCTCACACCAACTCCATACCACCCTGCCTTTGAGATGGCAGTGGGATTAGTTTTAAAAGGGAAGCAGGGGAGGAGCTCACTGTATTCTCAAAGGTTGGCAGAACCCTTCAGGAGTTCCCTCCCTTCTCTTTTAAATCTCCCCTCTTCCCTTAATCTTTGTTCACAAACTACTGTATTTTTCCGTGTATAAGACTAGGTCCCCCCCCCCCAAAAAATATATGTCAAAACTCAGTGGGCGTCTTATACACGGATAGTGCCGAGGGTGGACTGGCAATTGGTTGTTGCCCCCCAAATAGGGGGCTTTTATACATGGGGGCATCTTATAGACGGAAAAATATGGCAATTTAATATATTTCACCTTTAGATCCATTCTTGGAATCATCCTCTAAAACCCACACATCTGTATGGGTTTATTATTATTTATTATTAGTCTTTTTATATGGTCTGTCAATGATATTCCCATCGCAGTATGCAAAAGCAATCTGCAGCAGGTTTTTTATTTATTAAAAATAAAAAGATTTATGCTGAGTTGTTCTCTGCCAACAATGGTTTTTGACCTGGCAAATGGGCAAAGGTGTCTGTCTGAGTGAGAAGGGTGGAATTTCGAGCCCTCCGTTGCTGTCAAAGCATTCATGCAGACTGGCTGCTGTTTGTCTCAAGTGATATCGCTGCCTAACTGTTGTGGAAGGACCAGAAGTGGGCAGGTCCAAGCTAAGCTGCCTGTAGGCCAGAATCAATGAGTGCGGGAGCAATTTGGGGAGGAATATGGGTTGGAATGGATTTGATGTGTCATTACAGTACTTCCTGACCCCATGGGGAGTGAGTGATGCGTAAGTATTGGTAGTGGGGAGGATATACAGTGGTGCCTCGCAAGACGAAAAGAATCCGTTCCGCGAGTCTCTTCGTCTTGCGGTTTTTTCGTCTTGCAAAGCAAGCCCATTAGCGGATTAGCGCTATTAGTGGGCTTAGCGGATCAGCTGATAAGCGGCTTAGTGGCTTAATGGATCAGCTGTTAAGCGGCTTAGCGGATCAGCTGATTAGCGGCTTAGCGGATCAGCTGATAAGCGGCTTAGTGGCTTGGGAAAAAGGGGGGGGGAGGAAAAAACCCCCGCAGGAACTCACAAGACATTTTCGTCTTGCGAAGCAAGCCCATAGGAAATTCGTTTTGCGAAGCACCTCCAAAACGGAAAACCCTTTCGTCTAGCGGGTTTTCCGTCTTGCGAGGCATTCGTCTTGCGGGGCACCACTGTAACTGCATTTGATGATGGCACAAACAAGCTATCTTTAAAGGTGGAGTGAATGTGTGTCTCTGGGAGGGGGTGGGTAAAAAAAAAAGTATTCATTTTTCCTTATTTATAAGCTTTAGGTGTCTAAAACTTGTACTTCAAGATTGGTTTTTTTTCCCCCTCCCCAGATTATGTCTACTTTGAAAACTCTTCAAGTAATCCATATTTGATAAGGAGAATAGAAGAACTCAATAAGGTAAAAAAAATACCAGTGCACTCAGTGACTTTTGAAGGTATTGGCTGTACTTGTTAGTTCTGCTAACAGTTTTTATAATTTTCAGCTAACTCTCAATTATCTTTTTGTAAAGTGATAGAATTAAAAAAAATATTGAAATAGGGGGTCAGCACATGGAAGGAAGAAGCAGGCAAACTGTCCCTAACCCATCCCCACTAATCCCCCTGGCTCACCACCCACTATTCTGCCACGCAGCACAAAACTTTCAGATAAAATCAATATGGCTAACCTGATCCAAAACACCCACCCACCTCACTCACACACGAAAACAAAGATCACCACAGCCAATCACAAGCAAACAATCACACCCTAGGCCAACCCCAACCTCTCTCACCACCAAAGGAACACAAGTGAACAACACAAGCAACGCTGACACCAAACTCTACATACATTAAACATAATAGAAACACCGCCACCCGACCCCGACCCCATCCATCTTCCCTCTCTCCACCCCCCTTTCTTTTTTCTTTTTTTTTCCTTCTCCCCCTAATGCCTCAACAAATGAAACGGATTTGTAAAAATGTTACATGAAAAAAAAAATACGAGGCACTACACTTCTGTAAAACAAGAAAATCCTTAATAAAATATTAAAAAAAAACAAAAACCTGGCAAACCAAAGGCTTATGCCGCCTAGCAGACTTTTACAAAAATAACAAACCCGCATTGACACAAGAAATACAAGACAAACTAGGGGACACCCAGATACCCTGGTTAACACACCACCAATTACATGCCTTCTTAAACAATACAGTAGTGCAGTGGTGTCCAAACTATTTTCAAAGAGGGCCAGATTTGATGAAGTGAAGGGCCGTGGGGGCCAACCAAAGTTGTTACTTTTTTTTAGGATTGAAGTTGTTGAGATTTTGGGGGGATTTTACCCTAGGAAATAAACTGTCACAGAGGCCGGATTAAACTGACCAGCGGGCTGGATTAGGCCCCCAAAATGGACTTTGGACATGCTGCAGTAGTGAAATCAGCAGCAGCTAGGCCCATGACAATTTTTGAAAAGATTCCCTCCTCCTAACAGGAAAGGGACATGGCAAGGGGATGGTATCCACAATATACAAAATACTGCTCCAAAATCCCACCAAACCCATCGACATAATCAAAAAACAATGGGAGGATGACATAGACCCCACCCAATGGACTAGAATGTGGTCTAAACCTCCCTTTAAATCCATCTCAGCTAAAAGGAAAGAACTCAGATTGTACCTAACGCAAAGGAAACTAGTGCTGATATGCTCAGGAGTCTCACCAAAATGCTGGAGAGGCAGCGCCTCCACAGCACATACCTCCCCATGTGGTGGGATTGTCCTGAAATCCAAAATCTTCTGGACATCAGTCATGCAAGAAATATGCAAATAACTTTGCGGCTGCTTTGGGGGTATTCATTGGCCTATTTTGAAGTGAAAGTGTCTGCCACATTTAAAAATGTTTCCCATTCATTTCACTTGGACATGCTGCTCAGTTTCCCTTGTAGGAATACGAACAGCTATAGTTGTATATGGTTATAGCTGGGCATTAATAGAATTTTAAAATTGAGTATGAAATAATTGCATAAATATAAAAAGTCCATAGTGCTGACTCAGATATATGACAAAAGCTTGCTTTAAGTAAATCCTGTTCATAGACAGTCCTATAAATAGCCCTGTACAATGGCAGCTTATACATAGTAGAAATATTATATCAATTTCATTGAAAACTGGCCATTTGTGTGATTCTTAGTGCCTTTCATAATTTCATAATGATTAATCGAAATGAGTAATTGAAGCAACCAAAACAAGAGGTTACCGGACAGCATACATAACTGTAGGAACTCTGTAACTCTCCAGTTCAGGTTGAAGTTAATGTGTCTGATTTTCCCCAGAGCTGATCTCTAGGTTTTAATTAGAAAATTGTCTTAAGATCTATAGTAACAGAATATAGTTTGATGTTTAGAATATTACATTGTACCTTTTTCCTTCACTCACTAATGATCGTGTGTACTAATACGCAAAGAAAAATAATCAAAATGAAATCATTTGGTTGCTAAGTACATTATAAATTGAGTATTATAAAATTTGCATTCTGCTTCGTTTTGGTTTTTAGTATTGGTGTTCTGTGGTGTAGTTAGTAATAAAGCATTTATATGCCTACCATTTAAGCTTCCCACCTGAAATTAAATTTTTATTATTATTTTGCTCACTATGACAGACAGCCAATGGAAACGTAGAAGCAAAAGTGGTGTGTTTCTATAGACGGAGGGACATCTCAAGCACATTAATTGTACTGGCTGACAAACATGCAAGTAAGCTTTCTATATTATTAACTTAAATTATAAACTGTTTACTTAGTTTTAAATAACATGCTAAAGGGAGCTGCTGGATGGAACGCAGTGTTGTGCTCTTCCAATTGTTTTGTCTGCACAAATGTTCAAGCATGCCAGACAGAATGATTCCCCACTCCCCACTCCTCATGTTCCACCCTGGGGGTTCTCTCAGAGACTCTGAGATTACATCCACAAGCTCCCTTGGGGGCAGCTCATTAGGCCTTGGAGATTTGAATTCATTTAAAGTAGCTTGGTGTTCCCTTACCACCTCTATTCCTGTCTTGGGCTGCAGCTCCTTCCTTCCATCATTTATTCTGTTATCACCAGATGGACATTGCTTTCCTTTTGGGTGAAGACAGAGGCAAAGTAGGTGTTGAGCTGTTATCTGTTACCCAATCGCATTTCTTCGTCTTTTCCACTACTCCTGCTACTTGCTTGTTCTTCATCCTGCTTCAAATATAGCTGAAAAATCCTTTGTTTTTAACTTCTCTTGCAAGTCAGAGTTCATCCTGAGCTTTGGCCTGCCTGACATCCCCCCTGCAACTGTTGGCCACTTGCATATACTCCTCCTTTGTGATTTTTCCTTTCTTCCATTTCTTATACATGCCATTCTTAACTCTCAGCTCATCTGTAAACTCCTTATGCAGCCACACCAGTTTTCTAGATGCCTCCCACTTTTCTTCTTGTTGGAATTTTCTGCCTTTTTGCCTTCAACATTTCATCTTTAAGAAATCCCCATCCATCTTGGACTTCCTTTTCTTTGAGTATTTCTGACTATGGGATCTCACCCAGTAGTTACTTAAGCTTTCTGAAATCGGCCTTAAAGTCCAGAGTGCATATCAAACTACCCTCAGCTTTCCTTTGGCTTTGTATCATGAGACCCAGGAGAACATGATCACTTTCTCCCAAGGCTTCCAGCACTTCCACTTCATCAGTCAGTTCCTCTCTGTTGATGAGGACCAGGTCCAAGGTAGATGATCCCCTTGTTGCTTCTTCAACCCTCGGGAAATGAAATTGTCAGCGAGGCAATGGAGGAATTTGTCAGACCCTACATTTTTGGCCACTGGTCCCATCACCTCCTAGCAAATAGAAGGGGAAGAAATGGAGGCAATGAGAGATTTTCCTTTCTTGGGCTCCATGATACTGCAGGTGGTGACAGCAGCCACGAAATTAAAAGGCGCCTGCTTCTTGGGAGGAAAGCAATGACAAACCTAGACAGCATCTTAAAAAGTGGAGACATCACCTTGCCAACAAAGGTCTGTATAGTTAAAGCTATGGTTTTCCCAGTAGTGATGTATGGAAGTGAGAGTTGGACCATAAAGAAGGCTGATTGCCAAAGAATTGATGCTGTTGAATTATGGTGCTGGAGGAGACTCTTGAGAGTCCCATGGACTGCAAGAAGATCAAACCTCTCCATTCTTAAGCAAATCAGCCCTGAGTGCTCACTAGAAGGACAGATCGTGAAGCTGAGGCTCCAATACTTTGGCCACCTCATGAGAAGAGAAGACTCCCTGGAAAAGACCCTGATGTTGGGAAAGATGGAGGGCACAAGGAGAAGGGGACGACAGAGGACGAGATGGTTGGATATTGTTCTCGAAGCTACCAGCATGAGTTTGACCAAACTGCTGGAGGCAGTGGAAGACAGAAGTGCCTGGCGTGCTCTGGTCCATGGGGTCACGAAGAGTCGGACATGACTAAACAACTAAACAACAACAACAACACATTCTTGGCAGAGCTGAGTTCCAACAGATCATGGGGAAGTTGAAGTCTCCCATTACTAATATATATCTCCTTTTTGAATGCTTGGTAATCTGCTCTAGGAAGACATCATCCAAACCTTCAGTCTGTCTTGGTGGTCTTTAGCAGACACCTACAGTAATGTCACTGTTGTTTCTCTCTTCTGAAATGTTCACCATTATGCTCTCAGTCTTCCTTCCATGCTCCAAGTCTTGGATCTCTTCACATCCTTTACATATAATGCTACTCCTCCCTTCCTGTTTGGTCTATTGCTTTTGATAGGTTATACCCATCTCAATTTCCATATTCCTGCTAAACTGACAGGACTTGCTTCTGAGTAAACTTGCATGGGATTAGACTGTGCAAGCATAGATCTGTCACAGTGTCTACATGTCTGTCAGCTTAGTGCCACAGCAGCTGCAATGAAGCTGTAGGCAACTATTATGCTTTCAATAAGTCCTAGAAAAAGTGGTGAAATAGGATTTCTGTTGAAGTGGTTGGGCTCTAAGCCTTAACAGCTGCTTGATTATGTCAACATCTGATGCCTCCTCTGGTGTAGTGAATGACATCAACCTTTTGGGCATGTCCTAGCCCGGTAGCCATGAGACCAAGGTAGTTCACAAATTATGCAGTGAGTTCACTAATTCTATTTTCTTTGTGTCCCTAGCATGCACATGCAAATCATGACCTGAAGCAGGAGATAACAGGGTTGCATCTTTAAAAAAAAAAAGTTGGCCATATAGCAATGTTCTGTTACAAGAATGATCTGCTGCTATGCTGGGTAGTTAAATTTAAATGTAAAAATTGCATCTGGCAGTGCATTGAAGTACTATTTCAACCGTCTTCACAGATTAATATTATTTCATCTTCAACTAGGAGAAATGGAGGAAGAGATGGAAAACCCAGAAAAGATTGATTTACCAGAGAAACAGAAACATCAACTGCGACACCGAGAACTGTTTCTCTCACGTCAATTGGAATCCTTACCAGCCACTCATATTAGGTGTGGACTAAATAATTAGATTTTTTGTGTAATGGTTTTTAATACACCTAAGAACATACTTGTATTTTACGTAATGCAGGCATTCCAAATGCCCTTTTTTCTCATCTTATTTTTCTTTCTTTTTTTAGAGGCAAATGCAGTGTTACACTCTTAAATGAAACAGAATCCCTTAAATCCTATCTGGAACGTGAGGTAGGCACAGATATATGAAACTGAAAATCTTCCAAGTTGTTTTGCCACACTTGTTTAAAGCACTTGTCCAATGTTAAAAAGGTAAAGGACCCCTGACAGTTAAGTCCAGTCACAAACGACTCTGGGGTTGCGGCGCTCATCTCGCTTTACTGGCCAAGGGAGCTGACGTTTGTCCGCAGACAGTTTTTCCAGGTCATGTGGCCAGCATGACTAAGCTGCTTCTGGCGAACCAGAGCAGCGCACAGAAACACCGTTTACCTTCCCGCCGGAGCGGTACCTATTGATCTACTTGCACTTTGATGTGCTTTCAAACTGCTAGGTTGGCAGGAGCAGGGACCGAGCAACGGGAGTGCACCCCATCATGGGGATTTGAACCGCCAACCTTCTGATCAGCAAGCCCTAGGCTCAGGACCAAATGGCATGCTCCACCTTCCTCCTTGATTTCCTGGTTCATAGCCCTTTGCTGTGGCATCCAAACCGCACCAACTGTGGCATGTGCAAATCATAGCTTGCCTCTAAACGAGAATTAGAAACCATGGTTTGAAGGTGGCTTCTGCCTTTCTAAAAAAGCAAACCATGGTTTGTTCGATTCAGATGTAATGGCAAACCGTGGTTTGTTTCAAACCAGGAAGCTGTGGCGGAGCACAATGTGCAGTGGCTTCTGGGAGCACAGTGACTAAGTCATGGTCTACAATAATGCTTTGAAGTGGGACAATATTACCACCATCTTGGGATCGTACTATGAAGAAATACCACCTAAATTACAGGTGGGCATGGCTGGGACTAAAGTTCTCTATTTAGTGTATTTCACTTTTTGTAAAACATACAGTTCTAAGATACTACTGTCGTCTTTTCTGAGGCTTCAGGAGCTGTGATGGGGCTTCTGTAAACATTTAGACTCCAATGCAGTTTGTTTCGGCATAACTTCTTAGTGTTGCATATGAAGGCAATTCTTTAAATAGTCTATTTGGCATTTCTTGAACATCTCTGGTATATTTGGTACATTCATGAACATCTCTTAGAAATCAGTCTGCAAATGGAGTGATGTGGTCTCCTAGGTACGTTAACTTAAAGGTGAGGCTTTATGAGGGAGGAAGTTCTCTTACGATAAGCAAGGTTGACGCCTTGTCTAAAGGAGAGAGGGATTTTTCCATAACAAAAAGTGGAAATGCTAACTGATCAGAGGTATGGGACACAATGTAGAAGGGACAGAGTTAAGGAGCAAATGAGAGGTTGCCTGCAAAACTGAATAAGGAACTTTAGTGCCAAGTGCCAAACTGGAGTGCCAAAATGTCATGGCAAATCCTAACCTGAAGAAATGGAAAAGAACAACCTGTTGATTAGATGCCAGATAGAAGTGTGTGCCTATGTTGGCAAATGGAGCAGGTGTCGAAGCGTTTGTATCCTACTGCTTCTCTCCATAAATGAGAGTCAATTTAATTAATTGATGATAGTATCTAGGCATGCTTGCCCAAGCGTGCTTTGCACAACCACCCGTAGAGTGAAGTTTGAGGAACCAAGAAATGGAGAAGCAACCTCAGGGGAGCCAGCAAGACTGTAACTCCACAATATTCTGCAATTTTTCTGCTATTAAACGCCGGGTAGAACTCATCATTTTTGGTCAAATGGTTTTCTGGTGCCTAGCGAATCTAAACTCCTCCTGTCAACACTCTTATCTCATTCACCCATTGAGGTTGCACAGCTATATCTAGCTGACTCCAAACATGGAACAAGTAGTAGTTCTGAGACTGCTACCTTGGAGAGCTTGGATTGGAACATCCTGCCTAGCGACTTAAATTTTACTTTCACAATACACACCTGCATTTCCTAATGTATTTGGTGCACATTGCTGTCTCCTTCCTAAAATGATAATTTGTAAAAGGTAATTTTTATTTTTTTCATGACTACATACAGTGGTGCCTCGCAAGACGAAATTAATCCGTTCCGCGAGTGTCTTCGTCTAGCGGTTTTTTCGTCTTGCGAAGCAACCCTATTAGCGGATTAGCGCTATTAGCGGTTTAGCGGCTATTAAAGGCTTAGCGGCTTAGCTGCTAAAAGGCTATTAAAGGCTTAGCGGCTTAGAAAAAGGGGGGGGGGAGCGAAAAAAAATATATCTCAAGACTCACAAGACATTTTCGTCTTGCGAAGCAAGCCCATAGGGAAATTCGTCCTGCGAAGCAACTCAAAAACGGAAAACCCTTTCGTCTAGCGGGTTTTCCGTCTTGCAAGGCATTCGTCTTGTGGGGCACCACTGTACTTTATATGCATTTGATTTCTCACCACCAGGTTTTCTGTTGTCATTTGATGGTGCAAAAATTGTTAGGAATGACTCTATACTCATGATTCAAGTGGTTGGAAATGCTATAATTTTTACTTCCCTTCCTGTCCCCAGGACTTCTTTTTTTATTCACTAGTATATGATCCACAGCAGAAGACTCTTCTAGCTGACAAAGGAGAAATCAGAGTGGGAAACAAGTACCAGGCTGATGTAACAGACTTACTGAAAGAAGGTAGTTTCATTTCTGATTTCTGCATGAATCCATAAAGAATTCATGTTGTGTTGTGGGAATGTTTTGGAAACTGTTGGGCTCTAAGGTTTTTGTTTGAGGAACTGCGGAATGCTCTCACAGCCTCTATATCCCATGATGTGTAACACTAACTAGTCCTTTCATGCTGTCCAAACGTACATAGTTTCTGTAATGGTAATTGATCTTGGTTTACCTCTGTTAAAATATTTTTATAGTGTTTTTCTAAAACGTTTCACAGCAGCTTCCAGCATTTTAAAACAATTCCAGAATAAGAAACACAGACATTTAAAATTCAGATTCAACTTTACACTAAGCTTCAATCTGAAAAATTCAGAATAAATTATATGGAACACTCTTAAAAAAACACTTTTGGACAGGAGGATATTCAGTTAATAGGATGGCACCTCCCACTGGACAGGATATGTGTTTTGCCTGCTCTTTCAAGTGTTTTGCCTGCTCTTTCAGGGGGAGGAGCCATCCCACCCTCCAGATTTTCCCTGCCTTTAGTCAGGTCTTTTGGGTCCTATGTTCTAGGCAGAACTTAGCATTTGTTCACTCTTTGAAATGGTTTTTGTTTTGTCTTTACCTTTTTCTGCCTTGCCTTAAATCCTCTTCTGTGTATGTCGTTTATCTGTCTTCTTGATCATCATCATCATCATCATAATAATAATAATAGCATCATTGTTAGGTTAAAGAAGGGTGTCCTTTCTTTAGCTTCCTTTTCCTGTAAGTCTGCAGATCTGCTGTGTTTTTCTTGTGGTTTTTCCCCCCTTTTCTTTTCCCTGGCACTTTTTACCAGCATGAGACTTTCTCTGGTGGCACCTAGCACCCGGGGCTCACAGGGAATGGAGCTAGCACAGAGAGTTCCCTGACTCAGCCTTCCTGTCAGGAGGGTTCTTTTGACTTCTCCTTCTGTTCTTCTGTTATTAGCCAGCAGTTTTTTGTGAATGAAGGGAGGACATGACGCATCACAGTCTTAAATTCATCTCTGCTGAACAAGAGAGGAGGAGAGAGACAAATCAGTAACACTCCTGCATTCTATCTCTCGGACCACTGTACTATTCTGCAAAGTTTGTTGCTCCAATAGCAAGCTTGCCTTTGTTGTCATTCTCCTTGTCAGGGAGTGGGATCTCATTTAAAAGATCAGCAGGTGTAGTCAGCTCTTTTTTTGGATTGGAACTGCCATTTTTTGTTCACTTTGAGCAGGAGTTACCTAATGGTTCTGTATTTCCAAAGCTTTTGTGTACATGTGAATTAAGTGGGTTCTTTGGGTAAATGGGGCTGGCATATGAAGTGCTGGATAGTTGGATGTGTACTTTTCACTCATGTTATTCTGCGGAGGTAAACTCTTCTTGGCAATACTACAAAAGAGACAACCGTAGCATTTTTCACCAGTGAACGTTAAATGTTTTCTGTAGTTTCCAAGATTTGTGGAAGGCAAGCTCTTCATCAGTACGCTATTTGTTTTGCCAGATTGCCTAGATAAACCCTTTTTTTATTTGAATTTGTTTAGGTGAAGATGATGGCAGAGACCAATCAAAACTTGAAACAAAAGTTTGGGAAGCATTTAATCCACTAATAGACAAACAGATAGATCAGTTCCTTGTAGTAGCACGGTAAGGAGAAAAACACCACAATTTGCGTCTTAATCTGGTTATTCCCCCGCTTTCTGATTATACTGTTCCCCTAAACAAATGCTTGCTGTTTGTCAAACAAAAAGTTTTGTTTGCCATTGCATCATTATGGTAATTATAATCTTAATGTTTATATACCATTGTTTTGGGATTGAGTCATTCATTAGCAATGATTTGATTTGCTAGTAAAGCAGATAATTCACTGATCTCTTCCACTGTGTCCCCAAATGTTCAGTAAGTTTGCACAAGGGCGGTCTCTGTACTAAGGCCGTGTCCTGATCGTTAATGATATAGTCAACATTAATAATGTCTTCATTGCAAGCTTTTTGGAAGTTGTTACTGAGTTTTAAATGTATGGCCTGTAGCACTTGCATGCATCGGACTGGGTGGTGCGGATACTTCCCACATGGAGGAATGAATATAGGTATATTGCAAATGATACTTGACTGAAGGAGGCAAATTTTCATTGTTCAGCTTGCTGCTGTTCTAAAACCATTTGTGAATGGAAATCCTCGCAATAGCAAATATTTTCTCTGACCTTTCCTGATTCTGTTGATTTGAAAGACTGGTAGTGGTTTTTCTGTATCCTTCATGCAAGTGTGAACATTCAGTTAGCAATAGTTTTCAGGTGTGTGGCATATGAAATAACTAATAATAAATAATAATAATAAATTTTATTTATATCCCGCCCTCCCCAGCCAAAGCCAGGCTCAGGGCGGCTAACAACAAACAAATAATCAAACAATCAAATAATCCAACATTCTAAAACATTTCATTATAAAATTAATTAAAATCAAATTAATGGCAACCGTTAAGCAAAGTTCTGTGCAGGTTGCCGGAGGTGGGAGTCAGGCTGGGCCCTGACCAAAGGCCTGGTGGAACAACTCTGTCTTGCAGGCCCTGCGGAAAGATGTCAGGTCCCGCAGGGCCCTAGTCTCTTGTGACAGAGCGTTCCACCAGATTGGAGCCGCAGCCGAGAAAGCCCTGGCTCTAGTTGAGGCCAGCCTAACCTCTCTGAGGCCTGGGACCTTCAGGATGTTTTTATTTGCAGACCGTAGGTTCCTCTGTGGGGCATACCAGGAGAGGCGGTCCCGTAGGTACGAGGGTCCTAGGCCGTATAGGGCTTTAAAGGTTAAAACCAGCACCTTAAACCTGATCCTGTACTCCACCGGGAGCCAGTGCAGCTGGTATAGTACCGGATGAATGTGATCTCGCAGCGAAGACCCCATAAGGAGTCTCGCCGCGGCATTCTGCACCCGCTGGAGTTTCTGGGTCAGTCCCAAGGGCAGCCCCACGTAGAGCGAGTTACAATAATCCAGTCTGGAGGTGACCGTCGCGTGGATCACAGTGGCTAGGTCAGGGCGAGAGAGATAAGGGGCCAACTGCTTAGCTTGGCGGAGATGAAAAAATGCCGCCTTTGTTATAGCTGTAATCTGCGCTGGAGATAGAGAGGGAGGTATCGAAGATTACACCCAAACTCTTAACGGACGGTGCTGGCACTAATTGCACCCCCGCAAGAGATGGGAGTTGCCCCCCCAATCCCATATCGTCCCGTCCCAGCCAGAGGACCTCTGTCTTCGAAGGATTTAACTTCAACCGGCTTCCGCGTAACCATCCAGCCACAGCTTCCAAACATCTGGTCAGTGTGTCTGGGGAAGGAAAGGAGATGGGAGTTGCAGTCAGGCCTGAGACAAGGAAGTAGCATATAGATGTAAAGCAAGATGTTTGGGGAACTGTCTTGAGGGCATTAGACTTCATCTGATGCAGTCCCTTGTTGCTGAGTTCTGTCATTGGCTTTATAGAGCATTGTCCTTGTATGGCATGAGATTGATATGTGCTTTGAAGAGCATGGGCATCATGAGCATCACAGAGGTCCTTGAAGGAAAACAAACAAATGTTAGCAAATGGTACTTGGACAGAAAAGTGTATTCATCAGTTGCTAGTACCTTTTTTGGATTCCCTGATGGCAATTTAACTTGCTCTAGGCATAGGCCTCTAGTAAGGTTTAAACATGCGATAGGTGCCTTATTCCACATTTAGGCACTGATTTTGTATATTCTCACTTCTTAAACTGTGATTTTCTTCAGGTTTCAAGCTCATGAAAATGAATTTCATCAACTTGGGGGAGAACTAAATATGAGGTTACATGAGATAAATAAGCAGAGGTCCTCCTTTTTCCTCTGGTAGCGGTAAACAAAAAGGTCAAGGTGTACATCCTGTACAGAACTCATTGCCACAAGCAGTGAATGCCAAAGAAGTCATTTTGTCACTCCGGCAAGTAGTGTGTATAAGCCATCATATTGGAAGACAAGATGATGGTTTTGAATTTAAGTTTTGGTCAATATTTCAATCCGCCACCTGGGTTAGAAACCAACGTTGCATGAACTAAGGTGATAGTCACACTGGATTCAAAGAATTTATGGTCACGTTACACAATTCTTCATTATTACATAACCAAAAGATGTGCAAAATTGCTACATCAGTTGTGTTCTGTTTTCAGATTACTTTGACATGAAAACCTCAGATGGAGCTGATAAAAGACTCACACTTAAGCAAATGTTTCGGTGGAGCTGCTGGCAGCATGGACTCCAGCAAAGCAGAGGAGGTAACGACTTGTAATCTACGAACCTACATCAAAACATAAATATGCCTGCTAGAAATGTGCACATAGGCAATCATTTAACACAGGACAGTTGCTGAATTTGGCACATTTCTGGCATTCCGATTCTCATGCTAGTTATTCATCCCTGATAAAGCACAGAGCATATTGACTTCACTTGTGTGTTCTTCCTCAAGTTATGGAAGCAGTATGAAAATCAATGGGAGATGCAGCAAGAGTTCTTTAGCCACATTCCTTCTTGCTTTGAAGACATCATTTCTAAATGCAACAGCTTTGTTGCATTGATTCAGTGTTCGATAGCATCAGAATCTGATTCTTTGCTTGGACTGAGCAGCCACACAATGAAGTTATCAAAATAGGCCATGCATAGTGGTGCAATATTACTTTCAAAATATCGGTGTAATCTCTTCTGAAAAGAATAGAAGTTTGGAAGTGGCAGAGATCTGACCAATCTCACACAATACAATACAGGCAACACCCAGTTGCGTTCCAGGTCCTTGTGTGCAGTGGCAGAGACTTACAAGCCCACCCCATTCTGGTCCCTTCCCCTTTTCCTGCCACTTCTGGGTTTGCAGTGATGCGCGTGTGCACGGTTGCGCATGCTTTGAACGTGCGCAAAACGGTTGTTGCCTGTACAATGCCGGATTAGTCATTATGGCGCAGCTGTTGTCTGAGGCAGTTGTTTCATATCATACAATGGCTGCCCAAGTGGGATTCCAGCTGGATGACTGTGAGAGTGTTTGTTTTGAGCTCATTTGATATATATATATTTTTAAAATGTTGCAATTGACTCAGCAGTCCTAACGGCTGGGTATTGAGCATATTTGCCTTATCTTCTTTTACATTAACACAAAAGGGTTTTATTTTGTTGGGAGCTGTCCAGAGTGGCATATAAATAACAGACATTAATTAATTAAAATTAATCTCTATTAACTGCAAGATACAAGTTTCTGGCTGGGAGTCCATAGTCGTGCAGAGTCTTTTGGAGTTTTAAGTTCTGAAAACCAATATAGCACACGGATATTCATCATCTCAATAACTTTTCTGGCTTACCCTGAGTGTCAGGGAACTGCCATCAGTGCCGGAGGGAGAGAGCAAGATCCAGAGGGATTCCAGAGAGCGTCCCGGAATTGGGAGAGGCAGCCCATCTTCTGGGGAAGAGAATCAGCGTAGCACCAGTGGAGAAGGGGGGCAGATGGGGGAAGCGGCGAGGCGGTCCCATGACTCCTTGCCGGGGACCAGCGGGGAGAGTAGGGGTCCTCCGCTGCCTATGCCCTCCTTGCGCAGAAGGCTTTTGCGCAGAGAGAGTAGGAGGAGACTAGGCGTCAAAGAGCTTATTTGCTGGAAGAAGTTTAAGAAATGCCCACTGACGGATTCTGCCAGCGATTGAGACAGCCACGGGTGAGTGGCTGTCCGGACAGAAAAGGTTCACTCAGGCAACCCAGCCAGGTGTTTGCACTGGCTTACGCACGAGCAACCCCTAGAACCACTACACTGAGGATGAGCTAAGCACCTAGATTTTGAATAAAATAGGTAAGGGTCCACCCTCTCTCCCACCCTGAAGTAAGAGGACATTGAAGGACAGAGCGGAAGAGCTTGAGGCTATGAGCCAAGCACTTCAGAGAAGCCCTCTGTGTGTATAACCTGGAGTCGCAGGTCTTACTATACAAGGGTACGAGAAACAGGGAGCACCACTTGTATCCGAAAATGTTTCACATGTTAGTCAAAGAAGACAAAATAAAATCACAAGCTTCTTCCCCCGAGGGATGAAGTAGCTGGCAATGAACGTACATCTCAATCTCCAGCCGCCAGGCTTGTCTATATTGACTACAGGGGTGCAGCGCAAGAGGCTAATTGGGGATAATGTGTCATTAATCTGGCCATGGAGATGGCTTTGGCTGAAAACGCACTAGCTGCTGGTAGGATGCAACCAGTGGAGCGAAGGGAGCTATTGGATGATCTCATGTTAAAACAGGTGAATGAGCTTGCAAAGTGCCATACTCAAGAGAATGAGACTTCCCTACCTAGAGTGGAGCAGAGGGAGGAGAAAGACATTAACTTACTATTTCAATGGACCAAGTATATCACAAAGGAAGAGGAAGTCTTAGAATGTATTCAATATACTGGATGAAAATTCTAGAAGAGTGTCAAAAGCCTGTAAGGAAATGTGGCACCAAAAAAAGGAATAAAGTCTCTATATATGATCAACATACCTCTGTCTCTCCCCCAGCAAAAGTTGAGAAGGAAACGGCAATGCAAGATCCCTGGTTTGGTGTTTGAAAAGGGTATAGAATTGAGAACTATCTCAACCGCTGTCACAGCCGTCAAGTCTACAATATTATGCTGATTGGGATTTACAACTAATATGTCAAAATAGGGCTTTTGTATCTACCCAAAACAAAGTGGGCTTCTCTCCCAGAGTGAACAGAATCTTGTCTAATCAATATATCACAACCAGCAATCACTGGCTTATATATGACTATCCAAGTGGTGGTGTTCTGCTTGCACAACTTTACTATTTCTCACAGTTTGGAAGATTAGTAGCAGAAGAATTTTATTTAAACAGTGGTTGCCATGAAGCTTTTGCTTTTCAAGGGATGCCTAACACCTTCATCTTTCAAGTACATTGTTCAGACTGTACACACTTTCAATGTAAAATAGCACCGTTAGCTCACGTTATATTATGTTAAGAAAAGACTCTCTTCTTGCACAGTCTCCACATGCAGATAAAAACATACAACTTCTACTTCTTCCTCCTGCCTTGCTTAGGATGATAATGTGCCTCAGTAGCTATTAGATCTCATTCTTCTCTGTCAACTGGTATTGCACTGAATGATTCAAATGACACTTTTAACTGCCTTTATAGTGAGCTGCTGGAGGTATATTTTTGCTTGATAATGCTTGTGCTTTTTTCACTTGATGATGAAGAAAGGGTTTCACTTTCAACTTGTATCTTGTATGAATTTCTTAGTGATCTCTAAATGTGCGTAAAAGAATTGTAGCAAAACCACTGGCCATTGAGGCTTTTGGAATGTTGCACTGTAGGATTAAAACACCGTGAAAGTTTATGGAAAATACATTTCTAGGAAGTGTTGATTTCAGCAGCTGTCCTTTGTTAAACAGATTCCTAGTTTTCATTAGTACAATTCCAGCAGGTATGCTGAGGCTGGTGGTTGACTGTGAGCGTACTTCACTGACACCATTATGCATGTTGTAGATTCTGAGTCGTATCTCCCATGGTTCACTGGACTCAGCGATGCTACATGACACATGACGTTTGCTTAAGAGTGGTGAGGGCAAGTTTCGTACTGACAACCTGCATTTAAATGTTTTCCTTCTGAGGGAATCTCAAATGGAATAAAGTTGATGTAGCAAATTTCCATCCTTTTGGGGTATGCAAAAATGAATAATAAAAAAACATTTGCAGCAGCCATCTGCGAACCCAGTATAGCTGTGATGATGGACACAATTTCTCTTCTTGGTTCCTACAATGTTGACTTTGTCATCTAAATAAGTTCCTAACCTGATGAGGGAGTGAGCTGAAACATGGCATTTGTGACATCTGTCTTAGATTCCGGTACACACACTACTTATTTTCCCCAGATAAAGGTAGACAGTTTTCTGCGATGACAAAATTGAGAGGGGGTGGGCAACGGTCACTACTATGTGTGGGGAAAATGTGTATTATCATTGAAGTCAATGAAAATGTAGCAAAAATGCTTTTTTTCCTCGTACAAATAAATGATACATACCAAATTGTTTTTGAAAGTGCTTGCTGTAAACTTGTTACTTTCTTCGCTTTGTGTGTGTTTTCTTGCACGGAATGTCAACCTTCTCTTCATTTTTTTTAGCTCTGTGGGTACATTTGCTCGCGCTCTAGACTGCAGCAGTTCTGTTCGGCAGCCAAGCTTACACATGAGTGCTGCAGCAGCATCTAGGGATATCACACTGGTAAGAATTTAAGAAAATAAATCCTAATGCTGGATTTTCAGTTAAAAGTAATACCTCTATAGCATAAAGGCACAAAGAGAGTAATATATCAGTTTGAAAACACTGGAAGAGTCCTGAAGCATTTTACATTGGTGTCGGTTGTGTGCTTAAGAGACAGTTCAGTTAGGAGCCAATTGGAGCTGTGAATCTATAACACACACAAAAAATCTAGGATGTACATAGTAACTTTTAAGCTTGTGATCATTTACAATGCTTATTTAAATGATTTGTATGACTGATGTGGAGTTTATTAATTGGGAAGGGGTTTCCTGTACCAGTTCAACAGAATTTAATCCCTACTCATTGGTGTTCACCGGGTGGTTAAATCCTGTCCAGTTGGGAAGTTCAGTGCAAACCATTGAACCACTGCTCCAATGAAGGTTTCTTCCTTAGTTTAATCAGTACCTTGCCCATGTTAAAACAAGGGGGGGGCGCTTTGTTTTAGCAGCAACTTTGGAGTCCTGACCAGATGTCATTGTGACGTTGGGTGATTTCACCACCCACATGTCAAATTTGGCCTGGTAAGGATTTGGCCTGTGGAGCCAAAAATATTCCTCATGCCAGCATTAGAGGAGGAGGATAATAATAATAATAATAATAATAATAATAATAATAATAATATATTCCTTCCAGTAGCATTACCCTGCCCATCCTTCTGGGTTTTCCCAGGTACTCTGGGTGGATTACAGCATATATAAAAACATAATAAAACATCAAACAAACCCCTGATATGTATCAGTCCCCTAGTTTCATTCATAGCTTTTTATTTTGAAATGTGGTGCGTTTTTTTATGTAGTGGGAACTTCTTTTTTTACACTTTGTATTTGGTTTGTTTTATGTAGTTCCATGCCATGGATACTTTGCACAAAAACATCTATGACATTTCCAAGGCAATTTCTGCCCTTGTGCCCCAGGGTGGGCCTGTCTTGTGCAGGGATGAAATGGAGGAATGGTCTGCTTCTGAGGCAAATCTCTTTGAAGAAGCCCTTGAAAAATATGGAAAGGATTTTACTGATATTCAGCAAGATTTTGTAAGTAGGCAAACGGCATTGCACATCTAGAAAATCGTGGACAGCATTCTCCAGTTAAAGGAATTAGGGCAGTATTCAACTAAAAATTGTGTAAGCAGAACATCTTCTATTTGTGCAGTGGCAAATTCTCTTCCCCATGTGTCCCATGCCATTTCCAAATTGCTGCTATAGTTTAGCGATACTGAGTTACATGCTTGGGGAATAAGCCGAATGCTGTGGACATAGCGCATCTTGATTTAAGTAAGGCTTTTGACAACGTCCCCCATGATATTCTTGCAAGGAAGTTGGTAAAATATGAGCTTGACAATGTAACCGTTAGGTAGATTTGTAGCTGGTTGACTGACTTAACCCAAAGACTACTCATTAGTGGTTCATCCTCATCCTGAAAAAAAGTTAGAAGTAGGGTGCTGCAGGGTTCTGTCCTGGGTTCATTGTTGTTCAACGTCTTTATAAATGACTTGAAGGAAGGATTTGAGGGGCTGCTCATCCAATTTGCAGATGACACCAGACTGGGAGGGGTAGCTAATGTCACAGAAGACAGAATCATAATTCAAAATAACCTTAACAGATTGGAGAACTAGGCCCAAACTAACAGAATGAGTTTCACTAGGGACAAATGTAAGTTTCTGCACTTAGGAAGGAAGAATCAGCTGTACAAATGTAAGATGGAAGACTCCTGGCTTACCAGTAGTACATATGAAAAGGATATAGGGACCACAAGCTTAACATGAGTCAACAGTGTGATGCAGCAGCAAAGAAAGCTAATGCCATTCTAGGCTGCATCAACAGAAGTCTAGTGTCCATATCAAGAGAAGTAATAGTACCACTCTTATTCTCCCTTGGTCAGACCACACTTGGAATACTGTGTCCAATTCTGAGCACCACAATTTAACTCATAGAATCCTAAAATCCCCCTGCAATGCAGGAATCTCAACTAAAGCATCCATCACAGATGGCTATTCAACCTCTGTTTAGAAACCTCCAAAGAAGGAGAGGTTTGTCTCACCATCTTCTGGAAGGTGTGCAGAGGAGGGCGGCCAAGATGATCAAGGGTCTGGAAACAGTTGAAGGAGCTGGATATGTTTCGCCTAGAAAAGAGGAGACTGAGAGGAGGTATGAGAGCCATCCTCAAATATCTAAAGGGTTGTCACATGGAAGATGGAGCTAGTTTGTTTTCTCCTGCTCTGGAGGGTAGGACTCTGACCAGTGGCTTCAGGGTACAAGAAAGGACTAAACATCAGAAAAAACTTTCTGACAGTAAGAAGAAGAAGAAGAAGAGGAATTTGGATTTGATATCCCGCTTTATCACTACCCGAAGGAGTCTCAAAGCAGCTAACATTCTCCTTTCCCTTCCTCCCCCACAACAAACACTCTGTGAGGTGAGTGGGGCTGAGAGACTTCAGAGAAGTGTGACTAGCCCAAGGTCACCCAGCAGCTGCATGTGGAGGAGCGGAGACACGGACCCGGTTCACCAGATTACGAGTCCACTGCTCTTAACCTTCACCACACTGGCTCTCAGTTGGTGTCCGACAGTGGAAAGGTCTTCCTAGGGAGATGGTGGACTCTCCTTCATTGGAGGTTTTTAAACAGAGGTTGGATGGCCATCTATCAGGGATGCTTTAGTTGAGATTCCTGCATTGCAGAGGGTTGGACTAGATGAACCTCGGGGTCATTTCTAGCTCTTAAGATTTTAGGATTCTATGAGTTCTGGTACCATTTTCCCAGCTGGAAATGCATTGTGAAAAGCCAATGGTGATCAAGGCTTTAAAGGTTTAGTCTTAGGAGGCTGGAACAGATTAGACATTGTACTTGTTTCTAACATCATCCAGAACATTGTACCTGAGGCATGTTGGAAATCATACGACTATGTGTGAGATGCAGCCCACAGGGCCTCCATACTGGGACTGAAACCACCCCAGTTTGGCTCTGCAGTACATCCTTGCACAGCAACTAGGTTGATAAAAACAGCTTTTACTGGTGTTTTTTAAGCCTAATTGCAGTATGGGGAAGGTGAAGGGGTGTGTGTGTACAAAGCTAGATAAAGAAGAGTTAACTCACTTCTTCAACATCTAGCTTTGTGGCAGTTGGGTAGCTATATGCTTGGGAACTTCTGAGTTCTGACTTTTTGCTATTAAAGTCTTTTGTTCCCAGGATGATGTAGATTTGACACCTCATGGGCTTTTCTTGGTTTTGTTTATACGTGTTCTTAGCTTCCATGGAAGTCCTTAACCAGCATAATTGAGTACTATTATATGTGGAAAACAACAGATCGGTATGTTCAACAGGTAAGAACAATGTAGTTACATTTCTCAAAACAGATGCTTCTAACTTCTAATTGCAATCTATTGTAGTAGTCATTATAATCCTATATACTCAGTTTTGCTGACATTTGATGAATGATTTGAAACTTGTAACTCCTTTTTGAGTGGGTGAACATGACTGCCAGATGTCTCATTAAGGTGGGGGATGTCTGGATTGACTTGGGGTGGCTCTCTCCAACTCAGAGATCTCTTCTGGAAAAAGCATAGGAGGGTCATTTGCCACTGAGACTAACAAAAAACTATTGTGTTCAGTATGTTTTTAATTAGCTGTTTCTTACCTATTTTCTTATTATTGAAACTTCGCAATGGAATTCGATATTTTCCCACTGTCTTAGCAGATAAATTATTTGAAGTCTTATGGTTACATGTGTCTTTAGGAACATGCATATACCGTATTTTTTGCTCTACAATATGCACTTTCCCCCTCCTAAAAAGTAAGGGGAGCGTCTTATGGAGCGAATGCAGGCTGCATTGCTTTCGCTGAAGCCAGAATAGCAAGAGGGATAGCCGCGCAAAGCCTCTCCAACAACATTTGATTCAGAATATTTTTTTCCTTGTTTTCCTCCTCTAAAAACTAGGTGTGTCTTATAGAGTGAAAAATACGGTATACCTGATCTACACATGAACCCCCAAGCACAGTGTAGTGTAATGGTTAGAGTTTTGGACCTGGGAGACCAGGGTTTGAATCCCCACTCAGCCATGAAGCTCACTGGGTGACCCTGGGCCAGTCACCCATCTCTTAGCCTAACCTACATCACATTGTTGTTGTGAGGATGAAATCATAGAATTGTGGAGTTTGAAGGGTCATCTAGTCCAACCCCCAGCAATGCAGGGGTCTCAAATGAAGCATCCCTGACAGATGGCAATCCAACCTCTGCTTAAAAACCTCCAAGAAAGGAGAGTCCACAACCTCCAGAGGGAGACAGTTCCACTGTCAAGCAGCTCTTAATATCAGAAAGTTCTTCCTGATATTTAGTCAGAGTCTCCATTCTTGTAACTTCTACCTTCTGTGATCTTACATGTATTGCCTTAACTAAGTGGTGTGCAATTGGTTCAGTTTCTTTGCAGGGCTCTAGCCATGATTAAAATCTGTTGCTTTAATTTCTTATGGTATGAATTCATTTCTTTAATGTACTGATTAATATTTTCAGCCCTGCTGATCAGTAATATTCAGAAACTACTTTATAAATCCATGATGCTAACATAAAGGGATGAACTGCAGCCCTTGTTTCCTCAAGGTGAATTGACTTTTTGTATAGAGGTATTTGTTGAGAACAGGAAAATGTATCAGATTTAGTTACAATTTGTATGGATTGCTTTTATGTTCTAATTTTATTTTATTGTATTGTATTCAGAAAAGGTTGAAAGCTGCAGAAGCAGAAAGCAAGCTAAAGCAAGTATATATTCCTAATTAGTAAGTGCCTGTTCTTATATATATTTACAGATGGAATGCAAATATTATAGCCATTCTTACTTGTCTTGCAAACTTATGTATGTGAATTTTTAACCATGAAATAGTTGTTACATTCTCTAACAGGGCAATCCAATGCATGCCTACTCTGAAGCAAGTCTGATTTTCTTCAAGGGATCTTAGTCCCATGGATGTGTGTACAGAACCGCAGCATAAATTCTGTAATGTTTGTTTCTGCTAAAAAGCTACACTTGTCTCAAAACCTCAACCAAAACAGCTTTGATTCTCCTAGGGATCCCAAGATGGATTGTACAAATGCAGGCTATCATCTCTTGTGAGACACGGCATTGTATTTGTTCTGTACTAAATCGAAAATGAAGCTATGGTTAGAGAGAGGAAAACAAATTTTTGATCCATTCCTGTACATGGGTGAGGGTGTTTTCATCCCTTCCCAGATGTGCACAGGGGTGGGCTGTGTTTGTGACAGTGGCTTCACATTTTAAACCATTAATATGAACATTCTACTAGAGATTCAGGTAATAATAATAATAAAATTTTTTATTTATATCCCGCCCTTCCCAGCCAAAGCCGGGCTCAGGGCAGCTAACAACAATAAAACAGTACAACACAACACAACACTCTAAAATCATTCATTATAAAATTAATTCAGATCAAACCAATGGCAACCATTGGGCCAGATAGGTAGGTAGCCGTGTCGGTCTGACGCAGTTGAAATAAAATAAAAAAATAAGAAAATTGTCCAGTAGCGCCTTAGAGACCAACTAAGTTTGTTCTGGGTATGCACACTTCTTCAGATACCCGAAGAAGTGTATCTGAAGAAGTATGCATGCACACGAAAGCTTATACCCAGAACAAACTTAGTTGGTCTCTAAGGTGCTACTGGACAATTTTCTTATTTTTTTATACTATTAGAGAAGAGCATAAGGAAGGACTGCTCTTCTCTCGCTCTCGCTTACTCTCACACAGGGCTGCAAAGGCAAACACCAGCCAAAAGCTCTTGACCCTTGGGAAGAGAAAAGAGGAAGAACTAAGCAGGAAAATAACTCGGAAGGGGAAATGGTATCCAGGAACTTCTGGCACGTTCGGGCTGTTACAGGTTCAGACATTGAATGCATTAGAAAAGAATGGAGTGGCTCTAGAATGATGGTTTCCAAACACACAAAGCTTGTTTTGAAAAGCCTAGTGCTGTCCTCCATGAATTTGTCTTATCCTCTTTTAAAGCCATCCAAGTTGGTGGTCAGTTCCACAGTTTAACTAGGTGCTGCACGAAGAAGTATTCATGTCAAGCTCACTGATCAGTAGTTACCTGGTTCTTCTTTCCCCCCTTTTTGAAGATGGCTCAGCGCCCAGGGAATTGGTGGTGGGACACTGAGGAGAGGTCATAGGGAGAGACTTGGGGGGAGGAGCTGGATGTTGAAGGAGCAACAGGGTTTAGTGGGCAGGAAGAGACAGGGAGCAGCAGTTCAGACTCTGAGGCTGAAGCAGAGGAGGGAAGTCAAGAGGCTGCAGAAGAATCCATGGAGTCTCCCCCTCCTGCTGTGACAAGCTCCCCTTCCCCTTGGTATCCCAAGAACACACAGGATGAGGAGGAGGGCAGAACAGAGGCCAGAGGTGCATAGACACAGCTTGAGACTGCTTGGGAAACATCTGGGAGAGGAGAAGCCTTAGATAGGGTGGAAGGCAGGGACCTTCAGTCCTGGCAACTGCTCCATAGGAGGAAGACCTGCTGGGGAGTGTTACTGAGTTTTATGCCGTTTCCTTGAATAAAGAGTCAACTTCACTGACAGCAGAGCCATATGTCTTTTGTACTGACCTCCATCTGACTCCAGCCCTGACAGTTATTGTTATTATTGCTTCAAAACTAAAACTCAAATTCAGGAATGAATATAGCTATTGGTTTTTCTGTAAATTGTTGATCTTCTGTCGCTCTTTGAAAAATAGATCATGTATTTGATATGCTATAATGTAACACTGGTGCAGTGTTTACTATTTATTTCTTTATTGCATTTATTTATATCCCGCTCTTCAGAACACAAATCTCAGTCTCAGTCAGTTTTATTGCACATAGCCATAGGCTGCCGCAATGTACACAGAATTATTTGACAATTAAAAGAAAATATACTGAATTGGTAAAAAAAGACTTAAAACATTTATATTATTAAAACATTACATACTCTAAACAAAGCTATAAAAGTACCCCAATGTACAAATAAAAACATTAAACAATAAAATTCATAAGCTAAAATCATCACATGGTCACTAATGTTAAAAACAAGGACGAACCTGAAATCTGTCAGAGGACAGCAATGGACACCACCCCTAATCGCGCTGGGAAACATCTTTGTGAAGTTATAATAAAGCATAACCTTTTGTTATGCAATGGGCACGGTCAAGGGGATCAAGAGGGTTATTTTACTTTTATCTCCCCCAGAGGATTTACTAGCACCATAGATTATATCCTAACATCTGATAATGTGCCAGTTAACTGAGATACCTTCAGGATAATTCCCAGAGCTGAAAGTGACCACTTTCCACTTGAGTTATCTCTGACATTATTCTTTTCTCCTGCCTTTCCTAAATTATTGGATGAAACAGAATATCTGATACTTGGAAATAGAAGGTTAAAATGGAATGCACCGGTCCAAGAAAAAATGATTCAGATCCTGGATTCCCATGAATTTGCTCTATTAAAGGGGGAAATGTTGTTTGAAACAGGAAACGTAATTGGACTTTATGAGAACATAATCAACCGAATGCGCCCACTGATGACCACAGCTAGTGTGATAAAAAACAAAAAGTTTAAGAGACAGAACACAAATCTTTCCAAGCCAGGTTATAGGAAACATTAAACAGTTTTTTAAAAAAGCACAAATAATGAAAGCCAATCAAATCATTTCCAAAGTACAATTGATAGTAGAACTGCTGGAAGGGAGGATATTTGCATTTTGTGGAGAACAAATAAAGTTTGATAAAAAACAAGTAAACAAATGTAATACATTGTTTTTCTGAGATGTAGATGAAAACTCAATAATGGCTGTGGAACTTCTGCAAGTCTAAACTGCATGTATAGCTTTTAGACACCTGTTCCTTCTCAATTAATGTAGTTCTTGAACTGTTTAGCACTAAGAGAGTTGACTGGGGGATTGACAGTTTCATTTGGCAGAAGAGGGGGGGGGGGCTGGGTGCACTACATTCTTCTCTAAGTTAGTGAAAATATTTTATGTTAGAACTATTAGAAATGGGAGATACTCAATATTTATTTACCATGTCTGAAGTATCAGAAGGTTGCATGTTCCCTTGGTTCTTGGCATCCGTCTGTCTCAGGAGACAGTGGAAGCATGTGCCTTCGGGGGTGAAGTCAACCCATTGGAGAGTTACAGTACCTGCTGTGGCTGTATAGGCCGATAAAAGGAGAGACATGTTTTGTTGCAGCGGGGGCAGGTGAAGGCGTCTGGTGGTGCTGATGGCATTTCTTCCCATAAACTAACCACCCATTTCCTGTTTTTCATTTCTTTAAGTAACAAGCCAAACCCCAACCAGATCAATGTCAATAATATCAAGCCAGGAGTGGTAAATGGTACAGGAGTTCAGGCACAGAACACGGGAACGGGACGAGCCTGCGAAAGCTGCTATAGTAAGTGATTTGTGAATGTAGCCCTGTGTGCAAGAAAAAGAAGCCCATGAGGGAATGCAAGTCCAATCTTATGTGCCCTTTTCTTTTTAGAGTAGACACATACAGTTGTACCTTGGAAGTCGAACAGAATCTGCTCCAGAAATCCGTTTGACTTCCAAAACGTTTGGAAACCAAAGTGCGGCTTCTGATTGGAAGCTCCTGCAGCCAATCAGAAGCCCCGTCGGACGTTCAGATTCCAAAGAAAGTTCACAAACTGGAACACTCACTTCCAGGTTTATGACATTCGGGAGTCAACACATCCGAATACCAAGGTGTATGGGATCCAAGGTACGACTATTTTAAATCTGTGACTCAGGGCCAAACACTTACCACCTCCCCTCTTGTCTTGCTTCCTGGAGAAGCCTGGCTTATTGACTATGCCAAGTTGCTAAGAGAAGCACCACTAGGACAGGAAGTGGTTGTATGATATGGGTCTGGTCGCATCACCATGTCTCCTGGCATCATTTGGTCCAGTAATGGAGGAGACTTAAGGACAGGGGGGTTGCCATCTGAAGCCAGGAGAAAGACTACACTCAGATATCCCAGAAGGAAGAGGAAGCTGAAGATGCTAAAATCCCAGCATATCTACACCCTCAAACATCTTTATGCGCCCCCTTGCCCAGATTATCCGGAGCTTTGGGCTGGGCTGTCACCAATATGCTGATGACACTCAGCTCTATCTGCTGATGGATGGCCACACCGACTCGGCCCCGAACACGCTGACCAGATGCTTGGAAGCTGTGGCTGGATGGTTTTGTGGGAGCCGATTGAAACTAAATCCTTCGAAGACAGAGGTCCTATGGCTGGGTCGGGATGGCATGGGGATGAGGGACCAACTCCCTTCTCTTGCGGGGGCCCAATTAGTGCCATTGCCTTCCGTTAAGAGTTTGGGTGTAATCCTTGACGCCTCCCTTTCCACGGAGGCGCATGTTACAGCAACAGCCAAGGCGACATTCTTCCATCTTCGCCGCATCAAGCACTTGGTCCCTTAGCTTTCCCGCCCCGACCTGGCCACAGTGATCCATGCGACGGTCATCTCCAGGCTTGACTACTGTAATTCGCTCTACGCGGGGCTGCCCTTGAAGCTGTCCCAGAAACTCCAGCGGGTGCAGAATGCTGCAGCAAGTCTCCTCACGGGGTCTCTGCCATGGGAACATATTCACCCAGTGCTTTCCCAGCTGCACTGGCTCCCGGTGGAGTACAGGGTCAGATTTAAGGTGCTGCTTTTGACCTTTAAAACCCTTCACGGCCTAGGACCCTCGTACCTACGGGACCGCCTCTCCCGGTATGCCCCATGGAGGACCTCAAGGTCCATAAATAGCAACACCCTAGTGGTTCCAGGCCCTAAGGAAGTTAGATTGGCTTCAACCAGAGCCAGGGCCTTTTCAACTCTGGCTCCGGCCTGGTGGAACGCTCTGTCTCATGAGACCAGGGCCCTGCAGGATCTGATTTCTTTCCGCAGGGCCTGTAAGACAGAGTTGTTCTGCCTGGCCTTTGGCTTGGAGCCAATTTGATTCCCTCCTCCCTCTCTTTCTTTTTCTTTTCCTTCTCCTCCTGCGATGAGGCTACATTTTAATATTTTAACGTTCCATTATTTTAATGTATTTTATTTTTGTTTTTAAGTTGTAATCATTCATCTTGTTTTTATTATTGCTTGTAAGCCGCTCTGAGCCCGGCCTTGGCTAGGGAGAGCGGGGTATAAATAAAAAATTATTATTATTATTATTAAAGCAAGTCTGGCATATGGAGATTTCTAAATCTGACATATCTGGGACCTGAACTGAACTGGCAACCCTTATCACAGAATACTATCAAGCTATTGATAATGAGAGGATACTGAATGAAAAGGAGGTGTTACATAGGAGCAAAGCTTTGGCATAATTTCTTATTTAGTTTCCTTTATATGTATTTCATAACCTAGAGTGGATCACAAAGTGTCCACAGGAGAATACAGAATTTAAATCAGTAGGGCTTGGTCAAAATTGGGTGGCGGGGGGTGGACAGACAGTTCAAGCAATGTTTAACTTGACAAACAAGCACAACACTCCTGCTTTTGTTTCTTGAAGCATCCTTCTGTTTCCCTTTCTCACTCCCTTTTGCTGAAGAGCTATAGCAGGCTTTTGACCTCTGCACATGAGATTCTCAGGTCAGGGTTCCTTACTCCACTGCCCAGGCTAGACATGGAAAGATTTCCCAGACCATTGTCCCATTTTATACCATGGGGTGGTTTTTAAAAAGAAAGGAAAAGTATCCCACCTCTAATGCTCTCAAATGCTCACTCTTGTCATAGAGCAGCTAGTCCAGGTTTTAAAAAAACCACAGCCAAAACCACACCCATTGTGTCACTGCTGAATTATTTGCCTCATTGATAATTATCTGAGATAATAGATGCGCCTTTAGAAGTAATATTGATTTATCCCAGCACACACCTTCCAGATGGTGGTGCCACGACTCCACAGTGAACATTGCCTTCAAATTATAAAATTGGTGCAATTATCTTGCAAATAATTATTAATGGGATGGTTGCTCACCTTCTGTACTTATCTCGCCACAATGGTACTGTGAAATAGCTTCTAATCTCTTTATATACCAGTTTGCTGAGTAAACTCACAAGGGGAGTAGTGCTAAGACGGTAATCTTCCAGAGCATTATGCTAAAAATAGGCCAGTACTATGGAGGCTGCACTTTCTCACTTCTTGTTTTGAAAGTCAGTAATCCTTTTTTGTTACAAGAAAGGAAGCACTGCAGAAAACATTGTTCTTTGTTTCACATAATGAAGCTGTGTGTTTACTGGTCTTGACTGGTTCTTCTAGTTTTCATAGAAGATTGAGCCATAAATTTATTTGCTAGACTGCTGCAAAACAACGCAGTGCCACAAAGTCTGCCCAGCTTTCCATGTAGCCGTGGGAATAATAATAATAATAATAATAATAGTAAATTATTTCTACCCTGCCCATCTGCCTGAGTTTCCCCAACCACTCTGGGCGGCTCCCAGTCGAGTGTTAAAAACACAATACAGCATTAAATATTAAAAACTTCCCTGAACAGGGCTGCCTTCAGATGTCTTTTAAAAATAGGATAGCTGCTTATTTCCTTGACATCTGATGGGAGGGCGTTCCACAGGGTGGGGGCCACTACCAAGAAGGCCCTCTGTCTGGTTCCCTGTAACCTCACTTCTCGCAATGAGGGAACCACCAGAAGGCCCTTGGCGCTGGGAAGAGCCATCTGAAGACCAATGCAGTTTGTCCTGCAGGTATGGGGCGGGGAGTATTGCTAGTCAACCCGGGAAAGATGCAGATGGCACAGATTGAGCAAAAACACTTGCAGAAACTGATTCCCATTTCCAGAACAAGCTTAAACGTATCATTTTCTAAATGTGCTATTAAAATTAAGATATTAGTATGTTTCTGAACATGGCAAAGTACTTTTCCTATTATAACACAAAAGTAAGCCTTTATTGCCATATACTGTAAAAGCAAGCTGCTGTCATATATTGGAAAGCTAGGTTGTTTATCTTTTGCAGTGGCAAAGAGTCTCAACAGATATGGCATGCAAAGGAGTCCTAATTGTTATCTGCTTTTGCTGTTCCCAGTGACGCAATCTCACCAGTGGTATTCTTGGGGTCCCCCGAACATGCAGTGTCGTCTGTGTGCATCTTGCTGGACCTACTGGAAGAAATACGGAGGCTTGAAAATGCCAACACGGCTAGATGGAGAACGGCCGGGGCCAAATCGAAACAATTTGGTAGGCACATTCACTATATTCAGTTAGTAAATCAATCCGCAGTTCAGCACTGTGGTTCCTTAGGCCAAAAACAAAAAGATGAGGCAAGGTTCTTCCTCACAAATTTTCCTTTTCCCAGAGTCCTCACAGTGGACCCTTAAGGAACAATGGGAGCCCCAAGTTTGCCATGAAAACGCGACAAGCTTTCTATCTCCATACCACAAAGCTGACCAGACTCGCCAGACGATTATGCAGGGACATCTTGCGTCCGTGGCACGCGGCACGGCACCCTCATATGCCTATCAACAGTGGAGCAATCAAAGCCGAATGTGAGTCTTTCTCGTCCTAATTGCATGATGTCTGCTTACATGCCTGACAAGAGCTTATGCTATCAGAATTGTAGTAGTAGTTGAGTTGAGTTCAGTTCAGTTCAGTTCAGCTGAGGGAAATGGGATCTAAAGAAATTAGGCAAACTCTGACTCTCTTGACCCCTCTATGGTTGAGAGCTACTGGGGTAGCAGAAGGAAGAAAAATGGGGGAGAGAGTAAAATAGCTTGTCAAGCCATTACAGTGGTACCTCGGGTTACATACGCTTCAGGTAACATATGCTTCAGGTTACAGACTCCGCTAACCCACAAATAGTACCTCAGGTTAAGAACTTTGCTTCAGGGTGAGAACAGAAATCGTGCTCCGGCAGCGCAGTGTCAGCGGGAGGCCCCATTAGCTAAAGTGGTGCTTCAGGTTAAGAACAGTTTCAGGTTAAGAACGGACCTCTGGAACGAATTAAGTACTTAACCCGAGGTACCACTGTATAATGCTATAACATGCTCACAATTGGCGCTGCCAGCCCTGTAGCACAGTAGTGGAAGATCTGGGGGTGGGTGGAGAAAACTCCTCAGTTTGTCCTCACCAAGCCTGTAAAAGTACACTCCAAGCTGGGCAAGAGTACCGTATTTTTTGCTCTATAAGACTCACTTTTTCCCTTCTAAAAAGTAAGGGGAAATGTGTGTGCGTCTTATGGAGCGAATGCTGGCTGCGCAGCTATCCCAGAAGCCAGAACAGCAAGAGGGATTGCTGCTTCCACTGCACAGCGATCCCTCTTGCTGTTCTGGCTTCTGAGATTCAGATTTTTTTTTTCTTGTTTTCCTCCTCCAAAAACTAGGTGCGTCTTGTGGTCTGGTGCGTCTTATAGAGCGAAAAATACGGTACTTTTATTAAGGGCTGGGAATAATACTCCCAACATTGTGATTCAGGCCTAATTTGTATTAAATGTTCCTTTTTGTGCATTCCTTTTGTAGATTTCCTTTACGTTGAAATGCTTCAGAAAACACTGGCTTTGGTGTCAAGAAGGCTGTTTGTTAGGGTTTTTTTTAGCATGTAAATGAAGTCCTATTTGTTCCAATATTGTCCTCAGGTTCATCTCGTTTACCAGAAGCTTCAGAAGATTTGTTGCTATTAAAACATGTTGTCAGAAAACCTTTAGAAGCAGTACTTCGGTATCTAGGTATGACCCATATACATGCATTTTGGTGACTTCGAGTATAATATTATTCACTAGCAAAAAGTGTCATATTTGACAGGCAGAAGAGGATTAACCCAGTGTCCCTTCCCATGCTACTAACTCTGTTTCACCAGCTAATTCTGCCCACGCCACAACATCAGCCCTAACTTTAATTTTCTCCATAGGAATAAACGACGTTTCGCTTGTACTGTATGGGAGAAAGTCATGGGATGCCCATAATATACAGATTGCACCTTACCACTATTGATCCCAGTCACTAAGCCAGCAGCCCTTGTTTGAATGTTCTCTGGGTTGATGCTTTTTCTTGCTCATGATAGATGGAACAGAATGTCAGGATATAAATATCATACAAACAGAAGGATATAAGTGACAATGAGAGAGAGAGAGAGAACCACACGCAAAGAAACATAGATCTTGGAAGGACACCCTTGTTTTCAAAAGCTTTATTTCTCTCCTTAATATCTGCACATGAGGATGTCTCTTTCTTGGCCTAAGTGTCTATGCGCTGCTTCTAAGGCAACTGTAGGGTCTGATTCCTGATTCAGCCTCTCTCACCTGCATACATATTTTGTTCTTTTTTAAAATGTGGCACCCCTCTTCTTCCTGCTTTATTCATGACTGGGTCAGAGTTGGGTTTAAACAAAGGAGTCTTCCACTGTCCTTTGTAATATGCTCCTAATACGCTGTTCTCACCATACAGAATCTCACCCCTGCTCTCTGAAACCTGATCCTGCTAAGAGTTTGTCTGGCTCCCTCAACAGTGTGCCTTGTGCTAAGTTTACGCCAGTGATTAACAATGGATCTCCAACGATCTTGGGGAAAAGAAACTACGAACAACAAAATGGGATGGATGGTAAGTATTTTCTGGTGCTAACGTGTTGCCATTGTTTGCAGGTTAATTTTTAAGTCTGCAGGACTGATTGTCTTGGTGGCTTTTCATTTTCAGTGTTGCTAATACTGCTTTTGTCAGAACTGTTTAATACTTACTTTCTGTTTGAAAAACGTGTTCTTCTCAGTTGCTATTGCCAGATGGTGCTTCAGAGCTTTCCTCTTTTTGAATATATAGAAATAGCTATAGGGCAACTCCTGTGTTTTATCCACCCTTAAATATCATGGCTTCTGATCTTTAAAATCTAGCCTAGGATTGTTTAATTCATCAGAGAAGAAACAAAGTAGTGTAGAGAAAGCGAGCACCCAGCACACTTAGACTTCAATGTGCTGATAGTAGTTGAGAATCCTTTTCCCTGCTGGAAAAAAATGTGTTGCTTTTAACTATATACAATTTGCCTTAACCAAAATATGAAGGTGGGAAGAAACTTATGTCTAGAACAATGTCCCACAAAACATGGGGTACTGACTCCTTTACACAAACATAAATTTGCCTCCCCTTATTTGCTGGTGGCTGCTTTTAGCATGATCTGCTTGCAGGTGTTACAGAGCAGTTGCATGAGAATGCTCTTGCCAAACAGGCTTGAGTGGCCAGGATTGCTTGGCCAGACCCCCAAAGGGAGCCACACATACTTCGGTATGTAATATGCAGCACAATTTTAGTGGGTTTGACTAGTGTTGAACATTGCGAATGCTTTAAAGTAATCTGCAGTAGTTCTAAGAGAAATACTGTAGTGGACTCTGCCCTGACGTGCAGCAGTGGGGGAGATGCCACGGAAAGCAATTTTAATGTGTAAGTTTGTTACATTGATTGATTGATGAATCACTTGATAAAATTGATTGCTAAAACATCCCAAAACTATTTAGCAACCGAAACCTATATTAAACCAAGTCCAAGTCCAATACAGACTCGGATAAAAGCTCTGCTAAAAAGCTTTGTTGGAAAAGTAAGCCATCCAATTTAAGGTGCTAAAACAATTAAGCCAGTTGTTATGCATAGCGAAGCAAAATTCAGCTGAATTCTTTTCATGGAATTATAGAGTTGGAAGGGACCCCCCCCCCGAGGGTCATCTAGTCCAACGCTCTGCAAGGCAGGAATCTCAACTGAAGCATCCCTGACAGATGGGGTGAGCTCTCGTTGCTCGGTCCCAGCTCCTGCCCACCTAGCAGTTTGAAAGCACGTCAGAGTGCAAGGAGATAAATAGGTACCGCAGTGGCAGGAAGGTAAACGATGTTTCCGTGTGCTGCTCTGGTTTTGCCAGAAGCGGTTGAGAACTGTCTGCGGACAAACATCTGCTCCCTCGGCCAGTAAAGTGATGAGCGCCGCAAATCCAGAGTCGTTCGGGACTGGACTTAACTGTCAGGGGTCCTTTACCTTTACCTTTAAGAATATGGAAGTTGTTGAACGTTTTCCCCCCCAACCATACAACCATAGCTTCTGCTATCCTAGATGTGCTATCCTGTTAAATTTTTTGACAAAGCAAGCAAACACCTGCACAGATAACATGTCATTTGTTTAAGTTAAGCTTGTGAAATAATGCAAATCTGATTGTTGATCTTTATGTTCACTGTGTTCTACCAGGCCCCATGAAGAAGCGCCTTTTGATGCCAAGCAAGGGTAAGATTACGGAGTTGTTCTCGGCTTGTGCTTGGACAGTGTAACCTTTTCTCGATTCATCCGCTGACTTTTCAAGTTTGCTTCTTTGTGCTTGTGACCACCCATTTCGTATTGTGTGTACATGTTGTTTTTGTGATTTCTAAATACATCGCCTCCCTTCATAGTTTCCCATGCGGTATTAACGCACCATTATCAGTTTAACTGCAGCTGATAAAAATATCCCGATTTAGCAACCCTTCTGACGTATGTTTGAGTTTTGGAAGGTCTCTAGAGGAAGGGTTTTTCATGATTAGAGAGCAGCCACCCAAACCTTCGCTGTACACAACCTTTTGCACAGAGGTGGGGAACTGTTTTTTTTGACTGAGGGCCACATTGCCCCAGTTGAAAGCTGTTGGGGGCCTGACCTGGATCCAAAGTGGACAGGGCCAGACACGGGCATTATTGCATGCTGTTAACACACAACCAAATATGTACACGCACATAGAGTCTTAACATATGCACAGACATGCACAGTTAATACAGGGCTGCATCTTCTTCCTTGCTCCTACTACAGATTTTTTTAAAACCCTCCTACTGAAGCCAAGAGGAGTCCCCCTCCCCAATCCTAAATATGGAGCAGTGGGGTCCAAATGTAAAGCCTAAATGTGGAGCAGGGTGGAGAGGGCGGTTGCAGATGCAGAGATAAAGTTTAGCCCTTCCTTACCCAGCTACAACTTTCCCAGTGCCACCTTGCACTTAAGCTTCAGTGGTAGGTTTTTAAAAGCCTGACTGTGGTGCCAAGATAAGGAGGCTTTGGGCTGTATCTGGCACACAAGACTGGTCGTTCATCACTCCTGCTGTAGTTTCTTGGGAGATGTGGTAGCTTCAGGCAGCAGTGATATTTTCTGAGGTGTGCAAGACCAAAATTATTTAAGACTTTATAGGTGAAGAGCAGCAACTTGAATTTTGTCCAGAAGAAAACCTGTATAGGTGGAATTCTGCCTTGGGTGACTGTTCTGACCAAAAGGGTGAGATGTACATTTCAAAATAAAGAGTCTTGCAAGAGGATAGCCACGCTTGTCTGTTGCAGGACGGTTTGGCAAACCTATTATAGCACAAGCTGCCATGGATTCCAGTGTACTTTGCCTGATGCATGAAGATTCATCCTCAGCTGGCAGGAATATGTGCATATAGGTGTAGAAAAAATGTACAAAAAGTATAGTAAGCATTAATTAAGCTTCCATTCTTAACAGCTTTAATCAGCAACTAAGCTGTCATTCCTTGGTGACTCCTCTTGGTATGACATCTCAGAAGAAGTCTTCAGGTCTATCTGTCAAGAGTGTGTTGTGGTAGTAAAGCCTCAAGAACAAGCAGTACGAAGCGTAATTGTTTTTGCCAATAGGCAGCGTATGGCATAATTGCAACCCGATGATGCAGTAGCCCCATAAGGCCGAGAAATGCATTGACTAGGAAAGAGATTGCTTCTCACTTTAGGTTGGAATAGAATACACTCATCATGATTACCTTATTTGGGCCTAGATTCTGTTTCACTGACTAAATGAGATGAACAAGGTCTCATAGAATCATAGAATTAGAGAGCTGGAAGGGACCCCAGGGGTCATCTCGTCCAACCCACTGTAATGCAGAAATCTCCGCTAAAGCATCCAACCTCTGCTTGAAAACCTCCAAGGAAGGAGAGCCCACCACCTTCTGAGGGAAGTCCGTTCCACTGTTGAACAGCTCTGACCATCAGAAAATTCTTCCTGGTGTTTAGTCGGAATCTCCTTTCTTGTAACCTGAATCCACTGGTTCAGGTCCTCCAGAGCAGGAGAAAACAAGCTTGTTCTTTATTCTATGTGACAGCCCTTGAGATATTTGAAGATGACTGTCCCATCTCCTCTCAATCTCCTCTTATCTTGAATTGCATAAACTCATTTTTTAAACTTTAGCCACCTTTTGTGCGGGAGGGATATGCAACTCAACATAAATTTTAAAAGAATTAATTAGAAATTTATGCGCACACACAGTATCACAAAATATCAATCGCATAGAGGAATAGCGCTAAAATAATAAAACAGAAAGAGCAATCAATTAAATTCTTTGAGCAGGTGTCTCTTTAACATCTGAAGGCCTTGATACAAGTTCCACGATCAAAGAAGATACCGTGGGCATCTACTAGGAGCAGAGAAGTTAGTCAAGCTTTATTCTTTACAGTAATAGATCCATGCTTGGTGGACTTTGGGAGGTCATTTTGCATTGTGGGGGCCTTACAAAAAAAGGAGCCTGCTCCTAGTAGCTACTCACCATCGATTCCTCAGCCGTGGATGGACCTACGGGGGAGAATATTTGAATGAGAGATCCTTAAGATACCCAGATGCCAAGTTTAGGGCTTTAAATTTTAAAACCAGAACTCACCATCAAATTTTGTGGTCTAATGCCTTCTGCATATGCTAGGCATGAAATGAGGTTACCTCCAGAAAAAATGGAGTTTTGTATACTTAAGCGTTGCCACCAGTATGGGAAAAACAAAAAGACCCAAAATGGCCTGACATAAGATCCGTGTTTCTATAACCAATGGAACATTGAGGGCAGCTGAGTATATTCGTTCATTTATTTATTTCATTTATTTCATTAGTTTCTATACTGCTCATCATCTGAGGATCACAGGGCGGTTTACAGTATCAGTTGTGGGAAGCCCAGTAACTGAGTTACTGGCAAAACTAAGCCCTTTTTAGTCCAACTGATTATATCAGAAATTGGGGGTTGTCCAGTAGCATAATTTAGGACTAGCCTGTAAGGGAGTGCAAGGGAGCACCAGCTGAAAATGCACACTCCCTCCTTGGCAGCAGAGCATAAAGGAAAACAGGAAGCAGCGGAAAAAAAGTTTAAAGTTGATGGAAGTTTAGCAGCTGGAAGAGGAGGCGAGGGCAGTACAAGATGTTCTGGAACATAACTGGGGCCATCCCATCCCATCTGGGCAGCAGGATCTACACAGACGGCACATCTGCCCCCCCAAGGGAACGCATTGCCTTTCACCACTGCTGTGGCAGAGGCAGCTGTGATGCTCTTCTTGAAGGCTGGATCTGTGGCCTCTGCTGCTGCCATGCACAGCGCACCAGCACTGCAGTGGCCATCCTGTGTCCCGTGCCTGAGCTGTGGTGAGATAATTGGGAGAAGGGGCAAGATGGCACAGACTCACTGAGGCTCCAGCCGATACTGGAGCTTAAGCAAGGTGGAAGGTACTGTTACAAGGGAGGAGGAGGCTGCAGCTGAGCGGGGCCAGGATCTATCACGGCTGAGCCTCTTTCCCTTCCCCTCCCAACCAGAAGTGCTGCTTCAGTTCCGAAGACAGATTTTACTTCCACATTCAAGACAAAGGCTGCCTCTTGAAGAGACTTAGATACGTTCAGCCCCGGGGAAGAAATTTGAGCTGCACATGCACTGGCAGGTTTGGGGTAGGGAGAAGAGTCTCAGGTGAAAAGCAAAGTTCCCCGGGAGATTCATAAGGGGCGAGGCAGTTCTAAGATAGTCTGGTTCCAGGCAGTTTAGGTTTTGATCAGCATTCTGGCTTCGCCTGCATTCAACCGTTTGAGCAATGGGCATTGTCTTTTGCACATGCTTGGGTCTCATACATTGTACCTCTCTCTCCTGGGGCCACCAGAAGTCCCTGAATTGTTGTTGTTGATGGATTGTTCTGTACACTGTGAAATGCCGCTCCATTTTTGGTTCAATCCATCAGCACACCAAGAGATGTCAAAATCTGCCCAAGGAACTCTGTTCAGTCCACGTTGCTTGATCTAGCCACTAGAGGACAACTTGCTTAACATGGAGCTGTAGCGTGTGTGGGTTTATCAGAATGTTGCCCAGGTTGTAAATCGTGAACTGCTGGAACACTTAAGAGGAGTTAAGGAGGCCTAGCAGCCTGAGCGTGTATTTGAAGTGGCCGTAGCAGGTTTGGAAGGCCATTTTTCATTCATCGTCATGCTCCTGTGATCTAAATCAGTGTATATGGCGGCAGGATGTAACTGGTCAAACAACCGTTGGGTGAGAGGCAGCCTGTGGTCTTCTTTAGTGCCTGATGCAGAGATGTAATTCTCCGGATCTGCTCTTGCTGCTGGAGATATCCTTGTGTGAGATGCTAAGGATCTGATGAACCATCCAGAATGGGGCTGTATCACCAGCCAAACATCCCAATATAGTGATACATTGGGAGGTTAAAAGTGGAGGAACAAGCTGCATTGGCTCCGGCGCCTTGTTAATTCTCCTTGACCTCTCAGTTGGCTTTTGATACCATCAGCCATTGTTTCCTTCTGGAGCGGCTGTCTGAATTGGGGGTAGTGGTTTCCAGTGGTTCTGGTCCTATTTGGATGGTCGTTCCCAGAGGGTGATGCTTGGGGAGTGCTCTTCAGCCCCGTGGAGCCTTCAAGGTGGAGGTCCTCAGGGCTCAATTTTATCCCCCATGCTGTTTAACATCTACATGAAACTGCTGAGAGGGGCTATCTGGAGTTTTGGAGTTTGGTATGGCAGTGGAGTTTTCTTGCCTCAGTAATGGACTGGATGAGAGACAATGAAACTCAATCCAGATAACACAAAGGCACTGCGGGTGGTTCCCTAGACCAGATGGCTGGGAGATTGCCTGCTCTTGATGGGGTTTCCCTCTGAAGGAGCAGGTATGTGGCTTGGGGGTCCTCAGTGGTGTTGCATGCCTTCTATCAGCTTTGGCTGGTAGCCCTGCTGGACCCCTATCTAGACAGGGACAGCCTAAGTTCTGTTGTCTATGCTCTGATACTGTAACCTCTAGGTTGGATTACTGTAAGGTGTGACACATAGGGCTGCCTCTGAAGACGGTTCAGAAACTTCAGCTGGTGTAGAACTTGGCAGCCAGGTTGCTCACCAGGGCAAGACGGTTTCAGCATATACCGTATTTTTCGTCCTATAGGGCGCACCAGCCCATAGGACGCACCTCGTTTTTTGGGGGGGGAAATGAATAAAAACAATTTATTTCCCCCCCCTGCCACGGCTGCCGCCCCAAGCCTTGCGCACTCCTGCCCGAAGCATGGGGCACCCTCCAGAGGGCTCCCCGTGCTTCGGGCAGCAAGCTGCCGCCCCAAGCCTCGCGCGCCCGGCAGGACCTCCTGCCGGGCGCGCAAGGCTTGCGGACACTCGCTGGGGCTACAGGCAGCTGCCCGCAAGCCTTGTGAGCCCGCAGGAACTCCCGCCGGGCTTGCAAGGCTTGCGGATAGCTTCCTGAAGCCTGGAGAGCGAGAGGGGTCGGTGCGCACCGATGCCTCTCGCTCTCCAGGCTTCAGCAAAAGCCTGCATTCGCCCCATAGGACGCACACACATTTCCCCTTCATTTTTGGAGGGGAAAAAGTGCGTCCTATGGGGCAAAAAATACGGTAACCCCAATCCTAGCCCGACTGCACTGGCTACCAATTAGTTTCTGGGGTGGCGTTGACCTATATAGCCTTAAACAGCTCAGGACCACTATACCTCAAGGACCGCCGCTCCCCATATGAACTGACCCAGACCCTGAGATCCTCCTCTGAGGCTCTTCTTCGTGTGCCTCCTCCACATGAGGTCTGGAGGGTGGCAGCACAAGAATGGGGTCTTTTCTGCAGTGGCTCCTTGTTTGCGGAAAGCTCTCCAGGGAGGTTCATCTGGCACATTTGTTATATATCTTTAGGTAGCAGGCAAAACCATTCCTCTTCAACCAGGCCTTTGGCTGGATTAATAATCTACAGCCTTTAAAATGTGTTTATGGGAGGGGGAGTTTTTGTTTTGTTTTAACTATTTATGTTGTGCTTTTATTTTGTGAACCACCCTGAGATCTTTCGATGAAGGGCTGTACAGTGGTACCTCAGGTTGCATACGCTTCAGGTTACAGACTCCGCTAACCCAGAAATAGTGCTTCAGGTTAAGAACTTTGCTTCAGGATAAGAACAGAAATTGGGCTCCAGCGGCGCGGCAGCAGCAGGAGGCCCCATTAGCTAAAGTGGTGCTTCAGGTTAAGAACAGTTTCAGGTTTCAGGTTAAGAACAGACCTTAAATACTTAACCTGAGATACCACTGTATATAAATCTAATAAACAAATGCATACATACTTATATACATACATAACTGTATCTGTGGAGAACTGCTACTTCATAAGCCCCCAGAGGCATCTCACAAGTCACTGTTAGAAAAGGGATGGTAGACTAAATAGATCTGATTCAGAGGGGGGAACGGGTGTATATTTGAATCAGTTGGTAGGTTGCTATGTGACTTGCCGTAAATTGGCAAGGATCCCAATTCTTTGACAATAGCAAAAACAGAAAGGCTTCCAGTGAAACCAGGAATGGATTGTTGTGTGAAAAGAATGTGAACTCAGTTCTGGTACTAAACACCTTTCCTTATGTCCAAGACACAGACTGAAACACAGTAAAGATTTCTGCTCCACTCCCCAAACTTTTTTTTTTTAGAAGTAGGATAATTCTTCACTGATAAACCACATATAAAACTGATTTTATGTCCAAGCAAGAGAGAGAAAACTATTTTTAAGAGGGCAGGAGTTGGATTATTAATTCAGATCCCTCATTTAACGATGCCTCAGAGAGGATGGCTCAATGCCTGCCTCCTTTTGAGGCTGCCTTGCAAACAGCAGGATTTTCCCAATGTTTCCCAGAGGAAAATGTGAGTCTCTGTTAAGCTGAGCTGAGCCAAACCTCAGCGTTTCAGATAACTAATGGTAGGCAGGCTGGTTGGTTGGTTGGTTGGCCGGCTGGCAGGTAAGGAAGCCAATAAGTGTTTTCCTATAACAACTGCACACTATCTCCTGCTGCTTTCATTGCCATTAATAACGATGGACAGTATATTTAAATATTTTTGCAATTATTTTTAGATCACTTAAGGAGCTAATCTCATATATTTACCAAAGAAAGCAAATGTGAAAGCGTTTCCTGTTTTGGAAAGTGAGTCATTTTCAAACATTAGCCATGCTGTTTTTTATTTTTGTGCTTTCTTTCTTTTGATTTCTTCTCTTTGGAAAAGCAATGGTATCTTACGAGTTCTATTCTCTTTCCTGTTTGTTAGGTCTGCCCAACCACGGACAAACCAGACAAATGGTAAGAGAATGTTCATCTAAAAAAAGATACAGTAAACCACCATCCCAAGCAGAAAGCTCTAAGGCAGGCGTAGCCAATGTTGTGCCCTCCAGTTGTTGTTGGACTACAACTCCCATCAGCCCTAGCCATCATGGTTCATGGTCAGGGATGATAGGAGTTGTAGTGCAACCTCTTGAGGGTATCTCACTGGCTACCTCTGCTCTTAAGGTGCACATCTGCCACTGCTTTTCTTAGCTCTTACTGCATTCTTTTTTTAATTAAAAAAAATGGCTCTGTATATTAAAACAAGGAAGGAACCAAATAAACAAGGAAGGGACCAAATAAAATGATACACTAAAATGGATAAACACCTTTTATTAGATGAGATCTTTTTACCTAGAAAACATTTATGAAAGTGATCGATGTCAGTGCCTGGGCAAAGTATTCAGCCCACATATTTTTTGTAAGTTTTGCAGGGGGGGTGCCCCTCCCCCAAGATTGTATTAATTTTTATAGAGTGGGTGGTTCTAATTTTGCGGGAGAGGGGGGGAATCTTATCTTTCAAATCAAGGTGACCAAGGCTTTTCTTCCTTCCACTAACAATGAAAAGCCTTGCCACCACTTCAAGCAGTGGCAGCCAAGTGTCATTCTAAGTCAGAATTCCCAGGAAATTATGTTATGACGTAGAGCTTGCTCACCCATAACACTAAGACAAACCATAAAGGTAAAGGGTAAAGGGACCCCTGACCGTTAGGTCCAGTCGTGTCCGACTCTGGGGTTGCGGCGCTCATCTTGCTTTATTGGCCATGGGAGCCGGCGTACAGCTTCCGGGTCATGTGGCCAGCATGACTAAGCCGCTTCTGGCGAACCAGAGCAGTGCACAGAAATGCCGTTTACCTTCCCACTGGAGTGGTACCTATTTATCTACTTGCACTTTGACGTGCTTTCAAACTGCTAGGCTGGCAGGAGCTGGGACTGAGCAACGGGAGCTCACCCCGTTGCGGGGATTTGAACCGCCAACCTTCTGATCGGCAAGTCCTGGGCTCTGTGGTTTAACCCACAGTGCCACCCACATCCCAAGGCGAACCATGGATTAACACAAATGCACGGGTTCACGGCCTCTTTATTCATTCTCTGGTCCTTGCCACTGCTGCATTGCTGTGGACTAAGCTGTGGTTTGACTTAGTGTGTCATCTGAACTCCGAACCAGAAATACTAGATGTTTGTTAAAAAGGAGAAAAATACCTAGTATGGATTTGGGTTATTTAATAAAAAACTAGAAAGAGGAGATTTGCCTAAATCCTGGAAACCAGACAGAGTAGTTGTGCTGCTCCAACTGAGAAAGGATTTAGTCTCAGAAAGACCCATAAGCTTAATTAACCAGGAAATCAGCAGTATTGATAGCTAGGCTTAAGTCCATAGCTCATTATTTATCAGAAGAGGAGGCACTTAGCAGATTCTGTGAGACAGGTGTTAAAATTTATTTTCAGCCAGCAGATCATTATAACATTTTTTACAATTAACAGTAACATCAGTAAAAAGTCACATTAATACAACTGAATTACACAGAATTATAATACTGAAAAATATATGTATCAAGCAACCTTAATAGATCAAATAAGGATGGTCATATTAAAAAAAACCTTGCCACTTGTCTCATGACTGACACATTGGAGCCCTGAAGGAAAGTGACCATAAGAGAGTCAAAGCAGATGCAAGGGTTGGGCTGTATAATAGGATATATTAGGACTCTCCTAGCCACTTGATAAAAACTACAGAAAGAAAGGGCATCAATGCTACCTCAGCATTGTTACAAGGGCAGCATCTATTGTTCATTGGAGTTTTATTGTATCTGCCATCTAATAAATTAGAAGGGAGGGCATTCAGCCTTGGCACAGAGAAAACTTTCCTATAATTCAGGGCATTTCATCTTTGCAGGGGAAGTATGGTAACCCCAATGACTGAGGGGAGCAGGGTCTCTATGTAGTAGTTTTGTAGCCTTATTGGGGTCCACCGATTGGGTCTGCGTTGCTCCCGGACAGGAGGAAGGAAGTCAAATGACACCGAGGGTTGGTTCAGAGAAAGAGTTCTTTATTTCTGCTCTCCGGAACAGCAGAAAGGCACTTGCGTGGTCAGTCCACAGCAAGTCCAAAGAAATGAGAAATTTCATGCAGTATATATATCCTCCAGGCACCCTCTCCCTCCTTCCCCAGGAATCCAACCACGTCAGCCTATACACGCAGGTTGACATCACATATGTTCCTGCTCCGGTATTCTTAACCATAAAAGGGTATTCCTTCCTGTACTTCTGACCATAAAAGGGTATTCCTGTTCCTACTCTTATCTTGGAGCAAGAGGTCACCAACTCCAAGAACACACTCTGGCGCTGTTCCCAGACTAGGTCTGTGTGTCAGAGTGTGGTAAGATAAGACCCAGACATGTCATCCCTACTCCACTGGAACAGCCAAGGTCATCCTTGCCGTCACAAACTGATAAAGGAGAGGGCTCTGAGCACTTGTTTATACAGCCGGGTTTTTGTTTATACATTGACTCAGAGCTCAAGTTAATGGATTTTAGCTAAGGAAAAATAGGGATTTTGGTGCCCGTTTCAAACTGCCTGCACAGTCAGTTTTTGGGTTTGGGAAACCCATTCCTTCAGTTTTTAGTTTTTTCATAGAACTGTGGAGTTGGAAGAGACCACTAGGGTCATCTGGTCCAACCCTTGGAAGCTCCTGAAAACCTACATCCAAAATCCTCTGTTTAACCACTGATTTGGCACCCTTTAGGTCAGGGGTCAGCAAACTTTTTTTGTGGGGGCCGTACTATATTTTTTGGGGGGAGATGAACGAATTCCTATGCCCCCACAAATAACCCAGAGATGTATTTTAAATAAAAGGACACATTCTACTCATGTAAAAACATGCTGAATCCCGGACCATCCACGGGCCAGATTTAGAAGGTGATTGGGCCACATCCAGCCCACGGGCCTTAGTTTGCCTACCCATGCTTTAGGTTCATGGTCAACAGGTAAGATGGTTATAGATCTGTTGAGGTGAAGGTGTTAAACATCATTCTCATACGAGGCCAGTATCGGTATTCTCACTGAATGCCTATAAAGACTTTGGCAAGGTCTTCTTACCTAAACCACTGACTGAGATAAATTTTGGAGCCAAATTTATGATTTTGGTGAACCAGGTGTCTTCAACATAAGATGGAGTTTGTGTCTATGGCTTGGGTTTCCAACCACTAAGTCTCACTAGAGGCAGCAGGAAAATGTCTCCCTTGTCACCAGCTTTGTTATTGACTATGGTGGTGGAGGTTTTAGGAGAAGCAATTTACAGATCAAAGGAAAAGCTCACAGCATCAGTATCTTTGCAGAGCTTGCCCTGAGCAATCTGAAAGAAGAAATTAAGGAACCTGAAAATCCTCTATCGGGATTTTAGCCTCATAGCAGGTCTAGATGCAGACGAAGATAAATCAAATCTCCTCTGTTTCAGCACCCCACGAGCTGAAGTTGGTGAACTTTGGAAACATTCAGGGCTACAAATACAACAGCATTCTCAAGTTTTAGGGAATAAATCTCTTTGTGGGTTTCAAACAGCTGAAAAAAGGAAAGAAAATATTGATCCAATAATGGAATAAAATAACTCTTTCATAATAGAGGAAGATTAGTACCACCAAAATTACATTACAGTGGTACCTCAAGTTACAAACACCTCAGGTTACAACGCTTCAGGTTACAAACTCCGCTAACCTGAAAGAGTTACCTTGAGTTGAGAACTTTGCCCCAGGATGAGAACGGAAATCGTGTGCCGGCGGCGCAGCGGCAGCAGCAAGAGGCCCCATTAGCAAAAGTGTGCCTCTAGTTAAGAACAGTTTCAGGTTAAGAACGGGCCTCCGGAACGAATTAAGTTCGTAACTAGAGGTACCACTGTATTGCCAAAAGTTATTTTCCTGTTTCATACATTACTGATTGAAATTTATTCTGACAGGCCTTTGCTGCTGTTTTAATTTTTAATTAACCAGCCACTTTAATTAGCTGTATTTTTATTTTTACATGATGTTGTATGTTTTGATGTTGAACACCACCCCAATATTTTGTGATTTTGCGTTATAGACATGCTTTTATAAATAAATAAATAAATAATGTTCTAGGGTGTGATTAAAAGTGGAAAGGAAAGCTTATGGAGTTTAGTAATTCTAGCAAAAGGTCCAGAAATTTTGTGTGTGTGTGAGAGAGAGAGAGAGAGAGATGCATATGAGCTGTGTCCACCTATAATAGTTTACCTGGGATTGGGGAATGATCTCATTTGTTATTAGACAGCAACAATATTGTCGGCGGTGTGGGCAGGACTGGGAAATCACAGCTGACTTCCCACATCAAGCATGAGGTTGTCAGGCGCGCTCCCTCTAATTTTGTGTAATGCACATTTGTGGCTGGCACCCACAGCACTTTCTCAAAATTTGAAGTGTGTCCACAAGTCCCAAAAGGTTGGCAACCCTTGGAGTATACTACTCAAATGGTTATTAAGCCTAATTTAGAATCATAATTACATCACATGAGTCTCCGTGGAGCTCACTTTCCTTCTTTGAAAACTATCCCTTTTATGTCTGTTATGCTCTATTCTTTCAAGGATTAAAAATTCCTTTTTGAATTCTGGGGAAGGAAGCAATTGATAGGGATTTTACCACTGCTTGTCTCATCATTACTTCCTTTTTCAGACTATCCTCAATTCATCCATGCACATAAATCTCAATATTTGGGCTAGGCTGCACACAGAATCAGAGATCTACATGTGAGGAACCAAGTCTAGCTTTCCGAAGCTAGACTAATGGAACTAATATGAGAAAGGCAAATTGGTTTCAAAAAGTAGCAGACTTTACACAAACAGTATTTGCCACAAGTGGCGCATGATGCCCACGGCATAAGACTTGGAGCAATATGCCCATACAAATCGCATCAGCCAGAAATTGGCGCACCGAGCACCTCTGTGAAATTGCATTACATGAGCGGCAACATGTCTTTTGTGCTGAAGAGGGTATAGAATCGGAGAATCTTTCTTTCACTTCTGGGCTTGTCCACTTGGTCAAGCTGTCTTCGAGCAAATATTACAGCCAGATCCAATGTTTGCACTCCTTTTCTGAACTCTGACAAAACAGTTATTTCATAATAATTTTGTCTTAATGCTGTTAGCAACTACTTGTAGGGACTCCTTGTCCCCCATCTTGCATTTGCGCAGCCTGTTATTCCTAAGTGCAGAACCTTAAGATTTGTCCCTGTTGAAATTTGTGTTGTTAGTTCTGGCCCAGTTCTCCAATCTGTGTGTTGTTTTTTTTTTGTGAATTTGCATTTTATTTATTTGTTAACATTCTTATATTACATCAGTAAAAGTTGCCATATTACATTACAGGACTTACTATAATATAATTTCCAACATGTATACAAAAATTATATACAAATATTATATACCAAGAAAATGAAAAAGAAAAAGAAAGAAAGAACAAAGAAAAAACAAAAACAAATTCCCCCCCCCAAATCATATACATACCAACACACTAGACTTCCTGTCTATCCCATTGTATATTCCTTTTTTACAAATGAATGTACTCTTATTATTGTATATTTCTTTACATTTTATCTAATACATTCCTATATCAATATGTGTTCTTAGTCTTATTTCTCAACTCAGTCTCACTCCAGCATCAATCAAATGCTAGCATAGATAGCGAACCTTTACTGTATTTTTGAACATATGTTTTATATCTATCCCACTTTCCCATACATTTTTGTTTTGAATTGCCTCTCAGGGTATTTGTTAACTGCTCCATTTCAGCAAATTCTTGTAGCTTGTAATGCCAGTCCGTTATTGTCGGGGCTTCTTGTTCCTTCCACCCCTTTGCCACCAAAGTCTGAGCTGCGGCCATTGCATATAAGAACACCTCCCTAAAGGCCTTCGGGATGTCCCTGCCAACAATGCTTAACATCATCTCGAATCCTGACTCTTGTCCTCTGTGGCATTAGTTGCTCCTCATTTTAAAAGTCTTACTCCTCTCCTACAGGGGGTGCCCCCCAGCTCTTCCGACCAATAAGATCTAGAATCAGTTGGCCAGGTTGATTCCCTCTCCCAGGTGGGCATCTTAAAAACCATTTTTGCATTAGCCTGGCTTAAAGAAATGGCGGGGTACATTAGAGCCTTTCTTCACAGTTGTGACCTTAGATGTGACACCCCCAACTACGAAATGTGTCAATGCTGTAATTTCAACACCCAACCGTGTTTTCATTTCCACCAGCTTTTAAATCTTCTGTATGTTGCTTATATGCTGAATGCTGTTTCTTTTATGTGCTGCCGTCTACTTTTATACAGTCAGTAGTGCAGAAGTCTCTTAATCTCTGGATCATAGATTCAAGCCCCAAGTTGGGCAAAAGATTCCTACATTGCAGGGGTTGCGACCCTCGTGGTCCCTTCCAACTCTCAATTCTGTGATTCTACACCAGGAGGGCACAATGTCTCTATGGTGCTACCTATTCTGTTGCTGCTACTTTTATACTTTTGCTTTGCTTTGCTTTGCTTTTCTAAACTGTCCTGGGAACATGATGAACACATATTGAGTACCCTTCAAACTACATGAGAGAAAACAGTATTTTTTCTTCTTCTTCCCATAAATCTCTGCATGCAAGGGAGGCAGGAGGTTATTTTACCACTTCAGCTGTTGGGGATTAGAATTGGTTCACCCTTCTATTGACAGTGCGCGATGGAAGGCGAGGTAGTGCGCCCTTGAATCCAAACAATCTTTCTTGGTGAGCTCACTGGGGTCGGTACTGTTTGAACACCCAGCAGCCTTTCGTTTATTTTTTCCGTAAGATTTTATTCAAGCTTTTTCATAATACTGTCAGATGAAAAAAATAATGTGAATAAAAACAAAAAAACAGAGAAAGGGAAAAGAAGACGCAGTCCTCTCTCAAAGGTAGCTCTTTAATGCTTGTCACCCACAGATAGTGGTGGACCCTCCCAACATCCCCCCCCCTTTATATAGGGTCTCTGCTGTGCTCCAGTACAGTCGGGAGAAATTGGACCCCTCCAACTGCTAAAGCGTTGCCTCCTGTCAGGGATATCTCACATGATACTGGATGTTCCCCTGCCTCCCATCAGAGCAGGAATTTACAGCAAGAAAAGGTCTCATTTTCTGTCCATTTAAGAGATACAGTGGTACCTCTGGTTGAGAACGGGATCCGTTCCGGAGGCCCGTTTGCAACATGAAAAGAGCGTAACCCGCGTGGTTTGCGATTTGCCACTTCTGCGCATGCGTGTGACATCATTTTGAGCTTCTGTGCATGCGCGAGCGGCGAAACCCGGAAGTAACCCTTTCCCGTACTTCCGGGTCACTGCGGGACATAACCTGAAAGAACGTAACATGAAGCAAACGTAACGAGGTATGACTGTACTTGTTCCTAAAGTGGTTTCTGCAGGGACCCATAACGTTTTTGTTGTTCTTTATGTATTGCGTTAGGGACCAAGTCGAAACTTGCTACTCAATGGGAAATCATACCAAACAAAAGTCCGGTTAATCCGTGGTGGAACCATGTTTCCAGTGAAAAGGAAGAGGATGAACTGGATTGACGCTCCTGACGATGTTTTCTACATGGCCACCGAGGAAACCAGGTAGCATGTGCACTTCAGTAAGAGTCCGTTCTGTGATTCTATTAAGAGCGATCAAATGTAATTTACAATTGGTTAATGACTGAGCTTCTGAAAAGATGGAGTAAGATTGAAATGAATCAATTGTTTCTTTATTGAAAAAATTAGACCTGGTGAAATGGCTGTCTTCAACCAAAAGTTGAGTCCTCCTTAGCCTGCTGTGCTGAATTTACCACTTACAGGTGAAACTCGAAAAATTAGAATATCGTGGAAAAGTTCATTTATTTCAGTAATTCAACTTAAAAGGTGAAACTAATATATGAGATAGACTCATGACATGCAAAGCGAGATATGTCAAGCCTTTATTATAATTGTGATTATTATGGCGTACAGCTGATGAAAACCCCAAATTAACAATCTCAGAAATTTAGAATATTGTGAAAAGGTGAAGTAGCTATTCAATCCATAACACCTGCAATGGGTTCCTGAGCCTTTAAATGGTCTCTCAATCTGGTCCAGTAGGAAGCACAATCATGGGGAAGGCTGCTGACCTGACAGTTGTGCAGACAGCCATCATTGAGACCCTCCATAAGGAGGGAAAGCCTCAAAAGGTAATGCAGAAGAAGTTGGATGTTCCCAAAGTGCTGTAATGAAGCACATTAATGGAAAGTTATGGAAAGTTAATGGAGGGTCTCAATGATGGCTTTCTGCGCAACTGTCAGGTCAGCAGCCTTCTCCATGATTGTTCTTCCTACTGAACCAGACTGAGTTCATGACAGATGGACATCCAACCTCTGCTTAAAAACCTCCAGTAAAGTTTTACGAAACATACTTTAGCAAGCAAGCAAAGTTAAATGAGAATTGGATAGTAAAACACGTGTAATATAATACATAAAACACATAACTAAGTGGCACATGTTGTGAGGCCAGACACACAGGTTTTCATGAGTTAGGAAGCTTTTAATGCAAACTTAGCTGTATCGAACATAACAGGCTTAGCCATGCTAGACAGCAGACCTTTCATTTTGTCAATGTCACTAAGGATGGCAATCGGCTCTAAGAATTTCTTTAATAATTTGCCATTGGAATTCAATACAGCTTTCAGCATAACATTGCGGCAGAAGACAGAATTGGGATTCAAGTTGACCTTAACGCTTTGAAGAACTGAGCCCAAACTAACAAATAGAATTTCAATAGGAACATCTGTAAGGTTCTGCCCTTAGGCAGGAAGAACCAGATGGACAAATATAGAATGGGGGACATCTGGCTTGCCAGTAGTACATGTGAAAAGGATCTAGGGCTTAACTGAGTTAACTGATGCAGCAGCCAAAAAAGTAAATTCTGTTCTAGTCTGTATCAACAGAAGTTTAGTGTCCAGATCAAGGGAAGTAATAGCACCACTTTTTTTTAGGACCCACCCTATTTTTGTGATTATCGGTTGTTTTAAACTGCTTTTAATGCTGTATTTTAAATTATTGTAACCCGCCTTAGGGTGAAAAGCGGACAATAAATTAAAATAATAATATAACAAAGGAAACTGCATGTTTATACAGCCCCCTAACTGAACAGATCTTGAAGCAACTGATAAAAACAGGAAAAGAAAGTTACAAGTATCTAGTCTCTGACAAGGTTTTCTTTTCATTCTCTCCCAGGAAAATCCGTAAGTTGCTTTCTTTCTCTGAAGCGAAACAAGCTGCAAGACGGCCTTACAAGCCTATTGTCCTCTGGCCAGTAGCAGGTTTACATCTACAGCAGCCTGTGAATGATGAGCCAATAATCATTGAGGACTAAAAGGAACCTGACTAGCCCTTGAAACACTGATGGAGTTGCCGGAGAACTTTTCCTAACTCCCACATACTGTGCTGTAAGTTCTGTGGCCACAGAATGGGAATCCACGGCTGATGAATGAGAAGGAACAAAACCACGCCAAGTCGGGTCCAAGGCGGAAGCTGGGCCTGCTCTGGTTCTTGATGGCCACAGATGACACACACCTCCTCTTTCTCCTTTAGCAGATTTTCTTTTGCTTGTAGTTTATTCTGCTCTTTTTGTAAGCAAGTGGGAAGCAATGTAAATGTAACTTATTGGAGACACGGATATTCTGCATATTCTGTTTTTCTCTTTTCGTAAAGCAAGACCCTCCATTTTATGAGACGGTTGTGTTGTGTTCGTGTGTTTCTGTCAACAGTATCATTTTGTGTTTATTTCTTTGTAGATAAAAGTGCCAATGTGTGTCTGTTACACCTGGAAATATAGGATTTAGAAACCAGCTACAGGTTTGGTGGGCTTTTTGCTCCTGGTTCCTTTTGGTTTTAGCAAACTTGTGGCAGTTTTGCCTCTACATGGACGCATGACAGGGAGTTCCAATGGACAGTATGAGTATTCTGCTACAAGGGGCCCCCTGTGCGTGTGTTTGAAATGAACTGTTTCAGCATGAAACATCTAGCATTTAAAGCTGTCCCTCATCCCAAGTAGGAATATTCTTCTTGATCTCTCTGCGGTTTCATGTGTAGCATGGGTAGGCAAACTAAGGCCTGGGGGCCGGATGCAACCCAGTTGCCTTCTCAATCCGGCCCACGGACGGTCCGGGAATCAGCGTGTTTTTACATGAGTAGAATGTGTCCTTTTATTTAAAATGCATCTCTGGGTTATTTGTGGGGCATAGGAATTCACTCATACTTTTTTTCCAAAATACAGTCCGGCCCCCCACAAGATCTGAGGGACAGTGGACCGGCCCCCTGCTGAAAAAGTTTGCTGACCCCTGATGTATAGGATTGATTGCTGTCACAACAGCAGCCACACGGGGATCTCTTGTCATTATGGTTTTTTTAGTCTATTTTGCGAGTAGGGAGTTAATTATGGAGCCTTTACTTTTAAGTTGAGAAATACCTCACTTTCTGTGTTCCAGTATTTTTCCCAGCACGGCTGCAATATAGCAGGCATTATTTAAGTGCCTGGTTCCTATCTTGGAGAGGCACTGCCATTCTCCAGCAATTTTGGGTTATGTTTGGAAAGTTTTCTTCCCAGCAAGAATGATACTAAGGTTTCCTCTCAGCTTGTCTTGCTGACAGGCAATATCTGGCTATATCAATTTGAATTTTACTTCATCTCATTTAATTTGTGGGAGAAATGCATGCTTTCAGGCAGGGACTCATTCCATACTTGTTTGTACACTGACCCAAATCCTGGACAAAAAAGTTTTCTTGAGGAGAGAAGGCCTTCATCTCTAGCTGGAGCTTCCAGGGCTTGGCTTCTCTCTTTTTCACCAAAGTTACCAACAACTGCTATATTTAATGGATCTGGACCTCAGTGGTTTTACATCCAGAATAAAAGGTGTTCCTCCTCTGAAGGAGTCAGCATCTCTCTCCTTTGAAAGCCTGTGAACATTTCTAGTGAACCCTCTCACTGTATCATTATATGAACCAGAAAGACAGCTCTGACTTTTTTCTATAAAATTATACAAGATTACCGTAATTTAAATCTAAGCCAAATCTCACTGCTAGAATTTCTGCCCATGACTTGTTAAGCATCCCCGCCACATATGGAGAACATTTGCAGGAGGAGCATTATACTTCTTACAGATAAATTGTGTTACAGGAAATGTGTTGAGCCTCATGGGCACGAAACAAAAGAGATTTCAAAACGTAACATAAAATTCAGTCACATTTTAAAAGGTTTTAACATATATACATAAAGAAATAAAAGAAAATCCTTAAAACACATACCCAAAATTTAAGTTGTCACAGATGTCATCAAATTTTTAAAAATTTGTGAATTATTCAAAGAAAGAACACAGACAAAACTCGGATCAGGACCAGGCCAGGATATCTGCATTTAACCAAGCAAAATGCCGTACTCACTTTACCATACTACAGTAATCTTGCTTGTCACAGACCCTAATAATTGTGTTAGGTTATTGTTTATTCTTTGTTAAGTACCTTGGAAAATCAATAAAAAAGAGTTTCAAAAAAGAAGACAAATTTATACTTGGAAATTTTAAAACCAGAGCAAAGTCTCTTCACCTGAGCTTGCCTGTTTCCCTGGCACATCCTCCTCAACTGTTAGTTGTGATGGTCAAATAAATCATAGATCTGCATATCAATACCTTTGAGTATAGGGCGGCATCTACCGAATTTTTCGCTCTATAAGACGCATCCAACCATAAGACGCACCTAGTTTTTAGAGGAGGGAAACAAGAAACAAGAAAGCAATGCAAAGCCTCTTGAGCGAAGAGGGAGGAGCACTCTGGCTGCGCTCAAGAGGCTTTGCGTGGCTATCCCTGAAACCAAGAGAGCAAGAGGGATCGCTGCGCACCGATCCCTCTTGCTCTTCTGGCTTCAGCGATAGCTGCGCAGCCTGCATTTGCTCCATAAGACGCACATCCCCCTTACTTTTTAGGAGGGGAAAAGTGCATCTTATAGAGCGAAATATGCAGTAAATTAAATATCTTCATGGTATCAACAATTGAATACTTTCATCCACTGATGGATTCATATTCTTAATGCCTCCAAAGTAATATTTATCATAATCCATGTGAGAATAAATCCTGAATCAATTAACCATTTACTTGATTTTGTATCAAGTATTTTGTATCCCTGGTTACAGGGAACCAGGCAGAGGGCCTTCTCGGTAGTGGCACCCTCCCTGTGGAATGCCCACCAGATGTCAAAGAGAAGAACAACTACCAGACTCTTAGAAGACATCTGAAGGCAGCCCTGTTTAGGGAAGCTTTTAATGTTTAAGAGATTATTGTATTTTAATATTCTGTTGGAAGCCGCCCAGGGTGGCTGGGGAAGCCGAGCCAGATGGGCAGGGTATAAATAATAAATTATTATTATTATTATTATTATCATCATCATCATCATCACAGTTGTTTAAAGTTAGACTCTTCCCATGCAAAAGAAAATTGCTTATTTTGATTCCCTTGGGATTTGGTTGGTTAAGTGAAGGGGATTTTGCTGGGCTTGGGGCTTCACAACCTTTGGATATATGTTCTCTTTCATTACATCTGAAACAAGTAAGTTTCAGATGGAGCCTTGGCTTTCTTCTGAGACTGGGTTTTTCATTCCTTTCTCAAATGACCAGTGACATCAGTTAGGGTTACTTTTAGTTTGTCGTCTGTGAGCCTGGCAAATGTCTCAACCTTTGTGACTCTAAAAAGTAGCAGACTCTTGGTACATCATCCACTTTAAAATCTGCTTCTTCCAGTTCCTCAATAACGGCTAGGAACTCATGATTGTTAGTCATTCTTGGACTCAAGCTTTAATTTGAATAGTTCCTTCAAGCTTGATGAGAATGTGTGCTTGTAAATACAAAAGACTGGTAAATTGTCAGTCATCTCGGTAGCAGTATCGCAATGTATAGCATGGACCATCTGGGTGTCTGAAAGACTATCCAAATTAATAGACACTGCTATGTCATTCTGCTATTCCCATTTTATTAATTCTGCACCAGCTCTAAGCTTTTCTTCCTCGATTCAAGCTATAATGCCTCTTACTTTCATAATGGTTTCCAACCTGTTCCATTGAGTAAAATTACTCTAAGCAGTCTGCAGCTTTGAGCAGCAACAAGATTTTGGCTGTCTGTCGTAAAAAGAGACACTTCTAAAAAAATCTCCAACAAAGAAAAAAAACCTTCTGCCTACTGCAGAAGAGGGAGAAAAATCTTTCTCCACTCTAAAAAAACAAGTTTTTAAATTCCTTCAACAAGCTGAAACCCTGCACAATATTCCTCACTAGAATCTCAACAAAATATTCCACATTCTGAGCCTATAACCTGTGTAGTTATTTGATTAGTTTAGTAAAGAAGAATTTGCTGGATCCCTAGATCCAAATGTAAGGCAGAATACTCTCTGGTAAGAGAGAGCCCCAGGAGAGGTTTTAAAGCAAAACATGCAGCAAAGCATTTAAAGACCCTTTAAATATCCTGTTTTAATGCACTTTTTAAATTGTTCATCACTAAAGGTGAGGGGGCGTAACCTAGCTAAGTCTAGGAAAACAGCTTACTCTATGGTCTTAACCCCTTCATGCATTAACTAGAGCTAAGCATGCTGAATGAGACTTCCCACATAAACTTCCTAAAAGCCAGGAACTCTGGAGACGGACACACCCTGAGTTTCCGAGAAAGTTACCTTATAAATTACAGTGTAAAGGCAGCCCAAACTCCCCAAGTCTCCCATATCTCAGAAGAGCGTGCTGGACTTTCACAACACTGGTCCGAAACTTTCAATAGCATGGACTCCAGGCGTCTCGGCACAAGGGGATTCCAGAACCCTGAGGTTGGCAGACACACACACACTGCAGTGGTCAGATTAGGAAACTATATTGGAAAAAGTAGGGGGAAAGCAGGCAGAAGGTTGGAACAAGACTACGCAATAAACCAGAGCCCTGTGGCTCTAAAACTGGACTAATCCTAGCCTATTCATTACAATATAGCTGTTTGGTTTACTCATAATCAGCAAAGATGGCCAGCTCTGTCGAAAGTCTGGTCTGGATTCCAGATGCTGGGAGGTATCAATCAAGGCTCTCTTCCCCTCTCTTTGGACCCTTGACCTTGTTGGAGAGTGGGAGGCCAGGTCCTGCCCATCTCTCGGGTATGGGGTGTGTGGATATGATATGTCCAGTCTCTTTGTTTTCAAAAGAACTTTACTTTCAAAAACATATAGCTGAGAAGAACATAATCTACAATCTCCTGCTTATTCACGTTGTCCCTTATAGAGAGCACAAGTTTCGTCCTCTTTCTGCTTCACCCTAGACAGACCATACCGCCCTCGGAAGCCTCCAGGGAAACCTCTCTCAGCAGCCATTCTCCTCACATAGGCACACCCAGACGGAAGAAACAGAAAAAGCTGATAAAAACAACAGTTCCTGGAATAAGAGTCACAACAGAATGGAATGCCTCTCTCATGTGACTCAGCCAATCACATGAGAGAGCTACTGCCAAAGGAAAAACGCCATGCGAAAAAATACACAGCAATTCAATAGAAGCAAACATTCCCATTTCAGGAAATTAAATTATTATCCTAAAAAGGTGGCCATTTGAAGAGCCTGTTTTGCATTTGGAGAGGAGATATGTGACAAGTTGGCTTAGAGAAAGCACTCGGAGCACCTTTTTGCTTACTTCACAATTTAGTACTACAGTTTTTGTTTGGCTGTTTTGGTCTGTTTGGCATATTGTACAGGCTGGTGATGGAAATCAAGATATTTGCTGAGTATTACCCTGAGGCATTTCTGGGTTGGGGGCACTCAGGAGTTATCACCCAAAGCAGGTGACTTTAACCCTAACCTTGACACTTGACACCTAAGCCTGATCCTGACCTCTCATCCCTATACCTTGACCATCAACCACTGTCTCCTGACCCTAACCTTAACCCTGTCCCCTTGACCCTGACCCAAACCATAACCATAAACCCTAAGCTTGTTCCTGACCCTAAATCTAACCTGAACCCTGACCCTTTAACCCCTAGCCCCCAGATCCTGACCCCTGACCCTAACATTGCAGTTGGTGTCTCAGATATTAAACTGATGGAATATGGGTTTCTCAACTCCAAAGTTTACTGCATATTTATAGCTGTTTGCCTTCCTGTTTAATTTGCATAGTCCATATGACATTACTCTCAAACATCATTAGTCATGACGCTTTATTGGGTAAATTCAAGTTTACCCAATAAAGGGACAATGGAATAAGGTGGGGAAATCTGGGGTGACAGATTATTTGTTTCAATGTTTTGGGAGGATAGATTATCACTTTTTGCTATTCCTCTTTTCATACCTACTGCTTCCTCAGTGCTTTCATTTCTTTTTCAGCCTGCTCATAACTACTTCAGGGTCATGGATAGATAGAAAGATAGAAAGAAAGATAGATAGATAGATAGATGATAGATAGATAGATAGATAGATAGATGATAGATAGATAGATAGATATAGATATTTCTTTAATCCCTCAGATTTGCACAAAACCAGAAAACTGCCAAGGTGTGCACTGATTATTTATATTCATTTGCATACCACCCTATGCCCATAAATCTCAGGGTGGTTCACAGAATTTACAGCTGGGCCCTGAACATTTGTAAGAAACAAGGGGTGTTCACAGTTATCTACACACAGGACCCATTGATACTTAATTGGCTTAAAATAACTCACAAGTGAGAAAGTGGGGAGAAGCACAGAAGGGAACACCTACTGACAATACAAAGGGAAATGGACAAAATTGCTCCTCATCTAGGAATTAGAATCTTCTTCTTCTTCTTCTTCTGAATTGTAAAGAAAGTTTTGCTGTTTCAATTTGTATCTTGGGCAACAGATGGCAGTGTTGTGTTGTAATACAGCTGAGTTATTGTGGAGGGATTAAATATCCCTTTCAAATCAGTACAGGCAGGATTTTTGGATTTGTGGTTTTTGCATCCTTATAATGTTTGAAATGCTAGCATTTTTGCATTCTACTTTTTTGAGGGGGGAAGGATTTTTTAATTGTAATTTTTGGAAGGTTTTTTTTGGAGGGAGGTTGGGGGTTTTGATTTTTAAAATGGCTAATAGCAATTCAGTTGTTGATGAAAGCCCCAAATTGCCTAAGGTAACCCAAAGCAATTGCAGCGCAGAAGATGGAGGTGGGGGAAGCAGCTTTGATAGACTATATATTTTAGAACTCATTAAGAAAGCAAAATCCAGTGAAGGTAAGGCCTCAAAATTCTGGGACCAGCAGAACAAATGAGCAGTGTCTATCTATCATCTTAGATAATATCACAGACACCTCCCAAAGAAGATGAGACAGTTGTTCAGATGTACCAAAACTTAGAAAAAGCATATGGATTCTCCAGCAAGTGTTCACATGGTATCTGTGTGAGAGATTTATATTATCTGAAGCGTGAATCCAAGAAATATTGTAAGGTAAAAGGCCCAATCACCTTCTTAATCCAGCCTCCGGACGGACCGGGAATCAGCGTGTTTTTACATGAGTAGAATGTGTC